AGAGAAGGAACGTCGGCGGGCCCTCTCATCCGGCGACAGGCCGCCATGCCGCATCCGCTCCGGTATGTCGGGGTCAATACGCACCCGGGCGCCGCCGCCGCCTCTGGGATATCGTCCAGTGTCGCCTGGGCTTACATGACTGAAGGGGACACTGCGGTGGCTGAAGTAGTCCGTCGCGCCTCTCGAGCCGGCGGGGACGTGTGAGAAGCCGGCGTTGACCCGATCGGCCGCAGGTGCGAAGGCAGGTCTGGGTGACGACGTCGACGACTGCTCCTCCTTGGGCGTGGCCATCTCCCTCAGCTTTTCGCCGCAAGCCGCATGCCAGGCAGTGATGTCCGGGTCGGGCTCGGAGGGGAAGGACAAGGCGGAGAGGTCCTTGGGGAAGGGCTCGCCGGTGTCGGGGTTCTTGAGATCCCACTTCCTCACGGCGGCGAGGATCAAGGGCACATCCTCGTCGGGGGTGAGCAGAATCTGGATCGACTCCCAGCGCACGAAGCCCTTGAGGGTCAGGGCAGGGACGGAGGGCTGTTCGTAGTCATTCTCGGTGGGCTCGAGGGTGTGACGGCAGCCAAAGACCTGCCATATGTACGAGATAGATTCGTGGGGGGCGTTGAGAAAGAGTTCTGTTTGTGCGACAAGGCAGTCGACTGTGTCAGCAGGCCTCTTTCTTGCGGTGTGTATATGGACATAATTCATGCAAAGCTTCTGTCGACCATCTCACTCACTGTCGTAGTCTCCTCCCACGGCCTTGTAGAAGGCGGCGAGCTTGCTAGGCTTCAGCACACGGTCGTTCTCCTCGCCAACATGATCGATCTAGAGGTGCGAAAGGGACGAGAGCCATGATGTCAGCCTACGTTGACCCAGCACCAGTTGGTAAAGGGGAGGAGGGGTAGTGGGGCTAAGGAGTGAGGGCGCGCTCACGATATACTGTCCGATGGCCCGCAGCAGGGCGTCGAGAACCTTGGTTGGCGTCTTGTTGGGCTCGAAGAGGTAGCCATAGTAGTTGCTGCTGCTGCTGCTGCCACCGCCGCCCTGCGGAGTGGGAATGTCGGATGGTGCTGGTGGCTGCTGCTGGGGCGGTGATTGAGCTGACGCTGCTGCCGCTGCCGCCGCCGCCGCTGCTGGTGGTGGTGGTGGTGCAGGGGGTTTCTTGGGAATGGACTCGGCGGCGGTAGTGGCCATTGTGATGCGCTCCTCGGCGACGGGTTGATCATGAGGGCGGGCGTGCTCGAGCTCGGGCGGTCAGCGACAACAGCGGCGGCGGGGCTCCACTGGGGACTGGCAGCGTCATCGGGCAGCTTCGACCAACTGACGGTGGATTCGAGATGCAGTTAATAATGAGTTATCGATTTCGAGAAAGTGGGAAAATTGGGGACTGGGCCAAAAGCTGTGTACGGTATGGCAAGAGAGCAGAGAGTGCTGCCTGTGCTTGTGCGCGATGAGTATCGAAGGTGCAGCAGAATGAGAAGAAGAGGAGGAGGAAGAATAAGAAAAAAGAAGAAGAAGAAGAAGAAGAAGAGAGCAGTAAGAATAGGCAAAAGAGGGAAGAAGAGTGTTTTGTTGTCTTACTGCTGAACCTCAGCTGCAGCAGCAGGCGTTTCTAAACTGGGACATTGGGCTCCAGGTGAGAGAGCAGGTGCTTGCTGCCTTGCGGCTTGTGACTTGCGGCGTGCAGGCGCGAGGCGGAGGCATGGCATGCCCCACTGCTGTGGGTGTAAGCGGTTGCAGGCGGTTAGCAGTTGTGCAGGTGCTGCTGGACCCTAGGCTGTTAGTACTGTGCAACACTGACTGAACGGTCCAGGTCAGTATCACCCACTAACAACGGCCTTGATCAGGGTATGGTATTTCGATCACCAGCTGCACATGTCAATTTGGACTTTACTTAGGCAACACCCTGGTTCTCCCCGATTACTCAAGTCCGTCAGGTGTCTCGACAGGCAGCAAATCGGGCCATGATGAATAGATGAATTGCATTTTTATGTATTTGTGTGGGCGTGTGCCAATTCCTGGAGGGTCACTGTTTGGCCACTCATCCATCTACAAGGCGAGTAGTTTTTCTTTCTCTTGCTCGACGACACGATTATGCAAGAGCAAAGTTATACACGATTTACTTCCTTTCCCCACGTGTTCTTACACTTTGCAATCTATTTCACATGCTCTCTCACCTCATGTTCCACTACATAGAGCCACAATGTCCCCCAAATCACACACAGCCTCACCCCAACAAGCCCCAGAGTCCAACCACTGCACCAGCCAGCGGGAAGAACGACCTCACCAAGTTCAGGTCCTTCCACCGCAACAATAACCCCTCAAGTGCCTCACTTCCCACCGTGGCCGCACCACTGGCGACCTCAAGCAGCACCTGGTTCGTCGCATCCATAAAGACCAAGGTGAACGGCACGATACCCACGGTGAGCGCCGCCGCGCCCACGAACAGCTGCCAGCCGCTGCCGCGTGACCTGTGCTGCGCGTAGGCGAGGTAGCCGTAGCCTAGCAGCGAGAGCGCGGCGGCTTGGGGGCCGAGGACTTTGCCTCTGTTGTAGATGCCTGCCCACTGCTGTGCAAGGGCCTGTGTGCTGATGGGGCTGGTGGTAGAGGAGGTGGAGAACGATAGGAGGCCAGGGACGGCGAGGATAGAGAGCATGGCTTGGCCGCCTGGGAAGAGGAGATCAGCTGGTGCAAGGCTGTGTGTAAGAGTGTGAGCGTACCTGAGTTCCATGCTGCTCCTAGAATGCCCACCGTGGCAGCGATGGTGGTTGCTGTAGGGAGGCCAGACATTTTCGATGGCGAGACGTGAGTTTTGTTTGAGGACAATGTGTCGGTTTAAAGGAAGAACAATATATATAAATATGTATATATAACAGATATAGATATATATGTGTGTATGATGAATAAAACAATGATGGGCACGACCACACTACTTGACAGCAAGTAATAGATTGCGAGGACTTGGCAAATTCCTGCTCTTTTATATTCCAAAGGTTCTCCACATGGGTTTTCTTCACACAAGTCTAAGATCATCCTATTCTTGGAGGTATCCGCCGGTCCCCCCCCCCCGGATAGTATGGCGGCGCCCCAAACGTCAATATTACGGATCGGTGCAATGCGGCCTCAACGGCCCTCCAAATGTCCGAAAGGGGGCACCTCCGTGCACACCGATGCCACAAGGCTCAGATTACTCATTCGGGCCAAATCGGGCCCAGCTTGGTAGTATTGTCGGGTCTCTCTCTCTCTCTTTCTTTTTATTTGGTGTCTATCCTACCCACGTCATATCTGCTCCTTTTTCTGCTCTGCCCCTCGGGTCTTAGGGAAATACCGAAATGCAGCCAACTCGATTACCTTTTCTGGATCCTCTTTATGTTTCTCTTTCAGCACAGCAAATTTCTCAAAACCAAGCTTCTCTACTATGCGATAGCTCGCCGCGTTGCTCGAGTCGACGATGGCAACCAGCTGTTCCCGGCTCACCATGCCGGACCCGTCCTCGTCCACCACCTCGCCTGCTAGGGTCTTCGCATTCACAGACAACTCGATGGGCATCCTGTCGAGATCCTCCCACATTGACAGGAACGCACGCACAAACTCCGTCGCCAGGCCTGTACCCCAGTACTCTTTCCTGAGCAGGTACCCGAGCTCCGGCCACCCGTACGAACCCTCCTCGTTCTTCACCTCCGAACACACATCACCGTTGGCAGCAGTAGTGTTGGTGGTGTTGATAGTGTTCATCTTGTGCACGCCGCCAATGCCAATGAGTGTGCCGCCGCCATCCTCGTCCCCCGCCAGGCAGATGGCGCAGTTGAAGGTCTCGATGTCGTGCGGTGGCAGGAACTGTGCCAGCTTGGCCGCCGTCTCGTCCTTGTGGGCGACTGGGCGTCCGGCTGCGGTCCACCTCATGACCTCGGGCTGAAGCTGCAGCTCGTAGAGGGCATCGAGGTCGGAGGGGGCGAGCGGTCGCAGGTAGAGGCGAGACGTGGAGACGGGGTGGCGGGCTGCGGAAGAGGGCAGGCGAGGGAGGGTGGTGCGGACGTTGGTCCAGGAAGAGGCAGTATTGGATGCCATTTTGGTGAGTTTGAATATTTGGCTGAAATGAGTGGTGTGCAAGTCTTTTTGTAAGTAAGCGAGTGAGTGACTTGGAGTGCAAAGGCTCAAGAAAAAGAAAGGTGAGCAAATCATGTACGGTAAGTATTTTCTTTTTTTTTTATTCTGACCCAACTACAACAAAGGCACACCATTTATGATTATCTACTGACTCTCTCTTTCTTTTTGTAATCTTGTCCTCACCAATTCTCAGTGGAATGAGTCAAACTTTCGCTCATTTTCCCCCTCCATTTTGCGTTTCTTTTATCCAACACTTCAAATCCACTATAAACCAGGATTACACTTCGAGGGTGGACTTATCGTCGTTGATATCTTAGCGTGAAATCCTCCCATTGTGCCCACCTTTTTTAGTCCCTCCTTCCCTCCATCGCTACTGCCTACACCCGGAGCGGTGGTAGTGGGCCCGCTGGACGGGATCTCGGACCCGAGAAGGAACTATCATCATCATCATCAACGGCCGCCTTGGGTGAACACAGAACTCACTTTGCTTTTGCACACAAGGCTCGATGCAAACGCACTGACGCCCTGCACTCTCTCAAGCCAACGCACACACAAGACAAGGTGTAGAGACCTCAAGAAGAGTCATCACATGTTGACTTTGACACATACACGACCTCCTTGACCTAATCGATCCTCTTCTTTTTTGTTATAATTTCCTTGCCCATCACCACTCTCATCGTCACCATTCTCTCTCACACCATCCTCCTCCTTCTCATGCTCACTTCTTTCATCCACCCCCATCGGTGACAAGGCTGCTGCCCCTTGTCCCTTCGAGATGACCCCTACCGCCAGCAGCAGCACCGTCCCTCCTGAATCCAGCGCGGGCCAGCAGGAAGCCCACGCCCTCTCCTGCATCAACTGCCGCCAACGCAAGGTGAAATGTGCAAAGGTCTACCCGTGCCCCCACTGCGTGCGCGGTGGCCTCGAGTGTATCTTCCCCTCCCGCAAGAAGGACCGCGCCCCACGCCGCAACAGGAACCATGAGCTGCTCAACCGCCTGGCCAAGCTCGAGGCCATTGTCGGGCAGGCCGACTCCTCTTCAACCGCCTCCTTAGGCCAGCAGCAGCAGTCCGACGGGGCTGGGCCAGCAGTGGCAACGATGACGACCGCCGCCACGACTGCCAACTCGACAGGTCTTACGGCGGCACGCCTCAGGGAGATGGAGCTCAGGAACCCGCAGAAGCGCTGTCCCATTGTTGAGCCCGCCTCTAGGGACGACCCAGCTGCCAAGTATGTGAGCGGTGAATTCTGGGCCAACCTGTCCACGGAGGTGGAGGGTATCAAGGCCGCGCTGGAGATGCCCAGCGACACTGACGAGGAGGACAACGATGAGGGCGGTGGTGAGGGGGACGACTCGCTCTCGCCAGAGTCTGGCACCGCTGCGCAGAATCCTCAGCAATCGCAGCAGCACAGCACCCATGCCGACTTCGCCGTCTCGGCCGCCATGTTTGGCAACCCGCACGCCGCCAGCAACCGGCCGCGGCACCCACCACCTGAGAGGATCAAGAAGCTGCGTGAGCACTACTTTCACACCGTGGACCCGCTGCTCAAGATCTTGCACAGGCCGACGGTCGAGAGGCAGCTCGACGTGTTCATCGTCAACCCGGAGGACAACCCGCCATCCCCGCAGGTCGAGGCCCTGTGGTTTGCCATCTACTTCGCTGCCGTCACGAGCCTATCGCCGGCGCGATGCGTGGAGACGCTGGGCGAGGAACGTGCCTTGCTGGTGGCCGAATACAGGCAGGGTGTCGAGGTGGCCTTGGCGAGGGCCGACTTTCTGAATAGTACATCACTTGAGACCCTGCAGGCGCTGACAATATACGATGTGAGTCTTTTTATTTCATCTGTTCTCTCTCAGACAAGTGAGATTCTTTCTTCTTGCTGACTGGTTTCCCCCCTCTCCAAAGGCGTGCCTCCGCAGCCACACCAGGTCCCGCGCCTCCTGGGCTCTCCTCGCTCTCGTCTGCCGCCTCTCACAGGCGAGTGGTCTCCAGCGCGACGGAAACGGCTCCGCTTTCCCCCCCTACGAGGCCGAGATGCGCCGCCGCCTCTGGGCCCAAGTCATCGTCCTCGACGTTCGCGCCTCCCAGGACCGCGGTACCGAGCCTATGATTCTGGAGGAGACCTTTAACACCATTCCGCCCTCTAACATTGACGACGCCGACTTTGGCCCTGACACCACCGTGCCAGTCCCTCAGCTCGCCCGCGGCGTTGCCGCCACCGATATCACCTTCAGCTTGTGCACCTACCACTGCTCGTGCCTCTACCTGCACATCCACGGCCCGCGGAGCAAATTCTTCAAGCCTGCTGCCGGTGCCGACGATCCCTCCTCCTCTGCAGGTGCCACTGCTGCTGGTGGCCATGGCGCACAAACAAACCTCACCTCTTTCCCCCCGCAGCAGGGCTACATCGCCGCCCAGGCCTCCGAGGAGGACGTACTTGAGCGCATCAAGGCGCTAGAGGCCCAGTTTGTGGCGCCGGCCCTCTCGCGGCCCGACCACTTTCCCGCAGTCATGGCCGCCGCCGTCGTCCGCCTGACAACGCTCATCATCTGGCTGACCATCCAGTACCCCTTCAGCATGCGACAGCCCACCATCAAACCCCGCGTCTCCCGCGAGCACATGCTCCAAACCGCCGTCTCTATCCTCGACCTCGCTGCCAGCGGACCCGCAACCGCTGGCACCGGTATTAGCGAGGCTGAGTGGCGCGACCGCTTCGCTTGGTGGCAGGACGGCTACGTTCAGTGGCACGCCATCGCCGTCGCCCTCGCCGAGCTCTGCGTTCAGACCGCCGGGCCCCTCGTCGACCGCTCCTGGATCACCGTCGAGAAGGCTCTGGCCGTGTGGAGCGAGAAGGTCGCCGACAGCAAGCGCGGCGCCTTATGGCGGCCTATCCGCAAGCTGCTGCGCAAGGCGAGGGAGAAGAGGGCCGAGGCTCAGCTGAGGAGACTGCGGCTCCACGGCGGTGGGGCGGCAGCAACAGCAGCGGCGACAAGACCACCACCGGCAGCAGCATCAGAACCGCCAAAAGCAAGGGAAAAGCAGCGGGTGCAGACAGGTTACTATAGAGATCCAGAGCAGTCGCATATTCCCATCCCGAGGTCACCCAGGGAGGTACTGGCAAAGATACGATCGCGAGTGTCCACAGAGGGGCACGGCTCTCCAATGTATGCAGATTGGGAGACGCCAGCGCCCGTCGAGGGGACGCAAGCACAGCCGCAACAGGCGACGGCAGCCGTTCCTCCTAGGGCATCGCCAGCGCGCATCGCAGCGACAGAGGTAGGTCCCACAGGAATACCCTTCACCGTAGATTTTGGCAATACCGATACGTCCATGGCGGACAGCGCCACGATCCCGACCACGACAGCGACCCTCGGATCCAGTTCTGGTCCCCGCACGCAAGACTCTCAGTTTGCCGCCACCCCTTCTGCCATGATTCTGGAGAACGCACACAACACACAATGGACTATCGACTTTAGCGGTATGGACGACGCCGCCGCCGCCGCCGCCATGACCAACATCGACCCTGCGCTACAGATGCAGCAGCACGAACAGAACCAGCAGCTGCAGCTGGACATGATGGACTGGTCGGCCTGGAATGATTTTGTCGTGGATGCGAATGTGAGTTTGGAGGATGGGACAAGTCCTAGCAGCGAGGGTAGGGCGTTGTGATGCAACTGTGAGGTGAATATTTTGGATAACGTACAAGAGATACCACTGCATTTCGGCAGAGGGAGGGAAGAACTTGTCAGGAGGCACAGCACATAGAAAGGTATTGCACGCAATTGGCCTTTTTAGGGGAAAAGATACCACACAGCTCAGCTCGAATCGAATAGACCGCTCTCTAGATCCACATGATCTTTGTGCACACTCACGCCATCTGGAGGGATGCTCTCGTTCGTTCTCTAGTCTTTGGATTTTGTTCCATTCCTTTTTTGCTCATAAAACTCTTTGTTTTTTTTATCTCTTTTGAGAGCAAATGCAATGACACGCCGTGATCCCTAATGAACACCAGAGGAAACCATCATCCGGACCAACGATTCCTTATTTTGCTGCTCCTTTTTCTTTTGTGGTGTTCAAAAAAAAGAAGCGCCCAAGGCCGTCGCCAACCCCCCAGAAGCCTCCCCGAAAATCCCTAGCGCATCAAACCAACCACCTTCCACACCAATACCAGCAGACGAGCCACAGACTTAGGCAAAAGTCGAAGGACGGGTGGCGGAGAAGACCTTCTTGTTGCTGATCTTGGGGACGCGGTGGGGCAGAGGGAAGGTCAGGTTCTTGGAGAGCAGCTGCTTGATGTAAGGACGCTTGACATCGTCGGACTTCTCGAGCTCGACAACGCGGAGGATCTAAGATGATAAAAATTCTTTCGTTAGCACCGCCTGGTTCTATCTCCTCTCTCTCTCCCCGCTACTCCTTGTGTTCTTTTCTTTCACGAGGGGCGATTCATGGGTCTTCGGTTGTGAACGTACGTGGATGGACCTGAAGCGAGCACGGTGGCGGGCAGCCATGTCCTGGTAAAGAGCCTCGACGGCCTCAGTGCGGGACATCTCGCGGTACTCCTTGTACATGTTGTGGGTACCGGAGCGGGAGTCGTAGCGGATCCAGATGCCGAAGTTCTTGACCTTCAGGGGGTGCTTCTCGTGGATCTGTCACAGGCGTTCTCTTGTCAGCTTCCATCGTCATCACCTTGATTGTCCGCAGCACGCCTCCATTTTCCAACTTCCGTCATTGATTCCTCCTTCTTGTCATTCTCTTCCTCCTGCTTCTCATCGCTCGGGTGTAGGATGCCACGTACCACGTTCAGGCTGACGATCTCACCAGTGGCCTTCTTGACCTTCTTCAGACCCCGCATGAAGTACCAGTACCGGGACTTGGCAACAACGGAGTTGGGAGCGAAGATACGCATGCGGTACAGGGCCGGGGTGGGGTTGGCCTCTGTAGGCAGATGTCTGCCAATGACCTGGTACTCCTGAAGACGACCTGTCCGCAACTATGTTAGCCGGCTGTACCACGATCCTGGGCCATGTATCTGTGGGGTAATCCTAGGAGCGACAATCGAAGGCGTGAAGGGTTCGTTCCGGGGGGATCGGTCGCGCAAGAGAAGATTTTGCTCTGCATCGTCGGCGGTGCGGCAGTGCATGTGGTACGTGATTGTGGCTGCAAGAATTTTCGTATCCATTCTGCATCACGCGCGTGCTCTTTCTTGATCGTCAATCCGTTCCAAATGTGCGGTTCAAGTGAGAAGTGTCTCCGTTCTTCCGACCATCGCCTCAATTGATACTGCTTGTGTCGTAGTCGATACCGTCCGGCGTCTTCCTCTTTTTTCTAGCATCTCGGGTTCCGATAAAAATCGCGGATCGTCGTGGTTCTCGCCGTCGATGTCGATGTCGCTCCCAGCTCTCGATGCAAGAATGAGGAAATACTGCTTACCCATCTGGAAGAATAATGTCAGTAGGTTAACAAGTATAGTTGTTCTCGGTTGTTGAGGCTCACTTTGACTGTGTTTGCCGTCTTGTCGAGGGTTGATGGTTGACTGCAAGTTAGTGGTTGTTGCAACAACTCGGCCAAGTCGAGAGGGTCGGTTGGATTTTTTGCGTTGGCGGTGGATTGTGTGCTCGCGGTGGCGCTGGCGGCTGATTGGTGGTCCAAGACCCACCTTCTGACGGCCTTTGGAGCGGGAAGCGCAAAACTTTCTCCGCTTCCTGATTGAGCTTGCAGCTGGCCACAGCTGCGACTCAGCTGTCAAATTGGATGCCCCGTGCTAGCCAACAGCTGACTCATCTCATCTGGGTGACAGGGGGCGCAGGGTAGGCGCCTCTTCAATAGTACTGCCCAGACATACAGTCCTTTGATGTAGCAGATTATGTCACCTTCGATTCAAAAGTATCTTTGTGTTTGACATATTCTCGAACCTCGCATTTCTGAGCAGCTTCTTTACCATCCTCTGATGCAAGGTATCCTCGAATCAGCTCACTATGGACTTCATCTTCCAGGACTTTGGTTCTGCTTTTGGAACGGGCAACGGGTACGAGCTGTCCCGCGCTCTCACACCAGAGCAGGGCACAGATCTGCTCAAGATCATATGGAAAGCCACCAACCATCACCAGGCCAAGGACTACTTGCGACGTAACCTTAAGAGGGAGACCAACATCTCGAAGCAGGAGCTTGACGCGTGGACTGATGTTTTCTACCAATACTGGCTGACCGCTGGCGCCATCCTTGCAGTGCAGGGCGACATCATTGCGCCTGGAACGGTGAGCCCCCACCCCCCTTTGCCACACAGCCAGCCATACATATCTCAGAATACGCTAACAGTCCTGGGCAGCCATCATGGAGCAAAGTCTATGAAGCGTGGCGGGATTTCACTCTGGCACTCACGAGGGGCTACCGGAGTGCAGGGTTTGGAGCTTGGACGATACCGTGCCTCTACATTGCCGGAAAATACCTGAGGGTCTTTGCCCTCAATGCAGACAAGGAACGCAGTTCGAAACCTACCGATGAGGGAGCCATGACTCTTCAGGATGATTTCGACCCGGAGGCAGAGGCACACCAGAGCCTCGAGGACTGTGCACGACAGCTTAATGCCATATTCGGTCTCTGCCTGATGGATAGGAATCCTCTCGAGGAGTCCAAGAAATGGGCCATCTATTACATCATCAACCTCCTCTTCAAGACGTATTTCAAGCTCAACCAGGCAAGCTTGTCTCGGAACATCCTGAAAAATCTACGTGCCAACGAACGCGACATGCCATCCCTCGATCAGTTTCCAAAATCCCAGCAGGTCACTTTCAAATACTACGAGGGCGTCCTCTTCTTCCTTGAGGAGAATTACGTGGAGGCTGAACGTTGTCTGGGAGAGGCTCTGGGTCTCTGTCACAAGGATGCCATAAAAAACAAGGAGTCAGTTAAATTCAAACCTCCTTAGACACGCTACGGTTACAGGTACACTGACATTCGCACAGACTCATTCTTACCTATCTCATCCCCTGCCATCTTCTCACCAGCCACACCCTCCCAACGCCAGCCCTCTTGGAGCCGTACCCACACCTCCAGGAGCTGTTTCTACCGCTAGCACAGTGCATCAAGAAGGGCGACCTCAATGCCTTCGAGCAAGCTCTAAAGGATGGCGAGGACGAATTCGTGAAACGACGTATTTATCTACCCCTCGAACGAGCCCACGATACTTGTTTGCGTAATCTACTGCGCAAGGTCTTTCTCGCAGGCGGTTTCGAGGAGCCCAAGCCTGACACACCGGGTGCCTCACCAGTCCGTCGTACAAGAATTCCCGTTGCTGACTTCACGGCCGCCATCAGCCTCGGCAGCAAGCAGCAGGTTGATTCGGATGAAGTGGAGTGTCAGCTGGCCAATATGATCTACAAGGTAAGTCCTACCATCGATTAGCTTCTGCAACCATCTGGCAAGGCCCAGACTTGTATCTGGACAAAGCCCGTACCTACACTCTCCCGGGGGTGCCTCATAAGTAGCCCGGTAGACTGACCATGCGACTCAAACAGGGCCTCATGAAGGGCTACATAGCACGTGAGAGGCAGATCGTGGTGCTGAGCAAATCTGGAGCTTTCCCAGGCACCGGTGTTTGACAGGGCGGTGCCAAATCTCACCACCGACATATTTAAGTGCCTGAAGCTTGTGTCTTCACATACTTCCAAACAGCGGCAAGCTGCTGCAGAGGTAGGATGATTCGCCCCTGGCTGTATCAGGTACGACCGCCTTACATTAGAAAGGCAGAGAGGAGACCATGAGAGCATCTCGGCTAGGACGTGGCCTCTGAAGGATGGCTTACGTACTTCGTAATATGGTGACTTAGCATAAGGGAAACCAACGGCTGTGGCTTATTTGGTTGGGTTTTTCAAGGCAGATAGATACCCTGGGGACGCATTGGACTCACGAACGCCTTCTTTACCTCATAATAGATACCCTATCACAATGTCAACCTTGAGCTATTATAGAACCGAGCATTTGCAATCTGTTGCTCTAGCCAACTCTTACTTAAGTCAGAGCAAGGAAATAGAAAACTCAAAAACACCGTCAAAGCACGAGAACACTCATCCCTATCTTGCATGACGGCCTTGGTCCTATGTGTCAATGAAAAGGGCAAGGACAAGGGGGGGGGGGGGCCTCAACACAGCCGGCCCGGGGTTCCATGTTTCTATAGCAATGAATAGATACTAAAGGGCAGCATGTATGAAAGTTTGGCATGCGGATTCCCATTAGAAAAGTAAATCGGCAAGGATACACTCGCATACCAGCGGCAACGGCAAAAAGTGGTATGCAGAGAAATTAGTAAGAAAGAAAACACAAAATGATGCTGGCCGCAGCACCGCAACTGAGGACGGCGGGAATGAACTCTGTTTCGAAGTGACTCCAGAGGCTCAATTATGCCACAGAGTCTAGGCAGATTTTGAATAGAACAATCAATTTATCCCCCTTGTTCCTCGTCAGAAATCGGATGTTGACAGCACCTGAGACAAAATGCCGAACCTCCTAATCCTAACAGAAAAATCATTCACGCTCGCAAACCTCTTCATCCAGACCATTTATCCCCTTCTGGAAAGTCACGCAACAAGCCCAAACTTTCTTTTCTCTCAATCATCCTATAATCCATGTCTCAACCCCCCCCCCCTCCTTCCTCCCAACACCCTTTTCCTCGGCCCCTGCTTTTCCTCTTCGCCCCCACGTCTCACAACAGCCTTCCTCCGTCCTTCACGGCTCGCGTCCACCCATTCACGCCAACCGTGAACGGCTGTGAATGGAGCGCCCAAGAAAAACGAGTCGACAAGGCGTTTTGAGTTAATTACTTATTGATGCATCCCAACATAAAATTCTTTTGATTCCTTTTTCTACTTTTTCTTCTTCTTCGCGCTGCTCTGCCTCATTTGGACGAGGTGAGTTACATTGCAGCCAATAGTCAGGTCGCAGAAGAGGCGTGTGGTGAGATAGATAGGATGCGTGATGGAGATGTGTGCATTGCACATATTAGTGAATCAATGATAGTTTCTGGGATGCTACCTGGTAGGTTGACGGATCTCTCTCCAATTCGTATCAGGTTAAAGGGCCATAATTGAGCCACCCAAGGGGAAAGGGGGGGGGGGTTGGATTTCTGCGTGCACCCCATTTCACATCTTCGTTCGGCACCTCATCTCGGAACTGTGAAGGCCAGATGAAAATTGAGAATCAAAGTCAATTCGTAGAACCCCGACTGCCCTTGCTCTAAAGGATACTTAGATTGTTGATTGATGGCAGCACTTCAGGGAGCAAATCGTTCTAAAGGAAAGACAAGAAATGTAATAGCACAAGTGTTTTTCAGGCTGGCTGGCTGGCTGCCATCCATGTTATCATTCTTCTGCCCGAGAAAACCCAGTTCTGGTTCAACCGAAGACCCCACCGTTGACCGTTGTCATGAGATTGCTGGTGCTTGAGATGGCTAACGGCCGGGTATAAAAGCGTCCTCCAAGAATTTTAAAAGGGAAAATGACCTCATATCCCAATCTTTTGCCCATCGTGAAACTTTCTGTCGTAAGAGGTGATGATAATAATACAGTGAAGGGATGAAATGAAAACCTAGAAGATCATGATGTATCAGAAGAATCTTTGATACGGTGTGAGCGACACGCCTTCGTACACCCGTCAACTTCGGGTCTTGCCCACAAAATTTTCAAGAAAAATCAAGCTGGAGCGGCTAACTGACATAGAACAAGATCAGGAAAGAAGAAATCATTAATCATTAAATTCAAGAACAAAAACAGCAAAAGGATGAGGGGTATTCTTTTTGTAAATTTCCAGGCTGAGAAGGGTGGTGTGAAAATCATGTAGGACAGAGAGAGAGAAGGAAAGAGAAAGGAAAAATAAGGAGAGAAAGAAGAAAAGAAGAAAATTAAAGTGCATGAAAAGTGCAGACATGTTCACATGTAACGGTTGGTGCGAGGCGAAGTCTGGGCGCCAACATCGTCGACGTGGTTACAGAGCGCGACGAACAAATCAAAGAATAGCTGAGTGCCGCCATTAAACATCTCAAGCTGCATCGTGCCGCTGCGCTTGAAGGTGGAGCGACTACGAATGATGAGGGCGAGAAAGTGAGCACGGAGCTTGGAGTCGGTCTCGGGTGTGTGAGCGTAAGCATAGCGGGCGGAGGATAAAATGGTGCTACATTGGACACCACATTCTGTGGAGAGAATGGTCAGTCATGTGCCATGGGATGGAGACGGAGGATGATGGGAAAAGAAGAGCATGGAGAAAGAAGATAGGAAAATCAGACATGAGAGCACAGAAGAATGCAGATCCTACTTACGAAGACCCTGTTTCCGGAGGGCAAGGCGCTTCAACTCCTCCAGTCCATACTTTTCCGCGGCACAGTAGATGACCGTGTCCTTCAGCAGCGGTCCCTCGGAACTGTGGTGATAGATGGTAGACTCGCTCTTAGACCCACGCACATCCTCGGATGGCTCCATCTCCCAAGTATTTCGCTTCTTGTTGTGCACAAGGCGCGGAAAGTAGTCACCCTTGTAGAGATATTCAAGGACGGACGAGAAGATCTCGGGGGACTCTTCAGGCAGTGCAATGCGCTTGGTAGATGACTCGGCGCTGTACTTCAAGACGTTGACGAAGTAGGGAGCACGGGTGAGGACATCATCGTGTGCAGCGAAGATGCGTTGCTCGGGGCCGATGACAAGCGTGACGATGGGGCTGATGCCGCTGCAAATATTAGAATGTGCGCGGTATGTTTGGGCAGTACACTGCAGATGGAAAAATTGATGCGGGGATGGCTTACCTTGCTGCTGTTGGCGACGACGCAGTTGACACGTTCGTCACGCTCTGCGTCCTACGTCGATGCTCGTGACGGCGTTTCGAAACGCCTGACTCTTTGGTGAATGACGAGCTCGACTTGCCGTGCTTTGAGCCCTTGGAGAAGCTCTGCTTGGTCGAAGTCGACTTGGTGAACATTTTGACCCGCCTCCCCTTCCAGCCTCATTTGAAAATCAAAGTGCAGAGGCTGTTTCTGGATTGATGTGGGATGACGCAAATGCTGCGTGGATGAGACCTTTTCTGCTGCAGCCTGATCTCGAGTGTGACAGGGTAAAAAGATGGGAATAGACAGGGAGAAGACAGGGCGAGAGAGAGGAAATAAAATCATGGAAAGACGAAAAAGCGACGAAAAGAGGACGGGATTATATGCCGGAGCGGAAGAATCTACCTCAGGCAGAAACCTGACGCTGGCCAGTCGAAAGGAGGAGAGGCGAAATCTTGGGAAAGAGTAGGGCGGACAGACGGGAACTCACCTGCCATTTATATGCAGATTGGGATGACCGAGCCGGCCAAGACACCCGCTTGGATGCATCAAAGCGTTGATCATTGCAGCAAAAGGACCGGTTGCCTCAGGGTCAGCCCAGCACGGGTGAACCAGGCGAAGAGATAACGCGTGGACGTTGGACCAACCGCGTCGCAGGCTCCCGCCAGGTAGATTGGTACACGGCAGGAAATCGCCTGTTCACGTGATTTTAATATGGGTCTTGATGGTATCTGTAGGGTCTGATTCGCCACGTTCTCGGTCAAGCAAGACTCATCTGTCCAAGTGTGTGACACAGCTGAGATTTGAGGTTGAGCAACAGGGGGGGCGTAAGCAAGGGAGGCAAGGCCATAGCTGGAGGAGGGAGTCAGTCAACCTGCAGGGGGCAGGCCGTGCTAGCGGGCAAAACAGCCCTGTACGGAGGCCCCGGACTTGGCTGGCTGCTTTGGTTCAGTGTACTATGGTACAGAGCATCCTAACTCATCATTAGCACGCCATTTGACAATTTTCTTATGACAACGCTCGTAAAGGAGCCACATCCTGCTTGATCCTTGTGTAAGATCTTTTCAGAACAATTGAAAATTGCAAAACAACGACGTTGCTGATGTCACGACGTGGAATTGAAAAGAAAAAAGGAAAAAGCAAGGGCGAAAAAGAAAGGGAAAAAAAGAGCATCATTGGGAGTGAGTTTTGCGGGTTCAAAACATTTGATCTTGAAAAACAATTTGATTTATTACAGTGAAGAACATGACAAAACTGAATAATAGATGTCTTGAACATCCACGAGCGGCTGAAGGTCTTTGACAAATATAGTGCAGCACAGTCTCTAGTATACCCCAATATGGACAATAGTGTTTATAGTTTCAGGCTTCCTATGCTAGAGCCTCCCCAAAGGGAATGACTGGGTTTGCCAAACGAGTATGTTCTAGTCACCATCAGAACTGGTCATTTGGACAACATGATTTTGATTTCGAGCCACTGACGTCTTCTTACCGCGATATATTATCTATAAATTTGTCTATCCTTGCACTTGAAATAGGAAAACATGCCCTCCCCATCACTACTAATGTCTTGCAGATTTTTGCGTCTTGAAATCTTCTCGCAACACTGACTGTTTCCCAACACACCTGCTGAAGCCCATGCTCAAACGCCAAGCAGGCAAGCAAACTTGACTTCAAACTTTCTCAAGCTCCCCCCGTCTTTGTGGCCTTTCATTTTCACCCAACATCTTAGCTTTGCTAGGAGTCAGTATGGAGTCCATGATCAAGACTAGAATTCTCATCCTGTCTGACACGCGTGGGATGACCATGGATGGGAAGTTACCTCATCAGTCTGCAGATGTCGCCATCCACTGCGGCGACCTCACGACAGAATCCAAGTTGGACGAGTTTCGCGCTACTCTCCAGCTCTTACGAAAGATCAAAGCCCCCTTAAAGCTCGTCATCGCCGGCAACCACGACTTCACCCTTGATGAGCCCATCTTTCGATCGAAAGCCGAAGAAGCCATTGCCCACTCCGATCGAAAGCTCATAGTAAGGACATATGGAGATTATGGTCAAGCCAGACAGCTTTTTACAGACGCTCGGGAAAACGGAATACACTTCCTCGATGAAGGCATTCACCATATCTCGCTCGCAAACGGATCAAAACTGACTGTTTATGCGAGCCCGTACACCCCCTCTCTGGGCGACTGGGAGTTTCAGTACCACCCAGACCAGGGACACCATTTCGATATCCCGGATGGCGTAGACATCGCCATCACGCATGGGCCACCTCGAGGCATCCTAGATAGGACAGACGGCCGTGAGAGGGCAGGATGTCCGGATTTATCCGCCTCTGTTGCCCGCTCGAAGCCACGCATACACTGCTTCGGACACATCCACGAGGGTTGGGGCGCCAAGGTGGTTGCTTGGAGAGAGAAGCTGAGCGAGAACCCTTCGCATCTGACCGACATAGACAACGACAAGTCTCATGTGGTGGAGCTTCTCAGCACGCTGAAACGAGGCAGGTTCGATGACGATGAGACTGCCCGGGAGAAGGGAGAGAAGGCCCGGTTGTATGCCAGGCAAAATTATTGTGGTGTAAGTCTGGGCCATGATGGCGAAGGCCAACAAACACTGTTTGTGAACGCGGCTATTGAGGGCAGAGACATGGAAGGTTCCCTTCAGTTACCATGGCTGGTCGATTTGGGTTTGAGCAAGGACCCGGGCGCCGAAGAACTAATGTCGAATAATGAAATGGACAATTAAATAATTATTTTGTCAGCTGTAACAGTCGTAAGTGTAAAGATATCCGGATATACTTACGTACCAGGGCTTATCTAAATACATGAAGCAACATGTCCATCGTGTACGGTGCCCTTACTTAAGTAACCACGGAGGGACCCCCCACCTAGTATTGCATTTCATCCCAATTGGAAGTATAAGCCAAGAGCACCTTCCTTTATCAGAACTTATCCGAATTGCTTCGTGATTTTGGGGTTGGTGGCCGTGACCAAGGCCCTGGAAGGGTGGCCTTGGGTGTTGTGGGCGCCGAAAGAAGCAATAACCAGGGTCTTCAGTGCTCACAACAGATTTCCCCCGAGTCAGGTTGCATTAGAGGACTTTCCCTCATCAACATCACTATCAACGGCAGCTATCCCATACTTTGCTTAGGGTGGTAATTCCATCTTCACTATCGAACACCACAGCAAATATTTACGGATAGGACGGCGGATGGTCCAACTGCAGGTTTGCTGATAAATCAACGCTGCGCGCGCGCGCTGTATAACTACGGGCAGGGACCCCGCGCGCGCCTTCCGTGCAGACCACTTCGCTTTGGGCTAGTTTGTTTTTCAGGCGCGCGCGGGTTATTCTTTCCCTCCCAAACCTCCCAACCCAACTTGACAGCAGCCACAGGTTACGTCTTCGACCTGTCATCCCGCTCAGATGGATCTGGACCATGAACCACCTCGTCAGACGGTACCCAGAAGGTCCAATGGCTGCTGGACCTGCCGCCTCCGGCGTAAAAAATGTGATGAGAAGCACCCTGCGTGTGACGCCTGCGCTGCGCTGCAGATCACCTGCTACTATGGCCAGGAGAAGCCGGATTGGATGGATGGCGGCGCGAGACAAGAGGAGATGGCCGAGCAGCTCAAGCGCGACATCAAAGAACTTCGTCGCCGCGGCGGGGAACACGTGTCGATAAGCAGAGCCACTGCTGCTGACGCTGAGGAGCCGGCCCTCGTCACTCGGATAATTAATCCTCCCTCCCAGGCGATGCCGGATCGTCCACATGGCGAGACGGCGCCGTCACCGTGCCCCGAGGCATCCGTACCTCCTCCTACTCACCAGCTCCAGCGTGGTGCGGCCTGCACGCTGCTTGCTGGCAGGCAAGCTGGCCACAGCATAGGCTTCGAACGCTCGAACACAATCCTCCTCATGTTCTACCTGGAATACCTGCTCACCTTCCTGTTCCCGTTCTACCGCCCTTCTATCCTCCAGGGCGGACGGGCATGGGTTCTGGAAATGATGATCAGCAGCCCGGTTGTGCGGCAAGCTACCCTATGCCAGAGCTCCTACTTCTTTTCTCTTGCGCAAAAAACAGGACATGGCGATGAGATATGGGATACAGTCATGACAAAGACCGGGGACGCTTTTCGAGTATTAGAGCGGTCGCTACAGGTGATCACAGACTCCAGCATCACGGAGCATCTGCACGGTGCCGTACGGATTCTGGCGAGCATCATGCAGCTCCAGCGCTTCGAGATCGCAGTGCTGAGCTTTCATAACTGCCAGTCACACTTCCACGCCGCCCTGGCCCTTTTCAAACAGCTCCTTGACAGCTCCACCGCTGCCGAGCCACCGGCCGGGCCTGCTGCTGGCTTTGACTCCCTCCTATGCCGTCTGGGGCCGCCGTCGTGGATGGAGCACGGGCAACTGCCCATCCCGAGCGCGGAACAAGCTGCCTTCCGCTTCTCGTCCACCCTCTTGATATTAGATGACATAATCGCCAGTACGGTGCTCCAGGAACAGCCTCAACTTTACGAGTACCATCATGACCTTTTGTGCAGCATCGATGATGGTGTTGCCAAACCCCGGATCGACCTGGAGGCCGTCGTGGGTTGTCAAAACTGGGTGTTGCTCCACATCGGCGAGATTGCTAAGCTGGACGCCTGGAAGCAGCAATGTAAGCAGGCTCGGGACTTTGACGTCCTAGAGTTTGTGCGCCGCGCCACGGCGATCAAGGACTCGCTCGAGGCTTGCCTCACACGGCTCGATGCTGACCAGGTCATGCTTCCGATTGAGAACGGCGAAAGCCTGCTGGACGTCCTCAACCCGGGCTACTGCCAGCAGCAGCCAAATACACCGACGACCAGCGAGAAATCATCCCTAGCTACCCGCGTCTGGGCCCACGCGGCACATATTTACCTCCTTGTTGTCATGTCAGGGTGGCAACCCGCTAGCAGTGCCGTGCGCTATCATGTCGGGCGGATCATCGAGCTGTTGACGCACCAGGTCTCGCCGCCCGCGCTGCTGCGCACAATGGTGTGGCCTTTCTGCGTGGCGGGCTGCCTCGCGGAGCCGGCCCAAGAAGTCCACCTGCGCGGGATAGCAGAAGCGCTACAGCCCCCAAGCGTATTTGGTACAGTCCGCAAGGCACTCGAAATTATGGAAGGCGTGTGGCGCAATAGGGATGGAGACGTCGCGAACCGCGACCTCGCCACGTGCTTCAGAAGCCAAGGCGATCTGGTGTTACTTGTCTAAGAGGAACAAATCATGTTGAATAAGTAACTCATACCAGCCTCGGATATGGCCATCTGAAAGCCCAGACGTATCCTTCCCGGGTTACACATGCTGGCCAAAGACACCCCTAGATCTTAACATAGCCCTTGCCCTTGACGAAGGTGGCCTGCCATGGCACATTCTCCTGGTGGTTCGCCAACTGAATATAGAACTCGCCATGTGCGGGCCCGTCCAGTTGCTGACCCTTGATCTTGCCGTCGGCAGTGCGCTCGTCTGCATAGAAGAATCTGGTCGATCCGGGAACATCAGCAAAAAGGACTTTTTCAGGAGCGATGCCTCGAACAATCTTCCCCCACTCCCTTTGCGAGATACATACCGGTACCCCTTGGCTGCAGACGTCGCGTCGGCAACACCGAGCCAGTACGCCGACGCGGACTTGCCCACGCCCAGGTCCACCAGTAAAGGCACAGGCAAGATGGCGACGTTCTGTATGTTACCGGTATAGATGAATGTCTTCTTGATATCCTTGGATAGTGTCTCCCAGCCGATCACAGCCTGCTGCGCCGCGACGTAAGCGCTGACGGTGTTTACCTTCAGGTCCGACTCGAATCTCGCGGCCGGGATCGAGAAGATGGAGTTGCTGTCAGGAGGGGGCGTGAGCGCGGGCGCGTTGTAGACGACGACACTGGGGGCCGCAGAGAATGCAGCCTTGACGGTGTCGAACACGGCCGGAATGGACTCTGGGTTCGTGAAGTCGGCCTGGATGGAGAGGTAGCCCTCGGCTGTCTTGGCGCCGGTCCCCTTTCTGGATGCGATGGCGACCTTGTAGCCGTTGCTGGCGAAGGTCTCAGCGACGGAGGCACCAATTCTGGGCCCGGCTCCGAGGATGAGCACTACTAGAGACATGGTGTTAAGATGATCGTTCTTGGTGGTGGTGGTGGTGGTGGCAGCAGAGTTGGGTCTCGAACGTCTCGGGATACAGCTCGTAAAGTAATTTATGATAATCCAGAGAATGACTAGATAAAAGTTGCTGTGGAGGGTTGCAATGCCTTTCTACTTATACCACAGCCAAAGTCTGCGTTTGTCCCCAAGACCTTCTTTGTAAGAGGCTTATAATATGAATCCAAGGCCAGCCCCTAAGAGGCTGCCCTCGCTAGTATCCGAACAAGACAGATGTAGGGAGATCGATTCTTTGCCGTGTCCAATCCAATTTGCCCACAATGGTATCATCATGCAGTCATATTAGGGCCCAACAGGCCGCGCGCGATCAAACAAAACGCAGCTTCGCGCACCCGCACTCCTCCTGAGCCCAGAAAACCTCAGACCCGAGTAGGGACCACCTCAACACGCCCGCGCGCGGCCCAGCTTGTAGCTTCCATAAACCCACTCCTCCTTGAATTTCCTGTCTCTTTTCTTCCTCTTTCTTCTTCGTTTTAGCGCGCGCGGGGCTTGTCGGCGAGGTGCTGCGAGGTGGTGTGGTGTGTGGTGGCACGTCGCGCGCGGGTGGGGTCTAGCCTAGAGCTAAAGACGGCCCGAAAACTTCATACAAAGTGCTTAGAATTTATGGTCATCCACTGCTCGCGCGCGGGAAAGGGAATACTCGCATCACTTTGTAGGAAATAGAAAGCCAAGGCTGGAATGGGATGCAGCCATTAATAATGCTGGCGAGTCGTTTGGCTCTCTTTTCCGGCCAGGTATCGGAGGATGTATTCAAGCAAAAACCCTGGGCATGGCGCCATCAAGACCATTTTTTATTCCAGCTCTTCTGGTCGGCGTGTTGTGCCTGTCTGTCCCCTTCTTCCTCCTGCGCACTACCCAGCTGCACACCAGCGATTTGAATTTTTGGCAAGCGGCCTTGGGAGAAAACAATCCAACAGACGCGCTGACCATGACTGCTTCTACCTACTCGGACCATAGTCCCTCCCGGCGGATGCCCGTCTATTTCCTAGGCATTGGCGGGCCGAACTTCATGGAAAACAAAAACCACCCTGCCTTCAAGCAACTGGGCATCGTCGGGCGCGAGATCACGACAAAGGTCAGGCCCAGAGCAGTGGTCGTCTTTTCTGCTCACTGGCAGGACGGCGGCGCAAGCAACAGGATCAGTATCAACACCGCTGAGACGACGGATCTGATTTATGATTTTTACGGGTTTCCGCAGCATTACTACGAGTACCAGTATCCGAACAAGGGAAGCCCAGAGATTGCCGAGAAGGTGATTGCGAAGCTGGAGGAGAGTAATTCCGGCATCGAGGTAGAGAGAGTGACACGGGGCCTTGACCATGGCGTCTGGGTAGGATTTCTCGCAGGTACGTCCATTAACTAACGTCATTTATGCCGAAAGCTTCTTCTGTTTTCTTTTATATGTCGCCAGTGCTTCGCTGCCTTTTTCAATATGACAGCTAATTGAAATATCTTTTTTCTCTGTATCGGCAGCGTTCGACCCGGAAAAGAATCCATTAAACGTGCCCATCGTGCAAGTCTCACTCATGGGCAACAACGACGCGATGCAACATTACCAGCTCGGCCAAGCCTTGGAGAGCCTGCGAGATGAAGGGATCTTGATCGTCGGCGCAGGCATGGCTGTCCATAATTTGCACGACTTTCGAGCTTCAAGAGGGACCGGGGCGACTATGCCGTAAGTACAAATCATCTTCCACGCAGCCTACGTACTGGCCCGAAGAAAAAAAGAAAGAAAGAACGTCCTCGAGCTCAATTCAATTGCATTCGTCTTGGGCTCATTAATGACCAAACACGCGTTTCCAGTTACTCCTACAGCTTTGACGAGGCGCTCAAGGAAGCCGTCGGCTCGAGGCCAGAGGAACGCCAGGCGGCCATGTCGGCTCTGCTGCAGCGCAGTGACGCCAGAAATGCCCATCCGACTGTTGAGCACATTCTTCCGATCTATGTTGCTGCAGGTGCAGCAGGCTCGGAGGTCGGCGAGCAGCTGTGGACTCTGCCCGAGGGAAGTTTGAGTTGGGCGCAGTATCGATTTGGTGGAGTTGCAGAGTGAGGTTGGGTCAATGAATAGCTGGAGCCGCCAACTGTCTGCCGGGGCTGGGCCATCGGGCCTTGTCGCCGGTTCAAGCTACTCGGATTATATTGTTGCTTTGCATTCTACCAAGAAGGTCAATGAACATGTGTAGTTTGCAGATTCGAATTGTAAATGACAAGATCTCGTCATCCAGGGTCGGGACTCACTTTTCAAATATAGGATCTAGTCACGATACATAAGAGGGTTGCGCTTGTTTTCAGTTGTACAGTAGTACAACAGTGGGTATTCCGTCTCGTCAACATAATCTACCATAGTACAATGGTGTATAAAAGGCATGGGAGATTTGAACGCATTGATTGGATTGGAGGTTTCAAATGTTTACTACTAAGATCACTGCTATCTTAGTTATACTGCCCTCAACTCATTTACAAAGTTGTTCATCAATCCATATACTACCAGAGATGAAAATTGACAAGCTTGTATGTCAAATGCTATATACTACGGTAGACCATCACAGGGGTTCCGAGTAGCCACCTCTGCTGAGTCATCCCGCCAAATTTGCTTACGTACATGGCCAAAACACCCCTGAACACACCAAAAAAAACCAATCCAAAGCAGGACCAAAGTTTCGAAGCAATCATCAAAATTCTCGATGGCTTCAGCTAACACAACGCAAAAAGGATCTCTCTCGCCGGGAATTGAACCCGGGTCTCAAGCGAGTGCTGTTCTATGTTTAGAACGTGACAAGCTTGCATACTGACCACTATACTACGAAAGACGTGTTTTGATGAATTCCTTGTTGAGGAAACGCTCGACGTTGTGCGCCGAGTGTAGTGGGTCTGCTCCATTGTTGAAATTTTCTGTTTTCTCGGTCTTGATATAGCAATTTGGCTAAATCAATTCCGAAATGGACTTGGTATAATGCAATGGGAGACGCTATGTATAGTAGAGGCCCATTTTTAAGCGCCATTTACCGTCCAACCCTACTACGGGGGGCGGTCTTGGTGCTGGTATGTTTTCAAGGCCCTAGGCTCCCACGGTTGCATCGGGCATGTAAGTACTTGTAGCTCAGAATCAAGCATACGTTTCAAATGACTCTTCTTTATTCTTCACCTGAGTACTCTCATATTGTTGTCTACGCTCATGTACCGCCTGCCTTTGCTCCTTACACCATGCTACCCAGTCATGACTCCTGCTTCAATAACTTCTCATAAACCCACCTGCCAAGACGCACACAGTTCTCATCCACAAACCGAGCAGTAAGATCCGCCGCATAGATCGCAATCGGCCACCACAAACACGCAGCCAGAAAAATACCAAAGCCATACTGCCAGTCGCCCTCTTTCCCCGTGAGGTCGAGCGTCGTGTGCGCAAAGCTCAGCCCCAGCGACCACAGCAGAGGGCCGTGGACCAGGTAGAGCGCGTACGAGATGCGCCCCATGTACTGCGCAAAGGAATTGGTAAAGAGGATCTGGAGGAAGGGGAACTGGTCCACGACGAGCACGAGCAGAGCTGCGCCTGTCGGCACCAGCGCCTGGTCCCGTAGCGTCTCCGGCACCCACGACACGAGCGTGACGAAGCCCCAGGACTGTTTGGACCCGAGGAACGCATCCGGTGTGCTGAGGAGCCAGAGGCTTCCGAGGAACGCGGCCAGGCCGAACACCACCCCGCTGACGCCAGCACAGGCCCGTGCCGTCTTGGTGACAAACTGTGCTGCGAAGCCCTGCCGGACCCGGGCCCACATGGGCAGGACAGACGTGTCGGCAGAGTCGGGCCCTGCGGCGTATTTCGCCCTGATCTCGTCCATCTCGAAGTGGATGTCGCAGATGAGCATGCCGCACAGAAAAGGGTAGAGGGCCCAGTAGCCAAAGTTGTACTGGAAGTAGACGATAACCCCGAGCGCGAAAAACATCCTGACCCGGTTGCGTATCCTGGCAAATGCCGTCAGGAACAAAAAGACGACAAAGGAGCTGCTGAACTCCATGGGCAGCGTCCACAGGTTTGGGTCGTATGGGTTCAGGTACACCCTGGACTCGCCTCCCTGCGCAAGGCCCTGGGAGATGGGATTTGTCGCTTGTATCTCGGCATCCTTGAAATGCCACAGCTGGTCGAGGAGGTTGTTGGCGTGCGGCACTGTTCTGGTCGGTACGGCAACGCCTTCCAGGCCTTCTGAACCGAACCAGCCCGGGTCCAGTTGTATTATGAGGGCGCTAAGCAGCGTGATGCAGGCCGCTGGTAGGAAGAGTCGCGAGTGTCGGCGGAAGACGGACGAGGACAGCGTCGCGCCGATCTCAGCGTAGCGGCCTTGACGGGCCAGCTTGATCGGCTTGTGGGAAATCGCATAGCCCGATACGACAAAAAATATTCGCACCTGGGGGGCCCCCGAGATGAAGAATCGGATGATGGGTAGTCGCACGAACCATGCTGTCTGGTCCGAGTTTGGGTTCCAGCCCCCGTGGATCTTCCAGGAGAACCAGACCAGGCTGGAGTGGTGGAGAACCACAAAGAAAGCAGCAAGACCGCGAAGACCGTCTAAATCATGATGAATGAGAATGGTTTCAGGTTAGCCACCGCATCTGTCAAACAAAAGTTCACGGCTCGCCCCGAGTGGGTTTGAATTCATAATAACACAACACAAATACATACCTAGCCAGGCTGTCGGATGTACTTTTCTCGGTCGGTGGGGTGTTTGATCCAGGAAACTCGGCAGCAGGCAATGCAACGGCCCAATATGTAAATGTCTCCCCACACTGCTTTTCAAGCGATGCAACAAGCCTCTCGCAAGGATCTTGCAATCTGTCGGTTCTGCGTAGATTTCCACATCCTCGAGATTAATATCATTCACCTCCTTTCCTTCCACGCTCTCGAGAGGGACATATGGAGTGTTGTCAGAAATATCACTGGACCCCTCTGCGTGCTTTGATGCCCAGGAAGGTAACATGTTGGCGGCACGATCCGCTTGGACAGGACCATTGAATGGCGGGAAAGCTGCTCTGAGAAAGAGTCATAAAGCACCAAAGAAAAGTTCGGGAAATTCCGTCCAAGGGGCAAGTAGGAAAAGGAAAGATAGATAAGTTGGTGAGAAAGTGCTTTTCAGTTACTTGGCCCATTCATTCGCGTACTGTCAAAAACCCCCTTGGCAACACCCCTTGGGGCACTTGTTTCCGGGCTCACTCTGTTTTCAGCCAGAAGCCATAGCGCCCATTCCTCAGGGACGAACCAGAGCACATCTCCCTTTGGGCAAGGCATCTCTCCACGCAAGCGCGGCAGTTTGCGCTGACGATCTCATTTACTGCACATTCCATGTCTCAGATTTAGACGTTCTGACGGTGTACTAGTAACCTGGCCTTGACAGGGGTGGGGGTTCGCCTCCCTACCACCTCGAGATCCCGTTTGCGGTTCGTTTATGGGAAGTGGTTTATCGAAAGCAGCTTTAGGGTATGACACACCAAGTTGTCTGTGACAGCCTCGATGGCGTATCATGACATGGCTTATGAACAACATAGATAGTCTCATTGAAACATGATCTCGGATGCTAAGTAAGAACACATAGGAGAATATGGCTGGATTCCCTCATGTGAAGTAAGGAGAAAGCATGCGACATGGAATTCGGTAGGATCAAAGACCTTTCCTTGTATCGCAAGACGTCAGAAGGCAAGTTCTGGAACCAGTATAACAAGGTCAACGACAATGACTGTCACAACATGGTGTTAGGAACCTATGTTAAGCGACCGGCCCAGACTCGTCCGTAATCTTCTTGGTCCGCTTTTGCCTTCGCTTAGGTTGAAAACATGACGCAGTCTATGCTTCCCCACGCGCTGTTTCCACGACCTTGGGAGTCAGAGACATACGCGTGAACTCGAGCCTTCGCGTGTGACACTCCGAACAACGTGGAGCGGCCAGGTCATCCCAGTGTCCTTGATTTGTCTCAGTAGCTGAAGCTTCTTTTTAGGGAGGGGTGTGCACGCCAAGCACGTGCCAGGTGATTGTGTAAAATGACTTGGAATTCCAGACAGGGAAAGGGATGTACAAAGTATGGCACCACCCTTTTTTCTTCTCTCTCTTTCTTTGGGAAAATGCATTGCATGAATTCATGCGTCTGAGATGGATTATGGGTATCTTGCTCGAGACCAAAACTAAGTACTTAGATCAGAATCATTGACTTGTATTGTTGTTTTTCCTCTCCAACCTTCATGTTGTGAGACAGGCATGATGGTTGTAATACAGCCCTATAGTGATGATGAGGGTGTGAGAGGTCGAAAAGTCGACCCTATCGGGCTGTACACAACGGCCCGTGCTACAGGCTACAGTAGAACGAAGAGCAGAAAATATAATAAGACATTACACTACTTTTTATTTACTTTGTCTGAATTGATAAGACCACCCCTACTTTGGAGGATAAACTTGCATAGCTCATACAATAACAGCAAGGCGAGGTTTTGCCACAACCGGTTTCGGCTGTTTTTTATTTCTTTCTTTCGACGATTTCCTGACGCACGACAAGGCAATGTTCGAGTCGACTTCAAGAGGGAAGACTTCAGAGCTTAGTAACAACAAAAGCAATGTCGAGATTAAGAAATGTCAGGGTAATAAAAGGAAGATTTTCTGAGTTGCTATGATCTCAGGCTCATGTATGATCTGTATGGCAGGAAAATGTGAGTGTTGAAGCAATTAGTAATTGACCCGCCTTCCCACTGAGCTGCTCTTTGTAAGAGGTGACTGAAGAAGGGCAACGCAAGACAGAGACAGCGACATGTGTCTACGACGTCGTATGTGTGCCTAAGAGGAGACAATCGTGAAAGCGGATTCCATAAACAAAGGAAAGCTCGTTTCAGGGTTAAACTTCTTTGTGTTTGAGGACAGATATGGAATGAAACCATTCCACAAGCACTCAACATGCTGCACTTCTTGTTATAAGCATGTAGCTTTCCGATATCTCCGAAGGTCGGTCAAGCATGACTGATGAGAGACTGAAATAAATGCTGGTGACGCCTGGCAAAGTGCCACAATATTGAAGCAAAAAGCAGGAGACTAAGCAGTACTAAATCGTTTATGCTGTTGAGAGGGGCTGTCATTTTTTGCATCTTGCTAGTGGACGATTAAGCAACAACGGAATGGAAAGGGGAAGAAACACGGCGAAATAAGAAGAAGAAGACGAAGAAGAAGGAGTGTGACCGAATTTACACGATACTTTGTATGAAACGAGAGCGAGATGGCATGGCGGGCCCGAAGTGGATTGCATGTGGCTAATATGCGCCCACAGCATGTCCTCAAAAGTAAGCTGCAGGCTAATTCCACCCAATTTAGATGCGGTTCGATATGCTCCGAGTAGCCAGCCATATGGATACAGGCCAGCCTGGCCACTCAATGTCGATGTTGTAAATAATAATGTGACCAACATGTATCATCTTCTTCGTGGCTAGAATAGTTGCTACATCAAAATCTATCGCGCACACACGAAATGGACGAGACTTTGAAGGGCCAACTGCCGACGCGGCGAAAGGACAGAGCACAGCTCATTGAAACACACAACGCATATCTGAAAAAGCAGGATCAGAACCGCGGCGCAGTACGAGCTGTCAAGCAGCCCGTCGCCTCTGAAGCATACCCGCCCTGCATTAAAGCCCTCAACGAACTTAAGATTGTACGTCTTCGTGAGCTGATGTCTCTACATGGGGAAGACTTTATTAAAGGGCCTCTAGATCGCATTGAGTGAGCTTCGTATTGAGTCTCACCACCGTGAAGAAGCGGTGATCATCAAGACAATCAGCAATGCATATCGCGGGGCGGCCTCGGTGTCGCTCGTGGAGGACGAGCATGGAACTGTCGAAAAGCTGGCAATGTACAACCAGAGCGACGCGTCTATACTATCTGCCCTACCGGAAGGCTGTGTGCTCGCTGTCAAGGAGCCGTACTACCAAATCGACGGCATCGAAAAGGACCAGTATATAATCTGCGTGGACCATCCATCTGATGTCGTGCTGCTGAGGCTCAGTGACCCGATCATTCCTCGCTCCTTGAGGGTCGGATTGGACAGGACGGCCGAGGATTGGAAGAAAGCGGGAGACGACGCCTTTCTGGTGAAAGACTTTCCATTCGCGGTATTTTGGTAAGGATTTCAATTTTCCCCCTTTCTTTCTTAAGCTCGCGACCGTTCCTCGGTATTTATGTCATTGCCTAGCCAGTCGGGTTTAGCAAACCCACATGCTAATGAAAGTTGGTCATCAGCTACACCCAAGGCATTGATATCAGCAGTAATGAATCATCTTTACAGCAAAACCTCATGGCTAAAAGAGCCGGTATCAATCTTGCCCTCGCAAGATATGATCATGCCAAGCACGACGCGCTTGCATCTCTAACCGGCGCTTCCAGTGACTGGAAAGCTTACCTCATCGCCGGTCGCGCAGCGTACGGTCTTCGAGATTATCAGACCAGTCATGAGAATCTCAAGCGAGCCCTGGAGCTCAACCCAGACGGTGTCGGGGTGAAACGTGAGGTCGACCGGTGTCTATCGCGTCTTTCAGAGCAAAGCCGCGGTTCTTTCGATTTCAGACAGATGTCCGAGTCAATTCATGCCCAGAGTGTCCATCTGGACAGCGCCACTTTCACTGCTCGCACCAAGATTGCGGCTTCGTCGTTGCACGGCCAGGGCATCTTTGCCAAGGAAGACATCAAAGCTGGCGAGGTGGTGTTTGTCGAAAAAGCCATGACCATGCCTCATCAGTACGAGACGTCCCTGGCAGCTGCTGCGCTTTACGCCATCATGGTCCGGCAGCTGTGTGACAACCCCCCGCTAGCCAAGGACTTCTTCAGCTTGTACGGAGGCGACTATACACGATCAGGGCTCGAGGGCAAGATCATCGACGGTACGCCTGTTATAGATGTCTGGTTGGTGGAGGCTATCCGACGGAACAACTGCTTCAGCGCGCCGCGGTCGACTCGCGACGAGACCAGGCCCGATGTGAAGGGCGTATCTCAGACGAAAGGGTTCTGGGCATACGCAGCTCATATGAACCATTCCTGCGTGCCAAACACGGCCCGCAGCTTCATCGGGGACATGCTCATCTCGCGCGCCAAACGGGACATCGCAGCGGGCGAGGAGCTGCTGCAGAACTACACTAATATCAAGGCCCATTACGGACGGAGGCAAGGCGACTTTGGAATCTGGGGGTTCCAGTGCACATGTGAACTATGCCAGGACGAGTCACGGTCGACGGACGAAAATAGTGCGAGAAGGGAACGGCTACTTGCACAGATTGAGAAGTTGGCCAACAAAAAGCCTCCCAGGGGGGTTGTCCCGGACGCTACCATCCGCTCGATGGAGCGCTTGACGAGGGAGCTCGAAGAGGCGCATGAAGCGGATGTGTATGATGAGCTGCCGCGGCTGATGCTGATCTACCCGACACAGTGGCTATTGGAGGCGTACAAGGGGCGTAAGAACCGTGCAAAATGCGTTGCATCAGCACTCCGAGTGCTGCGAAATTTCGGGTTCCCAGTCAGTGACGGCGAGGATCCCATGACACTGTTCCAAGAGCACGGGAATAGGCCATCTGTCCTGACGATTCATGTGGTCACCGCTTTGAGGGACGCTGCGAGGGATCTCAGTTCCATTGGAAGAAAGGATGCAGGAAAGCAGTTCGAAAAGGCTGCAAAATTTGCCTATATGTTACTGACAGGCTTCGAGGAGGACTTGGATTTGCTGAATGAGCCTTAGGTATGTCATGCAGGTGGTCAAACTTGGCCGCAACGCATCGATCAGCTGGACTTGTACTCACTCAAGGCAGATAGATGGGAGGAGAAATGATATAAAATGATCCATAGGACTTGATAAGACTTGACACAGAATCCTCAGAATCAAAAGAGCAAAGTCAGGCAATGGAACATGCAAGATTAGAATTAACTTGCGAGATGATATTTGACTTAGTTATGGATCAAAGGGTATTCGGGTAAGCGGCATGAACCGCTTATGTAAGAGGGTCAGGCTGTTCCATAGCGCCGTAAGCCAGGCTCAGGCTGCCGTATTTATATACGGCGGAGATTTCGGCCATCCCATTAAACTCCGCTTATCCCTTCTATGACTGTCAAACCTCCCCATCGTCACCCACCTTGAGAGTCTCTGAAAGTCCGGCCCAAGTTCGTCCTGCCAGCAAGTTTCCCACAGAACTGATCTAATGGATATAAGCACTCAAAATGGACCAAAGGCGTTGAGATATGAGCAGGGCAAGTGGGGAAGCGCCTGCGCCGTCTGCTCGTCGGCCAAAGTGCGTGCCAAAACTTGACCCTCCTCCGTCCTACCTGAACACTTCATGAACACATCACACACTCACACTCAGTAGGCTAAATGCATCAGAAGCGATAACTCAGCCGGTGCCCCTTGTGATAGGTAAAAATCAGCTGCACTGAATGCCTAATCTGAAGAACCAAATGTCTAACTCTTTTAGGTGCAAGCGGCTGTCTAAGGAATGCACAGATCAGGTCCATCTCCCGAGAAAAAAGCGGACGACGAAGAATACGTGAGTCTGCGTCCCTTGAAGCTTATAGATATCCATCACTTTAACGTGTCTACCCTACTTGCTGACCTGCACTGGCCTGACTATAGACGGACAGCCCAGTTGGAGGAGCGTCTCAACGGCCTCGTCGACCTCATCAGAGCGTCAGGGGAGTTTGCGACGACCGCGCCCGCGAGACAAACCCCCTCCCAATCCGAGGATATCCGAAGTGCGTCAAGATTTGTGAGAGATTGACCACGATTGCTTCACAAAAGGCTAACTTTGAAGAATATAGGCACACCAACAGACCCATCACCAAGCAATTCCGGCGGGGGTAGCCATGATATCATTCACGTCCCGCCGGCCTGGAATTCTTCTTGTCCGCCGCGATGTGTCTGCTGCTCTGTACATGGCGAGGTCAACATGCCCAAGGTCTCAGACGAAGATCTCCTTGCCTTTTACCAGATGCGACTCACGCCGCAGTTCCCATTCGTCATCATACCGCGGGGAACCAAGGCTGATCAACTGAAAGCTGATCGACCATTCTTGTTTGCAGCCATCAAAATGGCAGCGTCACTTTACGACGTCAGGTCGATTCGTGGCCAGATGTATCAGCTCGTGGACCGGGTTACTAAAGAGCTGCTCATCTCGTCGACAAGATCTTTGGACCTACTTCAGGCCATACTGGTCATGCTCGCCTGGTTTCATAACCACTGTGTCATGCACGGCCAGCTTTCCAGTCTGATTCATCTGGCCCAGGCGCTCGTGGCAGACATGTGCTTAAACCAGGAACCTGTGGTTCAGGAGCGGACGAGTGTCATGGTCCTGGCTCCGCTCGTGCCACCGCCAAGAAACGCCGATGATAAACGAGCAGTGTTGGGTGTCTGGTTTCTCACCTCATAGTAAGTCGTCACTTTCCAAGAATCAGACTATACAAATTACGATGAATATTAATTCAAGGGCTTAAAGCCTACACACTTCACTACAGAAACTCCTTCCGATGAAGTTCTCCAAATACCTGAAAAAGTGTCTGAGGGAGTTGGAGGAAGCGCCAGAGGCTGCTTTCGATCAACTTCTTGTTCATCTCGTCAAGATCCAACACCTCACGGAGCAGGTTCACAACTTTCTCTCCAATGAGGACGAAGATGAAGATGTCCTTAGCGCGTATCGCACACCAACCTTGGCAGGTCAGAGCGCCTTTGAACAGGAGCTACGAAGACTGCAGCAGTCCCTGCCTTCGACCTTGAAAGATAATAGTGAGTTTTCTTCGAAGGAGGTCTTACATCCTGTACTATTAGTACTAACGCATCATCTCCCGCAGAATTACTGAAAGTGCATTACGCATCAGCAGTCCTCCGCATCTATCAACCACCGCCGGTCGAGCTTCCACTTCTTCAGAATCTGGCCGACTCATTCGCCACTATAAGTAATGGCAGATTCTCTACCCTTGATGTGTTTTATCGTGCTCGAGCCGCCCTCCAAGGATTTTTTGACACATTTCTTTCTCTGCCCACAGAGTTCTACACCTTGATGCCGATTTACACCATGCTTCACATACTCTCGGGTGTTACGATGCTTGCTAGATGGGCCAAGGTGATGGGGCCCGGACGGACTCGTTCCTCCAGAGCTCCACCCGACATCCTCACTCCGCAGAAGGTAATATGGGACCCCTCGGCGCGGAGACCAAATCCTGCTACTCTCTTTGGGGCTGGCTTCCCTGCCCCGCCCTCCTTCGAGGAAAGAAGCACCACTTGTGCTACTTCGAAATCACCTGCAGGAGAGAGAACGGCAGCTCCAACATGCACAGACTCACCCTCGGCCAGCAGCGGCCTGCCCTCCCCAGCCGCTCCCGCCAATGCCACGAATCCTGTGGCAGTCAGGTGCCGCCAAGTACCACCACTCATCACAGACCCGGCACAGATCCCCGCCTGTCACATACGCGAGACCTCGGACCCGAATATCCCACGCGCCGTGGCGACACTGAAAGCCAAACTCCACTCGCAGCCTGGGCTGAATCTCGACATTGTGGGCCTCTTGACAACCTTGGCCCAACGCTGTGAAGAGGCACACAATGAGCTTGAACGGTATAACGGCGGCGTGTGGCAAAACGACATCTGGTGTGTTTGTGCCAAAAAGGTCTTGATTGCCCGTGCCAAGCTGGAGAAATTCTCCGAAATCATGGCTGCCGGCGGTGTCTCTGAGATGCTGCAGAAGTGCAGCAACAACGAGAGCGGCCACGATGTGCAGGCAGGTGATGGTGCAGCTCCTCCTCCTCCTCCTCCTCCTCCTCCTACTACTACTACTACCACAAATGCAAGCAGAGGCCCCAAGGCGCCGGTGGTGGACACTTGTGGTGCTCCTGAGCCGGTGGTTGAGGAGGCTGCCCAGAGCGCCGTGGAACATCAGGCCATGTATGATGAAGCTATGATGAACGATTTTTGGATGGACAATGCCTTTGACTCGCTGGATCCAAACCTGTGGCCTATCGACGACGGTGACTGGGGACTATCGCTGCCCCCTGAAGCCACTCAGGACCCAGGCTATCTTTTCTCGTGATGAATGCACTAGTGGAGGAGGCAAGGAGTTGGTGGTGACTTGCTGTGTATGGATAGCCCTGGCCCTGTACGGCCCGCAATATGGATTACATATCAACGTCCGAAGTTGGGCAGCCCTGGGCTCATGATTTTCATTCTTCACAGCGGGGCTCGATACTATTCACCCTCGGCGCTCCGGGTTGTCGGGTATCTGGAACTCGTCCATATCTTGCCCAACCATCAAGCTTGTGCTTGATCTCGGCCCTTTTGTCCAGACTCAGTTGACTGACGTACGGTGAGTGATGTGTCTGGTCGCTCGCTTAGATGCACGTTAAAATGCTGCCTGATTTCGGAGACAATATTATCCTAAACCTGTTGTTCTTTTCTCTCGCCTTATCTGATTGAATTATGCTGCAGATGAATTGATAACTTCTGAATTGGTCTCGGACTTGTTTGGACCTATCTACAAGTTGTTTGTTCCGAAGAGACCAATGACCTCGTGTCCATTCTTCCACAACCTTCACTCCACCTTGAGGTTGTCAACTTTTAAAAGGCTGCCTAATGGATGAGTTGATAACTTGTTCCGCATTGGGACGTTGCAGAATACACTAGCCCGTCCGTTCAAAGCACCGACTTTGCTGAGCCGCTGCTATGCTCATTTTGGTACAGCCGGTGCGGTAATAACGGATAGATGTCTCCCCCAGAGGACCGGCCTGGGGTCTCACTGCAAGTGACGTTCGGCACCCTATATCCACACAAAGCTTGATTCTAATAAGCTTACGGGGCGGCTGCGGCGTTCTTGGCACGTCACTTGTAACGACAAACGTACCATTGCTATGTACTTTAAGTCTCACTATATAGTTCAATAGCAGAACACCAACTCAAGGAAGGATGAATGAAAGAAAAATTAATTAAAAAAAAACCCCCCGGGCACTTTGCAGATGGAATATGTATTTGGACGAGGCACAGCAACCAACATGTAAAACACAAACCCATGTGTCCATCGCGTCTCACTCACTTCCATCCAACGAAGGTAGTTTAGTGGACGCCACGGCGGGATATTCTTACATTCCTGATTGGGGATGATGCACACCGCATTGTTTAGTTTCTAAACTGCTGCCTGCTGGTCGGTATCTTATCCGGGGAGGAGCTGACCAATTTGTCGTATGCAGGCCGTTGGGGGAGGGAGGGGCAAGCAGAGGAGAAGGAGAAAGAGGAGGGTGACAGCACTTGAGGCTGTTGGGACAAGGGGGGTTCGTTCAACCCAGCCTTTCTGCGACACCCATATCGTCATGGGTGCCGAATTTGCCACGAGACCAATGGAACGATCGATGATGATCAGGTGTTCTAGAAAATTCCCAGGTCCTTTGTGGAGGTTGGTTGAGTGAGGTGATTTTTCTTCTTTGTCTCCCTTATCTAAAACCTAAAGTTTTCGTCAATCAATTGATCTCAACTTATATAAACACTCAAGCTTCCTTCAATGCATTCATACGCCGTGCCAATTCTTTTGTGAGTCAAGACTGTTCAGGTCAAAGGAGTCGAAGAGCAACCTCTCAAAGTTTAGTTGCCCGAGAATCCAGGATCGCATTAGTCTGGAATCGCTGTGACCATGAACGAAAAGCACAGCAGCGATGATACAGCCAACCACGGCTCGATGGAGCTGCACGATCGTGCGGCTGGCATCAAGCCGCAGATGCGCAGGCTCCACGACCCGGCCGTGACATTCGAGGAGTACATGTTCTACGCCGAGCGGGCGCGCCTCGAGGAAGACGCGGGCGCGCTCCACAACACCCCCGGCGTCACCTTCAAGTCCATCTTCCTCCCCTCGGCGAACAACAAGAGAAGCATCGGCGCAGGGGCCGACGGGGCCTGGTCAGCAGCTACGGAGCTGAATCTGTCGGACCCCAAGGTGCGGGCTGCCATTAGCGACCAGGAGTGGGCGAATGCCAGCCGGGCGCTGCGGACGGCGTCGGCTGCGGCGTGCTTTTACTTGATCACGACGGATATCCTGGGACCTTTTGTGAGTCAAGACTATTCCCGTTTGACGATAGAAGAAAAGAGAAGGGGGGAACAAAGCGACAATGATAATGTTGTCGTCTGATACCAATCCTTTACTAATCATAAATCTTGAAAATGGTAACAGGGCGTCGGATTCGCCTTGGGAACCATGGGGTGGGGAGAAGGGTTTGGCTTTTATACTCTCTTTGGCATCATGACCGGATTGTAAGTGCAGACGCAAGACATTCATTTATTGCGATTCACCGAGTCGCAGCCCGCTGATTGCATTCATATACTACCACAGCTCCGGTTATCTCCTTTGGAAAGTCTTCATGAACCGTGCCAGTTTCGATGAGGAGGACGAGTTCATGGAGATGTCTTGAGCCTCTCTCCTCTTTGGCCCTGGCAGCAGGCCTTGCCGCGTCCCATCTTTCGCATTTCACCCAACGCCTCGTCATCGGGCTCGGAGTTAATGGATCGGTATAGACTCCGTTGTCTGATCCTGAGCAAGTTTTTTTTCGTCCTACCCTTTTTTTTGGGGGGGGGGGGGATTAATCGTCATGCATGGTGGTTTTTTGCTGGTTGTCACATTATTATTGTCGACTTTGACCACCTTTACTTGCATACTTCGGTAGGCGGGTCTTAAGGGCTGTGTGCGAGGTAACACAGCGGCGTTCTGTACCTTTCCTCTCCCCTTTTGTTCGACTTCGCGAGAGATACCTCGTCTCCTCTGCTCGAGGGGGCCTATGATCTTACAATACACGATTAGGAGTCGGCTTCTGGAGTCGCAGGTTTTGATTTTGATTTTTATTACACCCGAGCTTTCGTCTCTGTTCTTTTTTTCTCTTCGTCCTTCTTTTCCTTTATAGTACTATATTCGGGCCGGAGGTTATTCTGTTATTTGTTTTACTTCCTCCCCCCCCCCCCCAACACAGCATTAGTTAGGTCTCTTATCGTTTCCCCTGCTTTATTTGTTTCCTGGTCTTGCACAATGATACCTGAGTGGATTTCGAGATCGGAGGATAGGTTTCCCTGTTCCTTTCCACAGGATGCGCGCCCAGTTCCTGGGGTGTCGAGAGTTGGAATCAGTCGCATTCGTTACATCTGTTTATCAAATATATACCACTACTACCACCATCAATCATTGTTCCCCAAATAGTCTTTCTTGCCTCTGCCGTCCGTCTATTCCGTAGACTCCGACTAACCTGGCATTCTGATCTATCTGTCCAGAGGAGACTACTATTCCTTTATATTCACCAATGTCTCACGCAGAGAAGGTACTCGCTCATAGCCGTCAGCAGATTCCACACCTCCTTCCTCTTCATCTCCTCCTGCAGCGCGATGCGCTCCAGCGCCGACCGCCCGTTGAAGTACTTCCAGAACACAGGCCAGTGGTTTGCCACCTTCTCGTCCCAGTCCTCCCCCCTCGCGGCGGCAGTAGCGGCGGTACCGCCGGCCTTTCCCTCCTTGCCACCCGCGCCGGCCTTCTTGCCAGCGTCCTTTCTCGACCCTACAGACGGCTCTGTCCGCCTCTCCCTGAGCCGGCGGCCGATCGCACTCAGGTACAGGCTCTCTTTGCCTGTTGTCTTCTTGGCATCGAGGATGATGTACGGGCTCAGGCCAGCAAGGTGGGCGGCGCCGTTGACGCTGGGGTGTTCCGTGGCACGGGGAGAGGCCTTGCGTGCGTGCGCTGTGGCCTTCTCAGCGAGTTCCCGCGCCGCCTTGTCAGCGATGCGCTCGAGGCGGGCCTTCTCGGCGACCTGCTCGGCGAGTGTGGGCTGTGAGTGTGGGCGCGACGCACTGGGGGAGCTGGGCGTGGGCGTGGGCGGCTCTGGGGTGTCGGTGCCACGAGGATCGACCTCGCGGAGCAAAAAGGCTGGCGGGGATGACGGCGGGGAGAGGTCGGGCTGCGGGGAGTCGGCGGCACCCGCTCCCAGGCCGCGTGCCGACATGTCGGCGATGGAGAGCGCAGAGAGGTCCGAAATGCTCCGGTCGAGGCCGCCCGCGTAGCTCGCCGTCCTCTGCAGAGTCGAGGTCGAGCTTGCCAGGTCGGTGCCGACCGCGCTTCCCGCCATGCCCGAGTTGGTGCTCCCGCGCCTCTTGCGCTCCCCGGGCGCGTGAGCCAGCTCGTCGGTGGCGGCAGCCTGGGCCTTCTTGGCGCGGGCGACCTCTTCGGCCTCGAGCGCATAGTCCACCTCGTAGATGATCTCGGGCCAGACAATGACGTATGTAAACGTGCAGAGCTGCATCACCCAGCCGCCACGCATAAGCCAGGCCAGCATGTGGAGATAGTTTGGGCGGAAGGACTTGGACGGGCAGAACCACTTGTAGGGCTTGGGCGCGGCGGAGAGGTCGGAAAGGAAGTTGGGAAGAGCAGGCGCAAAAGGGAACTGACGTGCCCATGCGGCGGACGCGCGTGGGAGTGTCTTCATGTCTGCGTTGGGCGACAGGACATAGACGTCCCGTGCGTGCAGGGGCGGGATGGCAATGGCGCGCCGCCAGAAGATAAAGTGCTGGGCATATTTGCGGACTTGACCGAGAGTGAGGATGTTGTTGGTCTGTTGGGAGACCTGATGGAAGGAGATGATGGGCTTGGAGTGTCGGACGAACTCGATCATGGAGAGGGTCGTCTCATCAGGGTCGGCCGAGAGCTCAGAGATGATCTTCTTGTCATCGCCCATGAGAAGCAACGCAAAATTCCTATCTAGGTACTGAGACTCGTCGAGGGCGTCATTATTATGGTCGCCTACAAAAGAATTGGCTGTTGTGATCCACAGGCCGCGGCTATCCTCCTCACGGTCGACGGGTGGGAGATCAGCGATGTGGAAGGGCACCGGGATCTGTACCGAATGTGTGATGGTCCCCTCGCCCGTCTCGAGCTGGAGAGCGGCGATCTTGTTGTGCGAGATGGCCTCGTACAGGTCCTGCATCGATGCGGCCAGCGAGGAGCTCTGCAGGATCTCCTCCCACAGCTGGCTCATCTTCCTCCTCTCCTCGCGAGCCTTGTCCTTGAGCAGCAGGATCTTTTTGGATTCCTTCCAGACGAAGTCGCTACGCTGCTGGACGTATTTGTAGGCCTTGTTGACCTTGCGGATGATGTTGGTGTACATGGTGTCGATCAGGTCCCTGGCCTCATGCTTCTTTGGGTTGAGGATGAAGACCAGGTTGAACATGGTCATGTTGCTGATCTTGTCTTCTGTCTCTTCACCGGCGGTCGTCTTCTCTGTCATGTCCCTGGTCGTATCGATAGTCTCGGTCACGGAAGCCACATCATGGGCGGCGTCGCCTTCTTCTTTGTCATTGGCCTCGCCGCCGCCGCCGCCGCCCTCGCCCTCATCGTTTGGCGAGATCTGCTCGTCATCCTTGCGGGGGTTGGCATCCGCATCCTCGTGCTTGGACTTCTCCTGTTTCTTCTTACTCTTCTTCTTCTTCCATATGCCATTCTCGGGCTTGTGTATAGGATATGACACAAAATACAGCGGGTCGAGCGATATCTGGAAGAGCGTCTTGTGGTAGGCTCTTGCCGGGGTCAATATGCTCTCGAGGTCCTTGGTGGGGAATCCAGCAACATGCTCCCAGGGAACGATCTGGGTGCCACCATCGGTGATGATATGGTCATCCTGGTTCCATGATATGAGATCGGAGATATTCAGATTGTAGGGCGTCAGGCCATCGGTGGCTGCTGCGACCTTGTCGAGCAGGATGTCATCCTCATCGGCGCCCTCGTCATGGCCATCCTCGTCCTCGTCCTCTACCTCCTCACTGCGTCGCTCCGCAACAGGTACAATGTGAGGAGGGTAGTGAAACACGAACCTGGGGCCGTCACGGTTCCTGTTTATGACGAGGGCCACGCCCAGGAAGTTTGAAGAGTTTGGGAGGACCGGAAGAGCCATGGTCGATGTGATGAATCACAGCCGCGTGTTGATGGTCAGCCAGCTGTCCTGGTCCCCTTGGAAACAAAGAGACACAGTCTTTGGTCGATCACATACAAGGCTGCTAGGCCTCAGATGGATGGTTCGTATGCCTGTTGACCTGTTGAGAGAGCTTGGCTTTCCATGTTGCGACACATGATGACGACGACCCTGAGCTTGAATGCTTGGTGAAAGCGGCTCGTGGCAAGGCCGTCGCGCCTCAAGCAGGGGCAGAAGAGAGGGCGCAATAATGAGAAACAATTTCTCGAATATCAAATTGACGCCATCCTTTAGTTGAGTCTGTGGCTCAACTTTCCCGATGTGATCTTCTACCAGGGAAGGGGCGGGGCGGGGCGGGACCCTCTCTTTCCTACTATTACTCCTCTGCTCCTCTCCTTCTGTTGTTGAGCTGCTAAGCTACCAAGGTACCTAAATCGATTACGAGAAACCAATCACATGCCTGCCAGAAACAACCCCCACAAACGGCCCTAGCATTTCTGAATAGCGGACCCGTCTTGCTGGGAAACCCCTTATTTACCTACAATTTAGTACGGTACGACATGCTGTACTAATACTACAAGTACACCAACGGCCACGACACATCTGAAAAGTACCGCAGTACGTAGCGTCGTACCTTTACGCAAAAGTATCTCCTCATTTTTTTTTTTTGTTCTCTCTCTTTTTTTTCTTCCTGCCTTTTTCTGGGAATCCGTCGCGTGCCTCGCCTGTGCAATTTCGAGAAGAAGGGAAAAAAAGCATACGCAGTTTTCCGATGTGAAGAGGACAAGGTAATTACTTTTTCTTCTTCCCCTCCTCCCTGCTTTTTTTCTTCTTTCTTTTTCCCTTCTTCTTCTTCTCTTCACTGTTTACTTGTTGGCTTCTCCCAATATAAACGGTACGAGGTCTCTACCTCTTCAGATGTCACGAAGGATTGTTCCCCCATGCTCATACTTTACTACTGATCCAGGCTCGGGAGTGACCCCTCTTCAACGTATTGCGTATGTACCCCATCAGAACCCCCCTCCGTCACAGGTACCTTATGACGTGCCTCTCGTTTGTGACCGCCGTTCCAGCCTAGAATTTTTGTGGTTTTCTGGGCCGTCTGTGGTTGTAGACAAATCGAACGAAATGAATCTTTTTTATTCTAACAATGACCTTTCTTGCACTCAAGAGACACATAAACTGAATCGCAACGACCACGACGACGACCACGACGACCACGACAAACTGTGTACATATTCCCCAGGTACCTGTCAACAATCCTCGTGCTCCTCGCCCTCCTTGTCCTCGCGGCAACCAGCCACGCCGGCTCCTTCACCCCTCCTTTTCTCCAAACTTGGTCCCCCTTCTACCGACCCGACCCGGCCGACCATGATACATCAAGACCAACCAAACGGCGCCGTCGCAGCCGCAACCACTACCAATGGCACCAGCGCGACGGCTCCTAGCACTACCGCTACTACGACAACCCCTTCCTCCTCACACCATCCTGTCCCCTTCATTCCCCAGACCTTCACGAACAACGACTCGGACGCGTCGGCAAGAAGCCTCATCCTCGCCCTCCGTCCCGACTGGTCCTCCCCCGACTCGTCGATCGAATTCGTCCGCTTCACCGACGGCATCACCAACACCCTCCTCAAGGCCGTCCACCGGCGCCCAGGCCTATCCAAGGACGATGTCGACCGCGAGGCCATCCTGCTCCGGGCCTACGGCAACGGCACCGACCTGATCATCGACCGTGCCCGCGAGACCCAGAACCACGAGCTCCTGATGCAGCACGGCCTGGCCCCCGAGCTGCTGGCCCGCTTCGAGAACGGCATGATGTACAGGTTTATCCGCGGCACCGTCACCCACCCCGAGGGCCTGCGCCGGAGGGACGTCTATCTTGCCGTGGCCAGGCGCCTGGCCCAGTGGCACGCCACCGTGCCCTGCCTGCCCGGCAAGACCCACCTGAGCGAGAAGATGAACGGCCACGCCGCCGACGTCCTCAAGTGTGTTGACGCCGGCTCCAGAACTTTTGAGACCCTGCAGGAGGCTGTCGACGGCGCCTGCCCTGGGAAACGGGCTCCCAACATCTGGACCGTCATGCAGAAGTGGATCTTTGCGTTGCCCACCGATACCCAGGCCCAGAAGGAGAGGCAGGCCCTGCTGCAGCGCGAACTGGCCAGGCTGGTGGCCGAGCTGAGCCCTCGTCCGGGCTTGGGCAGTGACGGTGTGAGTACAACCTTTTCCCCTTTTTTTTCAGGTGGCTAAGACGCAGCTGAGGACCGACCTATAACTAAATAATCTGGCCATAACAGCTCGTATTTGCCCATTGCGATCTCCTGTGCGGGAACGTCATCGTCCTCCCCAAAGGTGAGGCCACCTCACTGCCCGACATACCGGCACCAGTTTCCACCACCAGCAATGCCGACGACGAGTCAGTATCAGTCACCTTCATCGACTACGAGTATGCAGTGCCCTCGCCTGCCGCCTTCGACCTGGCCAACCACTTCGCCGAGTGGGGCGGCTTCGACTGCGACTTCAGCGTGCTCCCCACAAGATCCCAGAGGCGCGAGTTCGTCGCCGAGTACGTGCGGTCCTACTTTGCCCTGGCTGGGGGCGCGTACGACCACGACGCCGAGGTCCAGAGGCTCACGGCCGAGGTCGACGTCTACCGCGGCGTGCCGGGCTTCTACTGGGGCATCTGGTCCCTGATCCAGGCCACCATCTCCCAGATCGACTTCGACTACGCCTCATACGCTGAGGTCCGGCTCGGCGAGTACTGGGCCTGGCGGGCCGAGGTCGACGGGACCAGGCTGGCCAAGGGCGAGAACATGCCGCTGAGGGAGATGCGGTGGGCCGAGGAGTAGAAAAGAAAGAAGGAGAAAAAGAGAAAGAAAGAAAACAGAGAAAGAGGGGGCTATAGTTGGCACGTCTTGATTTACAACGTCTGCGAAGCGTGATTGTTGGTTCTATTGTGTCTTTGCATGGCGTGTGCTCTTATTTTGTGTGTGTATGAGAGAGAAAGAGAGAGTAAGAAAAGGAGACAGTAAAACGCAAAATGTTTCAGGTGCGGAAATACCCAACCTGTCCTCCTCACCAGAGAGACGGGTAGAAAGAGAGAAAGTCTCAAGGTATTCAACATGCTCTTCTTCTTTTCTTTCTTTTTGGTTTTTTCTTCTTCTTGAGATAGCGAGAAAGAGGCAAAAGAAACCCCTTGAGGGATGCAGCATATTTTGGCGCTGGGTTATTATATAGGTGATAATATCTATTTTCGGAAACAAAACTTACTCCCTATGAATTTGCTGTATTTTGAGTGTCGCACACTTTGTGAGTACAACGCTATGCCAAAGTCTAAATGTGAACTAGAAAAGAGAGATAGAAGAAAAGAAAGAAACTGAGAGCATTGGGGTTCCCTTGTGTGATCATAGTCTTACATTCGTCCTATGTACACTGAGGACCAGTCAGTGAATGAGATGATATATCGAGGAAGGTGGTCTAGCCAAAGTGATTGCACCATGCTTGATGGAAGCAATACCAATTACACTTCATAAACTTCAAGAAGCACCACTGTCCATCGTATAAGCTGTGTGCCACAAAACTCTGAGTCTGACAAGAATCGTTGTGTAGATCCTCCTCACTGCATCAACGTATACACAAAAAGTTTAAAGCAGATAACCACATCCCCCCCCCCCCCTCTTCTCCTTCTTTCACCTCCTGGTAGAAGGCTTACTTACCCCTCAGCACGCAACCAACAACTCTCTCGCTCACCATGGCGTATACGGCTGAGTGATGCAGTGACGCACATGAGACACAAGATACAACTCGCAGATCGACACCGTCACCCGCTTGCTGCCGAGACTCTCAAGTCTGGGCGTCAAGCCTAACATGGCCCCGGGCATCACTACATCCTCCGACCCAAGTTTGCTGATCATAGCCTCCCATTGGTGATTGCCACCCAAAGCAAAGAGTAGCGGAAAAAAGAAGAGAAAGGGCGGAAAGGAGGGAGGGGGGGGGGGAGCCAGAGCAGTCGAGAGCCCACTTGGACCAAGTGTAGCGCCGCCATCAACCAGTCACACTGATGCTATATGATATGCACGTTGTCACCGCGCATGAGGAGGGGGGAGGGGGTCAGCCCTCCCTGCATCAAGCTCGGCCTTGTCGCATCGGCCCAGACGCACATCATAAGCCTGATCCCCTTCCAACAAGCCCCCCTCCTTTCCTCCCCTGCGAAGGTGCTTGACACAATCCAATGAGGAGTTGAGATGAGGCCTGGACCTGGTCTTTAGCAGGTGGCTGGTATGCCGAAGGGCAGGTTCCTCTCCTCCCCCCTTCCCATCTCTCTCCCCTCCTCTCTTTTGCGATGCTTAATGCCTCCCTGCTCGAAACGAATGTGGCAACTTGCCGCGGGATATCACGCACCACACTGAACCTAGGGTCCCTTCGCACATTCCATCGGGAAGAGGAGCAGCCGATGGCCAGAACTCGGGTCGAGTGCCAGCCTCCGTGGGCGCCCAAGGAAGCGCCGGAGAGTAGAAATGCTTTTCTGCCGATTGTGCACGAAATATTTTCGTGGGCCAGACGGGCGAGATACCGCCGAGAGGAATCGTTATCTTTCGACCGCGCTCATAGGCTCATCCCTCCCTCACCTCCAGGAATGCGGAATAGATGCTACCCCTCTCGGAGACAGGACCGTGGTAGCTCGTGTGGCCCACTAGTCACAGCAAAGGGTTGAGCTCCCCTCCCCTCCCCACCCTCCCATGTCGTGCATATGTCCAGCACGATCAACAGGTACTCCTCCTCGGCCTCATGCCGGCATCATAGCTGGATGGCAAGGCGATCGGTGCAAGTAGCAGAACACAGCTGAGCCAGCCAACCAGAGCTATGCCGTCATCCCACGCCGGTAATCGCCGTTGTCAATGAAGATCTGTAACACGAGTCAAGAATTCTGTATCTCATGCGAGGGCACCATGGCCAGACGGAAACGTTCCATTGTGACGCAAGGGCTTTTCCGTACCTGTGGTTGACCTGTGGTAGACCTTTGACAGGTTATGAGCGCACTGCAGGAAGAGCGCACGACAGCCGGCTGTGGAGTCGATGGCAGGTCACGCGGTGTTGCCGTCCCCCAAATCCTAACCGCTCGAGCTGTCACAAAGGAGGGGGGAGGAAGGGGAGGGGGTGTTCAGATGGTGAGGCTAGCTGCGACGGCAGGTTCGGCAGCTCACGGGAGTAACTCCCCCCTCCCTCCCTCCCTCATTGCGAGAAGACCAACAGAGAGCAAAAGAAGAGACAAAGGCTCCAAGATGCCGTCGAAAGGCACAGGCAAGGAGCTAGAAAGAGGACAGTCTCCTCATAATTACGCGTCGTCGGGAATGGGGTGTGCTGCCCGTTGTGACGAAACCCTTGGGTGCGTACATCTTTGGCCTCGTTCTGTGCCTACGTCAAGTAGTCCTTGGCGTCTGTCCGAACAGCTGAGGAGACATCGTGATCCAGAGGCCCCACGTTGCATGCATCAGCAACCGTCAAGCGGCTCCGACGAGACTCGTACGAGAGATAAGCTTGAAATGGAGGGCCAATGTACCATGATAGGTTACTTCCGACGATGTGTGAGGCTTCTTGAACTACCATACCGCAAACAACAAAGCTGTAGGTTGGGTTGATCGTGTCTGAATATCACCTTCCCCCTAGGTATAGCACCAGGGTGCTCAGGTCATCCCGTGTTCGTCACGGAGCTCGAGCAGCTGCGATGGCAAAGCAGACTGCGTAGCTTGAACCTGTCCAAGCTCTCTGTAATGCTTCCAGCAACGGCCACCACCATCACCTCCTCCTCCTCCTCCTCCTCCTCCTCCTCCTCCTCCTCCCTCCCCTTCCTACCATCCTGCGTGGGCCCCATCATAGTGGCTAGTGGAAGTGGAAACTGAAGAGAGATCATGCTTTGTAGTCTCTTAACGGCTCTTCAATAAGCTCCTCAGAGACATGGAACCTCCATGGCGGGGGGGAGGGGAGGGTCTGGACTCCCCTTACCCAAGCTCCCTTGCCCAAGCTCTGACGACAGCAAGTGCAGTGTAGCATTGGCCGGATTCGAGCCGAGTCTTTCAACCCAGGCCCTCAAATGCTATGGAAGTCAAGTTAGCTAGAGAAAAGACTGGGGTCCGCCCCGACTGTGCCGAGCTGTCACAAGGGCTGGCAGCATCCTCGGCGAGAGTTTGTCTGTTCCGCGTCGGGATGCGATTTGTGTCTTGAGAAAGTGACTGATGCAAGGTGACGGTTCTCATTGCGTACGCAGGGACCTTGGGCTTCCGAGGTGAGCATAGATGATGACGCCTCTTTTCTCTCCCCTCCGCGTGTAGCTTCCCCGTCCGTGATCCCGTGAACGTTCGGGCGAGCATCGCAAGCGTGAGCTCAGAGCTCCTTTCCGAGACTAGCCGCATGGCGAGGTAGGGCATATTCCCTCCCCTTGGCGACAGTTCCCATGCCTCGGGACCGACCCCAGAAACTTGAGTATGTTCTCTTCACAAAATAATCAGCAGCAGGGCTGGACATCATCGGCGGTCGTTCGTGGAAGTGCCGGTCTCCACTGACTGACGCGCGTTTAGAGGCTCCTCAAAACTTTGTCGGCAATGTAACGATGGTTCCCCCTGCTCGGGAGATAGGACCCAGACACAAGCGACGTTCAGTGTTTCCTGTCCCGCCGGGACGGGACATGTTGCGAAGAGACGATGACGACCGGTATCCTCGAAGAAGAAGGTCAATATGCCAGCTGAGGAGTTGAGGCGGGCGAAAAGGGTAAGGCAAAATGTACGCTAAGCCAGAAATGCATGCGCCCTCGCTGAATAAAGCCTTGGCCAAAACCCCAGAGCTGACAAACTTGGAAACAAGCTTGAGATAATGCATGCAGACAAAGCGGGGCTCAAGTCGTCGGCGGTCGGCATCGGACATTGGTCTGTATACGGGTACCACGACAAGAACACACGGACGAGTGATTAAACGACTATTCCCTCGATCTTTGTCTTTGGAGAAGGAGGGGGAGAAGAAGAAGGGAAAGAGAGAGAGAGGAGGGGGGGGGGGCGTTCACCTCTCGCATGGACATAACACTATGCGTACTGTTGTTTGTTGTAGTTGCTGTCGTTTGTTGGTTCAAACTGCAAAACTCCAACTAGCCACAGCATCTTCGGGACGGGCCTCGGTAATCATCAAACGAAGACAGCAGCAGGCTCTGCCGGGGACGAGCATTTGGGCTGCACAAGAGGTTTGCGCTGAAAATCTTAGGAGACCCTGCATTGCAGGCCAGCACTCTGTTCCCCACGGCGATACGACTGATTATGCCGATCTCTCGTCGCTCTAGGAAAGCTTATATTCAAGCCTTGCACACACACACACTGAGACCTAGGGTTACAGTCTGCGTTATCGCCTGTCGCTCCAACCAGTGGAATGTGCAGCTCCGTCAGGCTGGGCGAGCTGGTTGACAAGCATGACAGGGTCGTCGTCGACTAATCCCAAGTCCCACTGCATTGGGCTCTGGGATCACTCTCGGCTCGCAGGTCGCTAGGACATGATCTTTTCCCGTGGCGAGGTAAATTGCCATGGTGACATAGAAGAATACCAGCTGTAAGGCAATTTGGCACAATTCCGGATGTATTTCGGTTGTGTGGGAGACCTGTCCATAGCTGCGGTCGTGGACATTGCTCCGTTGGGATTGTTTCAGCTTTGAAAATACTCCCCGACCATCGAGATGATGATACTCTCTGCTGTGCTGGTGATTCAATGTTAATTCTCCTCACAGGTGCATCTAGAGCCTTGCCAGGTTGATTTTTCTCTGGAATCATACCTAGTTGGTCATAATGACACGAACTGCATTATTGCAAATTGACATTGTAGCGACGCTGTACCAGATCCAGATCCGTATGTGCAGATGACGACCTGAATCCTGTTTGATGAGACACAAATCTCTGCGCCATGACGAGCGAGCAGGTGTGTGGATACCCTTGCTCCAAAACAATGAGCGTCTTGTGTCATTGTACAGTGAGGCAACAGGTAGAATGGCCTGAACGACGCTTTCTTTCTTTCTCGGCGTCGTTATTTGAGTCGCATGAGACTACGCGTCGCTCGGAGGTCAAGCCTTGTTGAGACTGGTGCCCTCTCTATTCTTGATGTACTTTTAGGACTTGGGAAGTTAACCCATTGTGGTAACCATTGAGTCGCACCATACCATCGGGTGAGGACCAAAGCTGATGTGGTACACAAAGTAGTTATCATCAGCACTGCTCTTACCGGCTAGATTCTGAAGATTGACAGCCGTTGTGGGATCGAACTCCGGCAGATCGAAACGGCGATATCATCCTGGCACTGCACCATGTATAAGCTGTGAGCTCTTCTCCACCTGACACAGCAGTGCAAGAACAAGAAAGGAAGACTGTGGTGGGGGCGGGGGCAAGAAATGCAAGAATGGGCAGATAATAATAGGTGACGTCGTCTTGGTGCGCTGCGCCAACGGGCCCTGGAAAGGTCTGGATTCTGGAGACTGGACCCCCAAAGCCCAGGTGGCATCTTGCGGAGCCCCCCACCACTGAAGCGGCGTGCCTTGTTCGGCCTACCTATCTGAAGCAAGAGAACCACACGGACACCGCATCGGGTACCCTGAAAAAGTAGCGCTGGCCGGTCCAGTCCAGGGTTCAGACACGGCTGTGGTATTCTATTCGCGGGAAGACGTGGCCCGTGTTCCGACATGGAACTGCGTATACGCGCGCGCACTGCTCTCTTTCTTTCCCTCTCTCTGCTACCGAAACTGTCCTCGTAGATTACCATAGTGATAGTACATGGATTATCGGCGATCTCAGGGATGAGAGCTCGGCCGTACGCAAAAAAACCGAGGCAAGACTTGGACCCGAGACCAGTTGTGTTTTGGCCTGACCTGATCGGAAGTCGGGGAAGAGGGTAACATTCTCTGCCAGAAAAAGACCAGCAAGCTCACGAGCTGCGATGGCTCACTGCCCTTAAGTCTGTTCAAGCACCCAGACGAGACTTCGGGGCTGGCGCAGATAACAAGGCACAGGAGCCGGCCGGTAGCTCTGTGTTATTGAGGTTCCCAGGCGGGAAGGATATGGTTGTTGGGGAGTGACTTGGTGATCAAGTTGGCGCACAGAAAGGCGGTGGGTTTAGTAAGAGTCAAGAGGGGCGTTGCGTGGGATCGCTGCGTGCTACATACTGTAGTACTTTCACACCAGCAGCTGCGCTACAAATGCCGGCAGAAGTGTCCGAGTTGTAGCATTTAGCGGGCCCTACCCACAACAGCAGGATTAAGCAGCAGGATTAAGCATCACGCTGCATGGGTTGGTGGCCCAGGATAAGGTGGCATTCCGCAGTGTTATGTGTCCCTGCCGCCAGACTGTCCTTTTCCGCCTGCCTAATGTCCTCGTCAGGTTCGGTCTGTGTGTGTATTTGCATACGTCAGCGCTGTTCTGCCATCATCGTAATGCAGCATAAACCTGTCGTTGCTTTAAGGTTGATTGCAGTTGGTGAACTCAGAGGGAAACGTTGGGATCGACACCGAGGATAGGCCACAGTCGCATTCGGGCCATCATCCTATCCAGGGTTTGTGATAAAGGCGTCGGAAGGCGGATGGAGCGGAAACCGGCAGATAGACTGAAGAGAAGGACACAAAGCCAGCCGGGATGAGTGAAGCCACCAGACACTAAGGGTCTCACAGGTCCCAATGGCACCATTAGCCAGCGTAACCAAACACATTGGTATCATGATTGGTACCGATTGACGTGCACGAGCGGCGATATAGGTCCGCACTGCCTCGATATAGTGTGGCAAGACCCTTGGCGGCGCCCTGTCTTGACGAGGATATACTGTAGCAGGTAATCAGGAGGAGCATTGGCCATGCGTGCAACCAGGACCCATATCGAAAAGAAGGGATATGCCCTGCCAGCCTGTACCGAGGGATATATGGATGGACTCGAGATGTTGGAGTCTCGTCCCCTTGGCAATTAGGCGGTCGTGTACACCATGGGTTCCGTGCCGGTTATTGTTGAGGAGGCTGGGGGGTTCAGTTCATGTATGAAGCGAGATCCGGGGGGTACAAGGTCCGAGTCCCAGCAGTGTGAGATGGCCAGCTTGTGATCAATCATATCTTCTTGTTGGTTATAGTCTCCTGTGTCTGGCAGGTCAATACGACAACAACCTTCTCTAGACAATAGACAATCAGTCTGGTCGTTTGAAGAAGGGGTGGGGAGAGAGGGGCAGCGAGAGGAAAGATCAGGTCAGGTCGGGGAGCTTGAGACAGGCGAGGAGCTCCACTGGGTACAGGGCTCATGCTCAGCCCTCCTCAGCTGTGATGGGCGATTTATCCGGAAACTGAGATGAGAGGGTGTTGTGATGATGGATGGTGGTGTGGCGCCCTCTTCACTTCAGGTCATGTGTTTGGGTGAGCGCCGTCTCGCAACCCATCTTCTCATCATCACCGTCACCACCATCAGCAAGCATCATGCAGGCAGATGATTGACGGCAGTGAACGAGAGACGGTGCGAGTGCACTACACCCACAATGCCAGGAGGTGGAGGTGGAGAGAAAGAGAATGCATGGTGGCTGAGGAGTCGTACTGCAGGAGGGAGGAGGAAGGGCAAGGAAGAGGAGGGGGAAAGCAGGGGGTTTGTGTGCCACATACTGACTGAGTAGTAGCTGCTAGTCACTCGCTCTTGCCCCTTCGCCCGGCAGGAAGGACAACCCCTTTCGAGCGTTTTTAGGGTACCTGGGTACTTACCTAGTGCCTAGGTGCCTAGGCACGCTAGGTACGTACTTGGTCAATCTGATGTTGCTAGCCCTCCCGCTCTAAACCTTAAGTGACTGTCACACTATCCGCACTACCAAAGGTGTACTATGGGTAGTGCCATACAACGTAGTAAGAAGGAGCAACCTTCTTCAACTGTTCCCCACTGCTCTCGACTATTTTATTTGGTTCTTGCAATCATGAGGCCTCATACTACTACCACCATGTACTTTCCCCCCCCGCCCCTCCCCTCTCCCCTGCTTCCACCGCAAGAACCGGTTTTAGTTGGTGTTTTTTTTTCTTTTCTTTTCTTTTCATCTCTCTCTTTCTTCTTTACTTTTCTGAATCTGCACTTCTTTCTCGTACAATTGATTCCTTTCCTCTGTTACCAGAGCAGCGCAATACGGGTACGGTATCAGATTACAGGCAGTAGGTATGGGCCCGAAGGTGCTACTTGATACAGAGGAAAGCTGTACTACAGGGAGGACAGTACTCACTACTCAGTAGTACCATGTATGTCAACCTGTGTGATCCTGGAAAGGAAAAGCAAAGGAAAAAGCTGAGATAATGATGCAGAATCAACTCATCTGCTCAACGTCGCCCCACCTGCAGCAGAAATCCTTGCAGCTCTTCAAGGGTGGTGGAAACGAACTGCAGTCTCGGTCCCAGCTTGCTGCAGCTCAACAGCACCACACAGGCTAGTCACTCCGTACTGGATGTGGGATCACTCCCTGACATGGCTGCTGCACCTGCATCGCTGCAGGTAGGCGTACTACTAGCATGGTACAAGAGTACCCTGACAGGCTGCGGATGCCCAGCCTGGGTGCTGTACAGATGGACGCCCCCCTGTCGCGAACGATTCCTCCTCCTCCTCCACCTCCTCCTCCTCCTCCTCCTCCTCCTCCTCCTCTTACCAGTCTCCCTCCTCATTGCTTGGCTTTTCTTGCCTTGCCTTACCCTATCCTGCCCTGCCTTGCCCTGCCTGCTCGCCTTGCCTGTCCCTTGCCGACCAACCATCCCCTCTTCCTCCTCCTCCTACTCTGCTTGCGCTCGTTTGTTTCCCTGCCCAGGGTGACCAGCAAACCCTTCTTCTCCCTTCTAAGTTCTCCGCCATCAACCAGCCTACAGTTTAAGCATTTATCCAGTCACGGCGTACGTAGGTAGGTACGTAGTTATGTCGTTCGAGACCGTTGAAGGAAGCCCTCACCTCCTCTTTCTGGGTCACACCCCCCCCCCCCTCCTCCTATCAGCTACACCTCCGAAAGCCCACGAGCACGTTTTCGGTACTGTGGGATACAGTCTCTCTCACCTTGAGGCTTGGGAGGCTTTTTGAACCTTGAGGTTCTTTTTTTCTCTCTCTTTCATTTCCTCTTCTTGGCTTCTTAGGTGCTCTGCTTGCCTCTTGTTCTCTGCTCTCCACTACCCACTACTATTACCACCGTATTATGGATCCCGCCTTAGCTGTCAACCCTTGTCTATAGCTGCTGTGTCTGCGTTGCGTTGATTTTCTCCCATTCCACATCTGGTACAGCTTCGTCGCGCGTGCATCTCTCCTCCTGTGCCATCTCGTCTCATCTTATCTGTGTCCATTATTTATCTCGACCCTGTCTCGCTCTACATCATCTGTTCTGACGATTGCGCACTTCACGCCAATAGAGGAATTGTAACTCCAGCCTCGAACGGACCTTGGCGCCGCTGTTTTGTGCTTCCTCCTCTTGTTCGGGCTACCCTCTTGCTTTATCTTCTTCTCTCCTCCCGCCGTGGCCTGTGGTGTACTTGGTCTCGTATGTACAGCATGCAGCTCCCGCACGCACAGTGACCATTCTCTCTCATTAACCCTGATGGAATTGATCCGGATGACGCCATACAGTTCTCTGTGAAGACTATGGAGATAGACTATACGCATTGTCCTCTTGAGATGGAGAGTTGATGAACCCCCAGACAACGCCTTGAACATAGCCGCACTGCTCGTACGACGACAGAAATAAAAAGTGTGGCTACGACACCACCACCCCAAGGGACGGAAAGTGGGAGCTGCGAAGTGGCAGACGGGGCGCGTTGGCTGTCAACTGTGTGTCTCTGTGCCTGAAATTGCTTGAGCCAAGGCATGTGGTGGGAGCAGGTTGTCAAGGCGCAACTTCACCCCCCATATATCCTCGCCTGCACTGGTGCATCGCCCACACCTGTCACCCTGCCGGCTTTACCACCAGGACAGACGTCTCCTCTGGAGAGAGGGGACACAACGGCGGTCTCGAAGCGCAGCGCCCCGTCTCGGAGCGCCGACCCTTTCTGGGTCCCCATGGCGGCCGAAAATCCCGGCTCGATCTTCGCAAATCCAACGCATCCCGTCTACACCGGCGCAGCGACGTCGGGCCTCGAACCCGAATCTCGGCGCACTGCTTCATCAGCTACCTACCATGATCCTGCAACTGGTCACAGCCACAGTACTAGTCTTGCCTCCGCTCCTACTCTCGACTCCGCTATCCGAGCCCTGCTCGACCAGCAGGCCGAGATCGAGGCCAGGCTTGCAGTCTTGCTACCTCAGAAGTATGGTCCCAATGTCAAGGTCGAGTTTGACATGTTGCGTCACAAGCTCAGGACACTACGCGCCTTTGCTGAGGACAATCGTAAGTGACTTGACCACACATTTTTGTTTCGGTTGCGGGGTTCCCTTGCTCTTCATATTGCTGTCGGTCATGCTGGAATCTTTGGGCAGATTGTCTGGGTTGTTGAGATTCTCATGACATGCTACCTGGGTACCTCGTCACTTGATCTGATTTCCGTCACTACACAGATATATCCGACAAGATTCACGTCCTCTCAGAGATCGAGGATGCTAGGGCACTCCAGTATCAGTGCGAATGTATTGAGATGGCCTGTCTAGATCAAGGTACGTCTCAGCCCTGATGAAGCATGGACAACTTTTTTTTTGGGGGGGGGGGGGTTGGCGGAAACTCGGAGCCGTGGGCTCACCTTTTTCTGTACCATCAGGTCTGGATATCAACGACCCAAGACACAATGAGAATCTCAAGCTATATTTCCGGGAGGGCGCACCAGACGGATACGACGCGTGGCTGGATCGAAACCTATCGCAACATGACCCGGTCGCCCGAGCTTGGAGGTCGAGAGACAGCCTCCGGTCGAATTACAGAAACTCGCACTTCTTCAAGTGCTGGGATGACCAGTGCCTACACTATATTTATGGCTTCTCGAGCCAGGAGGAGCGGGACAACCATGTGAAGGAGCACGCCGTATTGCTGAAAAGAGACTCTGGCTTGTCGATCAGCGACACGCCGACGCTGGTCACTCAAGAGCAACCCCCCCACCGTCGCGATTACAGCAATGATTATTCGAAACGATCGCCTCCGTTGTACTTGCCGCGGCCCACTGGCAGTGCGCAACTGACCAATTCTCATGCGCAAGGCTTGTCTCGCGACCACAGGGATTCCCTCAAGTCCTACTCTCTGGCTGCTGAGCCTTCGCCTCCCAAGAGGAACCTTCGAGGCTCAGTGGACTCAGAGGTCGATCCTCTCTTGCCACCACTCAAGCGCAGCCGTGTGGGACAGTCAAGATTGGAGTCCATCGGCGAACTTCGATTGCTACGTGAAGCTGGCTCGTGCCTCCGATGCAGGATATCGAAGCAAGTGGTAGGCAATATGTTCCCGAAACGTTTGAGGCAAGGCACATACTGATATTCTGCAGTGTGACTCAAACGATCCGTGTTCTTCCTGCTGTGACGCAAATCCTCCTGCTCCGGATGATTTCTGGAATCATCTTGGCTGCTACAGAGGCCCACTTGCTTCTCTCGCCGAGGCATTGTTGCTCCCAGGTCCGTCCACCCCGGGTCACACATGCGTCTTTTACGCCTTCCCTTCTTCCCTTCCTCTCTTCCCCCAGCTGACATGAGATAGCTTCACACACAACGCGACAAGTCCAGACGCCACTTGCCTCCCCTCTCGCCCCACGAAGGAACATGAACGAGTATCTCGAGCATAATTACCGATTGAACTTGGAAACCTCGCGAATGGTGAAGAGACAACTTGATTTCGACGATGGTTTCTGGGTGACCGAAGACCTCCCCAGCTTCCCGCCGTATAGTTCGTCCATGTCCTCGTTCCAACGAGAACCTGTCGAGTGGGGTCCGCCGCTGCTATCGGTATTGGCTGGGAGCTGGAACATGAGTGGGACGGCGTATGATTTCTGGCAGCTCCTTCGGCTGAGTGGATTCATCTCACCGCACCGGCATGCCGAGACAGCAACGTATCCTGTCCTGCATCATGCAAAGGTCCTGCTGAGGGAAGTTCTATTCTACGACTTGCAACAACCCGAGCCGTCGATACATGCGCAGAGAAGTGCATCTCAGCCACAGCTCCCCCCAGACGAGTCAATGAGCTACGGACGCTATCGACTATTGTACAGCTGCATGACGGAATTCTTGGGGTCATTCGAGAATGCCACACTAAGAGATGATCAACTGAGCCCACGAAGCTGGCTTGCCGTCTTCATTGCGCTCTGCATCTTCAGCGTCGTCAAGACAGTCCTGGTCGACCTCGCACACTCCAGCCCAGGAGCAAGCCCGCCGAGCATCTCTCAGGTGAACTCAGCCGTAACGACCATGTCGAGTGTCTACAGCGCCTTAGTTGATGCGCTCGCCGCCTCTTCGCCCATGATCCTGGATGATCCTCGCCTCGAGTTACAGGAAGATGAAAGAGATCTCTTCCGTTCCTTGGCGGTCCTCACTAGAAGGGATTCTTGGGCAGAGCAAGGCATCACCTCTACGAGAGACTATCTCATGCTTCTCGGACGAGGAAACATGACTGGGCCTTTTGCCAATGGTTTCATCCGGCAGAGGACTGCGAACGATCGGCACGGCTTGGTGGCGGCATCCTCCTCATCCAGACCAGCGGAGGAGAGTAGAAAACCCCTAACCGACAGGAAGCCCATAAGCGACGCATGGGCTCTAGCGGGGCTGTCTGAAAGAGACCCGTTCGCCGCCAGGCTTGCAGCCACAGACCGGCTGGTCCTATCTCCACAAGACATGAGCCCAGGCCGTAGGCATACCGTTGCTGAGACCCCGTTCTTCCGAGCGATAGGACGAGGTCCGACATCTCCCATCCCGGCACCGAGGATTCGACTGGCTTACCAACGACCGCCTATGCGCCGAGTACACTGCGGAAAGTGCAACGAATACCCTGAAGGCTTCAGGGGCGAGCACGAGCTCAGGCGACATCATGATGCCAAACACGCAACTCTCGTAAAGAGATGGGTATGCTGCGAGCCGCAAAGCCATAGCCCTACCTCACCTCACCCCGTTGTCCCGCTCTCGAAATGCAAGGCTTGTATCACTCAGAAGCGATATGGCGCCTATTACAATGCGGCAGCTCATCTGCGGAGGGCTCATTTTAATCCTCATAGGAGTGGCAAGGCCAGCGGTGACTGGCCACCTATGACAATCCTGAAGGACTGGATGAGGGAAGTGAGGCAGTCTGTGGACCTCCAAGATCAGGATTCAGACAGCGGCGAGGACGAAGCAGACTTCAGACCGCCATCCGATCTTGTCTCTCCGCAGAGCAGCCGCCGTTCACCACCACCACCACTTTTCGACGTACCAAGACTTGCGCCTGCCCCACCACCGCTTTCTCGTGGCCTCCACCCACATCCGCTGGCTACACAAGTATCTCCCTCCGTCCACAGTGCGGCGCCTCCCGAGGTCCATCCCCTCTCGACGCCGACCCAAATCACCTTTCAGACTAGCCCTGGTCCTCACTTGGTATCAGCCTACGCCAGCGTGGCGAGCAGCACCAGGTCAGATGAGTCGCCTGCTGCGTCCAATCGAAATCGATGCCCACACCCACAATGTGGCCGCGTCTTCAAAGACCTTGCCGCACACATGCTTACGCACATGGAGGAGAGGCCTGAGAAATGCCCGATCGAGACGTGCGAGTACCACACCAAAGGGTTCGCGAGGAAGTATGACAAGAACCGTCATGCTCTGACCCATTACAAGGGAACCAGTGAGTATTTTCCTTTTTCTCGTCTCTCCTCTTCGAGAAGTTGCCGCAATGCTACAATTGCAGACTTGGCGATATGGATTTTTCTAACAAGCTCTATGCCAGTGGTCTGCCCCTTTTGCCCTGGATCAGGGACGGCCTTTGAGAAAGCCTTCAATCGTGCCGACGTGTTCAAGCGGCACCTCACCGCAGTGCACAACGTCGAGCAGACGCCGCCGAATAGTCGCAAGCAGACCAGCATGAGCAGCTCTGCACCTTCGTCGGCAAGGGAAGGCGGTGGTGTCGCCTCCCACGGCGCAGCAAACGCGAGGTGCTCCATCTGCCAAAGTCAATTCTCGACTGCGCAGGAGTTCTACGAGCATCTGGACGACTGCGTCTTGAACGTCATCGTCCCTTCTACGACGCCCCGGTCGGCCGTGTCTGCATCCGGAGGTGGAGGGACTGCTACGACTAGTGGTGGCTCCGGAGGGACCAACACGACAACCAGCAGTACCTCTACCAGTATCGGCATGGACTCGGGGGGTCTGCTGGCCTCTCCACTCACGTCCGGCTCTGATAGACAGTCTGGAGGCTCCTCCTTTCGGGAACCCGATGTACACTTTACCGCCCATCTCAAACAACAAGTGGATCACGTAACCTTCCCTAGGGATAGTACAGCGACTCACGATAGGACTCCGTCAGGAGCAGCAGAAGCCGGAGCCGGATCCGGCGATGCGTCGATACGCCAACCTTCCACAACACCACAAGCAGCCCCTGAGAAAACGCAGGAATTCCCCAACCACAACAGCAGCAGCAACAGCAGCAGCACCAGTACCAGACCTGAGAAAATAGAGGAATCGCACACTCCACCTGCAGAGACACCCCAGCCCCGCACGCGCGAGGGAAGCAGATCTTTGAGACCTCTGCTGGAGCCAAACCACAGTGGTCCTGTTGTCGAGGTCAAGCTCGGCTCCCCCTTCGAGCAAGGGGTCCCAGGAAAGGAAGCGTACTAAACACAAGAGTATCTCTTTTTCATTTCTATCGTTTTTTCGCTATCATTTCTCATATACCCATCTATACATATTTCCAGTCATCATCCAGTTTGGGTCTTTTCTTCTTCTTTCCCCCCTTGACCAGCTTTCTGGGATCGCTGTCCCCAGCCTGCAGGCTACGCAGGCGCAGAGTTTTGGTACAGATCATTGTCATATATCCCATGACGTTCGCCCCTCTTGGCCCGTCAGTTCTTGTTCTTTCTACTATGTAGATATCTGGAGAAGAAAAGGGGAAATGAAGAAAAAATAAAGGGGGAGAGGCTGAACAAAAGCGTCACCTGCGACTGTATTAGACGTAGTGAAGTAAATACCACAGGACTCCAAGCCTTTTTTTTCTTCTTCCTTCTCTCTTTCTTTCCAACGTGCTTCCTCAATGAAAGGAAAAAGGTGTCCAGTGACTTTCACTATTTCTAAAGCGAGACACCGTATCTCAGCCCCGCGTGGCCGTGCTCCTCCTGAACCCCTCCCCCCCTCACAAACCAGCCTGTGATTGGGCACAAACCGCCCACAGGTTCCTAATCAGGAAGTTGACGGACCCCCCCCCTCTCCTCCCCCACCAATACCACCGCACCTGGAGGATCGAGCAGGATAGTCTAATGCTCCCAAGCACAGTCTCTTCAGGTGGATAGGGGCAACTATGTACCGGCAAGATGAAACTCTTTGCAATGGGACCAGAATTTGGTGGGCTGGAAGAGATTGTCCATTGCGCATTCTTCTTGATATTGCTGGCCCCTCGAGGAAAATGAGTCACGTTGCCATCACCCGAGAATGGTGTTGATTCGCGTCAGCCGTCGGCCCATGGAGTGAAGTTTTGCTGAACTACCCTGCATCGAGCAATGTCGGAGCATTCGCGACGGCAAGTCCCGCCGCTGATCACGATGAGGGCACATCAAAGTCTTTGGGCACTATTCCCTGCCCCGTCCGTCTACAATATAATGATGTTGTGCAGGAGCCTCGCTTTGGCAGACACTTTGAAGTGGTAGAGGCAGGTCGCGTCACTATTTGCAGGGACGAAGAGCAGATAGGTTTCAGGCCTTCGGCAACCCACTATGATCCCTTGCAAACATAGTGTCCATTGGACGCTGTCTCTGTACTGCCCAAGGGACCCACTCATTCTGATATAGACGGACGTCAGAGAATTTCAGGAGCTATGCTTAGGAGGCATTGCACAGGCCGTTGCGAAGAGTGGGCCTAATCCTTTTCTGCGTACACGTCATAACAATCCCTGACACTCGAGTCGGTTTGTCGCGCAAGCGAGTACGGGTTCTGCGCCCGTCCATCCCGTAGCAACGAGTCGGCTCCCTCACGTACCTCGCATGGCCATGCAAATAGCAAGGCATTTTGGACCAGGGTGCCCACGTCTCCTTTCCTCATGTGGTGGTCCCAGGGGAGAGTTGGGACCTCACGTGCGGGAATTTTGGAGCACATGTGTGGACTCCAGTGGCAGTGCTAGTAGGCGCAAGCTGGCCATTATTACTGTGTTGTCCTATATCTTCATGTTGAACAACCTCTTGGAACTCCCATCCCTGAACGGGAGCATCTGGTGAGGCAGGAGCCGGAACGTCTCATTCTTGCCGTGGAAGCGACCCAGCCCCGTCTCGCCAACGTGTGTCATGTAGGACTCCATACCTCTCTCTCCGGTCTTGTATCCTTGACCCGCGACCTTGAGCGCCATGTCCCGCGCCGCCTTGAGGTTGGGCAGCACACCCGGCGACGTGTACGAGCTACCTACCACGGCTAGGGTGCCACGGAAGGACTCGTACAGCTCGGTGTGTGCCTGAGCCATGCGCGCCCGGTGGCCCACGAGGTGCTGGGGAATACATTCGCGGCAGGCCTTGGTGTTTACATATGCAGGCTCAGAAGGTGAGATACCAAGTTGATGGCTGACGGTGTGGATGGCCATGTTAGCGGCCTCCTGTGCGTCGGGCCAGGACTCTGGTGGTAGATAGTCCCAGTAATGACCGCCGAGCATGACAGTCAGCTTAGTGCCGCCCACGGATGCGTACTCGGGGGTACTAGCTGCTGATTCGCGGTCCGAGTCAAAGATGACGCCGAGCGCTCCGTGCGGATTGTCCTGTACAGGGACAGATTGCGGGATGAGATAGCCAAACCCTCGGTGAGGGCTGTTGAGGAGCGACCTGGGATACCAGAGGTTGACGACCTGTATGGTGACGGCAGTGCTCTTCTTCAGGGCAGGGAGAGTATCCCCTGACAGACTGGCAAGAGTGCCGCTGTACAGACTCGATATGACCTTGTCGTACTTGTGCTCCTCGGTCGGTGATAAGCCTACCACTGCCTTTCCCTCATCCTTCTCGTATTGGATTTTTGTGACAGGAGTGCCCGTCTTGATGGTGACATTTTCATTGTGGCGCAGGACGTCGGCTATCGCGTTGGTCAAGGTGCTGAACCCGCCGTGAAAGCCAAGGAAACCAGCTGGAGAACCAAAGGAGCGCCAGACCTCTGGGATCTTGGGGTTTCTTGCAAGGAGGTCTCTTCCGGAGTCGTAGTCATGATCCTTGACAACGCTCACGCCTAAGCCGGAATGTTGGAGCTGAAAAAATAAGTTCTGCATGGTCGTCTCAGCGGCACTCAGCTTCCATATATCTCCGCCCCAGATACCATGGTACAATGCTGACAGCATATTGTTGACAACATCTGGACGACCAAAAGCCTTCTCAAGAAACGCCCCGGTGGACATGTCCTGATGGTCGGCGATTGCGATCCGTGGGGGTAGGCCTTTCGGCCTGTCCTGTTGCCATTTCCATTTCGCCTCCGCATCCTGACGATAGAGGCTCTTGGCCGAGGACAAGGCGCCTTCGAAGAGGGGTTCCGTCAGGACCTGCTTTAAGGTCCCGAAGAACCAAGACAACCCCGAGAGTAAATTTTTGGCCTCTGGAGCTCCTGGAAGCTGTACCAGGTGATCTGGATAATACATGTAGCGCTGGCTGAGAATTGAACCACGTCTCGTGGTCTTGGAAGGGGCGTCGGGATGGTCGTCAGGCAGCTCGTAAAGACCTAATTGCTCCATCTATGAACAAAGAAAAAAGAAGAAGAAACCATAAAGAGTCAGCTGTGCATCTGGGGTCTTCCTGCCGATACAGATAACGCAATCATCATACCATATCAAACAGCACGAAATCCTCCCATCTGCCCAAGCCATGCTGGGGCGAGACAGCACGAGCGCCACGCTCGAAGGTGACAGTGGCCTCGTTGCCCTCTTCAGTCATGACCTGAGTGCGGTGTGTGTCTATCCAACCTCCCAGCCTATCAGATGCCTCGTAAATGGTGATCTTGGCGTCGGGATGGAAGCGTGTCAGGTAGTATGCGGTGGTGAGGCCAGTCAGGCCACCGCCAAGGACGGCGATATCCTTGGGCACCGATGATGCGGCAGCATAGCTCCGTGTGCCTGGCCTGCACCTTGACCGACTGAGATTCCCCGACCATGGCCTATGACGGATCGATTGGGAGACAGCACAGCTGGAATAGGGACTGCTCTGCTGGCGGGTCCATGTTGAGCGCAGGCGAAGGTCGAGTTGACGGAGGCGTCGTCTGCAGCAACGTGAGGATGAGGACGATGATGATGACAACGACGAGGCAGAGATGATATGGGCTCGTGAAGTCAATGAAGCTCGCAGAGCCGCATTGGCCAAGTGCGAGACCATATCGCCTGCAAGGGGTCGTTCTGCAGGGGATGTTCAGGTCGAAAGTCGAAAGAGGTGATGACTTAAAAGGTGTCATAGCACAATGTGGTGCAACTGGGACTGACGTCGCCGATGAGAGCTCGCCCACCGCGGCAGGGATTAGCTCGACTCAGGCCAGTGCAGCGCCTGCCAGGCACACACGCAGCACGCAGCACGCACGTACTATGTATGTACTACGGCACTCGCAGCGGGCAGGCGCTATAGGGCTGATCAATCGGGTACTTCCCCTGTAGCGGGGCACCCAACCCAAAAGCACAAACCCTCCTCAACTCTCCTTGCAACCACCGCATTTTTGGACGACACGATTGTATCAATTTCCACACACCACGTCTATTTGATCTCTGAAACATAACTTGATCAGCGAGCAAGGCAGACTTTCTAGTATGGGGGCCGTGGCAGACCTCGCAACAATCGAGTGTGAGGGCACAAAAACCAACAGATATACTCTGATATGCACAGTGGCTGGCTCGGCGAGCTGACAGTAGCTCTGCCTGGAATCGACGATCGATCGTAGAGTTCCTTGGACCCCACGTCCGTCCTCTTCCGCGTCGAAGGATGGACGGTTGAGGATCGCCAATGCCCGCATATGTGGACACACTTGCTTCAGACTGCTCGAGCTCACAAACCTGTCAGGACTCAATCTATGGAAGCTTGGTCGGCATGCGAACCGCTTTCAGACTCGACTCGGGTTTCGAATTCGGATCACACCAGCCTCTGGCCTTCCACCTTCGCCGAATTTCACCATATTCAGAGTCAGCGCTCAGGGCCCTGGTCCCGCTTTTACTAGCCAACGCCGGGTCCGAGGTCACTGCCATGATTGACCCTGCCTGCTACCTTGCCCGCCTGCCCGCCTGCAGATTGTCTCATCTTGGCACCTCTTATGTGGGGGTGGGGTTGAACACGAGTAATCCTCCTCCGTATCCGCCGGAGTCGGCGCACCTATAGGATCAACCACATATCACCCCGTGAGCCCCAGACCACTGCAGCATCATTTGGTCAGGTAGCCATCAACCAAGACCTATTCTGGCATCACTCTCGTGCAGCCAGCAGCACCGTCACAGCATAAGGCTCGCTCTCTCGTATTGATCTACAAAGCCTGAGAGCGAGGAGTGGAAACCTTGGTCTCTGACATTGTACAGGCAGCCCTGCTGACCTGCTGACCTTGACACAGGCGCGGCCCCGCCTTCCGGAGACCATACCGAGCCGAACGCTGCCGTCCCGCTTGGCCTTGCAATCCGGCAGCCAGTCAACCTGCTGTTTACCCCCTTGGCTGTCATGCACCTCTTCTCTTGTGTTCTCCATGCCAGTCCAGGGGAAGGAGATCGTCTTGCTGCCGACGATGCGTGACCAGGAATCTATGTCTCTTGAATTGTGGGCGTTGGCGGGTTACTTGTCATGCGACTGCCTTGGAGAGCTTTCAGATGAACAAAGGAGCTCTTTTGGGTCGGGATTCTCGCAGGTTCTCCTCCCCCCCCCCCCGGTCCTTTCAATTACTCGTCTCGCTGTCACCGAGAATTTGGATCTGCTGTTGGCCCGCGCTGGGAGGCTGCGCCGCCCCTAAATTTCAGCCTAAGAAGGACTATAGAAGCTTTGGAACCCAAGTGTGGCCGGCCGAACCGGCGGACCCCCACGCGACTGAAGGCCCACCAGCAAATTCCCGCAGTCGCCCTGATCCCAGCATCGAAAAATTTCGTCGGCTTGGGGGTGAGGAGAGGGGGTTTTCTGACACAGAATCATTGTGTGCGCATACTAGGATCTCTTGAGGACGTCTCGAGCGACAGTATGGTCACGGCAGCCGTGTGCGACCAGTAGAATGGTACCGCACTTTCGATGCTACCAGGACTGATGTCGCCTTGGGCAAGATGAGACCCGGCACGGCAATGGTACTTGGGGGTCACGCTTTGGGGCCTTGGAAGGAAACGCGGCCCACACTACACCTCTCATCCCACGCTTCTCCAGATCCAAAATTGCGTCAGGGCAGCCTTAGCGGCTCCTCGCCGGAACATGTACTGTGGTACCTGAACTCGGGGGCAACCCTGGACCAAGGCTGAGAGCGAATACAGTCGGAGAGCCACCTGACCAAGAGATTTCAACAATGGGTAAACAAACATCCTGATCGACGACTTGCCTCTTCTCTGGGCTTCTGTTTGCATATGAAGGAAATCACAGTGCTCTCGTCGTGTGACTGGCCAGCCGACTTGTTTCCAGATTCCCTACCTAAAACTGCTGGGACTGACGGATTCTGCAAGTTCCTGGTCGGTTCTTCCTCTCGAAATTGACTATGCACTACTGGATTCGCCAGCGCTTCCTTGACCGGTCGATGGTACATGCGGGAACCTCTACCATTCCCCGACCCCTGCTGGTGCACCCCGAACTCACCCAGGAACGAGCCGGGGTCTTACATCAAAAGTAATGGGCCCGCTGACGGCAGTGACCAAGCGGTCGAACAGGGACGGGCTCGTCTCTTGGACCTGATGTCGTGGATTATAATAACCCCCAGGCAGCCCGTTTAGCCACACCTTGTGATGTCCATCTTCAAGTCTGATCTTCTCCAGATCCAGTTTTTACCCTACCAGCCGCCAACCCATACTCTCTCTGGTCACCAAACGCCCTCCCACCCAAATCCCCAACCAAGTTCTCCCTTGACTTGTTACGGCATATAACCATATACCTCGTTTGCGTGTGCCCTTTCTGTGCCATTGTTGCCTTGTTCTACCCCTAATACGAATTCCCCCAAAGGACTCACCACCGGAGAATGCTACAACAACGTCACTCTGAGTCAACAATATTCTTGTGATCCCACCAATCGCCACACAAAACGTCTGGCGATCCTAGTTTTGGCACACGCCTGCTTGTGTCCCATACACACAAGAAAGAAAGAAAAGAAGAGGAAGAAAGGAAGGAAAGAATATCAGCAACTATGCTCTCCTACGATACCCCCGTGTCCATGAACGGACAGTCTCCAACGTCAACAACCAATATCACGGCAACTCGACAGGCCATGGCCCCCAATACTCCTCTGAAGGTGTCCATGCCTGCGGATAAGAACATGAACAGCAACACCACGGCCTTTGGTCTTGATGTCCACCCTGCACACCATCATATCTGGCTTGTCACTGGACCGGCTGGCTGTGGCAAGACCACGGTGGCAACCCATCTGGCCAAGGCGCTGGGCATACCTTATGTAGAGGGGGATGAGGTATGGCTTCTGAACAATCTTTTCTTGATGCCGCGTGGGGCACGTTCACTGACGGACCTCTAGTTCCACACTGCAGAGAGCATCACCAAGATGAGCCTGGGCCAGCCACTCACTGACGAGGACCGGTGGGACTGGCTCACCCGCCTTCGGGAGGAGGCACTGAAGCAGCTTGCTCTGGGCCATGATGGTGTGGTTGTCACCTGCTCAGCCCTTAAGCGCAAGTACAGGGATGTCATCCGTGTGGCGCCCTACTTCTCGCCAGGACTCCAAGTACACTTTATCTACCTCGACGCCCCGGAGGAGGTACTACAGCAGAGGGTTGCAAAGCGTCAGGGCCACTATATGGGTGCTGGGATGGTGCACAGCCAGATTGCCATCTTACAGCCACCCATGCGAGATGAGGTTGACTGTGTCACTATCGATGTCAGCAGGTCTGGAGACGAGGTCTGTATGGATGCGCTCAACCAGGTCGTCACGAAGCTGGCAGAGGATCAATGACATTGAAGCCCAGTTCAGTCATCATACCCTCTTTCATTCTTCTTTCATCCTTTCTTTTTGGTTATCTTCAATTGCTGTTTTATTTCTTTTTCTTTTGGTCTACTCGGGTCATGAGCAGCCTACAGGATGGCTCAGGGATTATCATGTCTGCATTTGATTTTGGTCTACACCCACATACATAAACACGGCGTAACGTCTGGACCGGCGAATTTCGACAGGGAAACATGAGTCTCGTTTTCTTTTTTTCCTTTTCAGATACCAAAGAAGAGAGAGAGCATTCAAGGAACTACTGGTGTGGCTGCAAAGCCTTGACACCTCGCGAGATCAAAGGCGTTCATCAAGATTAGGTGCGTGCGACCATGGGCGCAACGTATCACTGGGGGGAAAAAAAGGGGGGGGGAGGAAGAAGCAGAAACAGACACTGCATGGACATGGATTTATTCAGCCTATAGGAAGGCTCTGGATGCACAGCCGTCAGAGGCCGGGGGGGGGGGGAAGTTACGGCTTTGGGCAGCAGGGAGGAGCAGCGCTAAGACTCGAAAAAGCAAAGGGGATCACGAGCCTACTTGCCTGCTCATCTAGAAGAAAAGCCATCAGCCCCAATACAACATGATGATTTAGGCAATTGCTTGTTACGTGGCACCCCTCCTGCGCCCTTGTTCTTTCCTGGCCGAGTACGAGATGCCCACACCCAGCGTATAATAAGTAAGCCGTGGTATTATAACCGGAAGCAACCAAGCTGGTAAATACAGTAGTTGTTTAGCTGCGGGCCGCCAAGCCTAGCATAAAGTGATTTGTCTCACTCTCACGCTCTTTCTTGTTTTGGTGAAGAATTCCCCCATCGATACCGCGATGCAACCATCAACCACTTGGAAAGGCGCTGATCTGCAACGAACCTCTGTACTGCATGTTGACTGGGTTGGTGTTTGCTGGTTTCCCAAAGGAAAAGGAGAAGGAGAAGAAGAAAGAAAAAAGAAAAGTCCAAGCAAAACAAAACTCCGCACAGAATCTTCTATGCAGGTAAACGATTGATATGTGTCACAACAGCAGCAGGATTTCTCCTCTTGCCCAATCAAGGTAAATAAAATACAACCAGATTGTTAGGCGCCCCCCCCCCCCCTTCCCAATGGGGCTCTGCTAAGTCGTTGCTTCCTTCCCCCTCCTCGCGTGCGCGCCTTCTTCCACACCCCACCAAGACAAGAGAGCTTTCTTGACCGGTCAGCGCAACTCGCATGACTAGCTCCATGACCGACGTTGTCGAGCGGGTCACCTGAGTGGCATGGCACTAGCCATATGCTACTTCTTCCCTACTCTTTCCTTTTCCTTTTTTGTCTCTTTTTCTCTCTCTCCCTCTCCCTCTTTCTTGTTTTCCTCAGCACATCCCGAGATGATGAGATGAGAAATGACGCACCCATGCAGGGCAAGCCGCAGCAATTCAGAACCCCCCCCCCAGACCATTGATGTTACCCAGAGAATTCTGATTCGACCACGTATGTTTGCTGACGACCCCCTTGGCATCCTACCACGAATGATGAGATGTGATCGAAATCACGACGAGTACAAGCCATCTTCAGAGAATCGGAGAGAGAAGAGGAAGATGGGAAAGGAATCGGGGGAAAATGTAATTCTCCCATTGGCAGCCCTACTTTTTACCTTAACCTTACCTTTTCACCGGGAATTCTTTCCCATGCCCATCTCGTTTTGCTGCAACGCTCCCCCCCCCCTCCATCTCTGGTTAAGCAAGAATGTTCTATTGACGTCGCTTTTGTTATTCTTGCCCCTCCTTCGTGAAACCACCTGCAGTCAGGTACGTACAGGAACCGGGATGTTTCCCAAAAAGATGGGGAAAAAGGAATGGGAAGAAGAGGAAGGTAATGGAGGGAGGGGAAAAGAACCCACCCCCCCCCCCTTTCTCTCTCCGAGTTTTTCCCTTGCACCCAAACTCCTCTCTTTTTTCGGTCCTTTCTTCCCTGATGCTACCTGCTGCGCCGTGGTGCTACTATGGTGGGGTGTTGTCTGTCCCTCAGCACGGGGGAACACACGCAAGACGACTAGAGCCAGATGGATCAGGCCACGCCAGCCCAGATCAAACCCCTCAAACTTGTCGTAAAGTCCCGCATTTCTACACTGCCATCCCATTGTTCCGGATCCCCGGAACGTGGAAAGTTTCCCTGCGCTGGGAGGGCATGTGAAGGCGGGGGAGGGGGGTCAAAGAAAGAGAGAGAAGAGGAAGCTGATTCAGGCACATACGTATGGATAGCAGGAGAATACTGACGGGATGCCCATGCTGCGCAGAACGAAGTAAAAGAGGGACAAGCTCATGGAATATCAATCTGGAGGGGGAGAGTACGGGGAGGGAAGACAGCTCGCTCTGTGCGTTCTCCGCTGAGGAATGTCTGAGAGACCCGAATCGCCGTCCACGGGAAGCCTCTTCAAGTGTTCCAAGGACGATGGAGATGGATGAATAGAATTGAACTGATCAAAAGTCAACAGCCAGTCCTACCCTGTGAGATAAAGCATGCATGCCTTATTGCTGTCTGTAGCAGAGACAGTATTGCCTCTAGCTGTCGTTTGTTTACATCCACATGCCTTGTCAATAGATAAATACAGCCGTCAGTTGATTACATGTACGACTTGTTGCAGCGCCATGGAGTATACTTTTAGGGATCGATATAGATTGGTGTCAATTTTCTATCTTCCTTTTCTCTTCAGTTCTAACCATAAAGTCCCCTCCACATATCTATTTTCTCATCTCAAATGCATAACCATAGCATCCGGCTCCTCCACCAACGCCCTCACCACCCCCGCCGCCCTTGCCATGGTCGCCCCGTCCACGACCCTGTGATCCGCCGACCAGCTAAAGTTACACACCTTGCGCACACCCTTGACCCTCCACCCACCGCCCACGGCACCCGCGTCTTCTTCGACGTCCGGCACGTCGCGCATGCGGCCGACGCCGAGGATGGCGAGCTGCCCTTCCACGATGACAGGGCTGCAGTAGGTCCCGCCGATGCTGCCGATGTTGCTGACGGAGATGGTCCCGCCGGCCATGTCCTGGGGCCCGAGGCGCCCTGCCACGGCGAGCCCCTGCAGCCTTGCGAGCTCGGCGGCGAGGGTGAGGATGCTGTGCGATGCGACATCCCTGACGACCGGCACGAGCAGGCCCGAGGGGGTATCCATCGCCACGCCTATGTTGTGCTGCGCCCGGTAGACGAGGGAGGGTTTTGGGGTGGACGCGTCGGGGCCCCCGCCGGCGGTGGTGTCGACGCGCGCGTTGAGGATGGGGTATTGCTGCAGGGCGATGGAGACGGCTTTGATGATGAAGGGCAGGTAGGAGAGCTTCGACACGCCCTCCGCGTTGGGTACGACGTGGATTGCCGAGGAAGAGGGCTTTGTCGCGAGGACCTTGTTCAGCCGGCTGCGCAGGGCTGTCAGCTCGGTGAAGTCGATCTCGTCGGCATACAGGAAGTGGGGGATGTTGAGTGAGCGGGTCATGGCCTTGAACATGCCCTCCTGCGTCTTTGTCAGGGCCTGCCTGGATTCTACCTGTGCACCGGGCGATGATGGTGGTGACGACGATGATAATGGAGACGGGGTTCCTGCTGCGGGGCTACCTCCGCCGTCTCTCGACTCGATGAACCGGTATATGTCCTCTTTGAGCACACGCCCGTCCCTACCCGTCCCGTCAATCTCGAGGAGATCCAATTTAAGCTCCTTGCAGAGATGCCTCACAGCCGGCGTCGCAAGCGCAGCATGCTTGCCCTTTGGCTTTGGCGACGGCGGAGGTGGTGTCGCCGCCGTCGACTGAGCCGTCACCTGTCCCTGTGAGGGCTCCGAGAAGGTCTGTTGCGGGCCGGATGCAGAAGACGCCTCCCCAGCCGCCGTATTATCTGCTGTCCCGGAGGACGTCAGCTCGTCCAGCGCCTCCTGGCTCACATCGCCCTGGATGTCAATGTCGACAAAAGGCTTGCCGACCTTGGCCATCTCGCCGGCATCGTAGTAGAGCTTCTTGACAACACCCTCGAAGCGGGAGGTGATCTCGACCGAGGCCTTGTCACTCTGGACCTCACAGAGCTTCGAGAACTCCTCGACGCGGGCGCCGGGCTCAACAAACCACTGGATGATCTCGCACTCGACGATGCCTGTGTCGGAAGAAGAAAAGAGGTTAGCTTGCGCTCTCCCAGTGAGGAGATAAGGGGAAGGTTTGGCGAAAGGAAGAGAGAGATCTGATGGATAGTACCTTCGCCTATATCTGCCAGCAGGACGGGTTTCACTGCCTCCAGCCTCGGGCTCGAGTGGAAGCTTCTTACGAGCTGAAACGGAGCACATGTCCTCCTCGGTTCAGACGGGAGTGTTCTCGAGGTTGGGCCGGTGGCTATTGTCCCGTATGCTGCTGGGGAGAGTCGACTTATACGCCGAGCCAGCTGCCATTGTAACCGCACCGCACGAGGCGTCCGTCGCACCAACATATTTGTGTATGCGTATGTGAAGGTATTGGGGAAGACAGGGCAAAAGAAAGGCAAAGAGAGGAAGAGAGGCCAGTCACTGCGAGACTACATCGTGAAGGACGAAAACAGAGACAGAGGGCGCGCGCAGAGCAGCAGAGAGGGTTTATCGGTCTGCTTTCTTTTCTCCGCAAAGCCGCACTCCCGCGGCATTGTGAATCCAACGATTACGGGCGAACGTGGTTGTCGACGGCTCTTTGGACAGGACATGACGTTCAGGTCCTTCCCCAAAAACACCCGTCGATAGCCGAGCGTTGGCATCTCCCATGTCTTGCTAGGCAGGCCAGGGCTTCCCCACAAACCCAACCCTGGAAGAGAGGATCGGAGAAGTTGGGGTTGGCGTTGGGAAAGTCGGGCACGGGTGGATTGGGTCGTCCAACAGGGGGCCCTTTGGGGGTGGCAGCACTTGGCATTCCCCGTAGCGGCGGCTCTGAGACCCCTTGCAGTTCTTGTGAAGCTCAGTGCCAAAATATTTCCCCCCAGACACAAGACTCGGCGAAGAACCAGAATAGTCACTGGACTTTTGAGTGTTCTAGCAACAACCAACCCTGGCTTGACGCCATTCATTCCGAGGGCAATGGAGTCGGCAAGCACTGCAATGCTCGGCAGAACAATAGCAAGGTCCCTTTGGACATCGTCAAGCCGACAGCAGCCAGCAGCGACAACATGTCTCCTGTGTCAGTGGAGGAGCTTCAGCACGACGTACCCTCGTCTGGCCGACCCTCCCAAGCCCAGAGATAGGTTCAAGGCCCCGTCAGGCGGCCCCAGACCGGTCGAGGTGTCCCAGGCTGAACCCGCAGCTTCTACAGAGAGACCAGCAGCAGCAGCTCTTGGGCCGGGTCCCGGTCCGCTGTCCCACGCGCCGCGGTCCTACGGGAGGCGTGTCGAAAACTTCACTCCGACCGTCCTGCCCCGGCCGATAGGCATGATACGGCCACCGAAACCCGGCGAGAACACTGGTCTGGATACACGGTCCATCAAGGAGCGGCGGGATGACTTTGTCAACTGGGAGAAGCACCTCAAGAGGCGCGAGGAGCTGTGAGTCTATTTCTTCTTCTTTCGTCTTTCCTCCCCTACCTTACACCTTCTGCCAACGACGCCGTGTGCTGGACTGATGTTCGTGGCCTTTTCTCTTGCATCTTTCAGGAAATCCCAGATGGCTCGTCCCTACTTCCGCGACTGGTCGAACCTCGGTCTCCACAAGGGCAAGACCTTCATTGCGCCACCGCGGCTCTTCAAGCACGACCGCTCCCTCTATTTCCCCAACCTTTTTGGCCACACCCTCCTCAAGAGCACCTCTCTCCCGCGCAACACCACCCCGGTCCTCCAGGGCAAGGCCTCCGTCATCGCCGTCTTCAGCACTGGCTGGGCCGAGAGGCAGACCCTCTCGTTCACGTCGGAGACGAGCAACCCGGAACTGCACAAGATCTTGAAGGAGTACAAGGGCCGTGCCCAGCTGGTGCGGGTCAACATCGAGGACCAGTCGCGGCTGCGGTACTGGATCTTGAGGGCCATGGCGCCGTTTGTGCGGCGGAATTTTAGGGAGGAAAATTGGGACAAGTACTTCATGGTGAGGAACGGCATCTCGGATGACATCAGAGAGTCGATTGGGTATCTAAATAGCAAGGTCGGGTATGTGTACCTGGTCGATGGGGACTGCAAGCTGCGCTGGGCTGGAAGCGGACCTGCCCAGCCGGACGAGGTGCAGAGCTTGACAAAGGGCCTGGCGAAGCTCCTGGATGAGATGAAGAAGGGCGTCTGGTCTGGAGCGAACCTCAGGTGAAGAGCCTCCCGCGAGCCAGGCATTGCAATCCAAAAAGAAGAGAGAGGAGAGAGAAAGAAGAAGAAAAAAGAGAGAGAAAAAGCGAGCAGGCAAGGCACATAGATTATCACCACTTCAAGATACCCAAACAGTTGTACGAATTCCATGCCAACCAACCAGTGGGGTTCCTACAAAACCTAAACGCCGTGCCGTGAGATATCAGATGCTCTGTAGAAGTCGTCATTCAAAAAGAAAGCAAGAAAAAAGCCCACTCCAATATGCTCTCTTCACTCGACGCTGCTTCCGGTCAAAAAAAGAGCCACTTCTTCATTGCTCACAGGAAAAACCAGAACAGCAAGAAGCACACCGCCACAAAGCTCCCCATAATGATGCCATCCCTCTGCTTCCTCGCCGATATCCTGCCGATCAGCGTGTTGATCCCAGGCACCTGACTCGCGGCCAGCGTGATCCTGCGGTTGATGTTGGCGAGCGTCTCCCGCTGCAGCACGAAGCTCTCTTGCACCGCGTACGCCTGCGACAGCACCGAGTCCGCCACGCTGTTGCTGTTGTCAATGTGCCGCCGCTCGTCCAACATGTACTCGGCCTCGGCACGCTCCGGGTTCTGCTGGCGAAACGACTGGATGTCCTCCCGCACATTGGACAGCAAGTTCGCCCGGCCGCGCGCGTCCGCCAGGTTCGACCGGAGCCGGACCAGATCCCTCTTGTGCGAGGCCAGCTTCTCGCGGAGGAGGGCAAGGTTGTTCTGCTTGAGCGCGGAGGAGGTCAAGGAGGCGTCGGAGTCGAGGAGGCGGGCGAGCTGGTTGATGACGTTCTCGCGCTAGACGTGTGCGCGTGAGCATCTCGAGTCTGAACTGGGGCTTTTCTTGTTACACGCGAAGGAACCCTACCTTTTCCAGTATCTCTTGTAGCTTGGCCTCCGTGTTTATCTCCTCCTCTGAGGGCTTCGGTGGTATGGCCGCTGCCGTTGAGAATTGGGAGTATGTGTGGAATAAGGCCTCCGTCTGCGACTCCAATGTGCGAGCCTGCTGCCGCATTTGCGCCCACCCGCCATTGCCGGTGGATGAGGCCATGATCGTTGTGTGGCACCGGGAGGTAGGCTCAGTTCGGACAGACTCTAAATGATGAAGTCTTGAAGGCTGGGAGTCGAATATTCTCTGGTTTACTCGCCCAACGCAGTGATGCGACGTCACGAAAGACTAGTCTCCTTCGATGCAAATAGGCTTAGGTGAATTCGTGATATGACGGTTGTCGTTCGTGAAGAATCGCCTTGGAACTGAGGGCGAAGGGTAGCTTTAGGTCGTGAATTTTTCAAAGAAGAGCCAGGACACTTCTCTTCTGAACTCAAAATGCAGAATTGGTCGACGTCGTAATGTGCAGGATCTGGGACCTCTCTCTACCTGGTTGAAACTGTCAGAGGTTGTGGTAGGACGAGGTCGAGGAAAGCTGGCGTCACACCAGGCCTGACCATCCATTGCCTGCGACCTGCGGGACCGGGGGCCATCTCAGGTCCGTCACACAGTGGCTGGTACTAGGGTTAGGGTCGTGTAGGAGCTGACTCAGCCAAAATTTCTTCCCAGTCTAAATGCAAGAAACAGCAATTGCAACCAGACGCAGTCTGCCGCCCATTGCCCCTTCCCTTCCGATCTTTAGCCTCTGAGTCCACGTGATCAAAATTTTTACAGCCCACACCCTCTCTCTGGCTCTGCAAACTCCACCACCTCCGAAAAGAGAGCTCGCTGCTGTCTCGCGAACTAACCACCACGAACCTTCGACCCAGCAGACAATTTCGATCGACACATTCTCGCGACCATGGTGCGTTACGAATTCCCTACCGATTGATTTCCTTTCGAATTCCCCGGGGAGGAGGTTCGGACCTGTCGAGGTGCACAACACTTCACGGCCCAAAACCCTGCCTTCCCCTCGGCCGCCACAGCCAGACGAGAAACTCTGATGATCTGCCAACACACACGACTTGCCAAGTCAATTCGGAGGAACGTTATCGCTGACAATGTTACAGTCTACCAGCAAGATCAAGGCCGGCCAGCTGTGGTCGAAGAACCGCGAGGATCTCACCAAGACCCTCGGCGAGCTCAAGACGGAGCTGGGCCAGCTGCGCATCCAGAAGATCGCCTCCTCTGGCACCAAGCTGAACAAGATGTAAGCAACAGTACAAAAATTACGCGTGCACTATACCGTCGTCGAAACAGATCCTTTTCGAAAAAGAATTCACGCCTACAGCGTCACACATAAAGTCTTTTGGACGGCAGGAGTGGGGTGCAAACCGGGAATGATGGAGTGCATGAAGCTAATTTGGGAAATTTTCTTCTACCAACAGCCACGACCTCCGCAAGTCTATCGCTCGCGTCCTGACCATCATCAACGCCAAGCAACGACACCACATGCGCCTGTTCTACAAGAACAAGAAGTACCTGCCCCTCGACCTCCGCCCCAAGCAGACCCGTGCCATCCGCCGCCGCCTGTCCGCTGAGGACGCCTCGAGAAAGCTGGAGAAGACCAAGAAGCGCAGCCAGCACTTCCCTCAGCGCAAATACGCCATCAAGGTGAGTGCACAATAAGGCCAGGGGAGGCTCCTATGAGTGAATTACGAGAAAGAGACATGCTGACAGGGTTGTGTTCTTAGGCCTCCGCATAAAGTGGACAACGGTGTTGGCGCGGTTGAAGATTTCTGGTAATTCTTGAAGCAAGGCAAAAGGCAAAACGGGCTACAGGATCGTTGGCGTTGTTTTTTCCCGAGAATCCCAACAACAAAAAAGAAGAAGAGAAAGAGCATCGAGAGATCCTTCCCATCACGCGAGTCTCGAATTGGCATCCACGTTCCATCCATCATAGGGGCAATTCTGTTTTCCGCTACTTCGGGTCATCGGTGTTATGAGGATTAAACGACAGCAGAGCCCGGGGGAATACTCTAGTCAGCAGATAGCTCCAGAAAGAGAGCTCAAGTTGACAAACTACAACATTCTCGAAACCCTTGCCTCCTGTGCTGAACGATCGTTCTCGAACTTGGAAAGTAGATCTGGGAGAAACTGTGTCTAGGACGATGATATATCTGAGCGCCGGCGATGTTACACGAGGATGGCCGGGTGCACGATCAGGATGAGAGTGGAGGTGTACCAATGACCACCCCTACCTTGGGCACTAAACATGAGAAACTCTGCGACGTCGACGCTCATGGGAGGGTGCATTGCACTTCTAGAATCTGCTCTGCTGAACCCGCTACAAGCCACAGTCACCCCGTCCTTCTCCGCGGATGCCCGGCACTGCCTTCACAAGTAGGGTTTGTAGTTACTCTTTGGTGCGCATGCCGCACCTGGCTTCCTCGGGCTTCTCGAACAAGCCTAGACCTTTTGCCAGGAGTAACACTCGTACATTTGTAGCCTCCGTGTAACAGGCCAGCCACCCTAAGCCTTCTACTCTCGACATGTAGTTGACGTTTCTCACCGGTCAACGATACTGGGGCTGCAGTCACCTTGGCTAATTTCAGTCCAAGAAGGTCGTTCTTGCCTTGATTGAATTGAGCATGTGGTCACATTAGATGGTTCGCAGGCCTTCGAACTCGCTGCTTAGAGACCTTGACTTGCCGCTCCAAAAGAACACCCTGCATCATTGCCTTCAACATAATTGAAAGGGAGTTCCAATTCACTTGGGTATATAGTCCCTAGTCCCTGCTGATCCGTCATGTCTCAACGCTTTCCCAGAACGCCAGGCTGCACACTTCCATCACGAGCCTTTTTTCCCCTTTCCATACCCGGCCGGCGCCTAGGAGGATAACACCAAAGAAACCAAAAAACCAAAAAAAAAAAAACGGTAAAGAACAAAGTGCAAATAGAGATAGAAAGGAAAAATACACTTTTGATATCACAATGGTCATTTGAAGGTGCCAAAAATGGGGCCGAGTGGGGGGGGGGGGGCGCAAAATAAAGATGATCCAAAAAGTACTGTAGAAATTAAAAACTTCCGGCTTGAGCTCGACTGCCTCGGGTACCAGGAGGGTCTATGGCTTGTCAGCAGCTGGAAACTTGGCTCTCCGCGAGTGAATATCAATGTATTGTTCACTCACATAGTTTCTCCAATGCATCCTTGGACAATGCATGGTTGCTCATGGCGTGCCGAATCAATCCATCACGGCGACAAAAGGGTTTATCACAGGTCCGGCATACCCAGCGCTTCCGCTTCTCGTGGGTCCGCTTGTGCTTGCTAAAATTCGAAGAGTCCTTGAATTTTCGATGGCAGATGGGACATTCGAAAGGCTTTTCTTCGCTATGCGCGCTGCGCATGTGCATGGCTTGGAGTAATAGTGTTAGTAGCTACAACCACATGAGAGTAGACTGGAGAAAACAGGACAGGCGGCGGGCCTATACTTACTGATATCGTACGCCCTTTTAAAGGAATCACCGCATATTTCGCATTTATACGGTCTCTCGTCACTGTGCGTCCGCAGATGCATTTTCAATGCATGTTTGTTGGGAAATGCCTTGCCACATTCTTCGCATTTGTGCGCTTCGACTGGACATATGGTCAGCTTTGCAATAATCATAGCAGAGACAACCTGAGTGCAACAAAGGAAAACACAAAAGATCTCAAAACGTACTGGGCCCAGTGTGGGTTTCAATGTGTCGACGAAGCTTCGACTTTGTGTCAAACCCTCGTTTGTCGGCATACTTGTCATTGGTAAGACGATCGCAGCCATCCCACAAGCACACGAGACCGTGTTCACTGGTAGGCTTCAGGGCGTGGAAATGCGTGTCGTCGACGTGATCATGGAGCAGGCTGTGGGAGCTGAACTGCTGCCCACAGATTCGGTTGTCAGCGAGTCGCCACTGACACACGTGAGCCTCAATCTCCCGGGACATGCTCTCGGAGCCGACCGAAATACCCTTCATAGAGTAATCTGAAACGGGTGATATCGTGCGTGCCACGCTTCCGAGACTCTTGGATGGCGAAGATTGGTCGCGGCTTGTGGGTGAGAAGTCGTCACTCATGGTAGTAACACTCTCCTGTGTGCCGGTCGGGAGGTTACTTGACGAGCCCTGTTCTTGGCTTATTCCAAGCAAGTTTTCATCCAGGGGTTCGCTGAATTGAAAATTCTGCGTCGAGCCTGGAAGCCATTGAGAATGGTTTGTGTCTGAAAGGCCTGGATCAAGGGCCGTGGAGGTATTCTCCCGCAATGCCTGCTGGTCATAGACTTGCTCAACAGCATTGACGAAGGCGCCTTGAGTGTCGTAAAGAGGAGCCCAACTGAAAACATTGGTATTGGAATCCAATTGCTGCGCCAGGCTCATGGTCTGCGAATTGTCAAGTGCATTGGCGTACTGAACCTGGGAACTGGCTAGAGACGGGGGCAGCTCGTGAAATTGGTGGAAATTCTGGGGGAAGTTTCCAGAAAACTCTTGACCGCCAACGACATTGCCCTCACTATGTCTAGCAGTGTTACCTTGGAGAGTGTGTGAAGAAGCAGCGGGAAACCCGGCCTGGAAATGAAATGGGAATTGATACGACTGCCCGAAGGACTGAGACTGAGCAGTGTGGATGTGATTCGTCGTCGAATCCACCATCGTTTGTTGGAATGCTTATCATCAAATCATGTCAGAAAGGGTAGGGTATGTATGATCTTCATATGTCAATGCTTACTGTTGCGATTGAGTTGCGGGTTCTCTGCTTGTTGTTGCATTGCTCCGCTGATCCCTTGCAGGATGAAAGCGCTATGGGCAACATCGGGTTCAACGATAGGCTTCTGGCAGTTCTCATCTCTACATGCAGTTTCCTCGTCTTCAAAGAGTATGTCAGCTTTTGAACCAACATGGAAAAGTAGCAGATAAATACACGAAAAACAATAGCCATAGGGATATAGAACAGTTTTGATCTCCCGAATAGAAAAGAGAAAGAAAGGAGAAGAAAAATATATGCATATGGAGGTACAACATCGATTTCAAGAACGTCTTCTAATCAAGTGACAAAGATGGAGGAAGAGTGCAATAGCTTACCACAGGTACCTGCACTGCATGCGCCTCCGCTTCCAAGGCAGTGGCTATCACAAGAGCCCAGACTGTCCGCATCGGAGTCTGCATCCTCCTCGGAAATGTGATGCAGATGATCTTCCGGTGATCTCGAAACCTGTGATAGAGGTGATATCGAAGCCGCGCCCAACAGCGTCGGATCTGGCGTGTGGACCCGAGGAGGCAAGGTAGTGTTGAAGTCACCTAGCGAGGCGGAGAAAGCCTGGTAGGGCATCGAGGATTGCGCCAAAACGTCGAAGCTAGGCGGCGGCGGCTGCTGCTGTGGCATGACAGCAGCGAGGTCTTCTTTGTCGTTCACGCCTGGGTCGAGTCCAAGTCTCGGACAGCCACTGCCGTCAAGACAGCTGGTATCGTGGCTGGCATACTCGCCGTGGTAATGGGCCATGGGCGCCGCGCCGGTGCCGTAGAACTGGCCAAAATCCAGATCCAGCCATTCCGGCTGGACGTTCTTAGCCGGGACACAACCTTCATCGTGGGCATAGCCTTTGTGTCCGTGGTCCACAGGCTGGCCTGCCACGGGGTACGAAAGCCACAGTTCGTCCATATGGATGGGCCAGACCCTTGCTAATGGCCTGCAAGCGAGGAGGGGGTTTTTGCTCGCGAGTGGGTGGAAGAGGTGGTTACCGGCAAGGTGCGAGAGGTGAAGCTCGAAACATGATGGAAAGAAAGCACCAAGACTATGTTGTCCAGAAGACGAACTTTGGAAAAAGAGAGAAGTGTGCGTCTAGAGTCCGGAATTCGCCTTGAGCGCGGGGTCGAGAAATCTTGTTCACGTTTTGGTAATGAGAGCGGGTGGATGGTGATGGGTGAGGACCTTGATGGTCGCGCGATGTCGTCGAAGGGAGCTTTTTGCCTGCAGGGGTATGAAGTACTCAGTTGTACAGTACTCTGCTCCATAGACTGCCTAAAGATTACTCATTTGCACACTACAATCGTTATCCGCAGCCTACCAAAGTCACTTACTTAAGCAGCCAGGGGGATAAGCACCCTGACCACTCAGGCCCACTCTGAACTATGACAGTCGCAGATTCCAGTGCATTCATTCATCTTTGATCGTGTACATCGTGACTTTCCTCATCTATTAGCAAAAAGAGTGAGAAAAGTGATTTGAGACGGCCACAACCTTTTAATCAGATCTGATCCCGAACCTACCCACACACACACAGCAGAGAGAAATCTCCTCCATATACGGTTTGGTCCTGCCGCCCTGAAAGCGGGGCCGGTCATCAACAGCCACTCTGGGGGAAGACGCCGAGGACGCCCTTGAGGATCTGGCACCGACGCAGTGACACACGCAAGGACAACAGCCCTCAAACCAGCATCACACGGACCACTTTTGCGGCTGATCGCATATGATTGCCTAGTGTACACCTTAATTGGACGTCAAGTCGCAAGAAAAAGCCTCCTTCGTCTTATCAGTGGGATACCAAAAGAAAAAGTGAAATAGAACAAACCCCGCCCCCCTTTTCGTGGCACCCGCTCAGACCGTATATCTTCCGATCATGGGCGCCCTCTGCGGCAAAGAGTCCAAGACAGACGCCTTTGCTGGCCAGGGCAGGACCCTCGGCGCCACGCCTGAGCAGAGAACTTCAGCACCGCTTCCTGCCAACAAGCGCGTGGTCGGTGGGCCGCCGCGGACGCTCGGGGGAGGCCAGACTGGCGACGGAGGCTCGTCCAGTGCAGTGAGCCCGGCGGAAGCAGCGCGCCGGGCTGCTGAGGTAAGGGACAAGCCCCCCAGACAGGTCTAAAGATAGGGAGCTGTGACTGACACTGAGCGAGCAGGCGAGAGAACAGGCTGCCAAAGACAAGTCTGGAAAGCTGGGGCAGCAACTGCGGCAGCAGAAGGGCATGACAGATAATGAAGTTAACAAGCAGGCCAACGCGGATAACGAGAGGGACAGGCTGATAAGGGAGAATCAGGAGCATATGAGTTATAATTAAGTTTCTACATTTGGAGGTCTAAATCCCAGTATTTCCTGCCGCACTGCTTGAGTTTCAAGATGGACGCAGTGTATTGGAATGGGCTTCATGCATCATTGGTGTACTGAATGTGTTTCTTCTGAGAGTCCCAATGTGTGTGCGCGTGTGTGCATGTATCACACTCCTCCTCTTATCTACCAAATTGAGGACCTCTTAAAACCTCTCTCGACGTAGCCCCTCTGGGTCATTATACACACACACACACACACACACACACTCTCTCTCTCTCTCTCTCTCTCTCTTTGTATGAGTGCATCAGACTCTCTTCCCCTGCGCCAGCAACTCGGACACTTTTGGTGGTAGCACTAGTGCGCTTCTGTCATTGCGCCTATAGAAGTCGACGAGCACCACGGCTGTGTCCTCAGGTCTATCCTCATGGAGGAAATGGCCTGCCTCTGGGAAGATGTGTAACGAGTATTTGCCTATCACCCTTGTCAGCTGTCAAGTTTCCCAAATGGCATTGGGTATAGAAAATCGTTACCCTGCATCTGTCCAATAGTAAGGGCTGTATCCAGCCTGTCTGTTCCAGCAAGGACGAGCATCTTCCCGCCCTTGGCCTCGAGGAACTTCTTGCTCAGTCCAACGAACCAGTCCGCCCAGAACGGCTCCGTGGCAGCGAGGTCGGTCCTCCACTTCCAAGGCCTGCTACCGCCTGGAACCTCACACAACAGTCCGGGCACGCTGGTTCGTGCGGATATGGGGCTTCGGATGGTTCTTGAGCGCATGTGCCAGTCGATCCCGGCCTGGATAGATGCAAAGCCTGTCGGACGCGTCGATAGATACGTAGTCATGCTCTGAAGCGCGTCCATGGCCGATCCCTCGACGACGTCCAACACCGTGTAGCCAAGCAGGGAGTTGCCCAGTGCATATGATTTGGCGAGATCAGTGACGACCGCCCCGCCAAGTGAGTGGCCCACGAGCACGATGGCCGGCAGTTCTTTCCAGCCCATCTGTAGCTGCGTCTGCTGGATGACGGACAGCAGATCGGTCCTCAGCGTCTCCAGGCTGTAGTCAAGGGGAGCCGAGGCGACAGTCGAGCCATGGCCGCGCGCATCGAGTGACAGGATGCCTGCGTTGGGCAGTTTCTTCCTGATTTCTGCTCCCACGACCGCGAACGAGAGGCCTGACGACCCACCTCCGTGATGCATCACAAAGAGTGGGCCTTTGTCAACGGGTGACGTCAGGTAGGCATGGTGGGTGATGCGCGGGTTGCCGGCTTCGTCTGGCTGGCTGGGCAGGAAAAGCTCCCTCTCGAAATACGTCGTCCATGGGATCGGGTCAAGAGTCCTGCCGCCACCTCTTGGAGGGCTGCTTCCGTCTGGTTAACTCCCAGTCCCTCTTGTGGCTAACGACGCAGAACCCCTGATCTTGAGTGGTTTTCACATACCCTAGAGGCCTTGCAAATAGGTTCCTGCTGGGTGTTGGGACAATGGTGCCCGTCGACGATGCTGATGAGGCGGACGAGGAGGAATCGTCATCAACGACCTCGGGAAGCTCAGGGAGGTAATCTGACTCCTCCTCTTCTTCCTCGTCGAGCTCGTTAAACGCCTCCGCACCATTCAGCTCCATCTTCTTCCTCGCCCAAGCTTTCTGCAGGTCACTCATGTTGAGCGAGATGATGTGGTCAACTTCAGGGTCATCTGGTGCGCGCTCTGCCGACAAGCTAGAGCCTATTATTAACCAGAGGGGCGAGACTTCCAACTGGGCAACGGGTGGGATTCGCTTGAACACGGCAGATGTGACCGAGGCTCTTGAGCACAAGGGAAAAAAGAAGAAGGAATAGGCGGAGTGCTGAAAAATCAATCAAATAAAAAATGGCTGTTTTGGACTTCTGCAGTCCCAGCCGAACCTCAAGTGCAGATTGTGTGTAAAGACAGGAACATCAAAAGCCTCGGCCCATTGCTTTGAAAGTCAGTGACATCCAACAGGACAGTATTCAAAGAACTTGGTATACTGTACAGTATCTCCCCGCGCGGTAGCCATCAGGCTGCTGACTCATTGGTTGTGAGCAACAGTAGACCACAGTGCGAATACATCTCGAATTATCAAGCAGCTTCAGCGCCTTTCATCCAGAAATTTGCCAATATTGAGGGTATCTGGGTGAAAACCAGACCTCGATTCGAGCTGGGTCTTCTCATGGGCATCTCACAGCCAAGTTCGGCGCAGAGAAAGTCATCAATGTCAATGACGGGCGGGATCTTCCCATTTCTCACATACTTGGAATGTTCTTCGTAAGGTGACTTCAACCACGAGACATGACTGAGTTAACATGAAACTCCCCCTCCCCCACCTTTATAAAGGTCAAGAACCGCCTGCGCCTTCAGCAGGATTGTTCATGGATATCTGTCTAGAGCCGAAAACGCCAGCAATGCAAATGCTCCGGGCAGGTGATCCTCTGCCCGCTCCTGTGCCGCCCCCCTTATTTTCTTCTCCGTAGGACATACACATCTTTTACGCCGACAGCGCAACTGCAGTAGCAGGTTGAGATGATTCTGACATTGCTTTCTCCGTCGTCGACGCATCCGTTGTCCTCTGACGCTTAGCAGAGCTGTCCTCGTCCTTTGAATCATCGGTCCTGCGCTTCTCACTGCCATGAGCAGCAATCTTTGGTATGGCCTTGGGATCCTTCGTAAGTTCAACTGCCACATCGACCGCCTTGGCTCTCTCGACAAGGTGCGTCAGCCCCAGCGCCTCACAAAGGGCGGTATAAGTCTTGCAGGACTGCACCAGCCTGTACGCAGGCTGCTTCCCCGGTATAATCTGGTTGAGCAGGTATTTTGTGTTCCCAAACCTGTTCTCCACGTCCAGCGCAAACTCCACGTACTTTGCTGTGACCTCGTCCCATGGTGCCATGCCGCCCTCGTCTTTAGCCCTGAAGCAGCTCGAGTTCTTCTCAGCCGCCGTCGCGATCATGGCGCCATCGACGCCGTACTCGTCAATCAGCTTCGCCGCAGACTCCCGGTCCTCGACGTCTCCATTCATCAGGCACGCCACGCCCGCTTCGTGACAGATCTCCCGGACCATCCGCAGCTGGCCCCGAATCGCCCTCTCGCGTGGCCTCATCGGCGTCGTCCGGCAGTGCACCGTCAGTGCTGTGATGCCCGTGGCAACGAGCTTCCTCACCAGCGCCTCCGTCTCGGCCGGCGTCTCCAGAATGCGTATCTTTACACTGACGCCGATCTGGAACTCGGGAACGATGGCCTTCACCAGTGCTCTTAATATACCAGCCAGCTTGTCCGGGGTCCGCAGCAGTGCCGCGCCCATGCCGTCGTGTGTGCTGAAGGGTTTCGGGCACCCGGCATTCACGTCGATGCCCGCGACATCGGGTGCGACCAGCCGGGCGGCGGCCACCGCGCGGTCTGGGTCTGAAGTGCCGATCTGGAAGATGTGCTTGCTGCCCTCGCGCTCGGGGTGTAGACGGTAGATGATAGATTCTCTGGCATGGGGCGGCGGCTGCTTCTGCCCGTAGGAGGGGACGCGAACGAAGTCGATGGTCTTGAGGGTCGGATTTGGCCGTCGTACTGCGCCTATCATGGAGTAGTCAACGGTCTCGGGGCCTACAAATACAGAGAGAAGAACGTGTCAGTTCACGGGTATGTTTCCTCCCCAAAAGCGAGGTGACGAGCGACCATAGAGAGACTGACCCCATACCAAGTCGGCGCCATAGTGCAGCGCAAGGAGCCGCGACGGTAACTCGCCCGACCGCACCATGGGCGCTAGGACAAGCTTGCCCCGGTAATCTACGCCCCTTGGAGGAATGGGCACCTTCTTGGGAGTCGCCTCAGACATGATAAGAGATCTGAGGAAACGGAGAAGCATCACTGCACCCTGGGTGTTGATGTTGAAAAGGGCCAGGATACAAAATCGAAGGAAGAAAAAAAGTCCATTAGCGGATAGTGGCGGTTCTGCCTCACATTGGAGAACCGTCTATCCTAGTGCCCTTCTGCTCTTTCTTTGGTTGCCAACTACAGTCTAGACTGATTCTAACCCGTGCCTATTCTTGGCAAGGAATGCCACACTGAAAAAGAAAAAAAGAACAAAAGAGCAAAAGGAAACGTCCTCTGAATGAGGACTTTTCTGGAGGCAACAAGGTTCGAACTCGTGACCTTTCGCATGCAAAGCGAACGCGCTACCGCTGCGCCATGCCCCCGACGATGTATCGCCGAATTCAGTTATTTTAGGCGAGAATGTTGTGAACTATATTGTTACGCTTTTAATTGGCTCAGGACGAAGGAAAATTTTCATTGCAAATATCAATTTGATGAATGTTGAATATCCAAAGTGTCACTTATTATAATTTTACTAATGAAACATGTGAGAAATCTTTTCTTTGCGACCACAAATGTCATAAATATTCGAAAGACTTTCCATGTACACGAGGCAAATTAACAGGCTGAGATGCCTGCATAGTAAATTCGGTGCCCAAGATCTTCACAGTCAGGAAAATGTGAAAGATCTTCTATGCGAGGGCAAAAAAGCTCGTATTGCAGTGCGCTAAAGAGAAGAGAAAAGAAGAGAAAAGCCACGAGGGCAACTAACTGAGGCTATCAACAGGTCTGGCTGTTGGCTGGCTGGCTGGGCCGTGCACGGCCTAGGGCCAGTGACTCACTGGCCCTCGCACATCTTCTGTAGTCTATAAGGCCTTGAAAGAAAGAGAATTAAATCAAGTAAGATCCGATTGAACATGATGTGGTGATGTGGTGGTTTCTTTTGAGAAGAGACGCCTTCAACCACCATCACCCTGGCCTTTTCGCCTCGTCCCTCTGCTTCACCAGATCCGTTTCAAAATCTAGCCCAGCCTGTCTTCGCAATACGCCATACATGGAAGATGAGTCCATCGCCCTGCCCTTCTCATCTGAGAACGCCTTGGCCTCCTGCAGATGCGCAAGTGCCAGCTCCCCCACGGGTAGCCTCGCCCCGGCGTCCTTCGCACAACCGATCCCGTGCCCGACATCCTTCAGCGCAAGGTTCAGGTCCGACCAGGGCCTCTCGTCCTTGGCCGGCATGTATGCGCCGGTAGTGAGCCTCTTGGACATGGATAGTGCCAGCGGGCCATATTGCTGCTCGATGAGGGACTCCATTGCCTCGCTTCCCACACCGGTCTTCTCGGCGAAAACGTGGGCCTCGGCGACGACTTCCATCATAGCTGCCGTCATGAAGTTCCTGAGGTTTTCAAACATTAGCCAATGTCACTCCAACTTTATTCCTCCCGTGACACTTTTAAAGAAAGGGGGAAAAAAAGGAAGAATGACAGCTACGAAGCTGAGAGGGGAAACACGCACCCTGCCGTCTTGAGCATGCTCGACTGACTCACATCCTCACCGAGCCGAATCACGCCTCTCCCCATGACACCCACCAGGTACGGACTGATGGCCTGCACCGCCTCATCCGGCCCGGCCAGGATAAACAGCAGTTTTCCCTGCGCAGCGACAGGGCTGGCCCCAAAGACGGGCGCCGCAACCATCTTGACTCCTTCCTGTGCCAGCCGAGCCTGCGCTCTCGTGGACGATGTAGGGTGGACCGTCGACGTGTCCACGATGAGCTTGCCCGAGAGCCCGCTGCTGGCCTTTGCCGCCTCGATAATGGCATCCAGCGTCGAGGACAGCGCCGCGTCGTCGCTGAGAGACAGGAAGATGACGTCTGACCTAGAGACGAGGTCTCCCACGTGGACACAGGGCACACCGCCGATGGCCTTGAGCGGCTCGCCCCTGGCCATCGTCCGGTTGTAGTAGTGCAGGTTTGTATTGCGGGAGGCCGACAGGTGTTTTTGTAAATTCACGGCCATGCCGATGCCCATGGACCCGAGTCCTTGCACTGCAGTCAGTACTCTTGCAGCATTGCTGCCGGACTGGCCTTGACCTACCTATCCATCCTAGCCGGGCAGTGGGCGTTGTTGTCGCCGCGTCTTCCATTTCTTCGTGCGATGGTGAATCGGCCAAGGAAAATTGGTGGTCTCGAGCCAGACCCCAGGTGCCTCATAAAAAAAGATGATGTTCATTTTCTCTAACTCACCTGCCATAAGCCGTGGACCGGAGGAGTTTGGAATACAGTGGAAGGAGAAAGGAGGGGTGAGGGGTGAGGGGTGGGGGCATCTGGACGCGGGCGCCGGCCTAGTACAGGATTGGCCTTGGTCAATTCCAGACACATAAACAGTATAAGTTTTACAACACCATGGGCTACGAGCAACGGATAAATGAGACAAGAGACTTCACAGAATGACGCCTCAATATCGTTTTCTTGATTCCTATAGATTCTAGATTTAGTAGCGAAACTACATTGAACTGCTTTATCTGTTGAATGTAACAGCAATTTCGATTCACTGCTAGTAATTATTACCTGGGAGGATGGTAGTAATGACCTCGGATAGGCTTGATAAAGCAGATGGTGTTCGGTCTTCACAGTCAATGCATGGCAATCATGTTTATACTAGTGAACAGGTAATGCTTGATGTTTTAGAAGACTTTTGAAATTATATTTGTGTTTTAAGCTGAGATTAGACACAATCGTTCCGCAGCAGTCTGGCCAAGCTCATGATCCCAATGCTACCACAAACACCATGCGATGCCATGTTCCAAAGAGAGACAAAAAGCACAAGAGAAGGAAAGAAAGGGAAAAATAGCAGAACTTGATGCGAAGCCTGTCGTGAAAGTCATACTAATCCAATTTTCCAACATTTTATTTCGATGTTTCTCTCAAAAAAATCGGCCGTGATGGCTGCAATTGAGGTTTAGTTGACAGCGATGCGCCGGCTCTCGTGCTTCTTGGCCTTGGGAACCACGACGCTCAAGATGCCATTGTTGAGGTTCGCGGCAACGGCCTCCTGGTCCACCGGGGTGGGGAAGCTGAACGTCCTGGAGAACTCGCCGACGGACCTTTCCGACACCCAGAATTTTTCCTTGGGCTTCTGTTGCTGCGGCTCAGCCTTGGTGATCTGGGTGCCTTGCTGTTCCTTGGCTGTCTCGGCCGCCTCGTCTTCCACTGTGGCCTTGTGGGAGACGCTGGCAGTGTCCTTGTCGCTGCCCTCGGTGATGGCGCCGCTCATAGCATCGCTGCCACCGCTCTCGACGAGCCCGGCTGGCGGCGTGCCAGAGGTGTAGGTGCGCTCGCTGCGGCCAGAGATGACTAGCGTCTGAGGCTCCGAGAACTCAATGGAAACGTTCTCCTTGTCGACGCCAGGGAGTTCACCGTGAAGCTCGTAGCCCGCCTCGGTTTCCTTGACATCGAAACGCGGGGAGAAGGTCGGAAGGGCGCGGCGCGAGCCAGCCTTGGTGTTGCCCTGGGCGGAGACCTCGCGGGAGTAGTTGTCAAAGTCGTCAAGGAGGCGGAACAGAGGCGTGAAGGAGGCCTCGGGAGCAAAGTAGGAGCGTGGGAAGAAAGACATTTTGTTTGTGGTGGTTGTGAGTGGTCGCGTTGTGGTCTTGACAGTTGTTTTGTGGCGTGGGCAAGTGCGAAGCGTTCGAGGGACTCGTTTGTAAATTGGGTGCGTTCGTTGCATAAGATGTTTTTGTGAACTTTTTGCTCTTTGGTGTTTTCGCTGTTGTTGAGGATGAAGACGAAATGGGATCGTCGAGGAGCAGGAGAGTCACGACATTTTTATACCTGAGAAATCTTTGACGAAGATATCACCAAGAGACTTCGCGAACCTCGTCGAAACGACGAGGCTGCAAAACTACGTAATCATCGCGAGATGTCTAGAAGCTCGTCGTCGCGCGTAGAGAGTTCCACGGCTGACGAGAATGTGGCGACTGGTCCTGCGTTTGGGTGTGGGAGGCTGTTCCCGTACCGGGTGGTACGTACTGATTGATTCCATCACGCAATGGGCGGCCCGTCTAGAAGCTTCCAGCACCTTCACCGGCTGCAATCTTCACTTTCACTTTCATTTACTCTTACTGACTGCGGCTGCCAGCGTACGCGAGAGAAAAAAAAAGAAGAAAAAAAGATGGGAGAAGATAAGACTCCTAAATATTCGCCATGGCATCTGGACCATTGAAAACGGTACTGAACAACCATCAGGCATTACATTTTGTCGGTTTGTTATGATGGTCCTCAGCCTTGGGGGAATGGGCTCGTCCGTTTGACAGCGTGACGTAGTGGCGAAACCCCGACCAGGCTGCCAGGGTTGCCAAGTTGCACAGCAAGCCGCAAGGACAAAAAGTGCAGTGGCACCCCCTAGGGTTGGGGTTCACCCAGAGAAGGGTGTGTCCCCCCCCAGCGCACACACCTCAAACCGACGCACTACGTCAACCTAAGAGGGTGGTCTCCAAATTAGTCGTCCCAGGCCACATGCAACTTACACTAGTGCAAGAAACGACGGCATCTTTCAATGCGCAGGTTCTTCTGCTTTCCAGGAAGTGATCGACTATTCAGCCACGGCATTCCCAGTCTCAAGCCACAAGGGATACGTTGGCTCACCATCTTCTCTCTTTTCTTTTTCTCCATGGTCGGGTACTACCACATATTCGCCACCAGAGCTTGCAAGGGGAAGGGAAAAGTCCCGAGTTCACCAGAATCATGTTTGGTACCGCTGTTTGTATTGCCTTTTTTCTTCTACTTTTTTTTTTGTTTTCTAAACGGACCTTGGGGGGTGTCTATATTTTTCTTGCTGTTGCTGTGTCTATTTTCCGCCGTAGATACGACCATTTGACGTAGCTGCATATGCGGACTTCAGCTCTCTCTGCCTGACCTGCAGATCGATCCGGCCCAATGTCTCTCCCTTCAAGTAGATAACAAGGCTGCCACCCCCTGGTGACATTATTGCCACAATAGATCTCCCATATGGTTGCCGGATGAGGGTACTTATTGCCCATGTTCAAATTTCTAACAATACTGAAGAGTGACGATGAGTAAAAGTACCAGAAGAGTACACTTGAACCTCACACCCTGCAGACTTCGTAAGGTAGACAACATTCCGAACAAGTGGATACCACAATTGCTCCTTCTTTTTCTTTTGCAAACAACTCACATTAATGATATAATGAAACAAGAAGCAGAGGAGATGTCTCAGCAATTTAAGAATAGACTCGTCGAGACCTCTCGAGAACTACGCTGGCCTATCTCTCTGTCTCACCCTTTTCATTGGGGAACAAAAAACATATACTGGGAGACACCTGTCGATACGCGAGGGCGGAAGATGTCATTTACTCCGGAAGGCCAGGATCTCCTCGTATAGTAGATCTGGATGGTGGTGTACATTGGTGACTTCTCCCCACCTTCCAAGCCAGCCCCCTGGCGATCGACGAGGTCATAGAGCATACAATAAGTATTGTCTCCCGCCTTGGAGGCGGCTACTACGGCAGGCCCCCGGCCCTCCTGCGCTGAGATCGGTGCCAACACAGGGATCTGCTAGAGCTTGGCTCCTGGAGTATATTGCCTGTACTGTACATGGAATGTGAGATGCGCCCTCCAGTAGTTGCTTCTACGCATTATGTACTGCAGTATAATTGTCCTTACATGATTACTTTCCAATGACATACTGACTCCCTTCCAGCTTCCCCATGTCATCTCGATGCAACCCAGATGAAGAGCAAGATGGGGAACGGATTAAAGTTCAAGCTATGTTTTGCCTCGGGGCCCAGCAAAGACGGATAAGCTTCGCCAGCGTATGACGGCGATAATTGACAGCCGCAAACTTGGCATTTAGTATGACTCCGATGGCATTGGAATTGTTGTGTACGAAGGCGAGGGGCGAAATCTGGTGGGTGTCCTTTGGTATGTTCCATAGCAGCAGTTCCATTAGCATTGGAACTCGTTCATGTGAATCACTGTCACTTGCATGACTTGGTTGGAACCCTTCGCAAGTGTAGTAGATCCAGGTAAAAAGAACTTTTGAATTTATCGGGAAGAGAACCCTGGCCGTCGCACTCAATACTCCGTCGAGATAGGTACTCAATTAACCATCCACAATCATTCCATAGCTCTTTTGTGATTCTCGATAGCTCCGGCCAGATTAGAATATGTAACGCTTGAAGCCCCAGGCTGTCCCAGCTTTTCAAGGAGATAACTGTATAGACAATTAGGACTAAAAAGCTTCCTCGTCCTCCCAAACCGCATAATCCAGAACTTTGAAATCAAATATCGTCTTCCGAATTGACCACGTATTACTGTCCTAGGAATATGGAGGAGGATATCCCATCGGCATCTGCTGCTGCGATGGGGACATCATCTGGCCCATGCCCATCATCGGTCCCCTTGGTCCCGGGCTGTTGTGGCTGCGGTTGAATAACCCAATAAGTCGGCGGCCGACGGATGGCTCCAATTCAGTGCCATCACGAGCAATCTTGACCTCTCTGTTCGAGTTCCACGGGTTGCGCAAACCTCTACATCTGTAGAAAGGCAGTCTGGTCGTGCTCAACCACTCTAACTTGAATGGTTTGCCCCATGTCTTATTCTCGGAGTTGCCATCAAGCCCACCAGTCGTATCATCTTGCTCCGCGACGGCTGGTGCGGGTTCTTCCTGTGTTACTCCTTCGCTGGAGTCCTCTCGGGCAATCTCCCAGAAAATCGTGCCCCTTGCAGAGTCATCGATGATCCGTCCTTTGGGTGTGAATTTGGTCGGCTCCGTTGGTATTTCTCTCGGCAGGTCGACTTCATTGACGGATTGGGCTTTGGGAGCGAACTCGATAGCAGCAGCTGGATCCTCGTTGATAGTAGAAACCATTCGTGCATAGCCGAAATACTCTCCAGATTTGTTGGCCGAAAACACAAGGTAGACATTCTCTGCATTCTGTAGTTGCGTCAGCAAAGTGAAAATAGGCATATCTCTTCAATCAGTGGGTAGTCACCTTGAAGGCACTGTTTAGTGCCTCCTCATTGTGTGACTGAGTTGCCCAGATCCCAGTTCGAACACTAAGATCCAGGTCCTCAACCGTCAGACTCTTGAGAACAAAGAACCTGTCCTTCTGCGCTGCATCGACTACCGCAGGGCCCTTCGCATCCGGAGTGCCCACAGCGGTAGGGGTATCGGTATCGGCGTTGTCTGACTGAGTTTCAGTCGAGTCTATCTGCTCTATTTCCTTGACCTCCGGCGCTACGGCCTGCTGCGGAGTGGTTGCGGACGGGCCGGTTGGCGCTGTAATTCCCGATGCTCCCTCGACTGTATTTTTCCTCAAGCGACTGACAAGTCTGACAGACTGAAACTTGGATTCGTGTAGCTTCTGTTGGGCAGTGAGACAGCTGGCCTCGTCTCTGAAATTGGCAAACGCGCAATTTGATTTGGAGATTAAGAACAGGGACTCAAGGCCCTGAGCCTCCCTGCAAACATGGTGAACCAAGCTCATCAAGTCTGTCTGGGACGGCAAGTTTCCGATCCAAATTGCATGACCTGATCACATATCAACAATTGGACCGATGTATAAAGGGAGTTTCAATGCTCACCGCTTTGTCGAGGCTTTCTCGGCGGACCACGGACAACGTTGGATTGGCTATCAACTGGGGCTGCACAATCATTAGTAAATATCCTCGAAATACTCTTTGGGCTGGCATACATTGCCTCAGTTCTTGCTGAACAGGGGAAAAGGGGACGACGTTTTCCCCTGTGTCGCCTGATTGAGTTGATCCGAGCCTTGGATCTGGCTGGACTCCCACTCCAGCAAGCATGTTATAAGACCCTGGCACACCTTGATGGGGAGGATGTCCCTGTAGCGCATACGCGGGCACCTGAGCGTAGTAATACCCCATAGACGGATGGGCTTGATGATTTGACATGACTTGATTGCCGTAAAATGGGACATTGGGTCTGGAAGACATATTCGGCTGGGGTTGCGAGGGAGACATTGGGCCCCCGTAATATTGTGGCATCTGCTGCTGCTGCTGCTGCTGCTGCGGCATGTAGTAACCTTGGTTGGGCATGGAACCCATTCCAGGCTGTCCGTTGTACTGAGGCGAGGATTGCGTCTGGCCAACGACGTTTGGTGAAGCACCTGCCGGATTGTATCGCATCTGTGAACCGTTGTTCCAGGGAGCCTGTCGGTAGTTGGCCTGCGGGAGCGCATTTGCCAAGGCTGTCATGTTATAGTGGCCTGCTCGAGAAGGGACCTGTGATTGCGACATGTCGAATTGCGGAATGAACATCTGTTGCTGTGGGTTGTTGTACACCTGTTGCGGATATGTCGTTAAGCTGTCGCCCCCTCTAGCTTGAGCCGAGCTCTCACCGGCGTCTGGACCTGCCTCCGGATAGGAACTTGAAGCGGTTGACAAGTCACACCCAGACGCTGTTGGGTCCTCTCCCATTGGGACCTGCACTGAATCTTCCGTGCCCTGTAATTCAGTCAGCCCAAAACGCGTGCCGGGGACGAACACTGCCGAGATCCAAGGAATCTCAACGATAGAAAGAAGAAAAGAACGAAAGATATATCAATATACCTGCAGCGATGCGGGACGGAAGGGAAGTGAGGAGCGGAGGATGAAGCTCACTGAAATGAGCTTTGAGAAGCAAGCAGAGCAGGAGGGAAAAAAAAACTAAAACTTGAGAGAGGACTCACAGTAGTGGAGACGAGCACGTATTAGAAGGGGGAGGGAGATCCAATGTCTCGAACTAGGCAGACTTCGGTAAGAAACAGCCCGGGGGGAGGGGGGAGGCAAAAATAACGGTCGTTATTGCTTCGGCTGCCCGCGCTGTGGTTATGGTGTCCTCTAGCTCCGTCGTAGCACAGAGATTCGGTGAGCTGGTTGTCTCTCTGCAGTGGTAAGGCTTAGGCGCAAGCTCGTACCCCAGTGGCAGCTCGACGCAAGCTGTAAAAGAAGAATGTCCAGCTGCAGGGATGGGTAGCGCCCAGGGGAGGGCAGAGATGGGTCGCGAGGGGCCTGTCTACAGGGAAGGAAGCCAAGAGATGGGCTCGAGGACCACGAAAGGGGAGTCCCTGGAGTCGAAATCTTCGCCACAGCTTCCAGTCGCCTTCTGTGTGGGGAGTTTGTGGGCCGTCTGATATGCTTGTCCCGGTAGATGGGGACGGTCACGTCTGTACCTGGACCAGAATGGTGCTGAGATGAGAATGCCCCCTAGCTTTGGCTCCTCACTGGGCCGTTTCGAAGAGACTATGGACAGTTAAGGTCAAGGGGACCAAGGCTGCCCGAGTGACCAGAGGCGAGGTGGGGGGACGATAGTGGTGTAGGAGCTGGTCTGGTGGGAAGAATATGCCCTGCGAACACCCGTAGCTTTGTGTTAGAGTGAGTGTCCTGGGGGAACACCTGTTCAGTGAGGAAGTGACCAAGGACTAGGTCAGTCCTGCAGGCTGGAACAAGGCTAGTCCCAAAAGCTGGTAGACTGGTAGGAGGGAACGCACAAATGATGATCAAGTGACGATGACCATTCCTGCCGATGAAAAGCGATGGTGTAGCAGACGTTGTCTGGGATCATCCTATAACAGTGGAGTAAAATGTTTATATTGGGAACAGAGATAGTTGAAAACCTTCAAGCTCGGTGGCCAAAAAAATAGAACCTCCGGGCGAGGTTGCTGTCACTGAAGGATCCCGAGTGCCAGCGTAAGTCATGACATGGAACGAGGGTTGTGGAGATGGGGCAAGTGGACAAGAAGGGAAAGGGAAGGAAGAAGAAACCAAATAGAATACAAATAAAATTTCCTTTAAGTAACAAAGAAGGAAAAAAAAACCCCCCCGAACAAGGACGAGAGGATGTTCGAAGTGCTAGCGGTAGCACCCTGGAAGAGTGGCCAAAAGTATACGCCATGGGGATGGGTGGATAAGAATGCAGGTGTTGGTAAAGAATGGGAGGAGGGGTGTTGCTATAGAGAGATGGCGTACGTCGAAGAGGGCCCGCAGGGACGACGGCGATTGGCATATGAGCAGATGGGAAATGAGGGGCTATGGATGGGTAATTTCCATTCCTGGATGATTTTTCGATCGGTATCAGTTCCCATGCAGACGGGATGGTCCCTCCAAGGTCCGGGTTGGCTTGGGTACTTGGATGGGGATCCCCTGACCAACGCTTTCGCCACCCGCTCCGCCGTACTGCTGTACCATCCTCGAAGTCGAGGACTTGAGCCACATTTGTTCTAGGCTCTTCTCCAAGCCCCTAGTAGCCCCTTGTTGGAAGGCATTTTGTTCGCTGTTCATAGGCGTGATAAGGCGGTCACTGCAAAAGCAGATGCTGTGCTATAGCACAGTACAGTAGTACGGCCACACCATGCCTCTGATTTTGGGCTCTGTCAGAAGAACCCTGGTGATCAGTCTTTTGTTTCTCCCCCTACAGCACCCATCTTGGCTCGTCCGCCTCCTGAGGCCATTCTCCAGGTGAGGACCCACGGTATCATTATGTACCGGATGGATCCTGTCTCATGGCGTTTTTTGGTACTATTTAGCTTCTTTAGCCCCGGTGATGAGAGCGTGGCCCTGAAAAGCAAGGAATATGCATTGAAAATGAACTTACCGGCCGTCTGGGGCCTAGAATCTTGCCGGTTACAGCAATGCCGTGGTGCTCTGTTCACAAGGACTCCGTGTATAGCGCAACCTTTCTCTTCTTCTCTTTTTCCTCCTTCCTTTTTTCTTCTTTCCTTTTCGTCGTGTTTTTACTAGACTTCCAGTTGTCACCCCCCTACCTCGTGGGGAAGTATCGTCTCGGCAGTGGACTCCAGCGTACTGCTACTGTCTGACATCGGCGCGTGCCATGGTGGCACCATTTCTTCCCGCTCATCACTACGACCCCTGACAAACGTCAACCTTGGGTTTTTCATGACATCACGACGAGATAAACCGAAAAGGAAGAAAAAACGAAGAGAAAGAAGAAGAACAAGTACTCCGCCGTGTGCTTCTCTGTATCAGCCTAATCAGGTGCGAATGACGGAATAAAAGTGTATCTTGCCTTGGCTACACGAGCTGGGTACATATGTACATATTAGGAGGGGCGAACGGGGTCACTGGTGACGGAAACATGAATCCACCGGATCATGAGGACCCCTTGGGTCCATCAGGATGGGCAAGCACTGCGGGAAGACTGCTGTAGGGCGCTGATCGCCCTGGGCAAGGAGGGTCCCGGGATTATCTCTATACGTCGTGTTTGTCTCCTGGCCAAAGCAGCCGACTAAAAAGACCAATCGAACCCTCCCCCCCCCCCCCCAAAAAAAAAAACCACGTTGAGCCCTTGCATTGCAAGATGCCAGTGCATACCTCGAGGCGAGGCAGTATGTTGTGAAACGGTAACAGCAGGCTTGAGGTGGGAGCTGAAGAGTGGTTGCTCCAAGTAGGTACTTCACAGGAGCCAGCCAGGGATAAAAATTTTCATACTACCACAGTACCACTACGTACAAAAATACGATATTGTCGGCAGGAGCCGCACCAACGGGGTCGCACCCCACTGCCCGATGGGAGAGGCTGAGACTTCATGAGTCGTGTTAAAGTTACTACAGTGTAGAAGTTTTGCGGGAGCGGCGTGGGGACGATGACGACAGAAGCGTCCAAGAAGCGTGAGAGTGACGAGAGGGATGATCTGCCTGACTCTCTCAAAAACATTAGCTCAGCTCGTCAGGATGTTTAAAGCTGTCCTCGTTGTACATTCCACAACAAAGGTCCATACCCAGACTTTTCCAAGGTGCTATGAGATCGAGGTCTTCGTCATCCTGGGCCGGGGTGAGGCACGCCCGGCTGGTACTACCAAAGAGCAGTGGGTAGGATTCTGATCGTACTGTGCTCAGCAGAAACGGTGCCCCAACTCGGACTCTGCTTGGAAGGGTATCGTGCATGAGAATTCTGCTCATTTAGAGGTCGTCTCTGGCCCCAAGGGTGTGCCCCAAGGGTGTGCCCCAAGGGTGTGCTGCATTGCTACACTGACAGTCTGCTGTGTTAGGCGTCCTGTCAAGTTGGGCTTCGGTTGGAATGGACGCAGCCACATCAGATCTCGATAGCTTTTCATTAATTCGCTGTATCCCTAATTCGGGTTTCAGATCATGCTAAAGTGATAATATTCCATCAGGTCCCCGCCCGATAAGTTTTGCCTTTCCCTCTTCAGCCTGCCACTGGTGGACCGAGATATCCCTCTGGACTGGACTCGACCTGGACTACTACTGGGGTGTGTCTCACCTGTTTTCTTCTTCTTCTTCTTCTTCTTTCCTCTTTCCTGTCTCTCATATGCCTTGGCAAGGGTCCAGAAGTCTCACAACAGCAAGCATCGAAGATCCCCATTGCCCCCACATGCGATGCAGCATGCAGAAGGAAAGGAGGAGGGGGGGCATCATCAAGAACTGGAGATATTGCGTCATGGTTCCTGCCGTCGTCCGCAGGGGTGGTTTGTGATTGATCGCCGGATGAGCATTATCCCTGAACACACCTGTGGCTGGAGCGTGGGGAAGCGGCCAGGGTCCTTATTCAGGGTCCTTCTCCACCTGCCCGTCTTTCTAGACCAATCGACAGGCGCAATTGAAACCTGTCAACTTATGACGTCATTTCTACGACGGAGCGCCTCTTCCGATGCTCAACATTTTCCAAGATCCCAAAGGCACGATAGCGGGACGCAGCAAGACGCAACAAAAGACGCCTCGCAGACCACCTAGTCATCATTCTGCTTGGGAGAGACAATTTGTAGCAGTGGGCCTGGAAGGCAAGACGTCTTTTGGTCAGCGCTGATAGCGCCGACTTGCAGCAGGACCGCCTGCACGGTCGCGACAATCCCCGGAAGTTTATTTCGGGAGAAATGGGGTCATCATCAACGTCGGCCGCCGTCGACAACCCCCCTAATGAGGCAATGATAGACTCCAGGAGGCTGACCCTGTTCTTGCGCCCGCAACAGAATACTCAGATCGTTACCTATGACACTATTCCATACTTGGGCACCACGGCATAAGGGCCTCAGATTGCAGGGCACCCATGCCTCCCATGAACACTATCAGGCGCTGATGCTTCGATAGCATCATACATACTCGGTTCCTGGCGTGCCCTGTTCCTATCAAATAAGGTGCAGACGCCGTCACCTCACTGCGAGGCCTCCTCAAGGGATCCAGGCCAGGCCTTTTGCTGTTCCCCCCAGGTGCCGGCTCCCGGTTGGTCCGCTACCGAGGACACTCAACCTGCCGATCCGCTTCACAAAAGCCAAGAGACTGTGCTACATGGATACCGTACCAGTCAGTTTCTAGAAACGCCCCTAAGGTGCTGTACAGAGTGGCAAATACGTGGGTGGAAACCGCTTTATCATGGTATGCCAGCCGCATAGACCTGCCCAAAAGACCACAAGGCCTTGTGCTGCGGGGCCCATGTCTTGTCATGCTGTCTTCCCCGATACAACTGTGGACCGACTTGTTGGTGACAAGCCCACTTCTACATCCAACATCTTATGGTATTCCCTGTCTAGGTGCGGACAGACGAAAGCCCGAGAGGCAGCCTAGGCGGTACTCCAATGAGGTGGGTTGAGGCCATTCTTGACCCTTGACGGCCCGTGTTGAGAGTGTAACTCTTCTCCGCCAAATTTTTTTTCTTACTATAGTAGATTGGGTAGCCGACTAAGCCTCGCCGTTGCCACTCTCTTAAGTTGTTATTGACTATGTGCTTCATCTCACCTTTTTTTCTCTCTTTGTTGAACATGCCACCTATGATATGATACCAAGTGTGGCCGTACCCTTCGAGTCTATTCGATGACTTCCGAATCCTCGTATTCAGTGGCAGAGACCCGGCATGCCAACATCCCTGGGTGAGCTGAAGGGAGCTATCACTACTATAAATACCTCGTTGTGGCATGATTTGCGCTCTACGCTGAAGCTCCTCGCGTGGTCAAACCACCCTACCGGCAAGGGACCATCCCCGTACCATGACTACTTATGACAGTTTCTCCATCTGGGGATTGAAACAATCGATCTATAACCCCTGTAGTAATTATCTAATGTCATCTTTTTGATCTCATTTGTCATACGGCCCATGCAGGCTGATACTCAGGGGTATCTGTAAACGACCCTCTGGATCATAGAGGGCCTGATGTTCATAGGCTGGTCCAAGTATAGACAATCTCCCATGATGGTGGGTATAGTACAATTTTTCCGATGTTGTATTAGATCTCTTGTTTTCGTTGGTATGTGAGGAAGCCGTGTAATTTCAGCTGCAGACAAGACATTTCAGATTGTTGGTCGACGCCGTGATACGCTGTTCCTTCTGCAATGATTTGTCCAGTCAAGATCTCGATACACATTCATCTGTTGACACTACTGTATAGCAAGCGCTGTGTGTGAGGTCTCGACTTGTTCCTAAACCTCGTGCAGAATCTAGCGCCTCCAATCTCAACCGTAGAAAGTGTGCCAGCTTTTCTTCATAGAGACACCGACAGGCTGCTCTCGAATATCTATCCCCACACACACAGACAGCACAAAGCTTTCGTAGACTATCCACAGGCAGAAGTGAGTTGATGGTCGATATAGCCTAAACAAAAATCTTTCCTCGATCTCCTGCATAAAGTAGCCTTTGGTTGAGTGTCATTCTCAAATACTACCCTACACCTGAGCGCCTACTTTCCGAGACAATTGACGGGTCAGAACGTAGCGCGAGGGCCATCTCTTTCGTCAAGGCCCCTGCTCAGCAGGATATCTTGACCAGCCCGTTCGCGTGATCCAAAGATGTGAAGAGAAGGCTTCCAGACCGCTTTCATGACGTTGACATGCAGGGTCAGGAAGGGGATTGAGAAAAGAAGAAAGAAATACTGCAGCCCGAGAGGGGCCCGTTGTACGAATGGGTATAAGCACAATCCATTGAATTGAACTTCATAGAATGACTTGTGACTTTCACCAAGTAGGCCTGGGAAGCCAAAGTAGCAGTGCGTCGGGCAGAAATGCATGCATATTGCACTGCAAACTCGGCAAAGGAAGGCGAATTGTATCTATTATTGTCCGTTGGCAAACAGCATTTGTGGACACTTCACGCCCAAAGAGTGGGGTTGAGGGGGGCTATCGATCACTGATCGTTGACTGCAACACCCCGATAGAAGATAAAGATTGCTTCTGATGATATTGTTCTCAGACCACAGCCTATGCACCGAGGCCAGGGTGGCAACCTTCAGGCCAACGTCATGCTGCATATGATCTTGCAGTTGATTCTCCGACATAGCCGGGCGACGCAGTTTAGGCGGTGGACAGGTCCGGCATTCAACATGGCAGAGCACAATGTGCGATGTCACAGTGAAAGGTCAGTGCGAGCTGCAGCGAATGAGACCATGCACGCTTTGGTTCAGACTGATATTCTAATTACGTAGCCTCATAGTCGAATGACCCTCATGTCGTATCGTACAAGCCAAGTGATTGACCTTGCTAGAGGAAACTCTTGTTCCCAACTTGCTGGTTTAATCTTTCTTCAGAGGCAGAAGGACCTCCTCAATACCATTTGCAGTGATGATCATCATCTGCAGACCATCACCAACCTCAATGTGTCTCTCCACTGCACCGTCAAACGCATCCTTCACCAAGATCTCCACCTCTCTCCTGGGGAGTGGGTTCTTTGGGCGCTCCTGCAGCGCATGTCCCTCGCCGCTGCCCGGTACATACTGGTTCTTGAAGTTGACCTGGTTATCTAGGAAGGGCATGATCAGACTGGCAGCGGCGCCGCCCGCGCGGCACATCTCGCGTTCGTAGCTGCCAACCGGGTCGTAACTGTAGACGGCTCCCTTGCCGTCCTCGTCCAGGCCTCCGAGGATGGCGTAGGCGTAGTATGGGAAAAAGCGCTTCTGGTAGAGGATGGTCGACAGCCGCTTGGCGCAGGCGTTGACGCTCATCGGCTTGCCATGACGATACCGGTACATCTTGCAGATGGTGTCGAGGCGCTCCTTTAGGGCCTCGCCGTCCGCCGCGAACCCACACACCGACAGCACCAGCGTCGCGTCGTGCTGGTCTGCGGTGCTGCCGCCCACCTTGAACACCTTTGGATAGTGCCGCGTGTTGATGCTGTAGCCTGCCGTGTGCCGCGTGTCGCCGGCCATGATGGTGAAGTCGGCGCCTGCGATAGCCAGGATCGAGCCGCCGTTGTCGGTGTAGCTGAGGTATTGATGATGAGCCGGGGAGCAATCATAGATATGGAATCATGGGGACGTAGAGACCTGGGGAGTTACTTACGGGTCAAAGCGGTGCTGTCGGAAGCCATCGTTATGGGCTGTGGGTGCGTCGTTGAGGGCGTAGTTGGGCCCGTTCATGAGGGGATTCTGGCTGAACATGGCAGCCATTTTTGCGGTGTGAACGTGCGCGAGAGGCTGAATGATTTCTCAATGTGGCAAAAGGTTGGTTTGGTGATGCTAGAGCGTGTTTGTTTGTTTGTGGTAGCAGGAGTTGGGCTGTTGGTAATAAGATCAAGGCTGGAAGCGCTGTTGAAGCCCACCGAGTGAGGTCCGTCGTCGCGTCAGCCTTGCCTGCCTGGCTGACAGGGGTAGCTCCTGACTAAGCAGGCCTGGGCGGGCTGGAGGTCTGTTTTTTTCGGTGGAGCGCTGCAATCTGTTCTCGAAGCTCTGTCTGTGGCGGGCCCTGGGCAATCTCCGGGGGTATGGCAACAACAGGGAACGGCACAGCCGCCAGGGGGAGGATTTAGGCCGTCACCGCGCTGCTTATTTGGGGACCGCGACATCAACTACAACTGCACTCACTCTGGCTGGGCGAGCCAATGTATTTTTGTTTGGTTTTTTGTTTTTGAAGAGTCACTCATTCACCTGGCAGGCTGTTGGCGCTGATGATAGCTTGGTCTGTTTGTTGCCGTTCCCTACCGCTGTCTGCCGCGCTGCTTCAGCTTTCAATCGCCATCCCACGTACACGGCCTAACCCGCGGAGCCCCTCCCCCCTTTCCCACGATCATGGCTCGCGACATTCGCTCCAAGGCTTTGGAGAAGATCGCTGCGCTCTCAGCCTCGAAATCAACAGCCCTCTTCGAGAAGTCTGACCTCGATCGTCTATGCAGAGCTTGTGCTAGCCATGCGCACGTCAAAAGCAAGAGTATCTCCAATGGCTCTGCCTCCGTCAAGTCACAGTCCCTGGGGCGGGTGCCCATGGTGAGCTCAGCTTGCATCACTGGCATACGGCGCGCGCATGCTGACTTCTACAGACCATCCGTGAATACGAGGTCCTGCTGGCTCTCTGCAAGGCTGCTCCGTTGGTTCAGAATGGCCAGAATGCCCAGAGGCTTACCCGCCAGCTGACTCCTTACTTACTCGATGCCCACGCACAGGAGTTCGCATCCTCGCCCTTTTTTCGCAAAATCGAGCCGTCGCCCACTGAGGCCCTTACGTTCCATGTCACGTCTGCGCTACTCTGCCTGGGGAACCATGATGAAGATGTTTACGAGACTGTCGCGGCTACAATCTCGGCGTTCTTGAGCTCCTGTGCCCACGCGACCGAAGATGCCGCACAGGGTAGGATGGAAGAGGACGACGAAGGAGATATTGAGGAGGCGATCCACGTTGCGACCATTTCCGTGTCCCTGTTGGGATTCCTCGAGGCTGCAGCCGCCCAAGCCGACTTCTGGAGAGCAGGCAGCCGCCTGTCTCTTGTCCAACGACTCCAGAGACTGCTAGGTGAGAATACTCTGGTAACCGTGGAACAGGCCTTTTCGACCATTCGGAACTCGCACTCCCAGGATCGTGCCGTGAAAGACTGGAAGAGACATGTGCGTCGCTACGCCGACAACGGCCGCCCTCTAGGATCAATATCACTTCAACAGGGGTTCATGACGTTTGTGGCATCTTCGACCTCGTTGCTGGTCGCTGAAACAAGCGCCCTGAAAAAGAGCCATGTTCTCGACCTGTTGATTTCCGGCGAAGGCCTCCTCAGGCCTGTGACTGCTAGGAGCGGAGATGGAGACACTGGCTCCGTGACCACCTACGCGAGGATCGTTGGAGAACAGTTGAGCTACCTGGATGCCGATGCGGACTTCATCCAGATGGGTTCGAGGTCGCAACAGAAGATTGCTTGCGCGATCAAATCTGCAGGCATCATCAGTTATCTCAATTGCGCCAGGCTCAACGAAGCTGCGGCGGAGCTCGAAACCCTGATGGGCTGGCTAGAGGACACAATTACCGACTTTGACCAGATGGCTGATGAGGATCTCGCATCGGTTGTTCTCCGCTCCATGGCGCTTGTCTGCAGAATGTCTCCCACGTACAGCGCTCTGGCCAGTCGACTCATGTCCCGATTCATCGTGAAAGGAGGTGCACAGAGCCACATCATCGTGACGGCTTCTCAGTGTTTGGCCTTTGTCCTTGGTATGCTATCGACCGATGCTGTCATCACCACTCTCTACACGCTGGGCAATGTGCTCAGCTCGACTACCGAGCAGAATGGTGCTGCCAAACATGATTTTGGCATCGAGAGCGACTCAGAGATATACCAGGGAAGACAGTCTACCGGAAGCTCTATATCGTTGCAGCTCAATGGCGAGGAAGAGAAGAACAAAGTTTACATGAATGTCATCGACGCGATTTGCGGAATAGCAACATTCTGCAAAGATGAGAAGATCTCTGCTCTGGCCCAGTCCATCTTGCTGCAGAAGTACGATAGGATCAACCCCTTGGTCGATGCCAAAATTATCACTGGAGCAGCGGTACTGTCGTTGAGCATCGGTCAACTCGAATTCCGTTCCCTTCTCAGAAGCTTTGCGCGCATGAGTCAATTCTCCGTCACTGAGAACAGGACCCAGATTCTTGATGCGGTATGTGCCTTCTCTAATCATTATTGTCCACTTCTCTTACTGACAGCCCTCAAGTTGATTACAGCTAGAAACCACATCTCAGCCAATCTTCGTCCAGATTCTCAGCTGTATGATATATACTGGGATCATATGCTGGACAGCATTGTGTCAAAAGGGGATGTTACCCAAACCGGTCATACGAAGGATTCCGATATCGAACTTGCAGCCAAGGAGATCGAGCAATTGCTCCAACCTCTGGCTGTCTTCATGTCTGCAAATGACCTTGCATCCAACGACTGGTCCGATGACGACTCGCACGCCATGCTTCGCGATGCCTGGTTTAACATCGTAGTCCACGGTTTCACTCCGACCACGGACCGTGGTAAGAAGTATGCAGACGACCTGCGTGTCATCGCCATACATTCACCTCCTTTGGTCGCAGAGCAACGTGGCGAACAGGTGGAGAGCGATGTGGAGCTGAACACAGTTCTTCGCCGCGGCATGAGCTCTGACAGAGAATCACTGCAGAAGAAGCACCTGGCCGAGCTGGTGCCTTCCAAGGCGTCAGAAATCAAGGGCCTTAGCTACCGCAGGGTCATCTTTCTGAGCGCTGCATATCTTGTGGAGAGCTTACGAGCCGAGTCTGGTGACTGTACCAAGGTTCTTTCGTACTTCCTCGAGCCGAGTATGCGGAGAAACGATGTGAATAATGTCATGGAGGGCATCACGGCTGTTGTGGTGGAAAAGTATCTGACCAAGACTTTGCGAGGCGTCAGCAACACGTTCTCCTCACAGTATGCGGCATCACAGCTGGCGACCATTTTTTGCACTTGCTGCCACCGGATAGAGCGCGTTCAACAGGCTGCTTATGCCTGTGCTGATCGCATAGTCCGCGAAGTACCCTCGGCATTGTGCCGCCGCTCTTCCCTATTCGCGTTGCTGGAGTTGCTATCTCTGATGTGGGCAAGTTGTCTTGAGGCAGAAACCGACTTGTACGATCCAAGGTCCACGTTTACTTCGAAGCGTGTCAACATCACGGTCGAACTATCAGACGACTATCACTTCAGGAAGTACACCCTGAATCGTCTGTATAAAGCCGCAAGAAGCTGGGTCGTGTCCGCGATGAACATTGCCCCAGCCGATGTGAAGGGCTTGTTGCAGACGCACTTGTCTGAGTTTGATGATGAGGGCGCGTATGGCCACATTTCCCTCGGACGGTCCTTTGCCATGGAAATGGGCTCCTCGATTCCAGGCACAGACCAGAGACTGATCTCGATCGATCCCGTCGGAGAATGCAGCATCAATACAGCCTCGGATTTCGTAGCGCAATACACCACGCGACAAGAATATCGCTACGCAGAGGCCTTGCCGGATCATAGCTTAGAATGGCTCACATTCATGCGCATCGACAGGAGGGCCTCTTACCTGCCTGGCTCAGAGACCGAAAGCGCCGACGCTGTAACAGCTCTTGCTCACATCGAAGGTCGCATCCTTTCGAAGAAGACCACGCCAATGGGCGATATCCGAGACATCCTGCGTCGAGCCGCCGCTATGCTCTGCCGCAGTGAGATGGGTAACGAGTGCTCTGTGGCACATTATCTCGTCAGCATCCCATTTGCCTTGTTCACGAAGCAGTCTATCAAGCTTGGCGTCTCGTTGTGGCTGGGAGTTATGAACGAGAATCCAATCTGGGAGCCCCGAATCCTCAACGAGATAGCTCAGCAGTGGGAGCTCAGCATCCATAAGAAACAGGGGCTGTTTAATACGGCCATCACATCTCCCAATCCATTCTTCTTGAAAGAGGAGTTTGCACCCAGTGATCAAGAGGGTCTCACCAAGCGCAGGCAATTGGTCCATAACCTCCTGGCTCCCCACACCCGCCTGCTACAATTCCTCAGCAGTCACTACAATGCAACTCGCTTGGGTAGTCCCGATACGCAGACGGTCTTTGTAAGACTGCTTGACATCACATTAGAGGAGTTGAAGAAATCTACGCCTCACCCGATGGCGAGAGAGCTCAGGCTGCAGATTGTCTTGTTTGGTCTCAAGGTCTTGCGGACTTCTACAACGATCGGTCCCGTGTCTCAATGGCGTCTGAAGGATAAGTTGCTGTCCGCAGCACTGAGCTGGTTTCACAACGCGCCGAAGTGGTCCTTTGGCAGCAATATGCTCCAAATCAAGACGGAAATACGCCTCATCACAGATGTCATTGCCGCGATCAAGGCCGTGGCATACATTGGAGCTCACTCTGTCGGCACTTTCCGCTCCCTACAGGCTCTTCAGTCCAAAGAGCAACTGTTGCTGTTGCTTCTTGAGAGCGAGCAGTCGAGGTTGACTGTCTGGGTCTATCCGCTCAGCGAACCACCACAGAGACCATCTACCCTCGTGCATACCGGGAGAGGCTCACTTGAGGTACTTCGTTCCAAGATACTGGTGAGGAAAGGGAAAAAATATACTGACCAGTCTCAGGCTGCAATACTTCCATTGATTCATACGGCTTGGAGCGAAGGACCTTCGCTCGCCATAGAGCTTTGTGCGAGAATTCAGTCTGTACGGATACATAAGGAAGTCCGGTCTTTGCTCCTGGCCCATCCCGAACAAGCCGTCAATGAGCCAGAGGCTCTGCCTATCCTTATAGGAAGCTCACTGCCTGCTGACCTTCCATTCCAGTTGAAGGTATGCTATATCCAATGACGCAAGAGTGTTCCTTGGGCTGACAAGTGTAGTATCTCTTGTTTTGGGCCCCGGCCAATCCAATTACTGCCGTTACATACTTCTTGCCGGCATATCGCAATCATCCGTTCCTCATTCAATACGCGATGAGGGCACTAGAAAGTCATTCTGTGGATGTGACATTCTTTTACGTGCCTCAGATCGTACAGACCCTCAGATACGATGCTCTAGGCTATGTTGAGCGATATATCATCGAGACGGCACAGTTCTCACAACTGTTCGCTCATCAGATCATCTGGAATATGAAGGCCAACTCGTACAAAGATGACGACGCTCAAATCGTAGGTTGCCAACCCATTGTTGTTGACGCTTGTTACGCAATGCTGACCCTTAGTAGCCTGACGAGATCAAACCTACGTTGGACAAAGTCATGGAACGCATGATCAACGCTTTCGACCCTGTGGATCGGGAATTCTACGAGCGGGAATTTACATTCTTCGACGAGGTGACTGGCATTTCAGGCAAACTCAAGCCGCTGATCAAGAAGTCGAAGCCTGAGAAAGCTCAGAAGATCGAAGAGGAGCTTCGCAATATCAAGGTCGAAGTCGGCGTCTACTTGCCCAGTAACCCTGACGGTGTCGTCATCGGTATTGATCGGAAGTCCGGCAAGCCTCTGCAGAGTCATGCCAAGGCACCTTTCATGGCGACGTTCCGAATCAAGAAGGAGAAGGGAGGCGTCGAACAGACGGGCGACCTAATCGAGGAGACGGTGGAGACTGGTGCACCCCCCAAAGACAACAGCTACGAGGTCTGGCAATCTGCCATCTTCAAGGTCGGCGACGACTGTCGACAAGACGTGCTGGCCCTGCAGATGATTGCGGCCTTCCGTGGCATCTTTCACAGCGTTGGTCTGGACGTATACGTCTTTCCTTACCGCGTGACAGCCACCGCTCCTGGCTGTGGTGTCATCGACGTCCTGCCCAATTCCGTCTCCCGAGATATGCTGGGACGTGAGGCAGTCAACGGTCTTTACGACTACTTCATCTCAAAGTACGGCAACGAGGACTCGCTTCGCTTCCAACAGGCCCGCAACAACTTTGTCAAGTCCATGGCTGCATACTCGCTCGTCTCCTTCCTCCTGCAGTTCAAGGATCGTCACAACGGCAACATCATGATCGACGACGCTGGTCACATCCTGCACATCGACTTCGGCTTCTGCTTTGATATCGCGCCTGGCGGCATCAAGTTCGAGCGCGCGCCGTTCAAGCTCACGTCCGAGATGGTCGCCGTCATGGGCGGCAACACGAACCACCAGAGCTTCAAGTGGTTCGAGGAGCTGAGCGTCAAGGCGTTCCTGGCCAGCCGCATGCACGTCGACAAGCTCTCTCAAATCGTCCTGCTCATGATGGACAGCGGGCTCCCGTGCTTCAAGCCCGAATCCGTCGAGCACTTTCGCCAGCGCTTCGTGCTCGACAAGAGTGAGAGGGAGGCCGCGGACTTTATGAAGGAGTTGATCAGGAAGAGCTACTCGAGTTACTCGACGGGTATCTATGATCAGTTCCAGCTGATGACAAACGGTATTCCCTACTAGGGGGGAGGGTGTATATATCAGGTGCGGCTTGTAGCACAACCAAGTCCCTTTCCGTTCTGTCCGGGTAAACCACAAGATATCTGTAGCTTGCTTGGTTTGGTACCCAAGAGTCAGTCTATTTTGCGATGTAGCTTGTCTTTAATAACATAACCAACTAGAGTCTTCTGTGGGACCTCAAGTACCAATTCACGTGTCACGTCTGTCTGTCGACTAGGCGGTTCAAGCAACCTGTGCCAAATTCATATGCCTCTACTAGTACCAGAACATGCAGGTTTCCAACCACCTCAAGACTGCTGGATTGGACAGAACAAAGTACGAGGAAGAGGAGAGGTGTGTATGTGTTGGGGGGGGGGGGGGAACGGCATCACGGGCTTACATCTGTCAAGGCTCAAGGCCCAAGAGCACTAGGGAAAGGTGAACGCGGATGCGCGGCGGTAAGCGAGTGGCTCGTACTTACAGGTGAAAGCTGAAAAAGAGGAAAGGTCGTGCACTCTTGGGAGGTCATGGACCATAACGCATTCATATGTGTATCATTTCATTTAGTTGATTACTAGTACACAACAATATGATATACGATCGCCAGGGTACAGGAAAGAAAGCCTGCTCATGCCCGAGAGACACAAGAGAGAGAAAGAACCCCGATCCACCTGAATAGACTCGCTTGCCCACACAAAGTATTTTATGCGCCATCGCTAGCAAAACACCAATAGAAGAATAACCGAGAGAAAGGTAATCTATACTGCCATATATTATGAACGACGGCCAACGCCCCCCCCCCCCCCCCACCGGCTAGTCCGTTGCTCCATGTTAATTCATTCCTGAAACCTTGGTGATGATTATGAGAGCAATGCGTCTCTTTGTAATTGTTGATATTGTTGTTCTTTTTTGGTGTGTCCGTACTCATCCTCGTCACTCGTCCACGAATTCCGCCTCTCTCCCCTGAACTTTTCCCCTGTGATCAGAGGGAAAACGACTGATGTTCCCATGGTGCACATGCACGGTCCCTATACTCGTCGGGCGGTGTTCACTCGACACGCGATGTATATCCATACCGCTTGACTCCTCTGTGTCGCCCATTGACGAGACTGATGGCGTATGATTTGATAAGGATCTGCGACGCTCAAATGGAAGGCGAGATGATCCGGATGCGGACTGCTGTTGCTCGTCCATCCTTGGGCTTGGCTGGTGATTAGGCCGATTGCCCACCGGGGTGTCAAGGTCTAGCGTCAAGCCCGGTATCAGATCCGACTTGCGCTTCGAGCTTTTTCTGGGCACTTCGGGAATTTCCTCGTTGCGGATTGTCGCCACGCGGCTGGCCTTCGACACCTTCCTGCTAGGGACGTGGAAGCTGCTGCCCGTGTCCACGTCCGGTAGGGTCGGTGCAAGACCGCGCTGGCCAGCACGGGGCACGACAGCCTCATCGCCAGAATCGTCTAGGCTGACTCTGTCGCCGTCCAAGAGTGGCTCGGTGGGAGCAGGAGCTTCGGGGCCCACCGTCGTCGGGTTGGGTTTGCCGCGGCCGTCATCCGAGTCCGAATCGATCGGCCCACTCCTCAGCACACCCATAGCGACGGGTGTTCCTTCTGGCGGGTCGGTGTCGTCGTAGTCGCCTCCTCCTGCTCGCATTGCTGGGGGCATTCTGGCGCTCCTCACGACTTCGAAACCCTTGCCCTTTTCTTTCCTCTTGCCACCAAATACATTCCTGAACCAGCCCGTAGCCGTCGCTACAGGTCCCGTCGGATCTGCAGGGCCTGTACCCAGCCTTCTCTGCGGGGCGCCTGAGTTTAACTTGGAGCCACGCTGCACGCCATAGTAAAAGTCCACCTCTCGCGTTGCGTAATCGTTCCTTGTGGGGAAGTTCAGGGAAGAGTACGCGGCAGGCGCCGTGACGCCGCGGTCGTTGGCTTCGACATCCACCGGCTCTAGAGGGGGTCCAACCTGACTTCGCCGCCTCTCAGAGAAGTCACCACTCGTTGCCCATGACGCGCGAGCTCTTGAGTTTGTTGACTGGTTTTCTAGTGTCGGCCTTCGTCTCCTGGGCGGCCTGTAGAAAGTATCACCAGGCGCATCCGCCATCAGAGCAGAGGCAGGCATCGCATGGCGGTTTTGTCCCACAGCAGGAGATGGCAGGAAGGAGTAGGTGCTGGCCTCGCCAGGGGTCGTCGGTGTAAAGGCACTCCCGTTGTCGAGCCGTGATGGGGGCGCATCAAAGCTCATGCCGTCGAAAGCAGACGAACTTCTTTGATGCCGTTGGTTCATCATGACACGCACGCTACCGGCGGACTCGCTTCTGACACGCCCAGAAGGTGCAATGTATCCGCCTTTCCCAGCCTCACCAGCAGCGAGCATTGCCGTGCTCGACAGCTGGCTCTGCCTCGACTGTGCTCCACGCCGCGATGTCCGTCTGGAAAGCTGTCGTGCGCCAAAGATCCTCGACAGCGGGCCCTGAGACAAGCCCTTGTTGTCTTCTCCGCCGGCCCCCATCAACCTCGCGATGACCTCGATGACAGTCTGCAAGGCATTCAGCATGAAGCACAGAACCAACACGCCGCCATGTATCAACAAGATGACGTATCCCACCCAGCCCTTTGGCCCATCGCCGACTTCCAGCTGTGGCACGAAAGCGGTCATGAGGATGATGGTGGCGAAACGCAGGACTGAGAAGAGCGTGTGGTATGCATTCATCGAAGTCGGGGACGAGAAAGGCTTGAACGCATGCAGAGTGATGACCTGTACGACCTCGCAAATCGCCAAGATGATGATTTGCGCGATACCGGCAGGCTGCACCGCACCGATGCCAATGCCGCGGATAAAAGTCAGGAGGACGGGAATCAGAGCAAAGGCAGCAGCTTCGTCCGAGTACGTGTTATACAGCGGACCATAGAGCAGAACCGTCCACAAATCGTCGAAAAGTACCGACCGTGGCTTTGTCGTCGTGATCAGGCGCAGAAGCCATCCGGCGAAGACGAGAAGTAGCAAGATGGTGACTGCGGCCAAGCCGACCGTGTAAGCGGGAGAGCTGGTGAACACCACCAGTTGGAACATCGACAGCGCCACCAATGGCAGGAGGAAGTAATTGAACACGATCCGGATCACGTTCCCCACAGTAAACGGCAGGTTTTTGTTGCGCAAATCCTCCTCCTGAACATTTCTCACATACCGATAGACCCACTGGATCGCAACAACCACTTGGGTGATGACGGTGATGCTGGCTATGAGCACCATGAGCCAGACCATCATCCCGGCCCAGATGTCTTCGACTTTGCCCATTCCAACCAGCTGCGCATACTCTTGCAGTCCATAGGTTCCATTCGTGTGGTATATGCCATCCACCAGACCCTGCCATCCAGGATCCTTGCTGACGAAGCTCTCGTTGAACATGAGCGCGGACCACGACACCCGACTGACGACAGGCTGGTAAAATCCGGGATAGTTCAGTGTGAGGCCGCCAGTCAAGGCAATAAACTGGATGTACTGAAGACAGTCGCTGAATCCAGGTGTCACCAAGCGAAGCAAGTCGTTGTGCCGCCCGAAGTTCGAACTCCAGTGATAAATGTCTGTCGTGCCCCAAGGGCTATAGATGCTGGCAAAAATGGTGGCTACCCCGACAAAGACGAGAATGGCCATGGGTAAGAGACTCAACATCCAAGCCAGGTCCCCGAGATCAGGGGTGACTGTGACCGAGACACACCCAATCTTGGACTTTTGGGCGTCACCATAGATGATTTCACTGCGGGTGGACGTCAGTTTCTCGCATGCATCCTCGTGATGAGACAGAGCAAGGCTGCGGAAAATCTGGGGATCAAGCGAAACTTGCTTGGAAAATATGTTTTTGACTCACAAAGTTGGCGAAAACGAAGTAAATGCATAGCTGGTGTAGAAGGTCTTATCCATGGTCATTGCTGGTAGACCATACGGGATTTCTCTGTTTAAGAAGAAGAAGAAAATGTCAGTCCTGCTTCAAGCCTCCACAATTACATGCCACTTTGGCGTGAGTAATGGCCAGCCTTGATTGAGAAAGGAGAGCGTCATCGCGGCAGATCAGACGAATACACAACGTCCTGGATGTAAGCCTCCCAGCATCGCAACCTCGAGAATTCCAGCAAGGCCTTTTCGGGAACGCCAGCATCTTTAAAACTCTCAACAGCAATGCTAGAAGGCTGACAACGCCTTCATGCTGTCCTGCCACGAGCGCAGACGAGGCGAATGTCTCTCTTCTCCTGTCTCATCCAGAAGCCGGCCGTTCTCCATCTGTCGTCGAGGATATGCACGCAGCGCGCATGCGAAAAGAAGGATGGATACATACATGTTCGTCGTGTCGAACACGGGTCCCAGCGGGCAGACCCCGTTGAACAGAGCAGAGGCGCAGAAGTCGAAGTCAGCCGCGTATGGCTCGTAGGTCAAGACGTCTATCGTATCGTGCAGCGTCGTGATCTTGGCGGCAGTTGTGGGAAACGGGTTGCGCAGAATCTTGCCGTCGGTGAAGTTGGGATTGTTCCAATCATCGCTGGTCGAGGGAGGAAGTGACACGCCGCCGTAGGATCCGGTTACATTTCCGTAGACGGTGACCTTGAGGTTGTGGCTCGAGTCGTTGTGTTCAAATCCAGCTTCGACGTAGAGAGGTACCCATTGTAGCTGTAGGGGTTCGCTCTGCGTGACGGAGGCACCAAGACAATTTGTCCATTGCTGGATGAGGACGGCGACCGTTGGTTGAACAAGGAGGCTCAAGATCGTGAGAAGTCCTGTGATGTGATGCATCGAGAGGTCGGTCTTTCGACTGCCTCGATACCTCACTGTGGTGGTGAAGGCTTGGTCATGGTCCAAGGCGCTGGTATCGTATTGTCTCGCAGACTCGGCATGGCCTCCTAAGCCCACGGCTCTTGTTGCTTGTTTCCAGGCCATGTTGTCCCAGCTGGGGTGGCGTTCGACAGCCTCTGTCGGCCTCGAGATCATCGTCCTGGCATCATCTTCGAGGCGAGCCCAAGCGGTAGCAAACTTTGTCTCGGGAGGGATCGCACCGACCAGGCGCATGGTCGAACGAACAAGGGGCGATTGGCAGAAGCGAGAAAGACGGATCTTCCGTGATCGACGAAGGAAGTGGGCAGGTCCTCCTGTCAGATGATGGGCATCTTGTGGGAGTTCGCTCGGCTGAGGCTGCAATTGCGATGATTAGAGGTTGCAGGCTTGGTTTGGGAACCGGTGGAGGATGATGCCTCTGTCGTCGAAAACGGCGGTTGCTAACGACCTAGTCGCCAGCGAGCGTCCTACCGCCTGTGGTCGAAGTTCTTGGAGGGCGGGAGGGGCGACAGCCCAGGAGCAGCGTCGCGACTGCTTTGGCCGACTGTTATCAAGAGGGGTCGAAAGTGCTACCCACGGAATGTGAGACGGCACACTTGATTGGACAGGGTCTCAAGTTTCTATACGCTGGTGTAGGTAGGTACACCGTGGTGCTGTGCTGTGCTATGCTAGCCAGATCTCCTTTGGGTTTTGGGGGGGGGGGGAAGAATAGAATGACGTGACTCTCGGTTTCGCGATCGAGCGTGGTGTGTGGTGCAGTATGGTGTAGTGTGTGCGTCCTTGCGTATGTGTGTGTGTGCGTGCGTGTGCGTGTCTGTGTTATTTGGGAGGGATTGGTTTGGTAAGGGATGAATCAAGAAGGTTGGGATGGGCATTCAATTTCGAGAATAACTTCCATGTTCCCGGGATCAGCGGCCAGGCAGTGGAGCTGCAGGCCCTGTGTTGCCCAGCGCAGCGGGTTCAAAACTGCTCGTTTCTATGCTATGTACACTCCTTTCTGCCAGGGCAGGATGGGGTGCCTGTTTGCTTTGGGCGCGCCGCAACAGGGGGGGCCACAGTGTGCTGCAGCGTCTCCACCTACCCGCCATGCCCCGCTGTGACCCTGTAAGGTGGGGACTTGGGTTACTGAAACAAGAGAGTTGGCGGGACGCTGCCAACACACCCTTTCCCAACGCGACAAGCGCTGACAGGGCTCACAGACCCAATCCGTCGTCGACACAATAGGCGATGCTAAAGCTGAGGGATGCCCCCAAGATGAAACAAAACAGACAACACAACACCAAAAACAAATACGAGATGTGATCAGAACCTCTCAGCCACCTACCCATACCAGGCCAGGCACGGACAAGAGGTTCAAGCAAGCAGGCCTGGTGTTCGGATCCCATCAAAGGGCCAGCCACATGGCAGAACACTCGCACCGGTACGACAGCAGCCAGTCTGGTCTGGTCTGGATAAGTTCTGTCGACTCTTTTTCTCTCTTCTTGCCTTTCTTCCCCTCCCTGGGAACGACACGAATCCTCGTTCGACCATCTTCCCAATCTTAAGGCGAAACTTGTTCTCTTGCACAAAGCCTGGTCCTTATCGTTAACGAAACCCATTACACGTCACACATCACGAGAGGATTCTGGTTCGACCATCATCAACCAAAAACACCGTTTAACCTAAAGTACAACAATGCCGTCCCATCCATCCAACGGACGAGTAATGTTTCTGGTGGATGGCTCCCTACTCACTGCATCCACCGCATTACATCACATCAAACTGGTGACGAGGATGAGAACCAGCACCCCCCCCCCCCCAAAAAAAAAGTACGTGCATGTCACGGGAGGGATCAACTCGGTAAAATACTCTGCAGGACCTCCCACGACCGAGCAATAGTCATGAGGCTGTGCTTGTGAGCACGGTGCTCTAGAGTATCATCCCACACGGCTCTGGTGGTCCTCGACAAATAATCACCATGTGGTAAGAAAGAATCGCACTATCGGCCAACGCAAGATGCTGGTCAAACACACCTGCTGCCGTGCTACGACATCAGCATGACATCTCCCGTCCCTGTCCCCTCCACCTGCACAATTTCGAACTCACTGATGATCTCTCGATTGTCTGTACGACCTCGCAGGCCAAGGCACGACAAGGAGCCAGGACAAATCACAGAGGCCCAGTTTACAAGTTTTCGGGACGTTCCACTACATCGCCTGCAGATCTCTTTCTTCCCATGTCCATTGGGAACGTTCAAGCGGCTTTATTGATGGCCCGGACTCCCTTGCAGTTGCATTTCTATTTTCAGAAGAACCTCTTTATTATCATCCTTTTTATCCCTTTTGGCCCGCAGTCCACGCTTTGCCAAGACAACTTGTTCATTCACTAGGGCAACCTGCGATCATCACACTGCCACAAGAGACCGTCTAAAGAAAAGAAAACCAACACACATGCTCAAAAAACTGAGGTCAATTGATAGTCATAGTAGTCGTGATATGCGGATCGCATAACGGTTATAAACTGGACACGAGTGGCAAATGTAACGTCGATGGACCGTTATCCGGGACTGTCGTCACCTGGTCCCGGACCGAGTCACCACCTTCCCATGGCCTATCAATGAAGGAACGGAAAGGAAGAAAGAGAAGCAAAGGAGGGATTAAGGGGGAGAAAAAAAAGGAGGGGCGCAAAAAAAATATCGTCTGCCGATCTCCGAGTCCCCCAAACCATCAAGCTCCGGAGCTCCTTGTTTTCTGGTCGAGGGATGCGGTGGCCTCTTACTGGTCTGTTAAAAGGCCTTCTTCTCCTCGCTACCGTCCTTGCAGGGACAATACGAGATTTCTGTCGCTCCCATTAGCTGGTCGCCATCTGGGCCTGACGCCGCGTCTCCTATGCCCAATGTGGGAGTAGGACGGATTCAGCGCTTACGGTGAGCTCGTCATGGTGCCTTGTCTGCTTCACGGTGTGTACACCAACGATATCTTTAAAATCGCCCAGGTATCATTTTCGATCCTGCAGATCCCCGTCAAAGACACTCGCTCATGTCTGAATCTAGTTAGATGCCCGATGATCCGACCGTTAAGTGCAGAAGAAAGCCACCCAAAAAAGAGCCCATTGCAGAAATCAGCAAGTATTTCCTCAAATTCCCACAAGGCCTTTACATGCAGGTAGGCGAGTGCACCGCCGTGGTGGCGTTCCCTGCATAAGCACATGCATTCTCCGGAGGTCAACTCCTGTGAAGCTCGCTGGGCTTCGATAGTTTGTACCGTCAACGGGCAACGGATTTGCCTTTCACCCAGCTGCGAAGACAAAGCTCTATTTCCGTCTCCTTCCCCATGACCTTCTTGGTCCAGCCAGAGAGAATCCTTTTGAGCCTCGTCTCAATATCGTTCACGTCTTCTGAATTCATATTATCACCCAATCTGGTCTGCATGCGGCTGCCCGTGTCGAACCTGTCGTCTGCGGCCGTACGGCTGAAAGCTCCTTTGGTTAAATCTTTCAAGTCTGGTTTGATCGTCAGCACAAGGTGTTGTATCTCCTGTTTTCTGGGAACTGTTTCAAATGGAAGCGTATCGGTCTTGATTCTCTTGCGTGGTTGGTCGCCTGCTCTTCCGTGGTCCGCCTCTGAGCGCTGCCTCCTCATCAGATGCGTGCGCGTATCTCCGTCGGACCAATTCTTGTTTTCCTGGGACGGACCTGGTTGTGACGTGGCTGCCCGCTCCGCTATATGAGTTTGCACCATGTTAAGGACATGGCCGGGCGAGTGGGGGGTCTGCCGTAGACTTTGCCTTTCCCCCAACCCATCCCCGGTGAGATCGTCGTTGTCGACCTGGCTCACCACATATTTATCGATTTTCTCGCGGTCCATGGCTGTCAAGTTTCCCTTCTCGGCGTTTGCCCTTCTTGGTTCCCGGTATGGTGGGTTAGACCTGGTGAAAATGTCATCGGTCTTCAGCTGCTTTTGGTTCTTGCGCTTCTGTGAAGCTCTTGGCGCCCCTGGGGCCAATCGTTTGGGCAAAGGTTTATCTCGGTCCATTCCCTTGACGGCGTCGTTGCTATTGGATCTTAGATCGGGCAATGTGCCGGCATGAAGATATGCGGGGAACGTTTGTGGCGTGTCATCGAACGGGAGTCTCGAATTAGCAGCAGGCCCAACTGGACTGGGATGCGAGAATCCGGACAGCGGGTGTTCTAGGTGATCTTTGGGCCTGACGCCCAGGAGTGCAGTGCGATGGTGATCTAAATCTCCCGGTAACCCGCCATATGGTCGCAAGATGGGGAGGTCGCCTTCCAGTATCTCTCGAGACATACAGGTGGTCTTCGTCTGCTGGACCGGATCTGAGGCCTGGGAAGCGCCCACCGCGAGCGCGCTTTGATCTACCGGCTGCCGAACCGAAGCTGTCATCTGGGCAATGGTCCACGGATTCAGTCCCTCATTTGAATCTAAGCCCCCTTCGCCTGTCAGCAAGCTCCCTCCTTGCTGTTCCCGGAGTCGAGCGGCTATGATCTCGGCTTCATCATCAGATGAGATGTCATTAGGGTCTGCCAACATGTTAACGATACTCCGTCGCTCTTGTGTTTGAGGCCTTGCGGCCGGCCGGTGTCGTAGAACTAGTGCGTATGCTTGCGCACGCATTGCATCCTGAGGCGTAGCTAGTAAGTCTTCTTGTTTGTCACCAAATTCGGAGATTTTGTAGCCTGTGACCTTCTTTTGTCCCGACATTGGTATCACTGGTGACTGACTTGAATGATCGTATCGTATTGGAATTGCGTGTGCTCGTGGGAGTGATGTGTCATCAGGTGCATTTGATGAAGGCAGATTTCCTTTCGTCTGCTGGCGCATAGGGCTATAGCTGCTCTGCAGAGGCATCTGTCCTGGTCCTGAAGCCTCACTCTGACGCTCTCCAATACGTGGTAGGGAAATATATTCGGGTTCCTCAGGTCTGTCGCTGCTTGGTGGTGGCGTGCGAGTCTGTGTTCGACAGAGTTCTCTCTTGCCGATAGTCATCAGTGGATCCAACGACACTTCTTCCTGATACACATCAGAGCAGAGGCATCCAAACAAGTCTATCAACTCAGACTCATTTGCGAACAGGGCTTCATTCTTCGATGGTTCAATGTTGGCATCATAGCTTCCAGAAGAGCACTTGATGTTGACACAGATGAACGGGTTTCTCAGCGGCTTGTGGACGTGGGCCCTGTCCATGGAATTCGAGAAATGGCTTGTGAACACTGCAAGCAGCTTCTTCATGGTGCCTCGCTCAGTCGACAAGGGGCGAGAGTCGACAGAAAAAAAAGACCCTTTCGAGATCTTGGAATAATCTGAGCCTAGCCTCGGCAATACAGCCTCGATCGCCAACTTGTCCTTCCCGTGTCCAGGCGTATCGTCTTTGCCATCTGGGTTACTGCAGGCTGTGTGGATAAGGCACCGAGACATGAGTTCCGCGCCGAATATCTGAATGACGGCTTCTTTGACCGTGGCCTGCGGGCGTGGAGAGTAGGTCCATGACTGCCGATTTTCCTCCCCCAGGATCTTGAAAGATAAACGAAGCTGCGGTCTGGCTAGTGCATATGTGAAGAGCAGCTGCTTAATCCTCGCGATGTTCTTCGAAGCTTCCTTGATGGTTATCTGCTCACGAACAGGAAGGCAGTTGAAGAGGCCCCTGACGCTCACAGTTGTGCCCACTGGAGCAGAAGCACACTGCTGGCTCTCCACGCCACCTGTACCGAAGAAAAGCTTCAACAACATCGCGGTCGAGTCCTCAGCGGTCCTCGTGATGACATTGACCTTCCCGAGCATATTTGCACTTGCCAGAGCCTGACCCCGGAAGCCGAGTGTGTTGCCTCCGAGGTTCCGAAGGTCCTCGAGTGAGGCAATCTTGCTGGTATGGGCCGGACGTCCGAGGGAATTCCAGTCGTCCTGGCAAATACCGGTGCCGTTATCTCGTACGTCAATCCTGTCGACGGTGTTTGGCGAAACACGAATCTCGACCGACGTGGCATCGGCATCGATTGCATTCTCTAGGAGCTCCTTGACCAGGTCTACAGCTGTGGTGATGGCTGTCGGAGAACCCAGTTGGCGAACCGTCTCGTCTGCCAACGCGGATATGGTCATCTCTGGGTAGCGAGATATAGACTAAAGAGAAGGGTGTTGGAATAAGGAAGGCAGGTAGATTGGGAAGGTATGAAAAGACACAGTGAACTTGCTCCGAGGAGCGTAAATGAAGTGTCTTTCGGAATAAGAAGTGTAGCGCTATGGAGGAGACCATAAACGCAAAATTGGCAGGACAGATTGTAGCAGTATGTGAAAGACCTCGATTCATGCCATCAGGGAACTTGCGGCGGCGCTGCCTAGAGCCAGGTGTGTAGGATCTGATCTGAGGGCAAGGAAGGAAGGCACGACATATGCCGCCCACCTAATCACGAAACAGCGCCTGCCGTGATGGAGATGGAATATGGATAGCCAGGCACCTTCCCTAGATGCACATTTCACACTCTTCACCAGCAGGTGTTGGCAAGAGGCAGAACTTGACAAGAGCCATACTGTCCAGCGCCTGGGTGAAAAACATCGATGCAGTTGAGAATAGAACCTTTTCAAGAGGTGGCCCTTATCTTCTGGACCCTTAGATCCTCATGGTGACTCGCTTGTTTGGTGCCGTCACGGACTCCTCTAGTCTACAGGCGGCTGTTATTCGCGCGCGGTGATCCCTGATTAGCGGGACTGCTGTTCCATGTGTGTCGGGAGATTGTAACTGGCGTAGTCAACATGGACGAATGCCCTGTCCACGACAGGCACAGACTCGAGGACATATTGCAGACTCTCGCTGTTACGTATAGTCAGCATCAGCTAGATGTAGAGAAAGACAGTGTGACCGTCATCCAAGCTCACCTAAGGTCATGGCTGTCTTTGAGAGAAGTGCTCGCATCCAGCACAATATCCACCTCAACGTTCAGCTTGTCACCAGCATGATACGCCTGCAGCCCCTGGATCTGCCTGATGGTCTTGGCGAAGCGCATAGTCAGGTACAGCAAAATATTCCTCTGGTCGGCGCTCGCACTAAAGCCACACAAGTTCTTGATGTGTTCGCTCGCACTGCGCGACCAGTTGAAGATGACGACCATCGACAGCAGCAGACCACCTAATGGGTCCAGCCACCATATTCGCGCGTAGAAGCCGACAATGGGAAATGCTATTGAGCCGGCATTGAAGATCATATCCGTCATAGCATCGTCGGCCTAGGTGATCTGTTAGATAGGCACCTTACTTCCAACAAAGGAGGGTAACCTAGGGAGGAGAGGGCCCTAGGTGTATATATACATCGAGAGATAGTAAGACTCACCAGTGCCTGCACGCTAGAGTTCTTGATCAGCCGGCACCAAAACCAGCACAGACCCTTGATAACAATAGTTGACAGCATGATGCCTATCGCGGACGCTGTAAGCTGAATCACATCGTGATCGCTAGATGCGAGCTTTGAGATGGCCTCAATGGCCACCTGGACAAAGGAGGTAATCATGATGGTCGAGAAGACAAGCACACCGACGGGCTCCAGCCGTCTCCGGCCCACGGGATAGCGGTACTGATCCTGGCGCGCGATGAGCGTGGTTGTTGTCCAGACGATGACCGTCGAGAGAAAGTCTAGCGCGGCATCCACCAAGCTCGCCAGCACCGAGACGCTGGGAACCGAGATGATCACGGCGATCTTTCCCAGCAGGAGGATCGCATTGGCCACGAAGTTGACGTAGATGGCTACCGTGACGACCTTGGCACCACTATCAACATCGTCGTCTTCGAACAGGGGGATCTCGGGTTTTGCCTCCTCGTCGTCCTCATCGACTTCTCCATCCTGTGAGGTTTCGGCAGAGATGAGAGGGGACGAGTGAGTTGGTCGGTAGATGTCCTTGGGCGTCCGTTTCACCTTCTTGGCCATAGTTCCGTAGCCAGAAGCAGAGTTTGAGCCGGAACCAGGGACAGAGCCACTGGCAGAGCTCGAAATGGGTTGGCCTTTGGACGACGGCCTCGAGGGCTCCTCTGAGATGGTCTGGGGGACCTCCACGCCGCGGCGAAACGCAGAGGCAGGCATGTTGTTGTACTCATTGAGGAGATCGTGGGGGAGAGATGAGTCCAGGAGCTTGTCGATGAAGACATACTGCTGGATGAGGTAGTTTGTCCTCTCGTAGTACTCGCGGAGGCCTTTCGGCTTGATAGCCTTGAGCTGCTCGTCCGTCTTCCAGTATCTCGCCCACTGATAGCGGTTGTTGGGATATCCGATCAGGCGCATAGACCGCATATGAGGCTCGTGAAGAAGCTCGACGAGGCGACGCTCCTCGGCGGCGGACCGTCGCTCCGTGTAGTCACCATCTTCGAGGGCCCCCTGCTGCAGGCTGTTCCTCCGTCGGAAGGCGGTCCAGTCGTGGTACGAGGGAGACCCCAACGCGTCCTCCTCGTCAGAGGGGTGCCTCCAAGACAGGCTATTCACGGATGCATTGGACCGCGTCCTGATCAAGTTCGACAGCGCGCCATGGCCTTTGGATGTTATGAGGTTGGGCTCTTGGTCCAGCAGAAGCGGCCGCGAGTGTGATGGCGATGTCATTTTCAACGAGCGGGCTGCTAGCGCGTCGTCTGTGTGACCCACTCGACAGATTGGAGACAGGCGTGGTGAGCAGTGATAAAGGTTTTGAGAGTTGATGAGTCGTGAAGAAAAGTTGATGTTTTTTTCTTGTCTCTTCCCAGGGGGAGTTTCAGGGAACGGCGGATTGTTCTGTGAACGGCCCCACCAAGGAAGGTGTTGTTGTTAACATATAGTCGGGTGTTTGCCCAGATCTCCTTTGCGTCCCGGTCTCACGGGGAGAGGAGATCAATTGGTGCCGAGCCAAGGCCAAGCTCGTAGTGTCGTTTGTCTGGGCGTGAGTATTTTACGTACTACTTCTCATAGAGTTCAGTAATGTAGTGGAGGATTCTGCCACCACAATACAACGCACCTGGACAGCCTCGCCAACAACGCACTAGTGTTCCGCAAGAGGGACTAGACAAGGGCTAGTTAGTGTTCATAATAAAAGTAAATGTTGGGTTGGTTGACGGGTCTCTTATACCTTCAATTTTCATTCTTGTTTTAAATTTGTTCAAACTTCTTTTCCTTCTGCCAAGACCTATTCAGCGGTTTGCAAATTGTCAAGTCATCTGAAGTTCGACCAAATACAAGATTCCCAGAGCTCCTCAGATCTAAGGGGTCATCCAATGTTCCCGCGGCAGTATGAGGATGCCTTGCTTGGCAACAGACCAGTAGCCGCCAAGGCCACAACAGGAGAGGTTAGGAGAGGTGACGTGCAGTTGAACCCTGAAGCGAACAGGTCGCTCCACAGAACCTCGGCAGGTGAGACTCTTATACAGGAGCAAATGTGCCCTGTCGCACATGAGATGATGCCCTTTATGCTTCACTGCAACTTGACTGTGCGTTCGGCACCAGCCTCCCAAAGGAACCGTGCGGCAGCAGAGCGCAGAGCGGTGAAGTGATGAGAAGGGCTTGCCAGCGCCTGAGGTAGTGAGAGATATGTCGATCTGCCTGAATCGTCCAGCTCCCAGTTCCTTACACAGGATGCATGCTCTGGCTAGCAAGAAGCCGGAAATTAATTCCCTCGACCAGATCTGCGCTCTAAAACGGACCCGCCCTGTGGGCTTGGGCCTTCGTGTGTCGAGCATTCCTGCGTTCTGTATGATGTCGACTCGGCTCCGACTCACAGCTGGGGAAGAGTCTTACCGTCCGCGAATGAGGCTACGGTGCTACTATAGTTGAGATCTCTCCTGCGAGCACGAGACGTGTTGACACTGTCAATGCGGCAATGGAACAAAGAGACCTACGTGGATGCTCCTGGTCTATAAGAGCATTTCCCGATTGCGAGCAACTCTGTTCGGCTGAGAGGCAGGGCTGAGCATATTTGAAATTGTATCTCTGCTGCCAGAATCCAGATTCAAGTTGACTTTGACAATACCGAGGGAGCCTCTGCTGTCTGAAATGTCGTTCTTTGTGCAGATGATGATGAACGAACGGCTAGATGACCTTCAGAGCCTTTGACCCGTGCTCAACCCTGCTGCGGCAGTAGCTTGACGGCTGTTGGGAGCGTCATCCAGCTCGACCAGATGGGGATCATCCTCGCCCCACTGATAGCAAGATCGCCCGCAGTCCAAGCCTCCTGCCCCTCGAGGACCACTGTCTGTGAGCGAGATTCGCCAAGCCTGAAGTGCGAGTGCGCATGCATCAAAGGCGATACATACAGCGAGAGTGGTCCCATTGCGATCGAATGTCTATCCTCGGCTCATCCTGGTCCCGAGCGCCGCCAGCTGTGTTTCAACAGACATCACGGGGAAGGTGGCTGCCATAGGAGAGGCGGTTTGGAGGGGCTGTATGCGATACTGTGCCTAAGGGGGCACCACAGGTTCACCTCGCCGTCCTCTCCGCCAATATCCCACCCACAACCTTGGCGGTCGCTGCCACGATGAGCTCGTGCTCGCGAGAATGTATTCTCTGCTCGAGGTCCTGCAGCGTCTCGCCCTCCCTGCACTCGATCTCTCTTGTCATTATGGGCTCGCCCCTATCGACCTCGGCGATCACGTAATGAATCATGATTCCGGTCTTGTTGTTCTCGAGGGTGCCGGCCTGGAAGTCCTGGTATGCGCGCTCGATGGCGCCGGCCCCGTCATATCTGCCTGCAGCGCGAGTAGGCATGTTAGTGACACATCATGGCCGGGGAGGGGAGGGGGAGGGATGGACTCACCTGGCAGAGCAGGGTGCAGGTTGATGACCCGTACGCCTTTGTCGGCGACAGGCTTCAGGAACCCCTCGGTAAAGACATGCATCCAGCCTGCGAGCACCACCAGGTCGGGCTGTTCGGCCAGTACCTTTTCAGCCAGCGCGGCGTCGTACTTCGTCCGAGCCTCTCTAAGCCTCTCGGGGTCTTTCTCCCCCTTGGCCTGGAACCCGCCCGCGACCATGTTGAAGTATTCCGACGGCACGCCAGCCTTTTCGGCGCGGGTGACGGCGTAGGCTGTCTTTCGGTTGACAAAGAGGCGGACGATCTGCGCGTCGCGGATGGTCCGTGATGACAGACCGTCGAGAAGCGCCTGGAAGTTGCTCCCGCTCCCACTGGCCATGACAACGATGCGGCAAGGGGCCGCGGGGGAGGACGAGGAGGAGGACGCCATGGCGAGGATTGGGTGGACGTGGCTGGAAATTATCAACGAGCCCGACGGTGTACTGGGGGAAGCTCGAGAAAGCTCTTTCAAAACAAAAGATGAAAAGGTCAAGAACGTGTAGTCGGCGACAAGAACAGAAACGCGGGTGGTAAGCACGTCTTGGAATGTGCCCCTCCAAGAACTGAAGGCAGAAAGTTTTAGCTGCCCCGCGCGGGTTCACCACTGAAAGCGGGGTCCACCACCACGACACAGAAAACAAAAGAAATACGTCTTGAATTGCCGGCAGTAGAGGCGGATATTCATAGATTTCCATCCATCATTGGTTCCACGTGTTAGTCCCTCAAGAATATTCTCTTGCGGCATGTGGTGTTTTACTCTTTCAAAGCACTTCTCTGCACTCACATTTTCAACACAAGCACGTATGAGCATTTGCTGAGCTCATTTGCGACCGAGTTACTTTCAGACTTCCTTGCCCCTCATTGATCGCCCAGAGAGACTGACCACGCTTTCCTCGGGATGGCTCCGACTACAAGCGAGCAAAAGGAACTACTCAACCGGCCGAGCAGCTGATATGGCCCTCCAAGGGTTGCCATATGATTATGTGGCAGGTTTGTGGAAGAGGAGCTGGAATTAGCATCACCCCTCAGCAGCCAGCGTTTCCAGCATCCAATCACCCTCGATACCGTTTGCAAATACTATAGGTGAACGCAACATGCATGCTTAAGACGGTAAAGTGTTGTATAATTCAGTAGGGATAATGAAATTGGAGTCTCGACTACTTGATGTAGAATATGCAGTATGGGGTTCCTAAGCAAGCAAGAGTCAGCTAATGATGCGAAGGGAAATCTGTCTCCAATATTGTCACACTGCTGTCAAGGCGCACTATGAGACCCCGCAGCTAACAAGCTCAAGCAGCTCAGGTTGTATCATACGTAGTGACAATAACACAATAATGTTAGCTCTAGGGAACAAGACAACCAGGATCATGTAATTAGTTACCAGTAGACCGGAAACTGAGTCAGTTATTACATACCATCTCTAAAGTGCACAGTAATATGGGCACGCATGTGATTCTCGGGTGTCAAGACGCCCGCCCCGTCACGAGCTTAAATTTCTTTAGGGCCTGTCTCAGGTGGAGCCGCCAAAATTTTTGCCATATTGAGCCCAACTTCGGGAAGAGGTTAATTGTTTCGAGAAGAATTTTGGCGAGAGCGAAAAGAAGAAGACAAGTAAAGAAAGAAAGAAAAAAAATGGATATTGATCATCCTGTTGGTCGCCACCCACTGCAGACCAACAACCCGGAGCTGCCGAGTCGGAATCTTATTGGGAAGAGAAAGAAAAAAACACCTTTTTTCTTTTTCGTGCCTTCCAGTACACGCCTTACGCGCCCCCCAGCAAATATACCGTGACCCACACAAAGACCTGCTGTTCAAGTCGGACCTCGTATTCCCGGAATGGCGACGGTCAGCGCCGGCGGGTACGAGGCCAGATCCAGATTTGGGCACCGGGTACTCCTTTTGCACGCGTCTTCATGTCAGCACCCACCCCGTAACGAAATATCGTCTCTTGCTGTGTACAGGAGCAAAATGCTTCTTCTTCAATCAAACCCCGCTAGAGGGGGACCTGTTGATGAAAAGACAAAGTTGCAAACTTTTTTCCAACTATCGTGGTATATCTCTCCTCTGGACATGAAACGCAGAAACAGCTTGTCGTCCTCCGCTGCAGTACTATTTTGTAGCCTAGCTTCAATATTTGGTTGGGATTTACCTCGTGAGACTGCAATTGGTACGTTGGGGAAGGGTCGGACATGGCAAGCACCCCGAGATTTGACATCTCTTCGTAGGAACTTCCTCTAGGAGAGGAGGAATGTTACTTTTGTGTGTGTGCTTCCCTGTTTCAAGCACTTAATAAGGAACCTGGGATACAGCTCAATTTGCGGTACAGCAGAAATGGGTGGTAATTTTGGAAATTGCATCCCGATCCTGTTTGTGCCAGAATTAGGGATAAGAGAAAAACAGGCCGGCCGTCGATGCACGAGCAGGGGTCAGACATGCACATCGATGATGCATCAGATCGCCCTCCGCACTCCGTATTCCGAAGGGGATAATGCCTGGCTCGGTCTCTGCGCTTTTTCGTCAGCTGCTGGTGGTATATTGATCGTCACACAGCGTCGACCTTTTTCCTGCGGTGAACCCAGCGAGGCTGCTCGGCGGTGTCCAAAAATGATCACGGACACGGTCAGCCCCCCAATTTACGGCCTGCCGGGAACTCGGCTTATGTACAATTCAACCTCGTTTACACATCACAAGGGCAACAAAAGAGCAGAGGCAAATCGATTTGCAAAGCGTTGTGCGTAGCAGAGACATGCGACGTGTGTGTGTGTGTGTGTGTGTGTGTGTGTGTGTGTGTGTGTTTGTGTGTGTGTTTGTGTGTGTGTGTGGCTCTAGGCGCCGAGCAGATGTTTCTGTCCCAAGGCCCACACTATATTATATTTTTGGCCCCTAACTCGAAACACGCCCACGCGTCTGCAGCTTCCGACTGCGTTATTTCTGGCGAGACAGGTCGACTGTGTCATAACCTTTCTCATCCCCCAAAGTTGATCGATTTTGGTTGATAACACGGGCCAAAGGTTGGGGGGGAGGGTTATTGTCAGGGGGAGACTGGGGAAGCGTGATGATCTGCCTGCCATCATGTCATACCCAACTCAAACTCCTCCATCTGGGGGGGCTGCGGCGGCATGCTCCACAGGGGGCGACGATCTTTAGGGCTGGTGTGTCCAGGTCGGCAGGACCTGCGGTATGACGACCTACGTGGATCCTAGGCGCGTCGACTTTCCTTCACCGTAGTGTGTCTCGCGGCATAAGCAACTACGGGCTTTGGGGCTGAACGCGGCCACATCATGTAATGTATCTGGGTGTGGTATGCTGTACTTCGAACTTCGGGAGGGCATGATGAAAGAGAAAGTCGAGTCCTTTTACCCAGCCTGGCCCAACGTTGCGGATCTCGACGGCATCTGCCAGGGAGGGTGGGCGGTGGGTCGAAAACAACGCGGGGGGTTCTTTCAACTCGGCATACATCCTAGTACATCGTACATATCTTTTCGCCATCTTGCAAGAAGACAGCCTCGTCCTGTGCGATGGCTGCTCTTAGGACATGGCTGAGACCTGGTGGCTGTTAAAAAGCCCGGAGAGGGGGGGGGGGACGTCCTCCCAACATGCAGGTTACTATCATCCTTTATGTACTTAGTTAAAACCCAAGACAACGTTAGGTGGGAACGGTCTGCCGATTGATTTATCTCGAGGCTGGTTGGTTGGTGATGCATGTCGGCAATGATATCTGGGGGCGCGCACTCGGTCTTGCATGCAATAGAGACCTGCCATGACGACTCTCTTGCCACTGCATGCCCGGAGCTGTGTTCGTTTTGAGACAGACAGCGGTGAGGGTGTTCTTGGGTTTTCGGACGGCCCCACAAGCGAATGCATAACAGCTGTGCTGATATTGCCCATGATTCTTGGGTGATGTTTATGATTACCTTGCTTGGTTAACGTCCCCGTGCAATCTGAGCGGCCGGGGGCTGGGATATCCTCCCGTTTTTAAATCGCAGCTTGCGAAGAAGGGAAAAGAAAAACCTGTCCCGATCCTCCTACACAAGCACTAAAAAAGAAAAACTAAAACAACCCTTGGAAACGACTACCAGGGGTTGGCCAGGTTGGCCAGAGTAAATGGGCGATGGGTGCATGAACCCACGAAAAAGACTAGCAGAATGTGGCTGTAGGTAAGACCCGGATGTGGTGGCTGTAGGGGGTAGTGGCTAGCATCGACGCCGACGAGCTGCCGCATCCTTTCGGAGAAAAAGTCAGAAGAAGAAAGAAAAAGCCCAGCCCGCTCTTTTCATTCGGCTGGAGGCGAGCCTCAGCAGCAGTAGGCGTCTTCTAGGAAAGAGGGGAGAGGATTCGATGATCTTGTTCTCCAATGCAAGACTCGTCGTGTGCTGAAGAAACAAGAAATCGACCAATCCCCTTTTTTCCTTCGTCTGTCTTCATGTTTCTCCCCTCCTCCCTTCTTTTCTTTCGATGGCTTGCGTTCTGTAGGGGGTAGCTGCTAATTTTAAATCTTTAAGCTTAGGCCAGAGTGTGTTATAGCAAGACATGGAGGACCCTCCAGGCTACTACGGGGTACGGGAACAGTGGGCAGACGCGGCTAGCAGTACGTACTATGTGCTGGTAGTGCCCTAGACCCAGGTACTATGCAGTAGTCACTAATACAAACAGCACCAAATACCTGAGGTTGCACCAGGGCGGCTGGGCAGGGCCACCACTTTTTCTGCCAAGCTGCCCACCACTCGCCACTGCACGTTGCCTTCGTTTCGCCTTTCTGACGAGCACTGCAACACATAGCTCGGGTTTCCCTCTCTGCTACCCAATCTCGAGAGGAGGGTAGGCTTATATGGCCGGGTTGGTTCAGTGGCATTTCTTCGCCACGGGCTGTCGGCTCTTATTACCACGTAGCTCTCAGAACATGTGCCTCTTGCAGGCGGCCGGGCCAAAAGGATTGCCATGCGGATGCAATGGAAGCCAGGGCTACCGCAACGGGCCTAGGGTGTTGAATACGGGACGGGTAAAAGGCACCAGGCCAGGAGGAGCCCAGTAACCGACTAGGGGTTCAGCAGGCCACAGCAGGACATTTTTTGCGGACCGAGCAGGTTGGCGTCACCCTCCATCCCAATCAGAGCTTGCATGCGTCCCCAAGCAGATCCCTGAGATCCCTTGGCCCCGCCCATCCTCTTCTGCCAGAACCCTACAACAGCGAACCGCCTGTGCACGCGGCCACAGGCTCTCCCCATCCATATTTCCAAGCTGCTGTGGCCTGTTTTTGGCTCTCGCTCTGCCTTCTCCTCCTGCGCCCAGTACCTCCTTTTACCGTTGCCGACCCAACCGTACCCTCACTCCCCATCCTCCTCCTCTTTCGTTCACACAGCACGTCCTTTTTCTTCCTCTTCGTTCTTTTCTTCTTTCCTCCTATTCAGTACGTCAAGCAACAAGCAGACGACTGTTTTGTTCCACCCCCCCTCCCCTCCTCCTCCAATCCCCTTTCTTAATTAATCCATCTTGTAGGGAGGTTGTCTTTACCAACGGACTCGCCCAGAGTCCCGCCCCATCGTTTCGATATTTCTCTTGTACTTGTATTGTGCTACGCTTCCCCACGCGCGAACCACCGTGCGCCGCGACCTGTCCCGAGCATATTGGATTCTAGTCCTTCATTTGAAAAGGGTCAGCACTGCACAAGGGCGTGGCCTTCTTAGTCTCTACGCCATTCGGGCGCCCGACCAAGGCCAGGCTACGACACCAAAAGGAGCTGTTGCTGCACAGCTGTCACCAAACTGTATTCACCACTTCGATCGTTAGGACTTAGATCCCTTCTCTCTTAGCCTCTACCCTCTGGCACTCGCCTTGTCTCAGCATCGTCTCTCGGTCCCTGGGTCTCGTTCGTCACCCGCCCTCGCTTTGAATCAATCAATCGAGCCTGCATTCCGGAGTCGTCATTGGATCCCATCCCCGTCGCCTAGCAATTTGTGAACAGTCTAGACTATCTGTTTACGTTGCTCCGCCTCGCACCCGATATTCAGCGTGTAAGTTGGAATGTCTCTTTACATGGCTGGGCCCAACCTGAGGTGGCCATTCCTCTCCATCTGTTTCTTTTCTCCCGCCGAGATGCCTTGCTGCTGTCGTGGCCCGTTGGTGCACCCCTCTTGTCTGTCCTTGTGTGTCGAGGAGTGTGCTCTGGCGGCAGTCCCAAAATCACAGTGCACATCGCAGAACCACAGCAGATGATGTCCTCCGGCCGTCCCCGGCTTCAGGTTCATCAGAGCTGCGGGGGCAGAAACGACAGTTTTCAGCACTCGATCGGATTCGTGGCCCGTTGCGTTCGTCTCGGCGGAATTCTATTTTGCTACCAACCAGACCTGACGCAGACGTACGATCGTCTTTGTACAAAAGAAACTTCGTCAAAGGCGGGCGGGCGGCGGCATATTAAAGTTGATTTGAGGATACAGCTGACTTTGGATTTTCCTCATCATGCAGTTGGCCGACTACGACGTTCTTCACCCCCTGCGAAGTCTGGCTGTCACCTATACGCCACTCCGCCTCTTCACCTCGCCTTGTCTCGTATTTTCTGAGCCTGCCCTGGCCAGTCTACACCGCTCAACAGGATCAAGGCCCTCCCCAGAACTTTCCTCTCCAAGCAGCATCACCGACTTGCTGTGCTCCCGACAAGTCGATCCGCTGTCTGCGTTTCCAGCATCTCTGGGCCGTGGTTGATCCTGCCGGAATCAACTACGCCAGTCTCTTGTTGAGTACACATGCCTAGATTCGCATTTGGGAAGCGAAGATCAACCGCAGAAGGCGACAATGAGGTCCCACCTCCCTCCTTTCGCGTACTAGACCGTTCAGAGGTGGCCGAAGGGAACGGCAAGTCTTTTGACGGCGGTGTGAGGCTCTCGGCCAAGACGCACGTCCTGCCCAGGACGACGGTTTCGGACATTTCGTATGAGGACAATATCTTTGCCGATTTGAAGCCCAATACAAACCGGTAAGTTCAAATTTCAGTGGGTCGACGAGGCTGTGGTGCTAGGGGGGCTGTCCCAATTTCCCACAGGGGTGGCCAATTTTAGTCACCCTGGCATCTCGTGTCTCGAACTGAGTTCCATGGCGCACCAAATACCAGGGGAGATAAAGCAACGTGTGGATATCGGGCTGACTCGTCCGCTAGCGGCAGTGGATCGACCAACACCACAAAGACCAACTCGACCGACAACTCCTCCCGTCACAGCAATGCTTCGACCACTCCCTCTTCAGCAGATCTGAGCGGGCAGGAGGACTGGAGACTGGCCAACAACAAAAAGTCCCTCACAGAGAACCTCATCCAGTCGACACCCAAACCGACGTCGTTTCTGAAATCAGGCCGGTCGTGGTCATTTGGCGGCTCCAAAAAACACCTGCCTCCTTTGCCTGCTGAGGAGGCGCAGGTTCCGGACACCCCTCCGGTGCCTGAGCAATACAAGACGACGGGCAGAGCGAGGGCAACGACATCATCCACCGACGCCACTATCACGCCGCAGCTGAACCAGGACATTGGGCTTGACCTTGGCGGTAGTTTCAGCAAGATGTTTTCGGGGTTCGACAAGCGAGCCAGCACCATGACATTGCGCGACGAAAACGGGCGACAAGTCTTACAGCCCTCCGCTATGACAGGGGGGCGAGTTAATGCCCCTTCGCCTATTCAGGTCGACAGATCTTCCAAGATCGAAGCGCCGCAGCATTCGTGGGCCAGTCATCGATCCAACGACAACCTGCTGTCTGCAAACGAGAATGCACCGCCCCCGGTGCCGAAACATGGTGAGACCATGCCGAGCCGTCCCGAGCAGTTGACTCAGTCATCATCAGACAATCTTCTCAAGAGGACGAGTGCCATCTTCAGCGGACGAAGAAAGCCCACTTCGCCAGAGACCAGCGAGAGCGACGATCTGGACAGCTCCCTCTTGGCAGTCAACCGGTTCATGTCCGACGGCAACAGCCGGAGCCCGACGCCGATCGAGGCGATCGGTGGGCGACAAAGGACAAATGATGGTGCGGGGCCAGGCTACACAGTTGTACCCCCGAAATCACCGGCGGCTAAATTCGACCTGGTTGATGAGGACGACAATCTGTTCGATAACGTCCCCCTCACCACCTCGAGGCTCAACACGCCGCGTCAGCCACCGCGGAAGCCGGAGGCTGAGGCACCATCTACACAGACCAAGGTCATGACTCCATCCGAGTTTGAGAGGTACCGCAAGGACAAAGAGGTGGAATCCCGACGAGTAGAGTTTGAAAAAGCTCGTGAGAACATCCCAGCTGATGACGATGACGAGGATCACTACGAGGACGAAGAGGATGAGATCGAGAAGTCGCGGCAGGTGGCGAAACAACGGAGGAAGCAGGAGGCGCACATGTCTGTCTACCGACAGCAGATGATGAAAGTCACGGGCGAGTCGGCGGATGCGGCCCCCTCGCGCCCCAGCATGTCCATATCCTTCAGCACGCCCAACCTCACCGTTCCCGAGTTCTCCTCGAGAAACCCGTCCGATGCTTCCGAGGAGGATGAGGAGGTACCCTTGGCGATTTTGGCAGCCCACGGATTCCCGAACAAGAACAGGCCCCCGGCCCGGCTCAGCACCATGATGTCGAACCCCAATCTGCGACAAGCTTCTCAGCCCAGCTACCAGAGGCCTGGGTCCGCAGCGGGTCATGGCGCGCCGGGTGGTGCGCCACTGCCGCCTTTCGCTCGGGGCTTGCCTCAGGATCCATACGGTCTGGTCAACCCTACAGTTCGCGAGAGCTTCGCTCTTGGAGGTGGCGTGCCTGCCGGACAGAATCCGTCTGTGCCACCTGGCGGGCTCGTAGGTGTGATTGCCAGTGAGGAGCGGGCACGGTCTATGCGGCGCGGAAGCCCTCAGGTCCCTCCGATGGAGGGTTACCACGGCTCGCCAGCAATGGGTCCAGGTGGATTTGACCCTGTCCAGGGCATTCCTCCTCAGATGATGTACCCGGGGACGATGCCGATGATGATGACGCCTGGAGAGCAGGCCCAGGTGCAGCTGAGCCAGCAGATGTCACAATTCATGCAGATGCAGATGCAGTTCATGCAGATGATGGCCAGCAACAACTCGTCGGCTATGGAGCCGCCCCGGTCCGCGGGCCACGTGAACAGTCAGTCGCTCAACCAAGTTCCGACGATGAGCGGAGGGGGGCTGACTGGATTAGGCATGGGGATGGACATGAACCCCGGAGTTCGTGGGTCTTACTTGGAAACGCCGATGTTGGACGCAGGGAGGCCGGACATGCATGGGCGTACTATGAGCATGGTCCAGCCCAGCTCTGCATCATGGCTTCAGCCCGTCCCTACGCCAGGGGCAGGCTATGCAGGCTCAATCCGAGGTCAAGGATACGCCCCATCTATTGCTCCTTCGGAGCGCAGCAACATTGGGCTCCCTGGCCGTTACCGGCCAGTGTCACACATGCCGGCCGCCTCCACGACGACGCCCGACCTGAACCGCAAGTCTTATATGTCTGGGGCGATGAATTCTCTGGGCGAGAACAAGATGCCAAACACAGATGACAAGAGGTCCAGCAAGAGGTCACTCAAGAAGGAAGAGGCGGATGATGACGACGATGAAGGCTGGGCGGCCATGCAGGCCAAGAGGGATCAGAAGAAGTCCACATGGAGGTTGAGAAAGACACTGGCTCCTGGCGACCTCGACATTGGCTCGCTCATCACGTGAGAGAAGACTGCAATACAACAAATTCAGCGCACTGTGGCTCGGCAAGAGGGCCCTTTTTGAAAGGTTGGAAATTCAGCGACACATACAGCAGCATTATGGGCAGCATTTCTTACCATGGCATGGAGAATCTCACAGCAGCAGCAGCGGCAGCATTTCACGGTCATTTGATGGCGGAACAGGCAGATAAGCGGAGGTAAATTGTTTCTTGTGTACATTGTGCAATATAAGGGGTCTTGTTATATATGTTTCGAAAAAAAGGCGTTGCGAAATCACGGGTTCAGAGATGTCGAGCATTTGGGAACATTTTTAGTTTTTCTCTTTTTTCCTTCAGGTATGAGGCTTTATGATAGACTTCCCCTCCACGGGGAGTAATGTTAATTCTCGGCATAACCTGAAAGGAATTGTGCCCTTGATCATAACCTGCCACATGGGTTTTATCCTATCTGGCCAAATGTCCATTCCTGGATTTTTTTTTTTTGGGGGGGGGGGTGTGTTTTCTTTCTTTATTCATATCCTCTTTGGCACTCCATATCCCTGACCATACAATCTCCCACGGACTCTGGTTAAAGATCCCTTGGGGGGGAAATCAGGCACTACTCTGTCCGGTTGGAACTCGGCCCAGTTCCCAACGTTTATAAGCTCATCATGCCATGGCAACGCAAACTGGCTAGGACGAAGCCACCTTCCCCGAGGCCCAGCCCTTCCTCTTCTGGCCCATCTCGACGGCAGCAAGGCCCCAGTCCTCGCCGTGGTTGTGGCTCCCGCTGGTGACGCCGGCACGGGCCTTGGCCTGCGCCTCGTCCAGCACGGTCAGCACGCCAAAGACGACGGGCACGCCCGTGTCGAGCTGCACACGCATCAGGCCGTGCGAGACGGAGTCGGCGATGTACTCAAAGTGCATGGTCTCGCCCTTGATGAGGACGCCGATGGCGATCAGGGCGTCAAAGGCCGCGGTCGAGGTCTGCGACTTGGCGGGGAGGGAGGTCAGGTCTGTGGTCGAGCCGCCGAGGAGGTCGCCGGCCGAGGAGGTCGACGAGGTCGAGGACTGGATCTGGGAGGCGGCGAAGAGGCTGGATGGGGGAAGGGAGGGGGGAGGGAGACTTTTGTCAGCACACAAGAAGGAAGAAGAAGAAGAAGAAGAAGAAGAAGAGGAAAAAATAGACTTTGGGGGTGGCCTGAGGTGCATCGTAGGCCGAATGGCCTAAGGATGGTTCCCAAGCAGAAAGGGAGAAGAGGGACAAGGGAAGGAGGGGGGGTAAACATACCGTTGAACACCAATGGGCAGCTCCCACGAGCCGGGCACCGACTCGACGACGATGTTGCCCTCCTTGACACCACATGCCAGCAACTTGGCCTTGACGCCTTCCAGCAGCGGGTCGATGATCTCAGCGTTCCACCGCGCGTGGACGATGCCAATGCGCAGGCTGGTGCCGTCGTGCTGCTCGGGGGTAGGGCCCTTCATGTTGAACGATTGTGTATATGTGTTTTGTGTATAAAGGTCAGGTAGGTTGGGGCCCTGGCGGTGTTTACTTTTCTTTTTCCTTGCTCTCTCTCTCTAGTGAGGTTTCGATGTGCCAGGAAAGGGAGCTAGATCTGGTAGCTTGGGTGTTTGGGGAGAAGAGTGTGACGGTAGGAGCTGAGGTCAGGTCTAGGGGGTCCAGAACTGGTGGCTCTTGGAGGGGCAGCACCTGTCATCTGCCGTCTTTGGAGTTATGGGTGGGCGGGCACCTGCGGGGTATCACTGTAGCTAGGAGTAGAGTGAGATTATGTAATACTAGGCAACACTGGGCTGTAAACCTCCAACCACCCTTAGGTTTTGCACATGCAAGTTTGGGTACTTTGTGTATACTATTTGGCATGTGAATAATTCACAGCTACTCTGACAATTCAGATTCAATCTTATCCTGAGAATTTTCAAACTCTCTTTCTCTCACACAGACACAATCTGATCCAGCTGTGAGCCCAAATTGAGCAAAGTGATGATGGGTCTGGTCTTCCTCTGTTCAACACCCAGATGTGTTGAGAGTCTTCCACCCCCCTCCCGTCTTCTCTCCTTTGGCAGTTGCTTGTTCCTTGACGATATTGGACTAGAACTAACCCCTCTTTGAAAGCTTCAAGTTAGTCTTGGGTAGTGGCAGAAACGGTGCAACAGGTGACAAGGTTCCAAGTGGATGATCCGTCCAGACAAAATTGACACAGCAAGGTATAAAAGGCATTAGAGAACTCCCCTGTGATGCCGCTGAGTATTCTTCTCTTCTCTTCTTCTTCTTTCATGCGTCAGGAATTCTCCTTGTATCTATACACTTGCTCTTTATACAAGAAATTCCCCACTTCTCTAGTCTACACCTCTTCAAGATGGCCCCTTACCAACATGGTGGAGATGGCTCCTCGGAGACGCTCAACAATGGCGCACAGGATGAGAAGATCACCAATGGCACCATTTTCACTTCCATCCTTGACAAGAAGAGAGACAGCAAGACTGTGGCCTCTTCCACCTCAGAGAAGGAAGGCAGCATCGTTGAGGTTCCCTCCCCAGAGCGCAGCTTCCGGGGCATTTCTCTGCTGCCCCCCTGCTTGAAACGCTGGCTCCTCGCCCGCCCGGCTGCCCGAGCTCAGCAGATTGAGGAGTTGCGCTCCAAGGTCGTCAAACGCCGCGAGAACTATGCGGATTTACTCTCGGAGTGGAAGAGGGCGGCCCGCGAGGCCCGCCACCGACGCAAGGCATGGCTCGAGGACAAGGAGGTCGAAGGGTGGCAGAAGTACAAATACTTCAGTTTCAACACGAAGGTCCGGTACGCGGTTGAGGGCGAAGAGGCCAGGGCCGTGACCCGGGCGCCGTTGGCCTTGGACTTCCGCACGCTGGAGGGCAAGCGTCAGGCGGCCTTTTTGTTTGAGAACTACTATAAACAACAGAAGGAATCGTGGACGAAGCTCATAGCCCAGTGTGATGGATGGGAGCAGAATTATCAAAAGTGGGTGCACAGCTCGGCTTGCCGGTCTGTGCGGGAGAGGCAGGCCAAGGTACTGCTCGAGTGTGTCGAGATACCAGACTGCAAGAGGTGCAAGATTTGGTTCGTCGTCCTGCCCGACTGACCGAACTGTTGACGACACAACGGCTACACTGGTCCATTTCAAAAGGATTTGAAGAATAAATAGGATAAGAAAAGAAAAGGATTGTGGCAGCAAGGTAGCAAGACTGGCAGTGGTCATTTGTACGCATCATCAGAGCTGCTCATCCATCAACTTTCATTTTCCTTCACATGATGAGATGGATTTCACATGCAATACATAATGAGCCCCAGCACTTGGTTTTGCTGCCTTGATGCAACCGCTCATATAATCCAGCAGCTAGTTTGGAGCTACTGAACACCAGTCTTTCAGCCTGCGCACTTGAGGCTATGTCTTGGTCCATTAAGCGCGATACTTTACTGGCAAGCTGAAGGGACCAGCTGTAGGACGTAATTACGTAGGAGCAAAGGTTCCAAAAAAAAAAAAAAAAAAAAAAAAAAAAAAGAAAAAAGAAAGAAAAAGAAAAAAAAAAAGGCTTCACAGGCATAGCATTCTGATGAAGTTCATCAAAATATAAACATTCCTTCACAAACAAGTCCAATAACAGGTTTTTCGAGGAGAATCATCGAACTTGATGAGAATTTCCTGAACAAAGTAATTAATTACACACTCTGAGCATTCGCCTTGTATAGAAAGCAGGGGCTTAGTAATCACATGCAACGTCTTTAACTTAAGTCTTCTGCAGTGGTTGCTATCGCGATAAGAAATTTCATGGTCACTCCCAAAAAAATGCAATAACCACTGCAGCACCCGACCTATCGACTTCCTCCTCGCCAAACCCAACTCAGCTCCTATTCTCGTTGCCAATTCCACATATCCCCACCACCCCTCTTCAACCTCAGAAAATGGCGCCCACACGACCCTCCAGAAAGGCAAAAGCCAAAGCCCGCTCACAAGCAAAGAAATCCTCCGCCCCCTCCAGACCACCCAAACAGCTCCTCGCCGAGGCGACCGCGCACCTCGAACAAGGCGACGCACCCGGCGCCGTCACCCTCGCGCGCCAGGCCCTCGACAGCGCCCTCGAGTCCGACGACGCCCGCGCATGCGCCGCGTACAACCTGCTCGGCGAGATCCACATCGAGCTGGGCGAGATCGACGACGCGCGGGCCCTGTTCCTCAAGGCGGCGGGGCTGGACGCCGAGGGCGCGCTGGCCGAGGACCTCGGCGGCGGGCCGGACAAGTTCAACTGGCTCGCGCAGCTGTCCGAGGAGGGCGGCGCCGACTCGGTGCGGTGGTACGAGAAGGCGGCGGCGTGCCTCCGCACCCAGATCCAGGCGCTCACCGAGGCCGCGGGCGAGGCGCGGGGAAAGGGCAGCGCGCACGGTGCGCTAGAGGAGGAGCTGGAGGCCAGGGCGGACGAGAAGAAGCGGAAGCTGGCCGAGACGCTGTGCGCGGTCGCCGAGGTGTACATGACGGACCTGTCGTGGGAGGAGGACGCCGAGGCGCGGTGCGAGACCCTGGTCACGGAGGCGACCATGCTCGCGCCCGAGCTGCCGGATGCGTGGCAGACGGTGGCCAACGTGCGGGTCAGCCAGAGCAGGCGGGATGACGCCGTCGCCGCGCTCGAGAGGAGCCTGTCGCTGTGGTCGGACCTGGATCCGGAGGACCCCAGGGTGCCGCCCTTCCCCAGCAGGGTGGCCCTTGCGAGGCTGTTGATGGAGTGCGAGCTGGAGGGCAAGGCCGTGGACGTGTGTGAGAGGTTGGTCCTGGAAGACGACACGAGTGTTGAGGCCTGGTACCTGGGCGGGCTTGCGCATTTCACACTGGGCGAGAAGATAAAAAATCCCCCAAAGGACGAGAAGAACAAAAAGGCAAGGGATGATGATGATGATGATGATGATGATGATGGCTGGAAGAAGCACTGGGTGCGGGCCAGGCAGTGGTTATCACAGTGCCAGCTGCTATTCGAGGCGCAAGAATACGAGGATGAGAGGCTGGGCGAGCATGCAGCCGAGCTGCTGGCCACCATCACCGCTGAGGCCGGCGATTTACCTGACGAGGAGGAAGAAGATGGTGATGGCTGGGAGGACGTCCAAGACAACGGCGCAAATGGCGCGAATGACCAAGAGATGGATGATTCATGAGCGAGTGACACCAACGTCCAACCCTCCTCGATTCAGCTTCGCCCCTCGCCCCTCGACCATGACGAGAATACATGCATATGACTTCTGCAGTCTCGAAGGCAACAAATTTTCCTTTTCTTTCTTCAAAAAATAATGTCCATGGTTGCATTGGATGGAGTTTCTGGCCTCAAAAAACATGATTGCTGGAAGAGGAGAGGCATTTGCAGGTGGAGGCCGCGTCAAATGCCTCCAGTATCCAGGACAGAGCGTTATAAGAGGATGTGTAGATAGCATGATACCAATACCAACGCAGTATTATTTAAACTGCATATGAAAAGGGAAGACATGCAATTTTGGAAGCCAAAAAGGGTATCAATGTCCGTCTCGCCTCTATGCAATTGTCCTATATGCAATCCAAGCCTCTCAACACCATCTCTCATGCGGCTCCCGCCACTTTACGCCGAGAAGCTGGAAGATTCTTTTCTCGTCCCGTCCCTCGAGCAGGTCCCCATCGGAGATCTTCTGCCTGTTCTGGTCCCTCAGCACATCCTTATACAGCCCACGCTGGTTCAGTCTCATCTTCTTTTTCGACGCCAACAACCGGATACTGCGATTGAAGATGTCGTTGCCCGTGAAGTAGATCAGCGCCGCGCCGTACTCCGTCTCTGGCACGAGAAGCAGATCGATTCTCCGCCACACAGGACGATAATTGTCATTATCCTTGTCGTCAGTGGCTCGTGGCAATACACAGCAGCCGTGCCATTTGCTGCCACTGCCCTCTCTGGTGGAGCTGTGGGCAGCAAGCTCTGCTGTCAGAAAACCCCGTCTGCTCAGGTTGCCGACGAGCTTGTCGAGGAACGGGGTCAAGTCCCTGCTGGAGGTCGTGCCCTTCTTGGTGATGATAAAATCAATATCACCACTGCTGGTCGCGCCCCGACGATAGCTGCCTCCGATGAGAAGTTCCACCTCCTTGTCGATGTTAACTGCCTCGGCCTTCACATACTCACCAAGCTTCGTAACTTCAGCACGCGGTATGCGGGAGTTGATATCTTCATAATGCTCAATGCCAATTCTTTGGCTGTACGAGAGATCGGCGCTCCGTAGTAAATCATCGAGTGTTCGGAAGCCCTGCGCGATCCATTTGTCGGCGGTCGTCGGACCCGCGCCGTAAACCCCTAGGAACAACGCCTTGACTTGACTTATGGGATCGTTCAGCGCAAATTGTAACCGCTGGAGGGTTTGGGTCTTGACAATCTCCTCAAGCTTGGCGGACAGCCTCTCTCCAAAGAACGGCAGCTTTTTGGCCTCCTCAGCCGTAGTGATGGTGCGGTCTTTGACCATTGAAAGAGTGGTGATGATTCTGCGGTACGCGAGTACCCGCCAATGGTCATTTGTGTTGGTGTAATAATCGAGCATTTTTCGGAAAACGCTAATGGTAAAGGCGTTTGGATTGTCCTTATTCTCGGCCTGCTCCTTGGTGCCTCCCCGATTGCAGGCGTAATACTCGTCGTACTTCTTCGGGATGCTTTTGCCTCCCCCCTTCTTCTTGAACCTCTTCCTTTCTCGCTCTTTCTCTGCTCCCGAGTCGTCTTCCCCACCATCTTCACTTGGATTGAGGTTCGCGTCCTCATCCCCGATGCGTGGGACATCCTTAAACTCCTCACGAGCCTCATTAATGATTTGTGAGAGCTCGTCACAGAATTCAGAGTTTTCTCTATGGACATCGACAGGCCCATTCAACTCCTCTGCATCTTTAGAAACCCCTCCGTCGGTATCTTCCAATGTCGGGATAGCTTGATGATTGTCAGCCGCCTCACGACTCGAAGGCCGAGTTGTGCCTGCTGCGTCGGTATTCCCAAGCTGTCTCAGGTCCAAAAACGGGAGCGGAGATGCCGTGCTCTGCGAAGGGGTCACGTCAGGGACATAGTCCCACCTCTTCGGATTCTTGTGAGGTGTTTTCAATTCTAAAGAACTGTCGGGTCTTCGAGTGGCGTCTCGTTGCTCTGTCTCTTTTCCTGTAGACCCTGACTGCCCAGAGGGAGTCCCTTTGACCCGATACTTCAGGTAGGGTGGGAGGACGCGTCCTTGCTGTATACAATCCAAAGGCCACTCTTCCGTAACAAGTGTGCTGCCGACACTCCCAGAGACGGTCGAAACAGTGGCCTTGATATCTTCGTATCCAAGGTTTTTGTCAACGACAATATGCGTAGCGTCAGCAAGCTGGTCGGTTACCGTCGCGCCGTATTTTTCTGCATGTTCGATTCGATGTTTGCGAAGAGAAATGCGATCTGGAGGGATGTAGAACAGTCTGAGATTCTTCAATATCCGTTTCGCCTCTGGCACGTCGTTCTTGCCCTTGTCTCTGGTAGGCCGTTTTCGACGACCGCCGCGGCTACTTGCCACGACTGAATTTGGCGACCTTTGGGTTTCCTTAGACACGGTGCCTGCAGACGTATGTTTCGTCATGCGGCAGTCTAGTCCAGGCTCTTGAAGGGGTGTGTCTTGCACAATTGATGTGCTGCTAGGAATCTGTTGTCGACTTGCTGGGGGGTGAGAATCAGGGACAAAAGGCGTGGCCTGTATGGTGGTATTTGGTGTGGCAGCAGTCATTGAGACGCTTTTGGTAGGCTTGGGATCTGGTATCGACACTCTGCCCGCAGCAGATGCAGTGGCCACCTTGCCCTGACTTGGCTTTGTGTGTTGTCTGCCTGGCTTCGCTTTCTCCAAGAAGGCCCGACTCCTTTGCCGGTGATCATCTTGAAGATTTTCATGTTCATCATCAAAAGAAGTATCCAAGGCATCCAGCTGCTTGTAGAAGGCTTCTTTGGTTTTGAGAGGCATCTCCAGAGACATGATGCTGACAATGCATTTGGTTGTGAATTAGAAGGATTGGATGGCTGTGGTTTTCTAGTATCTAGAAAGAAAGGAGAAAAGAAAGAAGAGGAAAGAAACCCTGAAGGAAAAAGGAAATGAAATGAGTTGGAAGAGTAAGCAGTGGGTAAGTCACAAAGGAAAAGAATGAAATCCAAGCAGTCGATGGACAGAGCTATTAATCATTGTGAAAAAGTATTGAGAACTCACAGGCCGATTGCAGTCAATGTTAACATTCACAGCCTTGTGAATGTACATAGTAGACAGGAGTGGCAGCCTGCACCCACTGAAATACTACCGAGGAGACGGTACTGTAGGTGCATATGACCCCTGTAAATACCTGTATTACGTGCATAAGCCTCTGAAGATGGTTAGTGTACTGGAGAGTGGGTACCGGGCCCCCCCTGTCTCTTAGCAGCTGCCTGCTCTCCAAACATTGCGCCGGCGCAGGAGTCACAAACGGCAGGAACACACAACAACAACATGTCGACACACCAAAAAAAACAGCAGTAACAGCCAAAAAGTAAGTCTCCTGCGCTGGGAGTTGAACCCAGGATCCCGGCGTGACAAGCCGATGTGTTACCGTTACACCACGCAGGATGTTTGGTTTGTGTTGTTGTTGAAAACGACTGCACCTCGTTTGCTTATATTGACAACCACTTCGGACTCAGGTTTAAGTGAGCCTCCCTTCTTCCCCTTCTGCCATGCCACCTCCCGTTCTGTTTCATTTCGCACACAGCTGAAATTGCGACAGCAGATCTACAAGGGGAAAATTGAATCATCTCATGTTTCTGTAAGGGCAACTTTGAGCCTCAAGCCAAACTTCAAACAGGTTAGATACTCTAGCTTGCAGTCTTGCCACTATTGATCAATCACACAGCAGATTATCCTAGAGTCTGTGATACTCGTACCACACCATGCCCATCACAAGAGGTCCTGCAGATGTCCCCAAGGCAGACTAGCTCCCCAGAGTATAGCAGTCCATATACGATATCTTCTGCGGGTCGTGGCCATGCTCTCTCTATCTCTCTACACTCAAAGCTCGCAGCCTCGCGCCCAGCCAAGCCTCATACCCAGCCCACGCGCCGACTTGCTTCCACCTCGCACAGAACCTCATCATGGCCTCACACGCCCCCTTTTCATATCTCTGCCCGTCAAAACCCGAACCGTGGGCCTCCCCGGCGGCCACGGAGAGTTTCTCCGCGCAGACAGGACACAGGTACGGCGGCTGCCTGCAGTCCTCAGCCACCCCCGCCGTGCTCTGCATGACGCACGCATAGTACATGCAGTGGGCCATGCCGAAGCAGTGACCCAGCTCGTGGGAGGCCGTACGCGCCAGGCAGAAGAGCCACAGGCCTTGTGTGAGATCGCGTCTGGTAGCTGCGGTCGTGCTCCCACCGCTGGAAGTAGTAGTGCCAGTAGCCCTGAAGGCTGTCACGGCCTGGTGGAGAGCGCTGTCGGGCTCACCGTTGTCTTCTTTTCCTCCTCCTCCTTCTTGGTCATATCTTGGTGGTGAAAGATTAGATAATTCACACTGGGATGCCACGTACGCCGCGCAGTGCGACGCGGGCCAGATGTGTGATGTGTCCACACCCTCGTGGGCGTGGCAGAGGGGGCTATAGCGTGCCGAGGAGACTACAGCCACACGGCTGCCGCCGTAGGCCCTGCCGCAGCAGAAATCGTCGTCCTCGTCCTCATAAAGGTCGTGGTCCACGAGGAGGAGGAGGGCGTACGCATCTCGAGGGAGGATCCTGATGGCACAGTCCAGCATGTCATTGAGGTTGAGCTGGTGGGAAAAGACACCGTCCAGGCTGGGTCTCGCTCGGATGCGCGTGAGGCTATCGGCCGGTCCTTCTTTCAGAGCCACAAAGGATGTTGGGTTGCCCTTGCTCGCATTGTCTTCCCAGGGCTCGAACCGGAGTGTAGGATTGTACTCCCTCACTTCGAAGCCGTGGTAGAAAGCGCCGAGATACGCCAGGATATCATCCGCTTTGGGTGGCTGCACTGCTGCTGCTGCTGCTGCTGCTGCTGCCTGGGCGGCTCCTTTTTTCTTCCCCTTCTTCCCCAGCCCTACTGCTGGTTCGATCCACTTGCTCATGACCGACAATGACTCTGGAATAGCTGGCGGCCTCGCCACGTACACTGTCTTTCTGTTGCAGGTGGCATGATTCCTCTCGGGCATGTTGTGCCACGACCGCAGGCTCTGCGGGGGTTGGCCGGGGTCCTGCGCGAGGTCATCGTCAGGGAGGACGAGTGGCGCTGGGAATGTGAAGAGGTGAGAAGCAGGCTCTTCTTTGGGGCCGTCCCATGGAAAGCGGCCGGAAGAAGTTGTAGCTGCGGCCCTGCGCTTCCAGTCTGGCCGCTTGTATCCTGCCTCGGCACCATGGGGGGATACGTCCACCGTCAGCGACGGATGAATGCACTTCTTCTGTCTTGGGGCCATTGTATCGAGGACTTGCGAAGTGGAGGAACAAAGTCAGCATGATATTTCAGAAATCTCATGGCTGATGGGGGGTTGCTACATGTATACTTGTTGATATCTGATCCCAAGGCGGCATAGCTTCTTCTGGTGTTTAGGCAGCAACACCTTCCTATCTGCTTAGTTTAAACGAATTGAATATTGCCCGACCAGAGTGCAAAAAAGTCCTACACTATCGTGATGAGGTTCTTTTGAAAGTATCTTTTGCAAGGGTGATTTATACTGCAGTCATGTGCCACAATCATAGCACATCATACTGGGCCGTGCAGCCATCCTGATATCTCGAGTTGAGTCTGGCCACCAAAGAAATATCGAATGCAAATTAACACACCAGATATTGATTTACACCAAGAGCAGGTGATTGATCACTGAAACTAGGACAACAAAAATAGCCAGGTTGTGAGAATAGTGATGAGCCGAATTGACTCTATGACGTGGTGTATATGTCGAAACGAGCTTGAGGCTGAGATTTGGAAGTGACCAACCCAACACCCCCCCCCCCCTCTTCCCTGACTAATACAAATCTTTACCCAAAGACTAACTGGCAGGGTCATATTCTCCTCCTCCCAGCGTCAGACGCAACTCAAACAAGTCATCCGCACAGCGCATCGAGTTTCTCTGGACGATGGCAACCTCCCTCTATTTCTCTCTTTTCCATCTCCTCAAAGTCTCTTGTCTCAGATCTCTGAGATCGGCAATGGGCCCGTCCATGTTCGCCAATCTTATCACATGTACAGTACTCTCATTATCTACTAAAAAGATACCCTTCACAGGGGGTGGGAGGATCCGAATAATCGGTAACGGCATCTGGTCCCGTCCTGTAGCTAACAATTCCTCCTAGCTTGCACGTCCGTGCAGGAAGGGGGAACCACGAAATTCTCCGATGAGATGGGTGAGACAGGTCGAGTGGGGTCAGGACTGAAAATATGGAAGGGGGGGGGGGGGCGGAAGGTGGAGAGTTTTCCCGTCCAATGCCCTTCTAAGTTTTTGTTTCCATGGCGGTGTGAGATGTCTCAGAGACGCGGGCAGGGGAGGCAAGGACGAGAAGTAGCTACTATAGTACACCCAGGGGGGGGGGGGGCAATTCATGATGATTGACGATATGGAATGAAGAGAAGTACGGTACACTACATCAATAGTGAGATGCAGAGACTTGATCTGGATCAAATCTTGCTTCTCTTTCTCTAGCTCTTGCATCGACCACCCCGGGACAATACATAGTATTCATTTGTATGCAAGGGTTGTTACTTTTTCCTTTTTTTTTCCTCTTCTTTTCACCCCAATCTTTTGATCACCAGCATGTCCAATCACGCACTTTCCTTTATCTCCCCGGTAAACTCTGCCCACCGATCTACTATTTAGTCATGAATATGCATGCATGTCTCGCCCATCCCATACCCTATCCTTCCCCCTTGGCCGGGATGTCCTCTATAACATGACATGCCTGTACAAACCATCCCTAGAATGGGCATGTTCTACGTTATGCGCATAATATACATGTACATATATGTATGTAAAGTGCCTACATGTCTCTCCCGGCTCCGACACCTCGGATCCATCCAAGCAAAGAAAGAAGGGGTGGGGGGGGGGGCGACGAACGAAAATAATTGACCAGGTAAAATGACTGTCTCGTTTCACTTCCGGTCTTACTTTTTTTTCGGCCCCCTCCCTGAAGCCGCTCCCTCGGGTTGCTTCCCGATTTGGTTCCGTATCCAGACTGTCGGGAACGCCACTCACTCACTCACTTACTGCCTGCCTGCGTCTGTCCACCTGAGAGATTTGACTTCCCTTTTTGACTGCCATGTAAACTTTTACTTTGTCCTGTCATCTGTTGGAGTGGGGTGTACTACTTTGCTGCGGCTCGCTCGGTCATGGTCTCTCGTCCGGACTGCACAGTCCTACCAGGGTGCCATTGGCTTCCGAGAGAAAGAATAATTTCATGCTCACTGCATTGATTACCTCAGAACGCTAGGTTGCTTGCCGTGGGGTAATAGGACAGGCCGACCATGTCTCCCCAACCGTCGCTGATATTTTTTCTGAGCACACCGACCTCTCCAGACATATGAATGGGGAGTTTCTCTTACTCCTTCGCCTGTTTTGCTGCTCGCTATTTCGTCGGCGCCGGCGAGCCACACCTGACGACACCCAGCTTTACTGGTGCCAACCCTTCTTGCAATATCAGAACAAAAGAACCACTCGGTGCTGTCCCATCACAGTACACGCACAATCGAATTTCAGAATATCAGAACCCAAACAGGGAGGAAAAGCAGAAGGGCAAGAAAAATCAAACGAAAAAGAAGAGAAAAACCACACCATGTGAACAGACCATATCTATCTAATAGCCAAACCAAGCCCCCCGAGCCGATGTAGTAGCCAATGCATGTCCTAGCAGACCTTCTTGTATCCTCTTAAACCGAGACGCAGATGAGTGATGGATCTTTCTCCAAGGCGGACAAGGAAGATCCAATCAAGTCGAACAACGTGCAGAAGCCGAGTCTGGACGTTGAAGGCGGAGATCACAGAGCCGACAAGCACTTTGAATCTTTGCAATAGTTCTTGCCTTCTTGTTGGAGTCTAGAGCTGCAACTGCTCCCTCGCTGACAAAAGTCATTCCGGGCATGTCTGCATGGTTTGGTCTGTCGGTGACTGTGAAGACGCCCGGACACTGTCTTGGGTTGTTGCTTGTGTCCCGCCCCATGCCGCTGCAACGTGATGGACGAAATTTTCTAGTCATCGTCATCGTCGTCATCCCCGCCACCCTTACCACCTTCCTTCCTGATCGGAATCTTGATGCCCTGGGTCGCAAAGCATTTGCTGAGCTCGGTGCTGTCACAGACGCCAGGGAACTTCTTGGCCGAGTAGACCTGGAATTTGTCGCTGAACACAGATGCGAGGATCGGGGATTTGCCAATCTTGACAGGCGCATCACCCTTCTGGTCCGCGGTGGGCTTGACGTCGACGAAGGAAAATCGGAGTCTACAAGGTTGTTCGATATTGAGTCAGTATGCCTCTGTCTTTCCTTCTGTTCCCCTCCCTCCCTCCCGCCCTTCTTCTAGACACTGGGCGGCTTTTTTTTGGGGGGGGGGGGGGGCGGGGGAGGGGCGAACAGGATCTCGTGCCCTCGGGGCATCACATCTTTCGACTTACCTAAAGTTTCCTTCTGTCCTTACACTGAGATCCTGCATGACAAACCAGATACCGATCTTGTCCTTGGTATCCTGCAGCCGAAAAGCACTCCCAGCGCAATTCCCGATAAGATTCCTGGTGAACATGCCTTGGACGCCGGCACCGGAAGGCCCAGACATGGAAATCCTCTGCGGCCCGTTCATAGAACCTGCCTCATATACCTGTGGTGGCCTGTACAGAGGCGCAAAGTCATTGGGATACCCGTATGCCGTCTGACCGTACCCGTTGGGGGCTGGTGGGTAGCTCGGAACTTTAGATCGTCAGTTCAAACCTTGCAAGTTGACGTGAGAGCATTGGAAGAAGAGAGGTGACAAGATAGACAAAGAGGCTACTGACCTTGACCGTACTGACCACCGCCGTATGGGGCGACGGGAGGCTGAGGCTGGCCATACAGCGACACTTGGCCAGAATGGGATGATGGGTAGGGTGCGATGTTCGTAGCACGATACGGCATCGACTCGAGATTGTTGAAAGACTCGTGGATGGTTGAAGATATCGCCGGCGTGGCCGTGGTGCTGCGCACGACATTTACTTCCTTGGAACCAAGGTCGTCCCAGAGATCTACCGTCACAACGTACTGCGCGAAGTCGATGGTGCTGTCGCCCAAGGTCAGTTTTACCGCGACCTGCGCTGCCCGAGACGAATCGATTCGATACTCACTTTACGTCAACTTCTTCGCCGGTGTGGACGTCTGTCACGAGAAGCCTGATTGCCGGTGGTGGAGTAAGCGGTCTGCGGTCCTGCTCTCGCCGTTAGATGATTGTTGTTTGCTGGCAGGGGAGGGTTGCCACAAGCACTAGGACGGAAGACCTACTTTGTCACCGAAGCCGCACATTCTGGCACGGATTGGTTGCTGCTCAACGATCAAACTGGTTTGAGAAAATCAGGAGCAAAGGTCAGCATCTCCTCATCGAACGAAGCAAGAAGGTCCACAACAGTCTCTGCACAGGTCCTGTCCAATAGTCCAGGACTGGAATCAAGGCTAGCAAGTGACGAAGAAGAAGGCGAGGGAAAAGGAGCGGTCATGACATACGCATATCGGCGGCCGTTGAGGACAGTAGACACGGCCTCCAGCTTGGTGACAGCCTCGTCGCCTCCTGGTGGAGATGACTGCTGGGGCGGCACGCTCGCATTTGGGCTTGCCTGGGAGTGCGGCGGACCGAGTGATGATGTTTGGTGGTAAAGGGACTGTCCTGGCTGTTGGGGATGGCCCTGCTGGCCCGGAAACGATGGCTGATGGTGCTGGTACGTCTGTGACTGGGCATAGCCCGTCGTGCTGCTGTAGGCATTGCCGTTCGGTGGGGACGCCATGGAGGGCAGTGTCTGCGAAGATGCATAGCTGCTGTGCGCCAGTGGAGGAGGCGGCAATTGGTGGGGGTAGACGGAAGGCATCGTGCCGTTGGGCCCTCGCGGGCTCGAGTACGAGGTCATTGAATGTTCCCCTCGTGGTGATCTTTTTTCCTGGTTGTCGTGCTATCAAAGACCCAAGCTTTTGTCTCTTCTTTTCTCTTCAAAGCAAACGTGAGTAAGAACCTCGCGATATCGATATTGACTCGATGGTGCGCGATGATAAGCGACGCTCCAGAGAAATTGGTGTGTATGTCGTCCCTGCTGCTGGCCTGAGGGGGGATTGGACAGCGGGATTGCTTATATCGTCCGCCTCTGAGTCCACAACCACACTCTCGAGTTTGTCTGGTCGGGTTGGCACCAGTGGCTCTCCAGTGCAAAAGAGTGTCGTGAGGCCCTTTCGCTAGGCACCACTAAAGGCAGAGGACCACGTTGACGAGATGAAAGTGTTGCACCACCTGGACGGAACGACACTCGAGCAGTGGGGACTTTTTTGATCTGCGCATGCCAGGGGGGTTCGATGGCTATGGGCCGGACCGTGTTGCCGTCGTGAGAGAGACTGAATGCATGGGCTGGCTGAATGTAAACGGCGGGCTGATTGAAATTGGAGGCAATGCGAAGCCGAGGCACACACCAAACGCTCTCACACACACACCAACAGAACAGAACAGCACAATAGCCTGGTGAGAATAAGGTGGGGCCCTAGACCATGACGCAAAAAGGCTATGCAGGAGGCCGTCTGTACTCTCTCTGCTTAGAATGTCTGCTTCTTATGTGTGTGATTGTGTGAAAGGGAATAAAATGGTTGTGAACGAGAAGAAAAGATACGATGGGGGATGGAAGGAAAAAGGGTCGGACAGGAACAGGTTCAAGGCCAAATGGTGGCAGCAGCAGTACTGTGGTAGAGCATGCAAGGTTTAGAGAGGTTCAGGTTGGGGGGGCAAGGTGGTGGCAGCATTTGACAGGCGCCCCAGTTGCAGCAGCACGTCGTCGACCCAGAACCACCCATGCTGACCTAGCCCAGCACTACGGGCCAGACAGTTGTGGTTATCCAATGGTAGTGATGGTGACCCTGGTCCACCAGGGGGGTGGGAAGGGGGGGGGGGGGAATAGTACTGCGGTACGTGCAGCGGCGCGCGTTGACAGCGGGGTAATCAGGTACCCAAGTACCATAGTACCATAGCATTATTGTATGGGCCGGGAAGTAGTGTTCCACACTATTACTGCTGTGTTAATGCATACCCTACACTATAGTAGGTGACTGACTATAGTATGGTACGGCGGCGGATACTATAGCACCACCAGACGGGAGCACACTTGCGTTATGCACGTAGCCTTGTGTGTTTTTCTTTCTTTCTTTTTTGGTTTGGAAAGAGGGGTATGATAAAGGGGGTTGGAGGAGAGAGAACCCACGCACTGCTGCATACTACCTGTCACCTTTAAGGTTGCCTTTCTCTCTCTCTTTTTTTCTTCTCTTTCGTGCTGAATGTAAGAGAAGAGGGAAGGGGGCAAGAGGGATGGATTGAGAAGGGAGGGGGAAAACGACTGATGGCCTGGGTGCTAGGTGGAGGTGCTGCTGCTGCTGCTGCCGCCGCCGCCGCTGCTGGGACCAGTAATTACTGCGTACTATGGTACACTGGCTGACAGGCCTTGCCAGATGCAGGGTTTGATCTGGCCAAATAACCTCAGACAGGCTAGGTTAGGCCCATTTCAAGTAAGTCTAGCACTCTCAATCCAGTAAGTCAGTGCATACCAAGATTAATACATTGACCCCCAGTAAAGCACCGTACCATACCACGTAGACCGTAGCACCATAGTGTACCACAGTTAAGGGTGTGTCCAGTCCAACTTGATAGAACTTATCACAGTCGTAACTGCCAGACTTGATAGTCAGTGAATGCTCAGGTAGGCTCACCTCATGACTCCTTTAGCCCCCCTCCCCCCTTTCCTTCCTCTCCAGTTTTTTTTTTTTTCCCTTCCCTTTTCCCCTCCCTCTGCCCTCTCTTTTCTTTCCTCAGAAGTCGCACAATGATTATCTTCTTCCTCACTCCCCCTTCACCCCTTCATATTTCTGCCGGATCCTTCCCGCAGGTGCCCACCCTCTCTGGTCTCCCCTCTATTTAACCCACCCCCCCTCCCTTTCTCTCCTCTTTCTTTCCCTTCTGATGTGTGTGTGCCCCTGTGGGTACCCCTCCTGTGAACAGCCCCACCGTCCCGCCGCGGCCCCACCATACCAGGGAATGGGCAGACGGGAATTGCTTCCTTGCTTTCCTTGCTGCCTTGTACATACTGAAAACTGGCACTGGAACCCTGAAAATGCTTGGGTGCTTGGATGGTCTGGGCAGGAAGCCAGATCAGTGGGCCCCCTCTGAGTGCGATAATTTCCATGCTTGCGTCCATGCACAACTGCCATCCGGACCCGATGCTTCACCGGGCAGTAGTAATCTCGGGGACGACCAGCCGGCCTAAAAAGCCGATGCTATGTGTGGAATTTATATGCACAATAGGGCCGTTACATGCTATCTGTCATTTACTGATGGTTCATATTAATAAGCCTATATACGCTTGTATGTTTGGAGCTTAATCGCTCGCGTGATGACAATCAGACGGCGCTGACACAGCCCCAGCACAGGCATAGACGCGGCTGCAGAGATCAGCATATCGTATTGCGCGCTCTCTTTTCTCGCATTTTCTACTGTGCCCATGCGTCGACCAGCAGCCAAGGCTTAGAGACGGAACTGTGGCTACTCGGAATACACTCATGGTGGACTCGTTCGAAAAGAGGCAGAGACAAGGAGGCCCGAGCATCACCATCCCATCTGATGTCGCACGCTCAGAGACGCCACCATTGCTGCCAGGCCAAGCCGTTCCTTTCACACCGGTCGAGCCTCGAGTAACGCAGAGAGGCTCGACTGCAGTCAGGTGCCACTGCGCCGGAACCAGGTGGGTCTATCTGGATACCTGTCCCTGGCCCAACCTGCTCTGTGGCGCCCGCGCCAATGGTACGAGGATGCCACGAACTGGCAGTTTCGACCATCACAGGCAGCAATGTCGTACGACCTAAGGCAACCTTTTCTTTTCCTATTCCCTCCCTTCGTACTTCCCTCTCTGGATGAATGAGTCCTCGTCATTTGTCGCATTTACTTTTTGCGGTTATGCCGATCTCCAAGCCACCTGTTCCTGACGTCGCACCATGCTGGTCAAGCTGCACGCGAGCCCACCCAGGTGGACTGAACTTGTCTCCGGTCTTGGCCACTCGGAGCCCAGTCCGCGACTGCACACAGGGCTTTTGAGACTGCTTGCTATACTCTGTGTAGCCTCGGAGGTCCCAACTCTGCTACGGCTGCAATCGGTTCGGGCAGTAGGTTGAGACTGAAAAGCCAGCGGCCTCTCGTGCGCCACAACCCCTATAGACACACGCCTTTTCATGGCTGACAATGGGGCATGTGGGTGTCACCGCCACCACCACTAGGCACGCACGATTTCTTCCGCCTCTCATCTGCAGAGACGTGCCGCAACAAGCCGCGAACAGCTTACTCAGCTGTGGCACATATACACACACTGCTTTGGTATCCAAGCAGGTCTGACGTAGCCTTGCCGAGCGACGTGTCTCAATGCTCCAGCCTTGTGGTCTCGACCATGGATACTACTGACGTCTCTTGCTGCCGATCTGAACTGAACACGCCCCCTCCCTCTCTATCCTCTACACATACAAGTCAAACTAGCGGACTGTCTAATAGGGTGTTATCATTGCCTCGTTCAACATGTAGAAGCGGCACAACCCCCCAGTAGATGAATAGGCTGGCTATTACAGAGATAACCACGCTGGTGATGGCTCACAAAGAAGCTTTTGGGTTGATTATGACTATGCGATCTGCCTAGCCCGCCAGGCAGAACAGATCCAAATAAGTCTATCATGGGACTACTACCGAGACAAGAGTAGATCGAGGTTTTCATTCCCGCCGATGTATCTCCTGTGTATGGTTAACATATATGTATTGTATACACACCCTCTACCTTCCCCACCAGAACGCCCTGCCATACCCGCCAACCAGAAGCCGGTTTGCAACTTGGATGATTGATAATAATCATGGAAAGGCTCAGTCGATCTGTAGACTGGATGGAGTACAAAACCCCTCAGCACGGTATTTGAAGGTGGAAGAGGGCTAAGAGACATATCTCTTCAAAGTAGTTGGCCAGGTGCCCTCCCGTGCTCACCTACAGACTACAGCATACCCCTACGCTGTTTTGTGGCTTTTCATTACACGCCCATCTCTGTTGAAGCATTTGTTCAGGAAGACAAGCAGGTCATTTTTGTATTTATTGCTGCCTACAGAAGCACACGTTAGAAGGACCGAGGGAGAGGAGAGAAAGAAAAAAAAATAGACTACAATATTGCATCGCATTGAATATTGAATATTGATCCATTTGCCTATGCTCTTGCCTAGTAGTAGTAGTACTCTTTTTATCTGGACAGCTCCTCGAGACTGCTACAAAAGGGGCCTGTCCATCCAACACATGGTGTTGATGAAATACCCCGAAAGCCAACACTCAAACTCACTCCCGTACCTCCCACCCCCAGTCCGCCACCATCTCTTGTCCATATCAAAAGTAGCAATGGTAGGCGTCCTCCCTTCCTCCGAAGCTCCTGACTCCGGGTTCTGGACAGCCTCGACAATAAGAGGATTTCTTTGGAGAGATAAAGAAAAGAAGAGAACTAGGCTTGATGCTGAAGATTAAAGGCAAGGCACTGCCTGACCCAAAGCCAGCAAAAGCTAGCAGAGATTTTGGTGTTTTTTGTTCTTTTGGTATGATCCCCTTGCAGTTCCGTTTCACCCTGCTGTGAAATAAATTGGTCCTCATTTCCATGGTGAGAAGGCCAAACAAATGAAAACAAGTCGTGATGGTAGCTGCGCCAGGATCCCCTCCTCTCTTCACAACCGACACACTTTCTCTTTTTTTTTCTTGTTCGTGCTGTGTGTGTGTGTGCGGCACAGGCTTATACGAATTGAAATGATGTGAACGCCCGCCCGCGGATTTCTGGTATCTTCTAACAGGCCGATTTCCCCTTGATGAACTCCTCCTGAAGGAAAATTAAAGATCAAAAAATATGCATGCTTGCTCCCTCCTTGCTTGTCGTAATGTGTAATACACATGAGATTCTCATGAAGTTGAGTTGATAGACAATCCCCACGTTCAGCTCGCGAAGAATAGAAAGTCCGTCATCGAGGACGCCACACACCGAGCGGCCACGCTGTGCTGGCATGTCCGCCAAGTCAGTTGTCATCCATGTCGTTCGCATTCATTACGAATCGGCTAGTTTGGCGAAATGTTTGGACCAGATCCAGCCGACAAGATTGTTTGGGTCGTCTTGGTTTTTGGCGAGCCACAGTTCACCCTTTTCAGCGACGACATCGAAGATCTGCCGATAGACATGGTTAGTAAGATGGCTAATTGTACAAAAGATCTCAACGATCAAGAAGATACGAACCTCTCCGGCTGTGTATGTCAGATAAGGATAGCCAGCCTCGTGCTTCGTTGTCTCAATATTAAACTCGAAGAGGGATGCAGCAAGCCACAACACGTTGTAGCCATTGTTGATTTGACGCTCGCGCGATGATGCACGAGATGATGAGCCGGGCTGAGACTCCTCGGGGGTTTCGGCCAACGGCAAGGCAGACTGAAAGAGCCCAGAATTGCGGTGCCCGTCGCCACCAGAGAGTGGAGGGCTAGTGGCAGAGTTAGACTCTCGCCGCAGGTGGCTCGAGGACAACGACTCGATACTAGGCCTCGGCATGCCCGCAGAGTCATAGCTTCGTCCCGTGCCAGGTCGTGTCGTGATGGGCGGGACGTTGCGCGGGGTACCGGAGATGTCAGAGGAGACCGGCGAGGCAGGACCACGTGAGGTAAGGCCTGCATAGTAGTCCCTGTAGAAGTAACCGGGACCGCCGCCGTTGTTGGGCGGTGGTGATGTCGGGAACGGTGGGTTGTGTTGCTTGGCGAAGTCTGGCGTGGGCAGCACTGGAACATGATCGCTTGTTATAGACAAGCCTCGGAGCCGCGGGGTCCCAAGATCAGAAGGTCGTGACCTGATCCTGGAGACGGTCTCGTCTGTTGTGGATTGAGACGTTCGGGTCCTCATGGTGTGGTTGAGGATGCCGAGAGCCATGATCTGCTCCTCCATCTCCTTGAAGTCTCGCTGGAACGTCGTCACGACCTCGGATAGGTCGCGGGAATCTGGGGCTGCCCCAACAGCCCGGATCTTCTCCTTCCATATGAACCACCACTTGGCCTGGATGTTGATCATGTTGCCAAGACAGATGTTGCCCACTTTTTCGGTAAGCGCAGAGAGCTGCGGCAGCTCCTTCTTCAGGGTGTCGTTCAGGGCCTCGTAGTGCTCCACCAGCTCCGAGAGCTGTTTGTCTATCTTCTTGCCGCTCTTCTTCAGCTGGACGGACTTCTCATAGTCGAGGCGCCGCTTGTTCCGCTTCTTCATGGCGAGCAGAGGGTTTTGATAGCTCCGGATGACCAACTCGAACGGTTCTATCACATGTTTGCGGATCGCAAAGAGCTGTTGTTCTCTTGTTAGCTATAGTGTGGTTTCGGCTGTTAGTCGACGTGCTTACATGTTGATCGAGGGCCACCGTCTTGATGTCTCTCATAGAGACGTTGAACTGGACCCATTTGGCTTCGAGCTCCGGGTGCGGACCAGGTTGGAGCCTCATCACCAGCTCCATTGCTGACAAGTAATCCAGGAACGTCTGTACATAGGCGGCAACCTGCCTGGTGTAGAATTCCACATCCCGGAGAACGACCTGCAAGCGCAGGTAGTCGTCGCTGAACTTCTCGTTGAGCTTGAGATACTCGGGATCCTCGGGTGTCCGGTTGCTGGAGGCCTGCAGCTTGTCGACCCTCTTGCCAAAGGCTCTGGCGAAGCCAGCCTTGACATCCGTGTCCTTTCCCTTCCTGCCCACGATCTGTCCGACCAGCTCGAAATTCTTCTTGGTCTTGTTGATGTCCAGGATGGCAGTCTCGACGGACATCCGGGCGGCAACCAGATCCTCCCGGTCGGGATGATCCTCAGGCGTGTACTGTAGCAACTGAGCAATGAGATTGGGATACTTGGTGATCCTCTGCATGGGTTTAATGAGAAGCGAGTCCAGGTTCCACGCAGCTGTGAGGTCTCTGGCCACCTCGTTGCACTCGTTCAACCACACCTGTACGGTCGGGTCTTGCTGGATTTCGATCAAACGCTTGTTGGCAACGTCGCTCGTCCGGAGGAATCCCTCGTGTGCCGCTCTCATCTGCTCAATATTCCGTATAAAAGCCGGTCCGATGATGGTGTGACGATCCTTGACATCGTCTGTCTCGTCGCTTGCTGCAAGAATACTGGGCGGCGACACCAGCGTCGTGGAAGAGGGTGTTGTCGAGGGAACAGTTGATGCTGTCGTCGAGGCGACCGAGCGAATCGTATTCGCATCCGAAAACGTCGCGTCCTCCTTCAACATCGGGGACCGCTTCCCTCGAGGCACATACACGCTCGTGACGCCGTCCTTGAGTTCGCTCAGGAATGTCGTGTGAAAAGCGACAATCTCGTGCGTGTTGCGGAAGATCAGCTTGATGGTCTTGTCATCAAGCTTGGGGCACGCTTCCGCCGTTCCCTTGTAGATCTCCTCGACAACATTCATGTCCCTGACAAAGACTGCCTCTGTGTCCACTATCTCCCTGATGCACAATTGGCGTTGGCGCAGACGGTTCTTTTCTTTCCTGGCTGCGACAGACTCCTCATCCACGTCCTCGGACACCTTGCGCTCGCCCTCGATAGGCGTCTGGGCGGGCATGCCGCTGTCGAGTGACTGAGGAGACGATGCATCGTGATAGTCATCGCTCTCCCTGCGTGCTAAAGGAAAGCTAATGTTCCCATTCTCGTCCCTCGGGACAGAGCTAGTGGACCTGTGATCGTCATAATAGCCACTGGTTGGGCGTGAGCCGGCGTCGGGAGGTGGCGGCGGCGAGTGATCTGGGAGCCTTGGGATCCGCAGACCACGATCAAGCCCGGGGGCGTAGGATCCGAAGAAGATGCCTCGCGTGTCAGACTCGGCCGCACGATGGTGCTCGGTGCCCTCATCGTCTCCGCCGCCGTCTGTGTAGTAGCGGCGTCTGAACGAGGAGTCATCGTCTCGCAGTGACTGGGGCCGGGAGGCATCAGCCTCGCTCGTGTCGGCATAGTCCAGACGCCGCGAGTCCCTGCTGCTGTATGACAAATCTGTCCACATGGACTGCTGGCTCGATCGGTTGGCCGGAGTCGTCATCGAGGGGACATTGAGGCTGTTGGAGGTGTCAGGGGTGCGCTGCGCCTCGCCTGCAGCCGAAGGACCATCCGAGATGTCGACATCAGAAGCTGTGTATGTTGAATCTCGGAGGCTGGCGATGTTGTCCTTCAGCCGCGGCCCGGTGTAGAAGTCCTCTAGTGAGTCCATCTGTGGCTCATCCCGTGGCTGCATGTACTCTGGCTCTTCTTGCTCGGCGTACGGCGGAGAGCCGAAACCGGCATCTCGGCTTATGATAGTGACAGTGGTTGTATGGTACGGCTGCGCGACGTACGGCTGTGGCTCATACTCATCCTTGACTGTAGCTTGTGGTTCAAGGGCAGGCTCGACTGGCTGCTGCTCAGCCTGCACCTCTGGCTCCTGTTGCAGCTCGGGGTGGTGGTGGTGGTGGTGGTGGTGGTGGTGGTGTTGGTGGTGATACTCGTCGATGTGATGGGACTCGACCTCGGAGACCGATGCTGTGTCGTAATCGTCCGTGAAGGCCCCAGGGATCGGAAGTTCAGCGCCAGGTGCGGTCCACGACGATGAGCCCTGAGGGCCACGCCCGGGAGAGGACGGCTCGAGAGAGATGGTGATTGGAATGCTCTCTTCGTCAGCGAGGTCTTCGAAGGGATCCCGGTAGGTTGCCCTCTTGTAGGAAGACGAGGATCGCGGGGCGGCCGGAGCTTCAGTCTGGGCGTTGTTGTCGACAGGTGCCGGCTGTTCAGGCAGCCCCTCCTCGTGTGTCGAGCGCTCAGGCACCGGCGGCTCTGTCTGAGCTTCATGGTCAAACTCAGTGATGACGCTAGTCTCCGAAACAGCTGATGGAGGTGCCTCATCCCGGTCGAAGGGTGGTGACCCTACGCTTGGGAAAGTCCCAGGGAGCCCTAGAGTTGGAGAATCGATACTCAGCACAGGAGGCGGCGCCGGACGGACTGTACTCGGTGCGGCGCTGTTCCCGATTGATACAGCTCCATCGCCGCCGGCTGCCTCGGCGCTGTTCTCCTCTCGTGACTCCTCCACATCATGGGACGCTTCAGATGTCCTGGTCGGCTCCCTCGCCGCCTCGAGCGCTGCAGCTTCGGCAGCCGCAATTTGTGCCTCTGCTCGGGCTTGTGCGCGAGCCTTTGCCTTCGCAGCTGCCTCGAGCTCCTTCTTCCGCCTCTGTGCAGCAGCCTCCCTGGCTTCTCTCGCTTCCGTATCTCGTATCGTCTTGCTGTATTTGAGTTTTATAGTCTCTCGTCGCTGCGCAAAGTCAACTGGTCCGCCCAGCGACAGCTTCCTTCTCCGTCCTGGTGGTGCCTCCTGTCTCGAGTCGGACCTTGCCGAGGGCCGGAGAGGTGGATTGTGAGTGGCCTTGGAGTGGTCGATGGTCTTCAGCCTGGAGCTGGCTGTCGTTGCCTGCGATACGGGCTGTCTCGGCCGGGAGCTTCGGAGCGGGGGTGATAGCTTCGGCGGCGGGGAGATGACAGCCGCGAGACGGGCGTTGGTGGAGTTCGGGGCAGGCGTTGTCTTTCGGGCAGTCGATGGGCCGGTGGGCGTCTTTGATCGGTTGACCGGCGTCTTTGCACGTGTCACGGGCGTGCTTTGTTGTCTCGACGTCCTGCCGCTGGGTGGCAACCGCCGCACACCTGCTGGCGAGTTAGAGCGGGTCGACGCTGGACTTGTAGGATCTGGTGGTGTGGTGAATTTTTTGTTCATGACGGGGAGCCGAGAGGACGAGGGCGAGTGAGGCGAGTACGACTGTTCCAATTGTCGCCGCAACTGCGTGTTGTTGGTGTTGATCGGGGGCGCCTTAGGGCCGAGCTGGTCACTCTGCGACCTGGTATGTGACCTTGTCGGGCTCTCGTCAGTGTGGTGGTGGCGGTGGTGGTGTGGTGTGCCATTCCTCTGGGGCGAACGAGCCCCGCGATACCAGTCGGTAGGTGAGGCAGGCTCGGCGGGGGCTTCTGATTGACTGCGCTGATGCTGCTGCTGCTGGACCGAAGGGTCCTGTCCTGAGGACTCTGTCTCTCTCCGCAGTGAGTCACCCTCTATACCGAACCCGGGCGTCTCTGCATTGACGTCCTCTTGCCGTATCTCCCCAAAGAGGAGAGGCTCACCTGGAGCAGATGGCGGTTGGGATGATAATGACGACTGGTTCGTGCCATGTGTAGGGTGCGTGTTGTTGGAGGGGCCGGTCGCTTTCGGTCGGCTGATGCGGCTCGCAAATGACTGTGAATTGGTCGAGACATGGTCCTCTGGCATGAACCGAGACCGCTGGGTGCCACCAGAGGCGCTGCCCTTGGGAGAGTCGCCTGCGGGCGCACGCAGCGATGAGTACGACTGGGCGTCACTCATGGTCGCAGAGCGGCCGTTGACGGGTCTCACGGTGCCGCCCCTGGCGACATTTCGTGATGGCACCCGGCGGGCGTCGGCTGGGGACGGGGTCCCATTCTGCTCGAATCGCTTCTTCATGTCCTTGACGCTGGCCCTCGCAGCAGGAGGCACCGCACTTCCAGTGGCAGAGCGAAGCCTGGTTCCTTCGATGGGCACAAATCGGTCGTCGACGGGGTTGGATGCTGAGCGGTAGAAAGGCCTCGTGCCAGCGCGGCCGCCTTGTAGGCCTGGCAGCTTGGAGGAAGCAGCAGTGCCGTTGCTGTTGCTGGTGGTGTTGGACCGTGCGGGTGGGGCGCGGCGGTTCGTCGAGGCGGCAGAGGCCATGGGGTCGTGGGTCGAGGAGGATGCCGGGTCGTGTTTCGCGGCCTCGAAGTTCCTGTAGCCTCGGTAGAAGTCGTCAGGGCTCCCTCCAGGGGCGGCAAGCGCTGCAGCATCTGAGGCTGCAGCATGGAAGTTATCATAGGATGTGGGCGGCGGGTCGAAGGGCGAGGAAGCGTCCTCGTCAGGAGGAGTCAGGACACGATGTCTCTCGTCTGGAGCAGAGTACGGGTCGAGGGCAGTGATGGCGTCGTAGAGAGGCTGATCGTCGTATCTTGCAAAGTGCTGCTGCTGCTGCTGCTGCTGCTGCTGCTGTCGTTGTCTGGACGGGGAGGAGAGGTGGGTGGGGAGGTCGTGGTGGGCTTGGGGATGATGATGGGATGAGGGCGAGGTAGCTACCGCCAGGCCAGGGTCCTGGCGAAGATCCTCGTCTTCTCGATTGCTTCCGTCCATGGTGGCCTGTACATCACTCCTGCTACCTGTCTGCACCTACTACTGTGGACGCAGGCCAACGAGCTCTGGGGAGCGCCCCAACCCCCTGCAGCTGGGTCGTGCTGTACGTGCAGAGAGATAGACAGAGCGAGCGTACAGATAGAGAGAGAGTGGGTGGGTGGGTTTTGCTGCTGGAAGCGTGTCGCGAGAAGCACTCGGGCAGCCTGCTGGAAGGGGGGGGGGGGGCACTTCGCACTCTCGCACTGACACACAACTAGCTTTCCCACGCTGCCCACGCTGCCAGTGCCAGTGGGCCTGAATGAATCGAAACGTGACTTGGGCGGAGAGGATTGGGCGAGGGAGAGAAACTCATGCAGTAACCAGCGCCAGCAGGAGGAGGTGTTTGCCAGGGTTAGAGGCGACGAGCATTGAGGTGCGGATGGGCAATGTGAGTGGAGGACGAAGTTGGGAGGGTTTCGGTTGGCCAGAAAGAGATGCCAGGAACTCCCTGCGACGGCGGCAACAAGGGAGAGCGCCGTGGGCCAAGAGGCAAGGAGCGAACTGCGGGATGCGGACGATCAGGCGCGTGGTGTGTGGTGACTGGCGACGGGTGGACGCCCAGTGTTCGATGTTAATTATCTCTGGCCGCCTGCAAGTGGCCTGAAAACGAATGATATCTCAGTGCAGTCATGAAGGATTCTCAAGAAAGAACCCGGTAAGCCTTTATTTCCCCTCTGGGTAGGCTTGGCAAGGTGAGATGAAGGTGGTGGTAGTACGAAGGTAAATTAAGTCTCAAGGGCAGTCACAACTTTTGAATCGCACCTACTGCTGTGGGGGGGAATGACACCAGTAAGACTTTTGGGCCTCGGAAGGGCAATAAATCAATCAAATCCACTGTGAGGACGGGGAGAGGGGAGGGGTTGTGGTGGAGGTGTGGAGTGGAGAGAAGGGGGGGGGGGGGCGCGTTTGCAAAGTGAGGGAGGGTAAGGGGAAAAAGTTCATAAGGTGGATTATGCAAAGTAATTAGGTAGCAATTCCTCACTTGCAAGATTGAATTTTGCAAAGTTGAATGAATTGTAAGCGTTTGCTGCGTGTTGCGAGTGTCAGTCACTGCAGTTTCAATCCAGACTTGCGACTCCGTAATCAGGACGTGCAGCTCTGCGACAGGGATCAGCCAGCACTGCTGGTATGCAGTCAGTGTACTTACTGTCTGCAGGCTGCAACTGGCCACGTCTGGATTGCAGCCCAACACCAGGGCCTGATTTCCCCCTCCACGAATTGAAGATGAGGAGGAGTTGTCAGGAGAGGTAAGGAGAGTATGGCTTCAATTTTCTTCAATCCGATCTCTCAGGCTCCCCCTTGGCATAGTAGAATGGGACAGAAAACAGTCGTGGGATGGCATATCAGCTGACAATATGATGAATATCAATATCAACAACAAAAACAATAACAGTCAGGATAATAATAATAACAAAAAAAAAAAAAGTACTATGGTACTAATGACGATGGCCAGGCGACACGAGATGGCCGTGCACGTCAAGGTACATGCCTCCAAGTACCGGCCAGAACGTGGAGTCCCACTTTTACACGCGAACACTACTGTATCCATTGGGCTCCGATACACGGGGAACATGTATGGGCAACCGCCTGGATGTATCTGTACACCGGCAGTATCTGACCAACCATCTGGATACACGAACTCTCTCCAACCCCTACCCCCTCCAAAACCCCAAAAAGAAGGGGAAAAAAGAAGCAACATCTAGTGGATAGGGAACTGGGGCTGCCCTCCGTTTTCTGATGAGAAAAGCAAGAGCTCCTTACGACGTTTAACGAAGCTCCTGAGGAGTGTTTCGAAATCCCATTTATCAGTGTTTGTTTGCCTTCTAGGATGATGCCTCCTCTCCTGTTCTTGGTTGGGTATTGGAGCCGGCCCAGGTAAGCAAGGGAGCAGTCATCATAGTGCTAACAGTACCAGCTAAAGCCTGGGCCTAGTATGTCACCTTGGGAAACCATCCAACCAAAAGTCTTGTGGCCAAAACGCATAGCCACCGGGTGTATCCGTCGCGGAAGCCAGTACCAGTACCATAGTAGCGAAATCCAAGACAAAGATGAGAGAGGAAAAGGGAACCAAGGCTAACAGCCCTTTGGAAGCGGCCGAAAAGAACGACCTCGTGCTATAGACAAGGCCTTGTCCTCTATGGATTGTTCTTTTACTGATCGCCACGGATTCTTGCTGGCCTGGGAAGGGGCCCCCGAAATGAAGCGACCCTATTGAGCCGTTCTTTTTGTTCTTTTTGATAAGATGGCACCATATCGGGGTTACAATGCAGCTCTTGTGTCCTCGTCATTATGTGAGCATCTGCACCACATTAAGCGATCTGAATCTTGGATACGACGGATTGGATCGACAACAACTAGTGGCAGAGAGATCCGAGGGAGAGTAATCTCCTAGAGTACCTAGTTGTAGTCCGTGGTTAGCAGATCAGATATGGACCTCCAAATCGAGAGAAAAAGAAGGGCTCCACAGTCACATGGCGGGGGGATCTTGACACTCTGTTTGGGAAAAAGCCTTTGAAGCTGATCCCCTAAACTAGCCAGCAGCACGTACAAGTACTACAGCACCAAACGTTGGTGATGAACACTTTTAGGCAGCCAACGTTTTCCCCGGGGGGGGGGGGGGTTGATCGTCGAAGAAAACAGCCAGCTGCAGACACCTGACAAATTTACTCATGGACGCCTGCGTGGCGGTTCCGGCCAAGTGGGAGAAGAGAGAAATACGAGACTGGAAGGGGAGGTTGTGCTTTAGTACGTTGTACTTGGTGTCATAGCGCATGGGATCAGGGTCACGGTCGCTAAACCCATCAATAAAAAAACTGATACACAGTGGTACCACCATGGCCCTAGTTGCGCTAAACACAACGGCCCGCAAGCCGGTGGTACGCCCAAAATGTTCCACTGCCCCACGCCCCTTGTCTCTGGCTGGCCCAGCAGTAGTAGCAGTCGCAAGTAGCAACAGCAGCAACAAAAACAGCAACAGCACCCAGACGCGTCACAATTCCGGTAGCGAAGAACCGCAGCAGAGGATTGAACAAAAGCCAGCCTACATCGAGCTCAGTACAGCATAATCTGCCAGATGCCGCGGTGTGAAACCATTTTTTGGCCCTTTCTCTCTCTCACGTTTCATCTCTATGACGCTATTAATTTCATCTCAGTTCCCCCATTCCACCAAAGGACCAGTCGCTGATCCGAGCGCTCTTGGTGGGAATCCTGAATGACACGCATTGCCCCGCGTGTCTGTGGATCACACTCATTAAATCGTGAGATGTAGGTCCTCAAGCCTGCCACTAAACATCGAGCACCATTAGTAACCCTCAAAAAGGAAATATCAAGAACTCGAGCCATCAGAATCACAGGCCAATTACAAATGACACGCCTCGCCAGGAGACAACGAACCCCCACAAGATATGGCTGCGGAATCGCGACCGCAGCGCCCTGACCCTGCGGTGCGGTCGAGGCCATCAGTCTCGAAGAAGAGGAAGAGGAGGACGAGTTCTTCAGGCCCGGGTCCTACTGACGACCAGAGACCACCACCGGCAAAGCAGCGCAGGACGACGGGGACCAACGTGAGGACCTTGCAGTCCGCCGACGCTGTGAAGCATGCTCTGCTGGCCCAGTACTACCCAACCACGCTGACTCTGCGGCAATACGTCCTCAGTCACCTGCCGGCCTCATCCAGGATCCGGCGGAGGAAGGTTGCCGCAGTCGGGACAGCCGATGGCTCTGAAGACGACCCCAGCGGCGTTCGGGCACAGCTCGCTACGCTCCTGGACACAACGCTGGTTGGACTTGCTGAGGTGCCAAGGGAGACTGCCAAGGAGCAGTCTGAAGACCGCCTGCAGCAGTGGATTGAATACTCGCAAAGAGATGATTCTCACGTAACGTTATCCGGCGGTGATGCAAGTGCAACTCACCTCCAGTCCGAGGTAAGGTCTGGTGAGAGAAATGAAGAAGGTTCTATAGGTCTGGCCAGGAATTGACTGACCAGTGACGGTAGATTATTGACTTCATCATCTGGTTGCTCTTTTCCAGGGAGAAGAATCCGAGCAGGACACCTCATCACCTACTTTGTGATGGCCTACGAAGGCGCAGTGGTCCGAGGCAGCAGGGAGTCCCATCCTCGATTCAAGGACTCCACCGCGTCTTCTTCAATGAGAGGGTCGCCGCCATAAAGCAGGTCCCATGGCCGCAGCTGCTTCAGATCCTGGGCAAGTCTGGCGAAAGCATGATGATCAATCTGCTGCTCGACTGCTCCGTATTCTTGCCCGTTGAAGCCGGCCGGGGTAACTACTATCAGTTGAGCGGTAAGTTTGCTCAGGTCATCCATCTTGATCTACACGCTAAGCACGTTTGCACATCGAACAGGAGCTCCCATATTCGAGTGTGACCCTCTATCATCTCCTCTCACTTCTCCTGGTCCAGTCAAGGACCCGAGTACTTTCGAGAGAAAACCGACAGACGTCATCTTTGTGAGGAGTCGTATATTTTACGCAAGAGCCGCGCTTAATGCTCGCGGGCTAGTGCACTTTGGCTTCAAACATATACGTAGGCTTATTATTTTATTTGTTTTTTGCCCCGCGATTCTACTAGTGCAAGCATGGTGTGCTCAATGTGCTTACTTTTCTAGACGCATTAAACAGATTCCCTCTCCACTGTGGCGACCGTGGCGGAAGTACACAGCCTGCTGAAGACGGAGACGGCAACAATGTGGAATCACTGCAAAACGGTGCTACCCTTCGTATCATGATATACATGTTTCCCCGCCAGTTTGGCCTTCATAATGCTTTCACGTCTCATGTGGATCACCTGAAGTCGGCCCAGAAATTTCAGGACTACACCCTGCGCGAGGCGGAAATCTTTGCAAAGTTTGGCAAAACCGACGGAAATGGCAGTCGACAGCTCGACGTGCGGGTACCAAAGCGATTAAGAGGAAGGCTTGAGCATATGATTCAGAGGCTGCAGACCCGGCATGCCCGTTGCTCTTATTCCAAGTTATTAGAGCACTATTGTCCGGTACGAAGCCCCCTTCTCTGGACTGATTCTTTGGGCGCTCTGTCGTTCATCCGCGATGGAACTCTCACAGTGCAAATGGAACTGATTAGCCATAGAGTGACTCTTCAGTGCCAGGAGATGGCCGCAGCCATTATCATCATGAAAAGAATAGTGCTACAGCTGCTTCCTTGTCGAGCGGAAAGAAACCCTGTGGGCGACATTCTAAGACGCGGAAGAGGCTTGGACCGGCACCTCTTCACACCCCGAACCCACCAAAGAGGAGCTATTCATCATTGATAGAGCTTGCGGTGCCAGTATCTAAGATCTCTGGATTCTGTCAAGCGGTCTTGTCGAAAATCATTCCAGATGAGTTTTGGGGCTGCGGTGAAGTACAAAGTCACAATCAACGAATCTTTCTGAGAAATGTTGATCGTTTCATCAAGCTTCGAAGGTTTGAGTCCATCTCTCTGCATGAAGTTATGCAGGGTCTGAAGGTGAGGGTGTCTTTTCTCTGGTTCAATGCAAGGATATCTTTGACGGTTGGATGAACCATGTTGCTGACTTTGCTAGGTTACTGAGATCCAATGGCTTGAACCTCCTGGCCTCCAGGGGCAGAAGTGCAGCCAAACCGACTTTCGGAAGCGACGCGAGATCTTTGCCGAGTTTGTTTACTATGTCTTCGATTCCCTTCTGATCCCTCTGGTTCGCGGCAACTTCTACGTCACGGAGTCGAATGTTCACCGTTATCGCCTCTTCTTCTTCCGGCACGACGTCTGGCGGTCCATCGCAGAGCCCGCAATGGCGCAGCTCCGGGCCAAAATGTTTGAGGAGGTGAAGGCGAAGGAGGCTTCGGCGATACTCGATTCGAGGCGGCTGGGCTACAGCCAGATCAGGCTGCTGCCGAAAAACACGTCTGTCCGACCTATCGTGAATCTGCGCCGGAGAATGATCACAAGCAAGGACAGACAGGTCCTTGGCCAGAGTATCAATTCAATCCTCGGGCCCGTGTACAGCATGTTGAAGCTTGAAAAGGTGAGCCAGCGATCTGATGATTGTGGTTAACTTCAATGTTTCTTTCTTTCTTTCTTCCTCTTCCACATTGTGGCTGACTGAAACGTGGTCGACCAGAGCCACCATGGCAGTCGCCTGGGATCCACCATGTTCTCGGTGGGCGACCTCTACGAACGCCTCAGCTCCTTCAAGCAGCGCCTTGGTCTGCGTCACGGGCCACTCTACTTTGCCAAAGTCGATGTGCAGTCCGCCTTCGACACGATCCCTCAGGATGCCGTCGTCGCTCTTATGAATTCCGTACCCTCCCAGGACGTGTACGAAATGATCAAGCATGTCGAGGTCGCCCTCAACAGCAGTGACCTCGGCGGCTCCAAGGTTATCAGGCGGTGGTACTCGACCGCCAAAGCCGCAGGGGACAGAACCACCTTCCTAGAAATGCTCACCCAGCAAAGAATCCCGAGCAAGAAAAACACTGTCCATGTGGACACCATCTTCCGCAAGATACATGGCACGCGCGACCTCCTCGCGCTGCTGGCCTCCCATGTTCAGCAGAATCTAGTCAAGATGGGCAAGAAGTACTACAGGCAGAAGAACGGCATCCCGCAGGGCAGCGTTCTCTCTTCTGTGCTCTGTAACTACTTCTACGCCGACCTGGAGCGGACGCACCTGGGATTTGTGCGCGCAGACAACGGCAGCTTACTACTTCGCCTGATTGACGACTTCCTCCTCATCACCACAGATCAGGCCAAGGCTTCACGCTTCGTCACGGTCATGCAGGCCGGCATCCCAGAGTACGGTGTGACCATCAGCCCGCCCAAGACCCTGGTCAACTTCGCTCTATCCGTCAACGGGCTCGCCGTGCCTGCCATCCAACCTGGCAGCGAAGCTGTCTTTCCCTACTGCGGCACACAGATCAACACCCACACCCTGGAGCTCACCAGAGACAGAGGCCTCGCCCCCATCCACGTCTCGGCCGTCAAGGACCCGGCCGTCACCAACGCCCTCACGGTTGAGTTCACCCGCCACCCGGGCGCCAACTTCAAGCGCAAGACCCTCAGCGCCTTCAAGCTCCAGTCGCACCTCATGTTCTACGACGCCCGCCACAACACCACCCATACCGTGCTGCGTAACCTCTCGGACGCGCTGGTCGAGACGGCTGCTAAAGCTTGGGCATATGTGCGGTGTCTCCCTCTGGCCAGGCAGCCTGGCGTCGCGGTGTGGGTCGACACTATTAATGAATTAGTGGATGTGGTGTATCACCTGCTGACCAGCGGGTCACGGCGGGTCAAATACCCGTGGTATGAGTGTCGGATCGGCAAAGGACAGGTTAGGGCGTTGACTCTCAGGGCGTTTCGGTGGGTGTTGAGGAGAAAACAGGCGCGGTTTCTGGCGGTGTTGACTTGGTTGGATGAGGAGATGGCGAGCATGGAGGAGAGGAAGGGAAAGAAGGAGAAGAAGAAGAAGAAAGAGCAAAGTGGTGGAGAGGGAGGAGGAGGTGGTGGAGGTGGAGGTGGTCCTGACACTCTTGGAGAGAAGTGAAAAGAAGGAGGTAAAAGAAAAACAACAAGTTTTGTGTGTGCGACTGCGGGTCCACAATGATAGTCGACATGACATGATACCCAATTTCGAAAAGTCGCAAGAGAAACAGCATACAGCAAACGGACTCAGTTCTCAGAAACATCCCATGATACCATTGCTGGCACACTGTATGTAGACTCTGATCATCCAGAGATTATCTATCTAGATCATCCAACGCAGCAACATGACAAGCTCGCTATGCACCCTCTCATACAACGCCATTCATGTATGCTTTATATGCTAATGCGATCTAACCATCTATACACATGTCTTTTCTTAGATGAATGAGAAAAAGAAAGAACAAGGAAAAGAGAAAATAAATAGAGAGAGAGAAAAAAGAAGAAAAGAGAACAAGAAAGCAAGGCGTACATCATGATCAGCCCATACTTTCTCCCCCATCACACCTCTCCCTCACACGGCAATTCCACTCTCCCACCACTTCTCCCCAACCACCCATCTCGGCCGATACGTCGAGTCCCACCGCCACCAGCTATCCCCAGGCCGGCCCAGACCAAGAGCCCGCAAGGGACTGGCCGCCACCGGCTCCAGCATCCACACGCCCGCGCGCGCCAGGTCATCGCAGAAGAGAAACTGGGCACAACCAAGCCAGGCCAGCACGAACATGAAGTGACCCGCCCGTCGTACCCAGCGCGGCCGTGTCGTCGTCGTTGTCATCCAGTTCCCCAGCGCGGCGGAGGCGGCGGCCTGGACCAGGGTGCCGGCCCAGCACAGCAGGAAGAACAGCGGGGGCGCCCAGGGCTGGCTGGGCGGGAGACAGGTGATGCTGCCCAGGGCGTGCAGGAAGCCGCTCTGGGCAAAGGCGAGGAGGCCGGCGAGGGCCCTCCCCGTGGCGTCGGAGCGGGGGTCGCCGATGTAGCCGTGGCGGCTCAGCCAGAGGCCCGGGGCGCTGAAGGCGGCGCGGAAGGTCTGGTGCCACCAGCCGCCCCAGAAGCCGGCCATGCCTTTGTCGAGGACGCAGGGGGTGAAGCTGCCGTAGACGCAGGGGTAGTGCCACAGCTCGGCGCGGGTGCCGAGGAGCGGGGCGAGGACGAAGTGCGAGAGGAGCTGGTAGGAAGTCATGATAAGGTCGATGGTGATGAGGATGGCGGGTAAGCAGAGGAGGGCACGGTAGAGGAAGAGGATGGGGGAGGGCAGCGCGGCGAGGATGGGTGGCAGGGTGAGGCGGTGGTGGAGGGAGGAAGACGAGGTGGTGCTGGTGGTGATGGTTATGGCTTCAAAATCTGGGCCAAAGATGAAGTAAGGGTCCTTCATCATGAGAACGCTCAGGGCATCGAGGGCCAGGTAGGAAAGGATCATCGGTATGAGTCGGAGGCGGAGCCACTCTCTGCTGCTGGTATATCGGCGGTAACCCTGGCGAGTACGGAGGGGGAGCGATGTGAGGTCGACAAGGGAGCCGCAGAGAGGCTTCTCGGGTTTTGCGAAGCGTGGGAGGATGGGTATGCACCAATTCCATCCTTGTGTAGGCTGTCAGTTGAACAAGTAGGTTTCTCTTGGTTAAAAAAGGACAAAGGAGCCCAAGGAGTGAGACTTACCGGTCCCACGAAACGACGTGACGAGGTCCCATGACCATTCGAAGCGCGTCAAAAAGGACCCATCCGCTGGATAGGCCTGCCAGTAGTACTCGTACCCTTCAGCAAGGCTCCTCGCGATATCCTCATCAGGGGCGTCCATGGCCTGCCTATTCTCTTTGTTGCTCTTCTTCTTCTTGAGGTCCTGGTCAGCATAGTCGACGGCGCCATCAACACTCCTGAGACCATCGGCATCACCACTACCATCTGGCCAAGAAACGCCATTCTGCCGTTGCATCCCATAAGCATAGCCATTCCCAGAATGCGCCACAGTCATGGCAGACTCCTGCCTCACCACCAACTCCTCAACACCCTCTTCCCCCCTCCTCCTCTTCCTCCTCCTCTTCTCCACCCTCTCCGCCTCAAACTGCGGACGCATCCATATGAGCAGCGTAGCGCTCCAGAGGATCCCCCAGGCCTGCAGGAGCCCAACCAAATACCCCACCGCAAAGTTGGCGCTCGAGCGGCCCGCCGTCTCGGAGAGGTTGAAGGCCACGATGAAGAGCATGACGAGCCATCGCGCCCGGAACAGCCACGGCCTGTTCACATGGGGCACCGAAAAGTACAGCACGGGCAGGATGAAGGCGCCGAGGACTGAGTAGGGGATAACCAGCGGCCTGACGGTGCCTGCGGCGAGCTCGTGTGCAAAGTGTTGCTTGTAGAGGTCGCGGACGTGAGCGCCGAGGTTGACGAGAGAGGCGGGCGGTATTGTGGTGATGGGCACAGTCATCTGGCCGGTGCTGGCATGGCCTTCTCTCATTATTCCCCCCCCCCCCTTTCTTCTTCTTCTTCTTCTTTTTCTTCTTTCTTCTTTTTGTTTTTTTCTTACTTGGCCCTCTCTCCTAAAAAAAACATACAGAGGAGGTCACGCGGTGATCGACCGTCTGACCGCCACAACCCACCCTCCAAGCTGAAGGTATTCGTCGTCAGCCCACCCGCCTTCCAAAGTTTGACTGCTGAACAAGCCGTCACTGCGAGACTTGCTGTTGCCTCATGCCTCGTTCTCCTGGAGTTCTCGAAATCCTGTCTTCATGTAAGCCTCAATATTATCCAAGTCCATGCAGAATAAAATTAGGCGAGATGTGGAAATCATACTTGCTCTTGCTGCTGCTGCTGTTGTTGCTACTGCGTTTACAGAGCAAGCAGCGGGTTTTCCCACTGATGGATTTTGGTTGACGTCAGTATGTACTACGTGGGAAGACCTGGAGAACCAACTGATGCTCTGGGTCGGACACCTGGACTCGGGCCAATTTACAGGGATCTTCGGTTACAGCCGCCCCTATCACCTCACTGCATAATGCACTGTATTTCTTTGGCCATAGTGTCAGTCGGCTGGTTGGTTTGCTACTTCAATATCCCCCCCTTCATACATGTGTGGTACATTTTCATTGTCTTCTTCTTTTTTCTCTTTTTCTTTTCTTTCCTTGGTGGCCGTACACTACATTATATAATTTATTTTCCCGCACGAGAGCTCTTGGAAGGGCAGAATCTAACTGGGTATGCAATGCTTTCATTGGGATGATTGCTGTGATAATAATAATAGTAGTGCTAGTACTGAATAGTAATGCTTCTTTGTTACCCGGTCTTCTCTTAAAGCCAAAAATGCCTCTCCAGTGTCCCTTATATAACAGGTTTGAGCGACCGAACGAACACCCCGCTTCCTACCAAAGAAAAGGCTGGGATTTCCTGTCCTCCGTGCCCTCACCCCCCCCCCCCTTTCCAAAAAATAAAATAAAAAAATACAAGCAAACTGCCTTTCACTTGAAACAAAAAACAAGATGGAAAGGAATCCCTTGACGCTCAACAGAATTTGACTGTCCAGAGGTGTAAGTAAAAGGCGGGGTTCGGCCGTAACAAATGAGGTTGGTAGGAATCTCGACGCCCCTGGTTGTCTTTCTAACACAAGCCAGCCCGGTGGTATATGTCCCTTGTGCCCAAGTATCCAAAGGCAAAACTAGCTTTGCCTCTTTGTGTGTGTGTTGTGTGTGTGTGTGTGTGTGTGTGTGAGACCATGTCCAGATAATTCGACGGGGAAAAGGCAGAAAAGAAAAGGCTAGTATTGCCGGCCAAGCATGTGTGTGAACTGGGGCATCCGTAGAGGTGCGGTGCTTGTTAAAGTATCGTCAATCGTACAGGAAATATATGCTTGGTTGCTAGGGAACACAGATGAACGACGAGGTAAATAGACGCTTGCAGCCCACCCGATGCCAGGAAAGTAAGAGAAAGCCAGTAAATTCACACAAGCGATGCTGAGATAACCCATCAGCACGACCTTGGAAACGCAAAGGGGGTTTGGTTGCATTACAGCGTGCGTCAGAGAAGAGAGGGCATGGCGAGCCTCCTCCAAAAACAGACAAGACACGAGATGAAGCTTTCGGGATCTAGAACACAGGAGTATCTCTTCTACTCGGTCTCACTGTCGGTTAGGTCTTCTTCGACAATGTGATGGTCCTCGAGCTCGCCGAATCTCGCCTTGTAGCGTTGTAGCTCGAGCAGTTGTTCAGCCAGGCCCGAGAGCACATCAGTCATCGGTGCTCTGAGGTCCTCAAGCTTGGCGATCGGGCCGTTGCCCGCGGCAAGATGACGCATCGTCAGGGTAGAGACACAGGTCTAGAGGTGTTTTTGTTCTTGGTTAGCTTCGTCACTCCCTTTTCCAGTGGGCAAATCCCATTCGTTTTGGCTCACCTCTATACGGCTCACTTGATGTTCCATGAAGTTAACAAGGAACCGCTCCGTGACTTCGCCGCCCTTTTGTTTCATCCGTTCCAGCAGCTCCGTCTCAGGTGGCTGGAGGCCACGACCCGAATTCTCCTCTAGGGTGCTGCAGAGCATCTCGAGCCGGAGACTGACCCGCCACAGGGCCCAGATCACCTCTGGATCGAAGGCAAGCTCTCCGGCGTGGGCGAGCGCGGCTGGCTTGCCCGCCTCGCCCGAGACCTGCCTCTCGTGGAAGAGATGCTGCTCGATGCGACCGGCCAGGGAGTGCGGGTACAGTGAATAGATCACCTCAGGGTTCTCGAGTCCCTTGAGCTTCTTCTCGCCCATCTCCTTGACCTCGAATCCCTGCGAGCTCAGGTTCCGCAGCTCCTTGCGCACGGCCTGGGCAAAGGGTTCCTCCTCCAGGCCGTCGTCGAGATTGGAAGAAGAATCTTGGTATGTCTCCAGGCACCGCTGGATCTCCGAGATGAAATCAGACGAGACAGTGATCTGACCACCGTCAGCACAGGCCGACACACGTGAGGCCTTGTTAACAATCGGTCCGTAGTAATCCATGCGGTGGGTGATGGGGTCAACCTCGCAGAGAGGTTCGCCCCAATGCGTGCCCATGCGAACGGAAAGGCCCCTGAAGATGAGATTATTGTCCTTGTCGTAGAGCGGCTGGCAGTTGACCGAGTTGAGCATCTCCTGGGGCCAGTCACCATAGAGCAGTGCCGTCTGGACTGCGAAGCACCACAGCAGGGCGGATGTCGCGGTGGGGAAAGACACCATGAAGGCGTCGCCTTCCGTCTTCACTTCGTACCCACCTATACGGCGCAGTTGTCGTCTCATGATGTCGTTGTGTGCTTTGATCGCGGATCTCATCGCGGCCGGATATGTTTCCCACAGGTTCGTCGAGTTCTTGATATCAGTAAAGACGATGGCGATCATGCCCGTGGGCGCCGGCACCTCGGTGCCTACCTTGCGCAGGTTGGAATCCAGGGCGTCGTTCTTTGCCGCTCGTTTGTTCTTGCGCATCTCGCGGGGCAGCAGATCACTGTCCAGGCCAGAGGGGACCAGAGACATGCTCTGTCCACGGTGCATTCTTGACCTCTCGCTTCTCTTCTTCATATCGGCGACGCTGATCATCATCACCATGATTTTCCCGGACGCGCCGTAAGCCATGGCAAGATCTCGAACTTTCTGGGAGGCTCGCATGAGATCGGGGCGCTCGTTCTTGACCACATCAGTGACAAGAGTCGGCGTGAGGTATTCCCACAGTTCTCTTGTGGCCATTACGATGACTTCATGTTGTTCTTTGATCGTGATGTGAGCCACATGGGGCGCAGCTTGGACGGCAGGCATGAGATCTGCATACCCAAAGGCACGAGAGACCTCGAGCAGGTCGTTCAGCCTTCCGTTGCGCGATACCCATCCACCGGCATCTCGGATACGGGATCGCTCGTTGGGCTCAGCCGGGTCGTGCTTGTGCGTCAGGATCTTTTGCGTGCTGTCGGACTCGATGAGCAGCGCCTGCACATCGCCCACGTTCGCGATGTACAGCTCCTGCCCATGCAGATAGGCCACGGTAGCTACAGCGCCCGAGTTGAGATCTTCCTTGCTGAGTACGACCGAGGCAGAAGACCCTCGATGGGACACAATAGGACGCTCCTCGGCATGCTGAATTGCGATCGTCACGAGGTCTTTGTTGAGAGCGAGGAAGGCACGGCGCATGGCGTCGACAGGCGTGTCGTTCGGCTTTGACTTTATTGCTTCCAGCTCCATGCTGAAAATATGGCCAAAATTCTCGTGCAGGTATTTGGCGATCTTAGAGCCGCCACTCGAGAGGGCCTGGCCATCGAACAGACCCAACAAGGTCTCCGTGTCGGACGCGTTGAATCGAGGGACTACCAGATCGATGGTCGAGAGATGCTCATTTCTACCCAGTGTGTCTGCCATGCCGTACGGCAAGAATCCGGCCAAAGAGCCTGAGGTCCGGACTCGACGATCCTCACTCTGGTCTGGGATGCTTGGTACAATCAACGTGACGTCCATCAATCCAAGCACTCGGAGATTCAACAGACTGCTGAAGTCAGTGTAGTTTTCGCGGTTGGCGTTGGCGGGGCCATTCTGTGTCTGCTTGATTTCCAGACGCCTGTTGCCTGAGAGATTGAGAAATCTCAGGTTGGGGTTGAGGTTCCAGTTCCAGTCGTATGGCACGTTGGAGATGTTGTATTTGAGATAGTTGCTTCCGCAGTCCAGCACGGCCAGCTTCTTGGCCTTGGAGATGTCGGCAGGAAGATTGGTAAATTTGTTGCTGTTGATGTGGATCACCTGGAGGGAGTTGTACTCCTCAAGATCATCCGCCGGCAGGCTGGTCAGCTCGTTACCGGATAGATACAGCTCGACGAGCTGCGGCCAGCTCTTGATCGACCTCTGAGGCATGTCGCTCAGCTCATTGTACGATAAGTTGAGGACGCGCAGCTCTCCGAGCAGGGTGATGTGGTCAAAAACCTCGTCGTCGAGCTGATTGTCAGCAAGATATAGATTCCTCAGCGATCCGGCAAATGTGTTGGTCAATCGAGACGACAGGCCGGAATCTTTCCTCGGTCCAGGCATCGGAGGTGGCAACGAGCTGCTGCTCTGGCTTGTGGTGGTCCTCGACATGACGGATGTTTTGCGCCCTCCCTTGCCGTAGACCGAAACGACCGAGCTCTTGCGATCTGGACCTGCCGGGACCGGGGATGGGCCGACACTCAGCAACGTGCTCGAGGCTTGACTCGGCCTTCTCGATCCATCCGGCATCAGGTCATCGGTACTTGGAGACGGACTCAGGCCACCATTGGAGCTTGGCTTGAGCCCTGTAGACGATTGTGACGCCGTGAGATCCGGAGGCGGTTGAGGCGGACGGGAAGCCGGCTTGGGAAAGGAGTCCAGGATGTTGGTGGATGCGTTCAGTGTTTCCAGCTTGTGTGCCCACCAGATGTCCATGGGCAGTTTCCTGAGATTGTTGCTTCGGACATCGAGGACTCTGAGCTCTGTGAGGCAGCCTATCTCAGCAGGCAGCTCACCAAGCGAGTTGTTTGCAATGCTGAAATGCTCCAGACGTCGTAAGCTGCCGATCTGTGCTGGTAAGGAAGCAAAGTAGTTCTTGTCCAGGACCAGTCGCTCGAGGTTCAAGATATTGTGAAAAGTGTCGTCAATGCTTGCCAACTGTGCATGGGAAAGGTTGAGGTGTTTCAGTGTCGGAACGGGAGCGGTGATTCCAAACTTGGTGATGGGGTTTGCGTTGAGCTTAAGAGACCGTAACCTCTCGAAGCTACCAAGAAATTGTGAGATGGCGTTGTGGTCCGCTGTCATGATCTCCAGCTTGGGGAGCTCAGATATCACATCCATGGCCGAAATCGCATTGTACTTGACATCAAGCTCACGCAAGCTCTGCAGATTCTTGAACGAGTCTGGCAGGGCCCCCGATAGCCTGTTGTTGGTGACAACCAGCCTTTCCAATGACTTCAGGTTGCCAATGTTGTCTGGGAAGCTCATGATGAGGTTGAAGGACACATCAAGATCTACCAAGCTCTCCAGCTCGCACAGGAAGCTGGGGAAATTTTCGAGGAAGTTCGAAGAGAGGTTCAAGGTGCGCAGTGATCGATATGCTCCGAAGTAGGGTGGTAGATGCTTGAGCCTGTTGTTGGCTAGGTTGAGCTTCAGCAGGCCGGTGAGGCTTCCGAGCTCAGCATGCTCCAGCTGCTCCAGCCGGTTATTGGAGACATCAAGGTAGGTGAGCTTGTTGGCGCGGCTGAAGCTCAGAGGTAGCTTGCGGGCCTCGTTGTTGTTGTACTTGATGTCACGCAGGTTGACACAGGAGTGGATGAAATCTCGAGGCAGATCTAGAGACAGATTTCGTGACAGGTTCAGCGATATGATTTCACTAGCCTTGGAGTATAGAGAGATAGGAATGGTGACAAGATTTCGGCCTGACAAGTCGATGTGGTTGAACTTTTGCATCCGGCCGAAGCCCAGATCATGAGTACTGGCATGAAAGTCGCTTTCCTTGGCCGACAGGAAAAGGAATCGACAGATGTAGCTGTTGTCCTCGCGGCCGAGGTCTTCGATCCTGTCCCGTTCCTCATACCCGACCTGCTGGAGCAGGCGCTTCTGTATGTAGAGAGGGCGTTCGGCGTGGTTGAGTAGACGGACCAGGTCGTGCTTCTTCAGGACGATGTGGTAATTATCTAGGCTCTCTGTAACATAGGACTTCTTGATGATCTGGCCAATGAGATCTTGGACAGATGAATCAAGAGCCATCTGCAGCGTCGCAAACGTGCCGTCGGACCGGAAAACGCGGATGCAATAGGGTGCAAGCTTCTCGTCCGGCCGTGGTGGACTGCCGATCTCCTCGAGCTCCAGGGCCTGGGTGGTGGCCTCCAGGTCTGTCTTCCGAACCGCCCAGCTGTCCGGGGCGTTCCAGACACCGTTGACGCCGTTGTTTCTCGGTGGCACTGGGGGTTTCTCGGTTTCGGGAGCAGTCGAGGTGCCCGGAATGATCGGTGTAAGGGGCGCATGTCTGGTCACGATGCCCGACATGTCATCGAGGTCGGTGTCGAGTTTGAAGTATGTGCCCTTGTCGTTGGAGCGCTCCGTCGGTCCGATCAGCTCGTCTGGATCGTCATAGCCCTTGTGGGAGCGGCCCTTCTTAGAGAAGGGGAACTTGTTGTTGAACGTTGCCTGTCGCGCGGTTTCGGGCCGTCGCGGGGGCTCGGCCGTCGGGTCTCTACCAGCGGAACCCAACGTCTGCCCGTACACCACTGGCCCGTCATCTTTTGTAAACTCCTGGCGCGATGGCCTGGCCACCAAGGTGGATGCGAGGGACTGTGTCGAGGTCGAGAGCTTCTTGTTGAGCGGGGGTCCAATCTCCTCCTTTTCTTTCCTCCCCCGGAACCGGTTGAAGATCCCCTTCTTGTGATGGTGGTTGTAGCTGGGCGAGGCAGGGCCGTCGAGCCCTCCATTCTTCATTCCGAGACTGCTGTGCCCACTGGGCGTGGGACTTTGTGCACGAGATCGCGAGCCAAACACGTTATTCTGGGCCGTCTTGGACGTGTGCAGCATGCTAGCTTGAGAATCTTCTCGACTTATCGATGGCCGCAGGATCCGGGAATCGTCATTGCTCTTGTTGTGTCGATGGGAGTGGCCTTGTCCATGGGTGATCGATTGACCAGATCGGTTGGAAGATGAAGTCTTTGGAGGATTCTGCGACCCGTTTTCGCTCGCGTAACGCTCTCTGTCCGGGCCGGCGAGCACACCTCGGACAGGGGCCTCACCGTAAATCGCGATATCCTACAGGACAAGAGACAGGATCGTCAGTCAGAGTAGATGGGGAAGACGTCAGTGGCGATTGAGGGGCGGCAGGGAAAGACAGGGCAAAAAAGTTGCAGCAAAACCATCCATGAAGTGTGATAAAGAGTTCTAGATGAGATGGAGCAGATTTCCTGCAATGCATCGGGCCCGCAAGGTGCATGCGCGGATATAACACAAAAGAGAGATTGGGGGAAATAAGGTTTGCAGGGAGGAGGCACAGGGTTCTCCCATGGGAGGAGATGCGGGTCAAGTTGGTGGTGGGTGGTGTGAAGGGGGCTTCGGAAGAGGGTTGTGTGTTGGTTGTCTCTGATTTTTGGACGCACCTGGGCTTCTTGGTAGAGAAAGGGCACGACCTCTGGGGCTGGTACTGGTGTTCTGGGCCTGGAGGAAGACGGTGAAGCATCTCGGGTATGGTCTGTGGCGTTGGAGTAGTTGCGGTCACGATGGGGACGGGGAGTGTGGCTGTACGAATGAGATCGGGACTCCTTCCCGCCAAAGGAAGGTGGTAGGGAGGTTTCCGACGAGTCTCGACCAGGATATTCTTCACCAAAGAAACCCTGAAGTTTCCTGATGCCTCCCCTCTGGCCGCTGGACTTGGAGGCCTGGCTGCTTGCGGTGGTCGTGACGCTGGCTATGGAGGGCCTCCTTTCATCGTTGTAATATGCAGCGTCGGGAGAGTCACTGCCGGGAGGATTTGGTGTGGGGCGTCCCAGCGCACTGACCGAGGCGGATCTGAACCCCGGCGACATCTGCGAGGGCGAGGCGGAAGAGAGGTTGTCGCTGGAATCGTTGTAGAAAGTTGTAGCCATTGCACCTCCGTTGGCAGAAGTCGGCGTAGGCAGGTTATTGTGATGATTGTTATTGCTGCTGCCATTACTGCCTCCTCCTCCTTCTTCTAGTCCTGTTGTTGTTGTTGTTGCCGCTGCCGCTGCTGTTGTTGAGGGTGTTGTTCCTCCTCCTCCTCCTCCTCCTCCTCCTCCTCCTCCTCCTACGCCAACTCCTGCGCCGCCACCGACCATCCAAGGCGCAACCTGTTGCATAAAAGAGGCAGCAGTCGAGGGTGGTTGGTGCACGATCTGCGGAGCGCGACTGCCAGCAGGCTCCAGGACGGCCAGATCGCGACGGTAGTTGGCGAAGTCGCTCAGGCGATGCTCGCGGGGAGCAGGAAAGACAGGAGCAGCGGCGGCGGCGGCGGCATTTGAATTCGAGTTCGAGTTTGAGGAGAAATGAGGGGACAAAGCGCGCAGGGAATTGGAGGTCTTCGCATGGGGAGGCTGAGACTCTTGGGTTTTGTTTTCTTTCACGGGCCTGTGGGTGGAGCGCAGAGGCGGTTTGACCTGTCAGTATTTCTGTGTGCGCCTTGTCAGGTAGGGGGGAAAATCTTCTTCCAACAGATGGAAGTCGACAAAGATTGTCTCGAGGCATGCAATGTGCGCACACGCTGCGGTATGCTGGGCGTGCAGCGACATGTCTCGGTCGAGCCGGGGCGAGGAGTTGCGGCGGCGGCGGCGGTGGCGGCAGCACGATGATAGACACAACTCAAACTCAACCCAGCCCAACCCAAACCCAGCAAGTACATGCTGATGACGAGAACGGAACTACTCACTTGACGGGACGCCCATGGTCGTCGGTCTTGATCCGGCTCGGCGCAGCAGCCCTGCGCGAGCCCCTAGACGAGGAGCGCTGGCGGATGGAACCGTCATCGCCGCCATTGTCTTTGTCCTTTAGCCTGTCCTTGTCCTTGTCTTTGGCCCTAGGCAGAGCTGGGAGCGGCTTGACGGTGATGTCGGAGGCGTTGCTTTCGGTACTCGCGCTCGTCACAGAGCTGAACCGTGAGGTCTGCTCATCTCTCGTCATTGTCACCTTGCCCTGTTGGTCCCAGGACGCAACAGAGCCATGTCCTCCTCAAAACGCGACGGGGGGTTATTCAAAGCCCATCGAGGTCGCTGGCGGCGCGGGTCGTGAGGGGCGGCCGGATCACCACAGCAGCTATGCGCATATATGCCTGAATCACGTACTATATCTGCTGTGCTTGTGGTCGCGGGTTTCTGTAGCCGATGTTTAAGTAGTAGTAACTGGCTGTAGTGTATGGAGAATCTCTCTCTCTTTCTTCCTCTCTCTCTCTTCCAGTAAACCTCAGGTCCAATTTGAATCAGGCGCGGCGAGCTATAGTATAAGGTCCAGACCGGTGTGCAGCTCCCCTGGTCGTAGCGAAGACAGGTGGGAGGGGAAAAGGGGGAGACAGAGTACCAAGTACAGAGTATGTATGTGCTTAGAGAGAACTCCTACTCATAAAAATAAAATAAAAATACAACACAACAAGGCGATATGGGAGGGATCGAATGCAGAACGAGATGCGAGGTGAGGTGGAGCAGATGCGAAGCGTTGGCCACCCAAGCCTGCTGTAATGCAGTGCCAACAAGAGCAGAGTTGCAACACAAGTAAACGCACACCCCTAACCAGCTGGGACGAAATCGGGATCGGGCCCTGTGTGCGAATGTGGATTGATCGATGTGGGATTGGGTGAGGGGGGGGGTGGGCGGTCATCTGTTCGAGGTGGCAGCAGTGGTCGAGCAACTGCAGGGTGTGGGTGCGGGCAGATCTTTGAGAATGAGACACAAGCTGCATCCCAGGTTTAGGTCCGGCGCGACTTGTGTGGCAGGCGGCTGGAGAGGTACCGACCAGGGGGTGGTCAGGTCACGATACCTAGCCTCAATTTCCCCTCACCGCCTTTTTCTGTGATCAGGATGAGGGGCTTCATGTAGCGGTACATGACTCTGGGGCTTTTCAGTGCTGTCGGTACCTGAACCGCCCATCACCCCACACCCTCCCGCATTTATCTTGATGAACCCCCAAAGCTTCTAAGTTAACGTACATAACTACGACGTACTTCCACAACAGCAATAAAGCACTCGTGAGAGACGAAGCTGCCTGTGTACGTGTGCGCGCGTCGATTTGTCTGTACTATGGCATGTGCGGCCAAGGACGTCCCAAACACCACCCCATTTTTGGGGCGAGGGAGGGTTTCGAAACAGTGCAGTCCGCACGCACGTACAATGCTCGTATTGGGGCTTTAGACTTGAGCTGCTATAGTCATAGTACAGAGTGTCACCCACCGTAAAATGTCAAAGCCACATCACTCTGGTCGATTGACAGCTGTGGGAGCAATGGTGGCGGGGGAGAACCGAGGTGGGAAGAAGTAGGAGAAAAGAAGAAGAGCAAAGACCAAGCAGAAGTTGTATCCCAACCCCGCGCCTTCACCCCATCAGGGACAAGGAGTGGAGGGGGGGCAAGCTAGAAAAGGGCTTGGCTGCTGGCCAAACGTAGACTCGACGCGATGCAACATAGAATGGCGGTCTTTTCTTTCTTTTCTTGACATTGCTGTCTCCCGCCTTTTTACATTTCCCATTCTTTTTTTTCACTTGTATTTTTTGTCTTTACCGATGACTGCGTCAAGATCCTTGCGGCGATCACGAAAGCGCCATCCAGCGAGGTAACCCGTGTGGGCAGGTTTCCACAAATGCAACATAGTACGCGAGTCCTGCTAATGATCTATTTTAATTATTTATTTTTCTTGCTATTATTCGAGTGCTGCTTGGACTACTCCGTGTCGTGAGCTGAGACTTGAGGGGAGGGGGGGTGGCCTCTCCAAACCCGCAAGCGCAATACACGGTCCCAAACACACCAGCGGGCGTTATTCCTCCAAAACATCCCCTGCCCTTGGCTCTTTCCCCGGGGCTCGGCTGTCTGGAACCTGCAACGGCCAAAACGGCTCCAAGTGAGGTGACTTTGGGCGAGGAGCTTTTTTGCGGAGCTGTGATCCTTTTGTTTTAGCGCCCGTCAATCTCGCTTGTCGCTTGAGAGATCCCTGAGCCGGCATCTGTACTGTTGTTGCTGCAGTAGTAACGATGGTAGCAGCAGGAGATATGCTTTCCTCCCCACCAGAAACACATCTCCTCTCCAAGCCGTTACCCGTGGACCCCTTCTACCTCTCTCTCTCTCTCTCTCTCTCTCTCTCTCTCTCTCTCTCCCCCGTCAGCACCGTTTCCCCCCCTCGATTCAGTTCGTATAGTCATACAATGTATGCATGCATGCAAACCGACATATCTCCTGGCAGTTAGGTCGACGACTACTAAGTGGCTAACTAAACAAGCCTCGAACCTTACCACGACAAACCTCGGCTGCAGAGAGAGCCGCAGCATGTCTGCGATGCTGACCTCTGGGCGATTCCCAGATCTTGGCTCGATGAGCATACCCACCTTCTACTTGCGAAGAGGGTGTCGTCCCTAGTACACTAGAAGTGCAGTAGTTGTTGTAGTAGTAGTAGTAGTAGTAGTAGTAGTAGTAGTAGTAGTAGTAGTAGGCTGGAGAAAAGTCAAGTTTAATTATAGCCCTGCCCCAAAAGGCCAGTCGGAATCACCACCTCGAGAGTCACTGGTGGGAATCACATACAGAGACAGCAAATCATCCGAATTCGGGCCTACTTACCAGAGCATGACGGGTGTCGTAGTCACCTCAGCAGCAGCAGCGAATGAGGTGTCTTATCAAAGACATATGACTGTGTATGCATGTCAGAGTTCTGGGGGCACCTTTCGAGCCATCGCCAACATTGGGTGGGAAAAATACGTGTACCCAGGATAGGTACGTGACATGCTATGCTATATTCGTTCAGCTCTCGGGTAGTCCAATACATGCTGTGGACGTTATCGCCCCGTTGCCTTCCTAGCTACGGGACATGCGTTGTATACAAACTGACGGGAACCCTTTGAGTACTTTGACTGCAGTCATCGAAACAGGGTTTCAAAGCTGCACACCACACCATGCTGCAAAGCCCAAAACTTTGCGAGTTCCGCACCATCCAACGCTCCACCAACAAGGACGGCGGGCGCGAAACAATAACAAGACAATCGAAAAACTAAATGAAGAACTCAGATAATTCACACGTGGCCGACGCCCTTACCAAGGCAAAAAGGGGTCTATGTTTATCCTTTTTTTTCTTTTTCCCGCCCGCTGTCTAGCTAGAATCCAGAGTCATACACACGCATATGGGCAATTCCACTTCATACTTCCCTCCTCCGCGCTCACCGCGTAAGTACGTACATGGTAGTTTACCAACCTGATCCCTTCATCCGTCCCCCGTTTGCCCCGTCGGCTGAACGGCACCTGTAGGGAGGGGGCGAGTGAGCTCGGACTCGCCCAGTTACTTCCCCCCATCCAGCTCTACTCTACCAAGATTACATACCGCCCTTGAGCAAATAATGTCTTGGGGGCGGACGCCGCAGATGAGACAGAGTCCAGAACATACACATAAGGTCACTCACTCAGTCACTCTGCTTTTTGGCCCGTTGCTTTCCCTCCTGCTCTAGACATTTTGTCGGAGTCAGCGCTATAAGCCCAGTAGTGTGGACCCCTCACCCCTTCTTCTTCTCCTTCTGTCCAGCTTGCCGAGGCAGCCCCTATCCATGATATATGTCTCATTGCATCTGCTTGTGACTTGTAGGCTCGCGCCTCTAGAGCTGGGCAGGCTAAGAAAAAGAAAAGAAAAGAAAACAGAAAGAGGGGGGGGGGGGTTGCATGGGGAGCTGTGGCTTTGGCGGTTCCAGGATCATTTGTCTCGATCCCTCCTTGTGGTGGCGAGTGCAGGAGGTGTGTGTGTGTGTGTGTGTGTGTGTGTGTGTGTGTGTGTGTGTGTGTGTGTGTGCGTGTGTGTATGTATATGTATGTACAACCCAGAACCGACGGTCTGGCCACCCATATCCCAGACCAGACGGGAGCTGGCATTGAGGGGATAAACGTTCAGGACGGAGTTGCCGTGCGACATGTGCAGCTCGACCCTTTGTTGTTCACGCAACCCACGGTCACAGCATGGCTATCCGGAGTCCGCCCAACGCCCAGTATAGTAACTGAACATTGCAGGCAAACGGCTGCTCCGAACTTTTTGGGTCCCAATTGCACTGATCACTCATGTAGCACAAACCCTCCTGTGGGCCAAAGACTTTGAATCTCCAAGTGCCTGCTCTGTATGTTTGGCTATCAACACTGCGTAACGTATAATCACTATAGAACACATGTCTATTTACACCAGTATGCCCAACCGCCCTTGCTCGGCAGGCTAAAGTGCAGACACGGCAGGCAGGCGTGTCTAGCTAAGCCCTCTCTTTCAATGATACACAAAGGCTCCCTCAACACAACTCGTCCAACGATGTCAGGTCTGAATCACTATCTGCAGTCTTCTGCAGCTGGGTCGTGGTGTCCACGTTGTTTTTGATATCCACCTCATCGCCCATGGAGGCGATACTTGACAGGTCCGACTCATCATCACTATCAAGGACCTCCTGAATCTTAAGTTGCGTGGAGACCTCGTCAGGAGTCTCCTCAACCTTCCCTTCCTGCGATTCTCCAGCGCATCCATCCCCATCCCCATCATCATCATCACCACTATTCACTTCTTCTTCTTCTGCTTGTTGTTGTTGTACAGGGGAGTAGGTCTGTGAGTCCTCTTTGTCGTCACAAAGAGTGTCGCCCACGACACGACTTTCCAGCATTACATCTTGGGCTTCCTGTAGGGATAGGGACATGTCCTCCTGGATGAGTCTGACAGCAAGTTCTGGGACCAACACCGACTGGACGAAGCCAGTGTAGCCTCTCGCAGAGATGAGCTTGTCTTGCGGCGCCCTCTTTCTGAGCAAAGATGAGAACATTTCCACTATGGTTTCCGTCATCAAACTCATGCCTCGCAGGCCATAGTATCCTGGGGAGAGAAATTCTTCCGTCCTGAGCAGCGTCCTGTTCTTGCCCATCTTGATGTTCTCGCGAAGCAGTGATCCGAAATATGAATCGGAGGCCTTTCCCTCTATCAGGGACTTGATATGATCACGGTGGCTCTTGATACGTTGTTTGAGGCCCTTCCAGTCGATCTCTGGGTAACCCTTCTCTTTCCATTGTTTCTGCGCGGCCTTCTTCTTGTGGAGCCGGCAGAACCTTGCCTGTCGGATAACATCCATCCTCTCTCCCCTCGAGAATGCCTTGAGCAAACCCTCGTCAACCACCTCTTCGCATATTGGGCACAGTGTCTGGCCCTTTTCTAGCGCCGTGTCAGTCTCATCTGGTGTATCGTCGAGTGGCGTGTCGAAGTCAGCTGGCTCCGGATTTGGGGCGTATTCATCATAGCTCGTTGGCATCCTGAACTCTGGTCTTCTTGATACATCATCCTGGATTACGTTCCGGGATTTCTTTCCTCTTGCACGTTGGCGCCGCGACGATATCTGCTTCTTGGTGCGGACCTCCAGTGGTTTTGGCGTATGAGCAGCCGGTGAAGAGAGTTGTGAAGATTTGGAATCGGGTGAAGGTGTCGAGTCATATGATACGGCAGCTGGCTTCTTGAAGACATTCTTCTTCTCCGGCGTGTCCGGGGCTTTGCGTGTCTTGAAAGTCCTGACGGGTGTCGAGTTCTGGGATCCTCGTCCTCTCTTGCTGCCATAGGCTGCTTCGTTCTTGCGCTTGCCCACCATCCATCCATCAACCATATGATCTCCTATGCCAGAACTCGACTTGTGTGCATTCCTTCTTGCCTTTTTATTGGAAGCATCCGCAGCACTTTCATCTGCCCCGTCGTCCTCAACCGCATGCATTGGCCTCTTCTTCAAATGGGGTGTCTCAACTTGGCGGGCTGAGCGCCGGATCCCCGACTGTCCCCGAGTGCCAGTGGACAACTTCTCATTTCTAGCATAACCGGTCAAGTTGCTAGCAGTCTGATTTGTGGGGCCGGTCTTTTCCCCAAAGTTGGTGGGTTGTATATCAGCACTTCCGAAGAGGTCGTCATCATCGTCAGATGAGTCAATATATCTGTTGTCAGGTGGGTACCCTGGTGGCTCTTTCACCTCTTCCTCATCACTACTCTCGATGGGAAGAGCGGTGACATCTGCAGGCTCTGGTATTGGTTTGGGTATGCCGGGGCGAGGCTTTCCATTGATCATCTTATGGAGTGGTGGGACATCGTGTCTCGAGAGTGGAGGCATCGTGCGATCTCTCTGTCCTTTGTTCTCAGGTTGAAGTAAGGACAATCATGAGCAAGCAGCCCACAAAAATCAAAGGAAGGCTGATATAGTAGAGAAGATTGGGCTGTCCAACAACAGAGGGACAAATAAGAGCTGAGCTTGAGGAGGTTTGTGTTCTGTATGTGCATTCACCATCTGGGTTGGGGAACACGTCAACCTTGATTTATGATTTGATGGTGGAAAATGGAGTCCTCACCAAAGAAGAAATGTGGACCTTTATGCAATTGACAACATGTGTTAGGTTTCGTGCACAAATAGACTGAAGCACATTGCTGGCAGCATCTTGGAACTGTTGTTGCCTTTGATACAGCGACTCAAATCTGAAAATAAACCCAGGCAATTGAGTGAAACTCGGCAGGAGCACTACACTTGCTAAGTACGCGCTATCAGACGCGTTCAGGTTCAATTACAGCAACCGTGTCTTAGTGCTAAAGGAACTGTGCACTGACCCCTGCTAGCTGCTCATTTCTACCATTCAACCCCCCGGAAGGTCACCTGCTACCAAGTTGAATAGACTGAACCATGGTCTGTCTGCCTGGAATTTCTTATCCTTTCACTGAAGGATCAAAGGTCTGTCAGCTGATGAGATGTGAACAAGAAGAGATTCCAGACATATCGATAGGCAACTTTATCTAGCTTACTTGCTGCATAGGAAACTCACGGGTATCATACATGAATGACATGAATTCTGAAAAGGACACAATCATGACAACTTGGCCATCTTCTCTTCAAGTTCCTTCACCCAACCCTCCACTACCTTCATGTTGTTGCCCATGGACGATTCGCCCTCCTTCATTGCTGCCTCCACCTTCTCCAGGCCTTCCCTCCACTGCTTGATATCTGACGCCATGTCTGTCTGACGCCTCTCAATCCTGTCCAGTGTCTCACCGGCTGTGGCTGCATCTGCGTGAATCGCCCTTAGTGACCGCAGCCTGTCCAGTAAGGGTGGGAGGAGTGGTGTGAGATTCTCGATCGTGGGCAGGGTGCTGTAGAGAGCATTGATCTTTGTGATCTGCTCGGCCTCTTCTGAATCAGGGTCGGCAGGCAAGGCTGCCCCTGCTCCTGTAGAAGCCAGGGCGTCCTTGGCCTGCTTCGCCTGTCTCCGAGACTTCTCCAGTTGCTCGGCCTCTTGTGTCAACTGTCGGACCTTCCGGCTGATGGTATCGAGCGAGGACGAGGATGCGTCCGACAGGGTCGATACCTGCTTCTGTATCTTCTCCAGCGTTGGCACGATTGCACGCGGCAGGCCGCTCGAGTCAAGCCCCGGCAGGGCAGACGATCCAATGCCGATGGCCTTCTCCAGAAGCGCCAGGCGTTGGTCGAAATCGGCAGCCTTGGCCAGTGCGTGCGTCTGCTCGTACGTGGGCGCATACGTGACGGTGTAAGTAGCCGACGTGCTCTCAGCTGCCTCACCCTGCGAGTGATTGCCCGTGGCTCCCGTCTCAGGCGGGGACGCAAACCTCGTAGGACGGAAACCAAGGCCCTGTGCCAAGTCCTCTGGGTGTTTGGAAATCTCATCCAGCACCTGGCTCAGTGAAGCCAGCTCGATCTCCTGCTCCTGCTCCTCGCCTGAGGCATCTGGCTGCTTCTCCTCCGCAGCCTTCTGCTTGCCCACTTCCTCTTTCGCCTCCTCGATCTCTCGCTTTAGCCGGGCAATCTTGCGGGCGAGGCTCTCGCCCTCATCTTCGTCGCTCAGGTCTCCCAGCTCCTCGGTGCCGTCCTGTAGGATTCTCTGTCTTCGAGAAGAAGCTTTGTATGATTTGCGCTTCCCATTGACACGGTCTGAGAAGTCAACGTCTTTGGCGTCTACCTGAGAGGGCATGAACCGCGACCGTGCCTGGTCTATCCGCAGCTTGGACCGCGAGATGCCGGCTGCGTCCGTCTCGTCATCTTCGAATTCGTGGTCGGATGGTGACTGAAAGGTAGTCTGCCCCCAAGTATGGTCAGTTTACGAAGCAGATTTGATCTAGTACGCCACAGGTCACACGTACAGGCACGGTCGATGTGTCATCTGTGAGCTCCGGAGTCTCGTAGATGTCGGGCGCCGAGTCCTGGATTGTTTACTGATTAGCTTTCGATTGCAAAGAACACGGCGCGGTAATGTAGCTCACCAAGTCTGGTAGCGCAGCATATTTCCTATTCAGAGCCATTGTGACGAGAGTAGAGGGATCCTCCGCGGTCCGGGTGTTTGGTGCCTACAAATGACCTCACTTCTGTAATGTACACCGCGTCGAGCGCTTTGGAGGTTGGAGTGCGCCGTGTTTAGGAACTGGACCCTGGCAGCCCGTCGCGCCTAGTGCTAAGGACCCAGTGCCGAACACGCGCCGCGCCGGTGGGAAAAGTACTGTAGGCCCCACTTCAAAAAAAAAAAAAAAAAAAAAAGACCTACAAAAACCTCGCCCTCAGAAATTTGCGAGCTCTGCATTTTACATCTTCTCTTGCAAACCACAACGCCACGACAAACGCACACGTAAGTCCCTTCATCCTTCATCCTCCCTACTTCCTCTACTGTATTGCATGATGTTTAATAGCATGTATTACCTGACTTCTCAATATGATGTCTCATTTTATCACCAAGATCTCTGACAAGCAATACACAATTCACCCAATTTTTACACCTCTTTTCCTTTCCTCACGGTCTGTTCACTGGCTAACACGGCCGTGCGATTTCAGGTAGATAATCTAGTATGCCCTCAGCGATACCCAAGCCCCCAAGCGGGCACTTTAACCTTCTCTATTTCGCCGGCGCGAACACGTTCACCGGTAAAGAGTTCGAGCCGCTGCCCGCGCCGCTGCCCTTGAAGCAGCTCTTCGCGACGCTCGAGGAGCGATACGCAGGTATCAAGTCAAAGGTGCTCGAATCCTGCTTGGTCACTATCAATCTGAACTACGTCGACGTCCCTGAGGATTCCAATGAGGGTGGCGCCGACGAGCCTGTTATTAAAGAGGGTGATGAAGTGGCCATCATCCCACCTGTGAGCTCTGGATGATGGACATCCTCGTGGCCAAAAGGAAAAGAAGGAGAAGAATCCTTGAATGCATTTTTTTCTGCTTGTTGGCCTAAGGCCGAGCTATCTTTCAGTCATAACCTTCACCTTGCGAGGAGAGCTTGCTGCTCCTCAGACGTCGACCTCTGATCGAGGGGCTTTGGTGTTCGGCGTTTCGCCCATGACATCCAGTCCCACCTCCACACCATCCACCACCCTGCCTCTTGCTGCTTGTGGTACCTGGTCAATCTTCTCATAGCGAGGACCAGAAGGAAGATGATTGTCGCAAAGATGATTGTCAATGTGATGGAGATGATCGAGGTCAGACTGGTCGTGGTCGAGACCTGGCATCCCAACGGCCGGGTCCGGATCTCCCACCTCTCCGCCCAGTGCGGACAGATGTCTTGGTCATACGCGGGTGCGAGCGCTGGAATAGTGTAATTATTCGGCACGCATGACCAAGTCTGGAAAGAATTTTAGGAAAAAACACCAAGTCAGTATGCAAAATACTGAGTGATTTCATCAAGGCTGACTTGGACCTACAAATGGGCACCAGCTACATTGTTCCTCATCCAAGCAGCCACGGCAGTCCTGATGTCTCCAGCAGCGACGCAGATGCGCATCACCTGGCTCTGAAGTTACCATCGTAAATAGCCAAAGATTATTATAAATACATCAATGTCTGCATTATTTGATAGTGCCAGTTAAGTTTTTTCCCTTCCTGGCCTGGGGCACGAGTTACAGCAATCCGTGTGTGTTTTCGTGTGAAAGTTGGTTCAATTCGATGAATATATGTCTCCTAAGCAATGCTGGGTCAGGCATTAAAGTTCGAGCGGGGGAGGAGATTATAAAACTGGCGACCCGGCTGTTATGACCGGCGCAAGAGAAGATCGCGCCATTCCCCCCCCCCCCCCCCCCACCCTTTTTCGGGCGGTTGGCGGTGCTGGATAGTAGCCAAGCACATGATCAGCCCAGGGTTATGAGATTGTATGATCAGACTCGACATATCCATGGGCTCTTTAGCTCCAAGACTTTTGTGCATCGAACCAGGAGAGCATTCATATCGTATTCTATCGTAATGATAAATGTGAATTGTTCATGAGGCGACAGAGTCGGATATTTCAATATTTTGTACCCCACCCAACAACTCTAAACCCAGATGCAACGCCGGATGGGACCTTTTCCACTGACTTAAAAGTGTTGGGCTCGGAGAAAGTTTGCCTGGGAAGTCTCGAGGTTTTTCTCTAAGCCTTCACCAGGCTCCTGGCCTTCCTCCTCTCCTCCTCACTCAGCACCCACTGCATCCCCTCGTCGTCCCCACCCGCAACGATCTCCTCCCACTCGTCGTCCTCCATGTTTGCCACCATGAGCACCTGCGCGACCTTGGAAAACAGCTCCCGGACGCCATAGTTTCCGCCCTTGGACACCACGTTGATGATCGCACTAAAGTCCCTCTCCATACGGATCACACCAAAGGCATTCGCCCGCCCGAGGTACTTCCACGCGCGGTCGAGCAGTACGCGAGCGAGATACCGAGCGGTGGTCTCCAGCAGGATGGCATAGGTCTTGGGCGTCATGAGCCGCGCGATCGGCTTCATGAGCGCGTCCCACCCGTGCTCGAAGCGCCGGCCTACTTCGTCCAGCAGCTCGTCCTCGTCGATGTCCTCTGCGGCTGCGAAGTCGGCCATCTCATCTTCAGTCAGGGTATAGTCCACATCGCGGAAGGTCTCTGCGAGAACGGGGCGTAGGCGGAGTCTGACGACTTGGTTGGCGAGAACCTGCAGGCCTTCGCCGAGGAGCTCCGTCGTCTTGGAGGTGAAGGTCGAGAGGAGGGTGGTAAGGGCACTGCTGACATTGGCGACATCATGCTCGAAGGGGAATGTGTCCTGGAGTGCTGGCTGAGGACCGGCGCCGTTGGTCCGTTCGAGCGAGGTTCCGAGGAACGTGTTTATAATTCGCTCGAGGTATTCGTTTGATGTCTCAAGGCTGTTGATCAAGACAATAAAAGCTATGATCTTGTCCTCGGGAGGAAAGCCGCCTTGGACGACTGGTTTCGGATATGATTCATCACGCATCTTTCTCTGGACCATACCAACAAAGTCGGAGCCCAAGACCCTGCCAACGGTCTGTAAGACAGATGCGACGGCATCTCTTTGTGATGTAGAGAGCGTCTTCTGTATCACGGTATTGACAATGTACATAACATCGTCAACCGCAGATATTATAAAGGGGGGTTCGCTGTTCAAGGGCTTGTGTGGGTTGAGTGAGAGCCCACTGGGCATCTCATCCAGCTGGAATGCTTTCTCGACTGATCTCCGGAAGAAGAATGTGCTCATGACGTTGTAGGGATTAGTTAGCCTGCCTGAGACCTTGCGGTTCAGGTTGGACTTGGTGAGAACATCAGGAGTGACGAGAGGGGTGTCTTTGGGAGATTCGGGATCCTGGTAGCCAACAGCAATCAGTATGAGCGCCTTTACTCAAGCCTAGACAAGAAAGGTTGTGTGAGACTTACCTTGCATTTCCCTGCGATGAAACGAGAGTAGGCCGACCACCTCCCAAGCATGACAGCAATTTCGTTGAGCAGCGCATCCACCTCCTTCATATTGACGCCCTCATCCTCGCTCTTCCTGGGATCGTTGTTTCCGGCTCCAGGAGCTGGAGATCCCATTCTCGGTATGCCGGCCATGCCCTTCTGTTGGGACAAGAAGCTCTGGACGAGGAAGGAGAAGGGATAGCTCTTGACGTCTGTCAGCTTCCTGTCGACCCCCCTGTCGTCGCTCCATGAATCAAGGATGATGCCGCCCTGGACGTCGGCCTCCATCTGCAGCCTCTCAATGACCTTGACCATCTTTCCAGATCCGTAGTGACGCTCCACCAGGCCACCATGGCTCTCGATGATCTGGGCGATATGCTCGAACAGCTTGGTCAAGGCGTTGGCGTAGAAGAACCCATCTTTCCTGCCAGGGACCACAGTGCCCTCCTTGAGCGTCTGCCTTGCGGTACCCGCAACGCCCTGGCATACATATCTGCCGTATACATCGAGACCAACATCCCCTCTCCCTACCAGGGGGAACAGCTTGAAGAACCTCGTGACCTTGGTCCCGTCGCCCTCCTTGGCCGCCTTTTCAAACTCCCTCAGGAACAGCCCGCAGAGGCTCTCCCTGGCGTTCTCCAGCGTGACCCATGGTGCGTCAGGAATCTCCACCGTGGGCACCATGGCCGCCGCGAAGCCACCTCGTATAATCTCCTCAGGCACCCTGCTCGCGCGCGCAATGTACCCGGCGGCAGCCTCCCAGTCCTGCGGCGCGCCCATGCTCCAGACGACACCGCCGACGCAGGCCTTCAGCTCCGCGACCTGCTCGACGACCCTGAGCGTCTCCTCGACCCTCTGCTTCTCGAGGTCGAGCTCGCGCACCTTGCCAGAGAGCCTGCCGGCCGTGTGCGCCGCGTTGGCGAGCATGTTGTTGCTTATGGACCGGGTGGCGATCACCTGCGAGCCCAGGCCCGCACGCAGGTTGTCGAGCCGGCCGAGATCACGGCCAAGATCTGCCTGGGCGGCAAGGCTGGCCTGGAGCCGGCGCACGAGGTCGGCCTCGCGATTGTGGAGAGAGGTGAGGGCGGCGCGGACCTGAGCCGGGTTGGATGCTTCGAGGATGGGGCTCTGGTCTTGCGAGGCGATGGCGGCGTCGTTGTTGTTGCTTCTTCTGAAGCCGCCGCTGCTGTTCAGCGCAGAGGTCGGATTAGGCGTCATGCTGGCGGGGCGTGGCGAAGGTGATGGGAGGGCGTTGTTGGTGTTGATGGTGAGGACATTGGTGTTGGTGGCCGATCGAGCTCGGCTCGTCTTTGAGGTCGTGGACACGCCATTTGCGAAGGCAGACATCGAGGCAGCCTTGTCGTATGGCGTCGCATGCCTGCTCGTGTGGGAGGACGGAGGAGGAGGAGCAGGTTCAGGGTCTAGGAGTGACTGCCATCAGTTGTGATGCCAGTTGGTCTTCGTTCTGCTGAGGGTTCTGGGCGGTTTCCGCTACCTGTCTCTAAGTACACGCAAGGGACCTGCTGTAGTGCGGTGCACTGCAGTAAGCGCCAGCAGAGAGGTACAGCGGAGTACGTACCGAGGTGTCGTTGTGCTATGGTACTACGGTAGGTCCCTAGCCACTTACTTACCTAGGCCCAAGCTTGGCAGTCCCTGCGGCCCCCTCCAGGTTCTGGGCTTTGAAATATAGTGGCTGCTGAAGCACTGTAAACTACGCTGCTCTCCATACGTAACAAAGCCACACTTCTTGCACGGCTCTGGATCAGCAGGAGACCTCAAGGGCACCTCGCCTCTAATTCTACGTGCTCTTGAGCTTTTGCTGTTAAAAAGTAAACCAATGCCCAATCTGGATCTTGATCCCGCCCTTTGTATAACGCTTGTTTTGCCTTAAGCTGGAATAATTGATATTTTGGACACGTAAAGATCATAGAAAACACACACCGCGGCAAGGACATTCATAACCGCAATATAGGCAATTCCTAATTACTGGCCCTCTCTCCTCCCACAGTTTACAGCAAGCAAAGCCGTTCCCGCGCTCTCGATGAGACCGAGTCATCTCGCCATTCTGAAGCCAAGGAACACTCGCTGTAAGGCTAGACTATATCACAAGGCTACACAAAGCGCCAAAAAGCCAAGACCACCCGCCTAAACGCAAGGCTACAGCCTCGTCCCAGCGTTCCGAAACTCGTCATCGCCATTTCTCATCCACGAGACGTTTCAAGGTGCCGAAAAAGTAAGAATCTTGGTCTTTGCGAAGAGGCCGAACGACGGAATTCTGTCTTCTTAATTCCTTTGGCCCCCAATTATCCTCTAGATTCGCGCCTTGGTCTCTATGCTGACTTGGAAATTATGTGCTGTGGGAGCTTGTGTAACTGTCATGAGAAACCCTCAGCCTTGTACTACCGCCAGAATGTGTGTCTGAAATCTGGCCTTGCCGTTGTCTCTTCACGACCACCGTCGTCATTGGGGCATGTGTAGTTGCGTTTCACTTCGGTGGCGAACTCCACGACACAAAAAGCAAGATGTTGGTCATGTTGTCTATTTACATATTTGTTGCTACAAATATTTACACAGGCGCCTTGCTATCCCCTCACTGGACGACTAAAACCAACAAGGGGTGCTCATTCGTCTCATCTATACAGCCTGGCTGTACCCGCCACCAAGCCTCTTCTTTCCGTAGAACCACCATTTCCTTGCCTCGTCTGCCCAGAACACGGTGCTGCACAACATGATCAGGCCCAACAGGTCATAAAACCCGATAGCCTCTGTCTGGAACACCTCCTGCAGCCAGGGAAAATAAATGACCAGTAATTGGCCCATGAGGCTGAGCGACACGGCCCAGTTGAACAAGGTGTTGGTGAACAGCCCGACCTCGCCGCGGAGTATGGACTTGGACTCGGACCGGCAGCTCAGCGCGTTGAACATATCGAAGAGGACGAAGCACGTAAAGGTCATGGTGGTGTCGCGGCGTGAGACCTTGCCGTCCTCAAGCATCTCATGGGTGTAGACGAGCATGGTGCCGAGCATGATAATGAAGGCAGACTGCAGGACACGCTGAATGACTGCGCGGGTGAGAACAGGGGCACCACGGCGGCGAGGCGGGCGCTTCATTACATCGACATCGACGCGTTCTACGCCCAGGGATTGTGCAGGTGGGCCATCCATGATGATATCTACAATTGATGGTTAGCAATGAGAGGGATCGAGGAAGCAATGCTGGTGCAATGGTACTCACTAATCCAGAGAATCTGCATCGGATTCAGGGGAGACTTGAACCCCAGAACCGTGCAGATCAGAACGAGAGACAGACCAGCTGCGCTTGTGCTCAACTGGAATCTGAGGAAGTTCTGGATGTTGTTGAAGATGCCCTTGCCCTCCTCAATCGCATGCAAGATGGTCGAGAAGTCGTCGTCAGTCAAGATCATGTCGGCAGCCTCCTTGGCCACGTCCGTTCCACTTCTGCCCATGGCGATCCCGATATCCGCCTTCTTCAGCGCCGGAGCGTCATTGACTCCATCTCCTGTCATTGCCACGATATCTCCGCGCGACTGTAATGCGCTGATGATCTTCATCTTGTGGTCGGGGTTTGTGCGGGCGAAGATGGTTGTGTGCTGCATCGCCTGGGCAAGGTCCTCCTCGGATAAATCTTCGACGTCTCTGCCGCTGAGGACTGGTCTTACTGAGACCTGGCCTGGACCGTGCTCGCGAGCGGTGGCAATGTCCATGCCAAGTTGTTTGCCTATTGCCACGGCCGTGGTCTCCGCATCACCTGTGATCATGATCACCTTCACTCCGCCGCGCATCAGTCTCCTGATCGAACGCCCGACAGAGGGCCTCGGGGGATCACTCATGCCAACAAGACCGGCGAACGTGAGACCCTTGTACACGTCTTCCGAGTCCTGAATGCGTGGGCTTTCGCTTCCGTCATGGCCAGGGGTGCCACTTCGTTGGTTTGGCCCGCTGGATTTGCTTCTTCCCCCGGACTTGTTGACGGGGCCACTGGCAAATGCAATGACCCGCAGGCCAGTGGCCGCCATTTTCTCCGCTGCCTGGTTGATCTCTTCTCTCTGCGCTGCATCGAGCACAAATTCTCGACCATGTTTGGAGATGTAGCTGTCGCAGGCGTCCAGAACACGGTCCAGAGCACCCTTCATGTAGGCAAACTCCTTCTCGTTCTTGTCGGATCCGATCGCCACTCCCATCCACTTTCTCTCAGAGCTAAAAGGAACCTCGGATGTTCGAGGTCCTATAGACTCGCGAACATCGTGTTCACGAAACCTGTCCAAAAGGTCCAGCATGGCAACGTCTGTTGGCTGACCAACCCAGCGCGTGTAGGTAGAGGCCTCGTCCCGCGCCACGGTGGACGAGAGCACCGCCTTCGCAGCAGCCCCGTTCTCTGTGTAGCGCCTAGCCAGGCGAGCATCATTGGCGATGTTGCCAATGCGCAGGATGCGCAATGTGGCTGGGTCGGGAGCAGCCTCGGTTGCGTCGTCGTCGGAGTCGACATCAAATGCCTCCTCCGCGCCGAAATACCACATCTTTGAGGTTGTCATGTGATTCATTGTCAGTGTTCCCGTCTTGTCTGAACAGACTACATTGACGGAGCCCAGAGTCTCGACCTTTGGCATCTTTCGAACGATGGCGTTGTGCTTGGCCATCCGATGGACACCCAGTGCCAGAGTCACGGTGACGATGATGGGCAGTCCTTCTGGGATGGCGGCGACAGCGAGAGATATCGATTCCGTGAAGATTTCTAGGTAACCCTTGCCCTGGAACCAGCCTGCCACAGAGATGAGTCCAATAACGACAAAGGAGAACTTGCTCAGCTGGGAGCCCAGCTGGTCCATGGAGAGCTGCAGGGGAGAACGGGGGCTCTCGGTGTCTGTGACACTTGTAGCAATGGCCCCAAACTGTGTGTTCCCACCCGTCGCGAAGACGATGCCCTGGCCATGTCCGGACTTGACCAGCGTGCCCATGTAGGCGATGTTCCTCCCTTCATGGGACTCGTGGTCCCGATTCGCGGCGCCATTCTCAGCGGAATCCCCAAAGGTGGGCACTGGTAGCTGCAGGTTCGCACCATCACTGCGCGTCTTAGCTGCCGACCTGCGAGGGCGCGGCGCAGCTGTAACTCGCACAGGGTCGGTTTCTCCGGTAAGATTCGACAAATCTATTGTCAGATCCGATGCCTTGGTGATGCGTATATCTGCAGGAATGCGATCGCCCGTCGTGAACAAGACGAGGTCCCCCGGGACCAATGATGCAGCCATCACCTTGGAGGACGAGGCTTCCAGTGTCTCTTCCTCTGGTGTGACAGCGCCAGACGACTCGGCGCCCTCCCGTCCGTCTTCTGCTGTTGGTTGCCAGCCTGGTGTTCGTGGAGCTGCAGCGCCTCTCGCAGGCATGCTCCTGATCAGATGGGCATGGTTTGGGACAAGATTGTTGAGAGCCTCAATCGACTTCTCGGAACGGTACTCTTGCACAAATCCAACGGTCACAACGATAGTCACCGCGACGGTGATACTGATAGCGTCGTCTAAGTTTCCTAGAAGAATAGAGGCGGCTGAAGAAGCAAGAAGCAGTAATATCAGAGGCTCTTTGAATTGTCCCAAAAATCTCAGCCAGAGCGGCTCTGGGTCTTCGTGAGGTATCTCATTGGGCCCATAGTCGCGCAGGCGCGACAGAGCCTCAGGAGGTGTAAGGCCATGCGTGAGCGAGGTTCGTGCGCGGGCGGCGACTTCGGCGGTGGTTAGGTAGGAGAACTCGTCGGCGACGCTCTGTGCAAGAAGCAGGTTAGCTCAAGGTGGCCTCTTCCCGGCAACCCCTTTGGCGAGGAGATGGAATTTCTTACTCTCGACTGAGCCGAGGTCGTGCGCGTAGGAGACCTCGACTGCGCCCGATCATTTCCGGCCCAGGGGGACAGTTCAATGGATTTCGTCGGCTCGTTAAAGATGGGCAGGCTTGGGGAATCGCCTGTGAACCTGTCCATCCTCTCGTGCTAGTAGTGGAGGTGGTGGTGGCGTGGGAAGAAGCTCCGAGGTGGAAGAGAGCCCGACTTGCCCAGAGGCTTGCGCCAAAATCGAGACTGTAAAGCTCGACCTTTATGTATGAGACCGCCTAAGGTGGTTGACCACTGGGTGTGCGCAAGCCAGACGCAGAGGAAAAGACGTATTCGAGGTGCTGTCAGTCGCACTTAGATCCGGGGAAGCGCACACGGACCAGCATCATTGTTTGACAACGTTGCCGGGTGGGTATCTGATTATAGGAATAACCTTGGGATCTCGAGGTTGTGGACTGTGGCTGTCCTAATTTTATGCTTATAACCTGGGAGGAAAAGGAGCGGACTGAGCAAAAAAGATGTCGAACGTTGAGCGTCGAGGGTAGGCGCTGACGTGTAACGAACCAAGGTTACGGGAGTAAAGGCGCTGCCAGAACTTATGGTGGTGTTCTACTACCGGCTCGGGTCGGCGTGCAAATGTCACGTCAAAGCGCAGCCGCCCCCTGTAGAACAGGTACGGGGGGGCTCTGGTCCAGATTTTGTTCCCAACTAGGCGAAGGTGAGAGGAGAGGCTGGTGTGATCCGAATTTTTCAAACCCGAGCCCTGACAGGTTTGAGAAAAGCTTGACTATCAAAAACTTCCCACATTCCCATATATCTGCAGCATCCTCCCTTGATCTCCTCGGCCTTCTTGGTGAACCAGAACTAGGGCGCCGTCGCACAGAAAGAACGGACGTCCCAGCAATGGGCAAGGGCTCGTGCAACCCAAGCGTGCCTGTGTAAACAACGGCAGGAAACAAAGGCCACACGGGCACAAGAGCAGGGTGAAAAACCTGCCTTAGACCTGTCCAGAGGGTTCAAAATAGAGGAAAGGAGGGAAGATGTCTTATTGTTGCTATCTGTCCGAAAAGAATCAAAGGGGGTGGTATCCTTATAGCTGCATGAGGACCCAAAACCCACTTCACTCTCTGACCCGAGGAGGACCACCGCACTGGCCACCACAACATTGGCTAGGCATCAGCCCATAGACCTCCATACTGCTCTTGCATACCCCTCCAGCTCTTGGACACTGAGAACAAAATCACTCTCTCCAGGGCCTGGATTTCGTAAGAAAAGAAGTCTAAAGGGCAACACCAGCGCGCTACTAACGATGCTGAATGTTGGTGGGACTGTCGGATTCTTGGTGATGGTGATAATCTGCCGCAGCACTAGTGCTAGTATTCCTGTGGATCGGGTATTTGTTGCTCCAGGTCGTTGGACTGGTATATCCTCTTCCCATCTCTCAATACTGATTTCCGATCGTCTTCGGTCCCATTTGATCAGAAGCACAATTTTCACATCATGGTCCGATGCAGCGAGCCACCATCTCATATCTTGGCGTAAGTATTGCTGGGATTCGGAATATCCAGCCTCGATAACGAGTGTTGGCCAGGCATTTGGTCCATCGCGCTCTGGAGATGGGCCTCCTGAAGAATCGCCCTCTCCGCTTCCATCACCAGCCCCAGAATTTGGTTTTGTGTAACATGTAGTGGCCGCCATAGTACTCCATCTGTCCTCCAGGCCTCTGCCGAAAATCTGAAAAGAGATTTTCTGGTATATATGGCTATGCATAGCTTCGTGTAGTCTGGATGGGATCGTGATAAAGAGTATCCGCGATTTAGCATCATATCGGCGCAAGCGGACCTTAGGTCGTCGAGTTTCGCAATTAATGAGATCGAAATCCATAGGATCAACATCTAATCAGATAGTTAGTATAAGATTAGATCAGATCAGGAAATAATAAAGAAGAAAGAAAAAAAACATACTTGTGATTATAATCAACTCTTTGGGACCAATACAGGCCATCTCGTGGTTGAATCGCTCGACAGTCGTGAATTGTATCTTCGGTATATCATCATCATCGTCTGCTAGCACAGAAGTCGTGGGGGTAGATATGGACATGGATCTGGACAGAGGCGATGCAGCCATCGTGGATATGGAAGAGTTGAGACTTTAGAAATTGAAATTGTGTTATGCCCAAGGTGTTTGTTGGTGGCAGAAGGAAGAAAGGAAAGGGATCTTTGTTTGTCCAGGTCTGATTGTCGATTCGCGCGTATTCATTGAGGTGTGTGCTAAGTAGCCAAAACGGGCAGCCACTATACGCAGTTTTGGCCTGCTGTAATGCGCTAGTTCGGACTTCCGAAAGCCGTTCCTTTTGTGTTTTTCATCGGTCCTGAGGATAGTTGCCCATGGGCTCAATCAACTTTTACGCGCTTTTGCTACCCATTAACATCACTCACCCCTTAGGCTCCTTTCCATCGCTATATTTACCCTCATTTTGGTGTGGGACGCAAACCACTGTTTGACTGCCGCGGGAGCTACCAAAATGAGTTCCGAAAGCTACCCTTGAAAGCCCCCATGGCGCAGCGCTTGATAGCGGTACCAATTGTTGCATACTTTACCAGTAGATCTCTGGTAGCCACACAGCTGGGTACCTTGGCACCTCTCAATAGGTGTTTTCTTGACCACGGGGAATTTTCGCAATTGCATGCAGGAGCTGTTCGCCATGTCTCAGGTTTTCTTTGACCGGAAACAATACTTTGTATTGCCTCAGACCTCGACACAGTACCAAGTCCCTGGTATCAGCATTGAAGCACTCCAACTTTCTGCAACAATAAATTGTACTGAGTTATGGGAGGAATATTTGAATGCGGAAGGACTTTTTGGTGGCATAAGAATGCTGGGCAAGGTGTGAAGACCCTGCCATGTGCTGCTAACAGCCAAAGAAACCAACATTGACAATAGGGGAGTACATTGTAGTACATATCACATGGAACACATGTCTGTCTACTATTGATCATGATCCTTTTCTTTCTTTTATTGTCTTTTTTTTGGGGGGGGCGGGGGGGCGGAGGGCCTTTGTTTCTTATTCTCTTAACTTGTTCAAGACAAAACAGTTGTTGATGTCTGTTGTGTCGATACTACTTATGTACTTCATTCTATGTACTGACAATACAAACTGGATTGCGCAGTTCTGACCCTGTACTACCAAGGTACGTAAGACTAAATGCTGTGCTACAGCGTTACGCTACGTACTTACCTAACAGGGACCCTAACCCCAGCCACAACCTCCCGCCACCGGAATTCAGTCCAAGCTGATGTGGGCCCGTTGCCATGCTGAGACCAGGGCCCTGCTTGCGTGGGTCTGCTCTCTTCTCATACTTACCCAGCTACCACCACGCCAGAGAGAGCCAAAACACCGTCCCCTCTCTCCCTCCCTCCTCTTTTCCGTCGCAAGTACCACCAATCCCTCCAAACCCCGCGACCCGCTCAGAGGCGCCGCCCATCGCCTCAGCAGAACATAAAATAATTGCTTGCGATCTTGTTCCTTTGCTTCTCCGCGGTTTTCTACCACAGCTTCATTGACGCCTTGCGCGGTTTTTTGCTAGCTGCCGTTGTGGTCTCATCCCACGCGACGAATCTACCGCTCTAACACGCGACGGCTTCGTGTTTACAGCCCTCGAGCCACCATCCCCCCTCGCGTCGGCGCGTCCACAGTTCATCGCCCCTAGGGTGATCTTCTTCTCAGAGGCGCCCCTCGCACTGCTGTCTCCATTTGTTACTCGTCATAGCCTCCCCGCGACACCGTCACGACCATGTTCTACTCGGAAGAACTCTTCCAGAAGACCGGGCCTCTGGCCCGGATCTGGCTCTCGGCCAATCTGGAGCGCAAGCTGTCCAAGCAGTCCATCCTCCAGTCCAACCTCTCCGAGAGCGTCGAGCAGATTATCACGCCAAATCAGGCCCCGATGGCGCTGCGGATGACTGGCCAGCTGCTCCTCGGTGTCGTCAGGATATACAGCCGCAAGGCCCGATACTTGTTAGATGACTGCAATGAGGCCCTGTTGAAGATCAAGATGGTAGAGTCCCCCCAACCCATTCAACATACACATAAGTCTGCGTCGCAACTCTGCTGACAACCTATCAGGCTTTCCGATCCTCGGGCAACAATGACATGCCCGCAAACCTGCAGCTCCCGAATCGGGAGTCTCTCCTCTTGCCCGATCGGATCACCCCTTACGATAACCTCGATCTGCTTCCTGCGCCTGATGTCGACCTGCTCTTGAGTCAGGACGCAGATTTGAATTCTCAGCCTCTGGGTCGCAAGGGACGCGTTAGTCACCGGGACATCAACCTGCAAGAAGATTTCAACAATAGCCAGTTCCTGATGGACGGACTGGACAAGGACGACGGCTTAGACTTGGCTAATGTGGACGATTTGGATCTTCAACTCGACTTTGGCATGGATCTTGATGACCAGCCCACCAGACTGACTGTCGAAATGGGTCGTGAGGCTCCCGCTGCCAGGGGAGTCGAGGAAGATATGTTTAGCGAGTTTGATCTCCCGCAGCCCGCTAAGGGAAGGGGTCATGATGAGTCTACGGCGCTCGGGTTTGGTGACGGCGGAATCCGCATCCATGATGATGACGGGGACATCATGATGGGAGATGACGACTTCCAGCTCAACCTCGGAGACCAGACCGCTTTGGCTGCGGGCGCGGCCAGACCAGACATGGCAAGAGCTCGCATTTCCGAGTCTCCCCTGTCAGACATCGATGAGGCGTTTGCCAAGGAGATCGAGCTCGAATACACACGGACCACGGATGTGTACGAGCCTAACGAGGACGACGAGACGATGGTGAACCGCAAGGCGCCACAGCGGTCCAAGAAGCGGAAGATTATTGCCCCCGACGAGCAGACCATGCTTAGCGGTGCTGTTTTCAAGGAGCAGCAGCGGAAGCACGACAACATTCTTAAGCCCCAGGTCTTCCTCCCCAGAGACCCTTATCTCTTGGCCCTGATGGAAATGCAAAAGAACGGCGGGTTCCTGGCCAGCATCACGATGGACGGACAGAGCGCCATGTGGGCGCCAGAACTGAAAGGCCTTTTGTCCCTGGACGCTGTCCGGGCGCCGAGCGATCTCAAACGCAAGCGGGATAGTGGAATTGCGGACATGGGCTCGGAAGGCGAACTGGGCGCTTCCAAGTCACCACGCCTCGAGATCGACAACGACGAGGACCCCTTCGCTGTAGGCGGGACGGACCTCGGCAACCAGTCCGTGGCACCAGACGGGACGATCCTCGAGATTGCCGGAGACGATGGAATGGTCATTCATGACGATGACGACAACACGGCCATGCCGAACTTTGATGACACGACAGCCCCTCTTGTGCATCCTGCCGACAGCGGCCCAGTGTCCATCGGTACCAAGCACGCCGTGCACATCTTGCGCGACCTGTTTGGTGACGAGGCTGCAACCAACGCCGACAAGCGCAAGAAGACCTCTGTGGTGTTCCAGGACCTCCTGCCCGAGAAGAGGACGACCAAGGCCGACGCGACGAAGATGTTCTTCGAGTGCCTGGTGCTTGCTACCAAGGACGCCATCAAGGTTGAACAGCCTGAGGGTGCCCTGGACGGCCCCATCCGCGTGAGAGGCAAGCGTGGCCTCTGGGGTGCTTGGGCCGAGCGTGAGGCTGGCGGCGAGATCGACCAACAGGAAGAAACGGAGGACCACCCCACAAACCAGCCCCAGTATGCCATCTCTAGCAGCCCTGCGGCGGCTGTTGCCGTCACGGCCTAGAAGGCTTGAGCCCGCCCTGCCTGCGGCTGCTCCTGCAGCCTGCACGCGGCTGGGTAGCTATCAAGTTTCTGTACATATGTAGACTTGTCTGATTTTCTGGAACCTGGCGTCAGCGTGTTGTCGTTATTTTTTCAGCCACGCGGCCAAGTGGCGTTTCGGCGTGGCCGGAGGACATAGCTCATTCTCTGCGGTGGGTTGGGTTTTTTCTCTCTTTCTCTTTAGGATCTGTCCCGGTTGGACTAAAGCCTCGAGGAGGACGGTGCCAAAATGATTGGGTCTGTTTTCCATTCTTTCATACGGCTTCTTGACTTTTCTGGACCACTGCGGTCCCTTCTGGATAGGTTGCAGAGCGTAGCACGCATGCATCATGTACGTAGATACAATACACCAACCAAGGACGCTATTTAGCATCACTTGTCAGCAGTCGCATATGCGGCCCGTAGCATGAAGAGAGCAAGAAAGTTCCATTAGTGACTACTCCAGTACTGAACAATGCATCATCTAAACGAGTCTCTGCAACGTGATGTCGCACCTCCACCATTGATTACCCGCAGACACGGTCCTACTTCCAACTCTCCTCACCTAGGCGTATCATATGTGCTACGCATCACGTGCCACGTCTTCAATTCCTTCTTCTGTACCATAAGAGACAAAAGAGTAAGGATGTGGGCGGCGGGGAGAATATCCTAGCTTCTTACCGGCGTGCTCTGCTATGACATCTAGGCTGGGCAGGTGGAAACAGGTCTCCGGGCCAACAAGCCGGCAGCAGACTGAATCTCCGAAGGTTGAAGAGTCTGGCCAGTCTTTGTTATCTACGTTTCGATTATGAAGCGGACATTGTACATTTTATTATCATTATTCTAGTAACCTTCTTTATTTCTTTTTGGTTGCTGATAAGAATCAAGATCTTTTCGAAGAGTAATTTGGCCGTGCACATATTTTTGAGACGGTGATCTTGAGTTTTTTTCTTCTTTCTTTCTTTCTGCCTCTTAGCACTCCAAGGCTTGGTCGGTAACGAAGCAATGCGGTTGCAACTGTGTAAATAGTGTGCACACATCACCTACTACTATGTACTTACTACTATGTCTATATGCCTGGTCTTGCAGCAGATTGATTACCTTTTGGTATCATATCAGAATGCAGGACCCAGTCGTCTGGGAATTCGGCCGAGGAGCGCGGGATCCGTTTCCCTTTTGGATCTTGGTATGATTGACCAAACCTCGGTTGGCCCCTCTGCTTTCGCCTTAGCGGAGTGATCGGTCGTTTTGTTCCCCCTTGCTGTTTTCCCCCTGTTGTTAGCAAGAGGCTTGAATCTTCCCCTCGTCTAATAGTAGTAGGCCCCGTGAACCATGCCACACAAGCCACAGCCACATAGTCATAGCGCCAGCTCCAGTACACTACCCAGCAGCTCCAGCTCCAGCAACAGGCATCAGCAGCAGCAGCAGCAGCAGCAGTTAGTAGGCCCGGTTGCCCCAGCACCCCAGCACCAGGTAGTTGGTTAGTTAGTGTACAGTAGGGGCAAGGTAGGCATGTAGGGTAGCACTGCATAGGCGTGATGGGCTGCAGGGACGATTGTCAGGGTGTCCCGTATCATGGGGTCGACATGTCTTGTCTCTCTACTCTCGTGTCTCGCTTTCGTGTGCTCTCGTGGGTCAAAATTCTAATCAAATCAAAGCAGATTGGGGGCAATCCCAACCCGAATCCGCATCTCTGCGGCCCCGCTCCCTCCCCCCCCCCCGGCTCCCCTCAAGCCCACATTCCATCATCGCCTCTTCAGGGACCCCCCTCTTTCCGTAGCCCATCATCGTTCTTGCCCGTCAGGGTTCCCTCCGAGGTGGCCATGCCATGCCAGGCCATGCCTCTCTCTCACTACTACTACTACTACTACTACTACTCTCCCCTGGCAACCTCGTCATATTGCGTACTTGGTTAGTCTATCATCTGCAGGCACAACTTCCTCCAGACTGCAGGAACAGGCAAAGTCCCAACAACCTACCTGCTTGCATTACCCAGTGCATTTGTCTTTCACAGCTACTACGTACGTCCACGTTTGCCTTTCTGGTCTGCATCCCTTCCTTCGTTCCTTCGCTCCCTCCACGCATCTCTCCCTCCTCCTCCTCCTCCTGCCCCCCCCCCCTCCTACCCTCCTCTCGATTCGTCCTACGACCCTGCACATTCAATTGCATACGGGTCAGAGGCTGGGGCTGCAATCTGTTATTGACGGGGTGTTCCTACTGCCCGTCCTCTTCCTCTTTCTGTCGACTCTGGATCCTATTTTTGTTCTTCCCTTATGCACCCCGCCTCCGATTGACCTCGTTCTATGCTATCCCACCCTTGCGCGATCTTGTTTCATATCATCTTTATTTGACTGCCCCTGAGCGCCATATTGCGCCGCGCCAAGAAAGAAGCCCATTCTTTCATTCAATTCAATCAATCCGTTTGGGCAATTCACCCAACAACAAGACGCGCACACCTTTGAGACTTGAACTTACACATACTCTCTCACACACACCAAACAGGCTTGCAACTCCCGGTCAGAATACCCCCAGAGCAGCATCATCGAGGTCGAGAGTACCAACAAGACCAATAACTGTCTCCTCGTGTCTAAGGCTTGCCACCACAGAAAGCGTCTGTATTCTCTCGCACAGCTGGACTCAGCATTGGACTCAAGTCTCTCTTCCGCTAGCGACGGACCGGGCGCAGATCTGACGCCTATCACCATCTCGCCAGACCCAGCGAGCAGTGGACACAAGTTCTTTCCACCTCACCTCACCTTACCTCACCCACAGAGCACTCCAACACAAGTCAAACGCAATATCTTTCCTCTACGCCTGAACCCAACCGACCGAAACAGTTTCGTACCAATCTGGTTGTTTCAGTCACATTTTCTCTGCCATCTCCGATGTTGATTTGAGACCGCTGTCTCCTGCTCACGCCGTTTGTCGCCTGTCTCTTAAGTTTATATTACCGCATACTCCGGCGTTCCGCGGCATGCCATTACTACAGGGGACCCGCAGCATCCTTTCCTCCACCACTTCTCTCAACAGACAATCAATGCTTGCTGGCTTACAACATTGTTCATATCGCTACTGAGTGGTCCATTTCTTTCGTGGAGGAACCACCCCAGCGGGGGCCGGTGAGCACCTATCCTTAGGGGCAGCACCGGAGCCACCACCTGTGAGGAAGAGAAGCAGGAGGAACTGTTGTGTTGTGTAGTTGCCGTCTAGTTGTCCAGTTGTCGTTATTCGTACCGAGCACGCGACCTCCCTTCTCCGACCGACCAACGCTCCCCGCACACGTACGCACTCTCTCACTACACCCCCTCCCCCCCAAAAGATGTCCGATCACGATGACCACAATGGCGGCCTCGTTGCCGCTCTGCGGTCCGTCTGGTTTTACTACATCGCCTGCACACCGTGTCGAAAGATCGGACACCGCCGCGAGACGAGGAAGGAGGCCGAGCGGGAACGGACCATCAAGGCCCGACTCGAGATGGAACAGCCCGGCCTGTACCGACACCCAAACCCCGAGAACACGAATCAGTACTGGATGGAGGACATCAACATGGGGCCCAGGCTACCGAAGCGCGGCGCCAGCCAGACCACGAGCCAGAGGAAGCTGAAGAGCTCAGGTACGGAGGCGACAGACAGGACGGCGGGCGCCTCTTCGCCCAGGGACCGCCAGACGAGCATCGGCAGCAGCACCCAATTCCACAGCGCCGAGACCGCCAGCAGCCCTACCATGGTCGCCGAGGACTTTGAGAGACGCACCACCCTGTCCATGTCCGTCACGGACTCGCAGGACCTGGACTGGAACCGCAAGAGGTACGAGAGGGAGGACGAGGAGCTGTGGGGCCACCAGATGGCCAATAAAGCTGGCCAGAGGCTCCGCGAGGTCATCACGAAAGGGCGAGACACTGCCGGCAGGCTGTTCGAGACAGGCCGCCCGCAGCGTGAGCGGGGGATCACCGAGGAGGAGCGCACCGGCTTCTACTCCGCGCCGCGAAACCCGCCCGTGAACGACTACCACCCACCTGTGGTCAGCAGCCGGCCCGCCAGCAAGCACGAGTACCGCTGGATGCTACAGCCCCCGCCACCGGCCAAGGTCATGGAGGGGAAGGTACCTGTGAGCAGGAGCGGGTCCCTCACCAGCGTTGCCAGCCGTCGGACAGCCGCCGCGTCCCTCGCCAGCAAGGAGGAGCTCGGACTCGGGCGCCTCGTCGGGGAGAAGATCGTCAAGGATAAGATCCGCAAGGGCGAGATGCCCAACGAGGCCGAGGGATCCATCCGCACCGCCCGCCCCAACACGCGGAGGTCGAGAACTGCCTCGACCCTGAGCAGCCTCCCGAGCCAACGATCTCAGCGCTCTCACATGTCGCAGCGGTCGGCCAGGAGCCGGAGCAACACCACCGGGTCCGAGTCCTCGGACACAATCTACGAGCGGAGGAGGAAGAGGAGAATGGCCAAGCAGAGGGCGGCGGACGCGGCTGCCGGCTCGGAGGCCGATGACGAGACCGACGACGACGAGCACACCCACTCGCCGGAGCGACACGCCGTACAGAGGCCCAAGCTGCAGACCATCGCCAGCTCGGACCTCTCGAGCAGAAAGTCGGAGGCCGGCGCGAACCTGCACCCCGCCCTTGTGGCCACCCTGTCCGAGCCCGCCCCGTCGTCGCCCAGCACTGTTGTCGATAGCTCCCCGAAGGGATCGTCACCACCCCTAGACGATGTCACCAACCAGGCGAACGCCACTGCCATTGTCGCCGATGATGCCGCCAAGAGACGGCCGGCCGGTGCATCTGTCGACAGCGGTCTCGCCCTGGCCTAGGTGTTGTCATAAGGCATCGTCCCCCGTCTGAGCCGCAACATAAGATGATTACTACACACCCACACACACAACACACGAACCTGCATTGGAAACGGAGTCCCGAGGCAAATGCGTGTACCATTGTTGTTACTGATTCTTTTGTTTCTTTCTCTTCTTATTGTGCATATTTACACATTGGTTTGTTATCGTTCAGCCCTTGGTCTTTTGGTGGCTGCTCTTTTTTTGTGTTTTTTTTTTCTTTTGTTAGGGGGATGGGGCAGGAGGCCGCATTGCATCCTCATCGCATCAATACGAGTGCATGGTTGGTTTTTGCATTGGGCTAGGCACGTCAAGACTGCGAGGCGTTTTTGGTGGGAGTTCATTTTGAGGGCAGGGAGGGCGTTGTGTAGGTGCAGAGAGGCGGGCAGTGTGAAAGTGAGAGGAAGGGAGAGAGAGAGAGAGAAGTTGTCATACATATATACGTTGAAGAAGCATCATTATTAAGCAGAGGATAGTTAGCAGTAGAAGCGGCTGTTGGCACCTCACAAGGGAGACTGGCCGGTGAGCTGGAGAGAGAGAGAGAGAGAGGACAGAAAACTTCCGAGACAGATGAGTGTATCAAAAAGAAGATCTCTCACACCAAGTACTTGTCCTGACAGAGTGAAGTTTTCCTTTATAAATGTATCGTGATCTCGTGATTGGGTATAGATGATGGTAACCTTGTCATCCCCTTCCAAGTGCGTACTCCGTTGACCAGTCCTGATGTGTTTCCCTAGCCCGTGTTTGTTTCTCAATTGCACTCATGCAATGCAGCCTTCCCATAATAGCAACCATGACCCAGGTAGAAGAAGGAACCCCATTGCCCCGGCCATCGAAAGTTCTTGGAATGCGAAACAGTATCACAAGTACACACCTTCTCCCTCCTCCTCCTCCTCCTCGTTCTCGTCCTCCTTAACATCCGAAACCTGGTCTGGCACTCGGCCATCATCGACGGTGCTGGCGGTGTCTCTAGAGATAGGCTCCAAGACCCGCCGGAGCTCACCCACCTGAAAACCATCTACACCAGCTCCTTCCTGCCCTTCGCCCATCGGCCGCGATGTAGACGATGCCGCTGTCGCCGCCGCCGGCACCACAGGCGCACCGTCGGCCGCACCGGTGCCCTGGCTGTGCACCTCGTCCATGTGCAGCTGGCCATTCCGGATCGAGCCCGTCTGGAAGGTCCCGTCCGTCCAGGGGTTCCTCTCCTCCGTCACAGCTGGGCCTCCGGCCGCCGCCCCAGCCCCAGCCCCAGCCCCAGCTTCCACCCGAAGACCCTCATTGCCATTCACAACCAGTGCGCCGCCCACCACCACCTCGTCCTCGTCGTCGTCGTCGTCGTACCCTCCTCCAGACAGCCCGCTCTCCCTGTCGCGCGTTCTGAGGAGGGCCCTCAGGTCCTCATTGCCTGCGCCGTCCGCACCATTGAGCTCGAAGCCTGACCAGCTGACGCCTCTGCGCTCGACCTCGGCCTTAAGCAGCTCGATGCGGGCCATCATCCTCTCGATGACGAGGTTGTTTTCGCGGATGGCGTCGATGCAGTCCTGGTCCGGGACGCCGGGCGCCTGGCTGCCGATGGCGGTGCGGCGGCCGTCGGCGTAGGGCTGAAGGTCCTCGTTGCTGTGGGCCAGGTGGAGGATAGAGTTGCGCAGCTCGAGACACTTGAGGCGGAGGCTGACTAGGGGGAGGGAGGTGAGGGCTGCGGCGAAGCGGGCGGGGGTGATGGGGATGGCCTCTGAAGACATGGCTGCCCTCTTGTTTTCTTTTTTCTTCGTCTTTTTTTTTTTTTAATTTTATTTTTTTGGTGGTTGAAATGAGCTTATGGAGGATTGTCTTTTGGAAAGAGATTTTTTCTTCTTTCTGTGTGAGTGCGATCTTGAATTTGGTTTGTTGTTCGTGATCGGAACTGTAGGTTGTTTTCTTTACTGGTGAGTTGGGTTTTGCGCCTATGTGCTGGTTCTACGGAATATCTCGAGACTACCAGAGCGAGCGAGCAGAAGCACAGGCACAAAAGCTCTAGAAGCTAGACCCCTGCCACATACTAGTGCAGTAGTGCTACCATTGGATAGTGTACTGTACAAGAGTGACAAGTAAACGTTTACGTATCACCGCTACCTACCAAGTATCGAGGGGTTACGGTCGGAGCCGCCCTATCTTATCTCTCACCCAGGTCCCTGCATTTTACGGCAGCGCCTTCTGCGCGTGCCCCGCGGGGTGTATGGAGGGGTTCTCATAAAATTTATATCAATCCAGTGACTACGCGCTTCTCAAACCCGCCTGCCATAACCGCAAACGACCCCCTCCCCCCCCCTTTTTCCCCCTTCTTCGTTCTCCCTCTCACACACGACAACCATCTCCATTCATTCACCCATTTTCAAACAAGATGGCTAGGCTTGAGGATGGCGCTGAGCCCCATGAGGTCTACCCGACCATTCTGGTCTTGGACTTTGGGTGAGAACTCGACTGATTGATTCCCTTTGCAACGGAAGAAAAATATGAGTTTTTGGGACTGACTTGAATTAATAGGAGCCAATATACTCACCTGTGAGTCACATCTACTCACACTTCACTCTTCTCCTCCCTCGTGCCTCATGTGCGCCGAATGAGGCCATAACTCAATGCTGTACTTGGGCAATCCTGCCTTTCATCACCACCTATTCGTGGCTATGACTAACCTCGACGGCTTGATCACCACGACGACAGCATCATCCGCCGGCTGCGTGAGCTCAATGTCTATTCCGAGATGCTCCCCTGCACCACCAAGCTGTCAGAGCTCAAGTTCAAGCCGGTAGGTCTCATCCTCGGCGGCGGCCCCTACTCGGTCTACGACGAGGGCGCCCCCCACGTGGACCCGGCCTACTTTGACCTCCAGATCCCCATCCTGGGCATCTGCTACGGCCAGCAGGAGCTCGCCCACCGCCTGGACAAGGACAATGTCGTCGCCGGCGTGCACCGCGAGTACGGGTCCGCCGACCTGACGGCCAAGAGCATCAACGCCCACGCCGACCGCCTGTTTCAGGGGCTCGAGGACACCATGAAGGTGTGGATGTCCCACGGCGACAAGCTGGCCAAGCTGCCCGAGGGTTTCCACACCATCGCCACCACCAAAAACTCGGAGCATGCCGCCATTGCTCATGACTCACTGCCCATCTACGGCATCCAGTTCCACCCCGAGGTTACTCGTGCGTCACCACCACCCCCTCAAAAAAATTTCACATCTTCCATTTTATCGATTGTTGGTCTGGGCTGGGTGCAATGGGATCAGGAAAGCTGACGTGCGAGGAACAACAGACACGCCCAACGGTACACAGCTGCTGAAGAACTTTGCCGTGGGTATTTGTGGTGCCTCTCAGAACTGGACCATGGGCAACTTTTTCGAGCAGGAGATCGCCCGGATACGGAAGCTTGTCGGCCCCAGGGGCCAGGTCCTCGGAGCCGTCAGTGGCGGTGTGGACTCGACCGTGGCTGCGAAGCTGATGCACGAGGCCATCGGCGAGAGGTTCACGGCTGTTCTGGTGGACCACGGCTATCTGAGATACCAGGAGAGGGAGCAGGTCGAGAAGGATCTCAATGTGAGTGATGCATCCAAGGCAGAACAGCAAGACTGTGTGTGTAAGTGTGGAGATTGGGGTGGCTGACGATGGAACGTACACAGGAACATCTCGGCATCAACCTGAGAGTCGTCGACGCGTCCAAGGAGTTCTATGCTGGTCTTGAGGGAATCACTGATCCGGAGGCCAAGCGAAAATTCATCGGAGGTGCTTTCATTGATGCTTTTGAGGCTGAGGTGAGTAGAACCCCCTTCTACATACATGATACATACATGAGCTCGAGTCGAACCTCAGGATACTGACAACATGTTCCTTCCCTCAGGCCGAGAAGCTGGAGAAGGAGGCTGCCTCAAACCCAAACAGGGCTGAGAAGATTGGGTGGTTCCTTCAAGGCACATTGTACGTGAAATGCTTGCTGAATAATGTCTGCTGTAACAAATGCTAACATTACCGCCACATCACAGATATCCGGATGTCATAGAATCTCTATCCTTCAAGGGACCTAGTCAGACGATCAAGACACACCACAATGTGGTAAGTACATGCTCACAAGTACTGTTTCAACTCTCCTTATGGCTGTCGGCTTACAAACAATGTCTGTAGGGTGGTCTGCCCAAGAGGATGACAGAGGGACACGGCTTGAAGCTGCTGGAGCCTCTTCGGGAGCTCTTCAAGGACGAAGTGCGAGAGATGGGACGGCAGCTCGGCATTGCCGAGACCCTCGTGATGCGTCACCCCTTCCCAGGACCGGTAAGTCAGCGAGCAGCAGCATCTCTGAGTTCAGCGCGTACACACAAGCGCTCACACACATATGGTGCAAAAACCGGCTGACAAAACTCTAGGGTATCGCCATCCGCATCCTGGGCGAGGCCACACCCGAGCGCGTTGAGATGGTGCGCCAGGCAGATCACATCTTCATCAGCATGATCCGGGAGGCCGGCCTGTACAACAAGATCGGACAGGCCTTTGCCGCGCTGGACCCCAGCCGGGCCGTGGGCGTCATGGGTGACAAGCGCGTGTACGAGAACATTGTGCTCCTGCGGGCTGTCGAGACGACCGACTTCATGACGGCCGTGGCGTACCCGTTCAGCTCTGAGTTCCTGACCGAGTGCTCGACGCGCATCGTCAACTCGGTCCACGGTGTTTGCCGGGTCTGTTATGACTACACCAGCAAGCCGCCTGGAACCATTGAATTTGAGTAGAGAAACCGAAGAAGGAAAAGGAAGGAGAAGAAAAGGAACTATTATAAAAGCAGATACCTTTTGACCTAAGGATGGAGAGCTGTGTGTTATAGATTTATAGAGATCGCAAGAATGATTTTTATCTCCTAAAAAGCACATACAAAATACAAGAAATCTTTCGACCAGGTCTGTGTCCAGCCAAGGTTTTCTGTCAGTTGCTCTCTCTCTCTCTCTCAGGGTCCCGTCCATTCAGGCCTTATCAGGCACGTCAGGGTGCGCTGATGGTGGGGCCCAGCGGTTCGGCTCGCTACCCTCCCACGTCTGTTCTGTTCTGCAGGGGTCATTCGGCCGGCAAATTTTCTCTTCACTGGACTCCTACACACTGGAACTCTCTCACTTCACTCCAAACGATTCTCTTCTCAGCCCTCGAGAAAAGCTCAACAGCCTACTTACTTTCCCCTCAGGCAGCAGCATTGGGATCTGCTATGCCCTCGTGTGTCTCTCTGTGTGTTTGTGATTAAATGAGATGATGCGGTAACATAGCTTATTTCAATGGCGAAATGAGTGCTTTTCTAGGGTTCAGCTGCCTTCGGTCGGGCCTCACCCTCGAACGAGCCCTGCGAGTGGAGGCCGCTGCTGCTGCTGCTGCTCGAATCAGGTCGTCACCCTCGACGTGTCTCGCGCCGCTCTCGGGCTCAGCTCGCTTTCATTCACAATGGACCGTCTCAAGCTGTCATCAACCCAGGAACCCACTCCTCCTGCAGGTGATACAACCACAATGGCGGCCCGACCAGACGAGAAGACAAGTCCGCCATGAGCCACAAAAGCGAACCCTCTTCGGCCTGAACAACCGGACAGTCCTCACCCACTATGTTCACCTCCCGCCAGACTACAAAGACGAAGAAGGACTACCGTTTCAGAGGGAAGGCGACCTCGATCTGCCGGCTACAGTGCGTATCTTTCCGGGGTTCGCAGATATGACGCCCGCCCGTGCCACCAGGCTGCTCAGAATCCTGCACGGGCGCCGGGTCGCGGGGACGGTGGAAGACCCGTCTCTGCAGGTGAACACCGCTATGTACAGCGCTCGCGAGATCAGCAGGGCACTGGAGTATCTGCGGAGGGAAGTGCCTGTGGACGAGGTGCTGAACGCCGGCCTCAGGGCAGAGGATGAGCTGCGAGAGCTGGAAGCGAACATGGTGCCCAGGGAAGCCGGTGACGAGGAGGTCTCTGCCGAGGGAGGGAGGACAAGGAAGAGCAACGAAGCCGCAGAGAAGGACGGCAACGACGACAATCCCCGCTCCGTCTACGGCGAGAGCATCCTCGACAAGATCCGCGCAAGAAACATCGCACGCCGCGAAGCCGAGGAGCGCGCCGAGGCCGAGAGGCAGCGCAAGGAAGACGAGGCCGCTGCGCAGAACTGGGGCGGCCTGGCGGCGTACGACCCCTCGCTGCACCGCGGCCTGCACCCGAAACAGCTCGAGCACTACGAGGCCGCCACGTCGGACCTAGAAGCGCCGCCCGAGGTCCCGCGGTGGCGCATCCTGCTGCCCATGACGGCGTTCGCCGGGGCGGTGTTGGCCGCGCTCTACATGCTTGCTTCCCTGGCCGAACTGCCGCAGCAGCAACAACCCGGCCAGCGCGAGGTCTTGGGCGGGTCGCTCACGCAGGCACAGGCTGTCGCGGCCGCCATCACGCTGCTCAACGCTGCCGTGTTCATAGCCTGGCGCCGCGTCCGCCTGTGGAAGTATCTCAACCGTCACTTCGTGCTCGACTTTGTCTCCCCGCGCCCCTACCAGCTCCTGACTGCCATGATCACGCACCAGGACCCGCGCCACCTCACAAAGGCCATGCTCCTCGCCTGGGCCGGCGCGCTCCTCCTCGTGCCCGAGCTGGGCCCCGGCGCCTTCCTCGCCACGTATGCCGCCTCAGGCGTGTGCGGGTTCCTGGCCACCCTGTGGACGCACGTCGTGCGCGGCCAGCTGATCTACATGTTTGGTGCCTCGTCGGCCGGGTTCGGGGCCATCTGTGCGTACTTTTGGCTGTACCGCTTTGACGGGTTCAAGATCCTGGGCCTGCCGCCTGATCCTTATGAGGGCCTGCAGGGCCTTGGGATTATCGGTTTGATTATGGCGTTCTTTGCGCTGGTGCCGCTGGTGAGGGGGCAGGGGGGTGGGGTGGATTGGATGTCTCATTTGGCCGGTATGGTGACGGGCATAGGGTGTGCTTCGCTTATGGAGGGGCGGTGGAGGGTTGCTAAGGAGGAGGAGGAGCAGCAGCAGAAGCAGAAGCCTGTGGAAGAGGGCCAGCGGGCGCAGGAGACGCTGGGCGGTGCGAGTGGCAAGAAGTGATACTTGGCTACTCGGTGGATCGAAGAAGTCCATACGTAATAGTCGCCTTTATGTAGTGTTTATAAAAACACTAGCAACACACACACACACACATATATATATATGACGTTAGATGTCCTCCCTCTCCAAATCCATGACAATATCACTTCATATTGAAGTCAGTCAGTCAGTCTACCGGCGGTGTTCTCATGCTTAGTCCATATACGTGTATACTATCTGTGATTCTCCCCAGAGCAGTCAAGTAGCCTATCACAGCATCTACCTAGTCTACCTACGACAAAGTCCAGAAATAAAACAAGGGACTATGTAAATCAGGCACTCCTTGGTGGCTCTCGACTAGGCGCAAAGCTAGGGTTCATAGCCAGGACGACACAAAGCCACGGGCGCACTTTTCTTTTCTCTTTTCTTTTTAGAAGAGAAACTCGCTTTCTCTACTTGTCATAATGGATGAGGCAGCGTATTAATGCAAGACCAGAGAAAGTAAAGAAAAAATAGACGGAGCTAGAGCAAAAAGTCCAGTCGAATGTTAGTGTAGTTTCTTTTGCTTTGGATGATATATATATAATATGTATACATATATATACGCACCAACCCAACCAAAATCGAGAGGGAACAAATGGTTCAAGTCATTAATGTTCACCTGCGCTGTATGCACAGTAATACGATAAAACTCGAAGAGAAAAAGAAAGAAATCCACCACTGATTTACACTACAAGATGACCCTCCGAATCCCCTGCATTTCCTGTTCCTCCTCCTCCTCAACAGGAGCCACCTCTCACACGTCCCCAACACTCCCAACCAGCCCAGCCCAAAGCCAAAGAACAACACGCCCTCCCCCTCATCAGACACCAGCCACCCTGACGACCACCACAAGGACCACACGCCACCAGCAGATCCTCGCCACACAAGAAGGGCGCATCCGAATCGAGACCAGAACCATATCTGTGAGAGAGAACAAGTTGCCAACGTCATCCTTGTCGTCGTCGTCGTCGTCGGGTTGGTTCTGGGCAGAGCAAGAGAAAAGTAACCGCGGCCCACGCCCGTCGTCGTCATCATCATCCGAAATAGCGGCGCAGAACCTCCTCCAGAGGGAAGTCATCATCGCAGCGGCTTTGTCGAAGCAGAGAAAGGCTAGCGTTGATGGTCGGAGGAGGCCTGTGGACAAACACCACGACAAGACAGATGAAGCCGACCAGACGGCGCAAGAAGACGGGAGTAGAAAACCGTGGGCCTTTGCAGACCAGGAACACAGAGCCTGGATGTTTTGTCCTGCTTTCCATTGAATTTCATATTACCAAGGTGGATGCATCACACACACACACACACACACATGATTCTCATCTTGTTTAAGAGAGACGAATTGCTATGTGCGTATGTCGATGTTAGACAGCCGTACTGAGAAACACAAACGGGTCAGCTGGAAGAGATTGACAGAGAACCTCGCACAGAAAACACAACCAGCGATAGAGGATATTTGAAAATGAATGTTTGTCGTATTAAAAATCATAGGGAACTTTAACCCGGTCTGCTGTTGTCCCACCTTTCCCGTATTGCTTGTTGTCGTCTGTGTGTGTGCGCCCACAATCATCCTGCTAATATCAGCCGGCCCCTTGAAGACATCACCGTCTTGTGCTTAACAGATGATGTCGTGGTATCTCTCGCCCCTGAACAATCACTCTTTCAAGCGCGCAATAAAGCAAAGAAGAAAAACATTAAAATACACCGTTGACGCCCCAACAATGGAAACAAAGGAAAAAGGCCGTGTCCGATCTCAAGATGATTATGCGCCGTTGTGCCTAGCAGCAACATGAGTCTGTCCCATCACCACCACATCCGCCTGCTTGCTTGCCTATAACCTCGAGTACCAGCCCCTCTCGACTTGGCAGCCGAGATTCGGTCAGATAAAACGCCACCTGTCTGCCGGTCCCAAAGTGAGTTCTGCCCCCTAGGCAATCACGCTCCGGGCCACACCTGTACCCCACCGCCATCTCCGTAACGTGCCCGTGCCTGTGCTGCGTATGACCTCGCCGCCGCAGGACGACGAGTTCATTCCTGCGCTCATGCTGCTCCCAGTTCCGCTCGCAGAGCTGAGGATATCTTGTCGGCCGACCTCGCGGCCAACAACAAAGCCGGCGCCAAAGCCCACGACGGAGACTAGCAGCACGACGCCAGTGCCGAGCACCCAGGTCAGAGTCGTAGGGCTGATCCAGGTCACAGTACTTTCGTCCACGGCCGACACAGACGTCCTCTTCTTTTTGGCCGCTCTCTGTGACCTGGGCTGTCCTGTAGTAGACGCAACTCTTTTCCCCTTCTCCTGCTTGGAGGAGACGGACAATGGTTGGCTCTGCGCGCTCGAGTTGGACGAGGTCCGGGTCGTGGGCTGCCGTGAACCTGGGGCTACCTTTTGGGCCGCGGGACCCATAAGCGGTGAGGAGGTCTCGTTATTTCCCAGCTCCGACTCCGGGACCAGCCTCAGCTCCATCGGCTGCGTGCTCGGACCGACCCCTGCACCCATTATCGGCTCTCCCGAAGAGGAGGGGCCGTTGGCAGCATGGCCCCTCCGGCCCGGCAGGTTCTTAGCGGCCGCCGCACAGGAGAGGAGGGTGGTGAGAGATGCGCGCAGCGCCTCATCCCGATCTGCCTGGTAGGATGGGTTCCTGAAATCTGGGCGGGCCCGGTTGTGCGACCTGTGAGACGCCGGTGAAGGCCTTCCATGCAGGTAGTGTGGTGGTGGTGGTATGGCTGCGTTTGTGGAGTAGCTGCGCTGGCTCAGGTGGGCAGGCGGGTGTGAGAATGCATTAGGCTGCGGCCGGAAACTTTGCGACGGCGACGGGCGGCCCAAAGCGGTGCCATCGTCGTCCTCCTCGGAGTCGGACAGGTCGGCGCTGGCACCAGGCCCAATCGCGGTCTGAGATCGCTGGAGGCCCGCAAGACCGAGCCCCGGTCTTGTGTCCATATTCTCGGTGGACGAGGTCATCAGGCGATCTTCCTCGCTCTCGGTCTCATCATACTCCTCTTGGCTGCTCGTGCCCGACCGTGCTGTGGCATGGTCCACAACGTAGGACTGCGGCGCCTGCTGTTGCACCACGGACTGGTGGTAGTGGTGTTGCAGTCGTCTCCGCCGGGGTGGGTAGGACTGATTTCCGACCCGCAGACCCGTGGTGACGATGTCGTCGCTGATGGAAGAGAGGGAGGAGGAGGACGGCTGGGAGGCGATCTCGACCCACGATTCTGTATTTCCTGCTGTTAGCTGCGGCTGGACCATATACACCACGCACCCACGGTCTCGAGACTCGTCTCTCGCCGGCGACTTACCATCATTGCGCCGGGCTTGCGACGTTGCGGCTCCTGTAGGGCCCCTCGAGGAGGTGCTTTCTGGAAGCGAGGTAGGATCGGAGATAGAGGCGCGGGTCAAGCGGCTGTTGCCGACACCGCCGAGATGGCTCTGTTGCTGCTGAGGGGCAGCCATGTCGGCGGTGAAGTCGTCGGGAGAGAGATGGATGGATAAGAGAGCAGAGGCGAGGCGGATAGAAGTTGAGGAGTCTGTAAAATCCTGAAGAGGAGGGAGAAAGAGGACGATAGGATCAAGAAACAAGAAATAGAAAAGGAGGAGGAGGAGGAGGAGGAGGAGGGGAGGGAGAGATGGTGTTCTCCGTGATGTTCTGGTCGCAGTCGTAGTAGAGATAAAACCCCCCGGTCACCTGCGGTGTAAGTGCCCAGGCTGGGGCCCACAGAAGGCTGGAAGGAAGGTAGCAGGACTACTAGGACCCCCGCCTCGTGCGCAGTGCAGTGCAGTAGTTACTGTACTGGATTGTACGGCCCTGTACTACAAACTGACTGACTTGTTTATGCACTACTACAATGTAGATTCTCGAGATTGACAGGAAGCCCCTCTCCCTCTGTCTCAAAAGCCCACACAGTACCACGAGTACTTTGTAGTTGGGGCGGGTCCCCTCCACCGCCAGATGCTACCCTCTTCGTCGTTCTTCTATCGGTAATCGACACGGGCCTTGTCAGATAGACCCAATGCAGGTAAGAGGCGCCGACAAGAGGATCGGTGAGATTCGCCAAGTTTGTCAGAAATGACAAAACTGAACAGAGTGGAGGAAGACTGAGGACAAGAAAGAAAACGAGAAGTCGTGTACCGGAGAGGAGAGGAGGAAAGGAGGCAGACACGAGCTGAACAGAGAGGGAGAAAGAGCGAGAGGGAGAGACAGGAAATGATCCCAAGCGGCCCGAACCAAAGAAGCCCGGCTGCAGTTGGTGGGGGGGGGGGGGGAGTTGAGTGGACGCTGCCCGCTCCGATCACGCCTTTCGTGCTTAGGTACTTTGTGCGTGTGTCGCCAGTATTGAAGAGAGGTACGAGGGCCTGACTGGGCAGCAGGTGCGCGTGCATATGCGTAACGTGCCAAGGAAGAAGAGATGTTCTTTTGTGTGGATGGCCTTTGTCTCTCGCGCCCGAAAACTACCATGCATGTATTGTTTTGGGGGCGACGACGAGGAGGGAGACAAGAGAGAGAAAAAAGGACCACGAGCCCCGTATGGAAACAGCCCCTCCTCGAGACTAGTAAAAAGAATCAGAGGTCACTAGGTACGATGGTAAAACATGCGCCGGAAACCAGCACAGAAGCGTAGGGCGGGCGCAAGACACAAGAGAGGCCTGGGTCTTCCTTGTCAAGTGGCCTAGGGATCAGGCTGATCTGCAGTTGCTCTCCCAGGGGGGGACCCCTCCCCCCTCCGCCTTTTGCCCTTGCCCCGCCCACGCCCGCCCCTCTCAAGCCTAACCTTCTGATCGAGACGATAGTGCCACTAGCCCAGGCATGGCCAGTCCACCTGAACAGTCCCGCGCCCCAGCCTCAGGACCTGGTCTTCTGACTGGTCAGTGACACCGTCACAAGAAGGAAGGTGGTCCTTACCCATGAGGGGCGGCACAGCATAATGACGCTATGCGGCCCCCTCCTGATCCTCTAGGGACGTCAATGATGGCGACGACATCGGCCGATTATATGCTATTGTGGTTCAACCATTTGATCTTGCCATATATTATGTATAAACCCCCCCCCCCCCCTCACGGCATTCGGCGTACCAGAGGAAACAGAACATACGTTCCTTGTTTCAGAGTATATTACCCACCCAATTGAGGTGGCCCATTCGGGTGGGCTCAGTCCCGGTATCTAACATGGAGACAATTGGGCGGGCGACAACTTCTATCTGGTAACATACTCTCATTACGATTAAATTGGTCGGGCACAAATCGTATTCACAGGTTCAGCATCAAAGGTTACGTGGGGATGGGCTCGGACTCGTAAATATGGAGAATGAATTCATCTATGCTCGATCGTATCCTACAGCTATGAAAGAAGAAGGGGGCCTCGGTTAATGGGGTTTGTATACTTACGGCTCAACAATCGACCAGAGTGCTCTCGAAGATTTGCATCGCCAGCTAGCGAACGTTCCAAAACCAGACATTGATGTTGCCCTCAGACGCTCTCGATGTTTTGTGTGCGTACTGTGCGTCCGATGAGTGTGTATGAAAATCGCAGAAAGAAATATTCAAGTGAAGAAGATAACTTTTGTAAACCCCCCGACGCCGTCAAAACCCACGGAATGATGGAACCAGTCAGGATATCCGAGGACATCCAGACGGACCATCAAGTCAAAATGTCCCACAGGAACCCACAGGAAAGGCGTGAACCCATCATCTGAGTGATGCCCACAAGAGCGAAGAGCAGGCAGACACTCGCGGTGTCTTCCAGTAGTGTATGCGAGACACACAAGCCCACAGATCAGGAACAAGCCCACAGGTATCGTAACATGGCTTTTTTTTTTTTTTTTTTTTTGTAAATGCCACTTCGCAAAGCCCACAGACCCCGTAAGGGATCATGAAGGTCCAACGCCGACAACCCACAAAGCCCACTGAAATGCCCACAGAGCCCTCAGAAACTCATCAATGTGCGGCTGATCGCCTTACAAGGCGGTCTTCTGCTTCTGCTTACGCTTCTTGTCTGTCGTTCCTCCCTCATTATGAGTAGCAGGAATCATATCCTGCATCTCGTTGTTGACATCTTCCATCTTGACACCAGCGCGACCCCTCTGGATGCTGGTCCCCACATCGAAGAAGAAGGGATCATCCTTCGTCTGACGGACAGGCCTGTCCTGGGACTGAGAAGATACGCCTCTCCTTTAGAAGGTAATCTTCTTGCCCTGGAAGCCGCCTCCACGGGGGCCACCACGTCCACCGCGGTCACCGAACCCACCACGCGAGGAGCCACCACGACCGCCTCTGCCGCCGCCACCACCACGGCCACCGAAGCCACCACGGCCGCCAAAGTCACCACGGCCACCACGACCACCACCGCGGCCACCGAAGCCGCCACGTCCGCCGCCGTTGTCAGGCCTGCCGCTAGCAAAGTCCAGGCGGATGCCGCGGCCCATCAGGTCGGCGCCCTGAAGCTGCTCGACAACGGACTTGGCATCCTCGACAGAGTGGAAGCTGACGTAACCGAAACCCTTGAAGCGGCCGGTTTCCCTACGGATAGTTAGTACGAGCTATAATGCGATTGCGATGCTGGAATAAAGAACTTACTGCTCAGTAGGCAGGCGGAGGCTCTTGACGCTGGCAACCTCGTTGAAGAAGGCAGACACGGACTCCTCGTCAACCTGGAAAGAAAGGTTGCCGACGAAGAGGGTGTCGCTCTCAGGGCTCATCTCGTCGTTGTACTTCTTGGCGCGGTCGTTGGCGCGAGCAGTGGGATCCTGCTGCTTGGGCTTGCCGGTAGAGAGGTCGATTCTCATGTCACGGCCGTCGAGGAAGGCACCTTGCTTCTCCTCGAGGGCAGCCTTGGCGTTCTCAGCAGTGTCGAAGTCGACGTAACCGAAGCCACGAGGACGGCCTTCTTGGTTGCTGATGATGCGAGCGCCAGTGATGCCGGCGTTGTTCTGGAACTCCTCGTAGAGCATGTTGTCGTCAACCTTCCAGCTCAGGTTGCCAACGAAGAGCGTGGAGCTCTCGCCGGAAGCATCGTCAGTCTTGGTCTTCTTGGCAAAAGTCTCCTCTTCGTCATCGGCCTTGCGCTTCTTGGAAGGAGCCTCGGTCTTCTCCTCAGCAGACTCAGACTCGGACTCGTCAGAGTCGTCGGAGTCGCTGTCGGAAGAGTCACTGTCTTCCTCATCGGACTAATCATAGGCAATAGATTAGCTTTGTGCACGAGCAGCCATGAATCCGCTACGACAGTCGACTTACGCTATCTTTCTTGGCCTCCTTCTTTGTCTCCTTCTTGGCAGCAGCAGGCTTAGGCTTCTTCTCCTCCTCGTCGGAAGAGTCGTCGCTGTCGCTGCTCTCGGAATCGTCGCTGTCCTCCTCGTCGGACTGCGTGCGCATAAAAAATTAGCCAGAGTTATTTGTAGTGCTGCGAGTGACTAAACTTACGCTCTCCTTGGCAGCCTTAGCAGCCTTGACAGCCTTCTTAGCAGGAGTGGGCTTGGCCTCCTCCTCGCTATCGCTGTCGCTGTCATCCTCATCATCATCCTCTGAATCAGACGAGTCGGAAGTCTCAGCATCAGCCTTGACACCGTTCACCTTGCCATTGACCTTGCCATTGACCTTGGGCGCGGCCTTGGTAGTCTCCTCCTCAGACTCGGACTCGGACGTCGAGCTGTCAGCTTCAGAGTCAGAGGAAGCAGAGGAATCAGAGTCCTCATCAGACTCAGAGTCGGAGGACTCCTCCTTCTTGGACTTCTTGCTGGGAGTGGCCTTCTTGGCGATCTCCTTGGCCGTGGCCTTCGCCTTGGACTTGGGGGTCGCAACAGACTTGGTGACAGCGGCATTCTTGACGGGCGCGGCGGCCTTGGCCTTGCTGCCCTTGGACTCCTTGACTTTACCCATAATGAATAGATGGAAAAAATGGAATGTGTCAATGGAAAATTGATAAAAGGGCGAGGGGGGATGGGACTGGGAGTGCACGCAACAATAGAAATGAAAGAGGAAGAGAAAGGTAGGAAGAAATCGAAAATTTCTAGAGGCGCAGATGGTGGGAGGGGCAAAAGAAAAGGATTGGAAAAACTGCGCCTGCAGATTTATCTTAACCGAGAGAAACTTTTAAGCGGGTCTGCGGAGTCATGTCCGTCGGCAGGCAAAAAGCCGTACTATGTGATGCACGGACCACCACCTGCATAACGAAGTTGACGGGTTTGGGGTCGCGGAAGCTCGAGATCCAGTGAGCAGGCTCACATATCAAAGCAACCAACCATCCAAGAAAACTGAATCGACGGCCGGCGACCCTCTCTCCTCCCACCGTCATAGATCGACAGACGTATCTCGATACGACCTTGCATCCGTCGCCCGGCCAGCAAAAGCACGCAACAAAATGCCGACCCCCGAGTCCGCGGCTTTCCTGGCCAAGAAGCCGACCGTTGCCCCGACCTTTGACGGCGTGGACTACGATGACAACAAGGCGCTGAAGCAGGCCCAAGACGCCGTCATCAGGGAGCAGTGGGTGCAGGTCATGATGGGCCGGCTAGTCAGGGAGGAGCTGAGCAAGTGTTACTACCGGGAGGGCGTCAACCATCTGGAGAAGTGCGGTCCGCTGCGAGGTTAGTGATGTCCAGGCATATGGAAGAGGGACTCAGGCCCTTTAATTCTTCCTAGATGGCCCGAGCCCCGGAGTTACTTGATTTCATGAGGCAATGGCTGACTGGACTGAACAGAGAAATATCTACAACTGCTCGAGAAGGCCAAGGTCAGGGGCTACCTCTTCGAGCAACAAAACTTCATCGGGAAGAAGCAATGAGTTTTCCAAGTGTTTGGAACATATGGAGAGTTGCACCACTGAATTCGTGCCATGTTCGGCGGCGCGAGTGTCTGGGTAGAGAGGGATAAAACTCAGGGAGACAATAGGCCGATAGCATTATGACGGGTATCGACAGAATCACGTCTCCGAATCCGTATACCAACAAGATGAATTAACAAAACCACAGTGATCAATTTTTCTGGCCACAGTCTTATTTTCTTTAATTCTTTGTTTATTTGTTTTCTCTCCCCGAAAACTGTCTTTTGAACGAGAAGCGTAGACGTAGCAAGTCCTGGACGTGACCCTCCTAAGCAAGTACGTAGTACCAACTAGATGCCGCCTGTAGTACTAAAACTACAGTGCCGGCGGCTCGGTGCCGGCCCAGAAATTTCGGAACTCTGCAGCGACCTTCAACTTCAGCGATTATATCCACCCACGAATTGAACCTGCATCCAAACCCCCAACACCCATGCACGGGAAAACCACACCACCATGATCTGCAGGACATGTATACAAAGGGCCACGGCCCTAGGCCGTCGCTCAATCCTACCAAAAGCACCCATACGAAGAGCTTTCTCCACCACATTAGCACCCAGACAGGCTGCGCCCGCAGACGCAACAGTGGCCGACGCGACAGCAGCAGCAGCAGATGAATCGGCGGCGCGGTCTACGTGCCCGCCAGGGACAGTGCTGAACGGTCTCAACTACTTCAAGGGCAAGACGGACCCCGTTGCGCTGCGCGACGACGAGTACCCAGAGTGGCTGTGGTCGTGTCTGGACGTGCAGAAGAGGATGGACGCCGAGGCAGACGAGGGCGCAGGCGATGAGTTCTGTATGTACTAAATTCCCTATAAGCGCCTCACCCCCCCCCCCCGGCGGGGGGGACCCTTTAACCTAGCCATCTACTAACACAAGTGACCACCTCCTCTTCTAGCCAAATCCAAGAAACAGCGTCGAATCGCCGCCAAGCGTCAGCGGTCCCTTGAGGCGCAGGTCCTGGCCACAGGCAACCTCGAGGCGCTGGCACCCAAGATACCGCTGCAGCAGCAGTCCATCAACCTCCCTGGGTCGCCGGATGGTGGTGTGGAGGGTGCGCTGGAGGCGGCGGGCTCGCGCGAGGAGTTGAGGAAAGCGATGCGCAAGGAGAGAAAGGCCAAGATCAAGGAGGCCAACTACCTCAAGTCTATGTAAAGAGGTCAGTTTGTGGTCCGGGCTATGACGGCGTGGGCTTGAAGGCAATGCATATCAGCAGCCCACACATGATGGGCCAGAGGGTAGTTGTACATTATGGATACGCGCGTGACCTTCGATGGTCCACTAAGACGCCCTGACATGAAGCTGCCAAATGTAAGCAAGCTGCATGCTCAGGTTAACACAATTATATATGATGTTTTAACAATGCAATCACCATAATGAATGAACTGGCGACGCTCCCCTGCTTAACCATGGTGTATAACTCAAAAGACTGAGTATCAGTTGCCTCCAGGCATGTAGCAACAGGTTCCCCCGCGGCTAGCATCTAAAAATTTGTCTTCGCTGAGAAGAACGCACACATTATCTCGAGCACCCCCCGAGCCTTGCAAACATGCAGATTTCTAGCTCGTCGATCAATACTAATCGTCCTCTTCGTCCTCGGGTGGCTCCTCTCCGATCGAGGCCAGTTTGAGACGCATGTCCTCGTGAAGACCCTTGAGGCGTGACTGTAGTTTGTTTTTGATGAGAGGATTCTGCGCAGGGGGGAGCTGCAATTGGCGCTTGAGTTCCGCAATCTGCCGGCCGATGTCCCTGACCTCGTCCCGGACGCCTCTGACATGCTCGCGCCGTTCTCTCTCTGCAGGATCCAGGTCCTCGTCGGACTCCTCGTCGTCATCATCGTAATCCTCTCCGCTCTCGCCGTCCCCAAAGAGCTCGTCATCGTCATCTTGGTTCTCCCCAGCCTGGGCCGCCGCAGCCGGCGTCTCGGCAGAGGCGACCGGTGTAGCACCCTCTTCAGCCGGCGTATCCATGGTGAACACGTCTTCCATACTCGCGTCGAGCTCCCGTTGCAGTTCAGCTTCGAGGTCACCATGCTCGAAGCCATTCTCGAGTCCTTCCACCTCCTCGAGCTCGCCTTCCGCATCCTCCTCGCCCTCTGCATCGAGTGTGTCAGCACCCGGTGTGTCGATCTGCATGGTGCCACGCCGCTCGCCGATATATTCGAACCGGGTCCTGACAGCGGCCTTGTCGAGTTTGAGAAGCCTCTCGACTTCTTTCTCCTTATTATCAATCTCGCTCTTGTGCAAGCGCTTGCGGAATCTGCGGTGAACCGCGTCATGCATGGGAGGTGTCAGCCCATGCGGCCATCTGTATCCATCAAAGAGGACACTGGGAAGTTCGGCGCTCTTTGCTTCTTCTTCCCTGGTTATCCTCTTGAACACGAGGAGCATCTGACAGATGTCGGCTGATTTAATCACGAGCTTCTTGTCCCAGGTTTTCGTGGCCTCCGTGATAGTTGGCAGATCGACCAGGACCGCTGCGAACATTTGCGTCTGCACAGTGACAGCCGCCCTGCGTTCGTCCACCCACTTGAGCTTGAACTCCATGTTTCCCCCGGACGGAAACTTCTTGTGCTTGGCATTCAGACACTCGTTGATGTAGTCGCACTCGGGCCCTTCCAACATGCGGAACACAATTTCTTCCTCTGTGATGGGGTCGGACTCGGCGTCCTCCATCTCGGAGTCGAAGCCCGAACCAGGCTGTCGGACAACATTGCTTGACGTGAGCTTGTCTTTCAGGGAAATCTTCCTAACTTGGCTCCCCTGGATTGGGATCCTCGTCTTGAGGACCGGGCGCTTCTTGGTCGGTGGCTGTTGGCTACGTTCTGCCTCGTTCTCGGAATCAGAGGCAGCGTCGTTCTTAGCGCGCTTCTTTGCGGTGGGCTTGGACGTCCGCCCTGCCTTTGTTGTCGTCGTCGTCGTAGGCGCCGCTGAAGGCTCTGTAGGCGTCGCTTTGGCTGGGAGAGGGGTTCGAGCCGGCAATGGGGTTCGTGATGGAGCAAGTTCGGTAATGGGTGTCGCTGGCTGGCTTCGGTTCATTTTGAGCTTAATCTTCGGTCTGCCGTCGGTGGGCGTAGGAGGTATTGCTGGCGGCGGCATGGTCGCAGAGTCTGGCGCTGGTGCAGAGGGTGTAGCTGCAGACCCAGCAGACGTTGACATGGCTGCCGAAAAAGTCGGAAAGTACGAGGAGGGGGGAGACATGGCGTCTGGCGTTGCGACAGGTTGGCCGAAGAGCGAAGGGGGGTGATTCTGGGAAGCAGATGGCGTCTTGGTGGAAGACATAGAAGGGGTTCTGCTGATTTTCAGCTTGAGCGTCTTCTTAGGTCCCTCCATGATGAATGTCGTCTAAGTTGGCTAGATGAGTCTGTAGAAATGCAATTGAGATGATGTAGGAGGTCACGCGGATGGACACGCCGTCCAGAGGTCAATCGACCAGAGCACAATGCTCTGCAGGTGGTCTAAAGTCCGACGGCTTCCCATGTGCTCCTTGGGCTCCAAAAGTTGACCATGAGTATACTCTGGGCCAGAAAGATCGATGGTTCAAAGCGATAGGAGCGGAGCTTCCTGAGACGCGCGTCTTGATGCAGAGTTGAAGTTGGAACTGGGTGCACATGGGAAGGCCGGAGAGGAGTTGGGAGTTCAAAGTTGAAGTCGCGAAGGAGAGTTGGCTCCAGGGTGATTTCTAGGCAGGCCCTGGACCTTATCCTGGGGTAGGTGGGGTTTAACTGAGCGACCCTAGTCCCTGCACTTGAGCCGCAACAAGCAACAAACAGCACGCCCGAGCTTCTGACAATCCGGTCAGTGTAGCTTTCATTTCACAACCCTGGGACAGCGTCACCCAGCTCACAGGCTCACAACGTCACACCAGTGATCCCCCTTTCGAAGGATCTGGTCGGTGCGTAAGAGCGCAGCGTGTCCCGACCATGATCCAGAGCTTCGAGATCGGGACCCTCATCACGATACGACACTAGGCACTCGCGGTCGCGCAAAGCACCCAGTTCCTGTTGCGAACATGCCCCCTCCGCCAGCCGTCTTCCACGCGCTCCTGCGGCCCGCGATCATCCAGATCCTGCGCGCGACGGGCTTTCACTCCGCCAAGCCCGTCGTGATCGACAGCCTGACGGACCTCGCCGCCCGCTACCTCGAGGTGCTGTGCCAGGAGACGGCGCGACATGCTGGCAACAACGCGCACGTGCCTGACTACGCCGGCATGGTAGAGCCATCGCTCGTGGACGTCCGTCTGGCACTGCAGGACGTCGGCGCGTTTCTGCCCGAGCGCGACTGGGAGGAGCAGGACTACCTTGAGCAGGAGGATACCAGGGGCGTGGATGACTTTGTCGCATGGGCGACGGGCCCTAAGACGGAGCAGATCAAGAGGGTTGCACTTGATGGCGTCGAGGATGGTGTTACAGACTATTTGACCGGTACGCGCCGTTTTCTAAGCTCGAAGCAGATGACACTGGTGTGGGGATGCCTGCTGACAATCATTCCACGACAGCGCTCAAGAAGAGGCATAGCAAGACCGCCGATGATACCAAGTATACGGGCTCGTTACTATCTCGGGCTCATGATCAGGGTCTAGTTGTGGTCGAGGGAGGTGGTGAGATTGACAGCATCCAAGCTTGGGTAGCGAAACGACGTGAGGCGGTGACGAAGTCACCTGAACCCGAAATCGAGTCCAGACCCGCATCAAGCGGACTCAGTTCTGTTGGGACCATGGCGGATGAGATGGACTTGTCAGGATTATGATTAGACTCGACAATTTGGAGATTCTTCAAGGCATTGGTGAGGGAGCATACACATACCACAATTTGATGGGTCAATCAAAGAGGTAAGTCATTCATAATACGCATCCTCTTGTTCACTCTTTACTGTTTGTCGCATGCAGTATATGTTCCAGCGATAAAATTCTCTTGTCAAACTGCAATCTGAACATACAAAAAGTGTTGGTCTTGCTAACATAACTCAATCCAAATACAGCCTCGTCTGAGAAATTCAGAGATACGCAGACTTGACGTGACAGAACGTTAACTCAAGGCAGTTGCACTGCACGACAAGATCGACTGATGACCACATTGGACTAGTGGCGCTGGACCCATTATCCCGCACAACATTAAGACTGGATTGGGGCAGCACCCACAGGATGAGAGACTCGGGTGGTCACCCCGAGCCGACATGTCGCTGTCAGGGACAGTCCAGAAGGGCAGAGACAGCGCATTGCACACATGCAAGATTACTGCAGGGTGTGCTCTGATAACTAAGGGATGAGAGTTTCGCCAGGCCAAGGCATTGTGACTTGCTCTGCTATACTCATCTCACTACTATCATGCAGAGGATGATGCTAGCAGAGCATAAGTCAAGAAAGCTTGAGTCAAATTGAGTAATGGCAGGGAGTTGCCTGAGGTCATACTTTTGCTGGGAGACAAGCCATAGCATACGGAACTTTAACCGTATCTCTTGTGGACAGGATTATGAATATTCAATCTGCCCAGCCTAGGCATTCTCAATTCATTCTTCTGATTGTAAGCCAGAAAAGAAAAGGAAAAGGTGCTCAAGTAATGATTCGTCCGCCAGATGATTATATTTATGGATTGGATGCCAGTATAGCAGAATTTTTGTCAGCTTTGAATACAGTTGACCGCCTTCCCTGCCACTTTATCACCTAGCTTGTCCTCATCACCAAGTCCGAAAACCAGCGCCAGTGTACATGATTCGCAAAAGTTTGATACTATTCCTACTGCAGTACACACATATCTATGCTCCTAAAGAGATCGTCCTCAGTATCCCATCACCGGCGCACAGACACACGGTCCAGGCTGATACTTTCATTAACAATTAAGTTCATGGATACAAGCTGAGCAGGCGGCAGTTCCGCATCAAAAAGACAGGATGCGCGATTACACGAGACAAGGAGTGTTGGAGGGAGGGGGGGGGGGGACTCACTTGAAAGCAGCGCTGATGAGCGCCAGATGACTAAAGGCCTGAGGGGTGTTCCCAAGCTGCTCACCGCTGCGAGAGATCTCTTCCGAGAACATATTCAGATGGTTCGAGAATGTGAGCATATTCTCAAATAGGCTGATGGCGCGAGGGAGGTACTTGGCGTCGTAGACGCTAGCTCTCGTTAGAGCCTCGACGAGCCAGAACGTGCACATGGAGAAGGCGCCCTCTCGTCCCCCCACACCTGTAGTCATGCATCATCAGCACTGGTAACAGGCTGGAGCGGGATAGATCTTGTCAAGGAGATATTCTTGGAGGGTAACTTTACCGTCATCTGAGAGCTCGGTATCATAGCGGTACACCAGCCCTGTGGAGGTCAAGCCGCCCTTCTCGGGGGGCAGGAGGATTCGGTCCATGGTGTTGAGGAAGCGAGGGTCATTTGGGGTGATGAAAAAGACAAGAGGGGCTATCAATATGGATGAATCCAGCATTGTGTGGTTCTCGTAGCTCTGTACGAAACATTTCATCTCGGTATTGTATCCTAGGCACTTCTTGTCAGACCGGTCTGTCGGTGGGAGATTGGGATTCTCGTTCAGAAATGTGATACTAAGTAGTATCGGAATTTCTCTCACCCTTCTCCATGATCTCTTCATAGAGATTATCTCTGGCTTCAAGCCACTTGCCTCGGTTGGGGCACGGCAGGGTTCTCTTCTCTGCCAGACGGAGGCCGCGGTCGAAGGCCACCCAGAGCATAACTTTCGAGTAGACAAAGTTCTGCTTCTTGTTCCGAACCTCCCATATAGACATATCGGGTTCTGTAAGGCCCTCAGTAATCTGCCTCGCCAAGTCAAATGATGCATGGTCTTCATATTATCTGGCTTACCGTTCATGATAGTCAAGACATAATCTGCACACGAGGGGGTCAGCAGCTGCAGAGGCCCACAGGAATTGCGAGGGGTTAACTTTACCGAGCAGCTTCCGCACAGACACCCAAGTATCCCAAGTCAGGGGGTTGCCATATTTGTTGCTCAGGTAGATGGCGTCCATCAGCTCCCCGTAGATATCGAACTGCTGATGGAATGCGGCACCGTTCCCGATACGCACTGGCTTTGAGCCCCTGTAACCCTCCAGGTGGTCCAGCTGCAGTTCTGGGATCTCGGTCTCGCCCCGAATCGTGAACATAATCGGCAGGCCTCCGTCCGGGGTGCGGGACTTGAGAATACGCTGGTTGATGAACTCCATGTACGCATCTGCCTCCTCGATGAAGCCCAGGCGGAGCAGAATGTAGATTGTGAAGCTCGAGTCTCTTACCCAGGAATACCTGTAGTCCCAGTTCCTCGGCCCCCCAATCTCCTCGGGAACAGAGAATGTTGGAGCAGCGACTATTGCGCCGGTCGGTTCATACGTCAACAGCTTCAGTATCATCAGGCTCCGCGTGACAACCTCCCTCCATCTGCCCCTGTATTGACACTTGGAGATCCAGTTGTACCAAAACGTCTGTGTGTCGCTCTGCTGTTTGTCAAGATCAGCAGTCGTGATGTTGGCCGTGACATGGCTCTCGAGATCGTCGCGGAGCGTGAAGGAGATGGCCTGTCCCTCCCGCAGCGTGATGTGCGTGACAACACCCTCGCTGACCATGCCCTCCCTCATCGTCTTCTGGAACTTCACCACAGGACAGGTTTCGGCGTCATCTTCGCCCTTGTCGATGGTGACATCCAGCTGCAGCTTCAGGCCGTCCCTCTCGACACTGTGGAATGTGACGGCCTTGGACGCCATTCCCGGCTCGTGCGTCTCCTGTAGCACCCTTGTGACATGCTTCTCCTTCGCATACCCCATCGCAGGGAAAATCTCCACGTCCAGCGAGATCTCACCTCTGATGCACTCGACTCGTCTGATGAGCCACTTCTTCAGCTCCTCCTGAACTACTTGCGCCTCGCGAAAGGCCGACTGCCGACCTGCTGCATGCGAAACAGGCACGATCGAGGTCCGTGGCTAGGGAAAGTTACCAACTCTGCTTCCCAAAAGAGAGAGAGAGAGAGAGAGAGAGAGAGAGAGAGAGAGAGAGGAGCTGCTCACCCGCGGGAAGAAGTCGACCAGGTCTGCGACGCCATCCTCGTTGATATAGCGTGTCTGTAGTATATTAGAAGAGGGCAGGTAGCTCTGCTTGGTGGTGCAGGTGATGTTTGGCGGCGGCGAGATGCTAAAGTGGCCGCCCTTGGTCTTGTCTAGGAGGCGGCAGAAGATGCTGGGCGAGTCGAAGTCGGGCCTGGTCGAGCAGTCAGCCTTTTGAGAACATAACTAAGCAGTGATGCTCGGTATATAGCTTCATGTGTCGTGTTGTCCGCACCAGCACATAAAATCACAGCTGCCGTCCCTACCGACCAGGGCGGCTGTTCTGAGGTTTCCTATAAGGCCATAGTCCTCGATGGGCAAGTAGCCGTCGAACCGGCCTCTGAGAGAGGTTGCGGGGGTTGAGCCGGAGCTGGCCATCTTTTGGACTGTCTTGGAAAGGATGTTCCCAGTTATGTTTCACCAGCTGCCTTCTGCTTATTCGTGGTGGGTGAGCTCGGGGTTCCACGTGAGCCGCTACCAAAGTCCTTTTTGATGATGACGATCGCAGTCGCTTTAGACGCTCTAACTGACGATAGCGTATAGTAGATGCGAACAGCGTTGGCTGTGACCCTGCTCAGGATCGTGGAAACGCTTTGCGGCTGAGAAGGGAAGTAGGCTACAATAGGGAAGTGGCGGTCATAAGCCCGCCAGTTCCGGTAATGCAAATAAGAGAGACATGAAGTCATCGATCCCTTCAAGACCGAGCACTGAAGAATACAAGCACGCACAACGCACAACTGATATGATTTGAAGGTCCTGAAAACATCCTTTATTATTATTCTTAATTTTTGGAATGTAGATGAGGCCGTAGTGCAGCTCTTAATTATGATGATGTTGTGGACCAATGATAGCCATTTACATGTAGCATCTAGGTGGCGAGAACATATTCGCTCTTCCAACAACAGACACCACTTACAACCTGCCGATGGACCACGATGACCAATTGAAAAGCTCGTTCGGCGCCTGGCGAGAACATAATTCTGAAGCAGTAGGCTTGAAGTGTCGAGTCTGGCGTGCCCTTCCTAAACACATTACTAATAGGCCCTGTTGAGTGCCTAAAGACACGATGTCTTCGTGGAGCACGTCTAATGAAGTTCGACCGTTGGAAGCTACAGCTGACGACTCTTGACTGCTTCGGCAAGTAATATCGTTAAGACGTTCCAATCGTGTGTGCTTAGCCAGGTCCATAGCTCAAAGAGGCAGCGCTTCTTGAGAAATCATGGGAGTTGCCCCCTGAAGTGGCTCCATATGTGTCTCATATGATATTGGGCTTGGATCACATAGGTGACCGTTTTTCGATAAGGAGACCTACCTATGGTCAAGTTGAGGCCGTGTCCCTTCCTTTGAGCTAGAGACAAGGCACGTTTGACGATAGAAGTTGGGACGACACCGCTTCTTAGTGGAGGGAGGGGCAGCGTCCCCTGGCCTGCTACTACCACCTACCACCTAATCTAAGGTTATCGTGAGGCACCCTCGCTCGCACTGGCCCGCCTCGACCGGGTAACTCCTTGGGTAGTCTCACCGACTCCCGACTGGCGTTACAGCAGAGTAGTGAAGTGACCTGTCAGCTACTCGTCGGACAGCCGGCCGTTGCTTGGAGGAGTATCGATCGAGTCTTAAGAACCCAACGCGATGCGCGTGACCTTCTAAGAAGACACGCAACAAGTCTTGTGGTTCTTACATGACTTGCCTGATCGACAATTCCCCTACTACAACGTCAAGGGGCCATCCATACTGGGTGGCCTTTGCCTTTAGGTGGGAATTCTCCAGGACTCGAACGTGGCAGTAGACATAAGACAGTAAACACCGACACTGTAGGTGCGTAGGCAGCATCATTCAAAGCCATGGTCGATGTCAATAGAAGAATCATAAATGAGGATCAACACTGTGTTGCGCATCAGTCCGGGGAGGGGGGAGGAAAACAGCGGGGGATCTAACAGGATTTTAGGCGGCACCCGCCCGGGGGGGAGTTGCGCTCAGGGCTCATGTCGATTCTGGCTGACATCACATCGACAACTTCCCCAGATTTCAGGTCGATCATTGACTCGCACCATTACCTTGTGTCGGTCTAGCCTCTGGGTCCGTCCGCGCGGGAATGCTCTAGGTTGCACAGGTCGCCTAGGGGACAGATGGGTTGTGCTGTCCAGCTGAGCAAAAGCATGAAGGCGTGATGGTCTCTGTGTCTGGCAGGTTGTTGTGCTGTGTGTGTGTGTGTGTGTGTGTTGGGAGGTCAGTGTGTCGAGCTACAGTGGCCGCATGACTATTATTTCAGACGGGTGAGCATGATCCCGAAGCATCTCATCATCATTCGGAACTCCAAATTACGAACTAGGAGCTTGGCTAGCTCCGAGGAATTAAGACCAGGCCTTGCCAGCCTACACAAGCTTACTATAGTACTAGAGCCCCATCCAAGTTTAAATCGTGATGCCATGTCCAGCTGATCCGAGAAGCTCAGTGCCTCTTGCTAGGGAGGTCCCAGCTGCACTTATATTCAGCATAGAACGGTTTTTGTGTGCTGTAAGAAGATCAGCTATGGGGGACCAGAGTTTAGGTCCTCGGGTCCTACGCTTGCTGCAGATCAAGTGTGCAGCACGAATTTCAGGGTCTCTGTTTTCGAGAAAATCGGGGGCCCACCAGGGGGCCTGTGGGGAATTTCTTACGGAGGTAGACGAAAAGAGAGGAAGGAAGGAGATCTCCAAGGGGAGATGAGCAAAGAAAGAAATAGGAAGAGGAGGAGGAGGAGAAGAGAAAATAGGGAAAGTAAAAAAAGAAAAGATATAGAAAAAATGGAAGAACCGCCGGCCAACTACCGAGAGCGAGCATTGAGGAAGGGAAAATTCAATCATTACAGGCAGGGCCCTCTTGGCCTCCCCAAAGTTACATTGCCAGCCAGGCCCTGGAAGGACAGACCACAAAGTACTGTGTGTTTTGTGCTGACAACAACAAGGAGGAAGCGGGAAGTGGTCTGGGTTGGCCGAGCTAAGAAAAGACTGGTGAAGGATCCCCTGGCCTCTCCAGGCACTGCCGCCTAGCGAGAGCGACAAAACCAGCCATTCGAGGCCCTTCTTCCCTGGGATGGGGAGGATCCACCCGTCATCTTGTGAGCAGAGCCATTGACGTCTAAGAAGTGCTGAAGGATGATGGATGGGTTGCTATATACCCTGCCTTCCTGGTGGTTGTTTTTTGCGCCTTGCTGCCCACGGCATGGTGCCCAGGGGGGGGAATCCCCGGTTTGCTGCCCATTGGGCCTGTCATCCACTAACCAGCGTCACCGTCAGCAGCAGAACCCATGTGATCAAGGCTCGTAGTAGCTTGGCACGGCCTGGGCAAGACATGGTCAGCCAGACATGGTCACAGTATGTACAAAGCCTAGCGGAACCTTGATTTGTTTGCCCTCTCTCTTTCGATCTATGTACCGTATGGGGGCTACTTACCACAGTGGTACGGCTACGATAGCTGCAATTCTGACAGTACGCTGAAACGCCGGGAACGAGCGCGGGTATCGAGGCGGTAAACGTTCGCGGTGGGGATTAACCTCCCCTCTCTACTCTAGACTCATCTCCTCAAGCGCTAGAGAAACCATTACCTTCCTCCACACAACACGCCAAGAAGAACCACAGTCCCTCCACTTCCCGCCATACCATCCCCTGGGACCCCTCGACCCTAGACCGCCCAGTTGGCGAATTCTCAACGTTGTGGGTATCGGGTTGCGAACCAAAGAAAAGAAGAGGGGGGCAAAATAGAGAAGGGAAAGAGAAAGAGGAAGAAGGAAGAAGAAAAAAAGGGTTCACCCCTGGTGCGGGCAGGGCGGGAGCTGCAGGTCGCATGCAGTGCCAGCTGTGAGGTCCAGTCATCCCCATCCAGTCACACAGTGACCCTACCCAACAGGATCCATCAGCACGTTTAGGGGGGTCCCAAGGCGAAAAAGAGTGTAGAGAGAGGAGAGAGCCCACACTGAGCCAAGCTCTGTGCCAGGGGGTTTTTGGTGGCCCATGATCCACAAGTCTGCACGGTTCAGTCTGACGAAGAGGCCCGGCCATGACGACCCCCAATTTCCTTCACTGAATAAAAGTATTGCACCCAGCACACTATCGTGTGTGTACAATGCCGTCCTCGTCTCCTCCCCCCTCTCTGCCTCATCCCGTCTCTGTGTCGCCCCTCTCCTCGACGACAAAGAAGAACAACAATAACTCCCCTCGTCCCGAGTCCGTCGCCGCCTTCCCCCGACTTTCGATTAATCTCGGCCAATACACGACCTCGTCAGCCGAGTCCTCCGCTCCAGGGTCGCCAGCGAAGCCCTTTGCACCCGCGCACGCGACCAACAACAACATATTTGCCGGGGTCCACAACGGCCCGTCGTCGTCGTCGTCGTCGTCGTTGCTGTCATCCAACCTGACCTCCGATCGTACCACCATAGCAACCGCTCGTGCGAGGAGAGCTACTGTTTCTGATGCCGCTGCCGCCTCCAGCACTGGCTCCTTTGCAGACAACATCGAGATGGACCCCATCAATCCGGCCGGCCACCGCCGCCGCCGCAGCAGTCTAATGTCGCCCTCGAGCAGCTCAACACCGCAGCCAGGGAGGAACGGGCACGTCAGGGGCCCCTCCGTCAGCGGGCAGTTTGTTATGGACGAGCCAAAGATATCAGAAGAGAGCGAGTCCACAGTCAAAGGGAAAGATAGTTACATAAAGCCTGGCCCGAACCCAGACTTCTCGGACGAGGACCTGCACGACGACGAGGAAACCGGTCTCACAGCCAAAGACAGAAAAAGGAAACAGAGGAAACGGAGACGAAATACGTTGCTCGATCAGCGCATAGCACGCGACAAGATCACAGAGGAAGAACGCAAGGAGGCAGACCAGACTGTGGTCAGGAAACTGGCTATCAATGGGACTTTGATCGGCCTCTGGTATCTCTTCTCACTAAGCATTTCACTTGTAAGTTGGCAACTGATTCAACACCACGAACATGGAATTACGGAAATATGGATTGTGTGACTTAGTACTGACAAGGAGGGGGAAAATTCAGTACAACAAGTGGATGTTCGACAGCAACCGATTGAACTTTCCTTTCCCGTTATTTACGACCTCTGTACACATGCTTGTACAGTTCTTTCTCTCCTGTGTTGTCCTTTACTTTATACCATCATTAAGACCTCAGCATGCGCCGCAGCGAAGATCAGACCTGGGCCACTCTTCGAGGGACGAGAACGATCCAGACAGCCCCATCATGACCAAGATGTTCTACCTCACTAGGATTGGGCCCTGTGGTGCAGCCACGGGTCTTGACATCGGCCTGGGCAACACTTCTCTCAAGTTTATTACTTTGACTTTTTACAGTAAGAGCTTCCCAGCTTCGCGTCACCCCGCTTTCTATACACACGCAAAGATGCTGACCATCCATCACAGCAATGTGCAAATCGTCCTCGCTAGCATTCGTTCTTATTTTTGCATTCCTCTTCCGATTGGAGGCACCCACATGGAGGCTGGTGGCCATCATCGCAACCATGACCATCGGAGTCATCATGATGGTAGCCGGCGAGATCGAATTCGACGTTCTCGGCTTCATCCTGGTCATCTCCGCCGCCTTCTTCTCGGGCTTCCGTTGGGGTCTCACCCAGATCCTTCTGCTGCGCAATCCGGCTACCTCGAATCCTTTCTCCAGCATCTTCTTCCTCGCGCCCGTCATGTTCCTCACCCTCCTCGTCATCGCCGTTCCTGTCGAGGGATTCCCCGCCCTCATCGAATCCTTACAAGGGCTCGTGAACGAATGGGGCATCGCGGCCCCGCTGCTCCTCCTGTTCCCAGGAACCATCGCGTTCCTCATGACGGCTTCCGAATTTGCTCTGCTGCAGCGAACATCCGTCGTCACCCTCTCGATCGCCGGCATCTTCAAGGAGGTCGTGACGATCTCGACTGCCACCCTGGTCTTTGATGACAAGCTGACGCCCATCAACATCTCGGGGCTCTGTGTCACCATCGGTGCGATCTGCGCGTACAACTGGATCAAGATCACCAAGATGCGACAGGATGCGCAGAAGACTGTTCATAGCCTCCACATTGAACCGGACCTATCGAGCCCGAGCTCGAGCGAGACAGACCCCGAGGATGAAGGCGGTGAGGAGACAGGGCGGCTCGCGGCGCGGCAGAGCGTGGAGGTACCCATGGAGCAGGGTGATCTAGTGACGGTTGATGGCGACATTATCATTCCACCACCTCCGCAAAATCCGCCATACAACCTCACCCATGTTTCTGGAGAGGAGCGAGACAAGGCAGACCGGCAAGACTAGAAGAAAAAAACAGGAGGAAGGGCTCTGTGTCCCCATTTTTTGGATATTCCATTCTCACAAGGGGGCAGCGAGGACAAGTCAGTCAGTCGCCTGGAAGCATGCTCAAAATGATACCCCAACAACCATTTCAGAAAGAAAGAGAACAGAGTCAATTAGCTACATATTCAGAGCGAGCATAACCGCATTTGCATGACCATTCAAGGAGTTCTCACTCAGAAGATAGAGAAATTGATGGCTTTTTTTTCACTTTCCTGTTTTTCGGAGGAGAAAGAAGAGCCCAGGTCAAACTGTGTGTTGCAGGGAAGAGCATTAAGCATATTTGGATTCTGAGGAACCGGCACAATGGACCGGGTTGAGCAGATCAATTTGGTCAGTCCAAAAGGAGACTGGCTATACAAATAACAAAGAATCTTATTAATAACAGAGAGCTACAATAATTCTGAAGAAAGGGCGTATGCCATCCTGCTCATGTTATTGTTCTGCGTGCAATATGTAGATCGTCCTGGAGAGTGGTCTGCGCCAACACCCAGGAACCACGACTCATTTTCAATCCAATCCAGCTATAGAAAAGAAGGGAGAGAAAAAACACACACACAATACCATTAGCCAAATTCTTCCAGAAGGCTGATCATCGGGCTCAATCTAATTAATCAGAAACTTGACTGTCAAACGAAGAGAGAACGTGACTGTAACTGACTGTGACCCTTACAGATAGTAAAGTAGTTTTCCTTCCTGGTGGAGAGGGCCAGCACACAGTGACTGCTTTATTGTGACCTTGTCGCTGGGTCTGTCAGCCTTGTGTAAGCCGGGGATGGAGGGGGAACACAAGCCACACAAGGCTGAAAGTGTGGTTTCCTTTTGAGTTCTCTGACTTATGAGGGATGTTGCGCATTTCACATGGAGTCTTGGTCTTTTTTTCCTTTCTTTCTACCTCTCGAAAAAGAAAAAAAAAGGGGCAATTGACCAGAATTGGTGTGCTGCTACGAAAAACTACTTCTCCCGAGCATGGTCTGACAGGATCGTGGAGTCTCACAGGTCAGAGCGAGACAGAGGCCTCCCAGGATCGCCACTTGGCGCCTCGGCAGTGTGGAGCCAGAGTGGATGAATGAGCACGTACCACACACAGTACATGGACAAATCGCTGATTACTACCAACTGTGAGAATGGGAAAGTGAATGTCAAAGAACAACATCACCGCCGGATTGCCGGGAAATACTAGTGTTGGTAATGATAATATATTACTAATGAGGAAAACGTTCCAGCTGGGCATTGAATGAGTTTTTAAAAGCCCATGGCACCGAGGGTATTTCTTTTCGTATCAGCCATCCATCCATCCACACTCTTTCATTACCCATGTTTGAGCCCCGTTCCAGTAAGAGAATAGCATGTACGTGATGTCGAAACCCTGCCCATTTGTGATGAGCCATAACGCCAGGCCGGACCAAACGCCATTCATTGGTCTCTCATTGATCCCGCGGTCCTGTATGAAGAGGGAAAAAAAGGAATGTCGTCGATTCAGGTATCACATCTTTTTGACTGCCCAATCGCAAATCATCTTTAATCCCATAGTGAAAAAGAAAAAAGAGAAAAGATTTGTTTCCCGCCCTTTGCGTCATCCAACAACCATAGACGCTCAGTGCTTGGCAGGCGGTGGGCTGGTGGGAGGCTCGTACACGGTTTCGCCACCACGCGGGTAATAGCTGCCAGAGGGCTGCTGCAGGGGGACGTCATTAGGCTGCTGGCCGTAGTAGCCATCGTTGGTGTTGTGCGTGTTGCCGGTGTACTGGTTCGGGACGTCGTTGGGCGTGTACTGGGGGGGAGGCGGGTTGGAGTTGTACTTGTTGCTTCCAAACCAGCCGCCATTCTGGTTGCCATACTGCGGCGCGGGTTGCTGCTGCTGGCCACCGTACCCACCGCCGAAGGGACCGCCACCCACCCAGCCGGTGCCATAGCGAGGCCGCAAGCCCATTCGGCGGCGGCGGCGGTTGTTGATGCAGCTCCAGAAGACGAGAAGCGCGATGACGAAGACGATGATGATGGCGGCGAGGACCCAGCGGCCCCAGTAGGAGAAGTTGGAGCGGTAGCAGAGACCATCATTGCCGAGATACCAACCACTGGAGCAACTAGACAAGAGGAAAAGGAAATGTTAGACAAACAAGTGAATATATGGTGGAAGGGGGGGGGTGTGACGAGCCAGACTTACGCTCTGCGGTTGAGACTACTCGAGGTAGATTGTGGGATGAACATCTTGACGTATGCGCACAATTACTTCAAGATGTGGTAATTGGGGGTGTTGATGGTGGATGAAGGGGATGGGATCGAGAGGACAAGATGAATGGATGATGGATGGGTAGGTGGGGTTTAAAGTAGGTTTGTACGGAGAAAGTAGAAGGCCAAGCTCGAGAATGGCTTGGGGAAGGGAGGAAGTGATACGGATGTTTTATCTGGGGCGTCGTCAGTAGTGATGAAATCGTATTGGCGTATTCGTAGTGCGGAAGAGGTGCCGTGTGGCAGTAAAAAGCTGGGTGGCGGGATTTGGGCCTCGGGTGCCGTGACTTTGCAGGCAACAAAGACCCAGGCTGCTGAGAGCGTGATTCCTGGGCAAATGGATGACGTTGTTTGATGGCTCGCTCTTGTTAACTGGTTCTGGGTGGTTCTGGAGCCGGGGTCCAACCAGAGCCGTTCTGTCACTGCCCCTCAGCCCCCCGCTCCCGGGGGCCAGCACAACCTTATTCAGCGCACTTGTGTGTGAGACAGGTTGGGATTTTGTCCAGTCACCTCACCCGTTGGGGTCTTTGGACGTCTGATGACTGGACAATTGTGAGTGAGTGGCTTGTAGGAACGCGTCACTCCTTTCAATCCTTCACTCGTACCCTTGTGAAGACTGGAACAGCGACAAAACGTGTGTGACGATATATGGAATCTGACCAGTGCCGCACACTATTGATCACTTTTGCGCCAATGTGGTACTTGATTTCTACCGGAAAACGAATGAATCCCGGCTATAGCGGCCAGATAGTGGATTGCTACTGTGGCACAATGTGTGTATGTGGTGTATGTACCCAGCAGGTTAGCAGCCAGGCCGGTTAGCAGGTCTTGGGACGTGGCTGTGCTGGGGATGATCGCCTGACCATCACCCAACAACAACTCTTCTGCTACTTCCCGCCTGTTCCCACCTGCCACCTTCCCGCCCAGCGGTAACCCATGGCTGCCATGCTGTACGTGTTGTCCAACAAGAGCTTAGTTCGGTGGTGATGAACAAACCTGTTTCCCTTTTCAAGCATTTCAGATTATCCATCTCCCCCGAATGCTCCATTTGGATTTTCTATATTCCAAAACCCTCAGTATCAATTAAAGCTATTTTTTCCCCTATACTATTTTACAGATTTTGGCCAGCTGAAACCTCGGAGTCCCGCTCCTCAACCCCATCTTCTCGGTCAAAGTCAAGTAACTCGATTCCATCCGCCACGGCCTTTGCTGCTGAACCAGCGCTGAGCTATCCACACCTCTGAAAATCTTTTACTAAGCCTGCCGCCCTGCCTGCCTGACCGTCAGGTGTATCTGTGCAGACCTGATGTGCCGAGGAGAGCGAGGAGATCGTGGGGACGAAGGCCTGAGGAGGCGGTGCCTTTTCCATGCCGGCGACTTGGGCGACAGGAAGCGCGCCCCCGACAATGAGATGGGTGGGACCTGGAATGCGTCGCGCCTCGACGCGACGGTACTGGCCTGGATGCTCTGCGTCCTGATCCGGGCCTGGTCTCGAGAGGTGCGGGTTGCCACTGGTGCGGGCTCGTCCAGCATGATGTTCAGTGTTCCCAGGCTCTTCCTGCCGAGCGTCTTCTCCGTCTCGATCAGGAGGTCGTCCAGGCCCCGGCAGAATGTCTCCAGGCGCCGAGTAGTATCGCCTCGCTTCGCGTTCGGGTCGATGGTCGCGAAGGAGCGTTTAAGCTTCACCAGCCTCGTGGCGTAGTCCTCATACTGTGCTGGGTCGCAGTCCAGGATCAGCTCGATGTTGGTCTCAACCGGCCGCTTGAGCACATTGATCCTGGCCAGGAGATCCTCGTCCTAGTAAAGGATGCCAAGTTTAATTTTTCTTCTTCCCTCTTTTTTGTTTTTTTTTTGTTCTGAGCAAGTGCTCAAGCACTCCATCATGCTTCTTTGCCCTAGAGGAGAAGGATAATTACACACCTGCTTGTCTTGCGTGCTGTCGAGGAAACTTTTGACGTTGTTTGCAAGTTCGACGGTGCCCATGGCGCCGCCGATGCTAACAGAGCTTGAGCTGTTCATGTTGGTGGGCCTTTCCTGGCTGGACAGGACACTGTGTAGTCGCAGGAAGGGGGTTTCAGCGAGAAAGACGTTGGTGTCTCGACTGTCCAAGAGTGTCCGTTTAGATAGAGAGGCCTGGACAGCTGCCCCTTATGTCTTTTTTCTGGTGCACTTCGCCAACTCTTCTTGGCCTTTACGTGATAACAAATTCCGGGCCCAACCTTTTCTTCTTACGGGCCGGTGCTCGGGTTCCAACGTGTCTCTCGGACCTCGTCCAGAAATCTCACCTACCTCCCCTAACGTGAGGGAGAAGAGACCCGGTCGTCATCTTTAGGTGCGATGCTATTGAGCTTCCCCTCTGTTCGGCTGCAAATTACACTGCCAAGGGAGCCCGCAGGCCATTGGTCGCAAACTTGATGGTCAGCTCGTTTCATCAACAAAAACAGGGGACATTTTCCGTGAGCCCAACTTGTGTCTTGCGAGGCGGGTGCGTGCTCAGCGGCCGCGGCTGATTTTGCCCAAAATGAAAAGGCGAGGAAGAGCTGATCCTGAGGGGGATGTGGCGTCTATGTCAGCACCAACCTGTTCGCCATGACAAGGAGCCTGTCCTCCCCCCGCCCACCTTCTCTTTTCTTTTTCCGAGGAACGCTTACGCAGAATGGGTCTCTCTTTGGGCCATGCATGGTATTTTATAGACTACGGTCGGTTCCATGATGAGGTCAGCTCGCCAGGGCACATCAGGCCTTGAAAGTCTTGGAATGAGAGCAGCCTCAATTTGGCAGGCTGACTTGTCACAATTCCCTTTTCTGAAAAGCTCATCTCGCCTCGACACCTGCCAAAAATTGGGGGGGGGGGGGGCTCTTGGTGGACCAGTGCTGTTTTCGCAGAGAAGCCAATCCTGACAAGTCCTCACCAATGAAACCGCTGTAAAAGGCCTTGGAGCCGCTAACCTGATTGGGTAATTTACACTTGAGCATCACGTCTGAGGTCGCGCTGGTGTGGCATTTTATCAGTTCCAGGACTTCTTTAGCCCTTATCTAATTTGCCTCATAGCTGCTATCATCAAATCAAGAAATATATACTTACTGTCTGCCCTTTGGTGTGCTCCCTGTATCTAGTCGGGACCCCGTCTGAACAGCAACAGAGCTGTCGCACTGCCCAGCTTCAGCCTGATATCAGCCTGGTCCTTTCCCACCACCTCCGCTATGCGACGAACAGTCACTCTCACACAATCTTCTTCTGTCCCTACACAGTCAGGATGAGCCTGCCGCCAACGCGTCACCATAGACGCCGTATCGAGGCCCTGCGCGAGCTCGTCGAGCGACTGCTCCCTACCGCCGGCGAAGAAGTCGACAGCCCCGTCCTCGAGCTTCCCGCCGCGGTTCCACTCCTTGCGCACAAAATTGCCCGCCGAAAACGCTGCGACCGGCGGCTCGATGGACCATGGCAACGGAAGCGTGTCGTACATGGTGCGTGACAGATGCAGGGCCGGACCCTCAAAGGGCCCCAGGATACTGTCTTCTAGGTGGCTGAGAGCCTCCTGCACGGCTGCGGCGTTGGGCGTGGAAGGGTCTTATCTCAGTGTCAGGCTTCCTGTTGGTATCGTAAACGAGGCCTTGCACGTTCTTGAGCAATTAGAAGAACGGGGCTGGACTAACGGCAAAATAGCGACGCGTGGGTCCATAAGGCCACAGTGCCACCCGGCTTCACCATGCGCGCTGCTTGTCTCCAGAACTCATCCATGCGAAACCAGTGAGCCTATCGTCCAGTTCGTCATCCTTGTCAGTGGTAATAAATCAGGACGGGCAGGACACAGATCTTCACATACCGCCATGGCCGACGTGAGCAGGTCCACCGACCCAGGCTGCACGATCCTCGAGCTCGCCAGCTCCTCGGCAGCCAGCACTTCGAACTCGACGGGCTCGCCGCTCCTCGTCTCGCCGGCAGCCTGCCGTGCCTGCTCGACCATCTGCGCGCCGGGGTCGACGCCGACCACGCGCGAAAAGTGTGGTGCTAGCACACGCGCTGCCTGGCCCGTGCCGCAGCCCACGTCCAAGGCCATCTCGAGGCTGCCTCCGCCGGCCAGGTGGAAGGCTAGGGTCTCCTGGATAACATCGGTAGCGGATTCACCGCGGCCACGGGCGTAGGCAGCGGCTTGTTCGGGGGTGTAGTTGCGGAACGTAGGGTCTAAGGGGGCTGAGACAGTAGTGGAGGACATGATGGGCGAAGAGAAGAGATTGGTTGATGAAGTAGTGACAATGGTGGTAAGTGGGAGTAGTGATGGCGGTGGTCTGGGGCTGCCTTGAGGCTTGCGCTGTAAAGGAGAGCCTTCTTCTTGTCTCGCAGAGGCAATAGAACTGACCGCTGCTCGAGATATGACGCAGAATAGTGGTGACTCATATCGAGGGGATTTAAGCAAAAATGAGTTCCGCGTATATCCGTGGTGGGAATCAATCCTCGAATCTGCGCCGTACACTTGCGTTCGGATCGGTCATAGATAGCAATCACGGCTTGGAAATAATTATGGTGTCTTTTCCTAATAACAATGTTTGAGAAAATGCCATCCGGTTGGCCAGCATACTCATGTTGGAGCGTGATTTTATATTGCAACCCAACTGTAGGTGGTAAGTTGACGTTCCTAAGCTCTAGTTGAGGCACAAGCAAGTTTTGGCATTAGTACTGAGATTCAATTAACATTTCTCCAATGAGATGTCATGTTCAAATTCGTTTGTAAGCTGTATAATTAATTGGGTCAAGTTCTGGCCTCAAACTCTCACTTCACAACTCTGAACCCTCGGTACACTAAAAAAGGTCTCTCTCAGTCCAGGTAAGTGGGTGACGGTCCAGGCCCAGCAGCACCACGATGTTCATCACGATCAGCCCACATCCTCTGGTCCAAAAGCCGGCAATTAGCTATCTGAGAAGGGAATTGATCATCCGAGTCAGCCTGTGAACATTGACAGGACAAGCGAGCAAGCCTAGCTGAACTACTAAAACCCACCCTCGTGGCAATGACGAGGACGAAAAGATGGCAAACTTAGTTTACCTTTAGGCTGCGTGTTCTCAAGTTTTAGTGATAGTTACGTGTAAATCGTGTCTCTCTTTGATACTTTCAATGAATGTGCATGTGTCTCTTCATATCTTTATCCTTCTTTCCCTAATATCCTTTCCATCATCCCTTTCAATCTTTTCTTGTGTAGGAAGCTTGAACGACTGTCAGTCGAGGAAACGGTCTTGTATCTTGTCTGCGTAGGTGTGAGAGTCCAGTATAACGTGGAGATCAGGTCGAGTTGATCTGTTTTGGCGTGCAAACGAGGCGGTCAAACTTTATCTCACACAACAGACCTGCAGTCCCCGCCACGCCCTGCAACAGAACGCGCCAATACCTCCCCAAGGCTTGAAAGACTTGGGGTTTCCAGACACACAATTCGTCCGAGTACTCGTTTACTCATGGTAGAAACGCAGATGAGCTTTGGTCACCAGTTGAAATATGATCCTTTACCTTCAAACCTCCTTCAAGCCTTGATAATCGGGTCGAATTCGCCCAGTTCAGCTTGTATCGCGCCTAGTGGGCGTGGACTAGCCCAGCTTATTGACTTGTTGGCCTAATTTTTTTGGTTGGGGGGGGGGGGGGCAATGTTTTATGTAGGATGTATTGACATAGGTAATATCTGCATGTACGTGCAGGCAGCAGGTGCATCAAGGCAAAGCTGATGTACATCAATCCATTATGGCTCGCCTGATCGGCAGGAACGACAGTGGGCGATGACGAGCTCTCCACGAGTCTTTCCTATAATCCCACATGATGTCAGTGAAAGAAAATACACGCGACAACCAATTCTCCATCCTAAGCTACCCGATCAACATCCGTGATTCAGGACGTAAGCAGCATCATCAACTGCGCCACTGAAACAGACAAAACTACTCAAAAAACGAAACACAAATAGGGGCGTAACGATGCTACACATGGCTCGATGACGATCGGATGATGAACATTCCGCCTCGCCTCGTCTCAACTCAGCAGAGGCCAGACCTTCTCGCTCTCTTGGCCTAGCCCTCGCAGGCTTGTACATTCTGTTCCCCACGTGGCTTGCCGCAGGAACACACATCCCCCCCTTCCCCCCTCCCCCCGGCTCAAACACGAAACGGTCTGAAGATTACGAGGAATTCGGGAGATTCTCATGCCGACTATTCACCAGAGCAGGGCGGGAGGAGCCGCGTTTCGTGAAAGCTCTCTCTCTGTGTGTGTTTCTGTCGCATGCACGCATGCACGCATAAAAGGACCAGACGAAAAGGGGGACCGGACGAGTGGGTGCGCTGCATGCATTCATAATGACACATCGGATGAATTAAGTTACTAATCAAACCTGCATCGTCACGTGCGATAGCAGCAGCTTTTGTAGGACCATGGCGCGGCAAACAAGAAAAGAAGCTTCACTTTTTCCTTCCCTTTCTTTGGTGCGTTCATCTGTCTGATTGACCAAAGTTGGCGAGACAAGATAGAAACTAGCTAGGCGACGCGCAAGCACCCAACGGGGGTGGACATTATGAGACCCATGAGTCTGAGTAGGAGGAGATTACCTATATGATTTGGTTATCTCGGGATCAACATCGGATTGGGCCACAGTCTCCATATCTACCAGTATCTGCAAAAAAGGTGGCATCCCAGATCTTGATAGAAACGAGCAAGGCTACAATCTACCAATCAGATGGGAAGGAGATGGAAAGGAGGAGGGGAAGGAAGATGTTCGTTTCAGTCCGGGCTTTGGTCTCAGCTCACGGAGAGAAGTCTTACAATCACAGGTTCTCTTATGGAGTAGGAAACAGAAAAGAAGCAGAAGGGTATGGTAACGAGAATGCGCCACGCCGACAAGGGGGCCTGATGGCCCACCCGAACAAAGACCGCTCCAAGGCTCCAATGATTCAAGTCTTGCTTCGCGGCAGAAGACCCCAGTGGGACCGGTGAGAGGGCGTTTTGTTCTGTGCACATTGCACATGACATTGCATATGCTTGCATCCTCGGAGATGAGAACTCAAGGAAGAGGGTCACGAGAAATTTTGGTGGAGGATGCTTTACAAAGGTAAAAGAAGAGAGAGACTTATAATGACCACATGGTCAAAATTGAATCTCGGAAGCGAAGGACGGTATCGGGTCACAATATTGGGGGGGGGGGAGGAGGGGGAGGAGAAGGAGGAGGGGGTTCAGTAGTCTAGGATGGATGGTCATGGTGACCTTGGCAACACGCAGTAATTCTCCAAGTGAGATAGACAATCAAGTCACTGACAGTGATGATCAGCCAGCTTCTTTTTCTTTCTTGTCTCCTTCGGAGGAAAGATGGCGTGATATCACCAACCCTCAACCATGGACATGCTGGCTATGGGCAGGCAAGCATCAAGTCCGGTACAGACATGGTTGGAGTATGTGTAGCATCTATATTGAGGGACCGTCAGTGTGGGCTCGACCCGGATTGATCGTCGTCCATGGCTAGCTGCCACGTTGTGTGGCTTGTCTTCCAAACAAAAGAATGAAAGAAGAAAGGGGGAAAACCACACAGACCTGAATAGAGGCCCCATTCTAACTCATCTAAATGGATAGGCACGTACACACACACACACACACACACACACACACACACACACACACACACACACACACACACAGCAGCTCGTGTTTATAAGAGAGCCCTAGTGGTATTTGCCCCGTTCGTCCCAAGTCTGCGGTTTCGACTGTTGAAAAGTAGGCGTGTTGGTCCGAAGCCAACGTAAGATGGCTTGTTTGCACTTGGTATAGCGGACGAAGGAAAGGGGAATAGAATGGAGAAGCTATGATTCGAAACTTGGTACCGAGCGGACACCCCTCATCGTGTTTGGAAAAAGACGAGTGGCCGGCATGTCGGCATCGAGGCAGGAAGAGGAGCAGGCTGAGGCAGCTTCTGTGCTGGTGCCGCAGCAGGCACAGGCAAAAAGAAAAGAGCGGGCGCCACAGCAGGTTCAAAGCGGGTCTAGAATATCTTCTTAAAACGGCACTAAGGAAGCTCCTCGCTGCTCGCTTCAATGCAGCCGCTAACATCGCGACAAAGCTTGGCATAGTAAGGTTATATTGTAACGACCCATGTTGTGTCATAGTACATGGTAGGAGAGCACCATACCATAGAAGTTATTGCTCCAGGAAAAAGAGGGGAGGGGGGGAAACCTCCCCGGTCAGGCTAAAGGTGCTGGCATACAGTTGGCTGGGGTCAGGACTCGGATCCGATGAGGGAGAGAGAGTGAGGGGTTGTTTCGTAGGCGATCAAACATTGTACTGCAGATGCAAGTGTAGGTCAGAGCCAGGGCCTAGTGCTCCGGGGGCCTCAGGGTCTACAGGGGAGGGGGGGGGAGTAAATATGGTACTAGTCCAGCTATGGAACTACGGGTACTGCTATAGTGCTAAACAGCAGCTTATTTTCCCCACGGGTGACCCACACTAGACATGCCCTCTGACACCTTCCAGGTTCCAAAACCCTCCTCAAAAACTCCAGGGCATCCATCACCGACCCCCCTCCCGTGTTACCCCTTCAGCCTCGTCTATTCCCCCTGTCAGAGCTGTCGCACGGTCCTTTAAACGAATCCATCGACGCCCCCGTCCCAATGCTACTCTAGGATTGGCCTGGATTGTGTATACATTGAAGAAAACACGAGGGGGGGCTTGCTTGCTTTGTTTCTTTTTCGCTGTTCGAGCAGGCGTTCATCCAAGATGATGTCCCGTTTTCCCCTCCCCTCTTCCTCCTCCTCCTCGTCGTCCCCCCCTGGACTGGTGCTTCAGGAACGACATGGATGAGGGGGAACAGACGCGATTAATTCATTGATTGATTGACTCGACTTCTCTTTCGGCAGTTTCCTCCTTTTGCCCCACCCACTCGTGCCGTAGATATGGGCTCATGTTGGCATACATATGGGCTCACCCTCCCCCTCGTGGCCTCTCGTGATGGAAGGAGATGATGGGGCCAGATCTGGGATCTCGCTACTTTGATTGATCGATTAAGGGTGTCATTTGACAGCGGCAAGGTTTTTTTTTTTCTCCTCCCGAAATAATCAGACAATATGACATCGTTGGGATCGTGAGTGCTTTTACGACTCCTACTACAACATTTTTCACAACAATATGCTAACGCCTATTTCCCTCTAGTCTGCCTGGTGCCGAGATGGTTCGTCTGCTGGTCGGCCCGAACAGGACCGAGTTTATCATTCACAAGAAGCTGCTGTGCGGCTCAAGCTCCTTCTTCCGCTACAGCCTGGAGTCTGTGTCCACGCCCAGCTCGCCTGCCTCAGCCAAGGATGGCGATGGCGGCGCCGTCGTCAAGCCCGAGAAGGTCCTGTGGCTCTCGGAGGAGAGCCCCGAGATGGTGGACTTGTTCCTCCTCTGGCTGTACCAGCGCAGCTCGTTCCGCAACATGCTCGAGAACATGGTCGCCGCCGTGACCGCCCCGGCCAAGGGGTCCAGCCAGGTCAGGCTCCTCAGCAGCAGGCGGGCGCTGCACTGGAACCTGGTCAAGCTGCACCTCTTCGCCGCCGTCATCCGCCTGCCCGTGCTGCAGGACATCGCCATGGACGCCATCCAGGACCTGTACCTGCGCTGCGACTGGGACGTCAGCGTCAACTTTGTGCGCTTCCTGTACGAGGAGTGCACCTGCGAGCAGGCCTTCCGGATCCGCAAGTGGACCGTGGCCATGCTGGCCTGGACCCTGAGCAACGGGAGCGCTGACCCCTTGGCCTTCAACGATCTGTTTGCCGAGTTCCCGGACCTGTGCGACGACTACACCCAGCACATGCAGAAGATGATCGACAGCCGCGCCGACGTGCGCGTCAAGAACCCCCAGCTCAGGCTGCCCAGGAATAGGCTCAAGAACGAAGAGCGTCACTTTGGCTATCGCCAGTGCTCCTTCCACAGCCACCGCTCGTCTGTCGGCGAGGGGAGGTGTCCCTACTCGGAGCAGCCAGACATCCTGAGCCCTACCTCCCCGACGCCATCCTCGTACTACCACCAAGTCAAGTCTGCGGCCCCCAAGCCTGTAGCCACCCGCCGCCAGACGCGGCTGAAGGGTAGTATCTCGGAAATCTGGACCGTTCCTGAGAGCACCGAAGAGACTTGAAGAAGAGAAAATGTGAGAATAGAGGTGAGTGCAATACTTTGAAATAAAAGCCTTTCACCCCCCAGGAGATATCGCAACAAACTCGCTGACTCTCCTACAGTCTCTCCATCATAGTCAGACTCGTCCACATCTCTCTCTACACCATGTCACCCGACCGTCTACAAGACCGGCCATCTGAGGCGTCGCCCATCAAGTCAAAGGCGCACCAAGCCAGAAAGAGGGCTTGAATGGGCATTATCAGTTATCGACGCGGGACTTTTGTTCGAAATCGCCTCGAGCTGATACTTTCACAGCCTCAAAAAAAAAAAAAAAAAAAAAAAAATCGGAGCAAAGCAAGAGAGACTCGCAATAGGAGGCGGGAACCTGGACTTTCCTGCCACCTCAGGATGATCTCGTTTTTGTTCTTGGTTTTTCTTCTTCTTCATCTTATCTCCTTCAACAACATGCCCTCTCAAAAGGGGAAGTTTACCAAAGATTTCACATCCGTATCGTCCATGTGGGCCATCTCGGATCTCAGCGCCTTCTTCTTAGGCTGCTGTAACATCTTGTCATCATCACAGGCTCACACAGTCACATGCCAAAGCTTACGGCTTGCCTCCTGGCGGTCACGCACAGAGACACGCAGCCTGTCGTGCAGCGACATGATGAAGCCCTTATTGGGCTTCTGGCCGTCCTGTTCCCATTCCCCTCCTTTTCTTTCCTTCCAACACATGTCTGAGATAAGCTGTGTCTGGAATGTAAATATACAATATATATATATGTATATATAGAGGGGGAGGTGAGGAGGAATTTGGCCCTCTTAATTTTTGTGGACATAATACTTCATCCATAGGCTCCTCTTACAGGAGATGCTCCTTCACAAATCCAACCACCCTTTGGATCAAATCCTCCAAGTGCTTTGTCTCCTGAATGAAATGCCCCTCCCGCGGATACGTGACAAACCGGAAAGCCAGGCCAGCCTCCTCCATGGCCCTCCTGAATCCCCAGGCCTGCGTAACCGGCACTCTGGGGTCCTGTTCCCCATGCACCATCAACACAGGCGGAATGTTGTTGTTCTCCACCGCCTCCTTGAACGCCCACAGCGCACTCCCCTGCCTCGTCCTGACATCCGCCCTGTCCAGCCGCCAAAGACACCCGGCCGGCTCCGCCTGCGTATACCCAATATCCGACGTCAAGACCATACTATCCCACTCCGAGACCCCGGCCCCAGGCACCGCACACCGCCACCGCCACCCCAGCCCGTGATACACGCCGCCGCCGCGCACAGCGGATAGGTACGACAGGTAGCCGCCCTGCGACCAGCCGCCGACGGCAAGCCTGTCTGGATCGGCCAGGCCCAGGGTGATGGCGTGCTGGGTGAGGGCTGCTATGTCGGGCTCGTCGGTGGTGCCGTAGTAGGCGCCTGGCCCTGCTGCTGCATAGCTTGCGTAGCGCTGGCCTCGGCCAGAGCTGCCGCGGTAGTCTGGGATGAGGACGGCAATGCCGGCGGAGAGGAGGAAGGGGGCATAGAAGGTGACAGGGTCGTGGGAGTCGGCGGTGTTGGTTATGCGGTAGTAGGGTCCTCCGTGGATGGAGACGTAGGTTGGGAAGGGGGCTTGACCGTTTGGGGGTGTGTTGTTGGTGGTGGTGGCCGTGGCTGTGGCCGTGTTTGCTGGGGTGAGGAAGAGGGCTGAGACGGTCTCTTTACCATCGAGGGTTGGGCAGGTAATGAAGGTAGCATCTTGGGCGAGGGTACGGGTGGTGAAGGAGGCGCCGTGGTCAGAGAGCTGAGTGAGGGACGGGGTAGTTATTTTTGGGTTCATCACGGTAAAGACCTCGGTGGGATTGTTGATGTCGCCTGTTGCTACCACCATGAGAATCTCTTTCCTCTCCTCCTCATTGTTATTATTGTTGTTGCCGCTGCCATTTGAAGGGATGGCGACGGCGTCATAGCTGAAGATACTCTTCTCCTGGCTAAAGAGGATCGTGCCATCCAGAAGCCTCACCTGGTCCGCCATGCCGTGGTGGACGTACACAAGCACTTGACCCCCAGCCTTCCGAAGACCAGGCTGGGCACAGTTCTCCTCGCCGTAGGCCACCTTCCTGTACTTTAGCTTGTCTCCTTCTTCTGTCTGGCCCTCTGGAGAAAGGTCGACTGCGTACACTGCCAGCCCCGTCGATGAGGCCTCAGGCACGTTGTAGGCGAGGAAATACAGCGTCTGCCCGCACCAGATGGGATCGTACAGCTTTCGAGGTAGGTGGACGGACCTCTCCCCTCTTCTTCTTCCTCCTCGTTCCAGCTTCAGCCCTTTTGCGCCACCAAGCCTGAACGTAGTAATGTCGCAGCCGTGCAAGAACTCGCTCTCGATGTGTGCCGACTTTTCCGTCACGACAGCCACCTCAGTGCCGTCGTCTCCCAGTGCAAAGTTGACAACCTCGACCTTGCTGTCCCACACAGCCTCCACAGCGCCCGTCTCGACGTCGACGCGGTACAGGTGTGCGAACCGCCGCTGCTCCCTCTCCTCTTCTTCGCCCCAGACCTGCGCGTCGTCCCCTGCCTCCTCGCGCGCCTGGGCCGCGGCGGTCTTGGCGGGCCTTGCGATGAAGAAGATGTGCTTCCCGTCTGGGCTGAAGCGGTACTTGGAGATGTCCTGCTCGCTGTCGCCTGGTGTGATGGCCTTGGGGCGTTGTTCCTCCTTGCCCTCATCATCACCGCCGCCACCACCGTTGCTGCCAGACGACGACGACGACGACGACGACGATGACAAAGCCCTAACCAGATAGATGGCGCAGCTCTTACCACGTATCCCCCTGTCCGAGAGAAATGCGATGGTCTGGCCGTCTGGTGCCCACTGCGGGTCACGGTCGTTGAAGTCGCCATTCGTCAGCCTGCGCGAGGACTTTTCCGACCTGGTGTCTGCGAGCCAGATGGATCTGTTGTGGTGGGTGTCCTTGGGCTTGTGGTCGTGTTTGGTCTTGGCTGTGTAGGTGACTTGTTGGCCATTGGGGGAGAGGCTTAGTTGGTCTGGGACCTTGAGGGCCAGAAGTTGTTTAATCAGGTCCATGGTGTTGTTGTTGTTGTTGTTGTTGTTGGGGTAATAATGATGGAGGTTGTGCCAGTAGGCTAGGGTGAATGTGTTTTTTTGCCTTCTTAAAGTATGTGATGAGTTGGATCAAGTGTAATAAAGAAGGGTCGACTTGGAGGCTCTCTACTTATACTGTGTCCTTCCAAACTCGGTCAGCTCGTTGCAAACCAGTCGCGGCAGCGTCGTCATCCTTGTCGTCGATACATATTGCCACTGGTTGATTGGACTCTGCTATTAACTGTACAAACCATATGCGCTAACTAATGCATCTCATCCTGCTTGGGTGGGTGATGACGTTCACTATGTAGAGAGAGCGGCGGAAATATGATGCGTCTGACAGGCAAGATCTCGTAGCCTTCTTTTTTTGGCCTTTCCTCTCTTTATGATATGATTGTGCTTACCTACTTTTGTTATCGAATATTATTGCTGTGGCTCGAGAGGTTGATGACTTACACCGCGTAGAATAAGTATATCTCATCATGTATTTTGTTTATACCGTCTCCTGCCACTGCTAAGCAACTATATCCGGGACCAATGTATTGATCCCAACATAGCATTGCGTGTTTCTATAATGGAATGTTCATGGTGGCTATCTTGAAAGATTCTGGGAACGGAAACAAGGAAGAGAGTATGAATGTCTTCTGGCCGCTTGCTTCCCTCTCTGACGTTCTCTACTGGGTAGCACTGTAAAGAGAATGTCAAGGACGCTGTGCCAGCGAGGTAGATATGAGAACAAATCAGAGCACGGTAAACAATTCATGCTCGCCCTCTTCTCCTGAGTAGAAACCCAGGCTTCCCGCCCAGCCAGACAAGACACAATAGAGCCGTGCCCAAACTTATGCCCGCGAGCACGACATTCATATTCCCATACCCCATCTTCTGCTTCAGCTCCCCCGCCAGCGCCGGACCAACTGTCAGCCCCAGGCTAAACACCATCGAGTTGAGCCCATACAGCTGCGCATAGGGAGCCTGGTCCCCAAAGAACTCTGGGTTGGCATCGTAATACTTCTGGACCACGGACCCGCTCTCCACGATGGAGGGCGCGCCGATGACCGCCAGTCCCACCCCGCAGAGCGCGAGCAGGCCGCCGTATAGCAGGACTTGCTGCTGCTGCTGCTGCTGGCTGCCACCACCACCCTCTTCGACACTGTGAGGGAGGCGCAGCAGTACAAGCACGGGAACCAGAAAAGTATATCCAAGCACAGCGCCGGGCTTGGTACCGTATCGATCGACGAACCACCCCGCCAGGGGTCCAACGACGAGATCACACGCGCCGAGAGGCAGGAAGAGCAGGCCAGCGCGGAGGGAGTCGAGGCCGAAGAGCTCCTGGGCGGTGGCGGGCACGGTGGCGTCGAAGCTGCCGAGGAGGGCGGCCTGGATGAGAGCGACGAGGAGGGCGGTAAGGAGGCGGGGGGAGCGCAGACAGGGGAGGATGGTGAGCTTGCGGGCGAGGCGGGGCTGGTCTCTGGCGAGCTTGAAGTCCTCTTGTTCCTTCTTCCTTTCATGGGCGAGGTGTGGAAGCAGCGGCTGCTCCTCGTCGGCCTCGTCTGCTGGCTGGTCGTCTGCTTGACGCTGATGCTCGGCCTCGCCCCGGTTCTCGTCCTCATCCTCCTGTGTCCCGTGCAAGGCGGCGGAGTCGTAGTACCGCCTCGCCACCTTCTTCTCGATGACAATGGCTCGCATGATCAAGTCGACTATCAATATGGCAATGCCCAGGCCGAGGACGCCGTTGATGCCCGCCTTGGCATACAGAACCCCGCCGAGAAGTGGCGCCATGAAGCTTCCGACCGAGATGAAGCTGAAGATCTGTCGCTCAATGGGTCAGCTTTGCGCCCTTTTTCTCCCTGATTTTTTCTCTACAGAGAGCTCACCCACCGAACCGATAGTCTTGCCCAAATTCTCAGGCCCAACAGTCTCCAGACACATCGCCAGCCCGATCGTCCACACGAACCCCGCGCTGATGCCCTGCAAGATCCTAGCTACAACAAGTGTAGGAACATTAGTACCCACAAACAGCAACAGGGTTGCCAAGACTAGCGTGAGCAGCCCAGCCAGGAACGGAGCCTGGCGCGTGGACGTCTGGTCGGCGATGTAGCCTGCGGCGGGGCTGAAGAGCACCGAGGCGCCGGCATAGGCGACGAGGAGGCCATCGACGTGGGACTGAATCTGGTCTGCTGGGATGCCGAGGCGGTCTTGCAGCATGTAGGGGAGGATGGGGATGACGAGGCCGTAGAGGAAGAGGTCGGTGAAGAGGCCGACAGCTACGGTGGATAGTATGAAGAGGGTGTTGCTTCTCCAGCGGAGACCGGCTGGGGCGATGGTGTAGTCGTCATTGCTGCTGATTTGCAGTGTGGTCTTGATCTTGCGGAGAACTCTGGAAGCCATCATGGTTCGTGAGCAAGTCATCCATCAATGACAATTTTTTTGAGAGACACAATCCAGGGACTGTCGTCTTCATCACGTCGTTGTGCACTTGGAAGGTCTGAGGCCATGGTTGGTGCATCGTCACCCAAGGCTGGATTAGCTAAGACTGACGAAAACCCGCTGACGTCGTTGATCTTGAATCGTCTCTACAACAAATTGCTAGCTTTGCGTAACCAACGACTCCAACTCTATCCAGAACAATAAAGACTGCGCCGGCAGAGAATGAATCTTGATAAACTTGTTGCATGCTGAGGTATAATGATGAGCGATCTCGTTTGCCCCTCGTACACCTTTGGGTGTGTCTTTTGCTACTCCTGCAGCAGCCAGCAAGTGCAGTAGATTTTCCCCACCGTGCCCATTTCCTAAACCCCTACAGGTGCTGAAGAACTTTGATGTTATCCTTCCGTGGACTGTGATGGCCGTTCACCATACAGATTTTTAGACCACGGTACTGCATTGTATATGCCGTGGACGATATTTATGTGAGAGGGCAGGGAATACTGGCCCGGTCTCTGGTTGGAGACAGGCTTTCGCATAATTAACTTTTCAGTGACAGCTTCTCTCTACTATGTCATCATGGTTCCGACACTGAACGTCGATCAAGGGTCCGAGTTTGTCTCAGCCTTTTGCTTTTTGTCTACCGTAGTACCAAGTACATAGTCGCACCACAGAATATACTTTCTCCACGGTATGCCTTGATTAATACCACTTTGGATACACGTACAAACGAGAGAGGCATTTTCAATCTTTGGACTTGGACAATTCCACGATGCCATGCAGGGGAACGAGAGATCTGCACCCTGGTGGCGATCGCTTCTGCCAGAACGGTATGGGCGAGTCGATGTCGGGAAATGAGAGATACTACGCTGTACAATTCATTATCACGAATTGGGAAGCGTGGGAAGATGAGGGCTAGAGGGGAGAGGGCGGAAGGGGGTGGGGGCCATTGCGCTGTTCCTGACGCTAGACCATTCTGGGAGAGGGACAGGGGAACAGATCTCTGGCTTGGCGCTAAGGGTCCTTTGCCCATTCAGAGAGTCTAGCCCCATGGGACGGCCTGGATCTCTTTTTCTTTCTCGTCTGAACTTGGGGGACTCAACCCAGCCCAGCAGGCAACCTCCTCAGGACGACCATCAGCAGTACCCTTGAACACATTCACATCCCTTTGACGTGCCGAAAACGAAACAGGTTCCTGCTCCTCGGTTCTGACGGCCAGTCATTCGCTCATCTCGACAGTCTAGAAGAAACGCGTCCAGGACTCGTGGCCTACCAGTATCATTCATCATCATCACGGAGGGGATCTTCGTATCTTTGGTGAGAGAGCAACCATTTTGGGCCAATTTCCGATCCAGCTGGGGAAGTGGGGCAACTGGATCCGGTTTAATCTCTCCGGCCAAATCCCTACAGAGGACCGACGTTTTTAACCCTCCAGGATGGCGGCTCTGTTCTGTATTGGACAAATCCTGGCATCTTATCTTAGTAGGAAGACGAGGAACAACAACGGCGAACTATATCACGCGTCGTTTAAGGGGGTACTCATCTCGGGAAACGAGAATCGACAGGCTGTCGGTAGCCCTCCACCATCCAGCAAACAATTTTTAATTAACTACCAAATAACCTACCAGATTCTAGGTGCATAGCTAGCTGCTCAGAGAAGGAATCTGCAAGGCACGCGCTGGCGATTGGCTCGAAGAATCGTCCCCTTGCGAGCACACAATGAGACCTCGGCACCAATCACGACATGGTTCCTGAGGACGATAGCGCGCGCGGAGGGTGGATGGCACACACCATCCCGTTTTTGCAAAAGAAAAGGGAACCACTGGAATCTTTGAGACGATTTTCCAGCCGCCAAGATCTTCTGAAGGTGGTGGTGCACCACCCTTTTCCCCCACACAGCCATTAGACGTTGGAAGCCTTTTCCATCGTCTACTGCTGCTGCTACGGTGCTACGGTGTTGTGGTGCATCCACCTTTCTCGATCTGGGCCAGGAGCGATTCGCTTTATGGACGCACCCCTGAAGGACAACAGAAAGATCCAATCATCTCCGCGGTAGCCCCTGAACCAGGGGGGAGAGGGTGGGCTCCTCCCCTTGGCCACAAGGGATTTGGAAGTAACCGGCGCAAGAGCGGCCTAGTGGGAAGGACTTCTGTAAGGATTACCTACCTGCCCTACCCACACACACACCACGCTACCATGGTTAGAGGACCCCACCAAGCCCACCAACAATGGCCCATGCCGCCCCTTTCAATTGCTGGCCGCTTACAGGGCCCCCTGTGGCTCCAGTCAGTCCAAAGTCCTTTTTGCTCGACTCCCGATTCTCTTTTGTCTATAGTCCCTCTCACTGTTGCATTTCCCTCAAGTCGTGTGTGTGTGTGTTTTGGCTCGGCCGTATTTCTGCTTTTTGATATATCGACTCCGCTCTCTCTCTCACTCCCTTCCTCTCTCTCATCTATCTGCTTGGTTATACGAGGTTTCTGCTTTTCTGGAGCCTCTTTATCGCAAAGGATCGACAAGAGACGGACCATGTCTGGTTGAGGTGTGGTTGAGTGTCGCCAACTGGCCAATCGAACCGAGACAAAGTAGTTCCCTCCCTCCCTTTTTCACGACCAGAACCAGGCACACACACACACACAAACATGTCACAGCCTCTGGTGGCCAGGCCTGTTCCATCGGAACTGGACCTGCACCAGGACTATGCTGATGAGGATGTTCTGGACGCATACGACCACTACGGATTGGACCAGGTCTCCGAGGGCTCCCCAGCAGCCGCCCAGACACCTGATACACTAGGTGCTTCATCTGTCGGCCCCTCCTCATCTGGCCTTGCTGCTGCTGCTGCTGTTGCTCCTCCTGCGCCTGCACCAGCCGATGCTGAACACCACCACTACGACCACGACCACCACGAAGACCACCAAGACGACTACCACCGCCAGTCCCAGTTTCCATCTGATCTCATCCTCGCTCACGACGCCCACCAGGACATCCAGGGACAAGGGCACGGCCAGCCACCGCAACAGCAGCCGCCCCCCTCCTCCCGTCCCGACGCGGTCTCAGCCCATAGTGTCTTGCCGCGCCGTCCTCTGCCAGAATCTCTGCATAGCCCGAGGAGCACCAGATCCCATAGCCTGGCGGCTTCTCTTGCTTCGTTGGGCAGCCAGTCTCCGATCCGGAGAAAGCCACTCAGCCCAACCGCCTCGCCGTTGGCTATCCGCTTCTCGTCTGCTGCTGCTGGGTCTGCTTCCCGTATGCTGCATGACCTGGATCCGCCTGACTCTGGCTATTATTCTCTCAACAGTCCTGACTTGTACGCGCTGGCTCCCAAGCACCAGGCCCAAGGTCCGATTGCTGAAGCCACACTGCCCACCCCACTTGAGGAGGAGCAGTCCGACTACGACGACGACGAGTATGTTTCAAACCTGTCTACTCCCAGATTACTACTACCAACAAGGAAGGAGTAGGAAGAATGAAAAAATTTAAACTTTTGGTCTTCTTTTTCTTTTTCGTCATGCTAACTCAAATTTTCGCGTTTTAAAACAACAGCCTTGATTACAATTGGCCGTCCCCTCCAAGCGGGCCTGCTAGGGCTTCTCAGCTGGAGACACGAAACAACATTCCTGACGCCGACCCTGCTTATCCTCAAACAGGCGTCGATCTGGGACCACACAGGCCTTCTTTGACAGCAGCAGCAGCTCACGTCACTGACCAGGCCTATCCGGACTCCGGCCACGTTGTTGCGGAAGCATCCGAGCCAGTCGCTGCCAATAGTCCTCGTACTAGTAGCAGTAACATGTCTTTGACTGGTCGAAAATCTATCCCTCAACAGCTAGTTTTCGATCATCCAAACTCGGACGTCCAACAAGCTGCCTCTACCCTCAGCCGCCCTCCAGACAGTTCTTCCAGTCTCAACAAACCTCTACCGAGATCACCACCCATTTCACCAGTAGTAAAATCCCCCGTCGGCTCATCCAAGATCAGCAACTTCTTTGGCTGGGGACAACCATCTCCCGCCATCACCGATCAGCCTCGCAACAGCAGCAGCAGCAGCAGCAGCAGCAAGGAGGACTACTCCCCTATCCCGTCGCCTACGTCACCGAGGAGGAAGGAATCTCTCCCCGATGAATCTCCAGAGGCTCAAGGAAAACCCATCCCAATACAGTCATACACACAACAGGGCAGTGCCCTTGTGCATATCGAGAAATATTTCCCCACCCCGCCGAATTCCTATTCAGCAGCCGCCATCGTCGAGATCGAGGAGATGGAGGACGAGCTGAAGGCCATCAGCGCCGAATTGGCCTCGTCCATTCGGCGCGAGATGGATCTAGAAGACCTCGTGGAGAGGTTACAGGCCGAAGTTGCCCAGGCACCTGGGAAGAGGACCAGTGATTACTTCTCAGACTCGGGCTACAGCAAATCCAGCGACAGCGAACAGACGTCCAAGGAGGAGATCGCGCAGATCCAGCGCAGGGCCGAGCAGGACAGGGCACAGCTGCGGTTAGAGCTGACCAACAAGCTCCAGGAGGAGCGCGGCCGCCGGAGCGTGCTCGACCTGCAGATCAAGGAGCTGGCCGAGAAGGCTTCTCAGGCCGACACGGCTCAGATGACCAGCAAGGACGCCGACGCTAGGGTCAAGGAACTGGAGAAGACCTGCGAGGATCTCCGCCGCCGGTTGTCTGAGGAGAAGCAGGTCAAGGACAACTTCGAGGATCTGTTCTCTGCGCTCAAGGGCGAGCTGGAGAGCGCCTCTCTGGAGCGCGACAACCTCAGGGATGAGGTGGTCCCCCAGCTCAAGGCCCGCGTCGAAGGCCTCGAGGCGCAGCAGGCCGACAGCGAGAAGCTGGCATACGAGACGACCAAGATGCAGCAGGAGCTTCAGGCGCTCCGCGACACCAAGACGAAGCACGACTCTCTCGCGCGGCTCAGGTCGAGCTCCATCACTGGACAGTCTTTCAAGCTCGGACGCCCACCGTCTGGGATCCACACCGCCGGCCTGAGCAGGTCAAACACCGTCAAGAGCGGCCACGTCGAGTCTAGAGAGGCCCTTTCCGAGCGGCTCAAGGACGTGGAGGCCCAGCGTGATGCTCTGCACACTGCGCTGAAGAACCTCCTCGACCGACAGGACTTCCAGAACCGGGAGAACGAGAAGAAGATCAAGACTCTGGAGGTCGAGCGCGACCGCCTCCTCTCTGCTTCGCCACGGAAGGCTGGCTTCGAGAGGGAGGTCTCAACCCTGCGCGAAGAAGTCAGTGTGTTGCGCCGGCGGGCCGAAGAGGCCATCGAGCAGAAGTGGCAGGTCGAGAAGGGCCTCATAGGCCTGAAGAGCGACCTGGACCGTGCCGAGGAAGAAATCACCTCGCTGAGGGCCCTCCTCAACGAGAAGGACATCCTCATCCCGGATGCATTCTCGCGCTACAGCAGCACCTCGGCCACAGGCAAACCTGGCGTGGCTGTTACCTCGTCGTCCCTCGAGAAGGCCTACAAGGATCTGCAAAAGTCCTATATGGAGGCACTTGATGGGATCAAGGACCTGGATATCGGCGGCACCAGCGCGTCGCAGGACGAGAGGACCAGGCTTGCCATGAAACGACTTGAGCGTTCGCTGTCCGCGGCCCTTCTTGAGCGCGACGATGCCCGTCTCGAAGCAGCTGCTATGCAGGATCAGGTCGACAGCCTCCAGGAAGCTGAGAAGGCACACCTCGAGAGTGAGGGCGATCTGGCAGACCAGCTCCGGGACTCGGCGAACCGGGTCGAGGAGCTCACGCAACAGGTCCGCTCTCAGCTGGCCATCAACGCATCCCTGCGCACCCGCCTCGCCGACACCCTCGCCAGAGGTGAGGCCACCCAGAAGGCGAACAAGGACCGCCTCGCTAGCATGCAGAACCGCATGAGGGTGCTTGAAGAGGAAGTTGTGGCGGCGCAGACAGCCGCCGAAGAGCGCGTCAACCGCCATGAGGAGGAGCTGGCCTCGCTGCGAGAGGCAAACAACGGCAGCCTGAAGCGCCGGAGTGAGTCCAGCGGTGGACTGAGGTCCCCGCGGCTGTTCCCCCCGAAGTCGCCTATGTCGCCGCTCCTGTCGCCCAACTCGGGCGGAAGATTCCCCCGTATGCTCAGCTCGCACTCGAGGAAGAGCTCCCGGGCCCGCCCGGCCAATTCGGAGCAGCAGGAGGAGGACGACAAGCAGGTCGACGCGCTGAAGGAGCGCATCGCTGAGCTCGAGAAGGCTCTCGTCACGGCTGATTTCGAGATGCAGGAGGTCGTGAGTAGGATGAACACGGCCCAGATCGATGTCATGACCCTCCAGGAGGAGCGTGAGACCGCCGCGCGCGAGACCAAGAAGCTCCAGAAACAGCTCGAGGACGAGAGGGTCAGGGCTTTCCAGGAACGATTCAACACCATCACGAACTAATACCGAGAAAGAGAGAGAGTTGGCATGAGTTGATGGCTGTACCAACACTAAAGCATCGTCACATTTTTTGGATCGTTTGCATGATGCATTTACACCGGTTGAGCATATCAGCACGCGATACCCCCCGATCCCACATCGGGACTTGCACTTTTTACTGGACCACCAGCGTCCGACACGAGGAGGCTTGCGTCCCTGTCCTGGAAATCAGACCAGCATCGGCGTTTTATTATTATTATTATTATTATTGGCATTGGACATGTTTGAGCTTCTCGGGAAGCATTGTGCGGCTCGCCCACCCTACCGCCGAATACATGCATCTCTCTCTCTCTCTCTCTCTATATATACCGACGGCCACGCTTTCGAAGCACCTTCCTATCTAATGTTTCCTGGACACATACAAGTCTCGGCATATCCGCCTCTGGGCTGCTGTTGTCTACATGCATTCATAGAGCACGACCTCCACCTTTTATTTTTGGGTCTAATACTCGCTTCTTCAAGACTATATTGGGGGGCTTTTAAAAGTGGGATGGAGGGACGAATGGGTGGAAGGACAAGCCAAAGGGGCTGGTTGGATTATTAAGACTGCTGGGCTCCATAGATTACAGCCAACCATAACTTTAGTTATCTTGGAATAATGACCATGGCGGGCCAGTCATTTGGCACCGCTTTGGATAGACCAAACGTCTTTTTTCCCTTCTCGCTCACTGCCAGTGCTTCTCCTCGACTGCTGTTGGCTGGGCTGTCTGTACTGGCTGACGGAGGTCATAGCCAAGACACCGACGCCCTCGTTTCCAATGATTAAAACATGATAATTGACAGTCGCATGGCAACGAGAGGTTAAAATTTTGACTGACAAAAGATGCGATGCTGAGCATTTTAGTACATGAGATATGCTCCTTGACTTTTGAAGTTCCTAGATGCCAAGCATTTCTTCTGAGCTTGCGATGCTCTCGACTTCTCATACATACACACGCACACCCATACAATGTTCCTCCTTGGAGGAGAATTATAATCACTGTGGTCCCAAGATAACAAATTGATGGCTACAACTCATAAAGATGTTGGGGATGAGGAGTAATGGTTTGACTACTCGGAAATCCAGTTCCAACAGCCCCTCCCCTCCCCCCATATCGATTATTTCTCACGACGCCGAGACCTTGAGCTTCTCAATGTCCTCCACAGGCGCCGCATCATCCTCAGCCTCCTCAGCCTCCTCGCCCTTGGCCAGACCCGACTCCCAGAGCTGCCGCCCCGTCAGCCTCGTGGGGTCTTTTATCCGGGCCTTCTTCATCTCCGCAGCCCTCTCCTCCTCGTCGCGCACCCTCTGCTCCTCCATCTCGCGGATGAAGCCGTCGCGCCACTGCAGGAACGTGTCGCGCGTGACGGGGGTGCCGTGGAACTTCTTGTTTTCCTCGCGCTCGGCGGCGAGGAGGACCTCCTCGTGGGCGCGGGCGGCGTCCTCGCGGCGGCGGAGCACGAGCTGCTCGGCCTCCTCCTTGAGCGTCGTCACGAGGGTGAAGACCATCGCCATGCCCATGTTCTCCTCGATCACGGGCCCGAGGGCTGTGAGGAGGGCGGTCTTGTCGTCGGCTACGCTGAAGAGCGGGTGCTTCTCGCTGCCGTCGTCGGTGGAGAGGTCGAGGTGGGGGGCCTTGTCTGGGTAGTCTGCTGGGTAGCGCACCGTGAGGACCATGACGGGTTGGGGATTTTCGGGCTCGTCATCCTCTATGTCGAGGGTGATGGATATTCTGAACTCGGTTTCATTTATGTCTGCCTGTGTGTTAACAAGGATTCAATGCTGCTGGGTTCACCATCTTCATGCATGGGGTTGCAAAGGAGTTTCCTTGTTGAACGCACCTGTGATTTCGTCTGGGAAGATGGAGTCGAGCACTTCTCGCTCTTCTATTTGTTCTTCGCGACCCATTTTTGGATATTCTGCGGTTTACACACACACATACACGAAGTCCTGTCTAGTTTGAGTTGACTGACAGGAATATGTGCCGTGTCAAGAACGTACAGAAACGGTGATGTTTTGGAGGGGTAAAGTGAACTAGCCTATAGTCATGACTATTGAGGAGGAGGAATAGTCAAGCTAGAACTGGGGAGTCGTCGTGGGGCTTATCAGCGATAAGATCTGGACCCCTGTCGAATATTTTCCGAGTCCTGAAATTTTCCCAGCGCGCGCATGCAGGTGCAACCCGCCTCATCCTCTTTCCTCTCTTTCCCACCCTCACCCTTTTCTTTCTACCAGCACGTTCCACTTTTGTATACCGTTCCCAATTCAATTGGGTCAAAACGATGGCAACAAAGAGCGCAAAGATCGGTGAGAAGCGAAAGGCCTCTGCCACCACCGAAGGCAAGCCCGCCAAGAAGTTCTCAGGCAAGAAGGAGGGCCCCGAGTCGACGAGGAAGCTATGGCGAAACGAGGACGCCTCGGATGACAGCAGCGATGACATTTCTGTCGACGGAGAAGAAGATGTCGAGGATGTCTCACCACCTGCAAAGAAGTCCAAGCCAGCCTCCTCGGAGCACGATGGCTATAGCGCCCAGCCAGCCAAGAAGTTTGAGAAGGGTGTGTACTAAGACATTGCCCCCCTTCATGCCGTACACAATTCTCTGGGTGGAAAAATGTAGAAACGCTGACAAGAAGTAGGCGAGACCTCAAGAGAATCCCACATCAAGCAGAAGCAGCTGGCCAAAGATCGAAAAGCCGCCAGGCCCCTCGCCGAGGAGCTGCAGAGGACCAAGAAGATCTGGGAGCGCCTGCGCCGCAAGTCCCACGTCCCCAAGGAGGAGCGTCAGAAGCTGGTCGACGAGCTGTTCGACATCATCACCGGCCGCGTCAAGGACTTTGTACTGAAGCACGACGCCGTGCGCGCCGTGCAGACCGCCCTGAAATACGCCAAGCCCGAGCAGCGCAAGACGATCACCAAGGAGCTGCGGGGTACATACGCGCAGCTGGCTGAGAGCAAATATGCCAAGTTCCTGATCGGCAAGATGTTGATCCAGAACGACCCCGAGATCCGGGACATGATCATTCCTGAGTTCTACGGCAAGGTCAGAAAGCTCATCAACCACCCCGAGGCCTCGTGGATCCTCGACGATATCTACCGTGGCGTCGCGACAAAGGAGCAGAAGGCCGTCATCCTGCGTGAATGGTACGGGCCGGAGTTCTCGCTTTTCAGGTCCGAGGGAGACGATAGCACGGCCGAGCTGTCGCAAATCCTGGAGGAGCACCCAGAAAAGCGAGGCCCGATCATCAAGTACCTGATGAGCATGATCGACCAACTCGTGCAAAAGAAGATGAACGGCTTCACCATGCTGCACGACGCCATGCTTCAGTGTTTCCTGAACCTGAAGGCGGGCACTGAGGAACATACCGAGTTCTTACAGAAGGTCAAGGATGATGAGACTGGTGACCTGCTCAAGAACCTGGCGTTTACCAAGTCCGGTTCGAGGCTAGCCTGTCTTCTGCTGGCTCACGGAGGCGCAAAGGACAGGAGACAGTATCTGAAGCTCTACAAGGAGACATTTGAGGCCATGTGCGGCGATCAATATGGCCACCTGGTTATCCTTACGGCATACGATGTGATAGATGACACCGTCATGACCGCCAAGGCCATCTTCCCTGAAATATTAGGGAAGAATGAAGAAAAGCAGAACATTATTTTTTGCGCCAACGATATCAACGCGCGGACAACCATCCTGTATCCATTCGAGGGCATGTCGCGGGCGTTGTTCCCCCTGAGCCAGAGCGCGGACTTGGAGATCCTCAAGGAGGTCCATGAGGTTCGCAAGACAACTAGCAAGAAGGACCCAGAGATACGGCGCAAAGAGCTTGTGGCTGCCATGTCCCCGGCTCTGCTCGAGGCGATCGCCACATCTGCCCGCGATCTTGTCTCGACCTCTTTCGGCTGCCAGTTCGTGACAGATGTCCTCCTCGACGCAGACGGAGACAAAAGCCAAGCCCTACAAGCAGTGGCGGAGGCTGCCGCGGGCGACCCAGCGGCGGCCTCAGAGAACAGTGAGGAGCTGTACACGGGAGAGTACCCGCATCCTTCCCAAACAGCCTGGGCGGAGAGGATGTTCAAGACTCTCATCCAAGGCGGCCGTTTTGACAAGGCATCCAAGAAGATCAAGGTCGTCGAGCCTCCGCTGGACTTTGCAAACATCCTCTACCCCATCATCAAGGACCACATGACGGCCTGGGCGACCAGCCGCAGCTCCTTCGTCGTGGTGGCTCTCTTGGAGTCGGACAGCTTCTCGCAGAAGGAGAAGATCAAGAAGGTGCTGAAGAAACACAAGGCCGAGCTGCAGAAGGCCGCCACGGAGCCGGTGAAGAAGCCAGAGGCCGAGCAGGAAGGCGGGGAGAAGGGCGGTGCAAACGGCAAGCAGAAGAAGGGCGGCGCCTCCAAGAAGGACCGGCGGCCGGTCGGCAATGCGGGTGCCAAATTGCTGCTGGAGAAGCTATGAGTTTAGCTTGGTGGATTATGGGAGTTTGGGCGCGCGCACACACACTGACCGCATCAGGATTATTATCGCCAGTGGTAAACTTAAGATATACATGTATATTCACATGAGAGAGAAGGCTTGGCCAGAACAGCACTTTTGTCCAGCCCATTTACAAAATATTACCTTGTGGACCGCTGTCAATCAGATGTCTTGGGATCTCACTTGAACGTTTCCACCTCTTGATGTCATTGTTTTCATCCCATGTACCTATCCTATCCATGAGACGTTGCACGAGAAGGAATTCGCCCAACCTGCGCACGGTCGCATGGCGCAGGCATCCAAGTACCTGGAACGCTTGCTTGTTCTTGACAGGATGGGACTGAACTATGATTTGTAAAAGTGATACCCTTTTTGTCCTTTCTTCCCGTCTCTTCTTTTCCCCTTCTTCTTCTTTCTTTCCTTCATTTTTTTATGAGACAATATGGATCACAGTACAGACCAAAAAAAATGTCTTTCTACACTACCTCTCTCGGAAAACCTGCGAGATGCTATTTTGCGAGCCTCTTTAAGGAAAAGACGCTATACGCCACACACCGCTGTCCATGCGAATTGCTCCCAAGTGAAGAACAGAACAAAGGCCCATTCATCCCTGGAATGGTGGATTTCGCGATCAGCATACGTTTGTTGGAAAGCGTTACGAGTGATAGGTTCTAACAGTCTGGAGTGAGCAGGTCTATCTATGATTGAACAGAGAGTGAATGGTGAGTGTGGAGTAGGATGGTTCATGGTGGTCGAAAGCTCAGTTGTATGTCACTTCAGAAAGAATGTGTTTACTGCTCTGGGTATCCGTTGAACGTGAGTGTCGATTGGGAAACCAGAATGAGAGCTGTCCAGAGTGATCGACCATGAGTGACATATCTCGTTGAGCAGATCGAAAGCCTCCAGGTCGACACTGCATTGCGCGTAAAGCTGGTTGTCCTCTGCCCATCAATGGCATCTTGATCCAACCCTGAAACTATTCAGTGTTGCTGTCCAGTCTAGAGAGCTTTTCCAGCCCACTCCATCTCACAGCTTCACTTTTGCCTAGGTGTCGGGTCCTTGATCGAAATATGTTCCGTGATGTCTCGCTGATTACTATCCCCCCCCCCCCCCGGTCTCTCTCCCTCTCCCTCTATGAGAATCGTTTGTACCATTTCTCCCAATTTTCCTTGAATGGGTACTGCCGAATAGCTCTCTTTCTGTCAACCACTTATGCTGCTGCTATCATGTGAACCTTGAACAGTGGCCTTCCCTTCACAGCCCCCCCCCCCCCTTCCCTCCCCTTGCGCCAATAGAAAGAACCACAGCCGCGTTCGTTCTCCTTTCATCTCTCAGAATGCACGACCAGAACAACAACGTCCAATCATGCGCGACGAAACAACATATGGTCGTCACCGCGACCTTGTGGCCGAGAGTTGCCCAGCGGGCTTCCTTTGGTACGAGTGCGCGGACACTGGCTTCGTGGGCTGCTGCTCGGTTGATCCGTGTGGCCTGGGAGGATTTTGTGCGTTGAACGACGAGCCTGTGGTCTCAGGAACAACATCGACAACATTGGCGAGGACATTGACGCTGGAGAAGACATCTTTGACCCTGGCACCGACTGGGTCGACAGCGCCAGGGACTCCTCCTCCTCCCGTGTCAACATCCTCTCCTCTTCCAAAAACCATAGCTAAAACGTTCTCGACACCTCTAGTCACAACTGTAACCACAACGATCACACCAACAACCTCAAGTACACCTCAGACTGCACCTCTGAGCAGCACCGTTACCACCACCGCTAACCTCGCCCTCTCGACGACGCCAACCACCCTGACAACCATCCCCTCGACTACCAGCAGCGCCAACCCCTCATCATACATATCCTCCTCCTCAGCAGCGGCAGGAGCACCAACACCCACGGTCACGCCTGGTAACAACGACAACAACACCTCAGTCTTCCCCACCACCCTAGTCGCAGTTAGCTTAACTGGCTCTGCCATCCTAAACCTGTTCGTGGCCCTCGCGCTTTACATACTATGGCGCAACGGCAAGATCAGCATGGTCGGCGACGAGGAGGCGACGCGCACGCGAAAGAACAGGCTCGTGGCCACCATGCCGAACGGATATCTGCCACAGCAGAAGCAGCAGCAGCAGGGCTCACGGCGCCAGCTGAACGTCAACAAGCCCTGCCCTCCCCTCCCGTCGCAGCCCAACGGTCGCTCCGTCGCGGACCGTCATTCTGACCGCTACCACTCCTACCAGTATCATCTCTTGGACCACAGTTCAGAATGCTCCTCACTCCGCTCTTCGTCTCTCTCTCTCTCTCGGCAAAAGCCTTGCACGGAAACAAGAAAGAACTGCCCCTCCCCCTCCTCCCAGGCCGATATCGAGAGTGGGCGGTAGCGGGCAAATCCGGCGCGGCGTAGCGAGGAGCACGACTTCCATGTGCTGAGTGCTGCGCCGAGGGGGAATGTCCATGGCGACGGGACGGGACAGCCCAATGCAAATTCGGGCGTGCGGATCTCGTGCGTGAGCCAGACTTTCGCCATCATCGAATTACGGCCAAGGCGGTGTGAGACCAAAATCCAACTGTTTGGTTGTCGTGTCGGGCCCAACCACAAGTTTGCTTGAGAGGGAGCCTTCCGAAGCGATATGCTGGGAGGCGGAACTGCGACGTCCGAACTGTGGAAAGAGGTGCGACTGTGCGTGATAGGCCGCATGTGTCAACGAGAGAAAAGAGGCATGGAGCTTCGTATCGGGCCTGGTGAGCATCATATCAACCAGAGGAATGGCGTTATGAGAGGAGGGTTTTCCAATGAAGGCTGCAGAGAGCACTGCAACATGGCATGTGCAGAGAAGAGCCTAGAGGCATGATATGCAATTCCTTCTATATCTTTGAGATCACTTGAATCCTGCCTAGTTTTCCTCCCTTTTTATTTTTCTTCAACTCCTCAAATGAACACACTTAGGGTGGGAGGGGGTATACAACGCATGAACAGAAGAGCAAGGAGAAAGAGAAAATGAAAAGTCAGACCCTCCTTCGAAAGCAGATTCGTGCAGCTCCCCAACGCCGGATCCATGCTTGAAGTCTCCATGACCGTATGAAAGTGGAAAGGAGAACTTGCTTCAGTCTAGCTTCCCTTTTTTTTGGTGTCCCCTTACCGTGATGCCGTGACCGTTGCCGTAATAGTTTTTTCCTTCTTTCTCTGTCCATCCTCTATGACTCGTTCTCGTCGTCGTCATCGTCGTGGCAGTAGGAGTGGTAATACCTCGTCCCAGGCGAACATCACGCAGTGTTTTTTGCTCAACCAAAATCGTTTCAGCAAATTCATGAAGTCCCATGAGGAGAGCACTCCCGCTGCAGCAGCATTCCACTTCCTCGAATAACCCAGACGGTGTTCCCCATCGGCCCTGGAGAGAGGGAGGGGGAGGGAGGGGGGGTCGCGTGCGTGTCGCTTGAAGCAGGTCGCTCTAGCCTTGGAGCTTAGCCATCTGGTCTAGAAGCTCCTGTAGGACATCGTCGTCGATCTTGTCGGCGATAGAAGGAATGAGGGTCTTGGCCTCCTCAGCGCTGTCGCAGCAAAGCGAGCCTATACACAACAAACAACGGACCCGCGTTAGCCAAAAAAGGATTCAGGTCCCTCTCTCTATTTCTCTACACCTCTCTCAACACACACACAACCCCCTCCCCCTACAGCAAACTGAACTACGAGCCACTTCCAGGGGATATGGCGAGCGCATACCGATCTGGGCGCGCTCGAACTTGTTGAGCTGCTTGTGCGAGCTGAGGAGGCGCTCGACGGCCTCGACATTCTCCTTTTGCTTGAAGCGCGCAAACGCATCGAGGTAGTCGATGGTCTTGGACAGGATTTCGGACTCCTGGAAGTTCTTGCGGTCGTTGCGGCGCTTGGAAATCAGCGCGTTGATGACGAGCGACGCCTCGGACAGGGTGAGCGTGTCCACGTTCTCGAACTCGCCCAGCTTCAGCTCGGCGCCCGCCTGCTCGTCGCCGCGGGCCACCGGCTTGGGTCGCGAGGTGGGCGGGCGCCGGGGGCGCGACTGCTGACCGTTGCTGATGTTGTTGACCTGCTCTGCCATCTTGACTGGTGTGAACAGGAGCTGAGCGACAGCAGGGGGGCCAGTTCGGAGTGGTTGTCGCGAAGGGGATAAGAGAGCGTCGAGGAGGTGGGAGCGCAACCGGAAGGATGTGAGAGAGAGGTGGGTGCGACGACCCTTTTTTCCTTTTTCCTTTTCTTTGTGCAGCACGTCTCCCTCTCTTGTGTGAGTGCAGCTACTTGCCACAGAGAGTGGTGGTTATTAATAGCTGCAAAGCTGGCCCGTGGGTAATCCTGCGCTGTGGTGGCGTAGTTGAAGGTTGAAGTGATGGCAGAGAAGTTGAGAGCAAAGCCTCAGCAAGGTAGCCTCTAGAGCCTCCAATGTTGAAAGGACCTTGCAGCGCTCAGCGTCCGTGCACTCCATACCCCTGCACAGGCCCCTGACACCTACCCAGTTAACCCCTGGTGCAAAACGATCTCCCCCAGTGCACTTTTGCCAGTGTCCTTTAGAAGGTATTATTCAACCTCAACTTGTGATCTCAGGGGACGATGATTGATGCCTCCTCACTCTTCCTTCAGCAACCATATTCATTCCTTGACTCATTCCTTCACAAAATGTATTGACCCGACTTCCTTCTGTTTCAGAGCAATAACAACCTGATACTGGATGAGATTTTTTATCCTATTCAGACTCTTCCCTGTTCACAAGTTTCCTCCTGCATAGCGAGAAAAAGAGAGAGAGCCAGGGAGCCGTCTGGGCTAACCAGGAGTTTCTTCACCCAACATGTAAGAACAACACTACTTCATACATGAATCACTGGCTGATGTCATCTAAATAATGCATAGGACTGTCTTTGCACTCATGATCATCAACAAGGCAGGAGGCCTAATATACAACCGCACATTCCAGGAGGGTGGCCTCAACCAGCTCAGCTCAAATGACTATCTGGTGATAGCAGGCACATTTCACGGGTACATGAACCCCTCACACTCAACTCCCCTCCGCATCCATGTACACATGCTCAAATGAAAATAAACACAGTGTCCATGCCATCACAACACGTCTCAACCCAGTCAAGCAACCTCACATAATAACAGCACCCGGCGCCATTCCTAACCGGCCCGAGCCATCTTCCGGCCTCGAGGTCATGGAGACGGAGAATTTCCGCCTGCAGTGCTTCAACACCATGACAGGGACTAAGTTCCTGGTGTTTACTGATACCACGCAGGCCAACGTGGATGTCACTACCCGCAAGATTTACGAGCTGTACTCGGACTATGTCATGAAGAATCCGTTTTACCAGTTGGAGATGCCTATTCGGTGTGAGATGTTCGACCGCAAGCTGAGCAGTTACATACGGGAGATCAACAACAGATGATTCTGATCTTCTTGAGGGGAGGAAGGGGTGGGATAAAGCAGAGCCCCAGTGTGAAGGCGCTCTCTAGGCGGAGAAGGGGCAAGGGAAAGGGAGCAGACGGCTGGTAGGCGTTACGGCGTTCTTGACGAACAGTCTCTCATCTTGGTCACATATACTTGAAGCAAAGCCGGAATGAAGAGTAGCACTGGAAGTCATCGTTCCTCGTTTGGTGTCTTAAAAGTATGGTACAGCTCGTGACCCCTCGCAACTCGAGAATCTAAACCTCAAACCTGTAGATACCAAAAACACCTCTTTCCCATAATATGTCCCATGCATTTAATCTTAGGGGAGGGAAGACTCTTTCTCTTTCTCGGCTTACGCCCTGTCGGCAGAACGAACCCTTAAAAAAGAGATCTTGGCAGATCAAGAAATGTCCATCTTATCGTCACTCTTGTCGCCATCCTTCTTGTCTTCTTTCGAGGCACCACTGCCGCTTGGCTCGCCGTTCTGATCCAACAACGGCTTCGACGACTCATCCTCTTCCTTGACCGACTCCAACGATGCCTTCTGCGCCGCTTCTGCCTCCTCACGGGCCTGCTTGTCCCGGCGGGCCTGCTCCTCCTCCATACTCATGCGCAGGGCGAGTGCCAGCTCCGGATCGTTATTGGGGTCGAAGCCAAACTCGCCAAAGTCGTTGCCGGTATCTGCACCGGCCCCGGCAACGCCGGCGCCGCCCTCGCCTTGCATTATTGGAGAGCTGACCAGCTGATCCGACAGAAGGCCCACGCCTGCGGGGATCGCCACCAGATGAGAGCCCTCACCGGACTTGACAATTTCGTTGAATTTAGTCAGCTTCCCGTACGTCTCGCTGCCCTCCGTCTCGCCGAACAGCACGAAGTCGACCGATGTGTTGACCTTCTTGAGCTTCTTGGCCAGGCTGACCAGGGTCTTCTCGGTGTCTTGGACGGGCGAGCACACAAAGGCGACGATGCGTTGCCGCTGTGTCTTGTTCTGTCGGTGCTTGAGGGCGAGCTAATCGTTATGGACGCCTGGCGTCAGCTTGCTGCTCCATACCAAAACTAGATCTCCCGGCCAGACAAGGAGAGGAAGAATAGGACAGGGTTACACATACACTTGCCACCTGGATACCCGTAGCTAGGTTCACCTCACCACCAATCTTCTTCTGCGTCCGGTGCAGGCCCTCGAGGATACGACCTTGCTCTGTCGTCAACGTGCTGAGGACCTCTGGTGCGTTGCCACCCATGCTCATGAGACCAACGGAAGACTCTGGGTTGCTTGTCGTGATCGACTGGAAGAGGATATTGACAGCGTCCCTCTGCGCTCCGAAACGAGTAGGCGCGTAGTCTCCATTGCGACTGTGTTCGCTGTTGTCGACAACGATCATGACCGCTTCGAGGACCATCTTGGCTGTGTTTGTTCGGCGTGGGAGCGACGCCGGGCTGGAGGGGGTGGGGGGGGGGTCGCAAGCCGGTCAAAACCTTAGACCGTAAAAAGAGAGGGCCTAGATGTTAAGTTAAAGGAGAAAAGATGGACAAGACACAGCGCACAAGAGAAGGTGTCGAGGGAGGAAAGGTGGTTGTGGCTCGGACGTTGGCAGACAAGAAGTGAAGTGCTGAGTTAAGCTGCCGGGGAGGTTGACGTTGAGGGAGGTACGGCAAGCTCCCACAAGCCATTCGTAAGGCGGGTTCAGCCTGGGCTTGTCTGGGGGCGTCACACCCTGGACGGCAGGGGCTCTCAAGCAAAGACCCACAGAGAGTTTAGCGCGCCCAAATCCCTGCAGACATCTCATCTTTCTCCTCTTAGCCTGAGCCACTCGCCTTTTGTTTACCTTTGCCAGCCCAGCCAGCCACTTATGCATATTAGTTATTCGCTGGTTCATCTGACAATTTCAAAGGCGCGCAAAGCTGAACACAACACGACCACCACCATTTCACTTTCAGCATCGTTTCCCATCGCTGCTAAGTCATCACATCACTATTCAGAGGAGTCGATCTTCAATGATGGCGCCTCGTGGTATGAAGAGAAAGTCGGACGAAGGCGTGTCGTCAACAACAGACGGCCACGTCGATAACGTGCAAAACCCGCAGTCGCAGAGGACTGCGACCAGACCTGGCACGCCTCCAAACGCAGATGGACCTTCCAAGAAGCAGAAGACAGGCATATCGATGAACCAGAAGCAGGTTCTCATCGATAACCTCCAGCTCGAAAGTAGGCGGCCATACGCGACCAGTACTGCATTCAGGGGGTGAAAGTGAACCATGTTCTGACGCGTCTTAATAGTCACGGAGCGCGCACGCAAGCTGCGAGCGCAGTACAGTCTGCAGGCACAGGGTCTGAGGACACGCATAGAAATACGCGTGAATCGGATTCCCATGGCTCTGCGGAAAGCCAAGATGGGAGAGCTTGCGGACAGGTACAAGAACGGCCAGCCTCCCCAGCAGTTCAAGCCTGCACCTTCAACGGCGCTCTCAGCGTCACGCCCTACACTCCCACCACCAGTGCCCGAGAAGGATAGACCTCCTCTGGTGCAACCCGATTCTACGCGCTCAGCGGCATCTCACATGACAGCGCCATCACATGCCAGGCCGGGTAGTCCGGCTAAGAAGACCAGGTTCGTCACCGCTCACCCGTCTCAGACTTCTTTCCGTGCTCATACATTCAGTGATGAGATCTGGGGCACCGGGAAGAACAATGGTGGCGAGGCGACAAATTTGGAACCCCCCAAGACGAAGAATCGCGCTGAGGTAGTTGCCGACAAGGCCTCCAAGGTCCTCTCCCCAGCATCACCCAATGTCAGGCCCCTCCCACGACCCGCGCCCGGCGACAAACCCGCCCCTATCCGGCCCACACCTCTCTCTGAGATCGCGCCCTGTCCGGCAAAATCGCCTGTGAAACAGAGCAGCGCCTCCAATCTCTTCAGCACTTTGGCCGAGAAGGCTCGAGGCACGCGGAAGGATACTGGGGCCAAGCGCGGCGACGCGTCGGCATCGACCACTGCAAACTCAGCTGCCGGCACAGGGCGAGGGAGGAAGCCAGGCGCCAAGTCGGCCAAGGAAACCACCAAAGGTGGCCTGACAGCAAAGACTCAGCGGAGAGTTAGTGGCATCAGCGAGTCGAGCGAGAGCAGCACAGGAACCGTCGTCAAGAAGAGCACGGCGAAGAAGGTCGCGTCCGCCAAGGGAACTGGTGTCTTGGGAACTATTAGAAGAGGGGTTACCGGCGCCGGCGTGACCAAGAAGACAGCTGCCACGAGGGCAACCTCAGCTTCCACTGCTACTGGCAGGGTCCTGAGGAAGAGAAACTAATGACTGTTTTGCTGGTGTTCCGGAGGATCTATCTGGGGGCCGAGCGACTGCCGAGGCGGGACTGATTTGGACATGTACAGAGATGAGGAGGCCAAAGGTTGCAAAAGGGGTTGGTTCGTTCTGGAGGTCTGGGTCGGGTTTCACGGGTGGAGGCGCACGGCGTTCGGGTCTGCTATCAGCTGGGAGAGATCGTCACATGGTTGTGCCGAGAGCGCTATGCGAAATGTATTCGTTCCATCTCTGACTTGCCAGAATTGTATATGACTCGTTCAATCCATGGTATCCCATACAGACACAAACACACACACAATGCCTATAACCCAAAAGCCTTGCCCCGTCATGCCTTCATCCCATCTAGCCGGCACTCGCGGCGCTCGCTCCCTTCTTCTTCTTATCGTCCACGAACTCGATGTTATCCTCGGGTATCTGCTTGTATTTCTCGAGCAAAAACTCCTCGATCTCGTCGCTCACATCGCCCTGCACGACAATCTCCTCGCCGCCGGATGGAGTCTTTGTGACGCTGGAGCCTGTGGCGAACTTCTTGCCAAACTCCTTGGCGACCTTCTTCAGCTCGAGGTCGAAGGCCTCGAGCCCCGAGACGGCGGTGACGAACTTGCGCTTGTTCCTCTCGATGCGCTTGATGACCACCGTGCTGGATGCACGTTTGTCGGCCTGCTTCTGCTCGGCGGCCTCGGCCTTGGCCGTCTTCTTCTGGGCATCCTTTTCGGCGCGCTTCTGGGCTTCGATGGAGAGGTCGGCTGTGGAGGCTGCTAGGGCTTCTGTGGGGGTGGGAAAGAAGGGTGGGAAAGGGTATTAGCAAGCATGTAAAAGTAAAAGGAGCAATGGGGAGGGGAAGGGAGAGGCTGAATGGCGTACCAGGTGACCATATCCTGTGGTAGAGGTCTGGATGAGTCTTCTGGAGCCATTCCTGGCATTTCTTCACGGTGCCTCCATATTCACAATACTGGCCCCAAACAGGTGGTCAGTTGATCCGCTTCTTGAGTGGTGGGTATACGAAGGAGGACAGAGGAGTTTTTTGTAAATTACCTCTGGTGGTAGAGTGCAGACTGTACCACAGTTAGTTCGAGCACAAGGGAAACCATGGTATTGACGACAAGATGGAACAAGAAAACATACCAGCACAATAGAGCACCTTCTGAGCCTGCAGCTCACCTGGTACAGAGGACTCAACATCAGCCATAGCAGTGAAGAGCAAATATTTATAAAGAGAAGAGCAGGAGGGGATGCTTCTTCTTTCTATGTGTTGGGCTGGTGTGTGTGCTTTGCTGTTGCTGCTACTGTTGCTGAAAGTGTACTATTCATGATCAATTGTTGGCCCAGGTTCAGAGACGCGGGGTTCCTTTCCAGTGCCCCGCCATTGTCGTTGCTGCTATGGTGGTAGCCTGGTTGGCCAGGGCCTAGGGACGTCACTGAGCTAGGGGGGACGGGGGCGGGCTGGTGGGCTCCAGCTTACATAAGTCTTCCAGGCAATAATACTAGCAAGCCTGAAGTAGGTTTGCACGAATTGGCGTGCTAAGTGGAGTGTCAGTACATCTCTTGAACCCCAATGAGTGGGCAAACATGTCTGGAGCAGTTTTCAATGTCAACGCTGTCCATGTCGCCCCCATCTTTGCATTGCTGAGCCAGCATGCATAAGTTAATGAAGCAGGCAGATCATCAAGGTTCCCTCACAGCAGCAGCAAGGGAGGCCCCATCCAACCTCCAGCTTACCTCATCTCCTTCCTTGTCCATGCATACTTTACTATTTTACCACTCCTCCTCGATTCCATGGTTCAGAATGAACAAGCGCTGTTCTTTTCGTCATACCCATGGTTCACGATACATTTGAAGATCAACCATCAGGTCTGCGCCTCAGTGACCATCAGCGACTGACCAGGGCTCTCCAGCCAATCCTCGCATTCGCTCCCCTGCCCATCCCCCATGCCCATCCCCCATGCCGACCATTGCTCTATAGTGCACCTTGGAACCGCCCAAGATTGTACTCATCAGGCAATACGCCGAGCGGCTGCAATAATTGTTTGGAAACATTTCACGTATCGACAGACATTGTCACCAGATGAGTCGATGTTTGCTGATCATGGGCGCTTGTCTGATCTTGGTTGTTTCTTTCTTTTCTGTGGGGTAAACGTCCTTTCAGCCACTGTTGTTCTTACCAGCACTCCTTTCAGGCAAGCGATCGAGAAAGAGCAACGGGAGCTGCAACGAGACCTGCAGTCACGAGACCAGAAGCAGACTGGCAGACCGCAGAAAGAGGCTGGGATGATTGAGTTCTCGTCCTACCTGCTGATCTTGGATGGAACGAAAAGCCCGTACGAATATACTGGTGGTGGGTGGACCGCCTTCAACATTTCGTTCCTGCATGAGCCCCTCTCAGCCAAGTATCTGGGCATCATGAAGGATTACCGGGCGTCCTGAGATCTCTCGATCGATCGAGAACCATTGCCCCTTGCCAGGCCTCTTTGTCTTTTGATCCACCGACTCAGTCGATGACCGCCTTCGACCATCTCTTCTAAGCGTCCCGTCTGGGGTGACATTGGCAACGCAATTTAAGCGCCCAGGTCGAAGCGCCACATCCATCGTGTCACACCATTGGTCAATCTCTATTTGACTATTTCCTTCGTCCTCCTCCCAAGAAGGACGGTATTGGCCCCCAAGTTACCGCGCGCGAGCCACTAGAGACCCTCGACATCTAAATCAAGAAACCCCAGAAAACGCGGGCCTCGAGCTGATTGGTGGTCCTGCACAAGCAGTGCAACCCTACTGCCTCTTCTGCGCGATGTCGTGGACACCTGTGGACACCTCGCCGACCACCTTGTCGACAGCCGGGACGGGATTATCACCGAGCAGTACACCGCAACGGCCTGCCCCCTCTCTGCATATGCTTCTGCATGTCATCTTGGAGAGCGTCAGCACAAGGGAGGGACTTTTCGGGTGTGATGTGCCGCCTGGCTCCAATGCTGTCCAATGTCAGCCTTCGCCCTTGCCGACCCACGCAGATCGAGTCACACTTCCTTGTCCAAATCCAGGGTCTGGCCGCGGGCCGGCCAGTGGTGCTCTCCTCCTCGTCCTTTTCACGCTGCTAGCCGCTCGACGGACGGGAACGGGTTTCTGCATGCCATCAAGCGAGGGCGCTCCAGCACATGGTGGGAGGGGAGACTTGTTGGTCTCTTTTCATAAAACCATCTTCATGACCCACGTTCCTTTGGAACAGCTTCTCTTTTTCGCACTTCTCTTCTTTACATTTTCACTCCAGCGAGTTTGCAGGAATAGAGAGAGAGAGCTTCGCAGGGCGAGGCATTCCTGTCGTTTAGGTTTTAATATTTCATCTCTTTTTTTTTTCTCCCTCCCCCATTATTTCCTTGCTTCGGCGCAGAGCGTCGTAGCCGTCTGACCTCCCACACCTTACCCGACTTCTTTTTTTATCTTGGGGATGACAATAGTTGTTATTCGTGCCATTATACCTGCACGATAAGGGGATTGATTATTTTTCTTATTTTTCTTTTTCTTTTGGTTTATCCAGGGAAAAAAAAATGGCCGATCTACTTGTCCTACCTCAGGCTACATATCAGGCGCCCTCACCGCAGGAACGGAGACGACGTCGTGAGCTTAATACAATAATCGAAGATGACCAAGAGGACGACGTGTCGCCGATTCGTTCACCATTCATGAGGAAGCAGATTGCCAGGAACAGAACACAGGAAGACAGGAACAAGATCCAGGCGTGGCTGGCACCCCTCGAGCCCACACTGAGGGAGGACGTCCTCACGCCCAAGGGTTTTCCCACCCCAAGAGGCCGCCACTTCATGACCGCCCCAACACTGCCGTCCTCTCCATCGTCAGCCTCATTTTCGGGCGAGGAAGACAGTTCTCGAGGGGGGTCATCGTGCAAGTCAGACGCGTGGCAGCGGTCGAGCGTCATGACCGATGTGACCGAGTTTGACGACCTATATGGCGTCTCAGATGAGGAAAGGGGAGAGCTCAAGCGCAACTCGGCAAGATCCTCTCGAGGTCCCAAGAACTACGGACACAGGCTTTCCCCCAAGACAACATCCGACGAGGCCAGGAAATCACTGCCACAGCTCTCCATCCCTGACCACCCTGAATCAGAGAATGTGGCGTGGTCGCCAGAACGCCGAGGAGGGTTGAAGAAGACACATGCATCGCCAGTTCCTCCGACACCACCCTCGGCTGTGGCCATGTCCCCAGCCATGCTGTCTTTCATGAAGGCCCAACATGCACACGCCATACCAACAATCTCGGCACCGCCATCTCTGGACGGATCTCTTGATGGCAGCCTTACATCTGAGCAGCTGGCGGCTATGACTGCGCCGGCAACGCCCGTCATGGCCGGCGAGGATCCCTCAGACAGTGAAAACTGGGCCGGTGTCCAGCTGCAGCCTGGCGCGATGGAGACTCTTCAGGCGCTCTCTGGACCAGATTCGGAGGACGAGATGGAGGAACACCGCCAGAACCACGCCATTGAGGTTTCTGAGACGCCCATGGTGGAGACACACCGCCCATCACGCCCTCGCCTCATCACCAGTAACATCTCGAGGGCGCCCTTTGTGCTCTCCCCCGCCCAGCAGAGGTCTTCCCTGCAGGATCTCACTAAGCTGGATATCCCATCACCAGGCGGGTTCTTCTCTGGACTCTCACCACGGTCTCGGACGACTTGGCACTACGGCACTTCGCCCGCTGAAGATATCGCTCCTCCCACGTCAACGACAGCTGAGCAATTCTATCGAGTGCCCTGGAGCAGTGAAGAGGCTCCGCCCATGGCTGCAGCTCCTGCCCAGCGGCCCCTTCGCATGACAGCTGGCGACTACTCGACCGAGCCCGTGGAGCAGATTATCGAGGCGCTCGAGTCCATCAAAGAGGAGGAAGATGTCCTGACCGCAATGCGCATCAGGTCTCCGATCACTGCCATCCGAGTGCCACAAAACCAAACACCTGCGAACCCGGGCGTCGACGCCGAACAGATTCTGTCGCCCCTCTCACCAAGAGATGAGAATGCGGTGACGGAGATCGTCGTCGACTTCGATCCCGAATACGCTCAAAAGCAGCGTGCGATTGCGACCTCGCACATCGACCGTACCGAGCTGTGGCTCAGGGCACAGTTTGCCTACTTGAGAGGCGTGGGCTTCGAGCCAGCGGAGCCCGGCGCAGATGTCGATCCTGAGAAAGTCGTTCTCAAGACGACGGAGGGATCCGATGCAGGCGAAGAAGAGGCCGAACGGGCTCCCACACCACCTCCCAAGGATGGTGAGCAGCCCAGGCCCACCACGGCCCTTGTGCGCAAGAAGACGGTCCGCTTCTCGAGCCAAGTCACCACTACTGGTCCCTCCTTGGAGCTCAAGATGCCGTGTAGCCTCCCGTCCAGGCTTCTGAAGCAAGAATCCACCTACTACCGCGCCTTCCAGTCCATGATCGTCAAGTCCAGCCACGCAGACTCTTTCGTCTCCCGTGTGCCCCGCTTTGAGGCCCTCCAGGCCCAGCGCATCTCCCTCCGCGAGCAGCACCGTGCCCAGCTCCTCGGCAAGTACCAGCTCAGCGTCATCCCTCAATCCGCCAAGAAGCGCATGAGCGCCAACGTGGCCCGCGGGGACGACGAGATCTTCGAGGACCCAGAGAAGATGCGCGCCGATAAGGAGGCCGAAGCCCTGCGGCAGATGGCTACCGCCAACTGGCACGTCGCGGCAACCAAGATGCTCAACGGCGGCCGTCTCGTCTGCGCACCCGTGCACAAGCGACTGGCCCGCCTCTCCCTCGCGCCCGGCGCTGCCGTTGGGCCCAAGCGCCTGCGCATTCTCGACCTGGGCGGCCAGTCCACGTGCGACTGGGCATGGTACGCCGCCCACCAGTACCCCAACTCCAAGGTCTACACCGTCACGACCAAGTCGATCCGCCAGCTGTCCAACGCCAACGTGCGTGGGCCGCCCAACCACAGGCAGGTGGCTGTGACGAGCCTATCGAGGCTGCCCTTTGCCGACGGCCAGTTCGACCTCGTGTCGGCGCGCGAGCTGCACAGCATCCTCAAGAACTCAGACGTCGCCGACGCCGAGGACGAGTGGGACGTCTGTCTCCGCGAGGTCATGCGCGTGCTGAAGCCCGGCGGCTATGTCGACTTCAGCGTCATGGACTCGGACATTGTCAACGCCGGCCCACTGGGCCTGGCCAAGAGCGTCGAGTTCGGCTTCACCCTGCAGACCCTCGGCTACGACCCCAGCCCAACCAAGACCTTCCTCTCCCGCCTCTACCGCGCTGGCTTTGACGATGTCCGTCGCGGCTGGGTCGTGCTCCCCCTCGGCCCCAAGCCGGCAGAGAAGCCCGGTCCCATCCGCTACGGACCCAACGGTCCCATCGACGCCAAGACCGCCGCGTCTCAGCAGCAGCAGCAGCAGCCCCCTCGCGGCGGGAAGACGCTGTGCCTGAATGCCATGGTGACCCAGGAGGCCCCGTCAGGCAGCACCGACGGCGCTGCGGCCATCGCCGGCGTCGCGGGCACCTGGAGCTGGGAGAAGTGGATCCTGCGGTGCGAGATGGAGAAGGCCGCGGGCGAGATGCACAGCGGCTTCAAGCTGGCCGACACGGTGTCGACGGACGGCGGGGTCATGAAGGAGGCTGGGAAGAGCCTCGACGGCGTCGCTGCCGTGGTCGAGGAAGGCCGCGCTCGTGGTGCCGGCCTGCGCCTGCTGAAGGGGTATGCGCGCAAGCCTGAGAGGCGGGAGCTGGATGAGATCATGGGGACGATTGATATGATGCTGGACTTTTGAGGTTCGATTGATGAATGGATGCATGGATGCATGAATGGGGTTATGGTATATACAAACACGATTGACGATGCGCTCTTTTATTTTTCTATGTCTATCTCTTGGGATTCTTCTTCTTTGGGTGGGTGCAGGATCAGTAAAAACTAGAAATCTCCTTTTTTTGTAATAACGTGTCCTCTGTCCGGTTTGGATTCCGAGGACTTATGTATAAACAAGGAATACACACACTGCATCTGCCTGACATCAGTTCCCCAATAGGCGAAACATCATCTCTATAAACACGCGGCTAGCTTTGCACACGAAAATGTTTCTCGCCATATCGGTGTTTACGCCAAATAACCTGTACACCGTGTACACCGTGTGCATGAGGGGCAAGATAAGATCATTTCTGTGGTCAGATAGACACTTCCAAGAAGCAGACAAAGCAAGCAATGGTATTTCAATACCTAGGTATCATTCGCTGGCCGTAGAGGCGTCTCATGGTATCAAGCTACGAACGCCAGCCCCCATGTCCTGTACGTTCTTTTTTTTTCTTCCTTTCTTTTTTCTTTCTTTGCTGTCTCTCGCGCGCGTTCTTGTTGGTGTCTTCTAATCCAACACAATCGGTGCTGCTTGGGACGAAGCCATGTTGAGCTGTATAGCAGCAGCAGTTGCCGGAACACCAGTCGCCAATGCCTTGACAGCAGCGCTGATCTTGCTCAAGAGGGCCTCGATGCCGCCGCCTCCGACCTTCACGACAACGGCAGTATCGAGGCCTTGCCATCCCTCAGGCGTGATGCGGCTGGTGAATATAGGCTGTAGCACCTCGTCCAGCTCATCGCGCTGTCCTCCCTCCCGGCCGTACCGCTGCACTTCCCACCAGGCCTCGCCGTTTCGCGTCCTGACTCTGACGCTAAGCCGCAGTCTGCGCGGAGATTTGTTGTTCGCCACAGCTGCGAGCTCGAAGTGAACCGTTATCCAGTCCAGGGCATGTGGTACAACCTCGAAGAAGCCCTGGCCATTTTCAGACAGGACAGCCCAGGTAGCCTCCAGAGAATCGAGCACTCGGTGGAGGGGGAGCGTGGCCTGCAGACAGCGAGGTAGCGCCTTCATGCCGATCTGCGAGTTAATGAGCTTGTTGAGCATGTCCAGGATGCGTGTATGAGGACTGCCCGCCTCGAGATGGATCTTGATTTCCTGGTGCTTGGCCAGGTCCAGCGTCACCTTCCATCGTTTGTCTCGTGTCGACGCGTCGCTGCCGGCCTCACCATAGGTGAAGACGAACTTGCGCAGTGTGACACTCTCACACTTCACGCCGCCGGCGCGGTCGCCCATCGAGCTCACGAACTCGACAAGGCGATCTATAGCTTTCAGACGGGTGGCGATAAGGGGGATGCAAGAACTGTCCATCGTACGTTGTATCTGCATCACGAATTGGCCGGCCTGCGCATCGTAGCGGACGTCGCGGTCGACGTGCTTCTTCTTGATCAGTGAGAACATGGACTTGTCTTTGACCTTCACCTTGACGTCTTGGATGATCTCGGGCCGCCCTTGGGCGCCTTCGACTTCCTCTCGGTACGTCATCGTGACATAGTCGCCGGCCCACGACGTCTTGAGCGGTCTGGTCGTCCGCTCACCATCTCGAGATGGTAATTGCCTCATGACCGCCGCAGTCTTGTAGAACATCCCTGGCATCTTTCGGCCAGGAGGTAGATAAGGGTTGTCCACCGGCTTGAACCCAAACTCAGGCTTACCAACGCCATGGTAGTCTGGTGGAGAATCCTTGAATCCACACATAGCAACGTTGACCATCTTTGTAAGTCTCGAGAAGAAATCGGTCGACAGTTTAGGGTTCACTGGCATTGTGAGAGGCTTGTACGTCTTGATGCGGGCATTTGGCTGGTTGTGCATCTTGTTGTTCCTGCCATCTGGCAGTTGGCTCGCCACTCTGTTGGGAGCAGTTGACGGGGCTGCTTTGGCCGGGTTGGCGCCGTCGTCCACACTAAGGCAAGGATCAGTCTGCTGTACAGAGTCAAGGGAAGATCTCTCGGGACCAATACTTACACTTCAACGAGCCACCAGTTGTCGCCGGCCAAGCTCACACAAACCACCACGTACCAAGGGGAGGGCCAGGTATCTCGCCTGAGCCAGAGGAGTTGGTAGAACTCTCTGGAGGGGTGCAGCTTCTTGGCCTCGTCTGGGAGGACTGGTCGCTTGCACATGACCCATCCCATAGCCCTGCCGAGCCGAACAAGTTCTTCAAACAGACTCTCGCACCTAATGTGCTCAATCTGGCCAAAGCTGTCCTCTACAGCATCCCTACCCCGAAGATTGAGGATGGCCTCTCTCCGACTGATCAGGGGTTTGGTAGGCTCCAGATAGAAATTGCCGGTGACGCCGTTGATCTTCACACTCAGTGTCTCCGAATGCGTCAGTTGTATCACCAGAATCGACTCTGATGGCTCGCTCTTGTGGAGCTTCATTGAGACGGAGACCTGACGGCTCGCATAGCGTGGCTTTGACATCAACTTGTCGCTGATAGACTTCAGAATATAGCTGACGTGCTTGCAGATGATTCGATTCAGAAGATCCTCGGCAGAGATCGTCTCTGTTCCAAACGATGACAGATCTGCGTCACCTGTGACCTCCTTGCCGTCTCTGAACCATCGAATTGTGAGGTAGCTCGTCGGATGAAGACTAGGCAGCGAATCCGCAGATGGCGTCTTACCACTATTGACGCCAATGATGATCCAGCTTTTGGGTCCAGCATTGGCCTCTGGTTTGGGTCCAGTGCCGAGGTAGCGCTGCGCCCAGTACTGTATGCAGAGCGCCCTGTTCAAGGGCTCTACCTTGATGTGGTTGATCCAATGCTGCTGACTGAGCAGGACAGCCTGTCGCTGCAGCTCGCGGATCTTGTGTGTCAAGACATATCCATGGAGAAAGTCGTAACATCCCTTCAGACCCTGACGGCCGAGGACGTCATTCACGTTCATCGTCATGAAGTGGCGGACCTTGTCGGTAAGCTCTTGAGGCGCTGGAGAAAAGTCAAAACGAAAGTCGATGAACCACCATTGACTTTCCGGGTCGTCATTCCCGATGGTGAGGTCAACCTCGAACTCTCCCTGCACCTTGAACGTGACACGGCCGTCCTTGACGGTGAAGTCTCTGAATTCGTAAGGTATCTTGTCATAGTCATGAAGGGTCAAGCGAAAGGACAATAACGTATTCAGCTCGCCGAACCATTTCTGGATCTCCTCAGCTTTCAGAGCAGGTGGAGGGATGAACCTATTCTGTTAAGAGTCAATATAAGTCTTAATTCATGGGGCAGATGGAGGAATCAATCTTACACCAGGCATCCAGTCAGCTCGTCCTGTGGACAATACCTGCAATGCTGTCTTGATGTCGGGGTTTGGTAGTCGAATGTCATAGATGCCCCTTTTGACGTGACCCATGCGATCGAGGACTATGTTGTACTTTGCCAGTTGCTCTAGAATGTGGGAGTGGAGGTCAACGAGCTTGCTGACTTGACCTGACTTCCTGCTCCATTCTGACATGACAAGTGCTTTGGTCCATTTGGCGTGCAGTTCATTGAGGAAGTTCAGGAGGAAGGCCTTCTTATTCTGATTCTCCTCTGAGCTGTCCTCGCCAGATCCAGATGGGTTGCCATTGGCTGCTGCGCCCTGGCCAGGTGGCATCCTCGCCAGCTCCTCTACCCTTAACTGCAGTTCATTGTGTGACTTCTGCGCCAGACGCTGGAGAATGAAAGGTAGAGGGTAGTAGTTGGCAGTGATGTGTGCAATTTCGGGTGGTAGCGAGCTCATGATGGTCTGTCCTGTGGCATTTGAGTCCGCCTGGCCTTGCTGGATGCTGTCTATGTTGCCGTTGACCATAGCAGTGCCGCCAACGGCCTGTCTGGTTTTGCTCGGGGAAGGCTCCTCCTTTTCCACGACTCCGTTGAGGACGCCGTTGATGACTTTGGGATTTCTGTCATGGTTGCTGCGGGCGACCGCCCCGTTCTGTGTGGCACCATTTTCCATCTTGACCTGAGCCCCCAGCAACCTTAAGTCGACCCGAGGGCGAGAATCTCATTCGCGAGATCTCACCCTGCCTCTTGGCCCCTCCTTCGCTTTGCGCCCCCGTCGGTGAACAGGTTGGCAACGACGCGACGATCTTGAAACTCAAAAGAGGAACCGAGACACAAGTCAAGCGGTCGCAGCGATGAGCGCTGGTGACGGGTAGCCGAGTCGGGGGTTGTGAATCGTAGGCAGGTCGCGGAGCCCAGTCGCAGCCTCGTGCGTCCCTTTCAACGACGTCGCTGTTGCTTTTCACGGCAACAGAGGAGGGCCGTCTGGAAATACGAAGTGCAGTCGCGGCGGTACAGTGGCCTTACACGCGTCTGTCGGGTCAGGCAAGCGCGTCTAGGTCAGAAGATTGGGTAGCTCGCCAGTCTGTCGTCAGTCGCGTTCGGCAGTAGAGGTGGAGGAGGTTGGTAACTCTTGGGAGTCGTCGCCGCGAAAGCTGTCACGAAGGTTTCTGTCTGTAGACAATGCGACTGTTCCCAAAATGGCTCTTTTTCGCAATGCGCGTTGTCGGGCGCTCCCTTGTGTTGACGTTAAGGTGAGGCGGGGACAGCCAGGTTGGAGGGTAAGGTATGTGAGAAAGTTGATGAGGGTAACAAGTTCGAAAGGTCCAAGGTTGGCAGGTTGCTGATTGACGTGAAGGGTCAGGTCGAAGCCGGGGTGGGACGCAGGCACTAACTTTAGCGCCAGTGCCCAGGTCTCGTCTCGACGCGGCGCCAAACCTATAAGCCTACTATGTAAGTAAGTACCCTGTGGTTACAAGTACAGGCCCAAGCCTACTGGCCGCTTGCCAGGCCGCTTTACCTAGCCACGACAGTTCTACTAAACTCCCCCCATGCCTATGATAGCCGTGCTATCCCCTTTGTCTCCCTTTCACCTTACTACCACGTGACTACGGTGCCGACTGCCACTCGGCGCATCTCTTCTGACGGCTGCAGCCTTTATAATTGCAGCTGTAGCGCATAAATGAACATCCTCCAGGAGCGCAATTGAAGTCAGGCCAGAAAAATTTCACAACAAGGTCTTCCATTTTCCTCTGGCACTCCGGGTGCCAGCAAGGGGCGCTGGATGCACGATCGCGGAACGATGCACCATCTCACCGAGGCAATTCTGTATATGCAAGAACGTTATAATTCAATCGATATATTGCACACAGAAATCACCAGCAAGCACCTTCGTAATTCAAATCAATCTACAGTACAAGGGGATGGGTAAACTTCATCACGTTGTGAATCGCTTTCCAAGACATGGGGGAACCGATTGTATTACAGAACTTGATCAGTGGCCTTCTGTTCTATAAGTATCCTCTCTGGCAACCGGAACTTGCGTCATCCGTATATCCTAATCTCTCGAGAATCCATCATTTGAGGTTGAGAATCTTATTCCAGGTTGAGGGTTGGGTTTGGGGGGGGGGGGGCCAAGAGTTTCGCGCTGATAGGGTTCTTAGATACCTCCTCTAGCTATTGCTGATTGTTATTTACAATTCCTCAAAGTGCTGACTATAGTGACCTTCGATTTGGAGCGCATTGCAGTTCACAGGACTTACAACTTGTTCGTTGGCTGCGTGGCTGAGGTCGTCGGCCATTGGTAGCCCGCGGCATCAGAGAACCTGTATCCATACGATGCAGTGAAGTCGTCAAGCACGCCTGGACCGCGAGAACCTGTTCGATGAATTAGAGTCTGAGGTTGTCACCGTGGATACTTTGAATAAAAACTCACCATAAGGATACTCCATTGGGATAATCTCCTTGTTGTCGTCGAGGTAGTGGAGAAGTGGGGTGAAGATCCTCCAGCTTGCATCCAACTCATCGTCTCGGACAAAGTTGGAGTGGTCACCCTTCAAGCAGTCGAGGATCAGTGACTCGTAGGCCTCCGGGATTTTGAGGTCAGAGAACCGTCTCCGGTAGGTCAGGTCCAGTTCTGTGACGACGGTCTGCATGCTCAGACCTGGCAGCTTCGAGTTCATCTTGATGTATACACTCTCGTTGGGCTGGATGCGCATGACCAGCTCATTGCGGGGAATGTCCTTGAAGATACCAGAGGTCACGTCCTTGAATTGCACGCGGATCTCCGTCTTCTGCTCGTTCAAAGCCTTGCCCGCCTTCATGATGAATGGGACGCCATCCCACCGCTCGTTCTTGATGTACGCAACCAGCGCGCAGAAGGTAGGGCATCGGGAGTCCTTCGGGACGGTGTCGTCTTCCTTGTAAGAGGGTTTGCTGCCATCAAGGGAGCGGCCGTATTGGCCGATGATGACGTTCTTCGGCTCGATGGCCGGGATGGCTCGGAGAACCCGCACTTTCTCGTCTCGGATATCCTCGGAGGAGAAAGAAATAGGTCGTTCCATGGCGAGAAGGGTCAGGACTTGCAGCAAATGGTTCTGCATGACATCTCGAACGATGCCGAATTCGTCAAAGTATCCACCACGACCTTCGGTACCGAAGGGCTCCTTGAATGTGATCTGGACGTTGTCGATGTGGTGACGGTTCCAAGTAGCCCCAAGGAACGAGTTGCCGAAGCGCAGGATCAGGATGTTCTTCACCATCTCCTTGCCGAGATAGTGATCGATGCGGAACAGCTCGTCCTCCTTCCAGTCGGGCTCCAGGGACTTCTGCAGCTCACGAGAGCTGGCAAGATCTTTGCCGAATGGCTTCTCGACCTGTTTCAGACAAAGAGTATGGGTAAGCCAGCTGAGGACACATAGCAAGGGAGGGTACAGGCGACTCACAATAACACGAGCGATGCCCTTTGTCGGGTAGCAGCATCTCTTCAGATGTTGGGAGACGATTGTGAAGACGCTAGGTGGCAGTGCCATGTAGAAGAGACGGTGTGCCTCCTTGCGGTCCTTCTCGATCTCCTCGAGGTGCTTGTTGAGGGCCAGGAAAGAGTCGTCGCGGTCGTATTGGCCGGAAACGTATGTGCAGAGGCTGCAAAAGTCCTCAAGCATCTTCTCCATGTCCTTCGTAGGTGTCTTGATGTATGATTTGACCCTGCGCAGGTACTCCTCATGGTCCATCTTAGTCCTGGCATAGCCGACGATCTTGATGTCCTTAGGCAGGAATTGGTTTCGGTACTTGGTGAGGGCTCGTTAGTGTACATGTCGGGAATCGTCCTCGAGTCGTTGGTTGGACTTACAAGACCAAACAGGGCCGGGAACTAGAAACAATTAGCGACGACACTTATGACGCTGGGAATGTTATGATTCTCACAGTCTTCTTTTTGGCCAAATCGCCGGAGGCTCCGAGGACCACAATGACGGTGTTGTCCTTGAGGTCCATGGCGCTGCGTTTTGAAAGCTTGTCAGCTGCGATACAATATAGGAATGGCCTCCAAACATATGCGATGGCCTCATTCTTGGTAGTGTCTACGAGGAAATGGGTAGTGTTCCAGGTGGACGGGCTGTCTCTCGTCGCACCTTTGCCGCTCCCAGCACTGGTCGATACACTGCATACACACTTGGTCTCTCTGGCGGGGCTCGCGGGGCTCACTTACGCGGCGGCGGAGTGCAAGTCTGCCATCTTGGTCTTGCTCGAGGGAGGAGGAGGGCAATGCAGGATTGTAGAGAGGAACAGGAGAGCGGGTCGAGAGGAATATGCTGTTCACGGTGAGGAAGGGCGAGACGGGGGCACAGGGTGGTTTAAAAGGCAGGAAAATCGGAGGGAGCGCTCGGGGTTGTCGCAGTACTGGCGGGCAGGAGCTAGGAAAGGCGAGTCCCAAGCTTACTCATGCCGCAGATTCCGCTGGGTCGATGTCACCGTCGCGGGGTACTTGCTCTGGGTCTGATAGGGTCACTAACAGCCTCTGCATGCCGATGCAGGCGCACTTACGCTATCGGTTGGTACACTGATACCCATATCTCCGTATCTCTTTGCTGCAACTTGAACGTAAAATGATCGCTACGTGGATTCAATCAATCTCAAGGTGATAATGTCATTTCACAGCTAAATTCTCCAGGCATTTTTAAGTCATCACAGAAGCAAACTAGACGGTTAATCACAGTAGGCATTTGCGACCGACAGCTTGATGATACATCCAAGTCTCGGGGTGCATGATGACGACGTAAACAAATTTTTGGCCCGGCGTCAGAACTAGTGACTTGGGAGCTAGACTGGAGCTCTCAACAATTGTTTCTCATCCTCCAAACAGGCATATAGTATACATACGTGGTTATGATGAAATGGCAACTTGAGGACGGTTTCCAAATCTTCATCTACATCAGATTTTATCAACTCGCCGTTACTCATGCCGATAGCTCTCTCCATTATCAAGCTTTTCTAGCCTATTGGACAGATTTAAATTTTTTTTCTTCACTGAAACATGGTATTGACGTATGAAAATCGCTCACGACCAATGTAGATATTTTTTTTCTTCCTTTTTTTTTCTAGGAGTGTTTTCCAGGACCTCTGACATTGTAATGGCTCTAAGGTAGTGGACACTGACGATCATGTAGCAAGGGTTCTTCATGAGCATGTCTGCCTTCCACGGGTACCTCCCGGTTTTTCAATTTTCTCTTTTGTTCTCCTTCCATTCCTCCAGTCTACGGACATTTTTGTAAGCTCCACATGGGTTACTGGGTGTTGTTCCAGCTGCCAAATCTCGTTCTACAACTCGGACAAGTATGAGCCGGCCGGAGATCTCGGGGACTGGGCAATTTGCAGTCCTCCCGGCGGAGACCTGCTGCTACCGGTCAGTCTAATCAGCATTTGACAGGCCCAGGACGAAATGTATGGGCAATGCGCTGGATTCCATCTTGAATGTCATGTTCACAGTAAAGCCGCATCGCGATATTCCAACTATCATATCAATCCATCACTGCTCCGGTTTAGGAAACCAGCCTGAACACCTTCGGGCAGCGAGGAATCAGAGCATGGAATCGCTTGTGCATTGCATCATATGTGGGTCTAGGGTGAGTGGTTGAAGCGCCGAGTCGCGACACCATTTGCCAGCCGCGCTTCTTAAGTCCCAGAGCAGAACTCGGCGCTTTTACAGGGATGTCAACCACTGGGCTTATGTCAGCAAAACCACGTGATCGCAATAATTTTCCAAAGTGTGCCCTGCCTCTGGACGCCCCATAGTTTGGAGACGCCCTCGTACTGACAGCGACTTTCAAGACGATCAACCACCAAGTCAATCGCAGCCAACTCCAATTTCCTTTTTTCCCTTCTTTCCCTTCCAAGTGGCACGGAGAGAATTCGAAAAAGTCAAGATGCCTACCGACGCCGGTCACAGACGTGAGTTCTTCATCCCCGTCCTTACATGTCACCGTCGCCATTGAGGGGATTTCGGTGGACATCGTCGTGGCCCACAAACCCTTGGTGCCGCGGTCTCTGTTGTATCTGCTGTTTACTGACTCTGCCTATTTCTAGTTTACGTTAAGTAAGTTGCATCGATTTACGATCCCTCGAGCAGAAAGGAGTGCATGGTGGGGCTTGGGTCAAGTCTGGAGGCAGCACAACTGGGTGCGAGGGGTAGCAAGAGGAAGAGGTGGAGGAGGAAGAGGCAATGCGATGGGACCCGAAGCCAGTGACGATGCGATTTTTCATCAAACGAGGCTGCCACAAATACACACACACACGCACACACGAACAGCAAGACTGACGAGTATAATCACAGGGGTCGCCACCTGTCCTACCAGCGTAGCCGACATGTCACCCACCCCAGCACCAGCCTGATCAAGATCGAGGGTGTCGACAACACCGAGGCTGCCAAGTACGTCCTCAAAACATCATCTGGGATATTCGTCGCGTCAGGTTCTGACAAGAAAACAGCTTCTACCTCGGCAAGAAGGTCGCATATGTCTACAAGGCTCAGAAGGAGGTCCGCGGCTCCAAGATCCGTGTCATCTGGGGCAAGGTCACTCGCCCTCATGGTACATACATATCCACCCGTGCAATTGGACCATGGAAAGGCAGATCACTGACAATTCATGCTACAGGCAACTCCGGTGTTGTCCGCGCCAAGTTCTCCAACCCTCTCCCCTCTCGTTCTTTCGGTGCCTCCGTCCGCATCATGCTCTACCCTTCTGCGATATAAGGGATCGGTCTTTCATGGATGGAGTTGAGGGAAAATTGGAATCGATTAGCTGCATCTCGGTTTGGCGGGGGTTTACTCGAGGTCTGCTTTCTGGCATGCAAATCAACTGATGAGAGTTGCCTGGCCACTATAAAAGACGATGAACGATCCGTGGTTTCTCGCGTGCTTGGTCCGACACGAGGAAGGCTCCCTCCGGGGCTATAGACGACAGGCTCTGGAAACGGGGCCAGTTGTTGCATACACAGGGAATAACCAGATCCCTAGGACTCAATAAAGCATCTTGAATTTGAAGAGCCGATCGTGCTACCTCAACAACTCATGCTCAACACTGTCGTCCTTGCGTTTCTTGTTTCGCGTCCCTTTGATGGCTATCAACAATATTCAACATCGTGCAAGTGGAGCTGCCACGGAGTGGCCACTCTGGTCGTCATGTTCGTACTAATGACGGGCCCTGGTATGAACCAGTGTCTTTGGTTCTTCTTTGGTTCTTTTTCACAATCATGATGTGCTTGCCCGTCCCGCCGCTTACCAATATGGCAGTCCTGACATGTGTCGACTCGAATCAATCTAGACGGTACCATGTTCTTCTGATAGCAGATAGTAGTGCTTGAGCATATTAGGCCGTTCCAATGGTTGCATGCTACGGCATGAGAGGTCATCGTGGACCAGAGCGCGATCCAGCCTCCACCTCCCCGACAGAGCGCTGAACGACCTACTTGGCCGTTCGGAATGCTAGGCAGCTCAAGGAAGGTCCTGACTATCGAATCTATGTGGTGGGCTTATTGAAAGCATTTGGCGCCGAGAGCACAACACTGAGCAGGGTTAACGCCACGTTTCTAGAGAATCATGTGCCCCTGACAATAGTCGGAGTGCCTCGTAACCGCCTAGTTTGAGAGGGTCAGCGAGAGATAGAACTACCCTATAGTAAGTCCTCGATCTCGGTGCATTTAGCTATAGGAACTGGCGTAGGAAACCTTCTGCCAGTCAATTGACGGGTTTAGGCAGACGGTGACGTGGCTGCCACCATAGCATGTGGTGAGTTCGAAATCCTGTCCCGGACGTGCACTGGATGGCATAGTCCCAACGACCCTGCTTGACCTGGAATTTATATTGTTCCCTATTTTCGTTTTTTTGTTGTTCTTCATACAGGAGTCACGTTCGTCTTTTGCTTAAACAGGTGTGTCCAATCTTTCGTGGTTCCTATATCCGGCCGGTGAAGTACGACGAAGCTGAAGAGTTGATTCGAGAACGTGGTTTTCGACATGGAACAGGATGTCACCATGCTTCAGTGGAGACTCATTATTCGACAAGGCTCAATTGATTTGGTGTTGATGGATCCTTTCCACCCTCGAAACAAGAAAGTACAGGATTTTCCATGATGAGCTCAGTGGTAGCCGATCCCCAGAAGGCGATGCCAACCACCTGATCAGCCCTGCATACGTTGCGGTGACGACTTGTCATGTCGACGGAACGCAAGCTGAAGTCTATCGGCCCCAAAGATAAACTCGCCAGGTGGGAAGAGGCGGAGCATCGCAGAGATTTTCCTGGAGAGTTCCAAGGTGAGGGATGTGTGAACAGCGATTATCCAGCGAAGCGGACTCTGGCAGGCCCCAGGCAACACTCGCTCAAGTTTTTGCGCTCGACTTCAATAGTCAGTATGTAAAAGCGAACCGATTGGAAATCTTGTGTGACGGCTATCATACAATTTAAATCGCTCCCTGCGACAATACTTGACCGGCCCTCGTGCTTCGCGATATGTGCTGGGAGTACCTTATAATCTCCATGGTCAATGAAACGCAGGATCAGTGAATATTTTTTTTACATGTTTTATCCTTTTTCTTTTTATTTCATCTGGGGTCGTTGATATCAGCATCCACAGGAGGCCAGGCATTCTCTATACGACTGCGCTTGTGCTTCCAGACTACGTGCGACCCGCTACAACGAACATGTGCCAATTTGCAAGCAAATATCTATTTCAGCAAGTGTCGTACAACACCGACACTGGGGCCATAAGAAGTTGCAAGGCAGATCGATGATCACATGGATGCCCCTTCAGCGTGTAACTCGATTTTATTTTACCCCTTTTCTTTATAGATAATTTTACGCGTTCCCATGTTTTTTTGTGGCTTTCGCATGGGCATTGGCAGCGACTGATGAGAATATACCCAATATATTGATGCAAACCTGCGACTCAAGTCTCAGAATTGATACAACCCACTCTCTCACTTACAGTAAGAGTCAGGTTGACTGTGGGCGACGTTTAGGTTGCCTACAAGGCTTCTCATCTACTCCTTTCTTTTCTCCGGGGGGGGGTGGGTGGGGGTCAATTTATGTAAAACATGACATCGACAAAGCTTCGAGCTGACGGAAAGATGAGAGAGCGAAAATCATCACCGTCCCAGACGTGATTTACGCTATGCAGCGATGTCAATGACGAAGCAGTTTTCTGACCTGGAGTTAGTAGCGTCGCAAATCCTAATGGCGTTCCATAACCCTGGACGTCAATGGCGCCGAGCCTTGCAAATACCGAACTTGATGCCCTGCAGGACTCCTCAGCAAGTAGGCTTGGGAGGCACTGGAGGGTCCACTTGCAGCTGCATTGCCGAGACTGCAGACTACTATGAAGTACACAATAATTGTTATGAAGCCTTTTTTTCTCTCTCTTCCCAGGGTGCTCCACAAGGTGAATCAATATCAAGCGCCCCCCGGAATCCTTGCCAGCAGCCAGGCACGTGCCAGGGCCTTGGGCGATCGCCCAACCCCTCGGGCCGGGTGGAGCTTAGGCGTTGGGGGGCTCCACGTTGCAGTGACGATGGGAAGGAGGCTTAGCAGTCAGTGATGGGCGAGAGGGGCAAAATAGGAAAGAAAAGAAAAAAGAAAAAGAGAGCTAAGAAAAATTCCAATTGATATCAGGGCTGTACTGTAGAGTAGCATACGTGCACTCGACGTGTCTGTGAGGCGAAGCATTGGGATGCAGTTGGGCCGCGCATAAGGGTGTGGACTGCAGCGCGCTGGAATTCTCAAGTATCATGGAACGGCAAAACAAAGCCGAAACGATGTGCGCATTCTCATTCCTGCGGCCCGCCCATCTAAGCGTGGCCTCGTGCCTCAGTATGCATGCGGCGGGGGGTTGGGAGCTGTCTGTGTTTCCCACCTCGGAAGGCCTGTCTGTTACGTCAAAGCTGACATGTCGCCACAGATACCAACCAGATAAAAGCATTGGCTGGCAGGTCTGGAAGGGTTGTGCTATGGTATGCTTGCTGGTTACAATGCACGCATGTAGGCAGTCAGTGTGGTATGGTGCATTAGGTTGCCATAGGGAAATACCCCAGGTCCTCGTATCCTCCAGGGATGAATGCCTTCTAGTTTGCCGTGGGGGGGGGGGGATTTACTGCACGTACTATACGGATTTCTCAACACGAGGGTGGGATGCAGTAACGTGCCTGACTGCTTGATCTGCGATACGCCATCTGGATGCACCATTGGCCAAGCGCCGGTCAGGGTGTGAAGCTAATATCTAAATAGGCTGGCTGGGTGAACCATACCCGTCTTACTTGCAGAACGGAAACAGGCGGGGGAATTCGATGAAAACCTGAATTTGGGGTCTCAGAGGTTGTCAAGTCCACGAAAGTACTACCAGCTGCTGCCCGCGTCAACTACAGGACTGTTTTCATACATTTGACCCATTCATTTTCAAGAAGATGAACACAAGCCTCGTCATTAATGATTGAGAGGCGAGTTTAAAATTATCAGGTTCTCTGGTAACCGCCCCCTCCCCCTCCCCCCCCCAAAATGCTGCTGAGCTGTGCCCCCGTCGTCCCCCAAGGCTTCATCTCCTTCCAACCCCAACCAACCAAAAAAAAAAAAGAAACACAAGCCATGTCGTTAGCTGCCTACTTAACATCTTTGGTTTGTTAGAAGTTTGCCAGTCACCACTGCATTTGACTTTTGCCATCCTATTCTTGTCTATTTGTTTCATCATCTACACCATCTTGCAACATCTGTCACCAACCTCGACCCCAGTCAGCTTTTTGATCGAAACTATCGCGCACTGCCCTGGTGGCTCCACTTGCCACACTCTATCACCTTACCACCCCCACCATCCACTGTTGATGTGTGGTCCACTGTTGCGCGTGGGTCCTTTCCCGGTGTCAGTGGTTGTCCCAGGGCCCATGTTGCCTGGCACACTACGAATACCTTAGCAGCCGCTGCAGCACTGGACACCACAACCACTATCTTTGTCGTTTTGATTGTTTGGTTGGATGTGCATCTCTAGAAGTTAACACATTCCCATCAACAATCGCATTCCACCAAGATCTTCAAAATCTCTTGCGGCCACAAGATTCTACAACAGGCGCGACGACGACTTGTGCCCGTTTCACTCTCGAACCCTTCTTCCTCGAGCTCGGCTCCACATCCGCCACTGCTAGACCCTTCAGTTCCAGGTTGACGTCAGCTCGTACCGCAAGCATCTGACCAGACCGTTCTCCTGCCGAAACGCGCTTCTCTAGCACGTTGAGGCTTCTAGGCGCCTCCCTGCTGCCCGGCCAATCTTGCACCTAATCTGAAATCCGATTCCAGGGTCATCATAGAGAGACGCTTTGGCGCTTAACGGTTGGCAGATAGATTGCACTGTTCGGTCCGACCAGACGTACGTGGAAGCCACTAGGGAAGGGTTGTACTGACTACTCTCATAACTCGAGGCTTTAGTGGAAAGCCAAAGTCAGCCCAAGCAAACACCCTGCAGTACCAGCCTCCGGCACCTACGGATGCACAAGATCGACTAGGGTTAGCCAATGCTACAAGGAGCCTGGGCAGACGACAAGCAACCACCACCTACGGCAATTCACCTCCGCGCGTTGGGAACTTGTCGGAACGATTGACAGGCGATCCTTCATCCTAGACTTTCGCTCGCAAGAACAGGGCCGCGTCACGCCCCTCCACACGCACACTCAATCACGAATCGCACTGTCCTGGTGGAAAGAGAGAGCCACGGCGGCGGCCACGAAAAACTGAGCTAGCCTATACAGCCAGCATCACACCATCACCATCATTCGTAGTACATAAGCAGGAACCTCCCGGCAAGACACCTCGGACCCGCTAGGGAAGGGAAGAAAAAAGATAAAAAAGAAAGAACTCGTAAACGGCCCCGTGCTGGACTCCGCGTGTCCGCAGCTTCCCCGACTCACCGGTTGTTCGACCAAAAAAAGCAAGCACCTACAAATTAGCGTTGCCAGCTCACCCCTTCGGGTCCTTTCAAGTGGTCACTGGCTCTTCTCGACCGCCACCGTAACAAGACGAACTGTATCTCCAGGCGGACAAAGGGCGCCAAGACCATCGGCGGACATCTCCAGAGTGGTCGCAGAGGATCCCGTCCTGTGCAAAAGACACACTCATTTGGCCCCTGTCGCAGTGGTCCGGTGCTCATCGACTTCTCCCCAACCGCTACATCCAACCCAGCCACACGAGACAGGCCTGTTTCCTGGCGCGCTACCACTTCTGCGACATCGAGCTCCCCCAAGACATCAACCAATATCCGCCATTCCTGCTGGGCACGTCTTCTTTCTCCTCTCTACCTTATATTTTGTTTTTAATCTGCGTCCTCTTTTCAGCTTTCAGCTACCCGCTTCCCGATCCTGTATCCGCTTTGCGATAAAACCTTCGAGGCGCATACTTGATTTCCGATCAACCATCATCGAATTGTCGTTGGGTCCCATCTACATCAGCGGACCCCGTCTCCACTGAAACCCCCCCATTGAGCCCCTGCGAGACCCATTGAAGCGCCAAACCTCCGGTCAATTAAGACGTACGATAGAGGATCGTGCCCGAGCACAGACAGACAAGATGGAGTCGCAACAGAACAGGCATCCACTGCCGACGCCCCCAGGCCAGCAACAAAACCCTGAGTATCAGCAGCCGCAGGTTTCTTATCAATCTACGCAGCCCTCCCACGCCAGACCGTCCAGGGCCAACAAGACTCGATCCAGGGGATTCAGTTTTCGTTCCCAAGGCAGTTCAGACAAAGGCCACAGCGACGCTATCGAAACACACTTCGAGAAGGAAGCAAAGCGACTGCACAGCAAGGCCGATCCGACTATGGCTATGAACGAGGCGGAGCCTGGTACGTTTCGCACTGAGGCTTGCATGGCGCGACATGTCGCAATTGGCTGACTTCTTCACGTAGCTTTGATCGCGGCGCAAGCCAGACACACGATGGGAAGCCTGCGCATGATGGAGCACACAGACAAAGCCGGAAACGTTATCAGTAAGTTTCTCTCTCACGCGTATATAAATCGAAATGCTAATCTCTCCATTGCAGCCGATCCGGATCAATCCAATCCAACGCGCTGGAGACTAGAGAGACCTCTTGATACAATAAGAGGGTTCGAGAGTGCCATCAGACGCAACGAGAGATCTTCTATGATCAACACAGGAGGAGGTAAATATTATCATCCAACCCCCCCCCCCCCAAGGGGTCCTCTGCAACCCGATCCAAAAAACCAAAAGGAATAAGCACAAGACCCGACCTTTGTGGAAAGCCCGAGCGCGTTCTCCATCCTACCGGCATTTTATTGACTGATTATTTTTCCGCCTCAGACAACGAATCCGTGGTGAGCGGCTGGAACCCACGGAATAGCTATCATGGGAACGGCAGTAAGCCAGCTATTTTTATTTGTTCTCCATTGCGTTTTGCTCAATCGTAGGTAAATCGGTATGGCTAATGTATTTTCCTTCTTATCTCCAGGCCGCTACCAGCAGCAGAGCTACTACGGGGGTGAGGCCAGTCGTCCCCAGTCGGGCGCCTTCCGAGCCGACAGCTACTACGAGCAGCAACAGCCACAACAGCAGGGTCGCTGGGGTCCACCACAAGACCGACGACGCGCCCCCCGAATGAATTCGGAGATGCAGTCCAACCAGCGAGCTGCCGGCGGCAATCCGTATTACGACAACCGGTCATACGACGCGGTGGCTTCAGGCTCTGGAACACCAGGAGATCCTGCAACTTCAGACAACAGCTCTGTCGAGCGCCGTCAGTCGCCACCCAAGCGGCAACCAGAACCTGTGAACGACTACGGCATTGGGTTCAGTCAAGCCCCTGAGTATACCTCGTCGACATTCTCAGTGGGTGGCTCGCAGCACGGAAACCAGTCCGGCGGGGGTGCGCCGCCTCCGCCTAGGAAGGATGGTCCCATGCTTAGGAAGCCCGTACAGGATACTCAGTCCACACAGGATAAACAAAAGAAACGCAGGAGCTTCTTCGGCATTGGGAAGGGGAACTAGGAAGCCCCAGAAGATGGTGACGGCATGTTGCGTGGGGAGGATGTGGGTGGCGTACAACCCGGAAACCAGCCGCAGCGGAGCATGGGAGGCCAAAGTCATTATGTGACAGATTCGGACCGAACGGTGAAGCCAGATGGCCGATCTCTGCACAAAAGATTCCCGTAAAAGAAACATGATATCAAAGGCGTCGAAACCACTGCGGGCTCGATAGGCCGTGCGAAGATCGAATCTCCAAAACTCCTCCAACCAGAACGAGAGGGAATGGTCTTCCGCCTTGTACTTGCGTTGTCTGCAGTGCATTTCATAACCAACCTCATTTTCTCGATCTTAATTTTTATTTTCTTTGTTTCCGGGTCCGGCCTACTCAGGTCACGGTTGTTACGGTATCAATTCTCCAACTTGTCGGGTTTTTACGAACGGGATGAGGGAATGAGTACATATAGTTGAAAGAGGCAGAGCTGTATCTCAACAAGAACTGCGTGGAGTCGATAATTTTTGGCACCAGAAGAGCTGGTGTCTAGGCTCCTCATCATGGAGACGGAACTGTGGAAGGGGCTCTTTCTGTAAGAATCTTTACGGGCCGGCATCATTTGCACGACAGGCCGTTTGCAGTGGCATATCTAGGTCACTTTCAGGAACACTCATCATGATTCTTTATGTCCAGCAGGAGGACAAGGTGGCTGCCTCCTATGTGCATGGAACTCAGGCGGCAATGATGTGGTGGAAATTAGCTACGCACAGGACGGAATATTCGATCAATATCGATAGAATACGTCGGTGGTCTCATGCAGACGAAACTGAACAGAGCGGCATGGTTCATCATAGAAGGAAAGAACTTGTTTGAGCTCACAACGTTGTCCCCTCGTCCTTACGAATCAGTGCAATGGTAGTAGATGGTGACCAGTGGGAGAAACTTGCTTCTGCACGGCCTGTTCCTGGAAGGGTGAGCGCCGGAGCTGAGATATGTAGGAGAGCAGGGTTAACGAAAGTTCCTGTCCCAGTTATATTGCAGGCTTGATCTATCCACAGCAGGCTGGATGTCATTTGAGATGAAAAGAAAGATGAAAGCAACCTAGCGAAGCCTCCAGAAGTCATGGTCGATGACGCTGAGCATCTAGTACAGCACTTAGCAGGCTCTGGGTCTATAGTCCACTTATAAGCAGTGCCGAGGAAGTTAGTGGCAATTGACAACACAGAGGAAGTGCTTTGGGTCTGCAGGCAAGTAAATATCCTCAGATTGGGGGTCTGAATCCAGTGGGAGCATACTGGGAGGGGCGCGAGGCGGATTAGGTAATGACGAAGGCATCAAGACATTCAGAGAACACTTCGCGGGATGGGCTAGGACCTGGAACATATTCCAGCAGGTTCCTTGGGTATTTGTCGGAGAACAGCCTCATGAGCTGTAATATGCACATTCATTCGACTGTTCGAAGTCGAGATAGATACCTTGTCAAGATGTGGCTACATATAAGATATTTCATCAGAAGAGACACTTTTTTTTATATACCTGATTACCCTCAAAGATACACCTGATCCATGCGCTGATATAGATACATACTATCCTCGTCACAAGGCAACGTCTCGTGATGTCCTTATGTGTCTCCGCAAGACGACTTGCTCCGCCCGCCACCTCAGAAAATGTCTTCCTTTGGGCAGGGGCAAAACCATCCACAAGCAGCTGCTTTCCCAAACCAGGCCAATGCTCAACCCCCTCACCCCCTTCAACAATCCCTTTTTGATCTAACAAGAACATCCGCTGGGCCTGACTGAGCCTATACTGCCGCCAATGCTGCACAGTCACATCATCAGCGATCCTTCTTTGTTTCTTGCTGCTGCTCCGACTGATCCTCTCTCATCGCAACAACCACATAAGCGATGAGCACGACATTGGCCATGATGGCAGCCAGAGCGCCTGCAAAGGTAGAATTGCCTAGAGAAAAGTTGCTCGTCAGCCACACACATCGTGTATAACAACCAGCCCAGCTCCCACCCCCTCCCGTTCTCTTGCGGGGCCGAGGACCGCGTGCCTAGCTTTCCCAGCCGCTGGACCCGACCTGACCTACCTTTGAAGACGGTGTTGACCGTCGCATAGTACGATCCGATGGGCAAGACGATCATGGCCAGCGTGAAGCCGAGGAGCTTTAGTATTACATCCCTGCCGAGCGAGTGTTAGAAGGCGGAAGAGATATCTTCTTTTCTTTTTGTTGTTGGGGGGGGGGGGGCGGGAACTGGAGCGAGCTCACTCACGTGGGCACGGCTGGCTTGATGTCGGACTTCTGGTCGGCTGCTGGGCTGGCGCCTACGGTGTCATCTTTGTCGAGAATGGTCTTCTCTGTCGAAATGATCCTGCGGGTGGCCATCTTTGAGAACGTGGTTTGGGTAAGAGGGTTTGTGAAGGGATGTTGGTGTGGTTTCTGAAAGATGGTAGCAATATGACGATGGAAGTGAGTTGAGGCGACGTGGGTAAGTCGGTACCTACTACGGTACTACTCTAGGTACTTGGGTACTGGATGAGGGAGCCCTGGAAGCGACTTAGCTTGGTGCTGGTGCTCAACTAATGCACCCAAGCTACTTAGTACTTAGTACTTACAAAAGTCCTCTGACTGATATTTTTCTCTCTTTCTGTTCTATGATTCTTTTATTTGTATTCTTTCTTTTCTAGGAATATGGGAGTCATCCTACTCCAGTTGGATAAACTTTGTTGGCTGAATATGACTTGGTCGAAGCTCTCTGTACCTTTAAGGTAGAATGAATAGTACATAGGTTTCGCGATACAGGCAAACATTTGATTCCTGACCATGAAAGGCAGCTTAACATGAGCCAAATTTGACCACATATGGATTTACTGGTGCGAGAATAAGAAACGACCAAATCTTTGGAATAGTTTCATGAGCTCTATGGGGGAAAACAAATATAACAAGAGGTGAATGCTGGAACGGTGGTCGTTTTTCCTGTCTCCTTTTTTCTTGCATTGCTGCATTTTACATCGAAGCTGGCACGTGGCAGCGCGTTAAAAAGGAGGGTGACGGTGGTTCCCTAGCGGCTGGCCAAGCGTGTTTTACTCGCGACTTCTATTGTTCTTTTTTCTCAATATTTCTGGCTGTCTCCACAATAGGCCGGGGTCCTGCAGGGACAAGAACGCTAGGGGTGGGTTTTCGATTTCACACCTTCGACTGTCATTATTTGAGTACTTCTCTCTCGAACCTCTTGTCTCTCTATTGTCCAAACTCGAGTTCCTTCAACCCTATTGCGCGCATTCGTCCCAGTCTGTAACGCGTCACGCATCGAGAGAGAGACAAATTCGACCTCGAGTTCATCCGACGCACATCATCCACCTCCTCCTAATCTTCACTTCCTCCTCACTTTCCCCTTCTCACTTGTTCACTTACTGTACCTACTCACCGGCTTCGTGCTGCTCCTTGCGCAATGCGCAATCATTAGTTCAGCCTTCCGCTTGTACCTATCATATCCATCCTGGGATAGCGTCATCATGGCCTTCTCTTCATCACCACTCACTTCGCCAGCTCGGCTCGGGGACGGCGGCAGGGCGGTGCCCTCCGGCGGCCGAGGCTCCCAGCGTAACCCTATCAATCTGAGTGACGCCGACGAGGACGATGATGATGGTATTGAACCTGAGTTCTCGTCGCCTTACTTCACCCAGCCTACCCAGGTCGTCGGCCGAAAGACACTCGGTGGAAACAAGGTCAACGACGTGAAGGGCACTCAGCCCACTCAGATCCTTAAACGCTCTACTCTTGGCGGTTCAGAGTACACCTCTTTGGCCGGTACTCAGCCCACTCAGATCACTGATCGACCAACTATGGGCTTGAGCACCAAGGCTCGAATCACTGGCCCCTCGTCCCCCGCTGGAAGCACGTCGTCCTACAGCGATAAGTCCTCCCCACCAAGCAAGATCGAGGTTCCCCGTTCTTCGCCTTTCAAGTCGTCTCCAGTCCAGCAGCAGAGAGCTCGCCCTTCTATCTTGGGCATGTTCCCCTCTGGTACTCTCTATCGACCACCCCAGAACGCCTTCACCAAGACTGTCACAAAGAAGCCGGATGGTACCACGATCGAGATCAGATCGGACGGGATCAGAGTTGAGATCAAGGCAGACGGAACAAGAATGACCAGTCGCATCCCCAACCGCAAGCCGAGCCCCACGGAGTCTAGTGATGAGCTTCATAGCAGTCCCAAGCACCGTGCTCGTTCAGACAGCTCGGCCAGTGACCAATCCGACGGTGCCGACATTAAACCTACCTCATTCCAGCGAGAGGTACTCACGAGTCCGTCTAAGAACGACTCTCGCATCACCAAGGCTGCTCAGCAGGCTGCCGATTTTGAGAAGAACTACGATGTTCGCACACAGATGAAGGCCAGGAAGCTTCGCGAGAAGACACACCGGAAGCACTCTTTGCACCTCTGCGCCGCCGTGCTCACGCGGATGAAGGGTGATATGGCCGCTGCTGAGAAGACGTTGCTCGGCGGCGGAGGCCTCGAACGGCCGTCACCCTCCCCGAAGCGCTCCAGTGCATCTCTCAGTGCATCTCCTGTCCCTGGACCAAAGCGCAGACGCCTCGTCCGAGGACGTAACCCCGCCAACGCGACCAACTCCTCGCAGCCTTCAGCTGCCCCTCTCATCAGTCTTGTTGATTCCGAATCCGATAATGACAATGCATCCATCTCCAGCATTAAAGATGACGGAGATAACTACCAGTCTGGATCGGACGAGGAGTCTGAGGAGGACGAGGACCATGGCCAACAGAAGGCACAGTCTACTAAGCAGCAGGATATCGAACAGCCTCGAGTCGGAATGAAGCGTGCCGCCAAGATCATGCAGTACCTGGAATCCTGCACTGTGGATCAACTTGCCGCAGACGCAAAGATCTCCAAGGACAACGCGAAGTTCTTCATCTCCAAGCGCCCATTCCACAGCATCAACCAAGTCAGAACCGTCTACCACTTCAAGACAGTACGCAAGAGGAAGGAGAAGGTCGAACTTGGGGAGGATGTGTTTCACGAGCTCAATCAGCACATCAAGCGTCTGAATGCGATCGACAGAGTCGTCGAGCAGTGCGAGACCCAAGGCACTATCATCAGATCGAAGATCGAAGGCTGGAAGATGGACAGATTCGGCAAACTCGATGATTCGGTCAAGAGCCCTACCGAACCCGGCGTGCTGCCATTCCCCAAAGAGCCCATGCTGGTCACCGGCAAGCTATTCCCTCACCAGCTGTACGGGATGAACTGGATGTGGCAGCTGTATTCCCGTGGCTTCGGAGGCATTCTGGCAGATGATATGGGCACAGGAAAGACTTTCCAGGTCATATCCTTCCTAGCGCTTCTTCACGATGTGCACGAATCCGGTCTCCTTCAGAACAAGCCTGGACCTAACCTGGTCGTCGTCCCCCCCACACTGGTCGATAACTGGCAGCAGGAGTTTGCCAAGTTCGCCCCGGAGCTGTCTGTGATTGTGTACTCCGGTCCTCCAGAAGAACGAGATGAGCTAGCGAGAGACATATTAGAGTCGTCTGAGGACTGCCACGTCATCCTCACCTCGTTCTCGCAGATGAGCCGTACGAGGGATGCGATCTGGATGGACAAGATCGGCATCAACGCAGCCTTTTTTGACGAGGGCCACCGACTGAAGAATGCAAAAACCAAGACGTACTCGGACCTCATTCGGATCAGGGCAAACTGGAAGATTCTAATCACAGGCACCCCCATTCAGAACAACATCATGGAGATGATGACCCTTCTGAATTTCATTTCGCCGCAGCTTTTCCACCGCGACCGCGAGTGTATCGAGGAGCTGTTCATGCAGAAGGCATCCCTAAAGGAGGTCAGCGAGGGCGCTACACTCCTGAGCGACCGCATCCAACGCGCTCGGAGCATTTTGGAGCCATTCATTCTGGTACGCAAGAAGGACAAGGTGTCAGCACTCCCCCCCAAGACGCGCAGAGTTATCTATTGCGACATGCCAGATGTTCAGAAGAAAGTATACGACGACCTTGTGAACGACTTCCGCCTAGCAAAGGATCAGAAGAGCACGGCAGACAAGCGCAAGAACGATGAGAACAACCCTTGGATTCAGCTGCGAAAGGCTGCCACACATCCTCAGCTATTCAGGCGTTTCTTTAGTGATAAGAAGTGCGAGAAGATGGCGAAAATTCTGATGGAAAAGGCTCCTTCCAGGGTGGACCAACAAAACCTCTTGCACATGGAGAACGAGCTGAAGTCGTACTCGGATTTCGAGCTTCACCTGTGGTGCCGAGACTTCAAGTGCGTGCAAGACTTTGACTGTCCACAGGGCTCGTGGTACGAGAGCGGCAAGCTACGGAAACTTCTCGAGCTCGTCAATGAATTCCAGCAGAATGGAGACCGTGTGCTGGTCTTCTCGCCCTTCACAAAGAGCCTTGGCATCATTGAGGAATGCCTCAGCGAGTCGGGGATCGCATACCGCCTGCTGGTCGGCTCAACAACAGTTGCGGATCGTCAAGACCTGGTCGACGAGTTCCAGGGGGACGAGACAATTCCCGTGTTCCTCCTCACGACGATGGCAGGCGGTGTGGGCCTCAATCTGACGGGCGCGAACAAGATCATCATTTTTGATCAGTCAGACAACCCCCAGCTAGACATCCAGGCCGAGAACCGAGTCCACCGACTGGGACAGAAGAGAGACGTTGAGGTGATCCGGCTGATTACAAAGGGTACGATAGACGAGCTGATCTACAAGGCCTGTAAGGTGAAGCTGGAGCTCGCCAACCAGATCACAGGCGATGGCGAGGACATGGAAAAGTCCAATGACATGGAAGCCGGCGAGAACATTGTCGCAAATGTCACGGAGGCGATTATGAAGGGAGCGGGCGGTGGATCAACAACCACTGACGACTGTTACCTGACGCCCCCGAAGAGCGACGAATAGAAAGGATAACGGATGGATGAAAAAAATTACCAAGAATACTTGATGGATGGATTGTAGTAGATATTGTTAGACTTTGTGTATGCGGACCATCCAAGATATACGATTAAAATGGTACTATACCTTTTCATTTTGATTTCGTTGGTTGAACGTGATAATGTCTACTGCCTTATATCCTGCCTAATATTTACTACATTACGGTGTATCCCCCACCCCCCGCCCCTCAAAGCAGTGGCTTCCTGATGCTCCACATGGGCTGACTTGCCTTAGCATGCAGCAGCATCTCGGAAAAAATGAACTAAACCCTTTATGATCTGCCATGTGGTCCGTTCGGGTCTTGCAGCCGGGACAGTCCAGTACATGACCGAGAGCGGCTGTTCCTTGTTGTCATAAGATTTGATCATCACCGATATGTACTCTCTGATCTGTGGCTCTTGTCCATCCCGTCCAGGCGGAAATTTGTCAAATAGGCTCTATTTTATCTTATCTCTGCGCAGGGCTTCTGGGTGACGTCACGACGCCAACCTCTCGGAGGAAAAGGGCCCTTCACTTACAGGGTTACTCAGTAGCAGCGCCCATTACTTTTACAGCAGGGGCAAAGGCGACGGCTTGGCGGGAGCAAGCGCTGATGAAGGGGCCTTCTCTTTCGCATCCGGCGTTCTTCCTTGTTGATAATCGCAAACAAATTTGTACTATCTATGTATTTTGGCGCCACTGTGTTGGGGCAGGAACCTGGCAACATGGGCTAGACCGACTTCGCACCTGCTAATTAACGGTGCTCCAGGCGCGTGCAGAGCTCTCTCTTGGCTCCTGGTCCTTATAAGGCCTTGTCTTTTTCCGTGACTTCTTGCCTTTTTAAAATATCACGCCACCTGGGAACTGAGAAACAAGAAGACGAAGACGAAGAAGAGAGATCTGAAAGAAGAAGAAACGATCTGTTGCCGTTGAGAGACTTGCGCTCTTTATCTCATTTCCTCTTTCCCCTCTGAAGTCAAATCAACAAATCAGACTTCCTTGAACATTACCACCTACAGAGACACCCTCAAGATGACCGGACCAGAAGTTTCCCACGGCCGTGGAGGCGCCGGCAATATCACACCGGATGATACCAAGTACGCTGATGCTGAGATCGTGAGGACTGCCGACGAGGGCACGGGCGTCAGCACTGGGCGAGGAGGTATGCAACACACCCTCTATCATTCCCTCTCTCTGTGAAAATTTGAAAGATAAGACCTTTCCTCTTCCTATGCGGATGGCTGTGCGGAAGATGAATGCCTTGAGGGGGAAAGTAGGAAACCAGCATTCTTGAGAGCGCGGATTGTTTTACTGCTTTTTTCCCTTCATTTTCACTCCGTGGTCTTATCATCATCGCGTGGCTGGTTTTCCCTTTCGGTGCCATCGCTCCGAGGCCCGCCGGCAGAAGCCAGCCGCTGCCGATAAGGATCATGGCCTGAGCTAGGATCTGGCTCTATTGTTGCGTCCCTTCACTTTTCTCTTCTGGGGGAAACAAGGATTCAATTTTGGCGTGAGAGAACTAATCTAATATCGGATGTGCAGGCGCGGCAAACATCATCGGGAAGAATGCAGCCGAGCCCAGGCAGGACAAGGAGGTGGTACCGGAGGAGGCCATCAAGCCCTCGATGGAGAATCAGGACTATCACGTGGGCCGCGGCGGCGCCGGGAACGAGCACCACGCCCCGGGTCACGACCACAAGGACAAGCAGGTGGCGGCCGGAGAGGAGGGCGCCACTACTGCTTCTGCAGGGCGCAAGGGGTTGGCGGACAAGCTGAAGGCGAAGATCACGGGCATCTTCAAGAAGTGAAGGGTGTTGCGCTGCGCTGCGTTACGTTGCGAGGAATAGAGGCGTTTCTTACTTGGTATTGAATGATATCCGATACCCCCTTCCCTTTTTTCTTTCTTTCTTTCTTTTTCGATTCTCTCATTCAAAAGGTGGTTCACCTGACCACATAGCGTGGTCTTGTCGGTTGTTTCTGAATCATGGGTATGGTTGCTACCGAAAGCTACACTCGCTTGATGCATGTGTGCTGCTTTGAGATCAGAAGGGGTGGGATCAGGAGACTTATAAGACGTCAGGGGGCTGGATTGGAGAATCCTAGGTTTATAAGGATGTAATAGAGTCTTGACCGTCCTGAACCTCACGATAGTGACTAAACACCAGTAAGGTCGCTCAGATCGGACTAATATGGACGTGGTGTCGTGCTTCTCTTTCCCTTTCACAGTGGTCATGACTCGTTGGGAGAGAAGTGGTTGGCATATATAATCAACCGAGTAATATAGTCAGATTTTAGCAAGGGGGAAGAAAAGAAAAACAGAAGACAAAAAGGTTCGTCAGCATAAGACTAGACAAAGGAGAGATGCACGTGGGGACAGAGGACAGAACCCTTCGAGGAAGGACCGATCCCCAAATTTTGGAGTCACGAGCAGGGGTCGGTGGGCTCATGTCTTACCGCTCCTTGCGCGTCCATCATGAGCCCAACTGGGACTTGCCTTCTGCTAAGCCTTCTTCTCTATTCTGCTTTTCCCATGGCCCTGCTCCCGCCCCTCTTCTCTTCCTCTCTCTCCGTGTCCCTCTCTCCTTCCCCTCGTTCGTCATCGTCATCGTCATCTTTACCTCTCCTTCTCAAACAACGACACCCACAAAGGTCGTGAAAAATGCCGTGCTATATGCCCGCTCTGAGGGCCAGCGCGCTTCAGAAACTGAGTTGAAACCATACCGTTGTGGATTACTGTGTACAGGGCCTTTTACAGGCAGGCCTCATGGCCCGCTGACCGGTTTCACCGAGACAGCCAGCTGTGCCAGCCAGCCACCAAGATCTGGTCCACTGAACAGCACACAGAAGAGGCAACAGCACCCGCCATGAGGGCAGTTGGCCAGGCCCCTAAAGAAGCCCATACTTACTAGTAGCACCTTGTCGCTAAGCTTATGTTGCACGGCTCACTAGGAGGCCGGACCACGCTAAAGATAGCCCTCCCGCGACCTGTCAGACAGCGGGCAGCCCAGCCAGCAAAGCAAGTGCAGTGCAGTGCAGTGCAGAGCAGTGCAGCAGTGCTCCCTTCTGAAGGGATGGCTCCACACAACGAACCCCATCCTATTACTACTACTCTTATTCCAACCGCCGCCTCCAGCTCGCAGTTCCGTCAGCACCAGCAGCAGTCGCAACAACAACAAAGACGACAGCAACAACCTCCCTTGCTGCGCTTCCAGTCCAGCCAGTCATACGCCTCTAAAAAGTCCTTCCTCTCTCAGGGCTCGGGCATCGAGGCGGACGACGAACTCTCCCGGGACTCGGACGACGACACCGACTCGGACACCATGTCACCACGCATAGGGAGCAGCGCCGGCACGCCGGTGCGGTATCCAGGGGAGGACACAAGGCGTAAGTACAGGCAGGCCATGCTTTTGTGTAAATCACAGGTTTTGACCTGTTTTCGATTGATGGAAGTTCTGACGGTCTCATACCAGCGACGAGCTCCAGGGAGCTGAGAGGATGGTACATGTACGCCTTTGCGGCCGAGACTTATGTTATTTGTGGTGAGTGAACCTTTTCGCCAGAGACTTGTTCAAAAATTATCATTTCTGACTAGATCACAGCAATCGGTATGCAATTTAACTCATGTGGCGGCTCTGGACGCAAAGTTGTGCCGGAAGGGATCAATCGAATTTGTTACTAATTTACAATCCTCAGGCTCGTTCATCCCGATTCTCCTGGAGAGCCTTGCCAGAGAGAATGGCACCTTGCTCAAGAATGGCAAGCCATGCGGTCCAAGCAATGACAAGATGAATGATGACGGCAAGCAGTGTGTCGTGCATGTCCTCGGTGTCGAAATCAATACTGCGAGTTTCGCCATGTACACTTTCAGCATCAGCGTTCTGCTGCAGGCGCTTCTCGTGGTGAGTATAAGTTCCGCAGCGGACCACGGCCAGTACCGCAAGAAGCTCCTCCTGAGCTTCGCCTGGATCGGCAGCGCCAGCGTGATGCTGTACATCTTCATATCCAAAAACCTCTACATACTTGGCTCCGTATTGGCTATCATCTCGAATGTGGCTTTCGGCGCTTCCTTTGTGCTGCTGAACTCCTTCCTGCCACTCCTCGTCAGGCACCACCCGAGGATGCTGTGGGCCGGCGAGCGTGCAGGATCTCTGGCGTCGGATGAGGCTTCAGACACGGAGGAGACGCAGATTATGGAGGACAACAATTCCACAACCGGCCTCTTGCGCGATGAAGCTCGCAACGGGCTTGTCAAGACCATGACTCACGAGGACCAGACTTCTTTAGAGCTAAAGCTCTCGACAGAGATCTCCGCCAAGGGCATTGGCATCGGCTATGCGGCCGGACTTTTCGTCCAGTGCGTTGCCATTTTGATTCTGGTTAAGATGAACAGCACCACCTGGTCACTCCGGGTTGTGTTGTTCATCATCGGAGCTTGGTGGGCGATGTTTACGGTGCCAGCAGCGTTCTGGCTTCGGCCACGACCTGGACCACCTCTTCCGGCAGGAGAAAATCGCAAAGGGCTCAGCGCGCTCGTTTCCTATACGGCGTTTGCGTGGAAGTCATTATACAAGACGGTCAAGCTGGCACGACAGCTGGTGGATATAGTTCTCTTCCTCGGGGCCTGGTTCCTGTTGTCGGACGCCATCGCCACATCGTCATCCACGGCGATCCTGTTCGCAAAGACGTCCCTGCAGATGGAGTCGTGGGCGCTCGGGCTCATCAGCGTCATCTCCACCACCACGGGTATCGCCGGCGCGCTCTCGTGGTCCTACATATCACGACGGTTCAATCTCAAGCCGCACCAGACACTCCTGGCGTGTATCGGCCTGTTTGAGCTCATCCCGCTCTACGGTCTTCTCGGCTACCTGCCCTTCGTCCAGGCATGGGGGGTCGGCGGTCTGCAGCAGCCCTGGGAGATGTTTCCGCTCGCCGCCGTTTACGGATTTGTCATGGGTGGTCTCAGCAGCTACTGCCGGGCAGTATACGGCGAGCTGATTCCCCCCGGGTCCGAGGCGGCTTTCTACGCCTTGTACGCCATCACGGACAAGGGCTCGAGCGTATTCGGCCCGTTTATCGTGGCGAGCATTATCGAGGCGACAGGCGAGATCCGGCCAGCGTTCTGGTTCCTGGCCGTCCTGGTGGGCCTGCCCGCGCCGCTGATCTACTTTGTCGATGCGGAGCGCGGGAAGCTGGAGGCGGAGCGGTTGGCCGATGTGATTGACGACATGAGGACTCAACAGGGAGATAGGGGCGAGAGTCCTCGTGAGCCCTGGGAAAACCAGGCCATGTTTGGCGGGCGGGAGCGGGAGGATGATGATCAGGATAGAGATGTGGAGGGGCGATGATGGAGAAACGGTGGGAAGAGGAGGCGGTGGAATGGGGTGGGGGCCATTGAAGACAAATTAGTTGGCAGCTACATTGAGGCATAGCGACGGTGTTGATGGCGCTTGACGAATTGATTTTATTCTACTTGATATCTGGGGACTTGTCTTTTCTTTCCTTTCTTATTTTTGGGGGCGGGGGGTGAAGTATAGCGAGTATTATATGGTTTGGGTGGTCCTGGCGGCACACCCTGATTCATGATCTCTTCTGGTTACAGTAATTGTCCGCCCCAGATGCCTCGGTCAGGCAGGTACACACGAGACAGGTTCGTGTCAGATCAATTACTTGTATGAATCCTTCGGCATGATTATTGCGCCCAAGATGACTGGTTGTTGTGAAAGCCGGTCATCCGTTATAGCCTGTGGCCACCCCTATAGCATGTTGGTCCGGTCCAGTACTCAATACTGCGTTGCACTGCTCTGCTGTGCCGGCTGTGCCAGGCTGCACGAGCTCCCCTGCTCTTTACAGTAAACTGCCCCCGCCCCAACCTCCTTTCGGCTAAGCACAGAACATCCTGGCTGGCCCGTGCAAAGGCTCCTTCTGCGCCCCGCCTACGCTTGTGAGCTAGTCGAGCTCCAAAGCCAACCTGGGGCCACTACATAGTACCACACCCCCAAAATGCTACCACTAACTCCTACCACTGCCACTACCACTTGAGCTAGCCGAGCTCCACCAGCCACCCGCCCACAGGCGGCACGGGGGCAGCTCTAGAGGGGGAAGGCCGGGGCTTGTCATCCTCTGCTGTAGCTCCAGTGGCTGAAGGCTGCCCTCCTCCCTTTGCCGCTTCCCCCGCACAGGGCGTGCCCAGACTCCGGAACCCAGCTCCTAAGGACCTGACCCTACCTGAAGGTTGTCCAGTGCCCGTTGCGACGCGCTCCCGAGAAATTTGATCTCGCATCACATCGTGGCAACTCCCCAACGGTGGTCCATTCGCGACAACGTTCGTCATCGAACAACCTCCCCTTTTCCATCACCAATTGGCGCTCGCGCATCTCGCACACGGGCCAGCCCATCATCTGAAGCTGCTGCAGGGCCCTGCCACGAGCCGTGCGCGATCTGATCTCCCGAGCAGCCCTGCCTGACAGGACAGGCCCTGATTAGTGATTTGATCTGATTCCGACCGATTGGCAAACGCAGCTGTTGTTTCCCCTCCCTTCCCACACACACTACATTAATACACACGCAAGAAACCCACCTATCCACCCACCCCCCCTCCTCCCCCTCCTCTTTTTCTCTTTCCAGCCACACTACCGCTGCTGCTGCACACTGCAGCTCGCAACAGCGAGATCCAACAACCACCACCACCCATCCTGCCCAACCTTAAATCTTGGCTCAGCAACGGTCGAGAGAACGGTCGCATACTCTCATACCACCTCCACCCCGCTTGCCCACCCGCGCGCGATCCACGAAACACCCTTTACAAAGATGGCTGCTGCTCGCAAGCGACCTCGCGACAACATTGACGAGGCAAGCCGCGCCGAGTGCCCTTTCTCCATACGCCATGTCGACCCGAGGGAGCGCGAGCTCAAGAAGAAGCGCAGGCGCAGGGACGACGAGCCCGACGGCGACAATCCCAAGATCCCCGTCCAGATGTCTCCCTTTGCGCCCACGGGCAAGTTCAAGACCCATGAGACCATGGACATCCACTACGCCGTTGAGCCATCCAAGAGATGGTCCGAGATGACCCGGTACAATAGCTTCGTGTGTATGTTGAATCCCCCCTCCCCTTTCTTCCACCGGGAGGCGCATTACTGACTTACTGGCTTGTGCTTCTGTGCAGTGAATGGTTCCAAGTACTTTAGCGACAACTACATTTTCGTCGCAAACGAGAGCACGATCGAGCGCCAGAAGTCTGCGCCCTCGGGTGGTCAGGCCGGGCCTAGGACGCACTCTGACGACGACTGGGTGGCGCGCATCCTCGAGATTCGCGCTAGCGATGAACACCACGTCTACGCCCGTGTGTACTGGATGTACTGGCCTGACGAGTTGCCCCCTAATACACTCGACGGCAAGAAGTACGTCTCTGGCCGGCAGCCGTATCACGGGCAGAACGAGCTGATCGCGTCCAACCATAGTAAGTCTGCGCGCAGGAACTTCCGAGATGCTTGTAACGGCCGGCTGACTTGAGGGGGTACAATAATAAAGTGGACATCATCAACGTCGTATCTGTTACTCAGCAGGCCACCGTCAACCAAGTGACCGACGAGAACGATGACCAAATCCAGAGCGCCCTGTACTGGCGCCAAGCCCTCGACGTGCGCACCTTCGAGCTATCAGTAAGCCTTTCAGAACCAGAATAGTACAGTCCAGACAATCAGCGACAGCCGCGCTAACAAAAGTTTCAACACAGGTTGTGGATCGCGTGTGTAGATGCAACGAACCCGGCAATCCGGATAAGGTCCTTATCGGGTGTCCCAACGAGAGTTGCAAGAAGTGGCTGCACGAGGAGTGCCTGAAGCACGAGATACTGATGAGGGTATGGGAGCAGCTCGGCACCGACAGGCCTCACAAAGCGTCAGGCGTCAAGACCGAGAAGGAAGAGGAAGAGGCAAAGCGCCCACTAAGCCCCGTCGAGCCCGGCAGCGCCACCGTCGCCACCGAGCTACCTATCCAGGTCAAGACAGACGGTGAGGGCGACACAGTGAAGGCGAGCGACACGGTCGACGTCAAGGAGGAGCGCGAAATCGCCGCAGAGGGCTCAGCTCAAACACAGAATGGCCGGGCCTCGACGACGCAGACCCCGACAGCGGAACCAATCCGCAAAGGCGTCAGCCGCGGGCGCAAGAAGCCTGACGACATGAGCTACAAGCCGTACGAAGGCTCTTTCGAGGCCACCTTCAAGCCCGATAATGACATGTTCGAGATCAAGGACCTGAGGACTGGCGTCGAGGGTGGACAGAAGACCTGGCTGGAGGAGGTGAACTGCCTCGTCTGCGGCTCACGCATCCACTAAAAAGGCCTGGTATCTCCCTCTGCGTGAGCGCCTTGGCTGGCCGTTCGCATTTTCCAGCTTGAAACCCCACGGTGAGCGTCGAGACTGCGAGTGTCACAGATTGTGTGTCCCTGCCTATCGAGCCACACGAGCCACAGCCATTCCTCCAACAGATCAGCGTCAGCAGCAATTTGTCCGACTGGATGTCCCTTCTTCGACCATATGGGCGCAGACCCGAGGCCCCTTGATCAGTAAGGAAGGAGGATACCAGCTCATAGATCGAGGAATGGGCAGCAGGCAGTCATGATGGTTCGAGGGGCTGGCAAGTAAACTGTATGTGGCTGAGGCGTGGTGGAGGCGAGAATGTACAAAAACTCTCCAACCCATATTCCACACGCGATTCGGGCCCGAAGGTTCAATGTTCTGGGGTGGATGCCTCTCTGGCGCAAGCCATGCTTTGTCTGTCTGCGCTTGACTGAGACGGCTCTTGCCTGTTAGGCCCGTTGGTTCAGCTGGGAGACATGAGTTGTCATGTGTTGGAGTGTCTGGCTTTTGTTTTATACTTCTTTGTTTCGTTTTGGTTTCTTTCTCTTGTTCATCGACGGAAGAAAAAGAATGTGGTTGGTTGTCTTCTCCCGATTATTGTCTTTTGCAAGATCAAATATGGTGGACGGGCGTTGACAGTGGCCGTTACGCGGTATTGGTTTTGGTGTTTTTTTCGTTTTTTTTTTCGTCAGTGGTTGGTTCATCGTTTTCATGTCCTTACAACTTACTTCTACCCTCTTCACACCAGCGAGAGAGCGTCATTGCATCGCAATTTCGGTCTTGCAATGGCCAGCCAGCCAGCCAGTCTGTCTTGTCTATTTCGACTGACTGATTTGATCTTGCTTGCTCAATAGTTCAAGTACATAGCTTTTTGTGTGTATTTCGTGTTGTGTTATTTGGGCATAATGATGACACTGTTTTACCAAAACCTGCAATTTTCTTCTCTTTTTCCTTAAAAGTACGCAAGTGAAGAGGACAGCGAGATGTGAGGAGACAGAGAGAGAAAAATAAGAGAGAGACAGACAGACACAGAGAGAGAAAAATAAGAGAGAGACAGACAGACACACAGAGAGAAAGACACAGACAGAGAGGAAGAGAGGCGTGAAGGAAAAGGAATAAAGGGAAAAGAAGATGATCTGACGATCTTCTACAAACCTCCCCCCTCCCCCCTCTACCTGTTTTTTTTCTTCCCTTCTTGTAACGCACTGCGGCCACGGCCGGTCTTGTATGACGGGGCGTTTTCTTCCTAGTGCATTCCTCCGTGTCACCCCTTACCACTAGCTCATGAAAGCCTGCGAAGGCATGAAGCAGAGAGAGAGAAAAAAAAAAAAAAAAGAGGGAGAAAAGGAAAAGAGAAAAGAAGGAAAAAAAGGCGCAAAAGTGTTGTCTCCCGCGCTGGCTTGCTCTCTTCTTCCCAGGCCAGTCAGTGATGGGAACACCTTCCGCCTTTATATATCCCGCTTCCCGGGCGTCTTTCTTTTCTTTCTCTCTCATTCTCTCCCCCTCCCTTTCTTACATAATGTGGCATTTATTGCTTCAGATCTGTCCTTGCTGTAGGAAGAAAGGGAGGGGAGGAGGGGGGGGGGGGGAACGAGACGGGGACGGTGACGATTCCTTGGTTATGGCTTGGACGAGGTGGAAGAGAGGGAGAATCAGAGGACATCACATACACACGAGAAACTTGTCAGGGTCGAGTATTGCCAGTAGAAGGAAGAAGCGTTGTCTCGTTCGAAGCACCTGTTTGGTGTTCTTGTTCCTCCTTTTCTTCTTGATTTTTCTTTTCTTCTTCTCTTTCTCTTATTTCTTCTTTCTTCCCATCAAATCTGTACACGCTAGGACCGCCAATATAAAGCAGAGAAAGAAATACAGATAGATCATCACAACAACCACATATCACACATATCACGCAGAAGAAGCAGGACAAACAAATCATGCATACAACAAGACCATAAACATTTGGTCTTGAGACAAGTATTATTCCCTTGGGATTCCTTTCATCTCAAATCTTGTCAAGCGAGAGAGCCCTGGCTGTCCCTACTTGCCGTGCACATAAATTGGTCCTTTCAATTTTTCCACCCCCCTTCCACTCTCCCAGGTCGGTGCTAACTCTTGAAAAACCCTCCCCAAACGCCTGCCCTTTCGAAATCCCAGAAAGCAGGACCGTGTCTCGGTCGCCTCACACGTCTTCAAGAGCCGCTCCGCCCCCCACGATTGATTGTATTGTACATGGCAAGACAGTTTGAATCTTTGTCCGCCTCCCAATGCCAGCCACTCGAACCAAATTCCTCTTCTCCATACTCATAGGATCACGCCATCGGACTCGATATCCGATGTTATATCAAACACGTGCGGCTCCTAACCAGCCACGGTTGTCTGGTGATCGGTGCCGCCCATTGCATCGTCGCCCGCACCAGGGATGACTTCCTCCTCCACGACATTGCCGTCTGCAAACTTGCGCTCGCTGACATGCTGGCCCGCGCCACCTTCGGCGGTCCAGACCTTGTCGGGGAAGGCGCCGCGCTGGCCCTCCTCGTGCTTGAATGTGCAGTACCGGTTTGTGCAGGGCTTGTACTTGCACATGACGGTGGTATGGTAGAATTCACAGCCAGGTGTCTTGCAGTCACCGCCGTTGCGGCACGGCGGCTTTGACGGGTGCTTGAAGGGACAGCGCGCGTTCTGGCAGTTGGGCCAGAACTTGCAGTCCTGCTCACTCTGGTGCGCGGTTCTAGCTGCCGGCGAGGGATGCCGGGCGACGCACTTGAAGTTTTTGCATGCGGCGCCGAAGCTGCACACGTCTTTGACGTCAACGGTCGCGCCGGGTGGTGCGGCTGGTGACTGGTGGGCAAACTTGCAGTCCTTGTTGGTGCACCTGAGGTTGAAGCGACAGATGCTGTCTTCTGGGTTTGCTGGCTCTCGCGCGGTGGTGCCGCCCATCTCAGCATCTTCGCCTTGTGGACCAGCAGCAGCGTCCTTCTGCTCTGCTGACTGCGCGTGGTTCCCATTCTGGTGGTGCCCACCGCGACCTCGAGAGTTGCCTCCTCGCTGGGTTCGCTCCATCAGAGACCTGCCGCGGCCGCCCCTGCCATTATTGAATCCGCCGTTGGGCTGTCCGGACTGTGCCATCAGCTGCTGTTGCATTTGTTGCTGCATCTGGTTCAGCAAATGTTGTTGCTGTTGTAACACAGACATGACGTCGGGCGCCTGTTGATGGCCGGGCATCATCCCCCCCCAGGCCTGCATGGTCCCCATGCCTGCCCCGTTCATACCGGGCGACGGCATGTTATTCATGTTGGCGAGACCGTGCTGGATGCTGGCGGTTCGCGAGTTAGCCCCTCTCGGCTGCCTGCCAGCACCCATCCGCGGACCTGTGGGTGGCGTGCGGCTGTGCGTGTTGATCCTCTCGGTTCCGCTGGCGCCGCGCACTCGATGCAAGACAGATTCGTGCGTCCTGTCCATCGCCCGATTTATTTGGCCCATGATTCGTTTACCTCGGCCTCGCGTGTCGGTACCGTTGCGCATGGCTTTAGGACCTGTGGGTCTGATAGAAGGGGAGAAGAAGTTAGTATCACATGGTCTGTCAAGTCGTGTGTGGTGGGTAAGAGAAGGCAGTTTAGGGCGACTGTGGAGACGTACGCATTGAGCTCTGCTGGTCCGTCTGTAGGTGTCATGTCCATATCCTGATCGCCATCCGCTGCGGCGGGGTCTGCCTGTGCGCCCTCAGCTGTGGCGCCGCTGCCGCCCTGCACAGTCGAGACGCCGTACTGGGCCGAGAGCGTGTCGATGGTGGTAAAGAGCCAGTTACAAAAGTCGCGCAGGCCAGCGTCGTTGGGATCTAGGCCAAGCAGATCGGCAGAGAGTTCTTGGGCGACCTCATCTTGCGTCTTGCCGTTGACCAGCATGAGGATAATGTATTCGGTAAGGGCGGCATCATCAGCGCCACCGGTAGCCCAGCCGCACTCCTCAAGCTTTGGCTGGATGGCTGCATTGAGGGCATCAGCCAGGGGCGTGTTGAGCTCGATCACAACAGTCATCTTGTTGATAGTCTGTGGTGAAGAACTGTGATACGGAGGTGGACGCAGGTTGTAGTTGGTCGAGGCGGAGGGAGGCTCGATAGAGGGAGAGAGAAGGTGTGGCGAAGGATCGAGGAGGGGGAAGAATTATTGTTCTAGAGACAGCTGCCACAGATGAGGGAGAGCCAACAGGAGGGGCCACGTCGAGCTGATTTGCCAATGACAATAGATGCACGACTTGGAGGTTCGATGCGACAATGACTGGGGTGGAGGAGTGGTGGCGCAAAGGCAATGAAAGTTGCGCCCTGTCAAAGCAGCAAGCGGGTGTATGACCTCGAAACAAAGACCCAATGAAGGGGTCAGCGTCTGAATGGACCCTTTCTCCCTGTCACAAAGGGGGAGGCAGGAAATCGAATAGAGACACTGTGGGATGGTATCTGCAGGTAGTAGTGATATGGTGGAAGAGAGAGGGTTATGGAAGTGGTTGGCTGGAAGAAAGATTGGTGGTCTTGGGGCGAGGAATGGGAAAAAGTGACGACAGGGTGAAGTTTGCATAGTCAGCCAGCCGCGCCATGACCAAGCCAGGCCATACCCAAAATGCTCACCTCGACCTCGACTCGCGCTTGTCTGCAGCGGCGCTTCCCTGCCCGCCTGCCGGTCCTTTCTAAGCCGCAGCCACCAGCCACCAGTCATTGTGACGGGGCTCAATTAGTCATCCAGTTCTTTCCCCTTAGTTCATACTATTTGTCAGTTTGTGGCTGTCCACATGACATTGTATCTCATCACCCGGCACTCGCCCAGTTTGTTTTGGGATCAAAATGGAGGTGATACATGTCGAGCTGAGCCAAGACTTGACATCTTTTGGCATGTGCACAGAACACAATACATTATGATTACAACTCAATGGAAACCCCGTCCTCGACAGCAAATCTCTCGGGCCAACGAAAGTCATTTCTCCTGGAAGGAGGACGAGGAGAACGAGGAAGAAGAAGAAGAAGAAGAAGAAGAAGAGTCAGTCTAACGAAAGGCATTGTGTTTGTTCAACCTGCAGAGCCAGTCTATCCCGTGACAGCAGTCGACTGCGATCTCGAGGACTCGATCTATCAGAGGCGACGATGCCTGCCCTTCTGCTTGGAGCGATCGCAGATGGGCTCGCAAGCTAATGTAGCATACTGATCACATTTTCGAGGGTGTCCTAACAGGGTCACTTGGACGAATTGGCGTTGTCGCCGGATGGAGAAGGGGGGGGGGGTGGCTTTGGGTTCTCCATAGCACGCAACAAGTGCGCGCGTACCATTGGCAGCTCTCTGCCCGTTCATCCGATCGATTATGAGCTCTTCCTGCAGGCCCTGGTATCGACGCCATGCCGACCTGGCTATGGCGTTGGAGACAGCCTTCCCTTGGCAGTGGTGCAAGTTATCGGAGAGAGAGAGGCACTGGCGAGAAGACAAGACACCTGCGGAGGATTATTTCCTTTGAAACATTTCTCTTCTTCCTCTTCCTCTTCCTCGTCCGTTTCTTCCTCCTAGGGAATGGTCTGTCTTAATACATGCCAGCCAAATCCCGGACCTAGTGCATGGGAGAAACGGCTGGAAGCTGACTGTCCCCGCCTCGTCCGAGAATTAAGGTTGAAGAAACATCCTGGGTTCAATCTTATCTTTGTACCCTGGTCGCTGTCAAGGAGGAGGAAGAATCATTTATTCCATCATCATCATCATCATCATCATCATCATCATCATCATCATCATCATCATGGGACAATGGAGAGAGAAAAGGATCTGTCGCATGGAATCTTGGCTTGTTGATGCCTAGGCTACATCGGAAAACCCCACAACATCGTCTCCTCTGTGCTGGTTGCACTGCTGAATCAAAGACATGCAGGAATGTTGTGGTCCACATCCTCCTGAACAGCAGAGATGACAGGTGGGTCCCGTGCAATGCCCATACGAACCTTTTCCCCATCCCCTTTGCGGATCGCCATCCCTCCGGCAAACACACATTGTGGCTTGCATCTTGCCAACCTATCCCGTCACCGTTCGTCTACACCCTTTCTCGGGAGGCGGCGTTGTTCCCGCATAACAAGTCTGCAGAAAAGGCGGCAGGGCCTAATTAAAGTAACGTTGCGCTACAACTCCGACATCAACAACAACAACCACAACAACTCCTCACACACATACATCATATTCTACGATCGATCTTGTTGTTCGTTCTGTTCGGTGCACACCCACCACCACCAACCCCTCCTCGACTCCAAAGGCACATTCAGTCTGCGAGGCATATTTTTAGGAAGACCCAACTACAAAACACAAGTGATTTCTCACGACAGCTGATGTTCTCTTCCTCTGCGTTGGCTAAGCTGCCGCCACCCCCTTTCAGACGGCCAACAACTGCCACTGCCTACAGCAGCCTAAACAAAGGTTGAGGGCCAAAAAAAAGGGCTTGTTCGGTCCTTCTCAGCCAATCAGTCCAGCCTGACCGGTGCCCTGGGGATAAGATTCTCAACCTTGCTTTATACATCGTTACAAGGCCTACCTGAACGCCGCCCCGCCCAAAAAGAAACATCAAAGCACTTATAATTAAAATTGCGCCTCCTTCAACTTTAGAACCTTTGGTGCTTACCCCTCTCCGCCAAGGTTCCCACAGCCTGCGCCCATCTACCTTTTCTTATTTTCTTTGCTTCTTCTTTCTTTTTTTTTTCTCTTGCTCGTCACGAGAGCCGTCCCAATCCTTATAGGATTCGGCGGGCTGCATTGCATTGCTGCAAGTAATCTCAGCCGTCGATAGATATAAAGTATCGACCGTTTTGGCCGTCCCTATTTTCCACCCACCACAACCTTTCCTTCGCACTCTCGAGAGGTTGGGCCAGACTACGACATATTCCTCGAGTTCGCATTCAGGTCTAAGGTCGAATCAATTCATTGAGGGTCTGAAATTTCAAAACAATACCAGAAGACCAATCCCCCCTGACATTTCTCATTTTCTTTTTTTCTTTCTCCAGGTGTAGAGTATAGGCCCTCATCATCATCATCATCATTAAAGATGGGCTTACGGCTGCTCTTACCTGTCGTCCTAGCCGCTGTTGACTCGGTCACGGCGCAAGGACTTGGGGGCTTATGGCCTGTTCCTCAGCCCACCTTCTCGTCTGGAAACACGTCCTTGTTTATCAACGAGGACATCCAGGTCACTCTCAACGGAGCAAGCGTACGATGGTCTACTCATGAAACTCTCCTGCCCTCTTATGAGGATGTGTATACTAAAACCAATCTCCAAGCACAGCTGACCTACACGGCCGACTATGAGCCCAGCTCGCTATCCAGCGCGCAGCTGGTCCAGGCCGGTGTCTCGAGGACCCTGGACAGCATCTTCTCAGCCAACTTTGTCCCCTGGATGCTGGTGCCCCGGTACAAGCTGTCCAGCTACGAGCCCGCGCTCAACGCCTCCGCGGCGAGCGTCACGTCTCTGGCCATCACCCTCACCAGCAGCAATGCGACCTTCCAGCCCTCAACAGCCGAGGTGGACGAGTCGTACAACCTGACCATCAGCGAGACCGGCTCGGCCAGCCTCTCTGCCGTGTCGACCAGCGGTGTCCTGCACGGCCTCGAGACCTTCTCCCAGCTCTTTTACGAGCACTCGAGCGGGACGGCCTGGTACATGGTCAACGCGCCCATCGAGATCCAGGACAAGCCCGTCTATGCATGGCGCGGCGTGATGCTGGACACGGCCCGCAACTTCTTCCCCGTCGACGACATCAAGCGCACCATCGACGGCCTGTCGTACAGTAAGCTGAACAAGCTGCACGTGCACGTCACCGACTCGCAGTCCTGGCCCCTCGAGGTCCCCAGCCTGCCCGACCTGTCCGGCAAGGGCGCCTACAGCCAGGCCCAGGTCTACTCGGCCGACGACATCCAGTCGCTCCAGGAGTACGGCATCGCCCGCGGCGTCGACGTCTACTTTGAGATCGACATGCCAGGCCACATCGGCGTCGTCGGCGAGGCCTACCCGGACCTGGTCGTCGCCTACGACGCCCAGCCCTACACCACCTACTGCGCCGAGCCTCCCTGCGGCGCGCTGAGGCTGAACAACTCGGGCGTCGAGGACCTCCTGGGCACGCTGTTCGACGACGTCCTGCCGCGCGTCGCCCCTTACACGGCCTACTGGCACACGGGCGGCGACGAGCTGAACGCGCAGGACTACCTGCTGGACCCGGACGTCAACACCAACGACACCGCCGTGCTGCAGCCCCTGCTCCAGGATTTCATCGATACCCAACACACCCGTGTCCGCGATGCAGGCCTGAACCCCATGGTCTGGGAGGAGATTGTCACCACCTGGAATGTTACCCTTGGGTCCGATGTCGTGGTCCAGTCGTGGCTCGGCGGGACTGCCGTGCCAGACCTGGCTGCGAATGGCTACAAGGTCATTGATTCCAACTATGAGTTTTACGTGAGTTGTTCTTTTACCTTTTTTTTTCTTTCTTTCTTCTTCTTCCCTTTGTATATAATATATACACAATCATCATGATGAGATTCCCCTATACTAAATCACGGTCTAATCTCTTTTCCCAAAAAAAAAAGTATCTCGACTGCGGTCGCGGCCAGTGGGTCACCTGGAGCAACGACCTCTGGTCCACCGGCTACCCCTTCAACGACTGGTGCAGCCCCACCAAGAGCTGGGAGCTCATCTACTCCCACGACCCGGCCGCCGGCGTCTCCGCCAACGCCACCTCCAACGTCCTGGGCGGCGAGCTCGCCCTCTGGTCCGAGACCATCGACCCCCAGAACCTCGACTCCCTCGCCTGGCCCCGCGCCGCCGCCGCCGCAGAGGTCCTCTGGTCCGGCCGAACGGACGCCGCCGGCCAGAACCGCAGCCAGGTCGATGCCGCGCCGCGCCTCAACTCGCTTCGGCAGCGCCTCGTGGCCAGGGGGCTCGGCGCGAGCCCCATCCAGATGGAGTGGTGCACCATGTATCCCAACGCCACCGGCTGTGCCCAGCCTGCTTAGGGGCAGGTGGTGGTGGCGGTAGATGAGGACACACCCGCGCTCGTTGTGGTGGTGGTTCTTGTCGAGGTCGAGGTCCTAGTGGTGGAGCAGGTTGTCGTCGTCGTCGTCGTCGTCATCGTCGTCATCGTTACTGAGGAGGTCGTCACATCCATAGACGCCTCCTCCTTCTCCCTCAGAGAGGACGTCCTCCTCCTTGAGGACCTTGCCTTACCCGAGGCACAGAATCCATTGGCAACATAGTCAGCCGACCTGGGCGGGCTCGTGCAGCGGCGCTTTCTTCTTGTACATAAATATCTTTATACTCGATGCAGTCTCTCTAATGGCGTAACGTATCAATGTCGTATAATGATGTTGACTTCTCTCAAATGTGGCAGAAAGTGAAAAAGACAAGTCGTAACCTGGATTTCTGAGCAGTACCAAAGTAACGCTGTGTTCTTTTGTGGCAATTTGCCTCCACTCTCTTCTTGCTCGAGTGTCAACAAGTGCTACCATCCATTACTCTCTCCTCCCTTGCGTGCATTCCGACAAGACAAGGCAAACGGGTGTGGTGGTATCATATCTCTCGTCTCCTCTCAATAATCTTACACAGTCTATACAGAGAAAAGAAAAGAGAATGGAAAACAGAAGTGCTATCGCGACGGACTGCAAAAGCAAGTCTATAATGAAACCAACCTATCTCGACTGGAGACAATGGAAAAAAATAACCCCTTCCCGAATTTTCTTGGTCGGCTTTTTCACCCACCCGTTTGGCCCCAACGCCTTGCGACCTGTGGCCTAGCATGGCCTGGAAATACATAATGATTGACCCCCGGTTCAACACATCAAAAAAAAAAAAAGGAATTCAAGAGTGCTCTTCTTCGTCATCGATTCCTTCGCGCTTCAGGTCTTGCCGGCAGGCCAGGGCCTACCCCAGCCCGACAGCGCCGGCCGCCTTGCCCAGCTGTTGGATGAGATGGCATAAGTTCTCCACAATGGGAGCAGCCTGGCCGCCGGGAAAGTTGGCGCGGAGAATGTCCTCTACCATTGCCATGCAGCTTGTCGGCTCGTCGATGAAGCACTGAGTCACGGTCCCCATGCCGCCACTGCCACTGCTGCTCTCGCCGACAGGCCCGTAGCCGCCGGAGGAACCGGCCGCGGCTGCTCTTTTCGTCGGACCCCGGATGGCAGGTCTGGCCGAGCCGAACACGACGAATTGACGCATCGGGGCAGAGTCGGGCATGTCAAGGTGGATCACCGGCTCTGTCTGGCTGTCGAACCCGCCATTGCCCCTCCGCATGGCACGTGTCACGACGCCCCACGTCCACAGCGCCAGCGCGGCGTGATGGACTGCGATCGCTGAGAAGTCCTTGAGGTGGCCCACTGGAAACTCTTTGGCCCACTGCAGGATCTGGCCGGCGTGCCAGATGGCCCGGCGGGACTCGCTGTCCTGCACCCAGCGCTTCAGTGCGGGTAGGATGCGCCTGGCCTGGTCGTCGCCCTCCTTGCCCGAGAACAGCTGCAGGTCCTCAAAGGAGACGTGCAGGTTCATCAGTAGCAGGTTGAGCACGAGGTTCTCCTGGGCGATCAGCATGTGCGGCCATTTCTGTGCTGCGCTGAGCTGGAACTGTTCCAGGGCCTTGACGTGTTCCTGCTGACGAGACTGCAACAGTATGTTCGGGTTGCCGGCCACGTTGGGCGAGAAATTGGACCAGCGGTAAATGGAGTTCATCTGGCAGTACTCGCGGATGAAGGTCCAAAAGCCATGCAGGAAGATGGAGATGCAGTACCGCACGTCGAGCCGGTGCGCATCGGTCGCGAGCAGGTCGAAGTCGCGGAGGAGATCGCCTAGTGAAGGAAGCTTGGTGGTTTGCGGCCCTGCGTGTATTCGCAGGTAATGCATCTTCCATTCCTGGGCCGTCTTGGCAAACCAGAGCTCTCGGGCCTCAGGAAGCGGTAGGGTCAGCTCTGCGTACGATATATGTGGATTAATCATGGACGTCATGGATGTTTGGGCGTCGCGGATGAAGAGATGGAAGATAAGCCTGCGGTATGTTAATAAGTACTGCTGTATGCAGCTAAGAGGACAACGAGGAGAGGAAACATACCTCTTCCACGATTCGTGCTGATACCAGAGCTTCCACTTCGCGTCCAAGTCGGAACCCTCGTCTGCCACATCTACGTGGATGTACTCATAATGTGATTGCTGGAACAAGCCTCTGCCCCTGGTCATCGCAACGGGGATGTTCAAGTCTACATCCATCTTGGTTAGGTCCTCCTTCGTAGTCTGACATCAACAAGGATATACATACGGCACTCAGCTATCTCCATGCGCCTTCGATTTCCACTCCACAGGCCAATATCGTGATTCAGCACGAGAGCCTGGACCAGACTTATATCCTGAATCTTGGTATTGTTATCTTCGAACTAAGGTAAGGACACATTAGTAAAGCTAAACGTGTCAAGCAATCGGAGAGAAATAGGCATCCATAGCATAGCTAGTGGTGGTTGGGGGGCCAAGGGCGGCTGTTGTACGTACTCGCATGGGTATTGTGATTCCTATATGCATGCCTGGTCAGCAAAGATGCCTAGCGAAGAGAAAGGGAGGGGGTGGGGGGGGGGGGGGGCTCAGATGAAGAGACCAGACTTACGAACTGCCTCCTGCACAGCGAAGCCAAATTTCCAGAGCGACCTGACAGGTGTCAGGATGGCTCCTGCTGCGGCGGTCACGCCTAGCCACTCGGGGCTCTGCCCATTCATCGAAAATGAACCAAAGTGTATGAACTCGGATACCTGACACAGGTGCCAGGCCAGGAAGACGTGGACCAAGGAGTCCATCACCTCGGTGGAGGGAAAAGACGACGCTACCCTTCCCATGATAGAATTATTCTGACATGTGCTCAGGATGATGGCCAATACCTTGTCCCGCCCGGAAGCCTCCATTTTGTCGTTGACGACCTTGTCCGGCTGCAGCTGAGAGTTCTTTATGTCGATCAGTGGCAGGTTGCTCTTCTGAGTCTCCATGTTATCCTTATTGGCGTCAGGCATCCAACGCCATGGCGAGTCTACCCAGATCGAGACCAGACGCTGGCGCATGTGAGACAGGGACAGCTCTGCGGAATCCTGTGCCTGGGTGAAGATGTAGCTGGCCAGGTTGGGATCGGTCGCCAGCATGCCGTTGATGTTACCAAGGTTCCAGTCATCGATTAGGCCGAAGTCGAGCTCGTCCATGTCCAGGTTGGCATCGTCGCAAAAATCTAACACGGCCAGGCCTTGGGCTGGATTCATCCTCGAGGACGCCAACTGCTGCTGCTGCTGTGGATCGTAGAGAACATTCTGCAGAAAATCTCCAAACTGTGGTCTTGACATGTCGACCACAGCAGCGTGGTTCTGGGCGAGCTGGGCAGCATGACTATCCGTGTGGTCTTCATCCTCCATGGTTAGCACAGTCTCGGCTACGGACAAGTATTCAGAGGCGACGGCGGCAAGGGCCAGTGTAGTGTGCAGCAGGTTGCCGGTAGGGCCGTATGATAGGTGAGTGGTGAATCAAAGAAATTGGGGACAGGATAGGGCGAGGCCAACAACAGCAAATGCATGGGGTGGTTTGTGTTTGCCATGGAAGACGAGAGGGTGATGGTGAGGTTGAGGTTGTGGAATATAGTCTTAATATAGCGTTGACAAGTATAAGACAAAGAAAGGAAGAGAGAGGAACCTGGAAATACAAATATCGTTCTACACAGTGGTCGAACACGAAAGAAGAAGGAAGGTGTGGCTCACTGTGGTCTATCATGGTCTCAGGTGTGGGTAGCTGTACTGCTTCGTTACTGCCCTGCGTGTGGGTAGCAACGATAGGAGGACTTCGGCTGGTGGACTGGGCATAAGAAGGAGGATTCGTCATGGCCAGGGCGGCTGGGGTGTGGACCCTCTGTATAGGCCCAGACTGCCCTGTCTGCGAGGACAAGGGCTCGGGGCCCAAATTACGGGAGGGCGGGCCCGAAGGGGTTGTAGTAGGAGGAGCATGCATCGGAGGAGGGTGAGTGTGGGAGTGGCTCTGGGCGTGGGCGTGGGACTTGGAGGGGGGGGAGGAGGGGGAGGACGAGGACGAGTCCGAGTGGGCGCTGGCCGAGAAGTGCAGTAGATGCATAGCGGCGGCAGACCCGGCCTCAGAAGACGCATACTCGCAGGTCAAGTTGCGATGGCGGCATCTGGTGCACGGTTTGGTGTCCTCGCACTTGACGCGAGCCTTGGCACATGCCTGACACGCGTGGGCCACGCGGCCGGCGCCAGGCGACGAGTTGATGCGGCGTCTCTTGTTGCCGTTGCCATCGTCGTTGTGGTTGGCACGGTGTCTCTTAAGGAGGTCGGCACGGCCAAATGCCTTCCCACAGACCTACACCGTGGCATCATCAACATGTGCGCCCGGCAGAAAGCCATATACCAATCACACAGTCACAAGAAGAGAAAGGAAGGAAAGAAGAAGAAGAAAGGGGAAAACATACATCACAGACAAAGCGCTTGCCTAGCGTGTGGGTGGCAACATGCCGCTGAAGATGCTCGGGGCGGGAGTATCTTTTGAGACAGTCTGCACACTGGTAGAGGCTCGAGTTTGGGGCGTGATTCCTAGACAGGCCTGGACCAGCCGCCGAGGCTGAGGATGTGTGTGCAGTGGGTGAAGTCACCGGGGATGCTACGGAGTGCGCACTACCAGAGGCGGCCGGCGATACTGTGGAAGGGGGAGCGGCAGGATAGTTGTAGGCAGACGTGGCCACGGAGATGAAGTCCAAGGAAGGCGAGGGGTTTCCATCGTTAGAGGGCCGTTGCGGCGGGAGCAGTGAGCGAGCAGGCTGGGGCAGTGATCGAGGTGATGACGACGACGGTGGAGGCTGGTGAGCAGTCTGTGCATGGGCAGAAGGTTGAGGCTGAAATTGAGAATGAGGGTGAGACCGAGGCGGGGGCTGAGACGGAACGGCTGGCTCCGGGTGGAGTAGGTGAGAGAAGGACGGGCTGGCCATGATATATTTGTCGATCCAGAGAGGCGGAGACAAGAGAGACACAGGAGACGGGCTCAGGCTGAGTATGACCCTGTTGTTGATGATGCTGCTGCTGCTGCTGAGCTGAGCTTGGCTGGGCCAGAGCTGGAGCTGGAGCTGTGCCTGGCCGGTGCAGAGCACGTTGTGTGTCCAATCCAATCCCCACTGCTTGGTACTGTACGCGGCTGGGCTGCCGGTATTCCGGGCTTCCCGTTACGTCGGATTCCGGGAAGGGGGGGGGGGGCACAGGTCGGGATCGCGACCGTAGCGATGTTTCTCTCACTCACTCTCGCTCTCTGCCCGTGCTGCTAGATTCTAGAACTGGGCTTGGGCCTGGACCTGGACCGGGGCCTGGATCCCGTACGAGGCTTGCACGTCTGAGACAGACTCAGACACAAACAGAGGCCAATTGGCCCGCAAGGGGCTGATCAGCATCTGGCCAAGCCCTCTGAAGGAGAGAGGGAGTGAAGGAAGGAAACCGAAGAAGAAAAGTAAAATCAAAAAAGATAAGGCCGGTGCGTCGTCCTCTCTCTTGCTGATGAAGATGCCGTGTGTGCCGACCCCAAGGTTCAGAAACAAAAAGGCGAAAGGGAGAAAGAGGGGGGGGGGTTGTTTCGTCGAGAAGGAAGGAAAGGTCGAGAGGATAGCAGCACCAGCAACCAGCAGTGTTCCATGCATTCAGACATCATCCAGTTTAAGCATACTCGCAAAGGTGCTCTTTTCGTTAAGGGAAAGAAACAGGGGTGCCTCGGAGCTATACTGGCGTCTCAGGCGGTTGGTCGAGACCCGATTTGGTCAGAACCAAGCCAATAGAGACAAAAAGTTATATATACTGTTTATGTACTTTACTATACTGTATAGTATACGTCTTAAAGCCTCGAAAAAGAAAAACTTGCTTGCATATACTACGTAGTATGTATGTTTTACAGTATGCAGGACGACAATGAACGGTGAGATGCGAATATCGGGCTTTTTGGGCAATCAAGTCGACACGTAGACTATACCATCAAACAGCCCAAGGAGAAGGGAAGGGGGGGGGGGGGGGGGAAAAAACAAAAAAAAAACAAAAAGTTATGGACGCATGACGGAAACAGTACCGCCCCCCCCGTCTATTCCTCCTCGACCACAGCGCCGCCATCGCTCTTTGTGTTTTCCCCGATCTGATCTGGTGTTGTAGGGGAGGGGTTGGTTTTGCGCTAGCATCGAGGTACGTATGCCCAGTACGACAATGTATTCATAATACCACAGTAGCAGTACAGGGTACCTCCCTAGGCCTATTACGTAGTGGTCAGTGGTCCGAGCGGCGGCGATGGTAATAGTGGTAGTAGCATAGGTTGTAAACAGCATGAACTACCGTAGAACTGCATACTGTCCTATGAAGTTCTTTGTTAGAGTTACATTGTGAATACATCTTCCTCATGGAGACTCATCGTGGTTGGCCGCAGTGTGGCGTGGGCGACGGGACACTACCAGAGACGCTGCGCATGTGGATACGTGGACACCGTAAAGTGAACCAAGCAACCAGAAGCGGATCCAGGGATACCTTGTCGCTCGCGTGAAATAGATGGGTGTACGTAGTACGTAGTCGTGGTGTTTAATTCCCCGGGCTAGGGATCCGCCCCCCCTGTCCTCAGCGCCCCGTGCGAAGATCTTGCTTTGTTTTTAATCCCCAGGCTTGCGTCCAGAAGCCCAGATCAAATCTCTTGTTCTCGCCGAGGTTGGGTTTTACGACGATAACACGACGGGGCAGGGCAACTGTGTCAAATGAGCGGAGGCTAAAGTGGAAAAGATTAAATAAAAATAAATTCAAACCCCAAAAGAGGATAGCGCGCGGACGTGGAAGAAAAATGCCAAGGGTGACAGGAGTTAAAAAGGAAAGAACGATGACCAAAGAGGGAGAGAGAACACGAAGGGAAGTGGAGGAGGATAGACGAAAAAGGGAAGGAAGGCAACACCTGGGCAATCGTCAAAGGGTTAGATCGTTTCTCCCTTCACTCACGCCATCACAACAGCATCACATCACTGCTACAGAGACTCTGCAATAGGACATGGCATTGCGCAAAAAGATCTGAGAGTGCTATAGTACAATACAACATAGCAAGAAAAAACTCACACAGCCAGGAAAGACATAGGTACCATAGTAACTTCAAATGGTTATATCTTCCAGTGACGCGTCCTCAGTCTCCATTCTGCAATCAGCTCCTGCCCCCCCTCACCAAATCAGTGCCGTCGTCCACTCGGGACGCGCGCCTTGCAGGCGGCTGAACATCCATCTTCCAACGGCGAGGCTCGGTATGGTCTCTGTAAAGGGAATGCCACGCCGGCTTGGCGTGCCTTGTCCTGCATGGCCATTTAGAGTCGCAGCTCTCCCGCGACGACGGTCCCGCCGACCTTGTGGTGGGAAGTGCCGGGACCATAGTACAACAAGCAAGGGCTCCCGCCTTACAGGACTGTACTGTACTTAGTGCGCATAACAAGCATATGTATGTCGCCAGCTACGAGCGGCGGGGTCTCTTCGTCGCTGGTGAGACAGGAACAACGACCTCTTTCGTTAGTCCAAATCTTGGCGATGCGGTGTGTTCTTTTTGGCATCGGACATCCTCCTACGAACATCAGCTAGCCTGCGGCCGCTCGCTAGCACCTGGGCAGGCAGAGGCGCTTGCTGCTGGACGGTCACGCCCTACCCTACCCTACCAAGCCCGTACCATCTCGAATCAGCCTCGGAAGGTCCGTCCAACAACACCTGTTACAGGTGGCATCTCGTACAGTAAGCCACGATGAGAATGGACAAAACTTGTCGAGCCTCTCGCCTTGGGCAGGCAAGGCAAATGTACCAAGACACTCTCCGCGCAAGGGCCCAGATTGTGGTCTCTCCCGTCATGGTATAGTACAGGCCTGCTGCCATAAAGGGGCGTGTCTCGGCCTCCTGCTGCTGCTTCTACCACAGACCTGTTACCACCAAAACCGTATCGGCATGTGCGCCGCCCGAGAAGGCACTTCTTAGCAAGCAACTACACCCGCGGTACCAGGCGCGAGTCTTCATTGGAGCGTTCTCATTCAGCGGTGCCTCGGGCGGCTGTCATCTGATTAAGCCTTCCTACTAGCAACCACCGGCTGAGACTGGCCTCGATGATGCCTGTTACTCTTGAGGGCCACACTGAGCTGTGCCGTGTCGAGCTAACGACCAGAGCTATACCACAGACGAAGTCTCGGCTGGACGGAAACATACATGGCCAGCCTTTATACCATCAGTTTTGGTGTGACGCGAACAAGAAGAAGAATTAAACCAACCTTTTCGACCCAAGGGGGACGCTGCATCTCGAGTGCCATCAAGGCTGGCTTTCGTTGGCCCCCCCCCCCCCCAAAAAAAACCCACTAAGGAAGACTAACCCTCCTCCTCTTTCTCCTCCTCTTTCTCCTCCTCTTTCTCCTCCTCTTTCTCCTCCTCTTTCTCCTCCTCTTTCTCCTCCTCCTCTTTCTCCTGCTCCTCTTTCTCCTGCTCCTCTCCTCTCCTTCTCAGGCTGTACACGTGCGGTCCAGTCAGACATGGGGCAATGTACACAAGGAAGGTATGAGATTCGAAATGGACAATATCGTGTGCCCTCCTTTTGTTCCTGTCACTTTGCCCTCGCGGTCATGTAGAGAGTGGTAGCAGGGCTGAAGAGCCTGTGAACAGGATTCCCATCCTGCGGTACGCACTCCATAATTATGATACTACATAGTAGTACAAAATACGGAGCTTCCCTGGAAACGTGGGGCATGCGAGATCCGCTTCAGCAGAGTGGATATAAAGCTTGGTGCTAATTATTATGTACTATGGCAGGATAAGAAAGCTTCGTTGCTTTTCTTTTCTTTGTTTTGTTTTTTAGTCCCATACGCGGCCAACTACCGGCAGGGACGGTTCGAGCAAGCACAGGCTGAGCGGGAAATTTGACCACACACCCTCTTTTCATCATCATCACTCATCATCTCCTTTTTTAAGTATTTAATTGACCAATTGGCAGTAATAGATGCTTTCCATTTATTATGCACTCTATATTTCAACATCATTTCCCCAGGAAGCCGCCTCTATCTACCTGTCCCCCCTTCCCCCCCTGCGTACTATAATTGTTTCCTCGTCGTTTTTTTTTTTTTTTCATAATTTTCCACAGCTGAAAAGCCACACACTCTTCCCAGCCTGGGCTTGGGGGCATTACGTGTCATTTGTCTCCTTGTCTTCCTCCCTTCTCCAAATAAACCCTGCCTTGTTCTTATGCATAATACATACTATGGTGCACATACATGCACCCACCCACCCACACATGCATGGCGGACGAGAAAAACAAAGCTCTTTCCTTCTCCACTCGCAAACCCCGTCGACCCCTAGCCTCTCACATGGCTCAGGATTGTAATAACCAACCACCTTCGGCATCTTGAACAGCCTACATCGCTTCGGGATCTGCAGGATCACATATGCATCTTTTTGGGGAAGGGGGAAACTTGGGGGATACCCTATACCGCTCTTGCAACGTCGATGATCTATCTCTCCTTGCCCTTCTCCTCCACCTCTTCCTCCTTTCCTCCTTCGAGAACACACATCGCATTGTTCGCTTCGGGAAGTGGGGGGGAAACCGTCACGTCCTCCTGCTTTGGTTGCCACCATCAATCACACACAAACACACACACAACACACAGCCCGGCAGTAAGAGTCTGGGGTAAACCGCCTCATGCGGCTACCCTAGATTTGAGGGCCCTTCAGCCGTAGACATATACAAAACAATACTCGAGGATACGGGTCACAGTCACGGCTACGGGTACGGGTATCATATTGACGAGAAAGTAAGCAAAAAAGTACATCTGCAAGGCTTGTTTCCTGTTAGCTTTGCAGGGCCTCGACATTCTGAATCGACAACTGATTCGGTGTTCAGATTCATGCGCCGGCGCCTTCTTTCTGGACTTGTTTAACTTTCTTCTCATTCTTCCTCCCCTTCAGGATGTGACAGTGCCGCATCATCACTTATTCATCGGCAGACCAAACATTGTGGCCGGTCTTCCCGTAGGCAGCTCGCCGAGGTGTCACAACCCCCATTGCACCCTACTGCTCGCCGTTTAGTATAAAACCCTCTGTACATGTCGCACTCATCGTGGCCAGCCATCGAACTTGAAGTGGCTTGTTGAGACAGCAGGGTGAGACATTCGAGAAAGATCCCCCGCGGAAATCGTTGCCCTCCCTCCTCTGTTCCCCACACCGGCTTCAACGTCTTTGGTCTTTTACATGTTCAACTATAGTGTCAGGTCGAAGAAAACAGAAAGGCAGAAAAAAAAACGAGTTATTCCCAAGTAGATTGGGTGTAGCAAAACCTCGACTCGCCTGTCTCCTTCCCGACACCCTTCTCAGAAGGTGGCTGGCTGTTCCTTCCTGTTCTATAGGAAGCCACATTCCTGCACAGTTCTAGTCCTCGCGTGTGTGGCTGTCTGTACAGGTTTCGCCCGATTCCTCTTCTTCTTCTCCTCTTCTTCTTCTTCCACAACCCACTTCAGCCAGACAGGATGGCCTCAGACACCATTGCAACCGCCTTGCAAGCTGAGGACCACGAGCTGGGCAAGGTGGAAAGGCTTAGGCAGAGGACACTTGGAAATGTCCGACTCCGTCACCATGAGACTAACGAAATCATTCTCGTCCCCACACCTTCCAGTGACCCCAACGACCCCCTGAACTGGTATGTTCTCTCTTTGTTTCGATTGTCTCGGCCACTCCGTTTGTGTCTTTCTTGCTCTTGGTTACCACACACTCTAACACAGAGGGAAATACAACAGGCCACAGTGGTACAAGAAGTGCATCGCTGTGCTCATATGTCTCGCCATGCTCTGGTGCAACTTCCTGGCGGCCGGTCCCACGGTCGCCATCGTCGAGACCACGCTGAGCTTCTTCCCCGACGCGACGCCCACGAGCGACCCCGCGCAGTTCAACAAGAACATATCCAAGGTCTCGTACTTTTTCACCACGACGGCGCTCCTTCAGGGCTTGGGCAACTTCTTCTGGGTCCCCTTCGCCAACAAGTATGGCCGTCGGCCCGCCTACGTCTTCAGCTACACCCTCTACCTCGGCTGCGCGATATGGGCCATCTTCGACCGGTCGTTTGGCGGGTTCCTGGCAGCACGCATCCTCATGGGCCTGGGCGCCGGCGCGGCAGAGACGATTGCGCCCGTCACCATCTCGGACGTCTTTTTCCTGCACGAGCGCGGTGCCATCATGGCCCTCTACACGTCTTTCCTCTCGGTCGGCGTCGCATTCGGCATCGTCATCTCCGGCTTGATCACCATCAACCACAGCTGGGGCGTCATCTATGAGGTCGCCGCCGCCTTCATAGGCCTGATGCTCGTCCTGGCCTTCTTCGCCTTCCCCGAGACAGCCTACAGGCGCGAGGAGAGGCTCATCGAGGAGGCCCAGGCCCGCGAACAACAACACCACACAACAGCAGCAGCAGAAGCAGCAGCAACAGAGACGCACTCTCAACACGCCCACGATCCAACCGCCAGCTCATCCGAGAAGACACCCACAGAAGAGAACGCCTTCGACACAGACGTGGAGCAGCCCTCTACACGCGTCGTCTCTCCCTCTTCCCTTCCCCACCACCGCACCCCTTACCTGCAGCGCCTGCGCCTCTTCAGCGGCACCTACACCTCAGAGCCCCTCTACAAGATCTTCCTCCGGCCCCTGGGCCTCATCTGCCTCCCGCCCGTGCTGTGGTCCGCCCTCGTGCAGTCCGTCACCGTTGGCTTCGTAGTCGCCGTCACCTCCAATGTGGATACCGCCTTCGAGGCCACCTACGGCTTTGCCTCATGGCAGGTCGGCCTATGTTTCATCTCTGCCGTCATCGGGTCCATCATCGGTGTGCCTGCCGGCGGGATTTTGGGGGACCGCGTTGCCGACTATTTCACAAGGCGCAACGGCGGCATTCGCGAGCCCGAGATGAGGTTGCCTGCTATGATCCCCAGCCTGCTCTCAACGCCGCTGGCCCTGGTCTTGTATGGTGTTGGGGTGCAGAAGAAGCTGCACTGGATCTGTCCTACGATTGGACTGGGTCTTTGTAAGTCGAGGTTCCTATCTAAAGTGGTGTGGAGTAAGTAAGTGGGTTTTCCACGGAAGAGCTAACAAATGTGCTTCTCTCTAGTGAACTTCTCCATCGTCCAAGGGACCAACATTTGTCTGGTCTACGTGATTGATGCGTATCGGCCTGTAGCAGGAGAAATTACACTGGCAGTGATGGGATTCAAATGTGGGTTTTGCTGTTTTCTTCAACTCCCCACTTCCTTTGTTTCCTTTTTCCTTTCCCACCCCTTTTCCATTTCCCCAAATATAAAACATGACTCGACAAAGTGAGTGAGACTCAAAAGTTGCTGACAACAACCCCCTCCCTCTCTTCCACCACCCAGCCCTGTTCGGTTTCCTCCTCTCCTTCTACACCAACCCCTGGGTCGACGAGGCAGGCTACGCAGATGCCTACGGCGCCATGGCTGGTATAGCGGCCGCCATCATCATTCTCTGGGTGCCGCTCTATATCTGGGGTAGGGGGATTCGTCATGTTACGTGGAAGTGGCCTATCATCTCGTCCATTCACTGGGATGATGACCGGGAGGTAGGCGAGTAGAACCTTTTAGGTTCTGGTATCGACTTGTCATTTCCTGTGTGTGCACGCGTGTGTCCTCCCCCCCCCCCTTTTTTTTTCTTCTTCTTCGGAGTGACAAGGTTTGATGATGATAATTACGCCAAGCAAGCAGGGCGGGTTGGTTCTCGTTTATTTGAGGGTCAAAGCTAAAAGAAGTGAAAATAGGCTTGCGTGGCTGTGGTGTGTCTATAAGTGTGTAGGGGCGTTTTGTTTCTTTCTCGCTCGACAGGGAGCTGCTTGTGTGCTTTTTCTTCTATTGATGGATATTCAAGATACCAAGAGGATGTGCCGACCTAGGCCTCTTTTGCACTTATGTTTGCTTTCTTTCTTGAAACTTTGACTATTCGTTATTGTCATCTTCGTGGTCTTCGTTTGGAGAAATTGTATCGCGGGCTCGTTTGGCTCTTCATTTGTGCGAGGGCCAGTGAGTCACTGGCCCAGGGCCGTGCACGGCCCCAGCCAGCCAACAGCCAGACCTGTTGATAGCCTCAGATAGCTGGCCTCGTGGCGTTTCTCTTCCTTTCTCTTTCTTCTTCAGCGCACAGCAATGCAATCTTTTTGCCCTTACACATCATTTGCCCCCGCCCCGAAATATATGTGTGCTCTATGAGGGCGAGTCTTGGAATTCGGAATATTTAGCTGTTATATGGGTAATTTCTCATCAAAAATCTTTGTTGGTTTTTGTCACTAATGTCACTATACCTACTTAAATGATTACCGCTGACAGCAATGAGTAAAAAAAGTCACTGGGACTGTTTTACTTTTTTGTTTAGTGTTGTTCTCTCTGATATTCTATACCGTCTAGCTTGTCAACTAAAAGCGAGCTCCTATTCATTCGGTGGATGTAGAAGTTCTTGCAGATTTACATAAGTAATACTTATCCATCAAGGTACTTGAGATCCAGCTGACCAGAGTATTCAAGAAAATCTTGCAAGACACCTTGTTCAGAATCCGGATGCCGTTGTGTTCCTCTCCCCATCCTCCGGTCTACTCCTCGAGTCTACTCCGATCAAAAACTCAAGTAGCCACCGTCCATGACCACATTCTGACCAGACACGCTCTTCATCTTGACGAGGGCGAGGACCTGCTCGGCAACGTCCTGAAGGGAAAAAGAAAGTAAGAAAGAGAGGTAAGCCGCCAGCAGAGCAAAGATCTGATTACAATATCATGTATGAAAGAAACAGCAAAGGGGAACAATGCTATTAGCTTACTTGTACTGTGGCGAGCCTCTGGAGCTTAGTGGCATTCTGCATGGCCTGAATCCTCTCTTGTGGGAAGATCTTCTCAGCCCATTCCTATAGAGAAAGAGAGAGCAAAGATAACCATCACTATCGTCAGCTATCGAACCTCCCCTTTGCCACAGCAGAGAGAGAGAGAGAGAGAGAGAGAGAGAGAGAGAGAAAGGAAGAGAAGAAAGAAATATAAAAACAGAACTCACCGTCATCATCAGCCCAGGACTAACACTATTCACCTTAATCTTGGGCGCCCCAATCTTGGCCAGTCCGCGCACCAGATGCAGCTGCGCCGCCTTGGTGACGGAATAGGCCAACGAGCTCCCCGAAACGTGCACGCCCGCCAGACTCGCCGTGGTGATGAACGAGGCAGGGCCACCACCACTTGCCGCAGGCTGGTACGCGGCCTCGAGGTGCGGTTTCGCTGCGTGCATCAGCCACAGGTGGCTCTTGACGTTCATGGTAAAACACCTGTCCCAGTCGTCCTCGACCATGTTGTCGTCCAGGTTGGTGATATCGCGCAGCCTCGTCCAGCCTCCGTTGCTGAAGACGACGTCCAGCCTTGGGGGCCGTGCTGCCGTGTCCGCAGCAGCAGCACCAGCACCAGCACCAGCACCAGCAGCAATAGCAATAGCAGCAGCAGGCGGGCACATGACAGAGATGGTCTCGGTGACGAGGCGCTCCACGTCGGCCTGGACGGCCAGGTCCGCGCGGATGGCGTAAAAGTCTGTCCTGCCGGGCTGTGGGGTGAGGGTGCTGACGGCCTGGAGGGTGGTGAGGAGGGACTGGGCGCGCTGGTCGTCGCTGTGGTAGTTGATGACGACGCGCATGCCGTTGCGGGCGAACAGAGTGGCTACTTCGGCGCCGAGGCCTGCGGAGCCGGCTGTGATGAGGGCGATGGGAGGCTCGGGCGGGAAGGTGGTGGTGGTGGTGGCGGCCATGGTGTGGAGCGAGAGAGTTGTATTATTGACTGGGAATGCCTGCTCTGAGGTAATAAAATAACAAATACAAATGATATCTTCCAGGCTGGAAGAGTTTCATCCGTTCTAGCCAAGCTGAGTTATTTTGGCTATATGTTGTCCTTCTTGTTGTGTACAAGCATCGGTCCGGCGGTTCTAAGTTTGGGTTACTCGGTCGGATGAGGTTTATTCCCTCGTGATGATGCAGGTGGTGGTACGAACTGTATACGAACGTTGTACCATAATCGTAAGTAGTAAGTCGAGAAACGGGGTCCCAGTTTTCCCCCCGAGAATGGAGTGGGCCAGGGGTTATACAGAGTTGTTGTATAGCCCACTTATTTCCCCACGATGGACTTGTCTTTTCAAGAGTTACTCCTGCTTGATCCCAGCGTAAAGTTTTCCATGTAGCTCATAGTACACACACTTCCCCAGACTCCACATGTGCCTGCTCCACTTCATCCGAGTACAGTTGCCGACCTGATCAAGTGTGTTCCCACTTTCGAGGAGGAAAGAGGAGGGAAAGGAGGAGGAGGAGGGGCCAACGGGGATAAGGATGTTCTACTATAGTAGTACCTCCACAGCATGCTTTGTACTATGGTACTACGTAAGAAAGGATAAATATGTATATTTTATATCGTCCCTCGTCCCTCGTTCCCCTTTTCCCCCCCACTTCCCGTAGCCACAGAAAATCCCGGTTGGGTCTCCGCTTCTCGACTACATCACTTGTCTTTGAATATCCAACTATAGTTACAGTCAAGCACTATGGGTATCCTCTTGTTCCCGATAGAGAGGGAACAGGGGTGGACATAACGTCGTAAACCGAACATGACGAAATAGGCTCGGCGAAACCTCAACTTGTGGCCAGCTCATACACATCCAATTGTCCCCCCAATGGAGCACCAATGTCCGCGGTTTCTGTTGTGTGTCTACTGTGTGTGTGTGTGTGTGTGTAAGTAAAGTGGTATTGCTTTGAGATCTCGTTTTCTTTTCTTCTTTCGTTTCCCTCAAATTGTACACAGAGAGGAAAGGGGGGAGCTCCTGCTACTGTACATGCCAGTGGGTGGGCACATGATGAGGTTGTCTCCCGACATGATCATCCGAGGCTCTGGGAAACATGATAAACTATGTCACCGTGTGTGTGTGCAACATGTGTGCTGTATCCGTCCATCCCTTGGAAATGCTATTATATCCGACTCCGGGTGGGCGGAATCCTGTCGGGTTCTCTTGCTGATTATGTAGCTGGACACCATCCACCGAGGTACCTACTTGGTAGGATAAATGTTTTTTTTTGCTTCTTTTGTTGCTTGCTGAGTCTGCCTGTCTGTCTGTCAGGTCACGTTCGCTTCGTCTCCTGCATGCGACCCTGAATGAGAGGAAATATCGTCTCAATAGTTCCTGTCTCAGCCCTCTTGCGTTGTGACGCCTGCCAGCCTGGGACGGCCTGTGGTACTTTGGGGCCTGTAAACTCACACCACACCCCTCCCGTCCCGTATACGAGACCTCTTTTATTCTTTCTTTTTCTTCCTCCTGCAGGGCTACGTGGAAATAAGTATGGGGAAAGGAAATTCAAAAACAAGGGGGAGGGGGAGAGGGAGGGCACAGAGGCCTAAGTTTGGGTTTCTCTATTAACCACTCATCCTTTGCTTATCGTCCTTGTTCCTCGTCTCCTTTTAATCCCAATACTCCACAGCCCATTTTACCTATTTGTTGGTTGTCTTCTTCTTCTTCTTCTTCCCTCTTCCCCTTCGATTTTCTTCTTTTCTTTCCCTTACCTCTCTTTCCTTCCTCACTTCCCCACCAATGTCTCATTCTAGCCTGTGAAAATGGAGAATATCAAAGACCACACTGCCACCAACGGTACCATCCCAAATGGCGCCGGGCACACCGCTGCCAACAGTGACCACCACCGCCTTCCCCCCACCTACACCAGCCCGAACAAAGTCGGCCTAACCAGCCCCCTTGTGGACGAACACCCAACGCCACTCAAGATCATCATCGTCGGTGCAGGAATAGGCGGTCTCTCCGCAGCCTTGAGCCTACGTCGCAACGGACATCATGTCGAGGTATGTTTGAAACACCCATAATACTTTGATATCATTCCCCTTCTCCTCCTTTTCCTCACAATCCATCATCCTGGAAAGCCAACTTGCGGTTCACTCACACACCCTCCCAGCTCTACGAACAATCCCGCTTCGCCAACGAGACTGGCGCGGCCGTCCACCTCTCCCCCAATAGCAACGCCGTCCTCCGGCGCTGGGGCATCCTAGCCGAGTCCTTCGGCGCCGTCCCCAATGCCCGTGTCCAGGAGCGCAGCCACCTGGGCAAGATCATCAAGGATGTCGACTGCGCTGGCCCCACCAGCAGGCAGTGGGCGCACCCTTGGCTGCTCTGTCACCGCGTCAGCCTGCACGAGAAGCTCAAGGCGCTGGTGACGGAGGAGGAAGGCGAGGGGCCGCCGGCGGTCCTGCATACCTCTTGCAAGGTGGCTGCTGTGGATCCTCGGAAGGCTGAGGTGACGCTGGTCGATGGGAGGACGATTACTGGCGATGTTGTGTTGGGGGCGGATGGGGTTTACGTGAGTTACTTTACTGTCCCTCTTGATGGTACCTATGTGTGCTATTCTGCCTCTTATTTGCGAGAGAGACTGACCGAAGAGTGAAAAAATAAAATTAAAAAAATAGTCCAAGACGAGGGCATGTATCAAAGATGTGAAGCTGTTTGGCTCGGGCAAGGCTGCTTTCCGGTTCCTGGTACCGCGAAAGGCGTGTCTTGATGATCCTCTCTGCAAGCCCCTTGCAGAGATGCTCGACACCCTCATTATATGGTTTGGCTCGGACAGGAGGGTTGTTATGTATCCCTGCAATGACAATGAGCTGCTTAATTTCGTGTGCATTCACCCCGATACCGAGTCTCATGCCACTGGCAGCGATGGTGAGATGTCACCCTGAACTCTTGTACTGAAGATTGAGATGATTGCTGACTTTCATCACCGCCACCAATAACAGAGTGGGACAAGAAGGGCGACCTCGAACAGATCCTGAAAGTCTACAACGGCTTCGACCCGGCGTGCCTGGCCTTCATCACAAAAGTCTACCCCCCACAAATCAGCGTATGGAAGCTCATGGACATGGAGCAGCTGCCGACCTGGACCATAGAGAAACTCGCCCTTCTCGGCGACGCCGCGCATCCTTTTACACCTCGTATGACTTCTATTTTCCTTGTGTAAAATAAGCAGCATTGTACACCATCCCCCACTGACAAACGAAACCAACAACAACAGACCAGGGACAGGGAGCAGGTCAGGCCATCGAGGATGCTGCCTCGCTCTCCATTGTGCTGCCTCGAGGTACGCCTCCAGACGAGATTCCTCAGAGGCTGAAATTGTACGAGGAGATCAGGTACACACGCGCACACACCATTCAGCAGTACTCGCGCGATGCCGGCACGGACTGGGTAGATGGGAAGCCGCAGACCGACAGTGAGTCTTCTTTTCTGTCTTTTCTTTGCTTTTGACTGAAATATGTGCTAACACTGGCGGCACAGTGATGGCATACACAGCATACAACTTTGGCCACGACGAGATAGACCACTCAAAAAACATCTACAAGCGCTGGAAGTGGTCGCAAAAGCCCAACATGTACTGGCGCATGCCCATAGGCTTTGGTCCCTTTCCCGGACCCCGCCAGGATGCATACGGCCGCGCTCTCCAGGATGGCCTGCAGAGGACGTTTTCAACTGTTTCAGTCAAGTTCAAGACGTCTAGAACCTACCTGCAGACGCTGTTCCCGACGGCCCAGTTTCGCTTCAAAGACCCAGCCACGGTGTGCCAGGCTTCTATTTCTGTTACCGAGCTGGACAACATGCAGTGGCTGGGTGGCAAGGGATATCGGCATCTGGGTTTGTACATTCATGGCGTCGAGTATGTGAAGAAGGACGGCAGCTCGCTCGCTGGTACACACATGGCGGTGCTGTTCGAATCGCTTACGGATCCCATCGTTTCTGGGAGGGAGGAGCTCGGTATGCCCAAGCTGTTCTGCGACATTGACATAGAGCGCGGGGATGCGTCGGTTCGCGTAGCTGCGAGCTGGCGAGGGGCCAAGTTCCTGGAGATGAACCTCGGAGGCCTGCAGGAGGACGATGTCTCGAGTGAGGCTGGCACTATTGGAGGCGAGGATGACTATGGTATCCTGGTGTATCGGTACATCCCTGCCGTAGGGGAGCCTGGCAAGGCGGATGCCGAGTATGCGATTGTGGTGCCGCATGAGGAGGAGCAGCCCAAGGGGACGGTGAAGAGGGTGATGAGGGTTCCTGCGTCGTCATCAAAGGATGATGCGACCCACACCCAGACGAGTGTGGGTGCGGACATCAAGATTCAGGGGCTGGATTGGACACAGTTGCCCACGCTTCATCATGTCGCGAGCGCGCTGGCTGAAATTCCCATCTATGAGGTGGTGAGCGCCAAGGTGGTGGAAGGGTCGGGTGTGCCTGATGTGAGCGCTGCCAGGAGGATCGAGTAGCAGTATGGCCCTTGGCGTGTTACCTGGGACAGTAGCATGACAAAATGATTTGGTGGTTGAGTTTTATTCTGTTCCAAATCTTCTATATGAGAGAGAGAGTGCGAGGGCCCGTGGATGCGTTGACGGGCACGTGCACTGTCTTTCCCAGAGAGCTTCAGCCGGCCAGCGGCCTTGGATGTCTTTCCTTCCCTTCTTTTCTTCCTTCATTCTTTCCTTCTGCAACGCAGCCCTCAAAACAGCTGTTTCTCATGGAGAGACTTTATGACGTATAAGTCCAGTGATGACGCTGCCAAGTCATCGATAATGTGAGACTGCATAACTTGTGTACCTCGACGAGCCTAACACTGCTTTGAGGCCTTGTCTCTCATTCAAGCTCATCTTTTTCTCTTCTTTCCCTCCTACGAAAAATAATGACTTCCAAAAATCTAAGACCAGACGTGATAGACATGCGCCCGCCACGGCATTCACCCCCCCACAGAGCCGAGACAAAGACGAACCGCTCAGCGCCGCCCACGTCACGGTCCCAGATGACAAATGTACTATTGGAAATTAAAATAAAACATGTGAGGCTTATAATAATTATCTCGTTACTGAAAGCAATGTTATAAGCAGTGTACACAAGCAGAAAAAAGAGAGCAATCATCAGCTGGACCCTACTTTCCCTCTCTTTATGCTACCCCAGCCATCCCCCGCCGCCCAACCTCCTCCTCGGCCGAGAGAACATGCTGAGTTCCGAGGGTTCGCTGGAGTACTACTTCAATGCAGAAAACCCCCCCCTCCCCCACCACCTTCTTTTCCCCTCCCTCCACTATGGTCGTCCCGAGATGGTTCCCACGTTCGTCTATGCACGTCCTCCACATCCCGTAAAGTTTAATCTTCCCCCTCCTCATCTTTCTCATCCTAGCAATCCCGAGTCAACGGTACAGACGGGGTACCAATACGGTATGCATTGGGATGTGGGTGGGAGAACTATCTCTCTGACATGGTCAGAGGTTTGTCACATGTAGAGACTAAATCGGAACGTGCCCAAGGATATGGTAATTGAGGTTTGTACTATACAGTATTGACAGGTTAGGGATCTCATCGGGAGAATAAATATTCCTGTATTGGCTAAGAAGAATATTAGGTCATTCCACCTAACGTGACCTTCAGAGTAAATACCATAGCTTGTGATTCTGGAAATTGAAAGGGCAGCACAGTAAACATACTTACTCATGTCAACGTGTCTTCCTCTCACATAACTTCATCCATCACAGGGCCTCACCAACAACATCCTCCTGAGCACAACAGATCCAAACATGGCAGACCAAAAGAACCATGCCCAAGGCCAAACATCACCCCTCCGAACCCCCCACCGCTTCATAACAGACCACAACCCCCAAGGCCTTGCCGTCTTCAACACCACTCTTGCCCCAGCCCTCCCCGCCCAGGCCATGCAGAACGGCGACAAGTTCTACCTAGGCTACACAACCACCGCCTTCCCGCCCAGTTTCACCAACAACGCCGACATAACCTCCTACGCCCGCGACCTGTCCGACCCCCCAGGTGTCGTACGTCCAGGCGGCACCGTCCTGCGCCTCGTGGATATCCGGCCGGGAGGCGAGTCGCCCATGCACCGCACCGTCAGCCTGGACTACGGGGTCGTGCTCGAGGGGGAGGTCGAGGCCGTGCTGGACTCGGGGCAGACGAGGTTGCTGAGGAGGGGGGATGTGGTCGTGCAGCGCGGGACGAACCATCTCTGGCGCAATGCGAGCGGCACGGAGTGGGCGAGGATGTTGTATGTTTTGCAGGAGGCGCAGCCGGTGGAGGTTGCGGGGAGAGCGCTGCGGGAGGATTATGGGGTGGGTATGGAGGATGTGAGGCCGAGTGGGAATTGAGGAGTGCACGAGGGAAGAGTTCGTGGTCATTTGGGGGTGGTGAACCGTTTGGGACATTGTGGTGAGCGCTGATGAGATTCATTCTGGAGTGGACCACTGATGTACGGCACGACATCTCGTCGCCTATCTTTCTTGCCTTGCATCATCTCTTGCAGTCCCCGCCCCCTCCTCCGCCAAGAAGTAGTCTGGTCCACTTGGTCATAGATGAAAGCAGCAAGATCCAAAATCCTGGGCGACACAGTTGGGTGGCGATGTGGCGGGATCCCTTCCCAGAGAGTTGTACGACGGTACAAGGTTTACTTCTTTATGGCAAATGTCTCTTCCTATAGAGATAGACATTGTGATTTATGTTCGCATCGTGTATAATATCATGTATTCGCATATGAGAGTATGAGTACCAGGATAGACTGAGAGGGTGAATGCTGTAAATACACCCCTGTACCATTGCAGTATATCATATGGCCCAATTTTGGATACTCCATGCAGTATAGACTCATGTGTAAGTGAATAGTCTTCCTTCAAGGCATAGCAGATCACCCACCTACACACTGAACATTTTGTCCGTCACACTCAATTTTGCTCAGGCTAGGGGAAGCTTTATGGGAACTACATGGTTTAACAATAATACTTGGCTACATATTATCTCCACAGATCGCCTTTCATTACAGTGAACCGCCGGCTGCCTGAGGGCCAACGACAGAAACAGGTCAATCTAGATGATCCGTGATCGGTTCATCGAGGCCGGTCAGGTGCTTCCTGACGTCCTCGATACGTGTACTATCAGCACGATCACATGTTACATACTCACACCGGGTTAATGTCGCCCTATTATAGGCTAAGGGAGGACCTCACGGCGGCTGCTGGCCTTCTTCAGTCCATACCTAGGTTCAGCGGTACGCCAGGCTCCCGCTTCCAGCTGTGGTCCGCGAGGGAAATGAGCCTGAGCCCCTCGGCCACAGTGGTTCTGAATGAATATGGCCCTGAGCTGCCTAATGACGTGGCTTTAGGTGGCTGGAGGCTTTGAACAGTATTTTCTTCTTCAAAAGCTCTGAGGCGTCAAAAATAAAACAATGCTGATGATGAGACACTTGAGAGACGCAGATACTGCAATCGTCAGGCTGAGCTGGAGTAGGATATGTTGCCTGCGGTTGATTGAATGAAACTTTGTCATACGTCAAGGTTCGAACCCGGTGTAGAGAAAGAGAGAAACAGCATCGACTTAGCCGTTGTGATCTCGTCTTACGAGACAGTAAGAGATGTTGGTGATATTTTTTGTTGGCTCTTAATTCTAGCAGGGCAGGTCGATAAGTTGAGCGGCAGTGCTGCTCTATACTTATACACTACACTTCATAGTACAGAATGTAACCAACCAATCGTTTGTAGTGGGCCGTGTCATGGACTTGGTTTGCGGGACTACCCACCTCTTAGTGCTACAGTACACCCCCCCCCCCCCCCCACTTGTCCACTAGGACACTGAGATGTGTTGACATTGTGCATGGATACGTGCTGGGCAGGGGTTTATCTAGGCGCCACTGACCCCTGTAGAGTCAACAAAGTAGGGGACAGTAGCGCTTTTGAGTCGCGTGGGCCCTATCTGACTGATTGTATCAGCCCAGACAGACGGTTGGCGGCACAGGTTGGGTGCCCTTGATAGCGGTTAGCCCTTCCACATGAAGTAGCAACAGCACCACCACCATCACCGCCACCATCACTACTGGCCAGCAGTAGCAGGCAGCCTCGTCGGTCTTGTCCACGCCTCGCCGTCGATAAACAGCAACACATGAAGCATATCATCCACCATCCCGCTCTGCTCTTTCTGGAGACACGCCGATCTTGCGCCCGCGTCCCTTGAGACCTCAGCAAGCCCCCCCCCCTCCTCCCCCTGGACTACTCTCTCGTCTCCGCGGTTCGAGGAGCCCCCTCAATGTCGTCGCTCGATCTTCCCTCCGACGCCTCTCCCTCGCCTTCCTCCCTCCAACGGGTCTGTCCCTACCGAACACCTCGTTTTCACGACCACGAGTGCGAGAATTACCTGGACTGCCCGACCCACTCAATAGCGAGGGTGTACCACGAGCTGCCTTCTGATGGGGACCCGTCTCCTGAGGGGTTCGAGTACGAGGGGGCCAGCAGGGAAGAGGATGCTCAAGATGACGAGGAGAATATCTTCGCGGACCTGTACGGAAACTCGGAGGAGGAGGACATGGCCAGCGGTGGCCAGCAGGCGCAGAGCCCGGAGGTCATTGATCTGACGAGCTCGCCGCCTGCAGAACAGCAACATTCGAGCAGCCCAGACGTGGTCGATCTGACTGGCGATTCCCATGAAGAACCACAAGGACTGCCGCCGCCGCCGCGGCCGCGACAGCAGCAGCAGCAGCAGCAGCAGCAACCGTATCCTCCCTTCTCATTTACTGCCGGCGCAATTGGGCCCCAGGGCAGGATGGGGCCGCAGCTGAGCAGACCATTTCCTACTCCTGCTACTCCGGGTGTTGGTGGTGCTGCTGCTGCTCCTACTGCTATCGCCGGCGCCTCAGCCCCGAGTCTGCCGTCGTTGAGGGATGGTGCTGTGTCCCCTTCGGCGCAGAGACGGCCCGCTACACCGCCATCGCCACCTCCACCCACCCGGCGCCGGACATCTTCGAATCAGTTTGGAGCAGCGCCTCCTCCAAGCAGGCACCTGCAGCAGCAGCAACAGCAACAACATCTGCTGCAGCCGCACAGACCTTCAGTATCCAGGAGACCTTCAGACATCGTCCTACCACGGTGGCAACCCGATGTCGAGGTCACATTCTGCCCAATTTGCCGGACACAATTTAGCTTTCTGGTCAGAAAACATCACTGCAGGTACGTTTCACCCCGAGCTGCCCTTTTCTTTCTTTCCTTTTTTCTCCTTCTGTTGTCTTGTCAGGTCTAACAGCCGCTGATATGACATCTTTCGACCTCTAGGAAGTGCGGAAGGGTTGTTTGTAGCAGCTGCTCGCCTCACCGCATTACTATCCCCTATCAGTACATAGTTGTACCTCCCGGAGCACCGCGCCCTGGTCTCCAGAGGTATCCATCTTCCCTGATTAGTGGTGAGGGCGGATATGCCGACTTCAGCAGCCTCGGGGGCGGAGAGAGGGTCAGATTGTGCAATCCATGTGTGCCAGACCCCAACACGAACCCTCCACAGTCGCAGCAGTCACCTGGCATGGGCAGAACCCATGGCAGGTCACAGAGCACCGTCGATGTATCCGCATCGGCATACGGCCCGACTGCGGACACAGCTATCAACGCTTATGTTAGAAATAGAAGCGCCACTATGGTAAGCCCCGTGTCTCCCCTTGTCGCTTTTTCTTTATTTCTGGGGGGGGGGGGGGGGTGGAGATACAGGAAGGACAAGACGACGAGGTTGCTGATCTACTCTGTAAAGCAGCTTCCAAGGGTCTTTGGTGGCCAGTCTACAGACAACCACTCGTTTCAACCTACAGAAAATAGAATATTGAGCGGGACACCACCCAACAACTATTCCTATACCAACAGGATGCCACCCACTTACAGCCCATATGCCTCGATATCAGGAGGCCCGCACCATCCTCAAAGGGCACACAGGCTCCGATCGTCGCTAAGAGCGAGTGGCCAAGAATCCGGTTCACCATCATCCTCCACGGCGGCGGCTGCCGCGGCCGCGGCGCAGAGGAGACCGCTACCACCAGATCCGCCTCAGCTCGCAGAGGAAGATGAGTGCCCAGTGTGTCACCGTGAGCTGCCGCCCCGAAACCTGTCGAACTTTGAGGCTCTCAGGGAGGCACACATCAGCGTCTGCATCACGTCACACAGCACCTACGGAGGAACACCTGGGGCGGAGGGCTCCAGCTCGCAGCCCAGGCGGACGGGCATGTTCCCATATCTGGCGACGGAGAAGGACTGCGTCGACAGCGCAGAGTGCACCATCTGTCTAGAGGAGTTTGAAGTCGGGGTCGCGATGGCACGGCTGGAGTGTCTCTGCCGTTTTCACAGGGACTGCATCGCGAGATGGTTTGCCAAGAACCCTGGACGATGCCCTGTGCATTCGCATGACGGCCATGGGTTCTGATGTTGATGGTGACGAATCATGCCGTAAGAAAGAGAGGAGAGGGAGGGGTGTGTGTGTGTGTGTGTGTGTGTGTGTGTGTGTGTGTGCGCGCGCGCGTGTGCATGTGTGTTGTGTGTTGTGTGTTGAAGGGAGATGTTTCTCATAAGCGATTCCTTCATTGGCATGGCGTTCCGGCGTGTCTTTTCTTCTCTCCCCTTTCTGTTTCCTTCTTTTCCATCATTTGATTAAGATCATCATTATTGGCAGGTTTCTTGATATCCTCTCAACACCGCCCCCTCTTGCATACGTGCATTGGTTTATCACGACTCATTATTCACCTGTCCCCCCCCCCTTCGTTTCCACTTTCTCTGTCTTTCTCTCTCTATCTCTCTCTCTCGTCTTTTCTGAGAGGAAGCGTTGGTATGTTTTTGAGAGCGCTGCTTAGATTTAGAATGCAGGTGCATGTGTGCGTGCATATGTATTATGGCACATGTATGCAATCTGCTACGAAAACAGAGCAGAAAGCCAACAGTGATGCATAAGGCGGCTCCTTTTTTCCTCTTCTTTTCACCCTTTAGTCATCAAGCGTCTTTCATTACGTATTATGAATAACAGCAAATGTGGTCAGGTGGCCAGCATTCGTCACACGGGGTCTCAAGAGGCGTTGGTAAGTAAGCAGCGACCGCTGAGAAAGTTAGTGGTCTCCAACACACCGAGCCTCGCCAGTGCGGGTTTGGGTTGTTATCTGCTATTGCTGCTACTGACTGCTACTTGCCGCTATGAGTACTACTGCAGGCCGGGGGGTGCCCCGTGCTGTGTGAGAGCGGCTATCAGCGGCAGTGGACAGTGGCCCTGGGTACCCTTGCTTATCGCTGGCTCGCGGGCTGGCTGCGGGCTACACTGCATTGCATAGGCGGTGACTGACTATCTATCAACTGGACCTTTCCCTCCCTGGACAAAGACCAACAACGCATACTCACGACTTAAACTTCCATCCCAAACTCACTCATCGTGACTTTCCTTTCTTTGTCCACACCTTCTTTTTTATTTGATTTCCTTCTTGAATCTGTTCTCTCTGTGTGTGTATCTCTCCCTCTAGGACAATCTTTCATCTCGAAAGAAAAAGAAGAAGAAGAGAAGGAAACAAGAAGGATTCCAGTGAGATGGCCAGACGAATCGCCCTCCGAGCCGCCAGGGCGCTGGCTCCGAGGTCGGCTGTTCCTATTACCCACCACGGCGGAGGGGGACAACGTTCATTACACAGGTCCGCCGTGAGGCCACAGGAGATATTGGCGACTGCTGCAAAACTGCCTGATGCGAACCCCATACCCAAGATGAGTCCTAGAGAGTCTGTAACCATCAATGACATACTAGAGAGGAGGGCAAAGGCCGGCAAGCTGGTGGCTGGCACGGCTGCGTCTTCTGATAGTGATATGTTTAAGGCGCCTGTGGGTTTTTGAATTTCTCCCCATTTCTTTAAATTGATCGAGGGAGAAAGGGGGGAAAAAGGTATAAAAGCAAGTCGTAATACGGGTTGGCTGACTGAGAATGTGTACAGTCGGTTGGAAAACCCAAGGCAAAGAGATGGGATCGTGAGTTTCTTCCATGGATTTCCTGCTGCGTGCAGGACGATAGTGGCTGACACATACATCTTCTTGTTCCAAGACCACCTCACTGCAGAGTCCCTCTCTCGACAGCCATGCATGCTTAAGCTGGCAGCAAGGCACCTCAAGAAACCAGGTCTCATCTCCCTCGGCGGCGGTCTCCCCTGTCCAGAGTATTTTCCCTTTGACAGCCTCAGCATGAAGGTGCCCGTGGCCCCCAACTTCAGCGAGGCGTCGACCAAAACAACGGGCAAAACCGTCACCATCGGCAAGCACGACGTCGCCGAGAACCCAGACGCCGTGTATGACCTTGCCATCGGGCTCAACTACGGCCAGGCCACGGGGTCCGCCCAGATGCTGCGCTGGGTCACCGAGCACACCGAGATGGTCTGCAACCCGCCCTACGCCGACTGGCGGTCTTGCCTGACCGTGGGTAGCACGGGAGCCCTCGAGCAGGCCCTGCGCATGTTCTGCGACCGCCAGAGGGGCGATTCCGTGCTGATGGACGAGTTTGCCTTCTCTACGGCGCTGGAGACGGCCGAGCCGCTGGGCATCAAGGTGGTCGGCGTCGCCATCGACCAGGAGGGCCTGCTTCCCGCGTCTATGGATGACATCTTGTCTCACTGGGACCCGAAGGAACACAATGGCGTGCGCAAGCCGCATGTGCTCTATACGGTCCCCTCTGGGCAGAACCCGACGGGGGCGACCATGGGCACGCAGAGGAGGCGGGACATCTACGCCGTGTGCCAGAAGCACGACGTCTTCATCATCGAGGACGAACCCTACTACTTTTTGCAGATGGACCCGTACGTGCCAGCAGGCACAGGTTCGTCGCAGCAGGCTATCTCACCTTCCTATTCCTCTTCGTCCTCCGCCCCAGAGTCCGTTGACGAGTTCCTCGACTCCCTGATCCCCTCGCTCCTGAGCATGGACGTCGACGGACGCGTCCTGCGCATGGACTCCTTCTCCAAGGTTGTCATCCCTGGTTCACGCATGGGCTGGGTGACGGGGTCCGCACAGATCATCGAGCGGTACACGCGCCATGCCGAGGTGGCCAGCCAGGGGCCGGCGGGCCTCTCGCAGGTGGTGCTGTACAAGCTTCTGGACGAGCACTGGGGCCACGAGGGCTACTTTCAGTGGCTGATGAACCTGCGAGCCGAGTATACCAAGAGGAGGAATATTTTGCTGGGGGCTTGTGAGGAGTTTGTGCCGCGGGAGGTGGTGAGCTGGGATCCACCGGCGGCGGGAATGTTTGTGAGTTTGTTCTTCTTTTTTCCTCTTCTTTTGCCCTCGTCAAAACCGATAACTAACCTATTCACTAAATTTCCCTCCCGTCCTAAAAAGCAATGGTTCAGGGTTAACTACAGCCTTCACCCCGACGCGGGCAGGCGCAGCATCCTCGAGATAGAAGAAGAAATCTTTGATCTATGCATCGAAAAGGGGGCCCTGGTGGCACGGGGGTCATGGTTTGCGGCTGACCATGGCAAGCCCCTGGAGGACCTGTTCTTCCGGGCGACGTTCGCAGCGGCAGCACCGGGGCCGATGCGGGAGGCTATTCGGAGGTTTGGCGAGGCTGTCAAGACGAGCTTTCGCATTTGAGTGAGAGAGAACGAGAGAGGAGAGGGGGGGGGGGGGCAGAAGCCACACAAGTCTAGACACCGGATTGGTGTTCAGGTGGCGGGCGGCTGAAATGGTGGGGGGAGGGGGGTGGACAGTTTGCTGATATCTCGCACAGGACTTACTGTATATCTGAAGACTGATGTATTCCACCAATCTCCCTTTGCTTCAGGATGCCATTCGGGAACCTCTTATGCGGGGCTTTCGCTGCTGTAACCTACCAACCCAAAACATACCCCCTCCCAAAAACCGAGCTATTGTCCTCGTGTAAAGAACCACACGAGACGAAGAGGAAGGGAAAATTCGGATGAGTCACATACTTGCAGACGAACTTGCCCGAAGGGGATGCTGAAGGAAAATTGACTATCAGAGTAAGTATGCAGGGCTGGTGCCATGACAGTAAGACGGCATATTGTTCCGTCCGGTAGTGCAAAGAAAGACAGCAGAAGAGAGACGGGTAGGACCACAGTGACACCACCCCCCCCCCCCCCCGGTACGTTGCCACATGGTACTTCAGTGTACTGGGAAAGGGCTAGCTGACCATCTGATGACTCCTCACTGGCCCAGCCGCTCGTACTGAGCCTTGAGGGCGTGGCTCAATCTTGTCTCAGAATATGGTCAGGGTAGGTAAGTACATGAGTATAGCAAAAAAGAGAAAGAGAAGCAGAGTAATTGGGGGCTTCTTGACCACACACGTCAATGGGGAATCGGACTTCGGATCACTTAGGTCGCCCGGCTGACATTCCGTTTGGCAGAATACAAAAGCAGACTTCAGCCAATTATGCACCGCTAAAGGGCTCATGATTCAGACTCATTGATTGATGTATGTCGAAAATTAGGTACTGAATTGGACGAAGAGAGAAGGGGGAACGCCTGGGGTGGGGAGTTCCTCCCCCCGCGGCAAGGGTAAGGTATGTCTGCCTAGAGGATTCACTAGCTGGCCCTGTGTGACTCTTGCTTTAATTTCCCTCTTCCTTCTTTTCTTCTTCTCTCACCCCCCCCCCCTCCCTGCTTCTCTCCCTTTATTGACGTTGTATTACTATTACTGTAACTCTGAGTCGTATAAGCCCTGCAGACCTCCTAACTTCGCCTCGCCACACCGCTGCAGCCCTAGAAGAAAGAAGAGCACAGAGAAGAACGATGAGCGGCCGAGGGTGATACCAGCATTTATGCTTGCCCCAACTCTTTCTACAGCTGCCCTTTACGCCACATGGCTTGATTCTCTTTTTGTTAGTACTGCGTAGAGCCAGCTGTTTTCATATACACCGAGGTCATCTGGTGTATTTATCTTTTCTCTTTTCTTCTTGTTTACATAAGATAAATTTCTTCCTCCTCCCTCTTTTTATTTTACCCTATATACTTATATTCAGTCCTGCTTTCTTTGCTTGATGATAGTACCCTTATAAAGAAAAGAAAGAAGAAGAAAAACATTTCAAAAAAAATAATTTTTAAGGTCGTTCTCTTCGATTTGATATTCCTCCACAGGGCAGCGACTTTCCTTTCTACACGTTCACAGATACAGCCAATATCTGGTATGCACCAGACATAGGATCACCAAAGGCCCCCGACCTGAACAGTCATGCAGCCTCCCGGTAATGAGGCAGTCGGAGAGATTACAGAGACGGTAGAGCCTTCTATCGGGTCCGAGACGTCAGAGCCAAACCGACAGAAGCATGGTGATGACAACGGCCAGGATGGGAAGACGCCTGCGAAGGTGGTGACCAAGGAGAGGGAGGCTGGTTGGGGAGATTACTTCAGGTGAGAGAGAAGAGACATGCTGTGCACCGAAAACTCCAACTGAATTCGTGATGTTTTCTTTTTACTTTGACCAAAGAGTGAAGGATTTCCTGATTAATTTGTGTACGTGCCTACAGATGTTTTACGTATGCGAGAAAATGGGACTTCTTGCTGATGGCAGCCGCTGCGTTGGCGTCAATGGGCGCGGGTGTTGTAAGTTTTTGTTCCCTCCCAGAGAGGAAGAAAGAGCGGGCGAGAAGGAGGAAGAGGACTTTGAACTTTTACCATGGACAGCCAACTTTTCTCCTTTGCCCTCGAAACTTGTGTTGTTTTCCGGTTACTGATCATCTCCTACAGACCACGCCTCTGATGAACGTCGTGTTTGGGAGACTCGTGGGAGGCATCGCGAGTTTTGGCGGCGGAGGTTCCAGTCAGGTGAGTTCCGAAAACCAGGACAGGACAAACAAACCCCTTCATCCACGATGAAGGAAGAAGAGGCAACATCTTGACAAAACCTAACATATAAAATAGAAATCACTCGATGATAGTATCAACAGACAGTGTCTCTATATCTGTACAAGTCGACCCTCACTCGATCTTCTTCCCCTGACGTTTATCACTAACCTTTTCTCCCATCAAAAGTTATCCTCTTCCTCGCCAGATTCTCCCTCAACTACCTCTCCAAGTTCTCTCTCCGCCTGATCGGCATCCGCATCTCCGCCGCCATCCGCATGCACTACCTCTCGTCGCTCCTCGCGCAGACGGTACACGTCCTGGACACGATGCCGCCGGGCGCCGCAGCCGGAACCATCACGTCCACAGCCAACACGCTCCAGATCGGCATCTCGGAGAAGCTAGGCACGGCCATCGAGTTCACGGCCTCCATCATCGCAGCCATCGTGATCGCCTTTGTCTACTCGTGGCGCGTCTGCCTCGTCACCATGAGCTGCATCCTCTTCATCAGCCTCGCCGTGTCCGGGGCCCTGCCCTTTGTCATCCGCCGCACCGAGCGCCACACCAAGGCCGAGACCAAGGCCGGCGCCGTGGCTACCGAGGCCTTTTCGGCGGTGCGCATGATCTATGCCTGCGGTGCGCAGAAGCGCATGCAAGACCGCTACGCGCGGTTTGTGATCGAGGCGAAACAGCACGGCATGTCCCTCTCGCCCATCATCGCTGTGCAGTTTGGCTGCATCTTCCTGGGCCTGTGGAGCGCTTTTGCCCTGGCCTTTTGGTACGGCACGCGTGCCTATGCAGAGGGCTATCTGGGCGGCGGCATCGGCACCATCGTCGTGGTGCTCAACAATATACTACTCATGGCCATCTCGCTCGAGCGCATCTCTGCGCCTCTTGTCGCCGCCAGCAAGGCAACCGTTGCTGCCGCCACCTTCTTTGCCGTGATTGACGCGCCGCGGCCCGACAGTGGGCGGCTGAAAGACCCCGATGTCACCGCAGACGGCGATATCCTTCTCTCTGGGGTGACCTTTGCGTACCCTGGACGGCCGCACACCAAGGTCCTCGACGGGCTGGATCTGAAGATTGGTGCGTCCAAGGTGACGGCCCTGGTGGGCGCTTCCGGCAGCGGCAAATCTACCATTGTCGGGCTGGTTGAGAAGTGGTACTCGCTGCACGACCAGGTTGTGATCGAGAAGGCTATTGCAAAGGAAGATAAGAAGAAGAGAGAGGCCAAGGAGAAGAAGAAGAAGGCAGCCAGGGAAGATGGAGAGGAAGGGCTGCAGGAAGAGAAGAAGAAATCCTTCTGGGCCAGGCTGATGACGCCCAGCAAGGCAGCACCTGCAACTGATGACGAGGATGAAGAGGATAATGAGGAAGAGGAGAGGAAAAGGGAAGAAAATGCAGGCCCACCTGTGCAGCTCAGTGGAAAGATCACCACGTCGGGCCACAGCCTGGACGAGATCGACACCAAGTTCTGGCGTACGCAAATCGGCCTCGTGCAGCAAGAACCTTTTCTCTTCAACGACAGCATCTATGCCAATGTCTGCCATGGTCTGGTCGGTACGCAGTGGGAACACGAGCCGCTCGAGGTTAAGCAGAAACTCGCAGAGGAGGCGTGCAAGGAGGCGTTTGCTGATGAATTCATCGACAAGCTGCCCGAGGTAAGGTCTCATGACATTTTCAATACCGGAAGATATATATGAGGCTAACAAGTATGTGTGTTATTCTGTTAGGGTTATAATACCGTTGTGGGCGACGCAGGCTTGAAACTTTCTGGTGGGCAGAGGCAACGTCTCGCCATTGCAAGGAGTATCGTCAAGAAGCCAAAGATCCTGTAAGAGCACAAAGCACAAGAGCGCACCTCTGACATTTTTTCTTTTCTTTTCTTCTTCTTTCTTTTCTTTCCTTTTTTTTTTTTTTTCTTTTTTTTTTTTTTTTTTTCCCTTCCTTTCAATTTCTGACACTCCTTATTTAGCATCCTGGACGAAGCCACATCTGCCATTGACGTGCGCAGCGAAAAGATCATCCAGGCGGCCCTGGACCGAGTCTCCAGGGGCAGGACAACCATCATGATCGCCCATAGACTTTCCACGATTGCCAAGGCTGATAACATCGCGGTCCTCTCTAAGGGAAAACTGATGGAACAGGGAACGCACGAGGAGCTGCTCAGAAATGAAGATGGGGTCTACTCTGGCCTTGTTCGGGCCCAGCGACTTACACTGGGCGAAGAAGACACGGAAGGACCACATGGAAAGAAGACAGAACATAACGAAGAAGAGGAGGAGAAGGAGGAAGAACAAGTCATTGTACAACCAGTCATGAGTCGACACAAGTCCGCTGCCCTCTCCATCGAGGCCACTCTCGACCAGACAGCTGTCGAATCCTCCTGGAAAGAAAGAGGCCTCATGGGCAGCTTTGGTCGGCTCCTCTGGGAACAAAAGACCAGAATCCCCAACTACACCATCATCTTCTTTTCTTCGGCCGTCATCGGCGCCTGTATGCCCATGCAGGCGTACCTCTTCGCGCAGGTCGTTAACGTCTTCACCATTCCCCTCGACGGCTCCGGCTTGTTCCTCCAGCGCGCCTCGTTCTGGTCCCTCATGTGGTTCGTGCTCGCCCTCTGCAACAGCTTCTCCTATTCCATCATGGCCTACGTCGCCACCAGCCTCCAGTTTTTCATCTCCGCCACCTATAGGCAGCAATACTTCAACGCCCTGGTACGGCAGCCCATCCGCTTCTTCGACGCAGAGGCGAACAGCGTGGGCTCCCTGACGGCGCGCGTGCAGAGCGATCCAAAGCAGCTCGAGGAGCTCCTGGGCATCAACATGGGCATGGTGCTCGCCTCGATGCTGCAGATGACGGGCGCGCTGGCGATTGCCTTTGCCTACAACTGGAAGCTGGCCATCGTCGCCATCTGCGTCACCCTGCCCATCGGCCTCGTCTGTGCCTGGTACCGCTTCCGCTACGAGCTCGCCTTCGAGAAGCTGTCGGCCACCGTGTTTGCCGAGTCCAGCAAGTGGGCGGCCGAGGCTATCGGGGCGTTCCGCTGCGTGTCGTCTCTGACCCTTGAGGACGAGATCAACAGGCGGTACCAGGAACTCCTCCGCCAGCACGTTGTCGCCGCCTACCGCAAGGCACGCTGGTCGACTGTCATCTTTGCCCTATCGGACTCGCTCACCCTGGCCTGCAGCGCGCTGATCTTTTGGTATGGCGGGCATCTGCTCGCCAGAGGGCAGATCGGCGTGCTCAGCTTCTTTGTGTGCTATATGGCTGCCATCCAGGGCGGTGAGGCTGCGGGTATGGGCTTCTCGTTTGGCCCGAATGCTGCGCAGGCCACAGCAGCGGCGAATAGGATCTTGAGTATTCGCGAGAGTAATGGGGAGCAAAAGAAGAAAGCGACGACGACAGAAGCACATGATCAAGGAAAAGAGAAAGAGAACACAACAGCTGGTGAGGAAGGGATGATTCCAGATACGGAAAATGGTGTGCGCATCGAGTTGAGGGACGTCAGCTTCAAGTACCCCACCCGCGACGGCTTCATCTTCAAACACCTCAACATCACGGCCGAAAAGGGCCAGTTCATTGCCCTCGTCGGCGCCAGCGGTGTCGGCAAATCAAGCATCGTCAGCCTCCTGGAGCGCTTCTACGACGTCCAGTCCGGACGTATCCTCTGCAACGGCCAAGACATCAAGGACGTCGACGTCTATGAGTACCGCAAGCTCCTCTCCCTCGTGGCCCAGGAGCCCACCCTCTTCCAGGGCACCATCAAGGAGAACATCCTCCTCGGCGTCGACTCCACCTCCTCCTCCCCCGTCACCGACGCCCAGCTCCACCAGGCCTGCCGCGACGCCGCTATCCACGACTTCATCGTCTCCCTCCCCGAAGGCTACAACACCAACGTCGGGTCCCGCGGCGTGGCCCTGTCCGGCGGACAGAAGCAGCGCATCGCCATCGCCCGCGCCATCATCCGCGACCCGCGCGTCCTGCTCCTGGATGAGGCCACCTCCTCGCTCGACTCGGAGAGCGAGAAGCAGATCTCGGCTGCCTTGCGCAAGGTTGCAAAAGGCCGCACCACCGTTGCTGTCGCTCATCGCCTCTCTACCATTCAGCACGCCGATGTCATTTATGTCCTGGGCGAGGGCCGGGTCCTCGAGGTCGGGAGTCATGCCGAGCTGCTGAAGAAGAGGGGCATGTATTTTAATATGGTAGGTTTATTTTCTTTTTCTTTCTTCTCTTGTTTCGTTTCTCTATCTGTCTGCCTTTCTGCTGTCGTTGACTTGGGATCTTATCTGAATCTATTTACTAACTTCTTTTTCCTTCTATAGTGTCAAAGCCAGGCTCTGGATCAATAAAACCCATACACTGAAGTATCCAGGGATGTAATGATTATAAGGCATTAATCATACCAACCACTCTTCTTGACTTGGAACAAAATAATTGCATTGGAAAGGCGTATAATTTTGGGAAAATTGATCTGGTTTCTGTAAATGAGATCGCACAGTACTCCATTCAGCAGGTGATGATACCTTGTATATGAAACTCCCATCTAGCATAGATATTTTACAGTCCAAGACTATACAATACAACATAATCTCTCCTCTTTCGATTTTGCATCTAGTTGTGTACTTTCTCCCTCCGTGTCCTCTCTCTCTCTCTCCCCCCCCCCCCCTAGGTCAGCTGTCTCTGAATAGCACTTTCGTAGAATACTAATGCTTAGCTAATGTTCATGTATTGCATGTAGCAACTAATTATCTCGGTACAAGCACGTCAGAAGCAATATGATTACGCCTAAAAAAAAGAGGCAGGCGAATATTGCATCTTATGCAATCATCCAAGTATAACCAGAGAGCCAGGTCTAACATGATGATTAGCAGATCAACTTCGTGCTTCATTGGCAAGTATCAATGGTAATCACATTACATGGCTCTTCAAGAACAAGTTGACATTTTCCACTTAGAATTTATTTACGAGAAATAGAAATTTGCCGCCCACAAGTTTCAAGACCGGCTCATGTTATCATAATATTCATTGCCGTATAGAAAGAATATACAGTTCAGGATTTCTTCCCTCCCCTTCTTCTTTTACTTCTTCTCTCCTTTGTTATCCCACCGCGTTCCCACTCACCCCTCCTTCGCCTCCCAGAAAGCAACACGCACCCCATCTCCCGGCTGCAAGACGATCTCGGCCTTGAGTGTAGGCTTGCCGCCGTCCACCTCCTGCATGAAGCTCTTCACCCGATCAAAGCGCTGAAACATGCGCGTGAGCACATAAGCCATCTCGGTCAGCGCAAACTGCTGCCCGATACAGATGCGCGGCCCCCCGTTGAAGGGCACGTACAGCCAGGGGCGAGGCTGCCAGGTGGCCCAGCGGTCTGGGCTGAAGAGGTCGGCAGGTGGGGAGCTGTCAGAGGGAACTGGATACAGGTCGGCGCGGCGCTGCATGACGAGGGTCGAGTAGGCGACGGGGGTATCCTTGGGCACGGCCACGGGGAGGGAGCCATCGGGCCCACCGCCGCGAGGAAGCGTGGTGTCGTGCAGGGAGAAGCGCACGTTGAAGGGGACGGAGGGGTACAGACGGAGGGTTTCATTCAGAGTGTTTTGGAGGTACTTCATCCCCTTGAGGTCCTCATACGTCGGGGTCCTGTCCGGGCCTACGGTGTCCAATATCTCGGCGCGGAGCTTGCGAACGACCTGCGGATGGCGGCCTAGCTCATACAAGGCCCACGAGAGGGTGGCAGCTGTGGTGTCGCGCCCCGCGAGGAGGACGGCGACGAGCTGGTCGCGCAGGACTTTGGGGTCACGCGTGTACGAGGCCAGCTCGTGCAGAAAAGTGTACGAGGCGTCTGACTTGGCTTTGGTCTCAAGCTCCTCGGGCGAGAGACGCAGGGCCTGCTCGACGTATTGGTACACAAAGGCGTTCATGGTCGCCAGGCACCGCCGGAAGTGCGCCTTAGGAACGAGTGTTCCGAAGACGGGCCCGCAGCGTGTGATGATGTTTTGGATGCGCTGGACCTCGTTGAAGGCGTGGGCGAACTCTTGATCGGGGTCGCTATCATCCTCACATTAGTCTCTATGGGTCGATCCTTTCCCTGTTTCCTCTGTTTGCCTCCCCTTCCCCCTCTCTTCCTTATTCCTTACTCACCTCAGAGACTTGACGTCCTTGCCCAAAAGGAAATCAGTGGCCACATCCAGCGTATACCGGAAGAACAGGTCGCTGATATCCATCACCTTCCCGTTCACGGCAGCCATGTCGACATGCTGGTCCTCGCCCCTCAGAGCACCTCCGTTGGCCATGGCCTTGAAAAGCGTCTGGAGATGCGACTCGAAGCAGTGCAGGTCGCTGATCCTGTCCCTGACGAACTGCGGGCGCAGCAGTTGCCGGCTCGTGTGCCACATCTGTCCGTCCGTCACGAAGATGCTGTCACCCAGAAACGCCTCCCACTCCCTGTGGAAGATGTCACCCTTGCCAAAGTCCCCAAACTGCGTCGCCAGAATCGCCTTGATGTTCTCCGGGTTCGCTGTGAATATACAACGGCGACTCACGGCGCGCACCTCGGCTGTGTACGAGCCGTTCCCACCACCACTGGCGGCGTCGGTGCCGCTCGACGCGAAGAATATAGTCCACTTCTCGAGGTTTGTGTGGTGTATGGTGGCCTGCACGACGCTGTAGATCACGTCCAAGGCCCAGGGGAGCCTACTGTGCACCTTGGCCGCGCGGTGGCCGATGGCTTTTATTTGGCGGTCCTCCTGGATGGTGGTTACGAGGGACGAGACAACAACGGCGACGGCGAGGAGCGCGATGGTACCCCGTAGGGAGACCTGCTCCCAGAGAACTTCTAGCAAGCCCATGGCTAAGCTAGTTTGTTTTCTCTCAAGTATATTTTGTGTCTCTCTCCTTTTCCCTTTCTCTTGTCTCTTCTTCTTCTCTTTTCCTTCTCTTTTTGGCTTGTCTCTGCCCTTTTCCTCTCGAGATCACTGACGGCCGTCGAGTTTCGAGACAATGGTTTCAGACATACACATATGTAGAGTGTATCAGCGTATCCAACTCGAGGCACCAAGAGAGACAGGTAATGAGCCCGAGGTCCTCATGAACTGGATGCCTGGCGGGTAGTAAATAGAACTCTCCTCGACCACTGTTGCTGCAGCAGCAATACCAGCTCGACGCCGGGGGGTTCTTTTTGAGTTAGGAGCTAGTCAAAACATAGGTGACGTGACCAATAAAGTTTTTTTTAACTTTTTATTTGTATTACCGGACGAAAAAGGATGAAGGGCTCACTTGTCAAAGATGAGGAGAGAAAAGAACCACCTCGTACGATGATAAAGAGAAGAGAGGGAGGGAGAGGGAGACACACTGAATGTCCGTTTCCAGATTTTGGAACATTAGTCGCACCTACATAGGAACAGGTCTACCTCCACAGCAATACGACTCAGGGACCAGATTGCCATTTAGTTGGTATCCGTCTCCACGGGGCTCCGGATCGGGTAGGAGAAGCTGTCCGAGAGCCCTGCAGCAAGTAACGGACAACGAGGAGGGCCATAATTCTCGGCCGAGGGAACAAAAGCATGCGAGAACTCTAGAGATGATGTGCAGTTCTGTTTGCAACCTCGCTTCCCCAGGGGTACCTGCGAACCATGTGACCACGGCGGCATAATTCGGGCAGGTGATTCGCAAAGGGGGGGGGGGGGCGGCTCCGTTCTGCGGTTGGACCTTCGGAACCACCACGGTGTTTTTCTTCTTTCTTTACTTGTTGGAGAGTGGGTGTGGTTTGGATTGAGTAGTGTGGGCATTGGTGTGGATGGTGGATGTGGAGGGTTGATGGTGGTGGAGGAGAAGGGAGAGGAGGAGGAGGAGGAGGAGTAGGAGGAAGACGGCTGCATGACTTCATCCAGAACTGTGCAACGAAAGCCTAATTTGATATCCCGCTGTGCGCTGGGGCGTGGATCGCGCCTACCCGACAACCGAGAGAGACAAGGTGAGAGGGAGGAAGTAACAACCAACAAGTCCAAGCCTAGTAGAACATGGCCGAGATGGAAAGACAAAAGAGTTTACCGTGGCGCTTGGACGTGTCGGGAAAGCAGCTCGCCATCCCCTTAGCGCAAGAGGAGACGGGGACAACCAGGACCCTATGGAAAGATGCCGATGGCGGGTCCCCTTGTTCTGTTTTGAAACTGTGCACAAATAAGTCACTTACGTAGCCCAAGGTCAAATCTGTACATGTACATTGGCTGTCGATCATTGTTAACGGGTCTGTTGTGTGTGTGTGTGTGTGTGTGTGTGTGTGTGTACGTGACGAGAAGGGGCTCATGAGAGGGAGAGGAGTTGTTTTGGGGGGCCACCACAATTGCTGCCCGTACTAAGACTGGCCCGAAGACGAGGGGCAGGAGGGGGAAGAAACCTTGGAAGAGAAACCACCACGCCCTCGAGTTTGTCACTCAACGCATCATTGAACGATGGACGCCAACAGGGCGCTTTTGCATGTGGGGGGGGGGGGGGAAGAGAAAGACATACCCTCCCACTGTGACGTTGGTATGTCTATTAGGCATGGTACTGTACTGACTGTAAAAGGATTGTTATATAGAGGTTCTTATATGACTGTGCAGGGGATCTTTCCAGGTGTAAGCACCGTGAGCGAATCAGGAAGTCTCTAGATGCAATACATTCTACCGATGGGTAACCTCCAGCTCTTCATTTTGATCTTCAGCAGGGGACGGAGACAACGGCCCAAGCCAGAGAGCGTGACCGACGTGGCTCCAACGGAGACGGCGCATAGTATGATGTACTGCAATGTTATATACAAGCACTGTACTCAGTTGTGTATACTGTAATGCAAAGTATTTATCGTACCATTCGAGGTATGAAATATCGATCCGGTTCCGCGGGGTCCCGACTTTGGCCCCAGGCCCCCCACAAATCATATGTGCACAGCATTTGATTTCGAACCTGGCAGCGCAGATGACATGGTAGTATTGGGCATCACACGTATTTCCTGCCATGCATGCATGCTTGGTAAGACTGCTTCGTAAGACTACAAGTACTGATATTTATACATATATGCAGACATGGTAGTTTTCGTACCTGGGTACTCTTTCCAGAGTACGAAGTACTGTGATTGCACCATAGGGAAATTGTTTTTTCTTTTGGGAAGAGTTGTCGAGAAGAATTGTATCCAACTTGGATAATATGATGTAGAACAGAGATGTTCTGACGCAGCAACTCTGTGTTCCTTTTTTCTTTTTTTCTAAAAAAAAAGAAGGGTGAAGGGGGGGGGGTTCGTTTGAGGCCGAAGAAAGCGGGCATGTGGTTAGAACTGGGAACATTATCGCTTTGTATGTTGTGCAGAATCCCCCCCCCCCCAAAAAAAAAAAAAAGAAAAGAAGAAGTTGCTCACACATAAAACAGTTACACATTTTCTGTTGTACTATTTTAACGACAGTTCAGCTTCCTTAAGCACTGCCATACCAATCAAATTCTTTTTCCCTCGCTTTTACCATCACCCCCAAAGCCATCCTGTTGTATGAAGTCATGCACAGCAGTACAAGCATTAAACGCGTCGCTGCTGTGACAACGCGAGGCAACCACTTTAAGCCCATCCATTCACACAGCAGAGCCCCACCATAACTATTCGTGCACCATACAACTAATCAAGAAAGCCCATACTTCAGGCAACAATCAACAGGTCAACTTGAATCTCAAAACCCCATCAGACAAACAAACCTCGTCCTTACACTATAAAAGTCTCTCTCTTCCCTTTTCCCCACCCTTTTCCCGAGCTCGTCCGATTGGAAAAAAGCAAGCCAAAAAAAAAATCCAATAACAAAATCACTTCATCATGCCCGCCCCAAGCCCCCTCTCCATCGCCACCTCCTCCGTCCAGCGCCTCGTCAAGGAGGAGACTTACTACCACAAGGACCTCGCCAGCCAGCAGGCCCGCGTTGAAAAACTCGAGAAGGATGCCCAGGAGCCCGGTGCCGCCCAGCAGCAGGACGAGAACGCAGGGTACATGCTGAACCAGGAGGTCAGTCGTCTCCCTTTTCTCCTTTCTCCTCCCACCTCCATAGACACCTGGCTGATTGATCCCTCCCTCTCTTCCCTTTCCGGTGGGGGTAAATAGAAAAAAGCACTGGAGGAGACCAAGGCCGTCTTTGGGCCCCTGCGCGGCCGCATTGCCGATGCTGTGTCCAAACTGGAGGAGCAGATCGCCATAGGCGAGAGCGAGAACAGCTCGGCGGAGGAGCTAGCACGGGCGAGGGAGGCCCTCAAGCAAGGGGAGGATTCCCTCAAGAAGTCGGAGTCGTAGGGGAGGCAATTTATTTACTCTATTTCTGCGGCTGAGGGAGGGTTGACCACGCGGTGTGGAATGGGTTGAAATCGGGGCAGAAGACTTGGGCTAACTGCTGCTCTCATCGCCACGACCACGAGCCTCGGGTTGAGAGCAGAGCACTAGTCAAATGGCACAACAAATGCATATGGGCGTGTTAGTACCATGAACTACTGAGAACTGCAAAACAACCAATGTTGACAACGTCAGTGCTTTGGAGCGAGTTGGCAATTTGTTACTGTGCTATGGGGTATCTTGTCCAAATGCTAGAATCTCTCTCTCTCTGTCTCATCAATATGCTCGTCTTGGTTTTGATGTTTCTGCGGTCATAAGATGTCCATCTTATCTTCCGAAACCTGAGCCTCAGCCACGACCGGCGGTGTCGGCGCAGCCTCAGGTCGGGACTCTCCCATCTCGACGTCCTCTCCGCTCTGAGGCCGCGCCTCAGGCTCCATGCTCCTGGCAGGCGATGGGTCCCGGCTGCCGGCCTCTGAGAGGCGACCTGACGCCTCTGGTGGTTTCAGCCCACCTTCGTTCGCACCAGCAGGCGCGGGACTGTCACGCATCGGTGTCCTCCCGCCTACAGACGCCGGGCGCGGCGTGCCAGCTCCCTCCTCTCCGAGTCCCTTGGGCACCGCAGACGCAACGCCGACCGCGCCGTCAGGCCTGGGTGTCGCGTTGCCGCTGGCGCTGCCCGGCCGCGGCGTGTGTGCTTCTGCCCCAGCATCCCCCTCCCCGGCGCCTTCGCCGTCCTCGTCCATGCCCTCGCGCCTCTCGACCTCCTCCTTCTCGTCGCGGATCAGCCGCCGCAGCCGCATGCTCTCGTCCATGATACGGCTGAATTGCTCCCGCCGCTCCCTCCACGTGGCTGCATATGTCTCGCTCTCCGCCTCAAGCTGGCGGCACTCCTCCTCCAGCTTGTCGATCCCCGCCGCTGCCTTGGGCCGCTCCTGCAACGCTTTGTTCTCCAGGATCGCACGCGCCAACCCGTCCCATGCCTGTCGTCGTGCCCTTGTTTCCTGCGCCGCCGCCAGCTGCAGCCTGAGCTGCGTCGTGCTGTCGCGTACCCTGGCGCACGTGTCTAAGATCTGGCCCCGCTCTGCCGCGTACCGCTCGCGCTGGCCCGCGTTCGCTGACTGTAGGAACTGCAGCCGACCGATGGTGTAGTCGAACGCTGCGAAGTCGAGGGTGATATCCTCCTTGAGTTGTGCAAAATCAGTCGTGGGCTCGGCATCCTCGTCGCCATCGTCGTCGTCGTTGTTGTCGTGGTCGTGTCTGGACGCTTTGGTGCCGTTACTTTGTTGTTGTGAGGTTGCTTCGGGCGGTGGTGTCAGGGTCTGGCGTATTTTGCTGTTGGCCAGCTGGTGGATGGTCGCAAGGCGCTTGGTGATGCGCTTGAAGGGTTTCTCCTCGATGCTGAAGAGACGAGACTTGTGGAGTTGGTTTTCCTCCTCTGGATCGAGGAGGTTCCAGGAGGATGCCATGGCTTGCAACTTATTTCGTGGGTGAATGGTTGTTTTTTCCAGTGATGGAGGGTGGGGAGTGAGAGAGTGGATGGCGATTGTGGTGGAAAGAGAAGAGAGAGAGAGAGAGAGAGAGAGAGCGAGAGCGAAAGAGAGGAAGGATGGGATTTCAGTGTCGAGGTCAAACAAAGGTTGCAGCTTGCTCTTGCCGTAGTACCTTTGTACAGTACCAGTTAGGTTAGCGCTGTTATTTAACCTCTTCCAGGCCCGAACTCTTAGCGTGCGCGCGCCCTGTGAGGCTGTAGCTGTGCAGTCAACACAGCGCAAGGCTGCCTCTGATGACATCTTTTCTCCCTCCTCCTGCTCCTCCTCCTCCTTTACTTTGTGATGGGCTGCAACCCCTCTGTCACAGCACACAACAGCATCTAATCATGTGCTCTGGATTTCAATGTGAGGGTTGCAGCTGCATTCAAATTACCTGGAATATTCTAGGTAGAATGGGACAATCTCTTCTACTCTCTCATCTGCTTAACTGCTACTCCTTGTTCCTTATTTAGACCAAAGACCCAGTGTCCTCTATTATCCAGATTCCACCCCTTCTTCTCGACGTCGACGAGGAACCCCCATCTGATACACACTTTCTCTTATGGCTCACTTGAGCATGGCTGGTGCCCTACCTGGACAAAGCGACACTACCCAAACCTCGGCAAAATCGAAGAACTCATCCAAGGCCGTCCCCAGGATGGGTGTCCCCACCCTCGGCAGCCTGTCTCGAAGGGTAGTCAGAGCCAACATCGATCAGGTGCAGTACATGCCCAGGGATTTGGTATGGTGGAAAGCCAAAGAGTTCCTGGTTCTTGTCAAAAAACCCGAGCAGCTGGCCTTCATCGAGGAAACATCCCCTCACATCATCGAATATTCTGATTGTCTATGGGAGCCATTCCTCAGAAAGAATTTTACCAAGAGATTCAACAAATTCATAAAGGATCTCAAAAAAGAGCAGGGCACAGACGATCCTGTCCTTTCTTCGTCATGGCGCGAGTTGTATTATCAGTGGTGGGAGGAGGACAGTAAGTTCACCTCTCAAACGGCCTCTGTTTTGTCCGCATCGACCGCAACCTCACACATCATACTGACCAACCTCGCACCACCAAGAAATCAAAGAGGCTCAAGACATAGCCATGATGGAGCAGTCCGCAGAGCAGCGCGCCCAGGCCCAAGTGGCCAAACTAGCCAGGGTCGTGTCACCATTGGCCTTCAGGTCCATCCAGAAAGGGGTCCGGATGACAGGCAGCAGTTTCGACCGCGCCTACGCCCCTCGTGCCAAGAATGCCGTCCAGGCGGCCAAAAGGGCTGCCAAGGAAGAGAGCCGGCGCAGGTCGTTGGCTCAGACGTGGGTGCGAACCGGAGCCAAGGGCCCTGCGAGCATCAGGAGGGTTCCCAGGGGCCTGGCGGAGGAGGTTCGCATCAGCAAGCAGCCCAAGTTCATTCCCCGCGCCGCGAAGCCTCAGCTTGCACCTTCGCCTGCGGATCAGGAGCGTGCGAGACGCGAGGCCCGACTACTGGCTGCTAAACAGACACCCGCGTCCGCTGCCCACGAGTTTCACGTTTCACAGTCCCAGACTGTGCCTGTGCGTGGTGGGCCCAGGTCATCCATCACGGGGCCTTCGACGACGACGCCCAAGAACACAAGGACCCCTGCCTTCCAGACGACGACGGATCTGTTATTTCCTGGGACTAGTCTCGCCAGGAACCAGCAGAAGGTCATCACCAAGCAGCCCACGACGGCCTCCGGCGCGGGTTCCAAATCAACAACATCCACGCCCTCAAACGCGCCCACGGCCCCGCTGTCAACATCTGCTTCACGTCTTAGCCAGAGATATATGCGGGCCAGCCCGCCAAGAGACCGCCCTCCACCCCGCCCAGCATCTCCTACGAAGTCGCGTGCGGATCCATTGACGCCTGCGAAGCGACCGGCACCTGCCCTAGATACCACGGCTGCTGGAGCGAGCAGCTCAGCGGGTTCACCACCCACCGGCAATGGTCCTGGAAGCCCACCAGGCGCTGGAGTGCCCCGAAAGAGGAAGAAGGTTGATGTGTTTATGCCGAAGAAGCGCATATGAGAACCCGTCACCATGGATTCCCTCTCTAGTCACGGACTTTTTCTTTTGTTCTTTCAGTTGTCGGAGGCCTAGATAGAAAAGCATTCGAACTGGCGAAGAGCGCAGAAACTGGCGCCTAAGAGCACGGCTGGTGTTTTGGTTCGTTTAGAGTTGGACAGGCGTCTCAGGACAGGACTGGATTACTCTTTTTTTGTTTGTTATCGTGATGGAGTCAAGGGCATACCCATTTCTTTCACCCAGGCAGGGCTTTTCCTTTTTCTTCTTCTTTTTGTCTCTTCGTCACCTGCTATTTCGACTGTTTTAGTTGCAACCTGCAAATGGTGTGGTGTTCCTGTAAAAAAGCATAGTACTATTGCATCGCTAGAGCATGCATCAGTGTAGTGTATCTATGCTGAAGATTCTTCAAAAAATCGAAACGCTTCATTGCCTGCTACCCTGATCATATGGTCTAAAAGGCAAGGTTTATGTGGGCACCTTTGAGATCTCTTCTTCTCGACGAATGTCTCGAGCCTACCACCGAGTACGAGGGGCGGCCCCTCCACGTCCACTACCCCTCAGCCGTCGCATTGGGACGCTGGCCATGACTACTTCCAGCAGCCTTGTATCAAAGTTTATCCTCTTCCTCTCGTACCTTCCAACCTCCCCCCCCCCCCCAAAATAAAGGTCTGTTGGTCTATCCATTGGGTCAACGGGGTGTGATGCTCCTTTCTGAACGGTCGCGTTTCATCTCGGGAGACTTTTTCGGGTGGCTTATTGGGAGCCGCCTCTCAGGGCGAGCACCAGATGCAGGACATTTCCTCCCTCCAGCGAGTAGTCTGAGGCTTTCTTCTCGTCGGCCCTGGAATAGTAGAGTCAGTTAGTCAGGCTTGTCTGCTCTCTCGTTCGTATGTATATGTATGAATACATATGCTGCATATTCCAACCCTCCTTAGGGGGAGGAGGAAGCAAATGGAGGGGGGGGGGGCAGAGTGAAGGCGGACGGCAACTCACATCTGTTTCCCCTGGTAGATCAGACGCTGCTGCACGGGCGGGATGCCCTCCTTCTCTTCCACCTGCTCCTTGATCTGCGAGATCTATATCATCATATCCGCCACTAAGTCAGCCATCAGATGCTTGTGAGTTTGGCCTCGGGCCCGTTGCGACGGGGGGCCCGGAGTGTTCGGGGCGGGCCGTTTTCAATGGGAAGAACGGGAGTGGTTTGGTTTGGCGGGGTCGTACCAGGTAGTTCTCCTCAATATCGAGCTCGATCTCCTTGCCGGTGAGTGTCCGCACCCTGTGCACCCGCAGATAGCATGTCAGCCTCTTTCTGTCTGCGCATTCGGAGGTACAGAGAGGGGGCCGTTTTAGGGGAGAAGAGGAGGGGGGGCATACTTGATCTGCATCTTGGCTGTGAATGTCGCTTGGGCTGTTGGGGAGAAATTATGTAGGTGATTTTTTTAGGGATTGAATGAAAGGCTTGAGGTGTTGTACTGGATAGTATTTCTTTCTGTTTGTCTCCTGTTTCTTATTTCTTTTTTGCCAGAGAAACAAGGTTGGTTATTTCTTGTGCCTGTTGTTGCCCGAGCTGTCCAGCTTAGTAGAGCAAATGACGGACCGATGACTGATTGCCCGCCTGTGGGCCTAGGTTTATTAAGTCACTGAGGGGCACTGAACCGGCATTCTTTTGGGGGCAGGCAGCCGGGTTGCGGGGAACCCTTGGAGGTGAGTGACAGTCACTACTTCAGTACATCATCACCAAGTTGCCTTCAGATAAGCATTGTCTAGAGGTGAAATTGAAACCAAATATGGAGCTTCCTTTTTGGTTCCATTTTTCTTTAGAAGAATGAAATTCATCAGCCCACAGCTGGGCAAAAAGTTGAGTCATATTAATTTTACACAAGAGACTTTCCTCCAGAATTGGTAGGTTGCTTCAAAAAGGATAGGGAGATGAGAGATTGCATCTGATTCCAAACCAGCCCTTTTATTTGTTTTCACCCTCCTTCTTCTCAAACACGTTCAGGCCCAGACCCTCCGCATCCAGCAGCAGCCTGTTCTTGCCGCCGTTCTCCTGCATGATCTGCGCGATGGCTCTCGCGTTCTCCAGCTTCTTCAGCTCGACGTACGCCTTGTTCTTCCTGATGGCGTCACCGATCAGCTCTGCAGAGCGTGCCTCACCCTGCGCCTTGACCACCATTGCCTGCTTCTCCTGGCGGGCCTTGTCGACGACAAAAGCTGCGCGCTGCGCCTCCTGCTGTGCGACCTGCTTTGCTTCCACTGCTGCCGTGAACTCGGGAGAAAATGCGAGGTGCTAGGTAGACACGAGGGTTCCGATCAGTAACGGACAAGACGAAGAAAAGGTGCTCCAAGGTCACATAGAGTGTGAAGTAAAGAAGTAGGCACAAACCGTCAGAGAAACGTCGTCCAACAGGATGTTAAAGCGCAACGCTCTCCGGGAGAGATTCTCCCGCACTAGCCTGGCCACCATCTCTCTCTGGGTGATCAGCTGGCTGGCATTGAACTGGGCCACCACGCTCTTGAGCACCTCGTTCACAATGGAGGGCAGCACCCTCTCGTCGTAGTCCTGGCCGAGGGTTCGGTAAATCTGGGGCAGGGCCTGGATCTCTGGTCTGGATAGGACACGGCAGGTGATGTTGACCATCTGCAGGTCCTTGGTGCCAGTAAGGGAGGACACGTTCCGGGGCTTCGCTCGTACGTCGTAAATGACCTCTTGCTCGAACCAGGGTAGTTTGAAATGCGTTCCTGTGTGCAATCGCCATGTCAGTCCCAGATCACGCTCCCTCTCCTCCCTTCTCTCTCTCCCTCTCGCAACCAAAACAGCCGGGACTTCCGGGCTTACCTTCGTTGTAGATCTCCTTGCCCACACCACTTATTCTCTTATACTTGATCGCCCTGTGACCACCATCGACGTTGAAGAGCGCGTTGCTCAGGGCCATACCGCCTCCGAGAAGGAGGACTAGGCCGCCGATGGCGCCGAAAGCAAACTGTGGTGGCTTGCCACCACCAGGGAAGCCGCCTCGACCCTGTCGCGCGACAGCTTGCAACCGCTGCATATACTCCTCCATCGGATTCCGGTTCGACATCTTGAGAGATGGGTCGAGCAGCTGTTTGCTGCTTTTGGTCGAAGGTGTGGAGGGTGGAGGGGGAGGGGCAGTTGTGGTGTTGTTGGGAGGTGGAACGTTTCTTGTTTGGTCGGCTGGCAAACCAGAAGCTTTTGCAAAGCTGAGAGAGAGCTTGGGTGATCAAATCATCGACTTCTGCAAGGGACAGGGATCAAGCGTCTTGAAAACAGTAAGGCCCTGCTAAATGGTACGTACTACGGTACCAAAAAAAGTCTGGGGTCGGCAGCGGAAAAGGCCCAAGCTCCGCAGTGCATTGGGGATGTTCTGGGCTGGACCTGCTTGGGTGCAGTGCAGGGGTGCGTTCTGAACCTCATCCAACCTTCTCTCACTTTGTACAGCAACAAGCACCGACTCGACCTCTTTTTCTTCTCCTTGAAACAGTACAGGGCAAGGCATCATCCAGAAAGACTGGACAGCAGACAAGAATCTGTTGCTGCTGGATTGAAGAGGAAACAAAACAAGAAGAAAAGGCTTTTTCTGTTCTAGTCCAACTAAAATATCACGCCTTACCTTGCGTTGCGTTGCGTTCCAGAGTCTATCTTTTCCCACCTGTGCTGCCACTGGTCACTCCTTTCCCAAGGTTTCTGGCATTCACACAGTACAGACAATATCGATTTGAAATATAACGACACAAGTGATAGACTAGCTGCACTGGTGGCCTTGCTGTGGCCCTTGTTTTTGGCCTGGAGAATATTCCATCTCTCTCCTTGTCAAAACAACAACCACAGACTCTCTCCCGGCTTCCTGTCCTATCACTACAACATTTAAGCTGCTCAGCACCCATCAACTGCTGTCCTCATCAGTATCCCTGCTTCCTCCTCACACAAATACACACAAAACTACATTCATCATGTCTTCCAAACCACCTTCACGTGTTGTGTTTGTGGGCAACATACCTTATGGTTTGTCAACTCTCCCCCCTCCCTCTCAATCATGAACCACTTGTTGACCTTCAATCTCTCTCCCACAGGATTATCTGAGGAGCAGATCACCGATCTCTTCAGCAGTGCAGGCCAGGTGCTAAACTTTCGTCTGGTCTATGACAGAGAGACTGGCCGCCCTAAGGGATTTGGTTTTGCAGAATACCCTGACGCAGGTAAGTGATGGTGATGGCGGTGATGTTCTCGCCACAAACATAGAAAGCCTCTCCGTTCCTCTAGTTTGACACAGCATCTAACCTACTACTTCTTCCTAGACTCGGCTGCCTCAGCAGTTCGAAACCTGAACGACCACGAGATCATGGGTCGCAAGCTGCGCGTCGACTTTAGCAACGAGGGCGGCACAGGAGGCAACGATGACTCGGCCGGTCAAGACCGCAACCAGACCTCCAGCCTCAACGCCTACAACCCCGCAGGTGCTTCGAACGGCGGCGGCGATGCCGCCTCCGGTGGTTCCCTCCCCCCTCTGCCAGCTGGCGTCCCTCTACCCCAGGGCGTGACCGTGACCGACCACATCTCGCGCACCCTCAACACCCTGCCCGCCACCCAGCTCCTCGACATCCTCTCCTCCTTCAAGCAGCTCTGCGCCACCGACCCCGCCCGCGCCACCGAGCTGCTCACCCAGGCACCCCAGCTCTCCTACGCCATGTTCCAGGCCCTCCTCCTCATGGGCCTCGTGAGCCCCGAGGCCATCAACTCCGTGCTCGAGCCTGGCTCCGTGGGCCCTCCCCCTGCAGCCCCTGGCTACCCACCCGCCCCGGGCGGCTACCCTGGCGCTGCTGGCACTCCACCTGTCGCACCAGGCGGCTACGCACCTCCTCCTCCTCCTGCCGCCGTTGCGCCAACCCCCATCGCCCAGCCCGCAGCAGCTCCTGCGCCGGCCGGTGCCGCCCCTGGCCAGACTCCCGACGAGCTGATCCAGCAGGTCCTGTCGCTGCCCGAGGAGATCATCCAGCAGCTGCCCGAGTCGGAGAGGGCCGATATCATGCGCCTGCGCGCCCAGTATGGTGTTTCGCGGCCGTAAAAAGTAGAGACTTATCTGCCTGAGCGTGGCATTGTTGGAAACGACCATCTCGAGAAAGAAAAAAAAAAACGTTTTCTTGCGTTGAGTCAGCGCCTGTGGCATAGTTCTGTCATCGGCCCTTGGTGGACCGGGGCGCTGGTGCGATGAACATCTTGCGGAGTTCTGCTTGCCTACTATTCGTCAATCGCCCCCTTCTATAAGGCTCGATGGGCCTAGATTACTACGCCTTGATATACCGCGTCTTTAGCCATCGCCGGGGCTCTGTCAGGACTGGGAACTGGTTGCTCGCATGTGGTTATACTGCTTGGCGACTTGTGGAAAGTGAACAATGCATGGTAACCAGGTGCCATCGGCACATGACAAGAGCTGGCTTTTCAAAAATTAATAAGAGACCTGAAATTTGAACATGACTATTGAAGAGTCGTGTTATGAGAACCATGGAAATGTCGAAATGACGAGTCTCGGGTCAAGACGCCACCTGAGTTCGCCTTGAAGTACTTATATGTCACACATTCTCTATCACCAGATGATACGTTGACCCAATGTGAATTGTTGCAGCCCCTTCTTCGCAATTGTATGATACCTTGATGAAGATGTTCTCACCACCTCTCTTTCAATAATGTTATGTTACAATTTCTGTATAACCAGTTCCCGACAAACCCCAAACTGTTGCCTCCAAGATAGATTTATGTTTTAAGAGAAGAACAATCTAGGTTATCCAGCCTTGCAATCCGCTTATGCCAAAGCCCAAAACCAAAATTCAAAAGCCAGTGAAGCAAGCAGGTGTGTTCAGATATGGGTACCGTCTTCACCCCAATCATGACGCTATCTGTGCGGTATGTTCTGTCCTCTTCAAGAATCACATAATGAAGGAATGTACTTCGCTCAAGGGACCGCTTGGCTACCGTAAGATCCAATCGTCTACGCTAGGGATCACACAATCCTGTACACCCTCTTCGCGATGAGGAAACACGCCATTCCGAACATGAGCAGTCCGGCGGTGATCCAGAAGAACCAGGTCAGGTCGCCCTCGTAATCCTGACCTGGCACCCAGACGTTCATGCCCCAGAGTCCTGTAATGATGTTCATGGGCAGCACGATCGTGCCAAGGACCGTAAGCTTGCCCAGGACGTCGTTCGTCTGCTCCGCGCGCTCGTTCATGCGGATATTGATCTGTGCAAGGTAGTTCTGGTGGGATCTGGCGAGTATCCTATTTGATGATGTTAGCACTGGCGAAAAGCCCTCCACAGAGAAATAAACCGGAACTCACATCTCATAGTGACTCAAGTTTCCAGTCATGGTCACAATATGATCCTGAATATCGCCAAGATAGATCCCGATATCCGAGCGCGGCGCAACCTCCCACTGTTCATTGCATCGCTTTGCGAAGCCTTTGATGACGTCGGCCTTGCTGCCTAACAGACGGTAAAGGCCCATGACTTTCTTTCGGCACTCCCCAACTCGGCGAAGCATATCAGCACCGGTCTCGACTACCGTGGAGCCCGAGTCCGATTTGGCGTCGCTCTTTGAGGCCTTCTCAGATTTGGACTTCTCCTTTCTCGTTGGATCCTCTTCAGCATGGAGCCTGACGATGTCGGCATCAATCTCGTCCACTTCCTCCTCAACGCTCTGGATAAGAGGTAGGTAGACGTCTGTGATATCGTCGATAATTGCGTACGCAATCCAGTCGGGCGTAAGAATCATGTAGTCACGCAGCATCCGCACCCGCCGTCGTACATTTGCTGGATGTGGGGTGGGGGAGAAATGAAAGCTGATAATGCCGTCCTTGAGCACGACTAGGTACAAATTGATGGGCTCGAGGTGATTTGCGCTCAGTGGGTCCTGATTGAACGTTCTGTAGTGCACAAAATAATAGTGCTGAAAGAGCTCGACCTTCTCACGCGCTTCCTGCATCATGATGTCTTCGCTCGTTAAGCCATGGATTCCGAATGTTCTGGCGAGGACCCTCATTTCGGCGTCAGTCGGACTCATGACATCCAACCACCAGATCGGCCTGTCTCCCAACCTAGGGGGTTTCTCGGCCTTCTCTGGCGGCGGGGATGCCACCGACCTTGGGTGCGCCGGTGTTGCCTCGCCAGAGCCCTGCCGCGAAGTATGCGAGCCTCCTGGAACTGCCCTCGGCGAGAGCGTACCAGAGTCATGCGATTGGTCTGGTCCACCCTGGACTGAGTCCACGACTGAAGGCTGGCGCGTAGGTAGCTTGGAGCTGCCATTTTGACCGCCCAGGGATCGCCGCAGCAGGTCGGGATGCTGATAATCCTCATCATCACTCTCCGACTCGGAAGAATCCGACAGGATGGGTCTGTCTGGTATGAACAGTTGACGAAAGCTGCTGCCCTGGCCCTCTTGCTGCACAAGTTCGGAAATCGTGGGGCTGTGGATGGTGCTGACGAACTCCTCGTTGAAATAGGTAAAGCGGTAGGGTGCATCCTCTTCTGGCTGATACCAGCCTTTGTGAATAGGCCGCAGCCTCCCGTTGATCAATTGAGGTTCTGTGATCCTCTTGGTCCTTCTTTCCTCGCTGCGTCCTTCTTTCTCAACCTGGGCCCAGTCCTCGAGAAACGACAGCTGAGGACCCCTGATTCTGCGCCGTCGAGATCGCGCATGGTGGCTGTGCTTCGGTCGAAGGTCGTCGTCCGCCATCTCGGACATACCTTCCTGCGGGAAGCAAACATCTTCCTGGGCTGAAAAGTCGAATGTGCGTCGTCGCTCAAAAGGTGTAGGTGGTGCCTTGGGACTGGAAGGTGCGTGAGAGCCATGATCAGTAAAGTCGTCATCGTGATGGTCCGAGTTAAAGACATCCAGTTCATCGATCAGCATGGCATCCTCCAGTCTCCAGTCCGGATCAGCGGCCCTGGTTCTCGGAGTTCCGGGCACTGATGGAGGATAGTTGACGTCGTAGCTTGCATTGAAGGGGTTCGTGAAATCCTTTCTCCCGCTAGTTCTGCTCGATTCTCTCTTGCTCGAAGACTGAATTCTTCCGGCGTCGGTCGAGCCAAGCGCCTTGGGGACCGTAACTGGTTCGGACCGGAAGCGACCTGTCGTAGAGAGAAGAGGTGCTCGTTCGTCTAGAGCGGAGTCCTCATTTTCTTCCTGCCCACTACCTGCGTCATGTATACTCTTCAATTTTGTCACGCTTTGGGACGCTAGGTGGGGAGCCGGCGACTGGACTGCATTGGATGGCCGTCGAGGGCGCATGAAGTATGGCTGATCTCTGTGGTTTGAAAGTCAGCTCAGCCATCGAGATACACATTCGCAGAGGGGGCGAAGGGAGGAAGTACCTATGGTCCAACAGAGTCTCACTGTCGATACTCGTCCCACTGAGATTGTGTCGTTGGCCATAGAAGCTCTGGCTGGGGGCGGCCATGCTGGAGCTGATACCGTCGTCGTGGTCTATGTCATCGTTGGTAATCGCAAAGGACTTGCGCCTGTCTCGCCTCCTCTTCGCCCTGGTGCCACGCTTCTTCTTCTTTTGTGCATTCTTTGACGAGGAATCTGCAGCAGGCACACCAGAGCTGGAGCCGGGCAGATTCAGACCTGGGTTCGGCGCGGCCATGGTGGGAGTGGGCCCAGAGACGTTATCTCAGATGAGGGTCGGTGGGAGTGTGTCTCGTTGATCGCCGCCCCTTTCCGCAACACCTTGACTGCGTGTGGGGTAATTTATCTCATGAATGACTGACTATGCCAGCGTCGCAAAAGTAATTGCTTGTATTGCGTAGGTAACACTGCTCAGAAATCAGGTCGAAATAGCTGATCGAAGGAGTAAGTCTGCGGCTGCTCGGCTATCTCAACTTCGGATGCGAATTACTGATCTTGGTCGACTTAGGAGTGTAAGGTGGGGTTCGCAAACTTGACCGGAGGCGACAAAGACAAATGGATGATTGCCAACAGCGAAGGTTCCGTGTGCAAATTACATAGCAAAACTGTACTACTTTGGGAGAAAGAACTCTAAGTATGTTTTGGAAAACCAGGCAGGGGATTGGATGGGTGCCCAGCCTTTCAACATATCTCTGAGAAAGGGAGATCGAGGTTAAGAATACATGGGGTTAGAAGAACAGGCCCACGTTCTCACGAGGTGACATCAGCACTCAGTGTCGAGCATCTTTCAAGGCTGCCGTGGGTGGGTGGGGACTGGAGCGCCCCTCCCCCTGGCTAGCGCATTTCGAACGATCCAGGGCCAGCCACCAATGCCACCAGAGCGGCGGAACGCCTGGCATGTGCTGCTGACTGTGGTGGAACCACCTCAGTTGTTCGACATGCCTTCCTTTCTGTTGGATCCTCGTATCTTGTCCCCATGAGAACTCCAAGATTCACTCGCTGGAGCCACGCTTCTCTTTCTCCAACTTTGCTCCATAGTCTCGACATGACACAATGTAACACTTGTTTCGTGGAGAAGCGCCACATACTATAGTACAACAACATGCACGGTCTAATGCAGCAGCGGCAAAAAGCTTACACGAATCTGACTACGATCAACCTGGAATCGTGTAGTGCCTGCGGAGCGACCAACTATGGGGTCTATGCGGTCCGACCGAAGGAGGTCACGCGAGCAACTGCCCTAAGTGACTCTGCTATGCATAAAGCGAGGAGTTTGTTTGGTCCTTTTAGCTCAACGGGCTCTCTCCGCAATATGCTATAATGGCAGCTTCAATTACACCATGACGGGGTTGAGAAGATAGAGGGTGGGAATCATAATGGTAGAAATGTATGCTGTACGGCATATTTGTGCAGAACGTCCGGCTTGCCATCATGTTACTTGTCCTCCCCATTTCAATACTTCGCACCAACGCTGTTGGCCCGGGGTCTCCCATCCCGTCCTTTACCTAGCATATTCACAGACGTACTCGACTTCCTCTTCAGCCCTCCCGGCTTCAACCGCCGGGCTATCTGATACGCCCGATCCAGCTCCGTCTCGATCGCGCAACGGATCCTCAGCGCCGAGACCGCAGGCCAGACGCTTCTCTCTCCTCGCAGGATCCAGTAGTCGAGCGTCTCTCTGGTCGGCGTCTCTAGCAGCCTGATAAAGTCGCCAGCAGTCACTTCCGGCACAAGCATGACGCTCGCGCCCGGGATGTCCTCGTCGACCAGGAACCGCCTTATGCTCGTGGGTAGGAGGCCCAGTGTGTCGAGCTGCCGGAGTCGGTGTCTAGCCTCCAGGCCGACCATTCTGACCAGGAAAGCGGTGACAGAAGTGGTGGTGCTGCGGGTCTCGAATCGTGAGGGCCCATGCATGTCGGACTGAAGGAATGGGATGAGATAGGGTCGGGCCTGGGAGACGATGAAGTGATTCACGTTGAACAATTCTGCGATGCGCATGAGTGGTGAGTCGCGCTCTGTGTAGGACACGCGTGTCCAGTGTTGAAGATCGATCTCGTTCGCAGGCGCCCAGGGAACAATATTGCCGTCCTGGTCCTTGCAGAGGATTGCATTCTCACGGTGACCGTAGAATGTCGGGGTGGAGGCATTGGAGGCCACGGCGGCCGTCCAAATCAACTAAGGCGTGTGTAAGTTTAGACCATGACAGAAATCACCACTGTATGTGTTGCAGAGGTTTTTAAGATAACAACATACCACATTCGGCGCTGTCAAGTAGTTCAACAGCGTCGGAACACCTGCCTGACCGGCTGCGGCAACAGTGATGTTCAACACTCTCTTGCTCCGCACGAATGCCTCCTCAAATGTCAAATCACCGACATTGGCGCGCACACACTCCTCAAGCACCTTGACGTCGAGAAAGTACCCCTCGCGGTAGAATCGCATCACCCTACGAAGCAGTGTCTGCCACCTGCTCGAATTCGTCTGCTCAGCATCTGCATCATCCTGGGTGTTCTTGGCATTGGTCCTGGCCCTGGCAGAGAACGCAGTCAGGTCGATCGCATCGCCCTTCAGAACAGCAGGCAGTTCCTCTTCCTTGTGGATAGCGACCAAAGCAGCAATCAATGCCCCCGTTGCAGTACCTGTAATGATCCGTGGGAGAAGGCCTCGGAGGAAAAGTGCCTTCACAACGCCCAGGTGGCAGAGGCCAAAGATGGCACCGCCCTGCAGGACAAGTGTACTTCGTCCAAATGCCTGGCGCGTGTCGTGGACAAAATCGAGCTTCATCTGGTTCGACATCGTCATGGGCGCTTTGGCACTCGCGACAACAGCACCGCCGCTGCCCGTACTCGCGTTACTGCTGCCGGGTGTCGAGTTGTCGCTGAAGTGCACAGCCGGCGCCTGCGACTGTGCCGACGACAGCACAGGCGCAATAACATTGCTGCTGGAGGGCTTGGTGGTTGTGAGGGACCCCACACCACTCGGTGGGACAGCAGGGAGTCCACTGATGTCCTCGATCGCCTCGGCCACCTGTGTGATATACTCCTCGATAAGAAATTTGGTCCCTGCAAAGCTTCGGTTGTACAGCTTCGTGGCGGTAATGTTGCCTAAATTACGCACGAGCCCGGACCGCAGCAGGTTCACCAGGCCGTGTATATCCTGCTCCTCTCGTGCGACCATGAGGTTGTCCAACCGCTCGTTGATGAGCCTATAGTCATAGTATCGCGAAACTTGATTGTAGCGCCAGAGGTCGAATCCCAGTAGATTGTCCAGTCGCAGCGCAGCCTCCTCCCATTCTTCATACGACTCGGCGTGTCGGAGGATGTCGAGCCAGAGCTCGGCCGGGGCCTTGCGGCGCCACCAATCGAGGATCCTCTGTTGCGGCACAAGCATGGACCTGGTCAGTTTCGTGGCGATTGATGTGCCATTGGATTGCGCTGGGCTCTTGAAGATTGCTTACCCGACGCCAGAAGTCGAAGATCTCGAGGATAACGGCCCAGACACCCATGATCACCGCTGTCACCGACCCCATGGCTTCTTGTCACTAGTGAGACCGATGCGCATGTGAGCGCCGTGGACGTGTTCATCGCAATGCCATCAGAGGGGAGAGATGATGTTGGATGGGCGCCATTGCGACGAGGGTATGGATAAAGGTTGTCGGAACTGCGCAGCCTGATTCCAAAGCCAGTGTTGCGAGGTTACTAAATACTTAGGTCATAACCGCCAGCCTACGCGCAAGGGCAGCAGCTCCTAGTTGACATGTGAAATCGACCGTGGGGAAATTGAACCACTCCACAGGGCCGCTCTCGGCTGGCCTGCGTAGGCACAAGGTAGGGCGGGGCGGCCAATCTACTGTATGTCATATGCACGCAACCCCTGTAAATAATGTTCGTAGCTCGCTCAGCCGGCTTCACTACACATCAAGGGTCTGTCGTGTACCAGATGCAGTGCAATGCAATACTTTACGCTTTCAGTAGCGATTGGACATTCGTATTGTTTGATGGCCTTCGCCTTCGTCAATTTTATGTGGTCACTGAAGGTGCTGCCACCTGAAACCTTTATCCTGGCCCTGATGTTGTGGCATATAGTTTCTTGGGCCGGAGGGTTTGTGTGTTTTTTTCTTCTTCAGAACCTCGAGCTTCCTCCTGCAGCAATGAACCGGATTCTCGTGCAGACCGCCTTGGTAAATTATGTGACAATCCTTGGGAAAAGACACCTGTCTCAGCCGAGTAGAATCAATGGGGGGAAAAAATAGGCTTCGACCCGGAAGAATAGTCAATTCTCATCAGATTGGAACGGCCGAGGCAATGTCCATCCTATTCCTAATCTTCGCTCGCCCTCGTGGCTGGGAGGCGCTTCACTCATCGTCGTCATCGTCAGAGACAACACGACGCACACGCCGACGGTTGTGATCACCAGAAGCCGCAGGAGCATCGTCATCAGGCTCACCCTCGGCGTCATCATCATCGTCAGGCGTTCTCTTGCGCTTGGGACGCGGACGCTCAAAGTCGACATCGCCGTCGTCTAGCAGGTCGTCCTGGTCGTCATCGTTATCCTCCTCTATGCTTTCATCGTCGTCTGACGCGGCGATGAATCCGTCTTCCATGTCATACTGATTGCTGCGGTGCACGCCATCGTCGTCCGAGTCATAGTCGTCGTTTTGTGGTCGTGACCGCTTTGATGATCCTCCGGGGCCTCGCTTACGTCCCGATGTCGAGCGCCGAGCACCCTCCAGGTCACCAATGGAGAGGCCACCTTTCCGATAGCCACCTGCTCCGCCCTCCATACGTATCTGTGCATTCTCACGCCGCCGCTGCGCGCGCGCACGTTCCTTCTCTGCCATCTCAGCCTGTTTTTTCTGAAGCTCGGGATCCTGGGTGGCGGTGATGATCATATCGCCTTCCCGCAGCGCCCCCTTTGCCAAACCCATCTGCTCCCTGAGGCGCTCCGTGTCTTCCTCCACACGTTTCTTGTCAGGACGGATAGACCACTCCTCGGTGACGTGTCCGACAGTGAGGAGCTGCGCATGAGCCGAATGTGCAGCAGCGACATACCGATTGGCGTCGCGATCGGGAATGTACTCCTTTTTGGGTGGTGGAACCTGTGCCTTAACTTGTATTTCGTAGTGCTCCTCACCAACCTGCATAGTCAACGAGCCGTCGCTCCACCTGTAGATGTTCGCGTTGCTTTCCAGCGCGCCCGTCGCAGGATTCCGCCGGTAGCGCACGAGGTTTATAGGAATCCGGCGTCTGGCATTCTCAAGATCCCACTCAGAGGCCTGCCATTCGTCTGTATCGTATGGCTCGGGTACGAAGCGCAGGAAGTTAGGCACCTTGGCAAGTTGCATCTGGAGGAGGAGGGTTTAGAAACGGTTGCCTCGACGATGCATGAGAATAGAAGCAACTCACGTTCCCATCTTGGGTCTTGGGTAAGCCATGGCGATACACAACGTCTTGTATGACCGTCAACTCGTTGGTTGGGGGACTCTCGTCCCTCTGGCTACGGTCGTCACGGTCGGATGCACTGTCGTGCATGGGGCTACGCCTGCGGCCATCATCCGAAGCCACTTCATCGTCGCTAGCGATGAGTGGGTTGTCCTCGATCTGAGATACGTCGCTACCGGCATCATCGCCAAAGAGGTCGTCACCTCCGCCGTCAGAGACGTCGTCAATGCGCTCCTCATCCGACATGGTGGAGAATTCTGAACAGCTTCGAGGTTCGGGTGGCAGGTCTGGCAGGTGTCGATTGGTGTAATGATTCAGCTGTCCATGAGATTACGATCTCAGGTAGAGTGTTGGCAAGAAAGAGAAAGCGATTCTGGGCTGGGCGCGATGGCTCGTACCAAAAACGAAAACGAAGGGGGGGAAAGCTCTGCGTTGGTCTTTGTGATTTGGAGCTCAGGTCGGCTTGCGCCTGCGAGGGTATTACTTAGAAAGCTGAATGGCAAGGCTGCTGGGCTGCCGGCAAGACCCAGCGGCAGATTCCCGAAACAGTTAGGGCGGGCTCTAGCGCACCTTGTTTGTTACAACCGCTTGACAGGTTCCCAGGCTGTTGAACCCCTTATTTTTCAACCAACGTGCAACTTATACGGCACACGACCACACGACGACCTCAGTTTTCTCTCTCATCCACATTCAAGCGGCGGGAGGTGACTGCCAGAACCACGGCCCCAAGATCATCTCACTTCCTCGCAGCCAAGTCTTGCGCCTAGCTTATACGTTTCCACCCCTCGACTCCTTGCTACGTCACTAAGCCATGTCTCTATTCTCTGGGATGTGAGTACTCTTGCTTGATATCTCCTCCCCTCCCCCTACCTTCCCCCTCATCTCATATTCTATGGGCATGGGCAAGCAACATTCAGGACCACCTCCATCTTGATTCGCCTCTTGTCTCTCTCTCTCTCTCTGCCCTTCTCAGATCTTGGACGAAGTGATGTGCTTTCGATTCATTTCACCAAGCTAGCCACGGTTGTGCCTTCTAGCAGTGGCGCCGTCGGCCCCTAAGGGACATCACCCATTGTGGTGGTGGTGGATAAGATGAGGAAATTGCCATCTTTCCATTGGGCAAAGCTGGGCCTGCACATGCCTGACAGTCCATTGTCTCTGACAGACTGTCATGTCTTCACATATCCATCCCCTCCTGGCGATCGGCCCTCGAACATAAAGATCCCTCGAGTTCCACTTTTCCCCTCAGGCCGACAGTGAGCCTCAACTCACCGCCTCAGATTATTATCTACGCGTCTCCTGCGACACTGCACAGTTCGACAGCCTACTGACCATTTGTCTTGACAGCAACGCCCGCTTTCGAGGCTCAAACAGCAAGTCTCCTGGGCCGGGAAAGAGTGGCAGCGGCTCCAGCCAGCCGCCCGTCTCTCCCTTAAGCCTGGACAGATCTCAGAACAGTCAGTCACCTGCGTCAGCGGGTCTGTCTGCCAACCTCCCCCCTCTGCCAAAGTCTCCGTCTCTTGCTCAGACAATAGGCATGGACGAGCAGAGCGGCATCATGACTAGCGGTCATGATGTCCTCGAGTCATACCATCTTCCTCGTCCTCTGCCTCTATGGCTCAACCCCAACTACGCCAAGCATATTGTGAAGGGCAACTTCATGACCTTGAGTGCCAGGCCAAAGACAGTCGAGCAAGGAGAGTGGATTGCCCATCAAGGTTTGTGCAAATCCAACCGTACTTAGCTCGTCGTGGCTGCTGACTGTCTGCCCAAAGTTGTTGAGCACTACCGAAACTTGTGGAATTTTGTCCGCGTCATCCACGAGAAGGAGGAGGATGGGTTGTCCATCTGTAACCCGGCAACATGTCCACGCATGTCAGCAGGACAGTGAGTGAAAAATGTCATCCTCACCCGCCCATCAGACGGCTAATTTTTTTGCATCACTATAGGAACCACTCCTTCACATGGTTGAACAGCCGAAGGGAACCTGTGGAGCTCCCAGCTTACGAGTACATCACGCTTATGTACGTCCTTCATGCATAGGAGAGGTCCCCGAGATGACTGCTTTGTTGCATCTGCTGACAAGAGATGGTTGATAGGCAGCGATGGATATCCGGCAAAATTGATGATACGAAGATCTTTCCCACCGAAGCTTCTGGTGTTTCGTACGCACACAACGCCAATATCACCACCACGCCCCTGTCTCATCTGACGAATCCTGGCGAGCCTGATTGGATCGGGAAGCGGTCCGGCTTCCCGCAGAACTTTGTCGAGGTCTGCCAGACTATCTTCCGTCAGATGTTCCGGGTCTACTCGCACCTCTACTGGGCTCATTATGTCGAGCCTTTCTACCACTTGAACCTCGAGAAACAGCTCAACAGTTGCTTCAGCCATTTCATTCTCACCGCCACCGCACTCGATATGCTCCGACCACACGAGCTCGAGCCGATGCAACCTCTTATCGATCTCTGGGCTGCCAACGGCACTTTTCCTCCAGAGTCCAAGGCTTATGAATACGCTCACCTCAACGCCGGCCAGAAGCTTCTTCAGCTGGCCGGCACTTCTACGTAAACAACCGTTCATCTACGGCTTGTGGATTCGAGCCGCGATTCCAGTCTGCCGGTTCGGGCTTGGCGGGCTAAGCCAGAGGTACTCGAGAATTACTCGGTACGTGGTTATATGGGTGCATGACATGGCACATGTGGCTACATTATGCAAGCGGCATCTTGCTACCTCGGACTGGCATTGCTGAGCATGTGCTGTCAGTGGAAGTAGACTTGCATGAGCAGGTTGGATGGCGGGTCATTGCAGGCGTTGTGGAGGTCAATGGGGTCAAGCACATGAAAAGTGTTTGGGCGGCAGAAGGCGGGGCCAAGTACCAAGCGTTCCCCCCCCCCCCCTTCCGAGTCTTGGGTGAGCTGATAGAAGATACAATATGCTGGTTTTTAGAGTATATACTGAACCATGGCATCTCGCGCCCTAGGATGCGCAGCAAAACCAATATCTACAAGCTATTTCCAAGTTCAGGGGTTTTTCTTGACTGCATGCAACTAACACAAACATAGTCTCCCCTCTCTAGCCTCCAAAACACTGGCAACATCATCATTCTGTACTCACCGGTTGCAATCTTGGCCCCTCACGCCGCAGCTTCCCTCCTAAGCATACCCCTCCTCATCACGTAGGTGGGTAACACCTCAGCGTCTCATTCTCAATGAAGCAGCCGAGGTCAACAAGTCGAACCAATCAGTCTTTCCCTCATTCCTCCTTCTCCTAAATCATAGCCTCCCAAAAAGAATTTTTTTAAAAAAAATAACCCTCCCCCCCCCCCGATCCCACCTGCTACCCAACAATCAGTCACACCCACCATCACCACCACCACCAAAAGAAAGCACTACCTAGCCAAATGTCCCCCCCCCCCTTTCTCTCTAGGGTGGACGGAATGTCTCGGTCCTACTTGTCAGCATCGGCTGTTTCGTCATTGGACGAGAAAGAGAGAGAGGGCGAGGGAGAAAGCCCCACCTCCCCGTCATCTCGAAGGAGGGGGTGTTTTCTCGGCAAAGGGTGTTCGATTCTTTCATAACTGTCAGATTTTAATGGGGGGGCCTTGTTTTGCCGAGGGTTGGGAGTGGGATGTTTGGTAGGGTGTAGTAAATATAGTTCACGGTGGGTGTGTGGGAAGGGGCAAAAGAGTGAAAGCGGGGTGTAATTGAAAACTTATAGATGTTTTTCTTCTTTTCTTTCTCCGCAACGGGGCCAGCTGCTTGGAGTTTCTTAGCAAGAGAGTACCTTTACCCCATAGTTAGCTCACCCCAGCCATGATGGTGCTCGACACTGTAATACATCCGAGAAACCAAACAAAAAATCATGCCACTCTCGCATCCCCTTCTCACCTCGTTCGTCCCCTAGTCAAAATTGATCCAACCACGAGCCCCCTCCCTCACCGCCCGGGGTTTTCCTTGTCCTATCGGAGAAGCCCAGGATACACAGCGCTGATGGCACGACATCGTCTTCCGTAGGACAAGAACAGAAGCCTTCGTGAGAAGATTGTATGGCAAAGGTCGTACAAATTATGCAACAGTGTCTCAACGGCTCTTCTTTTTCTTGTCACTTTCTTTCCCTTCTCCTTTGTATTGTGGTAGGCAAACAACGGTCCTTTCCCTCCCCATTGCGATATGGGAGATCCAGAAACTCCCTCCACAGGGAAGCCGTGTAAGTGGGTATGTGGAGACGGGCGGACGTCTTGTCGACCTGAGCGGGTATGAACTTGTCCCATGAATACAACATCGATCAGTCAAAGAGCGAGCATAATGAGCGCGTTTTGAGAAAAGAAAAAGAAGAAAAAAGCATCAGAGTTTTAAGGTTATCAACTCGTCCTTGACTCCAGTTGGATAGAGACCAGCACCATCGCAGGATGGCTCCTGGGCTGACGCTGCCGAGAAAAAGACGAGTGCTTTCGGGGAATCTATAAAAAAACACACGCACTATCAGAGAGTACGACACCTCATTTCTAAATAAAAAAAACAACACGCAGTCCAGTTTTTCTCCTGCCCACCCTCAGCCGTGGCTCCTTTTGACCGCCCTATACATGTTTATAGCTCACCCCCGTAGTCCAAGTTGCCAGCCTTCGGGAGCAATGGCAGCCACCTCATGCTGTAGTCCGATACCTAGGTTTCAGATAGATATGGGTGCCTTTTGTCGGGTAAAGGTCCATCCATGATTGGTCTCAGGTTTTTATCCTTCCCCTCTGGAAGATCCAGAAGGTTGTCCATATCCGGCCCGTTGTCTCGGGCAGGACCGAAAACAGGAGACGATGAGCGAGCATTGGGGCATCCCCCCTAATAGCCATCTCCGGCAGCAGCGCCGTTCCCTGGCTGTCCATACATGTAGTTGCTTTCTGAGGCCTCAGCGCCCTGGCTGGTCAGCTCGCCGGCTGGGAAACCCGAGGAGCCAGAGTTCGAAGGTCCACCTGCGCCTCCTTGACCACTGTAGCCTCCCTGACTACCGGGACGATTCTGCTGGTTGTCGTTCCTGTTGGAATTCGATTGCTGCTGCATTCAATTAGCGGGCCTGCATTTTCCTACATGCACGCGGACCAGGCATGATCCCATGCAAGATAAAAGACAAAACATACTTCGCGGTATTTGGACAGATAGATCTTCAAGGCCTCGGAGTAGTTCTCGAACCCCAGAGAGGTCATCGCAAACAGGATGTCCTCGCCGTTGACCGTCTTCCTCTTCTCCTGGTGGCACTTCTCAGAGGCTGTGCAATCATGTTAGCTTCACCGCGTGCGCTTTTTGAACGAGACAAGACTCACCCTCGCTGGTTATGAAAGAGATGAACTCGCTAACGCACTCCTGCATACACTCCTTGGCCTCTTTGGCGATCTTTGCGTTCTCCGGCAGAGCATTCTTCATGATGCGGGCGACTGGCGCAAAGTTGCGTATGTTAGCATCGTACTGGTCATATTTGGCAGCCTTGGAGGGAGGGTAAGCCGCGTCTGGCGACTTTGGAGGCGAGTCGTGGGACATGGACGAATAGATAGGCGCGCTCTGCTCTTCTTCTTTTGTCTTTCTTTGCTCTAGAGAGACAAGGAGAGAAGTATGCCATTCATCCGGTTCGGTCGCAGCCTATCGCCATGCAGCGCAGACCAGAGACGGACGAAGCAGCACACACGCTCACGAAGCACGATGAAGCCAGAGAAAGGAGATTAAACGCACCATTTGCTATCGGCAGCCACCGATCCTGCTCCTTGACTTCAAACTCATAGGCGAGGCCGGCGGCCTGTGGGTCTTGAGGGTCGTTCATTTGTGCTTCGTCGTCTGGTGACTGTACACCTTGTTCAACCTCCTTGGGAGGGGATTGGGGGGAATCCGACATATTTGGCTACCTGCAGCGGGTGCGGACTTCTTGGAAATTCCTTGGTCTGGGTGCCCTCGTACAAGATGCCGGGGCGAAGATGATGTGTTCCTGATACCCTGGACACGTTGCAGGGTAGTGAGGCTTGCGACTTTTTTCCCTTCCTTTCTTCCTCTCCTGTCTGATTTTTTCTGGGGCCTTGCTTTCAAGCTGCAGGAGTGCGCCAAACGTGTCTCAAGGCGTGCTAGAGCTATTCTCTACAACAGTACCTTCCCCAAAAAGATGACGGATGAAGCTGTGACAACGTCGTCGGGACTAGAGACTGCTGAGCAGCAACGCGTAGCGAGGTGTGGGGAGGACCAATGCGAGCCCCACTGCTCAATGGTCGCCTAGTGCTCGAATAGCTTCGTGGCTGTTAGTGCCGGACAGCCCTGCTGCAGGTCGTTGTCTTAGCCCCGTCCTTGATGGGTGGATGGATGGGGATGGATGATACAGACCCTGGAGGGAGAAAAAAAGTCTGTACTGCGTCCCGGGGGGAGGGGTGGACGTCACTGCAAAAAAAAAAAAAAAAGAAGAAAAAAAAAAAAAAAGAGAAAGATCCCGTCCCGATGCGCGAGCCGTGTCTGTTGACAGGCTCGTTGTCTCGTCTTCCCGGCGGTTACACTGACGTAGAGGATTGATTGAAGATGGTTGGCCCAATGCCGCTTTGCTATAGGTTGGTAGGTCAGAAACGAAAGTGTACTTTTCCCAGATGGCATGCGAGGTACGGGGCAGGTGATGGCCGGGTGGGCAGGCCGGGATAGGAAAAGATTGGCTGAGGTTGAACCGGACCTGGGTGCCTCGTGGGAACAAGCTGCAGAGTCGCGTCAGAGAAGAATCCGTCTGCCGGCATCAGCTGTGTTTTTGCAAGGTCGGCGCGGCGACGAACAGGAAGCGCTGGACGGAGAGCCGCAGGCCAAGGTGAGGGAGTCAGGCTCGTGACGCACCAACCAGAAGCCGTTTCTCGAGCCTTACAGGAGGCGGCGAGGCGGTCCAGCGCAGTATTTTCCTGTTGGCTCGTGCAGCAGAGCGCAGTACTCGTGCTCGTATAGGCACAGAGCTGGGGGAAAGGGCCTGGTACGTATCATACCCTGAGTGGGTATCCGTGGTCCAACACGTCGCAGACAACCTTGGTTGGGCAGATACAGGTGGGCAGTGACAACGGGAGGAGACATACATACAGTTACCCTTTGAGTATACACAAGAGACAGGGTCAGGCCTTCTTGCCTTGCGTTGCCCTTGCGGTTGAAGAGGGGGGGTTCTTGCAGAAGCGCGTGCGTGTGAGTTGTCCTCCTCTTGCGTGACTATGCCTATGCCCGCGCGCCTTGTCAACGACTGGCTGTTGGTTTTTTCTCTTTTTTCCAGTCCAATCAGCCCACTGCAGCCTCAGTCAGACACACGCCGGCTGCTGGTTGCGGTCGGGGAGTCAGGTTCAGGGTAATAGCAGCCTTTCGAAGGATGAGTCCTGGATAGGTATGCTCAAAAAATAAATGCACGCTATCTGGGAGGAGCTGAGCTGTAGTAGTGTGGGGTTTGTTGCAGGAAGAAAAGACCTGGGTTGATCGATGGAGAGGACGAGTGGGATGCGTGTGAGCGGGTCAAGCAAGAGACTCAGAGGTAAGGCCTGGAAAGCTCTGGGCCGAGAAGTGCAACACACCACTATGGGGCTTTAACCCCTGGCCTCTCCTTCCCCCTCCTCTTCTCATTCTCAGGTTGCTAGGCAAGCCAGGCACGACCCGGCGCAACCCTGAGCCTGGCAGCGCAATACTTGCTGCTGTAATAAGCTGCTGCTGTTGCTATGCGTGCTATGCTGGCCCGACTTAGCAAGCTCAATACGTACCATGGTACCATAGTACACCTGAAGGCTGCCTGCTGCAAGTTGCCCAAGTACAGCACTGACATCCTACAACGCCGGTACTGCTGTACTGTTACAAAGTTTAATCACATATACTTACAGTCTAATTCTTCTCGTTTTATCCCACATCACAGCACTTTTCAAAATTTATGGTCTGACTATAAAGCAGCATCACCCGGAGGATTTCACATGCATACGAGTATATTAGTTGTACATGAGACATATGCAGTAGTTGGAGTTAGATCTCTACTTAGTGCTCAGTGTAAGCCCGAGGTGTAGATGCACGCAATGGCTGACATGGCAGGAGGGAGGGGTGAGTTGGCGATAGGGGGGTGGGGGAGTTGGTGTTCGTGCTGCTGAAGCTATTTACAGCACCACAAGTGACTCTTGGCTACTTACCACGGAGGATCGTCCAGCGACCAGGCATCATACCCTTCTGAACTGTCAGGCCTGAATGTTGGTATACCGCCATTTCGATACCCACAATGACATCGACAAGTTGCCTCTAGGGTTGTGGTGATCATTTTCAGTCACCTTGATCCTACTTGGCAAATCTCACCGCTCAAGCTGTCTCAAACCTTGATTCCGAGCATGAAGAGAATGCCAGGTCCTCTACTCCTTGCTGCCCAAGCAGCCATGGCACCCAACCACGTCCATCCGTCAAGCGTAAACACGATCTCAGCACATCCTTCCCCTCCTACTCCATGCAGCAAGCTGAAGCTGATATCGCTCTTGACGACAGCCGGATGACGAAAGCAGAAATGCGTTTTCAACAAACATCTCGAACATTACTTGCTTCATCCTGCGGGGAACTTGATGGGGCTTCTTTCGTTATAGGTTCAGCTTCGATGTGCCTTTAGGCGGAACAACTGCGCCTATCTGAAGGCGTGAGACTGGCTGCCCAATTTTTTGTTTATTTGAATAAGAAAAACCATGGGATGAGGTTGGCAAGGCTTTTTTAGTTTCTGATGCGGCGCTGGCGTTTCCTGGTTCAAGAGCGGGTGGCTTGGGTGGTGGTCAAGCCTTTTTCTGATTTGACGTTTCGATTTTCTTCACTTTTTTTGGGGGGAGGGGGGTGCCTGCTACCGGCCTAGTTAATGGTTGATTCGTGACAATGTTATTAAGTTCGCCCTATGAAAGGAAAGGAATCACAGAGCGCGAGGCTGGGCCTGATCCTATCTTAGGCCTGCTGGGTAGCAGCCAATCAAATAATCCAGGCGACTGAAACTCATCTCATTGGAAGAGGCCATAGATTAATTAATCCTGGCGTGGACAGGACTGGCGGTCAATCTTCCAGGCCTACGCGGTAGGGTTGTCTTGTAATTCGGACGATATGGATGTCGGAATGGTTGCATCCTGTTTCTGTCCCTTTTCTCGATAAACGAGCAGCAGTTCGTCATTGCGTGACTGCATCTTTTACGCATAATAGATGGTTACTAGTTACCCCCGCCCCCACATGCATGCACGCACCAGTCGTAGTGCACTGCCTTGTGACCACTACTGTACTGTCTCACTGACAGCTCAGATGCATCCATCAAAGATTGGCAGTGCTGCACGATCATTTGCCTCATGATGACGGCCATCATAAGTCCGGCAATCGGGAGAATACTCTGGCAGCACCGGGATCAGCATCTTAAGAAAACTCCCTGTGGTCGTCAAAGGGCTGAAACTCGATGCGTGGAGGCGGGCTAGATACGATGATAATGAGAAGAGCTGACATTGCTTGAAGAGCACTTCAACTAGAAAAAGAGAAAAGAAAAAAACGGGGCTACTGCACTCTATTATAGTGTTCTGCAGTAGTAGGCCAAGCATGCACGCACAGGGGTCTCTGCACGGCAGCTCGCTTGTTGACCTCAACAGAAGGCTGGCAGTCGCTATTCTGAGCCTGACGCCGGCCTCTATGAAGCCTAGGCGAAAAAGTACACTGGGTCCATCTCGCTCTAGACCTTCACGCCATGCGGATGCAGGTATGATGCTGTGTGGCAGGGCCGGCCGCTCAGCGCTTGCAGCCCTAGCATAAGGTTGCTTCGAAAGACCTGCAGGGTAATGCTCTCAAAAATTTTGTTTATTCACACACTACGTGCAGGTCTCCTCGGCGATTCCTATAAAGGCACCTTGGACATCTGCGGCCGCATAATCCGGCCCATGGTGGTTTTCAAACGGAGTTCCGGTAACCTATCAGATCTCAACAGCCTCAAAATCAGTCGCGGATGCCGGTTGGGCAGGAAGACGCCGTTACCGCCCGCCTCTCCAAGCGATGGGGTCATTGGGACAACGCACCACCACCACACCACCTCTTCCACCGACCGATCTCTTGATCACCTGCGTATGCAGGCCTGTGACTTGTCCGTACATTCTCATCTAGATCGGGATCTCCATCGCTCGTCTGCGGATATCTGCAGCGCATAACCACCTCCTGCATCCGGGAGCCTCATTATTTTTGGGCTCCAATGCTGAACCGGGAAATGGCGAAGACGGCACCCGGTTGGCACACGTCATTCTCCTGCCTGTATCTCATCATGCTTTTGCGATACTGCCCCTGCAAAAGTCCACCGCTGTTGGATGCCGTCATTCCTCACTCCAAGGGCCGGATATACCTAAGCCTCGCGGGATCTTTTCCGACACGAGTCTCGGCGTGGGAGAACTATTGAACAATCTGTACATTGTTCTTCTTCTGTAGTTCATAGATGCTCAGTCAGTCAACAAGGTTGCATGCCACAAGATGTGGCAACTCCAGCAGCGGAGCTTGACGCACCTTCCAGTCATCCAGTTCCTTCTGCTTGGCTAGTAATTGCTCTTTGAGGTCCTTCTCCACCTTCTTCAGGCCCTCGGTGTTCGTCTTTAGCGATGGGAGCACGTCCTTGATTGTCATCTCGACGAGGACACCGTTAATCATGCGGAAGCACTTGCGATCCTCGGCCAATGGCTCTAGTGTCGTTAGGACGGCTCTAATGGCGATTATGTTAGCCGATGACCAAGGACATGTCTGGCGAGCGTGAAGCTCTGTGTGCCGCTGCAGGTCGCCTGTCCGGGCATCATGAGAAGAAAAAGTGAGGTGCCATCTCAAGTGGTTGCATATAGAGAATCGATAGAGACGCTGCTGGGACATACGTATGTTCGTCTTTCTCCTGTTCAACATCGCCAACTTTTTGGGCAAGTTGTTGAATGGTATTTTTAAAAGTGGTGTATTGGGTCTGAAGATCTGTGGTCTCGTGTCAATGACAGATGATGGCCTGCGAACAATGAGATGAGTCTCACCTTGCGACTTCTTTGCAGCTGCTGGTTGTGTTGCCATGGCTGGATGTCCGTACCTATCGAAAGAGAATGGGGGGGGGGGGGGGATAAGAGCGTTGCGAAATTGAAATGTTGCAAGGTTGACGATGGTGTTGACCTTTGGTGTTGAGTTTGGCCAGTGAGCTGGGGAAGGAGGGTGGTCATAGCTCCTCCCCCGTTCGCCGTTGCCGCTGCCCCTAGAAAACTTGCCGCCACTGGTGATTGGAAACTTTTCAGCACCCACAACTTGTTCGACCAAAGCAAATCCAGTCTACGTCAACATCCGAGTCCGCAACTAATTATTCGCGAAGATGCATCCTCATCTGCACACCAAGGACAACACCGGTATAATCTCTTCAAGCCTCTTCGTTAGTTTTGCGCGCTCGTCTTTTGCTAACCATCACGCCACCCAGCCTGCGAGGACCTCATGACTGCCCTCGAGGAGTGTCATGATCGCGGATTTCTTTGGAAATCAATGGGCATGTGCAATGGGGCGAAGGAGGCTTTGAGTGCCTGCCTGCGTGCAGAGAGAAGGAAACGCCAGGATAACAACCGCAGCAAGTCGCAAGAGAAGAAGGATGCCATCAGACAGAAGTGGAAGGAAATTGACGAGAACTCTTAATGTGACGCCGCCCCAAGCCCACGAATCACTACCTACGACTTCAAACCCACGATATGCGAAACCGGAACATTCTTTGACACATTGCAAGAGGGGGTGCAGTGCTGGCAACCCTACTACGGGCAAGCGGCTCCCTTAGGACAGGAGTGTTCCTGATCCTAGGTTGCGAGAGCTTCATGAACGGTTCCAAAGCCTCAAGGATGATAGCACATGGTATGATCTCTTGGAAAGAGCGTGAATTGGTATCGACGGAAATCTCTACTTCATGATCTGGCGTGCGGCCCTGGTTTATACGGAACCCGGTCGACAGACTGATGACTTCAGAGGCTACGTTGATACACGCCGTTCCCGAAAAGCACCATTCCAAAGGTCGCCAAGACGGACAAGATCATGGGTACCGTCTTCCGGAGTCTAATGGCCCGTGGAATGGATGACCCTCCCAGCATAACGGAGGCCAGCAGGCTCAACTCGACGCCATAAGGCTCGCTGTTCTGCATGCGATACCCGCCCAGCGCATCTGTGTCTGTCAGACCAACGTGTGCTCCGGAGTCGCCACGCAAGGAAAGGTTCGGAACTCACAGAGCAGTCCAACGGAACATCCCGCAATGATCGAGGGCAGCGATCGAGTTCGCGCATATCCAAATATGCCTCCTGAGGCCTTGTAAGAAGAATCACGATCAATCCGTGCTCTGCCAGGTGGGCCATCTTCTTGGAAATCTGGGTATCGACACATGTCGAGCTTGTCTCGCGTTTTTTGGGGTCACTTGACTTTGCGACCACCAGCTTCACTCACCGTCAAAGCCGCCAGGACATATGAAGGAGTTTCGAGACCCTAGGCCAGATCATTAGCTCGAATGCTCTCAGCAACTGCGCTGTCAGTCTCTCACCATTGTGATCGTGTTCCAAATCTTTGTGTTAAATCCAGTCCACGGTTTGGGGAGCTGCAAGCTTGCCGACAACTTTTACGATGATGTAGTGTGGATGATCGTCAAAGCTTCTTAGGCCTCGGGAACACGACCAGTGGGCCTCAATGTCCTTGATGATGGACATGATTGGAGATGACTCAGCAGTTGGTAGTGTCTGGACGGCATCTCACCCGAGGGTCGAGGGCCTGTCTAGGCGGCCCGTTCCCGCCGTTTGGGCCAAGCAGGAACTCCTCAGCCCAGCTTGCCCCCCCCCCCTTTACTATAGGCAGACCGGCCCTGGGATCTGTCAGCAATAATTGCGAGCATGCTGCCTACAGGCGGTGCATGATGGCCGTGGCTGCCTACCTGCGCGTCTGCCACACTGTCTCTGGGGCTGTGCAAAAGATACGAAGCACGGCGTCGCTACCAAGCCTGGCTTCAAGGGACCTCTAGCGGGTAATGCTGCCAGATTGAGCAGAGCTGTTTTCATACCAGATTAGATTTTTGTCCATGCCATGTTAAATCGACATGACCATCCATTAGACTCATTAGCCATAATTCAAGCCTTCCAGCAAGCATTCTCATATATACGCACACTGCGATCATATTTTATAGCATTCGAGCTCTCCCGCTACTAATTGGGATAGCACTGCTTGGACGACTGGTGGAAATCCTCGGAGGTCTCCGCCAGAGAGCCGGCCGTCTACGCCTATATCCAGCAATACTTATTCATCTGTCGCGGCCCAGTGCGACCGAACCATCACAAAGGAAACGCCTGGGGGTTCGAATGCTGATGGTTCAAGATACATTCATGATGCCATTATTTTTGGCAGAATCATTTCAAGGCCCCTGACAGGTGCTGCTGCGCTGACTTTTGAGGTGAAACTTGTGTGGATTACGCCTCGCAAAAAGCCTCATCCACTTTCAAATCATCAAATCGACGGAGCCACAAGCCTGTCCGCGCCACTGCATGGGGAACTGTAACCCGCAGCTTTGTCCACATGCACACACCTTTTCCACGCGGGGCTACAGACTTTTGTCAATGCTGCCAAGAGTCTAATGCAGCCTAGCAATGCTCGTCCCCAGACAGCAGGGACGAACGAGGGGTTTTTCTTGTTCTTTCTTCTTTTTTCTCTGGTGACCGATTAGCAAGAGCACCCCATAGTTCCCATATTAGTGCATGGCTTATTGCGGACTGTTATGTACATAGTATATACATGATCAGCAAATCACCTGCAGCTGTGTCCACAGCAAGCCTCAGCTGCAGTCGGGCGGATTTTGCCTCCGGTTTGCCCTTTCCTCCACTTCGTTCTCGAACAGAGAAAGAGGGCCAATCTTTGGTTCCTCACCCTCACCCCAGGACTGCAACCCTCCAAACACCCCCAAGCCCCGTTCGTCAGATCGCCAAGAAGCACTTCAGAATATCTGGACGTCACGACGCTTGTCATCGACTGGACAAAGAACTCGAAAATTTGTCTCGAAGGCTTAGTCTGATCCTCCTCCTCCTGCAGCTCAGCCCCCCCCCCCCGCCCCTGTTGGGTGTAGGCGTACCCATACCAATTGTTCACCAATGATTGGCAACTCGGTACACCAACGCCTCTGAATAAGCGCTGTCGCCGGTCTGTCATACTGACATAGGGGAACGCCTCGAGGGCCGCCCCCAAAAAAGATCCTGCCCTTGTCCTATCTCACCTCCCCGGTTCTCTTAGAATCTCAGACTGTTCAACTTGGATGCGGCTTATGATCCCACACTCAGACTTGAGTTGAACTCGACACTACCAGTCCCTTATTGCAAAGCGCACTGTCAGCCGATCTTTTCCCCCCTTCTTTGTCCTTTGGATTCCCCAATGAGAAGTTCTACAGCCACTGTGACTGGCATCTTCAAGCAACCGACGCCGCCAACTACGTACATTTGGGTGCCGGGCTATTATGAGCAGGGTGCCTATCCATCCTGTCCCAGGGTGACTGACTGACACATCCACATGCCCTCCTGGGTAACATCATTCTTCCTTACTTTCAAATAAGTACGCCTGCGCCCCAGAGGAGCCGGCTACTCTCACATGAAGACAATGTCGTCTTCGACCTTTGGCATTCATCCCTCTCTGCTTGACAAGAACAGCAGTGGGGATAGGACGTGGGCGGCTGCAGACCACGGAGTCGCTGATCACCCCTACTCAGGCCCTCAGCCAACGACGACGACGACCTCGTTGGCGACGACGTCTTTCACATCGTCCAACAACCTATCGCCCTACTCCCATGTTCATAGTAACTCAGCATCTCCCTCCCTCAACAACGCCAGCACGCCAGCAGACTCTTTGTCTGTTCTCAGCGAGCACTATTCCAGTGAACTCAGCGAGGACGCAGATCCGTTCTTGGGTGTCGACTTCAACGACGAGGACGGCAGCACACCCACTTTCCTTGGAGGCTCGGTAGGGGACTCGAGCGGTCACAGCGAGCCCTCCTACCCACAGACCGTGTCGTCGGGGCCAGACCATAATGCGCCCGACCCTCTCAGCTACCCTCTAAGCACAGGTCCCACCACGCCGTCCTTTCAAACGACATCTCCGACCTTTGGGCATGAAACCTCGCTGGCCTTGGGCCAGATCTCGCCCAGGTCCTTCTCACAAGCGCCCTCGAACCCGTCGGGGCTCGCCTCATCCGACTACTCTCTCGACCTGTCTGCGCCTCACCTGGGTTCCGAATCCAAAACGACGCTTTCTAGTGAAGACGGCATGGTGTTCACCACGGCCCCGAGTCCGAGCCCTCGGGTCCTCGTCTCCATGTGGGGACGGGACCAGTCTCAGGCCGACGAGCCCTTGCCTCCGGAAGACACGGAAAGCCCCTCGACTGTACGAGCCGGCATCGTGAGTACCGATGACAACTTCGTCTCGGCATCGTATCAGCGTTCAGATGCGGCTAGAGACGACTATGGGATATGGTCTGCTGGTCCCTCGACAGGGCCTCGTGGCTGGGGTCCAGAGATTCGCCCGTCCGCCGAGGGTCCTACCATGAACGAGATGGACACGCGCCGCAAGATTGCAGAGCGCAACAAAGACGTGGGTAGGTGGATCACCACGGCCACCGATGGCGGACAGCCTTCTGAGGTGGCTAGCCCGCCAGCCTTCGATTCTTCGACAATCGACGACGATGGTATCGCCCCGGGAGAGATTCCATTGGGCAGTAAGACTGAGAACAAACCCCTGCCTGATCAGGTTTATTATATGGAGGGAGGAGGCGCTCTCACGGAAGATCTGAAGCTAATGGGACAGCACCGTCTCTGGTCGGATGCGCCCACGGTATATCGCATCACCAAGGATGGTGCGGATCGTCAACAACCTGAGAGCTCAGACGCTGCAATGAAGCGCTTCGACCAGATGTGCCAGGAGACGGGCTCGGTCCTGTCGAGAGCTGCCACCTGGGGTACGCGCCGTCGAAGCCTGCCCAGCATCGCAGATATGGAGGGCATTACCAGCGGCAGCTTCTTGAAGAAGCTTTCTATCAGCCGAGACAGGAAGCCTAGTATACTGTTCAGGGAGCTCCGCGGATTGGTCAGGAAACCTAGCAACCCGCTACTCAAGCGCCATCGCACCGTTCCGGAGGAGGAGCTTGCAGCCGAGAAGGACGCTCAGGCCCGGCGCGAGGGTCGTGACACCCTCGCGCCGCCGCTGCCACGCGCCTCGAGTTGGACCAAGAAGCAGCAGCCGCCTTCTCTCAATACAGCCCTCATGTCTATGGCTACAGGCGCCGCCGCCATCGGTACGACGCATGCACGGAGCGGGTCGATCAGCAATATGACCTCGCCCAAGAGCCCCTTCAACTTGCAGGTGAGGGGTACTGTGCTGAAGCGGCCAAGGAGCAAATCCGATCTTCCCAATCGCGCCTTAGTGAAGGAAGAGTCCCACCCCAACCTGGTTGGGATGTGGAAGAAGAGCGGTGGCCCGCCTGTCGCACACTTGGCGAGAGGCACCGGCATTCCTGACCTGGACGATGACGATGAGGAGGAAGATGACCTGTACGATGAAGGTGACGTGAGGGCGGCGAACAGCAACATCATTGATGAGATCCCTCCCACCCTGGCCGGCTTCAGGCAACAGATCCTGAAGATGAATCCAAGACTGGCGGAACAGAACACGTTCCTCGTCGACCGGATCGCACATCAACAAGTCATACGCTACAAGACGCTACTGAACAGCAAGGTCAGACACCTTCAGCGGACTGCGGCTCACAACTGTCCCTCTGGACAGATGTGTCTTGAGCTTGGGGGCTCAGCAATTCCGTTCGACGTCAGGGGAGATTCCCGGGGCCTAGACCCCCTGAGCACAGCATACGACGTCGAGGACGCAGACGCCATCGCACCGGAAGGTGGAATCACGGCAGAGAGCTTCCCTGCAGATATCCCTATGCCACCCACCAACTCACTACCGGCAGAATTTGAATGCCAGCTCTGCTACTCGACCAAGAAGTTTACCAAGCCATCTGACTGGACCAAACATGTGCACGAAGACGTGCAGCCCTTCACCTGTACCTGGGACCGGTGCCGGGAGCCCAAGATCTTCAAGCGCAAAGCTGACTGGGTGCGGCATGAGAATGAGGGCCACAGGGTGTGTATTTCTCTTTTCACCGGTCATACATACATCGTTCTTGCACACAAGACCCATACTGACAACAGTCTGTGTTAGCACCTTGAATGGTGGACGTGCGATGTCGAGGACTGCCGGCACATCTGCTACCGTAGAGACAACTTCCTGCAACACCTTGTCCGGGAGCACAAGTTCATAGAGCCCAAGGTGAAAACAAAAGCTGCCGTGAAGCGGGCAGGCGCCCACGATCCCACGTGGCAAAAGGTTGAGAAGTGCCACACAGAGACACGGAGCAGGCCGCAAGAGGAGCCATGCCGCTTCTGCGGGAAGACGCTGCAGACGTGGAAGAAGCTGACGGTCCACCTGGCAAAGCACATGGAGACCATGAGCCTACCAATCCTGCGGCTCGTGGCCAGAGCGGAGCTGCACGCCGACACCATCATCAGTCCCGTATCCGATCCACCTCCCAGGACGTTCCCACCGGTCCAGTCAGAGCAGCAGCCCTTCAGCGTATCGCCGAATCCTGGCCACTCTCCCGCCATGACACAACAGTCCGGTGGCCTGGCCTACCCGAGCACACAACACCACTCGTACACCTATACCCCGTCAGCTGGCTTCCCGCCCTTTTACAGCACCTCGATGCAAGAGCTGCAGCAGCCCAGCGGTCTGGGTCTTGGTCTCGGTCTCCACAGCCAAGGACTGCCGACTGCTTATCAGACACAGACGGGATACCAGCAGCCTCTTACTGTAACGACAGCCTCGTACATGCCCACCTCCCCATATATCACCACATGCATGGCCCAACAGATAGAACCCTTCCCGGCCTATATGAACGCTCTGGGACTGCAGGATGCTTCTGGCACGCAGATGTACGACACCACGGCGCTGACCCCTTCCAGTGTCGGAGGGCAGCAGCAGCAGCAGCAGCAGCAGCAGCAGCAGCAGCAACGGCAGCAACAACAACAGCAACAACAACAGCAACAACAACAACAACAAGCAGCGCAGTACAGCCATCATGGCTCCGCATCGCCGTACTCACGGTCGCCTCACCAAGGCCAAGGTGCCTTCTTCCACCAGCACTGATGGTAATGCCTGTGAATCTGAACCTGATTTCCTTGGTCTCCTTTTACATATATTCCTATGTTTAGATACCCAATGTCTATCTTGGCGCTGCTATTCTCACCGCTGGCGACGCTTGTCGCCAAGGACCCTTTTAAGAGAGGGGGGCGAATTTTTCTTTCCTTTTTCCAGTTTACTGTACAGCGTGAATGTTTTCGTTCTATTTTGGCAATTTTTGTGGGGTCTTCTTTTTTTCCTTTCTTTCCTTCTTGAATACTGTTCCGGCGTACCAATCACCTGGCGTTTTGTCCTCCATGGGATTTAGATTTGGTCTTGGAAGGGACAAGACCTCGCATTGCGCGGCGTGTTCATGATTGGTGTATTCGACGCGGGATACGTGAGCGAAGAGGTGGCAAAGATGACTTGGACAGCGATTTTAAGCGAGTATAGTGCCCAATAGACAAATGAATTCACGACCACACACCCATTCTCTCTCAACAAGATTGTGCAGTGTGGTTTTCATGAGCCTTCCCCCCGGCCTTGTACCTGCATGCAGGATTACGTGATCATCATGCAAGTCAGCAAGGGGCAGGTAGAAAAAAAAGGGGACCTCTACTGCTTGCGGATTGGGATCGATACGAGGATGCAGGTCCCGAAAGCATGGGACAGTACTACATAGTACATACATAATAGTATGTAAGGCTGTCTCTGACCCTCCCCCGGAGAGTTTTCGTATCGGGCTATATGTAGGATGATGCAGAAGACATTCCGGGTGTCCGCTTCTCCCCTCCCCCCTGTGGACGTGATGTACGTGTAATACAGTAAGCATCCCGAGAAGTAGGTGATTGATTGATGGATCCATGCCACAGCGCTGATCATGGCCTGTGAGCGAGCGAGGTCCGACGCCTGACAGACGAGAAGCGGAAGGGAAGAAAGCATCGGTGGACAAGTGGCACACTGCTGCCCCGGGAAACCTTCTCTCTTCTCTCTCCCTCCCTCCTACGTGGTCCTTCTCCACTGGCCCTTTCAATTTTTATATTTTTTCCTTTCCTTTTTTGCTTCCTCGTTACCCATCTTTTCATCAGTGCAGATCCTTCGGCAGGATGGAGAACTCTTGACGAACTATCGGTTCTGTTTACTCCCCACTCGCGGGGCCAGTGCGAGGAGAGAGAGGAGAGAGACAAACAGAGCGAGAGATCTGCGCAACAGGTTTTTTTTCTCTCCTGGGTCGAGACTCGAGATGGTTACTTAAAATAACAAACGGTTGACTCGGCATTATCGATCTTCGAGAGACCTGGGCGGTATCGTTCACTTCTTGCGTTATCTACGGGCATAAATTACTCTTTTGTATGGTACCTAGCATGGCACACACATACTATAATTACTCCTCTGTGGTACGTAGTATTTGCATGGACTGGGGGAAGAGGGGGGGGGGGCGAGGCAGGGAATGGATAGATTGAAGCGGATATTAAATAGTGCCCTGGAATTATGCTCATGACTGAACTTAAATTTCGAGAGCTCCACGTCATATCCCAGCAGCAGCAACAACAAAACTCGAGGAACGTGCAAAAAAAGGAACAAGAAATATAAGCAGAGAAGAAGGTGGCTTTGTCGTCTCGAAAAGAGGCAGGCATGGCGCCCGTGGGGTCAGGCAATGAGGCTGTGGAGGGAAAGGGGGGGGGGGAGGAGAATGTGCCATGGTTGCTCCTCGGGATTCTTGATCAGGTTTTTGTCTGCCCCTCTCGTGTTGTACCAGTAGGCGGAACCACCCTTCGCATTAAGAGAAGCCACTGATCTTCATAAGCTCTCGTCGGTTTGGGAAATGCAGGCGTGAGCCGCGCCACAGGGGAGCGACTGGATCATCAACCTGTCAGTTCATGCGTCCGACATGCTTTCTTTCATGCTCGTCTGTGCTGATCCGATCAACCGGGAGATCTGCTTTTCACGAGAGTTTAAAAAAAAAAAGGAAGAAGAGGGAGGCGAAGAGAAAAGAGAGAAAGAAAGAGAAGAGAAGGAGCTGGGGGCGGGGGCTATGGTTCGTGTGGTGTTCTAGAGAAGGGACGTTGGTCAAGATTCCCGGGAATAGAGACGCCTTCCTTACTGGCTTACCGGGCCCTTATCTTGAAAATTCAACGGAGGCACAAGAAGAGCCGTGGATGGCTCTTTCTTTTTGCGACTACTTTCCCTCCCAAGGTGGACCTGTGCCGGTGTCGCGTCGTGAGACGTTGTACTTAGTATACTCACCCATTGTACTGTGTAGTACTGACGTGGTGGAATGAGAACATCAACACGGCTCTAGACCTGCATGGCCCAACAACCAGCAATAAGATCTACACGCACACAATTTCTCTCTCCCCCTCTTCTTTTTCTTGTTTCTCGTTTCTTTTCTTCTTTTTCTTTCACCTTCCCCTTCTTCTCTTCCTACCTCTTTTCCCATCTGCCTTTATCACTTTCTATCTACTATAACATCTCTCAAATGACTGGCCAGGTTTGCCCCAGGACATATTGAAAGAAAACAAAAAAGCCCCCCCTCCTCCCCCCTTCTCACGGCGGTTTCAAAATTAGCGGTCCAGTGAACTTCCAATGGCGCCGGTACTAAATTCTCGGCTTGAGATGGGACGTCGTCCCTGCTAGCCAATGGCACAGCCTCAAGGGCCGTGGATCCGTTTTCTCACGCATGGGGGCAATACTGCCCCTGAAAGCCGCGGTCTTCAGCGGGTGTGTTTCGTGTGGGGGCAGCTTAGGGTACCCCTGGTCAATGGAGTGTAATTGGGAAATCAGGGGTCTGGACCTTGTGGGGCACAATTCGTCTAGCCTCTCGTCCGTCTTACCTTCTCTCTTGCTCACTATCTCTCTCTGCTCTCGTGTTTTTGTTGCTTGTTCTCCACTTGGGTTTTCCGGGAAGAGGAGAGAAAGAAGAGGGGGGAAGAAGGGAAAGAGACCAAAGAGAGAGATAGAGAGAGACGCACAGAGAAAAAGCATTCGAGATACCGTCTCGTATCTCGGGGTGGCACAGCGCACAGCCACACAAGGGGCCTTGCGTCCAGCAATGCAGCCCTTTTCAGCATCTACCCCAGTGGTCTCTCGGACTCTCTGTTTTGTCTGTTTCGTCTGTCTCGCTGTTCTCAAGAAACGCTGCTGCTATCATACCACATCAGCCTAGTACTGTACTATGGTGCATGGCCCCCCCCCCCCCCCCGGCTCACCCTCGACGCCCCTACCCCTACCCTACCCTTCTGGTGGGGAGAGAACGGGGCGCCGACGGGCAGACGAGTGGGTCGTTCATCTGGAAGCGCTGCCCAGTTCCAAGTGATGGTTTCCATGACGGGCTTGTCTGGTTGGTTGGGCACACCACGGCCGTCCCACTGCGATTGCGACTACGACTTGCGACATGCGTGGGCAGAACAGGGCAAGGCAATCAGGCACAAGCAAACAAAGGGCCCTTGCTGGCGCGATTGGCTGGCTGCTTGGCTGGCTGGGCGGCCCTGGCTGGCTGGCTGGCTGCTGCTGCTGCTGCTGATGCTGCCACTACTGCTACGCTGCCCACACCCCCCCCCCCAAGGTGGGCGCATATTATCGTTGCTGCTACTACGGTACGCCAGGTACGAGGCGAGGCGATTCGTGCTCGAGCCACCGGGGGGCTCAAGGGGCACCCACGACCATGCAGGAGCTCTGCCCATCTCGCCAATGGGAGCTCAATTTCATGTCCCAAGGGGCCTCCGCCAGGACCGTTCGAACCTCAATCCTCTTGTCCCTTTTCCTCCTTTCTGCCTTTCTCCGACACTCTCTAACGACCGCTGATCCATTCATTCTGTCTTGTTCAAGTCCAAGTCACATCGTGGTTCTCCTTCCACTCGTTGTTGTCAAACCATCTGACATCAAGCCACCTGGGACACCACACCCCCTCTTCCCTCTTCCCTCTCTTTTGGAGTCTGCGTTTGGTCTGGAAAGACAGACTCTCCTCACAGCCACATTCTAGTCTGTTGTTGAGAATTGTCGCCTCACCTCCTTACTCCGTACGCTCGTTTCACCTTGCCACTTGGGCTTCTTGTCTCTCTCCAAGTTTTCTCGCCTTGTCCCCTTCCTGACGTTAGCTCATGACTTCTCTGCTCGACCCGTCTTCCTCCTATAGCTCTCGACAAAGGTAGAAGACACGCCTGTGGTCTACCCCCTTCTTCCTCCCGACATCACCATCCATCGACATACAGCCCGGTCCTCGTCACCGCCAACATTCTTTGTCATACGGCAGGATACCTGCATCGTTTACCTTCTTCCCCAGGTTGACCCTCGGCCCTTCCATTGAAAGAAAAAGAAGAAAAAAAAAAAACCCCCCACAGGATATAACTTGATTTTGTATTGTTCACACACCGATCTGCTCTTCTTTCTTCCCGACTGGTATCGAGTGCTTCTTTCAACACGTATCCACCTTTTTAATCACGCTCCAAAAAATCGGACAGAACAGTCATACCGAACGCATTTTCTAGACTCGACAGCGCTATCTGGATCCTTGATACCCATAGAGGGAGGAAACCCGAATCGACTCGAGAGTAGGGCATTTAGGAGGATTTGAAAGAGTACGCGTACCCCTGGTCTACAAAGTGGAACCGTGGGATACAAAGAACGAGCGAAGCAGCAACAGCATCACTATCATCAGCAGTGTTGGCCGAGGAAGAGGCGACTCAGCCAGAAGTCGTCGACACCATTCCTCTTTGTTTTCTCTCTATTTTCTTTGGGGCGGACCCAACGAACCACACCAATGGCGCGGACAACAATATGGGCCGCGGCCGTGGCGGCCGTGGCGTTCACAAGGGGGGCTCTGGCAGCGGACGTCCTGTCAACCTCAGGTTTCACAAATTGCGAGACGGGCTCATCAATCGAGGTGAACAAGGTCGACATCTCGTACGACAAGACCGCCATGACCGTCACCTTTGACCTGTCGGGAACGAGCACCGTGGAGCAAAACGTTACGGCACAGCTCAACGTGACCGCATATGGCTACAGTGTCTACTCAAGCTCCTTCAACCCATGCGAGGCGACCACATACGTCGAGCAGCTATGTCCTGGTGAGTGCTTGTCACGTCTGATTTGAGAAAGCATTTGGATTTTCGAGTACTGACAGCGTATGAAAAAGTCCCTGCCGGCACATTCTCAGCAAGCGGCACGCAAAGTATCTCTTCGCAATATGCTAGCCAGATTCCAGCTATAGCGTTCACTATTCCTGATATCGCGGCCTCGGCCACACTGGAGCTCAAGTCTCTGGATACTGGCGATGATGTCGGCTGTATCAGCTCTCAGATCTCCAACGGCAAGACCACTGCCATCTCCGCCGTCTCCTATACCGCTGCCGCCGTTGCGGGTGTGGCGCTGGTCATGAGCGGCTTCACGGCAGCTAGTTCGGCACTGGCCGGTGGAGGTGCGTCGACCGGCGCAGGCCCCAGTCCCAGCTTCATCGAGGTCATGACCTGGTTCCAGGGCATGGCCATGAACGGCATGTCCTCCGTCGGCCTGCCCTCGGTCTACCGCCAGTTTTCCAAGAACTTCGCTTTCTCTGTCGGCCTCATCAACTTCGAGAAGATGCAGCTCGCCATCGACGACTTTCGCCAGGCCACCGGCGGGAACACCACCGACGATAGTGTGCAGTACTTGCAGAACGCGACCCTCGTCTTCTCGGATGGTTCCATGGAGACCCTCGGCAGCGACTCCAAGGTCAAGCGCGCCATGGCCGAGTTCTACAACTTTGTTGCCAGGGAAATCACAACCAGCGTCGACACCAACGACACCACCACCACCAACACCACCACCAGCTCGAACAGCACCAGCTCCGTTACGGAGACCGTAAACGGCATCAAGGCCTACGTCGAGGACCTGAGCATCCCTAACGCCAACACCTTCATGACGGTGCTCCTCATTGTGGCATGTGTGATGGCAGCCATCATCCTCGTCATCCTGCTGATCAAGGTCGTCCTCGAGGCCTGGGCCCTCTTCGGAAAGCTGCCCAAGGGCCTGACCGGTTTCCGCGAGCACTACTGGGTGACCATGGGCCGCCTCCTCACCCAGCTCATCATGCTGCTCTACAGCACCTGGGTGCTCTACTGCATGTACCAGTTCATCCAGGGCGACTCGTGGGCTGCCAAGCTCCTGGCCGGTCTGACCCTGGCCCTTTTCACGGGCGTGCTCGCCTTCTTCGCCTACAAGGTCACCAGCACGGCCAAGAAGCTCCAGCAGGCCGACGGCGACGCCAGCGGCCTGTACGAGAAAAAGGACCTGTGGATCAAGTACAAGGTCTTCTACGACAGCTACAAGAAGTCCTACTGGTGGCTCTTCATCCCCGTCATCTGCTACATGTTCGCCAAGGGCGTCGTCATGGCCGCCGGCGACAACCACCCCATGGGCCAGAGCATTGCTCAGTTCATCGTCGAGGCCTTCATGCTTATCGTCCTTGTCTGGAACAGGCCCTTTGAGCGCAAGTCTGGCAACGTCCTCAACATCAGCATCCAGGTCGTCCGCATCCTGTCCGTCATCTGCATCTTTGTCTTTGTCGACGAGCTCGGCATCCAGGAGACCACCAAGAGCGTCGTGGGCATCGTCCTCCTCGTCATCCAGGCCGTTCTGACCGGTATCCTCGCCATCATGATCATCTGGAACGCCTTCATCTCCATCTTCAAAGAGAACCCTCACCGCAAGCGCAGAAAGGAGATGGGTAAGTTTGAACTCCCACTAACATGATGGAATCCCCGACCCCTTCCGGGGAGGCCATCAAATCGTGACCAAGTTGCTGACGAGATGATTTTTTTTTTTTTCCTACAGAGAAAATGCGTGACCTGGACAATCTCACACCCCTCGACGCCCGCAACTCCCTACTCCTCGATCGCAAGACCTCGCACCAGGACTCCGATACCTTCTCCTTGGCCAAGACGAACCTCGACGTCAAGGAGACCAGCTACCAACCCCTCGTGCACCACGCTGCGCCACCGGCCTTGGGCGGCGACGACAACCTCGGCCGCTCATCGCCTGGTCCGTACGATAGCAGCTACGGCAACTACTCCTCTGTGCGCGGTGGCTACGACAACCGGTTAGGCGGAGCCCGAAACAACTATTACTAGAATGTAATAGCTGCTACGGGGGAAAGGCGGCCAAAGTGAAAAAGGGGGAGCAGCGCGTCACCTTTTTTTCCTTTTTCCACCCCTTTGTTTCTTTTAACTTATTCCTTCACCATCATTTGGTTGAGCATGTTTGGGGTCGATATCGCATTGTTTGGGATCTAGACCAAGGTTTTTTTTCTTCTTTTTGGAATACTCCGGCCCAGGCCTCAAACCAACATCTGCTTGATCTGTCCTTCCTTTGTTCTTATATCAAATTCCTTCGTCACATATATAACCCACCCCCAACGATTGCGATGAATATGTGTGTTACTTTGTTCTGTTTTTTTTTCCTTGCGGGAGGATGGGGCTCGACCATTTAACCTATATTAAACAACCCCCCCTTCCTTTTCCATCTCCCCATCCCCGGGGGCATCTCTTCAGCCCCATATACCACGGGGGTGGGGGAGAAAAAAAGATGCTGGGTCGAGAGAGGAGAGAAGAGTTGCATGGGTTGGGCTTGCTAGAGAAAGTGGACAGGATTGTTGTTGGCGGTGATGTTGTAAAGGTAGAGAGGAGTGATACAGCGAGCGTGTGTGATATGACACGGACCTTGCACATATAATCTTGGGCTAGAATTGCAATACACTTTCTCCAAAAGTTCCCAATACATAATTATTACCTATGTCATATGTCCCTTGGCAAATGAAAAAAAAAAAAAAAAAGCAGTAAAAACAAGATACATTCTTCGGGGTGTTTGAAGTTTAGTTTCGGGTATGGGAAGAGTTCATCCGAAGTCAAGATCTTCGAGCAACCAACGTTCCGTACGTTTGTTCGTGTTTCGGACTTGCTCATGGCCTTGTCACAAGATTCAGCGCTAGGAATGTTGGTTCATGGTTGATTAAATTGATGCCGAGATGCCTCATGTTCTTTTTTGAATTAATACACTACTATGTTCGCCAAGCATGCATCCCCTTGGCCGCAGGGGATTTTCTATACGAAGCAGGCCAACAAGATCACGTTATCTGTTACGCGTTCCTCAAGAGTCTGTGGGGGGGGGGGGGGGGCCTGTCTGTTGCGCACCATCTGTGTACTGTCTCGGCGTCTGAGAGAGGGAAAACTTTGAACAAAAACAGCTGGCGTTGACCCAACCCCATCTTAAGTAATCGTGTATCTTCCACTCGCCGGCGCACGACTCTCTGCGTCCGCCGCAGCGATTGTGCCCTCCTTGAGTAGCCGTGTAAGCTCCGTAAGCGCGTTGCTGACGACCACCTCTGTGTCGCCCTCGATGAGGATGTAGAGCTTCGGCTCTTGGCCCTGAGCAGGCTCCTTGCCCGCTGCGTAGAAGTTGCCCTTGGTGGTGATGGATGTGCCAGTCGCCTCCAGGATCTTGGCCACGTTGGTCCTGTTCGTGACCGCCCACCTGGCCTTTTGCGGGAAATCGTTGATCTCAAGCGTGGCGTGGAATGCGCCGGCATCTGGACCCTTGTTGTCGATCGGCTGGCCAGGTCGCAGCTGGCCGGCGCGTGCAAGACGTGCGTTGATGTCGTTGACGGCCTGCGCCGCTTTGTCAAGGGCACCGCCCTTCGCAGCCCCTGCCTTGATGACGTCGGGGGCAGGAGCCTTGCCATCTTCGGCCTTGGCCGCGTCGCGGGACACGATGGCCGAGACTGCTGACTGGATCGCATTCGCCGCCTTGTTCTTCTTCTCATCGTTCGCAGGCGCTTCCTCCTTCTCGTCGTCTTCCTCACCTTCGGCCTTGTGCGTCTTGCGCTCGCGCACACGTGCCGCCTCACGCTCCTTGTCCAGACGCTCCAGACCTTTGCCGCCAAAGCCAGATTGATCCTTCGCTTTGCCGGCTTTGACCTTTTCTCTCCAGGCCTTGCGCATCTGGTCAAGCCGCTCAGGGACAGGCTGACCACTCTGCTCCAATGCCTTTGCAATGCCCGGCGCGCAGTTCTCTTGCTCCTCCGTGACAAAGGTCACGGCGGTACCTGTATTACCGGCCCGACCAGTGCGACCAGCACGGTGGACATAGTCTTCCAGATGATTCGGCGCATCGTAGTTGACCACAAGCTTGAGCTGTTTGACGTCAAGACCACGGGCTGCTACCGAGGTGGCGATCATGACAGGGCAGACTCCGCTCTTGAAGTCTGAAATTGTCGAGTCTCGATCGACCTGGTCTTTGCCGCCGTGTATGGACATGCAGCCATAACCTTTGCGCAGAAGCTCACGGAGTAGGTCGTCTGCCTTTTCTTGTCGCTCAACAAAGATCAAGGCGCGTACATCATCGTCGTCCTTGTATAGTTCTCCAAGAAGCTCCAATAGGCGCAGGAACTTGTCCTTCTCATCTCGAACCTCCACAATCTGAGTGATCTCAGGAGCTACGACACTCTTGCCGCCAACGGTGATCTCCACAGGGTTCTTCAGGACCTTTTTTACCAAAGCGTCAATAATGCGCGGCATGGTCGCAGAGAAGAGAACAGTCTGGCGATCAGGTCGCACGTTGGCAAAGATCTTCATCACCTGAGGTTCAAAGCCCATGTCGAACATACGGTCAGCCTCGTCCAGAACAATGTACGTTGTGCGCTTGAGGTTCACGACTCGGCCTTGGTTGGCTGCCAAAAGGTCGATGAACCGACCAGTCGTCGCAACGACGATGTCGGCTCCCGCTTTGAGCAGGGCTATCTGGTCCTTGATTGGAGGTCCGCCATACGCACAAACAGCACGCAGATTCAGCGCCGAGAGGAATGGTTTGCAGTCTCGGAAAATCTGTGTCGCAAGCTCCCGAGTCGGCGTGAGAATCAGACCAATCGGCCCATCATCTTTGACCGGGTCTTGGTCTTTGATGTGGCGGAACATGGGGAGCAGGAAAGCCATAGTCTTGCCAGATCCTGTCTTGGCGACGCCGATGACATCCCGACCAGACATGATGACTGGCAGAGCCTGCATCTGAATGGGGGTTGGCTTTTCGTACCCCAGATTATCAACGACATTCAGGAGAGGCTGGGTCAAGCCGCAGTGGGACCACTTCTGAACCGGCTTTGGCACGTCCTTGCCCGAAACCTTGATGCCATCTAAGTCTAGACGGAGTTCCTGGACCTCGGCATCCGTCATCTGACTGAGCTCGTAGGGCTCGAACCAAAAGTTCTTCCTGATGGTGTTGAGCTCAATCTTGCTGTAGTCAATGGCGGGGATATCCTTTTTCTTCTTCTTTGCGGCAATAGCGAGAATCGAGCCAGGGTTATCGTCCCCCTTGTCCATGTAGTCAAATTCGTCGTCCGAGAAGTAGACCTCTGGTTCCTTTGTCTGGGCATCCATGATCTTCTTGCGACCACTCGCCTTGGTGGCGGGCTGGTCTTCAAGCCCTCCCATGAAGGCATCCAAGGGGTCAACGTCTTCTTCATCAACATCCATGGGTTCAACATCCGCTCCGACCTCAGCTGCGGCCGGCAGGTCAGGCTCGGGCGCCTGCCCGTTTGTATCGGGGGCGGCGGGCTTCTCCTCCTCTGCCTCGTCAACCTGCATGGCCATGCTCTGCTGCAATATCCTCTCTTCGCGTCGCTCATGAGCTGCTCGAGCAGCAGCCGCCGCCTCCTCCTCCGTGCCGGCAAAGTTGTCACCGTCCAAATCGGATTCGTCCTCTTCGTTAGCAAAGGGTGCAGCATCCGCCTCTTCCAAAGATAAGTCAGGAAGTTTTGCTAACTTGCGCTTCGACGTTTCCTCATCGTCCAACACCAACTTCCGCTTGGCCGCTGGTTTGTCGCCGTCGAGACCTGTCTTCTGAAACCCGAACCTGCTGATTGCACTGCCGGTGCGTAGCGTAGATGCTACATGTCCTCTGTCAGTATGTGATTTCACGTATGCCAAAGATGGGCGCTGAGCGGCCAGCTGGAGAGGGTACTCACCTGCTGAGGCGGTGCTCTTGACTGGTTTCTCAGAAGATGGTGTTGGGGCACCTGGGATAGCGCCTAGAGCCGCGGGAGAATGGTGGCGAGCCGCCGACTTCTTCGCAATGGCCTTGGGGTCGAATTTGCCCGTATAAGACACAGTCGGAGACGCCTCCTGGCTCTCTTGCGGCGTGCTTGGAGAGGCAACAGCAGGGGTGGCCAGAGGCGAGGGTATGGCAGTCGGAGTACCGCTGGCCCTGCCGTCCATCTCGGCGAGAAGTTTGCGTGTGCTGCTAGCATCTGTATCCTTGGTGGCCTGCTTTGATGTGAGGGTCTTCTTTTTCCAAGCCTCAAGTTTAGCAAGTCGTTCGGCTTGTTTGTCACTCTGTGCTTGAGCTTGGGTTTGTGCGGACTTAGCGGCCTGTCGAAGATGGTCAGCACGGCGAGTACGACAGAGAGGACACTCGAGAGGGGGAGGGGAGAGACCAACTTCAGCTTCTTTGGTGGGAGCAGCTTTGCCAGTGGAGGTCGTGCCCCTCTGCCGAGCATCATCATTCCTGCTCCGCGATGTCACCGAGTCCACAGTGTCTTCTCGACGGCTGCGGCCCGGAGACTCATCCCTCCTGGGGCGAGCATCGCGGCTCCTCTCACGGCGACGGGGCGGGGATCTGTCCCGGGAGCGGCGCCTGTCCCTGTCCCTGAACGAGCCTCCATCTCTCCGCCCGCCCCTACTGTAACTGTCGTCTCGATCCCGCCTGTCTATTGAGCGTTCCTGGCGACGGTAAGAATCTCGGTCCCTGTCGTACGAGTCTCGATATCGACCTGGGCTGCGGCTGCGACGACGATCTCGGGCCATGTCCCTCCTGCCCCTGTCGCGGTCGCGATCACGATCCCGTCTATCGTCATGGCGGCTTCCTCGGCTTCCTGCAGGAGATGGTGAGCGCGATGTTCTGTGGCGAGCCATCTTCGTATTTTTGGCTGGCTCAGCACGGTGAGTATCAGTACTTTTTTTTCTTCTTGCTTTGCTTTTTCTGCCTTGGCGGGCAGAACCTAAACGAGTCAGAAGAGCTCGACACAGGAATGTCTCGGTCAGGTCTGTGTCTCCGCAGGTCGACTTTTGCCCTGAGCCGACGTCAGACCTAGAAAACGTTTGATGTGAAACAACGTCCACCAGAGAGGATATGGACACTGCGCAGAAAGGCTAATGGTCGACAGAAGGACGTTGTTGCGATAGACAGATTTATTGAAAGTGGGACGTCAATGGCGGACAAGGCACCATGGCGGGATGGGGTCCCGCGTGCTGCTTTCTTGCATGGCACAAGGGGGTGGAGCCAGCCACTGTCGAACGTTTTGGCAGAGACGGTAAGGACCCGTTTTGGATTCACCGTCTTGCCCCTAGGAAGTTTTGCCGAAACGGTCATCGCCCATTGCGACAGAGGTGGGTCCGCTAAGGGCTGAAGAGCAGCCAATCATGAAGCTGTCCAGGAAGGAGCTTCATGCGTCACATCACCAAAAGCAGCCAAGCAGAGGAAGAAGCAACACTGCTAGCAAGAACCAGCCCTTGCTTCCCCCCCCTCCCCCCCAAGGGACAAAGAGTTGGCAGTAGTCACCCCCCAAAGCAAAGTCTCAGGCTAACAAACAGTAGGCCGCAATAACACAACCACGCAATAAAACCAGGGGCTGGGTCAGGAGCCCCAATAGCATAGCATAGCATAGCAAAGCAAAGCACCCTCGACCCTCCCCCCGGCCCACTCCCATTCACAGTCCGCATTACAGGGCAGGGCAGGAAGGAAAGAGAGAAGGTCTCGCAACACCCCAACCCAATCATCAGCTCCACTCTTCCATTTCATTCATCAATCAACTTCACACCTCGTGCCCCTCCCTCTCCACATCACAGCAGCAGTGCAATCGATCGATTCTTCGCTCGCCCACCCTCAAACATCGTACACCCACGCCACCCACCAGCAATCGCCTGCTCCCTTACCATCATGCTGATGACTACCATGCAATCTGCGGTGGCCCAGGCCCTGCGCGGCTGTGGTCTCACCATCACCTCGCGTGCCATCGTCGCCCGCCGGAGCTTCCTGGTTGCGCCCAGCTACAGCAGGGCTCGTCTCGCCGTCCGAGGGTACGCCACGGCGACCGCGACCCAGAAAGCCACAACTACGCGTGCCGCTAAGAAGCCCGCGGCCAAGAAGACCACCACCACCACCACCCGCAAAGCTGCAGCTGGCACCACCAAGAAGGTGGCCGCGTCCAAGAAACCCAAGGCAAAGGCCAAGGCCAAGGCGCCTGCCCCGAAGAAGAAGAAGGTGGTGGACCCAGAGAAGAAGAAGGCTGAGCTCAAGAAAGAGCTCAAGAAGATAGCCCTTCTCCACAAAGAGCCCAAGAAAGAAGCCCTCAACAGCTGGCAGGTCTACCTCTTCGACCACATCAAGGGCGACAAGACCCTCGGCAAGGAAAACTTTGGTCCCAAGCTCAAGGAGCTTTCCGCTGCCTACAAGGACCTCCCCGCGGCTGAGCTTCAGGTAAGCCGTCCTGCGCTCCACGTGCTCGTCATGCATCATTCGCGTTTGTCCCTCTTCCATACTGACCCCCTCGATAGCGCCTCGACCAGCGTTCTCAGCAGAACAGGATCAAGAACGCCGCCAACTACAAGCAGTGGGTGGAGAGCCACTCGGTCGCTGATATACACGCTGCGAACAATGCCCGCCGGCGCCTTATCTATAGCTTTGGCATGAAGCTCACCCCCAGCAAGATCGTTGACGAGCGTAAGCCCAAGCAGCCCGCGACCGCCTTCAGCCAGTATATCAAGTCCAGAAACGGCGTCTTCGCCACCGGCAACGCTCGCGACAACATGAAGCAGCTGAGCGCCGAGTGGAGGGCACTCTCGCTCTCCGATAGGAAGCCGTACTCGGACCTCTACGCTGCAGAGGCGGTCAAGTACCGGCGCGAGCAGGAGAGAGTCGGTCTGTGAGACGAGCGGAGGTAATCATGCGGGAAACCAGTATACCTTAGGTGGTTTGAAGAAGAAAAGGAAAAAAGAGAAGAGTAAACTCTCGGGACAAGCTCGCTTGCTCTCAAAAAAAATCAAAAAAATCAAAAAAATCAAGGGGTCATCGTCCGTCTTGAGCGATCCGACTGCACGTATTGTGGCTGGTTTTGAGTAGCTTTTGGAAGGTTCTTGCGGTATCCATGTACGAATAGTATTCATCGATTTCTTTCTACGACAGTTGGTTCATCTGGACTAGAGGTGTTTCCTTTCTTTATCTCCTTTTCTTTTTCTCTTCTTCTTTTCGTTATGCGGCTACGGTAGATGAGTGTCGGCGACTTTATGAGCTTAGGACCATCAACAAGTGTGAAACCTCATTTGTCAAGACCAAACAGTAAATTTCGGATGACGATGCTGTCGCATGATCAATACAATATCATGGAAGGGAATGCATTGATTCAAACGCCTATGCCATATGCTAATTCGGATTTTGCACCAAACAATGCTGAGCCGCCACACCATTATTCATGCAACGTCCAAAAGACGTCAGCAAGTGGTGTCCAGTTCGTTGCCAACAATCAATCCAAGATGCTCTTATTGCCCCTTGGCCCCATGATGACCAGTACCTCCCCAGCACCATCATACCAAGAGACCTCCATGAGCTTCAGGCGGCGGTAGCTCGCCACGTACAGGAGGATATACAGCTCCCCCGCGATGTGCTCCCACCCGTAGAGCCGGATCCAGCGCCAGCCCCCGTCTCGACACGCCCTCGTGCCCCAGCCCGCCCCGTTGTCGCGACGGATGAAATTGCCCAGAAACCCCCACGTCTCGACCTTGGCCTCGTGGGGCCACCCGTCCATGTCCAGCGCCCAGTAGCCCCGCTCAAACGGCTGCATCTCACGGGCCTGGAAGTGAGGCCTGTAGCGGTTCTTCATGCTGAACTTCTCGCAAAAGTCCTGCAGGTAGACTGGGGCACGGGGCTCGAGCCTGTGGTTGGCTGCGGGCGGCTCCGCCGAGACCAGCTCGACAGTGTCGCTCCAGTCTGTGTTCTGGAGCCCGGCGCCGGCGGCCATGTTGTCCGGCTGGCCGTGCCGGGAGAGCATGAGCTGCTTAGCTCCCCGTGGCAACACGTCACTGATGCTCCGGCTCAGGGCCTGGCCCACTGCTATGGGAGGGTTCGGTTTATGTCGCTTGGACAATGGCGGTGCAGAGTCTGCTCGCTCGAGAGGCTGGGTAGAGGGTATGATGACATCGTCAACCACAGACCTCAACTCTTGGCTCGACTGCGCGGGATATGGTGACCTGACTCTCGACTCTTTGGAGAATGAGAGTTGAGGCGGTGGAGCACCTTTCAACTGCAGCGGGCTTGACGGCACTTGCGTCACACGGACCTCATCAGGACCGCCATCTGAAGTCAAGATGGACTCTTGTTCCACAGCAGGTGCTGGCGGATTGCTGCCATCTTCATTGCCATCCTCAGCTACAACACCATCATGGGCAAGCGCCATAGTCACATCACCTATCCCTTCATCAAAAGTGCTTTCTCTTGTCCCCACAACTTCTTGTGATGATTCTGACAAAGGTTGGTGCATCGTCTGCAGATAGTAGTTCAACACTCTGGTCGGAGTAGTAAAGGCAGCCATGCTGATGTCGTTGTCAGGCATCGAGTCCTCGACCTCGCTGGGCGGCTGAACCCATGAGTCTTGGGACTCGGATCCATGCTGCTGTGAAGCACTCTGTCCATACTCTTGCGAATGCGATCCTGCTGCCGAAGGCCTAATGTTTCCCCAGACACTTCTGAAAGAGGCTTGTGGGGATTCTAGCTCAGCAGCAGGCGGTGCAGCATGGATGTGTGATAATGCCTCAGGTGCAGCAGCCAGTTCCGTCTTTCTGTCTGGCACAAAGTCTAGGTAGGCTGATGCCAGTGCTCTGTAGGCTGCATCATCTTTGGAGGTGCTGGGTGCAGTGATGTGCACCAGTATCTCGACTTCCTTGGCCATCTTGGTTGTCTGCCAGAAAAGTGAATGTCATCGCTCATATTGTATGGTGGTGAGAGCCTTGTGAGCTGTGCATGGATGGGAGCAGATTAGTCGAGTGGGAATGATGAGCCAGCATCTGCTTGTATAATGTGTAGTCGTGTGTGGTCATCAAGGTGAGGAGTCAAGAGTTACAGTGGTACTTCAAGTATTTTGTTACCTAAGTACATACGAGTACAACTATTACTACTGCATGTTGCTGCCGAGAACACAGAAGTGTTAGTTGGTGGTGGGGGGCGCTAGAAGTGACAGAGGGGGACCTCGCCAGCTTTCGTCATGCCCCTGAAGGTGACCTGCATGGGCCCAAAACCCAATTGCAGCTGCTAAGTACCACCAACCGACCAGCCCATACAGAATTGTCTGCACATACATACCACCTCTCCTTTCCCTTCTCCTCCTCCTCGTCCCCTTGAAGAAAAAGAAGAAAAAAAGGGCATCAACACAATGACCTCAAAGGGGAAGCATGGTCTGGGCAGCGTCCTAGTTACCGGTGGCTGCGGCTTCCTAGGCCACCACATCGTACGGGTTCTCCTGCGCGACTGGGACACCACCGCCGTCACCGTGGTCGATCTGCGGTGCGAGCGCAACCGGCGGCCCGAGTCGGACGGCGTGCGGTACATTGAGGCCGACATCACGGACGCCGCCAAGGTTGCCGCCGTGTTCAAGGACGTGAAGCCCGAGGCTGTCATCCACACCGCGTCGCCACCCTCGCAGGGCGCTTCCGCAGCCTCCAATGAGCTGTTCCGGAACGTCAACATTCACGGCACCCAGAATATTGTCGACGCATGCCAGGAGGCTGGTGTAAAGGCCCTCGTGTACACGAGCTCCGCAAGCGTGGCGAGCGACAATGTCTCTGACCTGATCAATGCCGACGAGAGGTGGCCGGTGCCGAGGGGAAAGGACCAGACCGAGTACTACTCCGAGACCAAGGTGAATAAAACCTCCAAAACAGAAGAAGATAGACACCCTGCTCCGCGCTTGGGAAATATATCCCTTCAGCAAGACTATGAATCCTGACACCACATGTGTATGTGCGTAGGCTGCCGCAGAAGAGATCGTCCTCAAGGCCAACCGCGCCGATAACTCCAAATTCCTGACCACCTCGATCCGCCCCGCCGGCATCGTCGGAGAGGGCGACGTCCAGGCGCAGTACCACATCATCAACATCTACCTCTCGGGCCGCAGCGGCTACCAGATCGGCAACAACGACAACCTCTTCGACTTTACCTACGTCGAGAACGTCGCGCACGGCCACCTGCTCGCGGCGCACGCCCTCCTGCTCACGCACAAGGCCGGGACCCAGCCCCTCGAGCACGAAAAGGTCGACGGCGAGGTCTTCATCATCACCAACGACAGCCCCGTCTACTTTTGGGACTTTTGCCGCCTCATCTGGAACGCGGCCGGCAGCCCGCACGGGCTGGAGCATGTCTGGACTATCTCCAAGGAACTGGGCATGCTGCTTGGCCTGTGTAGCGAGGTCGCGTGCAAGTTACTGGGGAAGAATCCTACGTTCAACAGGCAGAGGATTATCTATTCGACCATGACGAGGTATTTCTGCATTGACAAGGCCAAGAGGAGGCTGGGCTATCGGCCCCTCATCAGTCTGGAGGATGGCATGAGAAGGTCCGTCAAGTGGACAATGGAGCAGCAAGCTGCCAGCGAAAAGTAGCAAAGAGGCGATAGTAAATTTATGGATGAAAAGAGAGAGAAAGGGAAAGGGGGAGGGGGGCGGTTCCAGCATCGTCAGTAAGATCTGGCATATGAGCTTTAATCGACGACTTCATGTATATAGCAGACGAATATTGCAGCATCAACACGATACAAATGTCAAATAAAAAGTCTACGTCTTACGAAGTGAAAAGCGCAAACGGCACTCAACGTCTGAAATTCAATCGGTGCTAGCCAGCGGGCAGACAGGTTCTCGTCCCGATATGGACAAAACATACATCAGGCCGGGTGCTGCAGTATATAGTCGACAACACTACAACTACTATGGTTTTTCTCAACATCATGAACACTTCCTATCCATCCACCCTTAAACATCATCCGCCTGCCTCTGATACTCGATCTTTGGTCCGTGCTTGACCACACAGCCTGTTAGAGATGGATCATGTCATATTTTCGACTGACTAGATGTCTCAAGAGTATCTTCTTGCCTGAGCGTGACATAAGACACACACACACACACACACACATGCAAACACAGCCACACACAGCCACCCGCCGACGACCCAAAATTGTGCATTCCCCTCTTCTGTCCCCCTAAGCTGACTCAGGACCCTAGGATAGGAACCCTCCTCAAGACGAGGACTACTGTGTCCCAAGAGCAGAGTCGAGACACAAGACATCAAAACGCTAGAAACCCATCCCTTCCCCTCCACCGCCGGGGAAAAGACGTAGAACAAAACTTCATGGGACCTCCTCCCCTACACTGCCCTTGCTGAAAGAGAAGAGGAGGAAAAAGCACGTCGAACCCCTTGCTCTCAAGTCAAAAGAGATATAAAACAAAAAGTTGTTGGCTCTCAAAAGAGAAAAGAAAATAGGATAAAAATGGGAATCGAAGATGGGAGGGTGGACGCAACTGACTTTGTTCTTTTTGTTCTTTTTTCTTCGGGGAGTAAACGACGACAGGCAACACCATGCGCACATGAAACACATAACTTCATTCAGGCCGGCCATTTCTGCCATCTCACCCCCCCGGGGGGGGGGGAGAAACTATGTTGATGGGGAGACATAGGAGGCAGCCAAGGTGGTATAAGGAAAAGAAAAGTTTTTTTTCAAGAGGGAAGGGGGCGGGGGAATAAGTACCAAGACCCAAAGGACAAAGTCAACGAAACGCCGCCAGCGATGCTTTGAATAATGCCCGCCCAACCCCGTTCCACCATAAGCCAAGCGGTGGCTATTCTAGATCGTCGGATTATAAACACGAAGGGGGTCTGAAGGATTGGTTTGTTGTGGATAGTTGCCCGAGGCAATAAGAAGAGGAGAATCCCCTTTTCGCCAGAGAGAGATGAGATCTTATCTTAACCCGTTCCTCCTACGCCGACCGAGTTCCCTGAAGGCCGCCCTGGCGTCGAGTTCCTCCATTCCCGCCGTTGGTCCTGATCTTCAAAGGAACGCGTAACGAAAGGTGATGTTTGAGGATCATCTGGATTGCGCCACTTTTGCGGGGGAGTAGACGGGTTCGGCGTCTGGGCAAACGATGCATTGGGTTCCTGCCAACCTGGTACGCGTGCCTCTGGGTCGGTCTCTACCCTCCTAGCAAGAGGCCTGGTCGGGTTGTCGATGCTAGCATCATGAAGGATGCCATGGCCGCCGTTCACCCTTCCGCCGAAGCGCTTTAGAATCTCCTTGGTAGTGATGTCATCCTTGCTGCATGTAGGGTCGGTCAGGACGTCGACAAAGTTATCAGGCACCTATAAAAGAGAGAGAGGGAGAGAGAGAGAGAGGTTAGCAGAGCTTAGGAGACTCAAGTTCGAGCTCGCGTATGGATGATGCTCACAAGGCACATTGATTCCACATCGTTGATCAGAGTCTCAATGACCATGATGGCCAACATCGGCTCGCTATCGAGAGCAGGTCCTTTCAAGGGGTTGTAGAGAATGTTGGGCGCAATGACGGTCGCGAGATTCTTGCTGTCCATCTTGGATCCAGACTCGTCGTCTACCTGGTGGAAGTTGCTTGCCCATTTGAGGAAGGCTAGAAGAATCTCCAGACAGTCTCGATGGCACTTGGGAAGTAGGCAGCACACAAGATGTATGAACTGCCGCCTCCTGTCCTCATCTTGTATCTTTGCTCCTGTCAACCACAACCGGTAGAGCTTGTTTGTCATCAGGGGATCCGGTAGTTCGCGGAGATACTTTTTCAACAGTGCCGCGACCTGAACAACGGGCTGAGAACTCAGATTGATATTCTCACAACCTTCACGGTCAATCTTCTCAACGGTCTCGGAGAGCTTCTTGATGTTGCCGTTCTTGCGGAAAACACCCTCGACAGAGAGGTCCATCTTCTTCATGGTTGCCACCAGATCGTCAACGATGGCGGGTATACGGAGGGTTCCTGGGCCGATACCATCAGTGGAGTCGGCGCCATCCCGTTCAATGACGATTTCTAGTGGCACGCCAAAGATGCCCTTCTTCTTGACAGCTTTCTTGTTGTCATTTTTGAAGGCCTTGCCGAACTTGTTCCAGAAGGTTGCAGGCTTCTTGGACTCGATGAGGTTAATGAGCTCGTCAATCGTGAACTCATCCTGTATCATTGGGTGCATCGTGAGGACCGCAAGATGACGGACGATGAAGTATTCCACTGGTGACAGCTCAGAGAAGTATTTCACCCCGCCTCGTTGCGGTGATGGGTCCCCGAAGCCAGGCTCGCCAGCACGTCCTGCTGAGCGTGACCTGCCCTGCCCCGCTCCGATGAACGGCTCTGTTGCTGGAGACCTGAATAGTTCTTGTCGCCCAGGTTTGTAGGCAGGCCGCTGCTCTCTGGCCTGTTCAGCAGCGACGATGCGGGGTATGTCATCCAAGGTCAAGGCGTCTTGGTGGCCAAACATGAGATCTGATCCTCCCTCCTCACCAGGAACCTGGTCTTCCTCGATGGGCTGGCTTTGCATATTACCATGGCCACCTTCTGCTCCGTCGTCCATCAAGCGCGATGCCCGTGCTTTCCTGAAGCTGGCCGACAAGTGCTTATCAAGACGAGTGCTCCTCAGGCGCCTTACATCATTGAGTGTGTTCTCGTATGAGGATTCCCGACGGTGGTCATCCCTGTCTCCAGCGTAGGATTTGGACCGCAGCTCCGACTGAAGACGGGGCGCCTCCAGCGCATGGCCGTTGGCGGCATCAAATCCGTTCACCATTGGCTCATCCACTGCGGTCAAGGCGCCTGTACTTTTCAGAATATCCAGCAGCCTTGCCAGTGCTACTTGCAGCAAGAACACATACTGCTGCAGCTTCGTGACGTGCTCGAAGGCGGGTGTGGGCTCGGTGCTGTACGATTCACAGCTGCTGCACAGTATGGTCTGGTCGTAGGTATTGAGCCTCGCCTCCTGTAGACTCCGGCCCATCTCCTTGCCGCATCTGGTGCAGGTCACACACGGAATGTGCCACCTCTTGTCGCCATTCTTGGCGCATTCGTCTTCGACGGGCTTCCGACAGTGAACGCATTGGTCTGACTCGTTCGCTGCAAGCCGTGACATGGCAGTAGTTAATTGGAGGGAGCCATCCTCGGCCTTCAGGTTGTTGAGGTTGCCAAGGTCATCGAGAAACATGTACAAGCCCTCCGAGTGCACCTGCTCCTTTTCTATCCGGAGGGCACCTTGCAGACAGATTCGGATTAGGAGTTTGAGATAGTGGGCGAGGCCTGTCACGAGTGACAGCAGCTCCTGCGTGACCCCAAGCTTGTGGGCGTTCTTGTCTTGTGTCTTGGACAAGAGAGAAAAGAACTGAACAATCTTCTTGCACAAGAGTTTTGCTTCTCGCGAGTACGAGAGGGCTGCCGGATCGTTAGCACAAGCAGATCCTGTCAACAACATTTCAAGGGGTGCAAACATACGCTTCATGTCGAGTTTCTGCATCGCGTCGTCTAGCCTGTCCGCGGATCTGAAGAGAACATCAACGTGCCAGATGAACCTCTTGGCCACAACGACCCCATCCACATAGGCGCCATTGCTAACGTGCAGTAGCATATCGGATATGCAGGCGGCAGATGATTCCTCAAATGTCGAAAGAACGCTCCATATGCGGTAGACCTTCTCCTCCATCTTCTCTTCCTGCTCCTTGACCAGCTCCCTGGTCTTTTCGTCATCCACCGGCGGCGCTTCGTCCGAGGCATCGCTCGGGGAGGCAAGTCGCACATTCCAGAATTTGTGTATCATGTAACACTCCGGGTGCCAATGTTGGTTCTGGCCGTTACGGAAGATCTCGACAAACTGCTTAAGAATTGCCGTCTGACATCCGTTACATTTCTGAGCAAATTGGGTGGAGTAGTGGTAATGGCAGTAGACCTGGCCATCGTGTTCATAGTAGCTGTCCTGTGCGCCGAAGACGGTCGAGCACAGAGAGCAAGTAAAGTGGTCGACATGGTATTTCCTCTCCAACGCGGTGATATAGGAGCCCCGTAGAGCGCCACCGCATTGGTAGCAGAGCAGACCGAGCCGTCGGAAGTAGTCCGTTTCGCAGAGGGGGTATTGGCCCTGGCCGTCATCGTCCTCCGCAGGGAAGAATTTCGATGCCACGATTTGTCCACAGTCCTGAGATTTTGGTGGTCCATTAGGGAAGGGTTCCTCTGCCATGACAACAAACAGCTGCTCAAACTTACCCGACATTTAAAACAGTCCAAATGGAATGTGCCATCAAGGGCGCGCACAAACTGCCCCGTCAAGGGCTCGCCGCACTTTTTGCACGTCCGCTGTCCCCCGCTCGGCGCTCGTCCGTTACGACCCCTAGATCTGTTTCTCTCCTGGCTCTGGGTTCTCGACCTGTCCTGGTCCCAACTCTTATCGCCAGCCCCGGTGGAGGGGGAGAGAGATGGCCTCCTGCCGTCGCGGGAGCCTGGGTTCGAACGTGGCGGTCTGTACGGGGAGTAGTTTCTCGCGTCGTCGGTCGTGAAGCTCCGTTCTGGTGTTCGCCGCCTCGGGCTGCGCTCCCCAGGCAGCCCTGGGGGACCCGGGGGCCCAGCATCATAGTCAGGCCCCAACATGATGGGCCGCGCTGCGAGGGTTCTCGATCCGTCTCTTTCACCTTATGCCTTGCCTGTGCCCAAAAACACGATGCGGGGAGATTGTTGGAATATGAGGTTGTCGAGGGGAGAGGGATGGGCGCCAGCTCACAACAACAGGAGCCAGTCCGAGCCGGTCAGCAGCGTCCGTGTCTGTGGCATGAATAATGGTATGCAAGTCGCCAGCCGTTGTCGCAGACCGTTGAAGGGCCGGGTGGTCTTGTCGACTAGGGCCGGGCCTCGGATGGCGGTCGTCTCGCGTGGGTAGAGTTGTGAGAAGTGCTCCTTCGCTCGATGATTACTGGAGATTGGGGGCGGCAGCTGGCATCACCGAATGGCTGTGAACAAGGGGCCCATCAACCAGGGCAGTTCGAGTGGGTAAAGGCTTGGCGCCGCCGGGTCGTCGTCACAGGTCGTCGGGCGCAGGAGGCGAGGGCGAGGGCAAGGCAATGGAGACCCTGTATGGTCGAATTCGAGGCTGAGGCACGGACGCGAATAGTAACGATCCGGATCGTCTTGGTGGTATTGATGAGGCGAGGTTGGGAGTGCGATTGGCACTGGGCGTGGCGGAGAGGGAGGGAGGGAGAAAAAGAGAGAGAAATAAAGAAAGAGAGAGAGAGAGAAAGTAGAGGATAAACGGGGGCTCGAGTGGGAGAAGCGATCGACAAGTCCCCGCCTCTGGGAGGGAAGGGCAATTTCCAGGCGGGAAGAGAAGGCGGCGTACGGTAAGCTGAATAGGAGGGGAGGGGAACAGTGAGAGTGAGAGACAAGAGGCATGAGAATCAAATTCGATAAAACAAGGTCCCCATTTCCCGCTCGACCAGTGCCAAGGGCAGTCAGTCCCAATTCCCAGATCGATCAATGACCGTCGGGGAGCGTGGTGAGGTGATCTGTACTCGGTAGGGGTTCTCAAACCAATTCCAACGCCAGATGGCGGCCCTACGAGCAGGTGAATGGTGATGGGGACGGAACCGGGCTTCGAAAGAATGGACACCAATGAAAAGACAGGAAGACTCGTCCAGCGTCCGTCAGGGCTTAGCGTTGACAGTCAGGTACGCTGTGTCGCCCTGCACACTAAGAGTGGTAGTAGGAGTAGTTGTAGTAGTACTGTACATAGGCACTCCTAGCCCACGACTTATGCTACATAGCCTGTTACAGTCATGGCGGGTAAGCAAGTATGTAGGTAGGTGGCAGCATGGTCAACGCCCTGAGGCTCAGGGTCAAGAAGATAGAGAACAAGAGGTCAGCGCCCTTCCCTCTCCCTCCCCCTCTTTTCACCCATCTCCTTCTCTATGCATTCTGCGTCGAACACTCGCAGAGAGGGCGCACCCTCAACCAATTTTTGAATCTCATCTACAGGGTTACCTGGCGCTTGCTGGGTAATTTCAGGGGACCACCTGGACAAGCACCCGCACGACGGACAACGAGACGGCCTAAACGCTAAGCCGAAGGGAGGGATTACTGGTCTGTGCATGGGGAGTGACCCCCCCTGTGCCCCCCTGGTGCCCTTGCTTTGGGCCCCTCTGTCCACACCGAGAAGACAGAACCTGGGACCGTTTTTGGGGGGGTTTTTTTTTGTGCTTCTTTCTTAGGGGGTGAAGTAAGCATGGACGATCGCGGTAGTGGGAACACTGACAATCATTTAGGCCGACTAACCACCGACGAAAAGTCAGCGCCATTCCGATTCGTGACGGGGTTCCTTCTATTTATGCTTAAAACGGAGCTTACTGCCCCGTCTGCTTAACCCTCGCTATGGCAGGTGGACGCGTCGCAAAAATGGCCAGCGGTGAGCCTGACAAGAGTTCTATTTGCTTTTTTGACTTAAACATACACAAGACTCGTGGGAAAAGGGAAAAATTAGTTGATTTTTGCCTGTTGCCAATTTCATGCAGTATCTGGGTAGACCGATCTGAGGTATGTCCAATATTTATGTATCCAACACAAAAGGGAAAGGGGAAAAAAGAACAAAAGTCAAGAGCAATTGAAGAGGAAAGAGAACAGGGGGTGAAAAGAAAAGTCGAGAAAGAAGGAAAGAAGGAAAGAGGAAAGAAGAAGAAAACAGCAAAAATTGAAGGACTATAGGAAAAATTGCCGACTCTAGATCAAGTGCTAGGACTACTAACCTCCCGCCCATCCATTCCCTTCCCTTCATAAAACTCGTCAACCCAGATCAACAGTTCCTGCCACGATTGTGCTGCAAGCTCAGACTTATCTCCCATGCACCAACTGCTTAATCCTCTTCTCAATAACCTCGCGCCCATCCAGCGTCTTCCAGACTTGGTGTGGTGCCTTTTTGACGACATCCCAATCGTGCAGATGGTCCGTCAATTGTGTAAGGTCCCTCTGTTTGTCCTCCCACTGGCTGTCCCTCTTGATCTCAACTCCAGAGCTGACGACAGAGATGGGAATATCGCGGATCTGGATCGCCCGGCTCGAGACGACATCCCGCTTGGTGAGCGAGCCGGCGACGAGACTCTCCTGGAGCTTAGAAAAGATCTGCTTTCCACCCTGGTACGACACGATACCCCAGATCCTGTCGAGGCTGTCGCGGCCTCGGAAGAGAGCGCCCGAGAGTCGGTCGATGCCCAGCGGCGAGATGATGCCCCGCAGCCAGAGCATGAAGCCGCGGCCTGGTTCACCAATCCGATCCAGGAGATCCTCGTGGAGAGGGTCGATCAGCACCATGCCCTTGATCGCTACGCCGTGGCGGGAGCTGAAAACTCGTGAGTAGATCGAGCCTATGCCTGCGCTCGCGAGAACCCAGGGCCCTTCCTCTCCGGCGCGCGCAAGTGCTTCGCTGAGAGCATCGGCGGCCTGGCTTGCTGAGAATGGCGATGGTGCTGTGTCGCTCTGTCCGCTTGTCAGCCTCATCTCTGTTCTTAAAAGGGCCACAGGAAGAAGAAAGAAAACTCACCCATGCCATTCCGGGCCGGTCTGCGAAGCAATATCTGCTGAAAGATCCATTGGCGACAGCATTGTCCGCGAAGTGCCACAGGCCATATTCTACTGGATCCTCGCCTCCCTCAAACAACACTGTCGGCAGCTTGTTCCCGTGCGTATCCGTTGTATTGCCGTGACAGTACAGATGAATCTGGTACTTGTCCCCATCCACCCAATACAGCACGCCTGGTGGTGTGACCCGGGCGTCGATCGACCGTTGGATCAGCGTGCAGGTCAGCAGGAAGGCGATGACGGCCAGGACGACCAGGAAAATTGTCGACAGCAGCACCTCCACCCACTCGAACAAGGACCGTCGCGATTCCTCCCTACCAGTGAGGCGCTGCTCCTCCTCTGCTTTGCCCCATTGCACAGTCCGGTCCGCTATCAACGTCCAGACGGCCATCAGGAGCGCCCAAATCACACTGACCACACCTACCCAGGCTTCTTCGTGCCTGAGCTTGGGAACGGCGAGGATGATGATCATATCGGCCAGTAAGAGTACGGCCATGACCACGGCGAGGATCCGTGCCGCCTTCGACGGTGCCGAGAAGAACAGCAGTAGCACGATAAGCGTGGTCAGGGCCACGCTCGCAAAGCTGAAACCGTAGAAGCCCGATCCTCTCGTTGACAGGCCAGGTGGCGTGATGAAGATGGAGATGAGCAGGAGAACCCACCACAGGAATGTGATGAAGGTAAGAAAGATGGTGAGATATCTCGTAAAGCGGACCGTAAAGAGATTGTACGGCGTCACGGCCGGATCGTCCGGGCTCAGGTAGGTGGCATCGCCGTCAACTCGGTTTGGCAGCAGGCGAGTGCGCTCGTTCGCTGCGGCTTCATCGTCGTAAGAGGAAGACGGCCGTCCCGAGGGCTCGTCATTTTGGTCTCCTCTGCCTCCGAAGATGCGCTTCATCTTTCGATCGATTCAGCTTCCCCGCCCAGAGATACGATTTCTCGAGATGTCTGCGTGCCAGGATAGGAAAGAAGGCTTGGACGCGGAGAGCCCAAAGAATAAATTATTGCTTGACAACGGTCTTTGTTTCCTAGAATTTCTCAATACTCGTCATGATCTCACAGCTAGAGCTTTTGTATCCAGCTGGGTGTTACTCCATATTTAAAACACAAACCCGTCGTCGAAGCTGGGTTCGATCGCATCATGACGTATGTGGTTGCGCACCATCGCTATCTACCCGTGGTGGGTTTGTCTGGCTGCCAATCGTTGGCGGGCGAGGCGCTAGCTAAGCCAACAAGCTAAGAAGTGGCCAAGAACTGGCAAGGTCGTGGCTTTGATCGTGATGATTGTGGTTCTTCGCATGCTTTGGGAAGAAAGGTCTGGACCAGTCTGAGCGCAGAGAAGGAAGAATAGAGGGGGTTAAAAATATATAGGTTCTTGCCACGGGTGCAGAAACCACATCCCGCTGCAGATGGCCACTTGATTACACAGCATGTTCGCGGTAAGATGCGCAGAAGCATATCTGCTGGGTTTACTGCGTTCAGTGGGCATGCACATGCAGGTGCTGATGTCGGCTTCGGGAAACACAGATCAACCTTGGGAATTCAGAAATCTTTATCCGCCGAGTGACAAGACCTGATGATTGTAAGAGTATGACTAGTCGCCTCAGCAACTCCGAACTTCCTGCTAATCATAACACAAAATATCCCGTCCTCAAACATTGAACGTCAACGCTATGATGTGTACCAATTCCACAAACGCCCTGAAAGACAACCAAAGAAAACTACAGCTGAAAAGTTTCTGCAGTTGTGTAATAGGCAGCCACCGCCATGGCTCTGTTTTGTCTCTCCTTTTTTCCTTTCTTCCCTTTCCTTTCTTTGTCCTCTCTTCTTTACAGAGGATAAGAAGGTCGTTGTGATTGGGATGAACTCGGAACTGACGAGCTCACGGAGGGCGACTTGGTACGCGGTGAACTCGAAGAGTGCAGCAGGGCATTCCGCGGTATTCGCTTGAGGCTCCTTTCTTTGGCTCTCTTCCTTGCCAAACTGTCTGGATCTGGCCCTGATGCCGGCCTGATGGCATCGTCAGGTATGGTGGTTGCATACACACTAGAGGGGCGGCCATGTCAGTCAGTATTACAGCTCATTACTCGCAACAGCTGGAGCCTCCCCCCAAGGACAAGGAGTGGACGAATATACATACTCAAGCTTGGCGCTAGCATCTGGATCTCTGGGCGAGATACCCGCCTTTTCATAAACCACCTTCTTCTGCTGCTTCAACGCTTGGGCAGATGGTTCGCTCGTTAAAATCCAGCCCTTCAGCTTTGACAGCCACTGGCCTTTGACACCCTTGAGCGGCTTTGTACTTTCTTCCATCTCGCCTCTCGTTTCCGCCATGCCTCTTCTCGGAAAAAGAATAGATTCCTCGAAAGTGACGAATTATGTCCCCAGGTCGTGGTCTTATACGGTGTCGGCGCCGGACGTCTAGCAACGCACGCGCCTCCTCGTTGTGCTGCCCGTCGGAAGCCGATTTCAAACAAGCGTCACAAGAGCGAGTCCACCATGTCTCGGCAGTGTATTTGTTAAGCAGGATTGGTCTTGTGTTGACTTTTCTCGTCGCCCGCAGCTTCTCAGTCACGGTCGCGTCCTGTGGACTGTCTCAGCTCGGGACACATGTCGGCAGTCCGCGCCTTTAACGTATTGACGACGTCCTACACCTGCTGCGGCGGCCGCTGCACCTTTGCATGAATTACGAAAATTAAGGAAGGGGCAGTCGATAACGTAGTGCTGCAAACGCTAGAGACCAAGAAGGCAACCTTGGCCGAGGGAGGGGCTAAGCGACATGGCCGGATTTTTAACATTCCACCCGGGGGCAGGAAGAACTGAGGACGCTTATGTAACCTCCTTCGAAGGGGGGGGGGAGGAGACGCGGAAAGTCTTGCCAGGAATGGCTTGACGATATGGGTAGTTCCATTCCAACGTCTCAACGCCCACCAGCAAGGCGATTTGAAGAGGGATGTGAAAGTGGACAACATGGGGGCACAAAGTATCGCTCATGCGTTGCATGCCCATATGCTGACGCTTGTTGTAGTATGCTGGACCATGCGACGATCAGCACCAAAATGATGCGCATCAGGGTTACAAGGGGCAGCGAATCTGTGCATCTGTTATGCGCGCTACTGACTGACACTTTTTCCAGCAAATTTCCAGAAGCACCAGCGTTCAGGGTTTGAGCTTGTATGCTGTGAAAGCATGCCTTTGCAGGGCTTTGGCCGCTGGACTTGAAAGTCAAATTTGGAGACACTAAGTCTGCAATCATGGGGTTGTTCTTCAAAAGTTGATGATGTAGTTACAGAGAGAAACCACAGAAGGCCAGAGACATGATACAAATGTCACCTCTAGTAGGAGAAGTACTTTTAGTATTCAACCGAATGGCTGATCACACCGCTTGGTATAATGGCGCTTCAATCAATTTTTCGGCAAGAATTACACTAGTATTGAAGAAAATTTTGAGCGTCTGAGACACCTGAGCCACATAGTAGGTAATTATGAGGTTCGGCTTGAGGATCTGGTGCCAGTATCCTCGCACAATCGAAATTGCTTACCTTTTTGTCGTACACCGTCTGAGCTAGGAGATTCATAGTACATACCTGGTAGAGGCTACCAAGATGTGCACTGTTGGCCAGGGCACCCTGGGGCTCGATACTCTATTTGTTCATGATAGAACCAGGGCATCATTATATTGGGTGACCGTCTCACAAATTCTTTGTATTATCGAAAGCCTCAACTTACAGCCACTTGGATTGACACCCAGGCACTGGATCGTGCAAGGTCGCACTCCTTTCATGCTGTGCCGAGGTCGCCAGATACGATCTCTTGTGTCTACAGGGACATTCAGGCTTTTCTTCGTCTTAAAAGGAAGGAAAAAAGAGATAGTATATACACACGAAGCCAAAGAGTTGCTGGAACGGTTCACATCGTATACCTTGTGCAGCGCAGTAGTGACGGATGCCTAAAACCCTTACGAACGATATTGCCGCCTGGAACACCATGGGTCAAGATTTCGTCGAGTCTAATTCCTCGTCATTGTGAGCCTGTGCCAGTCTTGGCTGCAGTCAACCGAGACGTATGAAGGCTGAAAAATATTGACAGCTCACCAGGCGTAACAATCGTCCGTACAAGTATACTGGAGTGCTCTCGACCACACAGCCAGCGCAACAAAGAGGTCCAGTTTGAGCGCCTCCCATCAGGCTTGCACGCTGTGGAGAACGCGCTCCTTGGACAGTTCACTGCAAAGGAAACGTAGTTTTTGGGGCAAGAGATGGGACGTAATCTGCCTGATGATTGTGAGGTGGTAATCAACTGACCACTGTTCAGGTAAATCAATCTGTAGCCAATCCTCGAGACGCTAATCATATACCTGCAGGATTTGTCGTTATCCTTCTCGCTCAAGATATTTGCAAGCCCCTCTGGCCTGACTGCAAGAAAGTTATCTCGAGATATTCTGCAACTGTAATAATCCTTGTCCAGAAGAAAGTGGGGCGGGGAGACCCTTCGACCTGCATGAGCAAGGGTCCCCTGAGCACGTTGGACGTCACTCCTCAGTCCCCCAACTTAATCTAATCACAGCGCCTGTTGCGACGACTTCCCCCGCGACAACTTCACCCATATAATCATAACCTCCCGCAGTTCCACTCGTTCCACCCGTGGCGCAGACAACATGCCTGGGCTGAAGGTGAACACAAATACAGGTCCACAAGGCGCTGGCTCGCCCCCCAGGCCAGCTTCATCTGGTGTCAGGACTGCTGTTCCTCCACCAGCAGGCCTCAGTTCCGCCGGCGCGCCCGCTACTGCGCAGGCATCTGTGAAAACCATCCCTTCAACAGTTCAGTCCCAACCACTACCACCGCGACCGCCGCTCCCAACAGTACCATCCCAACCCTCTTCTTCTTCTTCCTTCTCACAAAAACCAAGACCTCAACCTGCGCCCCAACCACCGCCCCCAGCGCCAGCAGCAGCAGCCGAGCCCGACCGACCACCTGTCAGCCCCATAACACCACCCCTACAGCCGCTCAAGTCGACGACCCCAATCCCGCCGCCGACTATCCCTCCAAACTTCGCCTCTCTAGGTGGTCGCGCGCCCCTAACCCATGCATCGCACCCGCCAACGGTTCCCAGTGCACCCCCGCCTCCGGTTCCCCTGGACCCGGTCGACTTCCAGGACAACCCTGATGTGATCGCGCTGCAGACTACGATTAATATTCTCCTGCGGCAGAAGAGACAGGCAGAAGAGGACATCCGTAAATTACGAGATGCAAAGGATGCGGCGACCCAGAAGCCGTTGGAGTTTGCAAGAGACCTTGCGGGTGGGCAGGTGCGGCAAGGCGGCGCCGCTGGCGAGAACCAAGCAGACCTTGCGCAGGAAGATGATAGTTCGGGCTCAGACTCGGACTCAGACTCGGACTCGGATGTCGAGATGAAACAAGAGGCGGATGGCGAGGATTCTCTCGCAGGTAACGGCCTCAAACCCTCTGCGATGGAAGCCTCTTCAGCCAAGAAAGGCAAGGCCGCAGCTTCGGGTCATAGTAGCAGCAGCAACTACAACAACAACGGCGCCGGCGCAAGTAGCAGCAAGTCAGCCTCTGCAGCACCGCCGTGGGCCAACCTGCCCAAGGCACAGGACATTGTCCGCTGCCCGCAGATCAACTGGGCCCAATATGCCATCGAGGGCGAGGCGCTCAACAAGCTGCACAACGAGCAGCTTTCGCGCCCTACGCTTGGGACGCCTGCCTTGATGGCTGCCAACGGGACGTTTGAGTTTACAGGGGCGGCAAACCCAGATGACGGGAAGAGGGTCGAGGGGATCTCTGCGCCCTTTAACCCGCTGCGGGATAGGAAGCCCTCAAAGGGCAAGGGCCCCCGGCGAGGCGCATAAACAGCTCGCTGGTAGTCACAGGGGGGAGAAAGAAGGTCAGTTGAAGAGAGAATGAAGATATGGAAATATCGAGGGGTCACCACACGGGATATACGGTTGAGCCCGGATGGTGATTCGAAGACTCTCGAGTCGGTGACATGTTTTTGTGACTTGTGCTTTTCAACAGCGAGAGGCGAGCAGATTGATTTGGCAAGGCGTTGGGGCTCCATGCTTCATTTCAAATTCAGGTCCAGCAACAGATCAAGAAATACCACATTCGAGCAGGTGGAAGACGAAGAGGGATTGGAAAATCATCCTCTCACGTGGGAATTTTATGAGTGCACTGTCCCCACACGCAACCCGTCCCCCTGCTTCCGACCTTCCCATGGCCAAGTAGAGGGTATCGTCACCCTGAATGAACCGTAACGCCGCTGCAGTCAAAAACCTTTTAACTCCACGAAACCGAGAGGCAGATGACCTGCCAGAGACCATTGAGAAGAGCAAAAGATCACCGGTCAATACATAAACCGTGTTGCAGTGCCCTTGATCCATTTGCCCACTTTCGTCCGCCGATCATGCCTGGTTACCACCGACCAAACCGAAACGCCTAGCAGAGTAAAAAGACTGAGAAATGAAGACATTTTCAGAAGGACAGCGTACCAGCTACCATGGCATCTGGTGGCTTCCATGTGTTTCCTATGTGTTTCCTATGCTCCAAATCCCTATTCGCAGAGACTAGCATGTTAGGAATCTGTCTCACTCAACAGAGGCCTGAACACTGCGGCGGAGACGTTGGCGGTATTGCTTCTTCTCCTTCTCGTTGCCCCAGAAGAGTTTGAAGGCCTCCGGATGAACCAGAGTTCTCGGGTCATACGGAGGATGTTCCTCCTCCAACATCTCGATGATGGCATCCAGGTGCGCCTGCATGTTCTCTCTCTTGGATGGTGGCGGCCAACAGCATGGTGTCCCATCAGGGGCGATGCGTTGGTGGAATAGCTTCGTCTCGAATCTAATCCGGGGTTGCTCCTCGGGAAACTTGGGACTCAGATGGATCCTGATGCGGAACAGGCCTCCGTCCATGTTGGTCATGGGTCGACCAAAGTACGTGAAGATCCAGACGAAGGGGTTGCCATCCTCCGCCTCGACATTGTGAGGGATGCCGTGTTGCTTATAGTTCTCGCTCACCTGGGCCAGCTGGCGCTTAAGATTCACGGCGACAGTCTCCTCCTGCTGCTCGACTTCCTTGCCCTGGGCAGCCCAAATGAGGGGCTCCTCGTCGAGGACCCTTTTGATGTTCCTCAGTCGCTTCTCAAGCTCGCCGTAATGGAATTTGCCGTCCATCTGGTTGCCACCGCCCTCGAAAGGCATTCTGGCGAACGCCTGACCTTCCTTGACATCCTTGGAAGCTTTGTGGATAGCTGCTAGGTACGACTCGTAGTACCAGAGGAATCGACGCTTGAACAAGTCTTTGAAAGGCTCAAAGGTAGTCATACCTTCGTCGGCACCGTCAAAGTCGGGGTCGTATTCATCCTGGGCGGCTACGGGAGGGGTTACGTTGCCGTCAGCACCGATTCCCAGATATCCTTCGAGGCGCTGAATGACGGAGATACGAAGAGATTCATGTTGGATCTAGCAGAATGAATGAATTAGCCAGCATATCTTCATTACACCACATGTGACAAGATGGCACCTTTTGGACATAGTCCTTCTGATTCTTTTTATCTTGAGTCTCACGTGCGTCCTCGAAACCAGGCTCGTTCTCGTATGGGTTCGACGACATCAGGCTCTGGATAGACAGGAGGATAGACTCAAGGCCCTGTGCAGCAGACCACTCCTCGCCAGGCTCACCCCGCCATGTCCTAGGCGTATTTTTAGTGGTTGGCACGGAGCATCGTTTCGCAGTGTATAACATACCCTAGGATTGAACTGGATGATGTCGCAATTAGCAAAGGGAAAGAGGGGGAAATGTTTAGCTAGGACCCATTGGCACTTACAGACAAACTCGGCCTCCAGCGTAGATGTTAGGATTGAATCGACAACGGCCTCCATTGGTGGTAATTGCAGTCACAGAAGGTGCTTTTCGAGGATATTCTGCATGGTGATGTTATTAGTGTGTGCCGACATGATAGGTATTCCTGTCAATGCTGACCTTTGCCAAACCTAAAGGTGAACTGTTGCTTGTCAGCCTCTCTCCCTTTTCTGGGTAGATTGAATCCTGTCAACACCAACCTCGAAAAAGCCGAATTCGTATGGCGTCTCATGGGGACCGATGATGACAGCCCTGATGTTGCGAACATCGGCATCACGGCAGGCGACAGCCAGAGCTAAGCACATATCAGCATTTCCAGCTTTGAGCAGCAGCATGCAGGTGGTAGTTGAGCATACAGAGGTCAGCATTCTTTTGGAGGTCGCCAAGCTCCTACAGACATCGTCGAAAGTTAGCATCGCGAGGTGGAGGGCAGATCAGGCGAGTCCAGCACAGCTCAGCCCAAGCGTTGAGCTTGATGCTGCCCCGCAGTATGGCAGAACATGCCTTAGTGATTCTGATGATGGACTGATCAGCCATGGCGGCCACTTATCAGTACAAGGTAGGCGTGATAAATTTCATAAGTATGGTCGAAATGATCTGCTCAATGTCGAGAATCTCTGGATTGAATGTTGGGAGTGCAGAAGAGGAGGAGGAAAGTGGGGGTGGACGCTGTGGTACCACAGGCTGAGAACTAGCAGTTTAAGGCTTCTTGGCTCCGTGTTTAGTCACAGGGATTAGGCAAGCGGGCCACTCAGGAACCCTGCATGGTCTGTAGAAGGCAAATTCAAGGCTGTCATGCTTAAGATCAAGGACGGGAAGGCAACTCAAGTATTCTGCATACTTCTATGTATTAAGACACCTGTCTCCTGACTATTGGAACCTATTGTGAAGAGAGATACCTGCCATGATTCAAGACCATTCTGTTATCTTGGTCATGAGGTTCATGACTTAGTGAGAAGATGCTTTCTCTGGTTTAAAGACCTACTCAGCTAGGAGTTTGAGTGCTGGAAGAACACAATCAGTGTTTCAAGGCCCTAATAGTATAGAAGGCAGGTGCTTGGGAAGTCATGTTCTCAGAGTGATATCATCAATACCCTACAGTAGTAATAATGAATGGACGCAAGAATAGTTTTTCGTAGAGATAATAGATCAACCTGAAGTCAATCCCGTTGAGGCTGGAGCTGGTTAAGGGGGACCCCTGCACGCCTTCCCCCAGAACAGCCAGGGTGGGTGTCTCTACAGCGGCGGGGCTTCCTCCAGACGCGTTTGCAACGCGTAAATTGACTTCTTTCATTTGCACACACCAGTACCGAAACCAGACAAAACCACTTCTATTTATCCCATTCATACAGCCACCTCCCACTGGATCGTCACAGCTGGATCAAAATAATCCGATTTGCAACTGCCAAAAATGGCTAGTTTTTTCGACATCAAGGCCAGGAAAGCTGCTGCTGCCAACGGCTCGAGCAAGCTCGAGAAGAAGGGCCCAGAGACACCAAGAGCTCAGCCTTGGGTGGAGAAATAGTATGTCACCCTGCACCTGCAGGCTGATGATAATTGCTGGAGTAGCAGGTATTAATGATAACATATCTCAGTCGTCCAAAGAACCTCAACGATGTTACTGCGCAAGACCACACGATCACTGTCCTGCAACGGACCCTCCAGGCATCAAATGTACGCCGCCATCTTGTTTCCACGAAGTACCGTGTCTTCTCCTGCCTACGATCCTGGTTGACGCATTTTAGCTACCACACATGCTCTTTTACGGCCCGCCCGGGACTGGCAAGACCTCTACGATCCTTGCCCTCGCCAAGGAACTCTACGGACCTGAATTCATGAAGCAGCGTGTCCTCGAGCTCAATGCCTCCGACGAGCGCGGCATCTCTATCGTCCGAGAGAAAGTCAAAGACTTTGCGCGCATGCAGCTGACGAACCCTCCGCCCGGCTACAAGGAGCGCTATCCCTGCCCGCCCTTCAAGATCATCATCCTCGACGAGGCAGATAGCATGACGCAGGATGCGCAGAGCGCGCTGCGCCGTACGATGGAGACATACAGCAAGATCACGCGGTTCTGCCTGATCTGCAACTACGTCACGCGCATCATCGACCCGCTGGCGAGTAGGTGCAGCAAGTTTCGCTTCAAGAGCTTGGATCAAGGAAATGCGAAAAAGAGGCTGGAGCAGATTGCCGAGAATGAAGGCGTGACGCTGGAGGAGGGTGCGGTGGATGCGCTGATTCAGTGCAGCGAGGGTGACTTGCGAAAGGCTATTACCTTCCTGCAGAGTGCGGCGCGACTTGTCGGTGCTGGTGCGGCTGTGAGCAGTCAGGGCGACCAGATGGATGTAGACTCCAAAGCGGTCACGATTAGAATCGTGGAGGATATTGCAGGTGTGATTCCCAGCGCCACCATCGACCGGCTGGTAAAGGCGATCCGACCAGCCTCGGCTGGCGAGACGTATTCAGCTGTTTCTAAGGTCGTGGAGGACATGGTCGCCGATGGTTGGAGTGCGGGCCAGGTGGTCAACCAACTATACCAAGCAATCGTCTACGACGAAACGATTCCAGACGTGCAAAAGAACCAGATTGTCATGGTCTTTTCTGAGGTTGATAAACGTTTGGTGGACGGCGCGGACGAGCATCTCACAATCCTGGACCTGTCACTCCGCACATCAAGCATCTTGGCTGGGCGATAGGGCGGACGGCAAATGATGCGACTCTGAAGAAAGAAAAAAAAAAGAATCAAAGGTGTCTGATGATACCCTGCTACAAAGATGATAGGCAAAACAACGGCAGAGGACATATTCGGCGTTCTTGAGGATGGTGGGTCGGCTTTTTATTATTATTCTTGTTTTCACAGGCTGTTAGATAATTCCGCAGCTACTTCCGAGGGGAGTCACCGGCATTAATGAGACCCAAAACTCCATTCAAACTTGACCAGACGTCTCCGCGTTCCTGAGAAGTACCACCTCTACTGCTCAGAGGCGCCTTCGATCCTTTCTTCGGACTTGCCGTCTCGGCCAGCCAAATATCGTCCATCGTACTATCTTCGTCCACAGCCTCGTCTCTGTGGGTCGCACCCCGTCCTAGCAGCTGGTCGATCTCGAACAGATGTTTCGTCGACCCCTCCAGTGCCACCTGTCCTTTCTCGATCTTCTCCGCTACAGCCTCCAGCGTCGAGAGCTTGGCCGAATCAGCAGCCACCACCCAAGGCTGGACGTAAACGCTGATTTTGTCACCACACTTCTCAGGAAGACTGCCACCTGAGCGCCCTTGGTGTCTCCGAGTCGGGTGCTCCGGCAGCAACTGACTCTCCTCGGCGAGACGACTCAACGCCCGACCAGTGACTTCGGTCTGTTTTGCGAGAACGTCATTCAGATGGGCCTTCTGGGCAATTGATGCCTTCTGCTCATGTGCGACGGACAGGAGACTCCGGATGTAGGGTGTGATGAGGTAGTCCGACGGCGGGTGTGGTCCCTCTCCTAGTTGAGCGGTCTGTTTTGTCTCTTCAGGTGGCTTTATTGTGAGCCGAGGACTTTGCGCAGCTAGCTGGATCAGGGCCTTGCGTTCAGCAACATAAGTGGCATATTTGTCTTTAATCAATGCAAGCTGTGCATCCATATGCGCCTTGTCCATTTTAGTTGGACTTCTGCCGTGTCCGTCTGGTCCATCCTCTTGACCATCATCCGCCCCGGATGTCTTGCCAAGCTCCGTCTCCATCCAGGTGATGAGCTCGTTGCGCGTCGCACTGAGAGCCGCGGACTTATCTCCGAGGCTGATCTTGCCAGGTGTTGCTGTGAAGCGGGACTTCACCTCTTCGAGCAGCTGTTCTTCCTTCTTGAGTAACAACTTGGAGCGCAGCACCGCCTTCTCCAGTCGGTCGACGAGGGTTTTGAGATCTGTCTTTGTGGCGCCCTTATCCACTGTGAAGCCGCTAATGACAGCTTTGGGGACCTCGGGCAGGCGTCGAGTGTCTTTGAAAACCTCCTCAGATTGTAGGAACTTGGGATCGGCCGCCGGTTTTTGGCTGAGGAGGTCAATGTACTTCTCAACTGTTTGCAATCTTTCCTGCTTCCGCCTAAGCTCGATACCGGCGACGTGCTCCTCCAGCCTGCTAGCGTTATTCAGACTCCTTTCATTACCAGATTTGACCTCCTTCGCCACCCGACTTTGGTTGACGGCTTCATCGTACGCCCTCTGTGCCTTGATGTTCGCGTGCAGCGCCTTTAGATAGTCCCTCTGAAGCCCGCGCGCATCTGTTGTTTTGATGACGCAGTCTGGCTCTGCCAACGCCAAGGGGCCGTTCATTGGGCCATTTTCATGGCACGATTGCAAATTCAAGGCCAAGACCCTGCGAATATGCTCTGCTTCCTCGCGAGGCCGCACATACTGCTCAAGCGACGTTTGGATGGCCTTGGTTATCTCATTTGCCATTCTTGCTGCGGCGTGTGCCGTGAGAATCACTCAGCACCAGTGTCAAGGCGGGAAACACAAGTACACAGACATGCAGCCAGTAGTCTGAGAACGTAGGTGTGAAATATATAATTTCACAAGAGAATAATTTCTTTCCAAAAGAGCTTTATTCATGCCCATAGTGACCCATATGCGGTAAAGACGCAGTACAGTAGTAGTTGTTGGAGGTACAGGGAGTGGGTCCTGCTGATTCAGCGGTGCCATAGTGGTTGCATCCCTGCAACTTTGAACTTCATTTTCGCGACGACTGTTTCCAACTGACATCTTCTTCTCAATCTCGGCAACAGCCTTAGCAATTCTTGTGATACACCTTTCTCCTTCTGAGCACAGCTTTCCTTTACTTTGTTTAGAGCTGTAATGACCTGATCGGATTTCTGACCTTCGGCGCGCCAGGTCAACGGGACACTCGCCACCATCTAGTGGCGACCGACGCCTCTGCCTATAGCTACAAAACCAAACCTGTCGCGCCTCGAGAGGGGAAGAAAAAAAGAAGGAAAAAAAGACCTTCCTCCCCCCCCCCCCCACGGCAACCTGATACTCAACGCCGCCGTCAAGATGTCTGGCGAAAATTATCAGCGCGATGTGTCGCAGTACAAGTACTCGGCGATGTCCAACCTGGTCCTCCAGGCGGACCGCCGTTTCGTGACGCGACGGACAGACGAAGCAACTGGCGACCCAGAATCGTTGGCGGGACGTCTTTCGATCACAGACATGGGCGCACGTGTCGCTCGCGACGCTGTTCCCAGACAAAAGAAGTTGAACCTGCCGGCTGTGGAGAGGGGCAACGTCCGCGAGGGCGAGGACATCCTGCGGCAGCAGCAGAAGAAGAAGGGGGCGGATCTGTCGAGAGGAGGAAGCATCCTGTCAGGGGCTGACGCCCTGGTAGAAGGCCTCCGGTACAGACCGCGGACCCAGGCGACAAGAGCGACGTTTGACCTGATCTTGACCATCGTGGCCAACAATCTTGGCGATGTGCCGCAAGAAGTGGTGCGCAGTGCTGCTGATGCAACACTGGAGTACCTCAAGGATGAGGATCTGAAAGATTTCGACAAAAAGAAGGAGGTTGACGATCTGCTCGGTGTCACTCTGAGCCCAAAGGAATTTAACGAGCTCATGAATCTGGGAAAGAAAATCACAGATTTCGACGCAGAAGACGACGACGAGGAGATGGCAGCTGCCGAGGACGAGGGAGAAATCGACGACCGTCAAGGTGTCGCTGTTGCATTCGAAGATGAGGATGAAGACGGCGATGGCATTGTCGACGAAGTCCGTGAGGACTCCTCGGAAGACGAAGACGAAGAAGATCGCCCAGGCCTCGAGGAGGAAGCAGCAGGCGGCAGCGCTGGCGAGGATAGAGACGAAGAAGAGGCAGGCTTAGCTGATGGGGATGCCATGATAATTGACTCGGCTCCAGCCCGCGGCAAGACACAGAAGAAGACCAGCGACGCCAACTCCATACCCGCCTTCCAGATCGATGCCTTCTGGCTCCAGCGACAGATAGGACGACTCTATCCCGATGCCCACATACAACACGACAAGACCATACAAGCCCTGCACATTCTGTCTGGAGAGCCAGACGAGGAGGGTGGTGACGAAAAGCAACTCCGAGAGATCGAAAACGACCTCATGGAGTTGTTCGACTATGAGCATCATGAGGTCGTTCAGGAGCTCATCGCAAACAGAGAGAAGGTTGTGTGGCTTACCAGATTGGCTCGCGCCGAGAATGCACAAGCACGTGAGATCATCGAGCGCGAAATGGCTTCCGAGGGTCTGCAGTGGATCCTTGATGAACTTCGTGGCAAGACTGGCGACGAGAAGAAGGGCAAGCTGGAGATCAAGATGGACATCGATAAGGCCGAGTTCAAGGAAGAGGCGAAGCCGGAGCGCCCAGAAGCTCACTTAATCGGCGGGCTGCAACCGAAGAAGCTGCTCAACCTGGATAACCTCGTCTTTGACCAAGGAAATCACCTGATGACGAACCCCAAAGTCAGACTGCCAGAGGGCTCTACGAAACGAGCAGGCAAAGGCTATGAAGAGATTCACGTCCCGCCTCCCAAGAAGCGCAACGACCCCAGCGATAACCTGATCCCCGTTTCCGAGATGCCAGAGTGGGCTCGGGAGCCTTTCAGTACCGTCAAGTCTCTCAACAAGATTCAGTCCAGATGCTATCCATCAGCTTTCGAAGACGATGGCAACATGCTTGTGTGTGCTCCGACAGGGTCTGGAAAGACGAACGTGGCGTTTTTAGCCATGCTGCGGGAGATCGGCAAGCACAGAGATCCAGAGACGGGAGAGATTGACTTGGATGCATTCAAGATTGTCAGCATCGCTCCCCTCAAGGCCCTGGTGCAAGAGCAAGTAGGCAATTTTGGCAAACGACTGGAGCCCTACGGAATCAAGGTATCGGAGTTGACGGGCGATCGTCAACTTACCAAGCAGCAGATCGCGGAAACCCAAGTCATTGTCACCACGCCCGAAAAGTGGGATGTCATCACCCGCAAGGCAACCGATACCTCTTACACCAATCTCGTGCGCCTGATTTGCATTGACGAGATTCATCTCCTTCACGACGATCGTGGGCCTGTTCTTGAGAGCATCGTCAGTCGAACCATCCGAAAGACGGAACAGACAGGCGAGCCGGTGAGAATCATCGGCCTGTCGGCTACCCTGCCCAACTATCGAGATGTTGGTAGTTTTCTTCGGGTTGATCCTGAGAAAGGCATGTTCCACTTCGATGGCACATATAGGCCTTGCCCCTTGCGACAGGAGTTCATTGGTGTCACGGAGAGGAAAGCCATCAAGCAGCTTAAGGTCATGAACGACGTCACATACAACAAAGTTCTGGAGCACGTGGGCAAGAACAGGAACCAGATGCTGATCTTCGTTCATTCGCGGAAAGAAACGGCAAAGACCGCCAAATACATCCGTGACAAGGCAATGGAGATGGATACTATTAACCAGATCTTGAAGAGCGACGTCGGCAGTCGCGAGATCCTACAGGAGGCTTCAGACCAAGCTACTGACAAAGATCTGAAGGACCTTCTTCCTTACGGTCTTGGTATCCATCATGCCGGTATGGGCCGCGCAGACAGGACTGATGTGGAAGACCTCTTCGCGGATGGACATATACAAGTTCTTGTCTGTACAGCAACACTCGCTTGGGGAGTCAATCTACCCGCACACACCGTCATCATCAAAGGCACGCAAGTCTACTCTCCCGAGAAGGGTAGCTGGGTGGAACTCAGCCCCCAAGATGTACTGCAAATGTTGGGCCGTGCTGGACGGCCTCAGTATGATACCTTCGGCGAAGGCATCATAATCACCAGCCAAGGAGAGATGCAGTACTACCTTTCTCTTATGAATCAGCAGCTTCCCATTGAGAGTCAGCTCGTCAGCCGCTTGGTGGATAACCTCAATGCAGAGGTCGTGCTGGGTAATGTACGGACCCGCGATGAAGGTGTCGACTGGCTGGGCTACACGTATTTGTTTGTGAGGATGCTCAGGTCACCTGGCCTCTACAGTGTCGGCGTTGAGTACGAGGATGACGAGGGCCTAGAGCAAAAGCGGGTGGACCTCGTTCATTCCGCGGCACATGTCCTACGGAAGGCGAACTTGATCAAGTATGACGAGAAGACCGGCAAGATGCAGGCTACCGAACTCGGGCGGATCGCGTCGCACTACTACATCACCCACGGGTCCATGGAGACGTACAACAACCTCATCCAGCCGTCCATCACCAACATCGAACTTTTCCGAGTCTTTGCACTGAGTGCCGAGTTCAAGTATATCCCCGTCCGGCAAGAGGAGAAGCTCGAGATCGCAAAATTGTTGACCAGAGTGCCGATACCCGTGAAGGAGAGTATCGAAGAGGCGCACTGCAAGATCAATGTGCTTCTCCAAGCGTATATCTCCCGCCTAAGGCTTGACGGCCTGGCCTTGATGGCTGACATGGTCTACGTTACGCAATCTGCAGGGCGTATATTGCGGGCCATCTTTGAGATTGCCCTGAAAAAGGGCTGGGCTTCTGTCGCCAAAACGGCTCTGAATCTCTGCAAAATGGCAGAGAAGCGAATGTGGCCCACGATGACACCCTTGCGGCAGTTCCACAACTGCCCAAGAGACATTGTTCAGAAGGCAGAGCGGACGGAAGTTCCATGGAGTAGTTTTTTCGATCTCGACCCTCCGCGCATGGGGGAGCTTCTGGGAATGCCCAAGGCAGGCCGAACAGTCGTTGGCTTTGTCAACAAGTTCCCAAGAGTCGAGGTTCAAGCACAAATCCAACCCTTGACGAGGTCCATGTTACGTGTCGAGTTGACGATCACGCCTAACTTTGAGTGGGACGAGGAGATACACGGACTTGCGGAGAGCTTTTGGATTCTCGTGGAGGACTGCGACGGCGAGGAGATGTTGTTTCACGATACTTTCCTCCTACGCAAAGATTACGCTGAGGCGGAGTCGAATGAGCATGTCGTCGACTTCACTGTCCCCATCGTAGATCCTATGCCCCCTAATTATTTCATTTCAGTCGTCTCTGACCGATGGATGCATTCTGAGACCAGGATCGCTGTCTCGTTCCAGAAACTCATCCTCCCAGAGAAGTTCCCTCCTCACACGGAACTTCTCGACCTTCAGCCTCTTCCGGCATCCGCTCTGAAGGTGAAAGAGTATGTTGCACTGTATCCCCAGTGGGATCGCTTCAACAAGATACAAACGCAGACCTTCAACTCTCTTTATTCCACAGACAACAATGTCTTTGTGGGTGCGCCGACAGGAAGCGGCAAGACTGTCTGTGCAGAGTTTGCACTTCTCCGCCACTGGTCTCAATCTGATGCTGGACGTGCTGTCTATGTTGCACCTTTCCAAGAGCTTGTAAATATCAGGTTCCAGGACTGGCAGAAGCGCCTTTCTGGTCTAAGAGGCGGCAAGGACATCGTCAAGTTGACTGGCGAGACTGCAGCCGATCTCAAGCTGCTCGAGCAGGGTGATTTGATCCTGGCGACGCCAATCCAGTGGGATGTCTTATCAAGGCAGTGGAAGAGGAGAAAGAATGTGCAGGCCGTCGAGCTCTTCATTGCTGATGAGCTGCAACTCTTGGGCGGCTCTACGGGCTACGTCTACGAGACCATAGTGTCCAGGATGCACTACATCCGCACGCAGACGGAAAAGTCAATGAGGATTGTTGGCCTCGGCGTCTCGCTCGCCAATGCCAGGGATGTGGGCGAATGGATTGACGCCAAGAAGCACGACATCTACAACTTCAGTCCGCATGTTCGCCCTATCCCGTTGGAGCTCCACATACAATCATACACCATTCCTCATTTCCCATCTCTCATGCTCGCGATGGCCAAACCGACATACCTCGCCATCACTCAGATGTCTCCAGACAGGCCTGCTTTGGTCTTTGTTCCCAACCGGAAACAAACACGAGCTACGACGAGGGACATTCTCACGGCGTGCCTGGCAGAGGACGACGAGGACCGGTTCCTTCACGTCGACACCCAGCAGATCCGACCCCTCCTCGATCGTGTACACGAGGAAGCCTTGGCTGAGGCCCTGTCCCATGGTGTCGGCTACTACCACGAGGCCCTCAGCAACGATGACAAGCGGATCGTCAAGTATTTGTACGACAATGGCGCCATACAGGTGCTAGTAGCATCTCGCGAAGTCTGCTGGGAGCTCGACTGCACCGCCCACCTCGTCATTGTGATGGGCACACAATACTTCGAGGGTCGTGAGCACCGATACGTGGATTACCCCATGACCGACGTCCTGCAGATGTTCGGCAAGGCTCTGCGCCCATCGGCGGACGGTCGGGGACGCGGTGTCCTCATGGTTCCCGGAGTGAAGAGAGAGTACTACAAAAAGTTCCTCAACGAAGCGCTGCCCGTCGAGTCACACCTCCACTCATACTTACATGACGCTTTCGTTACAGAGATCAGCACCCGCATGATCGAATCTGGTGACGATGCTATCAACTGGATGACGTTTACGTACTTCTACCGCCGCCTGCTGGCCAACCCGAGCTTCTACAGTCTGCTCGATACCACGCAGGACGCGCTTAGCCAATACCTGTCAGACCTTGTAGAGACGACCCTCAAGGAACTTGACGAATCCAAGATCATCGAGTTCGACGAAGAGGACGGTTCTGTGACGCCTCAAAACGCGGCCATGATCGGTGCTTACTACAACATCTCATACATCACCATGCAGACCTTCCTGCTCTCGCTCAGCGCGCGCACGAAGCTCAAGGGCATACTTGAAATTGTGACGTCGGCGACCGAATTCGAGGCCATCCAGATCCGCAGGCACGAGGATAGTCTTCTGCGACGCATCTACGATCGCGTGCCGGTCAAGATGTCCCAGCCCGACTTTGACTCGCCACACTTCAAGGCGTTCGTACTGCTGCAAGCGCACTTCTCCAGGATGCAGCTGCCAATTGACTTGGCCAAGGATCAAGAAGTCATCCTGACCAAGGTCATCAGTCTTCTCAGCGCGACTGTTGATATTCTTTCCTCGGATGGCCACCTTAATGCCATGAACGCTATGGAGATGTCACAGATGGTGGTCCAGGGCATGTGGGATCGCGACAGCCCGCTCAAGCAGATTCCTCACTTCACTTCGGAGGTGGTCAAGGTGGCCAACAAATTCGGCATCAAGGATATCTACGACTTCATGGAGGCGATGAACCCCGAGGAAAATCCTCAGTACAGCGAGCTCATCAAGGCCATGGCTCTGTCCCAAAAGCAACTGTCCGAGGCTGCCATGTTCACCAACAGCAAATACCCCGATATCTCCCTTGAGTTTGAGGTCGAGGATCCCGAGAACCTGCACGCAGGCGAACCGTCGTTCCTCAACATTCAAATCGAGCGCGAGGTGGAGGAAGATGACGAGGTCGACCTCGTGGTTCATGCGCCGTTTTACCCAGCCAAGAAGGCGGAGAACTGGTGGCTGGTGGTGGGTGATGAGAGCTCCAAGACGCTCCTGGCTATCAAGCGTGTCACGGTGGGGCGCCAGCTGAAGGTCAAGCTGGAGTTCACGGTGCCTACGCCTGGAAAACACGAGTTGAAACTCTTCTTGATGAGCGACAGCTACGTTGGGGTGGATCAGGAGCCTGGGTTCGAGGTCACAGTGTCTGAAGGGATGGAGGTTGATGAGGAGAGCGATGACGAATAGACGGGACCTGAGCCAGGGTCGAGCATCGAGCCGAGCGAACGATCGGGCACCGATGGTTCCGACCGTCCCACAAGATATTTTCTCTTCGCTCAAGGATATTTATCATCGAGATCAATGGCTAGGAAGAAATAGTGGAAAAGTGATGGCGTTACAAGGGGGCCTACAATGGTGTGGTCTATATGTTACAAGAATTGAGTTTGCTTGAATCAACATTTTCTAATCGATTGTGGGTAGGTCTGTGTGGTATTTATGATGAGATTTGGGGATGACAGGCCCAACGGCAACGGGTCCAACATGCATTCCCACCAGTGACGCGGGCGGGCAAGACAATGAAGAGGCGTGCCTTGTCTGGATGGATTTAGCGCCTTGGGCAATGGGCATGATGATGCTCAGCTTGCTGGATCAGAGGAGGTTTCTGCACGAGCAGCCAATGAGATGAGCAGACAGAGGAGGAGGAGGGGGTCTAAAGGGGGGGGGGGGGGTGGACTGAGCTGAGGAGGAAGCCCTTGGATGAGACTGGTCTTGCCAATTATTGTGTGCGCATGTCAGAGTGCCTAATGAGTGTGAGAGCGTGCGCCAGCGCATTGTACCTGATCTGGGGAAGAAGGGGGGAGGCTCAGGGCGCCAAGGTGGTTGGGATCCTGGAGGGCCAAGTATCCACCGCCCAATGTGGAAGAGCAACGAACAGACAGAAGAAGAAGAAAAAATAACACACGAGAGATCGACGCGAACGGCCTGCACTTGTAAAAGCAGTAGCTCCAGCCTCCCTGACCTCCATCTGTCTCCGCCCTCTCTGCCTCTGCAATCACCACCAGCCCACTACCAACTATTTTCCTAAGCAACTTTTGCCCTTTTTTCTTCTTCTTGCGCACACCACTCACCCTAACCCTTACGTGCCTAGCACTACCTTGCCTTTTTTTTTTCTTTCGGTTTGGTTTTTTTTTCGTTACTGCTTCCTTGGCCCCAACCAGGCATCTAGAACAATCCCAGTCATTCCCGCCGATAAGCAGAGGTCCAACTGGAGCTCTGCAAGAGAACTTTCGGCCGCCTCTCCAACTTTCTCTGCTCAACCCAGTACACTGTCGTCACAACGTTTTCTTTTGGCTTCCTCTTCTCTCATCCAAACCTCACCCATCATCCATCGGCGCATCACCACCCATCAATTCCCATCTTCAATCTCTACAAACTCCCATCGACGACGCGATTGACGCGTTCATACACGTCGGTCTCTAGCCAAACCTTGCTTTTTGTATCCCTCACGCGCCGCTCGCGCAGCACGTTGCCGCCAACCATCACCATGTCTGACGAAGCCAGCGCGACTGCTGCGCAGCCCATGGAGGTTGACAGCAGCACTGCGCCCGCCAAGACAGACGATACTGCAGCAGCTCCTGCCGCCGCTCAGGACGAGTCTGCTGAGCCTGCCAAGGAGGAGGAGCAGCCCACCAAAGCTGCTAATGGTCGGTCATCTCTCCTTTCCTGCCCTACACTCCAACTTTGGTCTTGCGATTCCAGCTCAGCAGCGTTCACTGACTATCGCATCATAACAAACAGAGCCTGCCGAGGAGCCTGACGTCGACATGAAGGACGCCTCTGATGCCGCCGACGCCGCAGAGAGCGCAGCGAAGGAGAACGAAGACAAGCCCGAGAACGCGGATGCTGCGCCATCTACTGCCAGTGGTGATGCTGCCGCCGCGACTGCCACACCCAAGAATAAAGCCCCCGCCCGACGGAAGTCGACCGCCGGCGAGAGCGCCAAGGGCAAGAAGCTGAACAAGAAGGCGAGCAAGGCTGCTATACTGCACACAGATGCCAAGCCTGGCGAGCACTACTTCATAAAGCTGAAGGGCTTTCCGCAGTGGCCATGCATCATCTGCGACGAGGACATGCTGCCGCACGCTCTACTGAAGTCTCGCCCTGTCAGCGCCGCGCGTCCCGATGGTCAATACCGTGAGGACTTCGCCGACGGCGGCAAGCGCGCGGCTGACCGGACTTTTCCGATCATGTACCTCGCCACCAATGAGTTGTGAGTGTTGCCCCTACACCGTCGCGGCCACCGCCAAGGCGCTCTCTCTTTCTCTCCACCTACACCTACATTACACAAGCTGACTATTTGTTCTTCTCTCAAACAAGTGGCTGGGTTTCCAACAAGGATCTGATTGATCTCGACCCCGAGAAGGTCATGGAGCAGGTTAATGCCAAGATGCGCAAGGACCTGATCGTCGCCCACCAGCTTGCCGAGGAGCACCACGACCTCGCCTACTACAAGGGTGTCCTGAATCAGTTCCAGGAGGAGCTGCTCGAGAAGCAGAAGGCTGCCGAGGCCAAGGCTGCAGCGGCTGCAACTCCCAAGGCCAGCAAGAAGAAGACCAAGGCGGCTGCTGCTGCTGCTGACGAGGATGTCGACATGGAGGACATCGACGATGAGCCCAGCGCCAAGAAGGAAAAGAAGCGCAAGAACCCCGAGGATGCAGAGACCCCCCAGCGCTCTGACTCGGTCAAGAAACCCAAGATCAAGCTCACGAACAACACGCCCAAGTCTAACGGCACAGGCGCAAAGGCCACCAAGGGTGGTAGCGAGGCGAAGAGCTCCAAGAAGGCCAAGAAGCTCAAGGAAGACTCAGAAGAGCGGTTGCAGACACCCAAGGAACCTGAAATGAGCGCTGAGGACCGATTCGAGCGCAAGAAGAAGGAGGTCCTCTTCCTCCGCCACAAGCTCCAGAAGGGACTCCTCACCAGGGATCAGCAGCCCAAGGAGGAGGAGATGAAAATGATGTCGGACTACCTGACTAAGCTCGAGAGCTTTCCCGATCTGGAGACTGAGATCATCCGGGTCACCAAGATCAATAAGGTTCTGAAGGCCATGCTCAAGCTAGACAACATTCCCAAAGAGTCAGACTTCGAGTTCAAGCCTCGCTCACAGGTCCTGCTCGACAAGTGGAACAAGCTCCTCGCGACGGAGGATGGCTCCGCCCCTGCCGCATCTGAAGAGGCCAACGGGGTCAATGGCCACAAGACTGAAAAGCCATCCGGCAAGGAGACGAAGTCTGCTGTCAATGGTGCTGAGAAGACTGACACCGAGGAGCCCGAGGCTCCCAAGAAGGATGCTAAGGCTGGCGTGAAGGAGGCAGAGGAGGACACACAGGTGGACACTCCTGCTCCTGAGGTGGACCAAGAAACAAAGGAGGGAACCTCTACCGAAGAGAAACCTCAGGTTGAAGGGGTACGTCATGCTTGAGATTTGCACTACCAGCCCCTTAGATGCTATGCGAACCAGGAACTAACAAGTGTCAGGACACCAAGGCTTCCGAGGCCGTCGACACCGCAGCTTAGGGCGAGCCATGATGAATCCCGACCGTTTGCAAGACCAGATTCATTTGAAGATGATGACATTGATCGTCTAAAGATCGAGACTTGGAGGCGTCAAGTGTATATTACGAAACTCCCGTTGTGCTTTTCAGGCACGTGGAAGGATAAACGGGCTAACGGCCATGCGACTTTGCTTCGGCTTTTCTGACCGAGTCCCTCATAGGATCAACGACGGGCGACCACGCCAATGTTTGTATTCAGGCAGGAAAAACAACGGAGGCACCAGGTTTGTTTGTTAATTGGGGCTGTCAAAATTGAAAATGAATTCGAAAGGAGGTCCAACAACCTAAGGCAGATTTTGCAAAGGGTTATCCGAATAGGGCGGCTTTTGCATGAATTTTACCCAGTATGGACCTATCATGGGCTCCAGGCTGAACCACTGTGACAATGAAAGGGGTTGCAGGTTCTTAGAGGTGTTACGGCATCGTGCTTTCACACTTTCGGCAGGGGCAAGAGGAAAATCAGAAGAAAAGAAAAAAACAAAAACAAAACACAAAAAGAGAGAGAGAGAGAGAGCGTCAGAGGACTTCACTGGGATAATGCAAATAGCTCGTATCTCATACGACGAATTCAATGACAGACCTATTTCAAAAAGAGAAAAGTGATGAAGAATAAAGAGGGGGGGCCAGCTTGCGTAAGAACCATGAAGAAGATGTGGGCAGCCTGCAACATGTACAATGGAGCATAGAGATTTTTTGAATTGCCGTGTGTACTTGCTCGCTATTCAGGATGTGTCTATTGAATATGTGGGAATCATGTGTTTCTATGTGTGCGCTACGCTACGCTGGTGTAATTGTAACTGTAAGTGTGCTTGCTGCGCTGTTGTGCTGTGGGTAGGCGGTAACTTAAGCTGATCAGGCCCAAGCAAGGGGCTGCAGCTGCCGCCACTCACAGCCTCGATCTGAGACGCGTTTTCCAATATGGCAAATCTTCTCTCAAAACACACGCCCACACAGATTCACACAGTAAATGGCCCTAGCTACACAATCCTCGCACAGATGGATCGTGACGAGACGGAATTCGTACATGATGACCATAGAGTAAGTCCGTTAATCGTCAAAAAACTCAAGTCGAACCTTGCTCACAGGATTCCTAGGTCGCGTTCGTCTTCGGGCAAGACGAGGAGACGGCCGAGCGAACATCCCGCCCCACGAAGCGGAGGAAAGTCTCCAAGAAGAGTGCCGCGGTAGAACCCAAGCAGCGCCACCATTCTGACTCGACCGTGGACTTTTTTCCACTCTTCAATGGCGCCGAGAAGCCTACGCTCGTGGCCTTGAGGCAGAAGCAGTTCGCGGCGAGCTGGGCTGCTATCAACGCCCGCATCCAGGTAAGGATCATGCACCCCCCTTTCCCCATCACTGATGTCGCGAAATACAAGACGATATTGATACTGAACTTCATCTTTTCAGAATGTGCTGAGAGACTCCAACCGCACCACCCTTGTTGCCGTTTCCTCTTTTGTGCAGGAGGCGCCCGCAGAGGAGCCAGGCAAGATCCCCACGGCGCTCATCGTCACAGGACCCAATGTCGCGTCACAGGATCTACTGTTTGCGCAACTGGCCGAGAGCCTTGGCCAGGACGCCGAGGGACGGCGGTTTGTGCGGCTGCGGTCGGCGGAGGCGCCGAATTTAAAGGCGACGCTGAAGAAGATTATTCGGGACGGGACGAGGACAGCTGCTGATGAATGGGAGGACGCCGAGATAGATTCAGGCAAGGATGTGAGTGCGGTCGATAGAGGGAGAGGTAGTAAGAGAGAGAGAGAGAGAGAGAGAGAGAGAGAGAGAGAGAGAGAAGGGGTCATTTTTGCTGACTACGCTGATCACTGCGGAGCAGGGCCGAAAGTATCTCGACTATGACTTGGAGGCTTTGTACGCACACATTGGACACCACGAGTGCAAACAGGTTATCGTCGCGTTCCAGGACAGTGAGGCCTTTGACACGGCTCTCTTGACTGACTTGATTACGCTGTTCAAGTACGCCCTCTGGTCATTTCATCTCTCTGCCCCCGTCCACGTACTTTACTAATGCGCATCGCCAGCTCTTGGAGGGATCGTATCCCTTTCACCCTGATCTTTGGCATTGCGACATCGGTTGAGCTTTTCGAGGCCCGACTGCTCAAGTCGACTAGCCAATGTCTATATGGCGCGCAGTTCGATGTCGTCCAGATGTCTTCAATCCTGGAGAGTGTCTTCAAGTGCGCAGTCGCCCATCAAGGCTGCAGTCTGAAGCTCGGCCCTGTATTTCTCAGTAGCCTCGTGGAGCGTCAGCACATCCAAGTGGCTGGTATCCAGATATTCATCAGCTCGTTGAAGGTAAGTCTGGTTGGTGCCCTCTTGAGCCGAGACGATTCCATTGTTAACACTATCCAGTACGCATACATGTGCCATTTCTATGCCAATCCCCTCTCCATTCTTCTGTCTAGAGCAGCTTCCCCGCAAGCAGAGCATAACGAGGCACTCCGAAACCTCCCATCCTTCCGCACCCATGTCGAGGATGCTGTGGAAGCAGGCAGGCTGAAGTACGCGAGACATCTCCTCGAGAACGACGAGTACCTCGACCAGCAACGGACAGCAGCTCTGAAATCTACGCTGAACTGGGAGGATCGTTTTCTCAGATCGTTGGCGCTGCTTGAGGCCAGTGAGGCTTCACAGGACGACTTCATCACCATGTACATCAACGCACTTGCTGAAGGCATCGACCTTCATTCTCAGGAATCGCCGATCTTAGGCTCAGTTAGGCGCATGTCAGCAACTGACATCTCGTCATTGCTCGGACGGCTTATTAGCGTGATCCATTCCGGCAGATCAGAGCTTGGCCTCAAGGGCTGGGCTGACGAGGACCCAGACACCATCCGAAGCCTATCCGGTATGGCAGAGCGAACTGCTTTGCTCCAAGTGCAGGCCCAACGCAAAGGCAAACCACTACGAAGTCAATACAGCGCGCAGAGCAGGGTCCTTCGGACGACCGTCATCGCCCAGAAAGTTCAGCTGAGCCAAGATGAGTCAAACTTGACAAAAGAGGACAAGGCCTTCACTGAGTTGGTCGACAGTGTCTCTGCGCTGCTGGCCACGACCATCTCATGCCAGGCAGCAGACACGGTGTTTTTACACGAGCTGTGGATGTACGAATCCAAGTCACCGTACAAAGACGTGTTTACCCCGCGGCTAGGCTCTCTGTTGGAGCGAGCCCTGTCGAGGCCGCATGACTACCTGGCGTGCGCTTGTTGCAGCCACGTGGTGGATGGAGGCAACGGCGCAAGTCTCCCGACGACGAGCATACTATATCATCTGTACCAGGAAACCGGGGCGCTTATTAATGTTGCCGACCTGTGGTCAGCGTTCTATGGGCTCATTGGCATGGATGAGGATGCCGAGAGACGGCTCGAATCGACCTCGTCAGAATCGAAATCACGCAGCAATGATGGCTATGATGAACGTAGCGCTCTGGTGCTCTTCTACCGCGGTCTAGCTGACCTAAAGGCGATGGGCTTCGTCAAGGCGACTCGGCGCCGGGCAGACCATATTTCCAAGAACAAATGGCTCTTGTGAAACGTGTGTGAAGGGGCGGGACGGCGCTCCCGAGCTCGACGCTTGCTTTTTGACTAGAAGACTCAAAGACTCGTTGCGAATACGCGTGCGAGAGAAATGGGAAGAGAGACGGGTAAAATCTCGTGTTTCCCGACGAAAGGAAACTGACTAGATTTGAGTCTAGGCTGGCCCGACAGGACGGTAATACCCTTTTCCATAAATGCCCTTTTCCATTTGCGGTCAACCATGACTCTGAGGAACATGCGTGGAATCCCCAACTTGAGGCAGTGATCGTCCCAGCGTCTGAGACACGCTCCGTCATGAATATTAAGTCTTCTCTTTGCATCTGCCCCTTTGCGGCGAAACCACGGCAAGACGAACTTCCCCGGCCTTTCCAGCCAAGCAATGCACCCGGCCCCCAAAGTTTTACTTGGTTGACAAAATGTGAAAGTCTTTGAGCTATGAAGAGACACGTGGACAAAAACGACAAAGAACTCCGAGGCTCAAGGCTCCTTTCTAGTCCTTTCTCCACCAACCTATTTTCTGGGCATGCGAGCGGGCCGAGCATTCGACAAAGGCAAAGTGTTTTATTATAGTCAGGGCAATCAAGAACATGTACAAAACCCACTTGGCCAGACCCCAGCGTGAGGGCAAAGCAGAACGGATATTTATGCTAGCCACAACTCTTGCAAAACTTTATTACCTGTTCACCACTCACTCACAACTACGACTGGAGAAGACTTGGGACGTATAAAGGTGCCTTAACAAGAAACATCTTTGTGACAGATCACTAGTACTGGCTATTAATACTTACCAGTCACCAACGTCTAGAGGTCATCAGGCACACAGCCTAGAAGGGATTCTTTCTTTTTTTCTTTCTTTCTCTCCCCTTTTCTTTCCTTCTCGTTATCACTATCTTGTCACCGTCTCAACATCGTCTTTCATTCGTCCCAAATTCGTCTGAATCACTGGAAATCTATTATTCAATTATTTGCTCCCACAACCAGGCCTGACTGTGAAGGCAAGCCTTTAAGACTCACTCACTTCACGCTCTGGGTTCATACTTCTGTAAACTATATAAGCCCATATATTCTCATACATGATATAATTACGCCACACTATTCTAACTCCCTCCATCTTTTTTTCTTTATTCTCTACTCTGCAGCATAATATCTTGCTCTCTTTACCTGCCGCAGGTAATAACCACACACAAACGCACATAAACAAATCATACACACAAATCAAGCCACACATACGTACAGGCCAGAAGAAAGCAAAGAGAAGGAAAGAAAAGAAAAAAAAACATGACCAACTTCAGTATGAACCAAGGCAGCAGCCACAACACCCCCCCACCGCCCTCGCCACACCTACCCCGTGATCCGAACAACAGCAACAACCACCACGGCACCAACACGCCGCAGGGCCTGGGCCAGCGCCGGACGAGGACCAACGAGGCCCTGGACAAGAAGCTCGAGCAGATGGCCCTCCCGCTCGCGCCGCTCGTCCAGCTCACCTCGGGCCACGTCCACCCTGCCTTTCCCTCGACGCTGCTCAACTTCTGGCTCCTGACGGACGCCCAGCTCGACGAGATTGCGCACTTTTATCACCAGCGCACGCCGTCCCCGTGGACGCGCCACTATCCTTGTCCCATCACTTGGGTGGAGGGACTGAGTCTCGAGGAGAAAAGACGCAAAATTGGAAAATTTATTGGCTTGAGAGGGGTGAGTTTTTCTTCCCTTTTTTCCTCTGGCTTTTTTTTCCTTCACTTTTTATGAATAACTCGTCGAGAGAAGAAGAAGAAAAAAAGTCGTACGCTAACAAGGTGATATGTATAGTGCGAGACACCAATAATCATCAAGACCGAGGAGCAGATCATGGACGAGGCCCGCCAGGCACGGATAAAGAAGGACGGGGACGAGGCCCTCAGGAACAAGATGTCGTGGTATTACTAGGAGTATGACCACCGCTGTTGAATTCGCCTGACGACTTGGAGTCGCGGATTCCAACGACATACATCTGGAAACCTTGGCGACAACATCCCCACGGATAGAGAACAAGGCCATCCCCCCCCCCCCCTCCGGTAACAACAAAACAGCATCAGCGTTGATTTTTGCATAGCTGTCTCGGCATCAGATACCATGATAGACAACCTTCAAGAGCAGCAAGGAGTTCGCGTCTAGTTGGATGCCAAAGCAACTTCCTTCTTTCTTTTTCTCTCTTCTATTAGCAAGAGCATTTGTAACAACAATACCAGTTTCTCCCTATTGGGTACTCAGATCGGTCCATGTCTTCCTGTCTTACCCGCCCGAGTGCCTCAGACGAAGAAAATGTGTGAAGCCAAACCTCAAAAAACGCCGCGCAGCCGTGATCATGCCGTATGAATGTGCCCGACACCCAGTGTTTCCTCGTCTTGAGCAGCAACCGAGTAGTTTATTTATACAACCCCGAGGGGGCCCGAAGCGTTCTGTAGTGTTCTGCCCCATCGGGCAGGAGAGTTGTCCATATATCTGCAATCTGGGAGGAGCAGGTCTATTTCTTCCCCTTCTTCTTCTTGCCCCCGCCGCTTGATGATGTTGGCCTCTCGGCTGGCGTACCGGCATCTACGAGGATTCCGTCGTCGCTGGGTATCTTCTTCTCACCCTCCTGCTCGAGCTCCTTCATGAAATCCGAGGAGATGGCTGCGCGGCGCTTCTCCCACCACTCGGTCTCGGCTTGCGTCTTGGACTGGATCTCGTCAATCTTGTCGTGGAACATGGTGTTGGCGGCGATCTCGTTGGCGGTTTGGAAGATGGTTTGTCCCCAGTTAGGTGCAAGGCCGTTAGCCTACGTGTGATGGTCAGTTAGTGTTTTTTACTATCTCTCGTGCGAAGAAGAAGGGGAAGGGGGGAAGCAGTCCCCGCCTTTCTCTTCCTCCTCTCCCGAGATCGACAGTCTTAGTAGAATTATGATCGCATACCTCCATCACAACATCACGCAGCTCAGCCTCCATCTCGCTCTCGGCGCGCGTGAAGCGCTGCCACAGGTCGTCACCGACGCTACCCTTTGCCAGCAGGTTCGAGCAAGCCTGCTTCGCTGTGCGGATCTGTATGATGCGGTGGATGTCCTCGACGGCGCGGCGGATCAGAGCGGCGCGGAGTATGCTCTCGGGAACTTTGGGGGCCTTCTCCTGGCCGTCCTCAGGCTCCATATGGAGGAGCGATAGATAGATGTTTCGCTGTAGGTGTGGGCCGAACCATGGCTCGAGGTTTGCCTTTTGCGCTGTTGTGTGTGTCAGCCCGGCTTCGCCCTCCCAGTCTCCATGTAGAATAGTGAATAAAAAAGAATTGATCGCATGGTTACTTACAAGCTTTGCGCTTCCTGTAAACGCTGGAGAAGGTAACGAAGGTGCCGCCTAGGACTAGCACGTAGGCGATGGGGAGGATGAGGCCCCTCCAATCTAATGAGAACATGATGGTTGCACGCGCAGTGTCTAGAAGTTGTATTAAGAAAGAAGGAGGGGGAAAAAATAACTTTGGCCGGACAAGGTGGTAAGAAAGGAGGGTGAGAAGGAAGAATGAGTCCAGAGAGGGTCACAGACACGGTTGTTGTTGGTCAAGGACCGTCCGGAATTGGCATCTGAAAGGAAAAAGCCAGGTTGAGGTTGTGTGTGTACCTTCGGTAAGAGAGGCCACACTTCAACATTGCGACTCAGCTGTCACTTTCCATTCACTCTTCTGCCGCTAGCTCAAGTACCATAGTAGAACCCTGCATGGTGGTGGCGGCCGGCAGTCTCTGCCTGCCCTGTACGCTACAGTATAAGCTTCCTGGTCTCCGTTTATTCTGCTGGTCTATGCACAACGAGGTACGTACCTGATTGCAGCACATAAAGCTGGTATCTAAGCTTTCGTCATTGCCGTCCTGCCTGCTGGTTCACTAACAGTGGCCATAGCTTGAGCACATCCTCCCACCTTCTGACTTTACTGTCCTCTGCATAATTTGTCCTACACACTTTATAATCCATTGGTCACCCTCTATTGACATTGTCGATTTCTTCTTGGGAAGAAGCTTTCAGGGTCAACAAACCCTTTGCACAAACCAGCAGACAGAGACGCAGTCGCGACAGACCCCTCCTTGTACTTGCCACCACAGAAGCCCGGGTACACGAGTCGACCCCTCCATTAATCACCACAGGCTTGACCCTCACTACCTCCTCTCCACCACCAAATTGGAAGCCTTGTAAACAACCATCATCCGAATATTGTCAAGATGTTGTTGAGAGTTCGTGGGCCAGATGGCATGCTACGCATTACCATCGAGAAGGACGAGACATTCGCCGACCTGACCCAGAAATTCCTACCGCAACTCCCTCCGACTGTCGACCCTAGTACCATCTCCTTCTCAAACCACCCCGGCGGCAATGATCCCAAGACCTTTCACGAGATAGCGCACCTTGCTATTGGCCAGGTCGGCCTTAGCCATGGAGATATGATCTTCATCAAGTACGGCCACGCACAAGTCATAGGCAACGGCGTCACGAACGGGGACCTGGACATCAAGGGCAAGGGTAAGGCGGCGCCCTTGGACTCGTCAACCAACCGGCTCAACGGACAGCCTGTCCTGCCTACCGAAGATGTCCTCATCGACCCGCCGCCCCTGTCCTCACCAACAAGAGAGAGAATCAAGAACCCTTGGGAGGTCGTTGTCCAGTCCAAGCTCGACGACGCCCTGGACAAGAAGGAGGGAAAGATCAAGCGGAAGATGGACAAGATGTGCCGACATGGCCCCAAGGGCATGTGCGACTACTGCCAACCTCTCGATCCCTTCGACGCCAAGTACCTCGACGAAAAGAAGATCAAGTACATGTCCTTCCACTCGTACCTTAAGAAGATCAACGCCGACAAGAACAAACCCGAGACAGGCAGCTCGTACATACCACCTCTTGTCGAGCCATACTACAGAGTCAAACGAGACTGTCCGTCGGGTCACCCCCAGTGGCCCGAAGGCATCTGCACAAAGTGCCAGCCGAGCGCCATCACGCTGCAGCCCCAACAGTTCCGTATGGTGGACCACGTTGAGTTCGCGGAACCCGCTATTATCGACACCTTTCTCGACGCCTGGCGTAAGACTGGAGCACAGCGCATAGGTTTTATGTATGGTCGGTATGAGGAATATGATGTGGTCCCTCTGGGTATCAAGGTGGTTGTCGAGGCCATATATGAGCCGCCCCAGGTGGATGAAGTCGACGGCGTCACCCTGAATCCTTGGGAGAACGAGAAGGAGGTCACCGAGACCGCTCGGCTGTGCGGACTGCAGCAGGTCGGTGTGATATGGACCGATCTCCTGGATACTGGCGCCGGTGATGGCTCAGTGGTGTGCAGACGACATGTGGACTCTTATTTCATCGCATCGCAGGAAATCTGCTTCGCGTCACGCTTGCAGGCACAACACCCAAAGTCCTCCAAGTGGAGTGACACTGGTCGTTTTGGCTCCGACTTTGTCACATGCATCATATCAGGCAACGGAGAGGGCGGTATCGAGGTCAGTGCATACCAGATGTCGAACGATGCGATCGAGATGGTCAGGGCCAATATCATTGAGCCCTCGGCAGACCCTCAGCGGATGTTAGTCCAAGAGGAAGAAGAGGACGACGGCTCGACCAGCAGGACGCGGTATATTCCCGAGGTGTTTTACCGTCAGATCAACGAGTACGGTGCGAATGTACAAGAGAATGCGAAACCGGACTTCCCAGTCGAGTATCTCTTTGTCACCTTGACACATGGTTTCCCCGACAAGGCACAGCCGGTGTTTAAAGATCACGGTTTTCCCATTGAAAACCGGGAGCTCATGGGCGAGGTGCAAGAGCTCAGCTCGGTGGCACGGAAGCTCAAAACCAGCTCGCAGTCCGGCAACGGACAGATTGTTGTGTCAGACTTTCACTTCCTCTGTTTCCTGCGCCTCATGGATGTGCTGACCAAGGTGGGTTGGAGATGCTGTGACATAAAGTTGCAGCCCATTTACTGACCGATGTACTCACAGGATGAGGAGGCACTACTGTGCCGTGTGGCCGTCGGCCATGATCTCGCGGATGCATTTCAACTCAAATCGACCACCGGGTGGCAGACATTGTTGGCAATCTTGCAGTCGACTGGTGAGAGATTCCCTTCCAAACGCCGCCGTGAAGAGTCCAAAAATACGGACGCCGGCCCCGCCTCCAACTCCCCCTTTCGTGTAGACCATTCCGACTCTGAGGCCGAACATCTTGCTAAGCGCGTTGCTGCGGTTAGGCTAAACCGACTCGCGAGCGACAACTGATTCCGCTGTCGTCTTTACCTTGGGAGGATAGAGAACTGGTGGCGGGCTCTATTCTGCTCGTAGCCCAGGTCGCATCCGAGAGATCTTTTATAGACAATTCATGATCGGGAAGGAGTCTGGCCATTCGGGAACTTGGGCGTTGATGGAATATTGGGAGGAAGTAAATGCATTAGAGAGACAGGTCGAATGCATAGCATGAGATGAGATGATGATAGGACCTTCTCCGTCCCTTCAAAGAAGGGGAACAAAAGTTCCAAGTCTTACAAATCGCCGCTGCTTTCCCGCCACCGTGATGTATGCGATCACATATGACATGCACTGAACAAGAGCAGCAGTTGGGACTGGAACATGACCGATTTTTGAAGAGTCGTGTGTTGTCAAATTGCCAGTCCCGGTGGTATTTTTGAGAGTGAGCAATTGGTTTCATAATAATACAAGTTGACTGGCCGACTTCCATTACATTCAACTCCCTCTCTTTATACACTACTTGACTACTCTCCCGCTTGCCCCTCATTGGCGCGCCGCCACGCTGCCTTCTTGGCGCTGTTGCTCACCCCCATCTCCTTCTTTGCCGTCGCGAGGAGCTCATTGACCACGGCCACGTCATTGGGATATATCTGCTGCAGCTTGGCATAGTAGTGCTCGACCAGGATGTGGTGCATGATGCGCGGGTCCTTGACCGCCTCCAGCGGCTCGTCGGCAGGGAGGAAGCCGTGCTGTTGCAGGCCCTGCAAGCGCTCCTGCAGGCGCATGGTGGCGCGGAGGACCAGCTTGGCCATGCGCGGGCTGGGGCGGTCGATGCGCTCCTGCTCGGCGAGCATCTCGAGGGCCAGAGCGCGCGAGATGTCGAAGCGCAGGACGTCGCGTAGGCCCTGGAGGGCAGCCAGCAGGCCCGGCCAGTCGTTGGCCTTGCGGAAGCTGTGCAGGATCAGCTTGACCTGGTTCTCGGACAGGCTGCCGCGGCGGGCGCGGTAGTGGCCCGAAAACACCCAGCTGCTGGCGAGCATGTCGCGGAAGACGTCCCTCGCCTGGCGGGCGGCCTGCTCGCGCACCGCGGGCTGAAGCGAAGGGCCCGGGAGCTGGTTGACGGGAAGCGAGCGGAACAGGATCGCAAAGGTGTCGGCGTTGGGCAGGATGTCGTGTTCGTGCACCATAAGGCTGTACAGCTCGCGCGCCTTATCACCCCTGCCCTGCGCGACGGCGGATGCGATCAGCTCGTTCATCATCATCGCATCGCCGCCCATCGCGCACTCCTGGTATGCGACGAATAGCTCCTCTAGGCGGCCAAACAGCGAGCGCTCGCGGTAGTTCTCGGCGAGGATGACAAAGGTCTCGACGGTCGCGCGGGGGACCATGGTGTAGTCGAGCTCAGGGCCCTCGTGGTCCGAGCGGCTGGGCCGGCCGTCGACGAGCTTCGTGGGCCACTCCAGCATGGCATGTCGCTTCCGCAGGTCCACAAAGTTCTTGCGGCTGCGGACCATTGACCAGGCGAGGCGCTCGGCTTTTTGGCGGTTGGCAGCGTCGCCGGTGCGCAGCAGAGCGCCGATGAATCCGTTGACCTGGACCGAGGCAGCCATGACGCCGTTCTTCTGCATATAGGTCAGAACTTCGTAGGCACCGGCGAGATCGCCAGCGCCTATAAGCCGCTTGAGCCACTTCCCGAAGAAGAAGCTATTCCTCAGCTCATTTGGCAGCTTGGACTTGCCGTACAGGTTGACGGTGCCGGCGAACATCATGTCGGTAAAGGCATACATGGCAAAGTCGGTATGCCCATTACTGAGGAAAAGCGCGATCACCTCGTCGTAGTCTTCGATGTCCATCGGCTTCTCGAGCTTGGCGGCCAGGTCGCGCATGCGACGGTACAGCAAGAACCCCCTCTCCGCCGTAGCAGGCTTCGCACAGTATGCACGGATGAGGTGCAGCAGCACACGCGAGTCCGCAGGGGTTGCAGGGCTCGACCGCTGGAGCAAGGCCCTGCTTGTCCGTTCGGCGCGTTCAATGTCGCCCGTGGCAGACCACATGCGCACGCCCAGCTCGAAGTAGGGAATGCCAACGGCCGAGTCCTTACTTCCTAATTCCGGGGCGAGCCTCCTCCACGTGCTGAGAGCCTCGTCAGGAAAGCCAGCCTCAAAAGTGGCCTCGATGGCCAGCAGCTGCTGCTTGGAGGTCATGGGCACACCAGCCTTCGTCATAACCTGGGCCAGCATACGGACGTGAGGCATTCTGTAGAAGTTCTCTGACCCTTCGGAGGAGAAGACAGCCCATAAGGCATCCCAGACCTCCTTGGCCACAATCGTCTGCGGCCAGGCGAGGACCGCTAAGAGGGGGTGGAAGGCTTTCCACGCAGAGGCGATGTGCTTCCTCTGCAGCTTGCTGTGTTTCAGGGCCAATACTGCCGCCCTCAGATGCTGGAGGAGCAGGGAGGCTTGATTGTCTCGTAGCTGAAGCTGTTTCTTGCCATGGTCGGCCTCGGAGAAGCGGATGGCCGGAAGATCCGTGCTGATGTCGCTCCCAGGCCCGTCGTACGTCTTGAGCACCTCCTGGAGGGCCTCGATCGATCCTGGCGGGCCATGCTTTTCCAGGATCCTCTCCAGTACGCCTGTCATGCGCTCAAGCTTTGGCAGGGCCTCCTCGAGCCTGGTCATCTTGGCCGTGATGCTGGCCTGCAGCTCCTCGAGGTCCTCGAAATCGGGCTCATCCTCACCGTCGTCGTCCTCGAGCCGCGTGACCTGGCCTGTTCTTGGGTCCTTTTCGAAATATTTGACGACCACACCTTTGTGTGTATCTTGTTTGGGCGTTTTGCGGGAAGAGCTTGGTTCTGCCGCCTTCACCTTGTAACCATCTTGACTCCTGTGGCTGTTGGCGTAGCCTCTCGCAAAGCTTTGCGCCGGCGGACAAGAACTGCCGAGTGATGCCAGACGACAGGAGCGACAGATGTAGGAATTCCTGCGGGTGGCCAGTTCAAGAAGAGCAGATCTTGGAGGCATGGATGTTCAGAGCTGGTGCGAAGTAGGCCATGTGTGTGTTGCGATGCTGAATTTTGTTGGTCGATTGATCCAGCCAGTCTAAGTCAAGTCAAGCCTACCTGAAGTAGCGATTTGAAAACCAGTTAGATGTTGGTTCATCCGTTGTCGCCGTCGCCGCCGCCTAAAAAATTCTTATCAGCGCGACCGAGACGCGATAAGCAGGGTCCTATTTCCTAAAACGGTAGGCGGTCTAAATTATTTTTTGGGGACTTTGGAGCGCAAATGGAAGGAAGCAGAGAAGTTGTACTATCCATCCGATATCTTCTCTAAACTTCGTTTTCTTTTTCCTTCACTCGTTGAAAACCACCACCTGATTTGAAGACAGCAATCAACAAGACCACAATCAAGAATATGCCTCAGAAAAACCTCTTGACATAACAAACAACTACCCCAAAGCCAAGCCATGTCAACACCAAATCCAGACTTCCTCCGCTTCACCGGCCACAAGTCCTTCACCCACCGCCTCCTCCTCTCGACCCTCACCGGTCGTCCCGTCCATATTTCGGGCATCCGAAGCTCCTCGCCGACCGCACCAGGCCTCGCCACTCATGAGGTCTCTTTCCTCCGCCTGCTCGAGGCCGTGACCAACGGCTCCTCGATGCAGATCTCCTACACCGGCACAACAATCACCTACCACCCAGGCCTCATCACCGGCACCATCGCCGGGTCGGGCGCCTCCGCCGACGACGTCATCGAGCACTCGCTGCCGGCCAACTGCACACGCGGCGTCACCTACTTCCTGCTCCCCCTGGCCGTCCTTGCCCCCTTCTCCAAGGCCCACATGAACGTGCGCTTCTCCGGCCCCGGCGTCATCACCTCCGCCACAGCCACAGGCGACATGTCTGTCGACAGCTTCCGCACCGCCATCCTCCCGCTGTACGGCCTCTTCGGCATCCCTCCCGCCCGCATCGAGCTCAGAGTCCTGCAGAGGTCCTGCCCCGGCCCCCGCGGCGGCGGCGGCGGCGGACTCGTCGAGCTGCGCTTCGCCAGCCAGGTGCGCCTGCCCAAGACCCTCCACCTCAACCGCTCCCCAGGCCGCATACGCCGAATCCGTGGCGTCGCCTACTGCACCGGTGTGTCGGCGAGCAACAACGCCCGCATGATCCACGAGGCGAGGCGCGTGTTGAACCCGCTCGTGTCGGATATCCACATCGCCGCCCAGTATGATCCCGCGCCGCTGGTCCCGGACAAGAACACCCCTGGCGGCAAGGGGAAGAAGAAGCTGGGAATTGGGTTTGGGCTGAGCCTGGTCGCTGAGTCGAGCGTGCCTGGGGTGTTGTACTCGGCCGATGTGGTGGCGCCGCCCGAGGGTGGTGTGGTTCCTGAGGAGATCGGGACAAGGTGTGCCTATCAACTGGCCGAAGTGATACGGCAGGGTGGGTGTGTGAGCTGGTCGGGAGCGAGGACGGTGCTTACATTAATGGCAATGGGATCAGAAGATGTCGGACGGTTGAGGATAAGTAAGGAGGCGCTGGGCACAGAGGAGATATTGGGACTGGCAAGAGATCTGAGAAAGTTTGGCGCTGCAAGTTGGGGCTTAAGACCTGTGGATGATGATGACCCAGAAGACATCATAGTCTCGGTCAAGGGCACTGGAGTTGGAAACGTCGGCAGGAAAATGGCATAATTGCCAAGAATTTGAGACGACATCATCATCATTATCATCATGTCTATGTTGTTCCGCCACCCTGCTGTCTCCTGACCCGCCGCTGACCATCGGCGGCCATCGCTGCCAGTCTGCTGGTATATCCTGTCAACTGTAGAGAATAGGCTGCCGTACTGGAACCGCTGGTGCTATCCACGACCAATGTGCGAAGCGCGTGCACGACATGGAAATTGGCCAACAGACCGTTTCCAGACATCAGCACGTCCACCAAGCTCGGCCTGTCCGGTCCGTCGTCCTCAGAATGTGAGCCAGCCATTGTTCTCAATATTCGCTGGTATCGAGCCTCTAAAATACCAGATGCTCCGCCGTTGTCGTCTGTTGTAGCTGAAGGGTTTCGACTATTTGTTAATGGTCGCATCTCGATGTTGTTTGTGTCGTCCGCGCCGAGCGGATCGTCCCTCATGATACCTCGCTCCTCCGAGTCTAGATCCTGTCTCGATGCCTGTGCCCCTGTTACGAGGTCGACGGCCGCCGTGGGCACACCAAGTGGTGTGGTAGTGTTCGCGCTCTTGGGAAACCCACCGGCAGACACTCTCCGCAGCGTGATTTCGATCTGCTTGAGGCGGTCCTTCTCCACCGAGACTGCGCACATTATGCACTGCAGCAAAAGTATCAAGCAGTCGAGGAGTAAGAGGCCAAGCCTGGATGTGGGAGCCTTCTGCCCAATGAAGTCGATGATGACGCCCCCGTGCAGGTAGCCACGCATGGTCTCACTTCCTTGAGGGAGTGAAAATATGAGATGGGAGAGAATGCACAGTATGTTGGAGGCGAGTATGGTGTATATCTGCGGTCGGGGCGCAGGCACGAGTTTGAGAAAGTCCTCGGGTTTTGGTGTCAGGTACAAGTACTGGATGGATGAGCGCAGGACTAGGCGCGCGAAGGAACAACTTTTGTGAGCGAAACAACGTCAGAACGGACATATACACATACACACACACAGAGAGGCACATCGCCAGGGGAGACAACTTCGTGGAAAGGTCTCACGACATACTCCATATAGTACAGTGCACATAGCTCGGCGAAGACGACGACATCCAGGCTGCTCATGAGGTGCGTCATGAACTCGAGCTTCTTAGCGATGCCAGCCTTGGCCCGTCGCACCCGGGAGGACGTCCGCCGCCGACCATCACGGCGCGCGGCTCCTCTTGATCTCTCGACGAATGCCTGTTGACTTGATCCCTCACCGGCGTTATCGTCGTCCTGGGAGCCGGCATCGCTGTCGTTCTCGTCGCGTGCTGGCAAGCGGGCCGTGTCGCTCGCTGCTGTGGGATCATCGTTCATAGCTCCGCCGCATCTGATGAAGGAGGCTTTCTCGGATTAGATGGGATGATGTAGGCTTTACATGTTATGATGTGGCGTCTAGAGGATGGGAGAGCTAGCCGTCGATAGGTAGGCGGAGGTGAGCAAAGGTTGGGTGGTGGCTCGCGCAGATGTGTCCGTGTACGCACGCAGCGTTGAGTTGGAAAGGATAGAGTTGGACTGACGCTGCCGGAAGGAAGACGTCAATGTCGCTTGGCTAAGAGCAACAATTATGGGCTACGGCCGGGCGCTAAGGGCTTTGGGCCGCTGCACAAACAGAAGCATGCGGTGGACGGTAGTGGGCTGCTCCAGCGGGGGTTGTTCAGGCTAGAGCCCTTGGTGGGGCATTGGGCTCTGCAGGGTTCAGCGGGCTGCTGCTGCAAAGCGAATTGTTTGACTGCCCCTCCTCGTTTGTTGCTGTGACTCAAATTCCCGTTCGGAGCCCCTCGCAACCATACCAACACTTCCACCGTGCCCTCGTCACAGAAATCGATTCTGCGCTCGACGATAAATCTCAACATGGCGACTTCAGGGGACCTGACAATGGAGGTTCTCCAGGCTCTGTCCAAGACATCCCCGATCCAGTCCCAGGAGGCTTTCCCCCAGTCGTCCTTCGGCGAGCTCAAGGCAGCCCTCGACCGTCTCGCCTCGAGATCTATGGTCACATACGAACAGATTGAGAAGGATGATGCTGTACTTGAGCCAGAGGCAGAGCAGATCGTCGCCAATGGCAGTCACGAGGCCCGGGTGTTTGAGGCCCTGCGCCAGGCCGTGGAGGGGCTCAGCGTGCAGGACCTAGAAAAGACGATTGGTGACAAAAATGTGACCAAGGTCGGCCAGGGCAAGGCCTTCAAGGAGAAGTGGATATCCAAGACGAGCGATGGCAAGCTTAAGGCTTCTGTGAGTATCTTCCCCCTATAAGGCCGGGCTGGGCAGGCTTAGGGGCGCGAGGCTGATTGTATACACAGGTGGACTCTATTCAGGATGTCACTCGGGAACAGCTGCAGACGATCAAGGACACGCGTGCCCACCCCAACGCCAAGGTCGTCACCGACCTCAAGAAGCGTAAGCTCGTCAGGCTACAGAAGGTCATCCATTTTAAAATACAAAAGGGCGACAAGTTCGCACTCGAGATAACGAAGGAGGAGACGGACCTGACGGCCGACATGCTGCAGTCCGGAGCGTGGAAGTCAGCAACCTTCAAGCCCTACAATTTCAAAGCCCTGGGCGCAGACCAGCACGCAGGAGCACTCCACCCCCTCAACAAGGTGCGGTCCGAGTTCCGTCAGATTTTCTTCGAGATGGGTTTCGAGGAGATGCCTACCAACAAGTTCGTCGAGTCGGGCTTCTGGAACTTCGACGCCCTCTTCGTCCCACAACAACATCCCGCCCGTGACCTGCAAGATACCTTCTACATCTCAGACCCAAAGCGCGCCGACCCGCCGAGGGCCACGTCGCCGGATGACAAGGCCGACTATAAGACGTATTGGGAGAACGTCAGGGCGGTGCACGAGAACGGCAAGTTTGGCTCGATTGGTTACAGATACCCTTGGTCGGAGGAGGAGTCGTTGAGGCTGGTGCTGCGCACACACACGACGGCCATCTCGACGGCCATGCTGCACAAGCTGGCGCAGCAGAAGGGCCCTGACGGCCGGCCACCACCCGCCCGGTACTTCTCAATTGACAGAGTGTTCCGCAATGAGACGGTGGACGCAACACATCTTGCCGAGTTTCACCAGGTTGAGGGTGTGATTGCGGACTATGGCCTGACGCTGGGTGGGCTGATGGAGTTCATGGAGATCTTCTTCAACAAGATGGGCATCACAGATCTCAAGTTCAAGCCCGCCTACAACCCGTACACTGAGCCGAGTATGGAGATCTTCAGCTACCACAAGGGCCTGAATAAGCTGGTCGAGATTGGCAACAGCGGCATGTTCCGACCCGAGATGCTGGAGGCCATGGGCCTGCCCAAGGACCTAAGGGTCTACGGTTGGGGCCTGAGTCTGGAGAGACCGACCATGATCAAGTACGGCATCTCTAATATCCGTGAGCTGTTGGGCCACAAGGTGGACCTCAACTTCATCGAGCGGAATCCTGCTGTTCGTCTAGATAAAAATTAGAAGGCAACAATGTATAGATGATCAGTACAAAAGCGGCAGTCAAAAGTTTTCCTCCAAAAGAAAAGAGATGGGATTCGGCGCGAGCATACGAATAAGGTTCTTGCTAGACTCGGTGTTCTTCCTTCCGGAGTAGCAGCACTTTATTTTGAGCAGTATCTTGAGAGCTATCAAGGTTGTGTCTGTGAAGAGGAGTTTCTAAGAAGAAGAGAGAAAGATAAAGCAGCAGTGACCAGATCCAGTACCCCCCCCCCCCCCGGGTTTCTTCAAGGACCTCGGCAGGGAGCTCAACATATTCATTGTTCTAATTCATGAACACAGCCTCCAAAGGGAACTTGCTTGAAGTTTGTGAATGGATTTTTCCGTTTCAGGTGTTGCCCAAATGTAAAATATGCATGGACAGCCTTTGGTCCGCATGGGCCAAAAGGGTTAAGAGATTATACAGGTGCGTGCAACTGATCCTAGCTGATTCTTTGCTAACATAGCAATATAAGCTGGTATTTTCAACTCATAAGCACATACGACCATAGGTAGTGGAGAACTTGGGATCCCGTCTGCTCTCCCCTAAATAAGCCACTAACCGCCGGATTAGTAGTTAAGTGGGTGACCATTAGCGAATACCCGGTGTTGTATGTTTTTGCAATTTTGTGTTTTCGTTACTGTCTTCGATCTCACCAGTCATTGGCTTTTTTGTTTTATTTTATCTTTGTTGTTTCTTTATTCCTACTTTTCTCCTTTCTCTCTCGTCTTCTTTTCATTCATTTTTTTTTGTCTGGGGGAGGGGGGTTGCCTTTGCTCTTATCAAATTTTGCGCTACAGCTCTTTGGGTTCCTGTCGATTGGCAATGGCTCTGGAGCCATCAGTTGAGAATGTTGCTGGGCTTGCCTGGGCAACAGTGAAATGCTCAATGCTTAGCAAGGATTTCATTCTTGTGTTGCAGTGTCTTGGGCACGAGTACAACTGTTTCCCTTTTATTCAACCGCCATGCTTACATCGACTTTCATTTGCGGGTTGCGGCACGTAGCGAGCAGAATTCCGTCATTGCCCCAGTTCTCAATCTCGATTACCGAATTCAGATAGCTGCAGCTACTGTGTACTTCAGTGCTCCGGACATCGGCCTTACCTCGCAAGCGCTATGCAGCTTGAAGGTCAAAATTTTTAATATCCTAAATTTTTTATTACCTCTGTCGTCCTACCTAAGCACCAAAGGAGCAGAGGCTCACAGACTCCCCCATGACTCTTCGACCTGAGGTATGGGCTGTCTAACGGGAAAAGGCTAGTGACCAGCGAAAAAAAAAATGAAGATCAACAACTTGAGAGGAGAGAAAGTGGATGGGGACGATGGAGTAGTAAAAAAGAAAAAGAGTCATGAATGGTTCTTGGATCGACGGCGCCGTATACACAGTTCCAAGCTGAGCCAGCAAGGAAAGCAGATCGGAGCTTTTCGTTATCTTATCATTGCGACCAGGGTCCTTTATTTCCTTTCTGATCGTAAAATCTTAGCGGGCACTGGCGGGGTCTCGTATGAATCACAGCCTTTTGACTACTTTAAATTCAGCCTCGACAACTCGTCAATTGGGCGTAAAGAGAGGGCGGAAACGGTGACCTGAGCTTCCACCGGTACATTATTGCGGTCCTTCGCCGTTGCGCGCCGTCTCCCACCTCCCTCCTCCTCAACAGCTCAGCTCCCCTCCTTCCAACCATGGCGCCGACCATGTCCTTGGGAGGTCCATTGCGAGCTCCCGCCCTCCTCCGACATGGTCGCCGGCTCCCAGTTCCTGCCACGCAGTCGATCAGGGCCTTCACAGCGGCGAGTACCAATGCTGTCAACAGAATACCTGCCCAGACCAGGCAATCTCTCCAGAAGAGGAATTTCATGACCACCGCCCGATGTCTTGCGACCGCGGCTGCCCAGTCCGCGCCCAACCCGCAGGCCTACATCCAGAGCGGTGTGGTCAAGCCCAAGGAGATTGTTGATGTGAAGAAAGTGCTGGTCATTGGCTCTGGTGGTCTGGCCATTGGTCAGGCTGGAGAGTTTGACTACTCCGGTTCGTTTGCTGGCACCCTTCTCAAGTAGCTGTGATCACCAAGCTATCAGGAGCTGTTGGAGCGGTGACGGATGAGTCACGCACTGCCTAGTACGACGAGAAACTTGAGTGCTGACTATGATGGATAAACTATACAGGCTCACAAGCTCTGAAGGCACTGAAGGAGGCAGGCGTCAAGTCTGTTCTGATCAACCCGAACATCGCCACCATCCAGACCAACCACTTCATCGCCGACGAGATCTACTACCGTATGTGCGCCCCTTGTTGGCCTTGGCGCCATAACTCCGCCTATTTGCCCCCTCCAATGGACTTGCTTGATACAATGCGACGCTCTGAAGCGCTTTGTGGCCCTGCGCAAAGGCTGGCAGAAGGCCAAATGCTGACATTGAACCATCCCCAACAGTCCCCGTCACCCCCGAATACGTCACCTACGTGATCGAGCGTGAAAAGCCTGATGGCATCTTCCTCTCCTTTGGTGGGCAGACCGCCCTGAACCTCGGTGTCCAGATGCAGCGTCAGGGACTGTTTGAGAAGTACGGCGTCAAGGTGCTGGGAACCAGTGTCCGGACACTTGAGCTTAGCGAGGACCGTGACCTCTTCGCCAAGGCTTTGGAGGAGATCAACATCCCCATCGCAAAGTCTATTGCTGTCAACACCGTCGAAGAGGCGCTTGATGCCGCCAAGAACATCGGATATCCCATCATCGTCCGTGCCGCGTATGCTCTTGGTGGTCTCGGTTCCGGTTTCGCCAACAATGAGGAGGAGCTCCGTAACATGGCCGCTCGATCATTGACGCTCTCGCCTCAGATCCTGGTTGAGAAGTCCCTCAAGGGCTGGAAGGAAGTGGAATATGAAGTCGTCCGGGACGCCAACAACAATTGCATCACCGTGTGCAATATGGAAAACTTCGATCCTCTCGGCATTCACACGGGTGACTCCATCGTCGTTGCGCCCAGTCAGACCCTGAGTGATGAGGAGTATCATATGCTCCGTTCGGCTGCCATCAAGATTGTTCGTCACCTGGGCGTCGTTGGCGAGTGCAATGTTCAATATTGCCTGCAGCCCGACGGCCTGGACTACAGGGTCATTGAAGTCAACGCCCGTCTCTCACGGTCCTCTGCTCTCGCCTCTAAGGCCACTGGATATCCTCTTGCGTACACTGCAGCGAAAATCGGCCTTGGACACAGTCTGCCTGAGCTCCCCAACGCCGTGACCAAGACCACTACTGCGAACTTCGAGCCGTCGCTGGATTACATAGTCACCAAGATTCCTCGATGGGATCTCTCCAAGTTCCAACACGTCAAGCGCGACATCGGCAGCGCTATGAAGTCAGTTGGCGAGGTGATGGCTATCGGCCGTACCTTTGAGGAGTCCTTCCAGAAGGCCATTCGCCAGGTCGACCCCAAGTTTGTTGGTTTCCAGGGTGACAAGTTCGCCGACCTGGACTACGAGCTGCAGAACCCGACCGATCGTCGCTGGCTGGCCGTCGGCCAAGCCATGCTGCACGAGAACTACACCGTTGACAGGGTCCACGACCTGACCAAGATCGACAAGTGGTTCTTGCACAAGCTGCAAAACATTGTGGACTGCACCAGGGAGCTCCAGTCAGTGGGCAGCCTTGAGGGCCTCAAGAAGGACCTGGTGATGAAGTCCAAGAAGATGGGTTTCTCGGACAAGCAGATCGCCCACACCGTGAACAGCACAGAGGACAAGGTCCGCGCCCTTCGTTTGCAGTACGGCATCAGGCCATGGGTCAAGAAGATTGACACTCTTGCTGCTGAGTTCCCTGCCGACACGAACTACCTGTATACCACATACAATGCCTCAACTCACGACGTGACCTTTGAGGATAAGGGTACTATCATCCTGGGCAGTGGAGTGTACCGCATCGGTAGCTCTGTTGAGTTTGACTGGTGTGCTGTGAGTGCTACTCAGGCTCTGCGAAAGATGGGTCACAAGACCGTCATGATCAACGTAAGTTATTGGATCCCTTCTTTTCTACATGACCGACAGCACACAGGTCCATAATGGCTAACTCGTATTTTACTCGAACCCAAAAAGTATAACCCCGAGACCTACAGGTAAGCATCAAGCCCTACTATACCAGCGGCCCATATTTGTGTGTACATATTGTATTGACAGGGTTATAGTACCGACTTCGATACCGCTGATAAGCTGTACTTTGAAGAGTTAAGCTATGAGCGCGTTATGGATATCTACGAACTCGAATCTGCTAGCGGCGTTGTTGTCTCCGTCGGAGGCCAGCTGCCTCAGAACATTGCTCTCCGTCTCCAGGAGGCTGGAGGTGCTAACGTTCTCGGCACTGACCCCAAGGACATCGACAAGGCCGAGGACCGTCAAAAGTTCTCTGCCATCCTGGATAGCATTGGTCTCGACCAGCCTGCATGGAAAGAGTTGACCTCGGTCAAGGAGGCTGAGAACTTTGCTGAGCAGGTTGGCTACCCTGTGCTCGTCCGCCCCAGCTATGTCCTGTCCGGTGCTGCCATGACGGTCATCCGAAGCAAGGATGAGCTCAAGGATAAGCTGGAGGCCGCCAGCAATGTTTCGCCCGACCACCCCGTCGTCATCAGCAAGTTCATCGAGGGCGCTCAAGAAATTGACGTCGACGGTGTCGCATCCGAAGGCAAGCTGATCGTGCACGCCGTCAGCGAGCACGTCGAGCAGGCCGGTGTTCACTCTGGTGACGCTACCCTGGTGCTCCCTCCCACTACGCTAGATGAGACCACCATGGGACGTGTCAAGGAGATTGCTGAAAAGGTCGCGAAGGCCTGGAACATCACTGGGCCTTTCAACATGCAGATCATCAAGGCCGAGGACCCTGAGGGTGGCGAGCCACAGCTCAAGATTATCGAGTGCAACCTTCGTGCCTCTCGATCCTTCCCCTTTGTCAGCAAGGTTCTTGGCACCAACTTCATTGACGTGGCCACCAAGGCCCTTGTCGGTGAGGATGTCCCTGCTCCCACCGACCTGATGGCTGTCAAGCGCGATTACCTTGCGACCAAGGTTCCGCAATTCTCATGGACCCGCCTGGCCGGTGCTGACCCCTTCCTCGGTGTGGAAATGGCTTCCACGGGTGAGATGGCCTGCTTCGGCAAGGACCTGGTCGAGGCATACTGGACATCTCTGCAGTCTGCCATGAACTTCCGTGTGCCCGAGCCCGGCGAGGGTCTGCTGTTTGGCGGTGAACTCAAGAAGGAGTGGTTGACCAAGATCATCGACTACGTGTCTCCTCTTGGCTATAAGCTGTACGCTGCGGACAAGGAGGTCAAGCAGTTCCTCGAGTCGACGGCCAAGAACAAGGTGAACGTCGAGGTGATCGAGTTCCCCAAGGAGGACAAGAGAGCCCTCCGTGAGGTGTTCAAGAAGTATGACATCCGTGGTGTCTTCAACCTTGCCCGTGCCAGGGGCAAGACGGTCATGGATGTGGACTATGTGATGCGTCGGAATGCGGTCGACTTTGGTGTCCCGCTGTTCATGGAGCCTCAGGTACGTCTTTTTTCTATCCCTCTCTGGCCTTTTTCCCCCTTCTCGTGCCCAAACCCACCATTATGGAATACGAGCTGATATTGATCTCTTCAGACTGCTATCCTCTTTGCTCAATGCATGAGCGAGAAGCTTCCCCGGCCCGAGGGTATCCCGCCCGAGGTTCGCCGGTGGTCCGAGTTCCTCCAAGGAAAGCCTCTATAGATTTGAATCAAAAACCAAATATGGCTTTCTGATGTGTAAGGTTATCAAATGTGGGGAGGCCCAGCCACCTTGGTCTGTTTCAACTGGCGTTGATGGGCTTTTGTTGTCATTGCGTTCATGTATGTGTATTTAAGGCGGGTTAACTGAGGAAAGGAGGGGAGGAAAAGAGGAGAGAAAAAAAAATCAAAACAAACAAGGAAAATGCCACGCAAGGGTCATCCTCCTGCCTTGTTAGAGGCATCTTGAAGGACGTGTGGATTTTGGGGGACAGAGGGAGGACCTTTTCAAAGGATTTGGGCTTTAGTCCTGGTTTTGTGATGGAAGGAAAAAAAGATAGATCTGGTGTTTGAGGCTATCAAAAGTCAAAGCGTTTTTTCCCTTCTTTTTAATTTACACTTCCTTCCCGCAAGCAGGATTGTAATAAGACAGAAGACATTTCAATGGCCTTTCTCTTTGTACCTATGTCTTGAAAGATGCCGTTTGAAGGTGCGTTGTGTTAATCCATTTCCCTTCACATCTCTCTCATCGGGCAAAAGGAAGAGATTGCCATATACATGTAAAAACAATACAAGTACTGCGGACAAGCGGCGTCGAGAAAGTGCAGCTTCCATAAGTGAGGCCATAGCAAAGTGACCTCCGGCTTCGCCTTGAGTTGTGGACGTTGGCGGCAGTGCCTCTCATTGCCACATTGCCATGCGCCATAATTGCCCCCGATCTTGCCTCACTGAAAAGGTAAGAGACAAAGTTTATGTAGAAGTCATAATTCACACTCTGATTTGCTATGCCGAAATTCTCCGAGCCTTGGGACTCGTAGTGCCGCTGCAGCGGTATGGCAACTAAAAAGTACACGCTCTATCACGTCGATAGGGTTTTTGTTTTGTCTGATTGCCGCCCATTTCCCCCTGCCCCTCCACCCATCAAACACTCAGCGCATCCATCCATCAGTTCATTTGAGCAACGAACAGAGACCAAAGAAGAGCCCTGCCCCAACATCATCAAGCCTGATGAAGCTTGAGCTGGTTTGATTCGCTTCTTCCCAAAGTCACAGCTGCTCAATCTGATAAACTCGAAAACCAACTGTTGCCTTACTCGGTGAAATGATCAATGTCGGGAGACTGGGAGGGTTGGATCTGAAATCTACAGCTGCAGACGGAAGGTGGCGACCTCGAAAGGCCGCAGGGTGACGGGGTAGTTACCCTCGTCATTCTTCTGCAGCTCAGCCTCGTCAGGAACCTCGTCCTCGAGGATGTTGACCTTGGTGACCTTCTTGACATTCCACTTGGTGCCGATGGCGGTACGGGCGCGGCCGCCGAGGGACTCGTACATGCGCACAATGACGCACTTGCCCTTGCGAACGGGGAGGTCGCCAACGGAGACGTCCTCGTCGTCCTCACCGCGCTTGACACAGTCCAGGATCACGGCGTGGTCACCGACAAGCTTGACAGGGCTGTCATGAGACAGGGCCGCAGTCGCCGGCTGATAGTGATGAGGCTTGCGGACGAGCTTGATGGGTGAGTTGAACTCGTAGCCTGCACGGACAGTGGCAGGGCCCAGTGGACCATCGTGAGGCAGGATTGCGTAGCGGATCTTGTGGGGACCCATATCGGCATGCGCGTCAGGCGCCTTGGGGGCGCGTAGCAGAGACAGACGCATGAGGTTGCCGACGGTGGCGAAACCATACTTGCTATCGTTGAGGATGGAGACACCATAGTTGCGCTCGGAAAGGTCGGCGAACTTGTGATGACAGACCTCAAACTTGGCCATGTCCCAGTCAGTGTTGTAGTGAGTGGGGCGCTTGACGATACCATATTGAATCTCGTAGTTGGCCTCGGTGTTGCGAACGTCAACCGGGAACTCGACCTTGAGGAACTTGAGGTCCTCGTGCCACTCAACCTCGGTCTCGATCTCAACATAGGAAGGCTGTCCCTTGAGGGAAGCGCTGAGTGAGACTGTAGAGACCAGGTGGCTCTTCTCGCTGATCTGGACACGGCTGGACACGGCAACACGGTGGGGTTTGTTCTCGCTGATCTTGCTGTCGTGGACAGAGAGCTCCTTGCGACTGTCGAGATGGTACCACTCCACGTCCCAGGCCTGCCAGTAGAGGGGTTTGTCGTCGAAAATGACGAATTGGTTAGCCTTGCCGCCCTTTGCGAGGACCTCACGGTCGGCCTTGCGGTCATATACAGAGGTGATGACACCATTCTCGACCTTGACCTTGAGCTGGTCGTTCTGCAGGGCGAAGACGCCATCGGACAGCTCCTCGATCGAGACGGCAGCACTCTCTGCAGACAGTGACTCGAGAGGCTTCAGCTCCAGCAGCGGGCCATCGCCACAGGCAACAGCAACCTTGTCGTCAGAGATTTGAACAAGCTGCTGGCGAGGCCAGAACAGGGCGTTGAGAGCAGCGCCCTCCTCCACCGTCGTAGCCTCAACGCGAGAGAGATCCATTGCGGAGGAGGCCTCTGCGATCAGTTTGTGACCAATCTCAAATACCTCAGCATAGAGCTGTTGAATGTTTAGTGTCGTGTCGGCTGGAATAGAAGACTGAGAGAGAAGGTTAAAGAAATCCCTGATTGCCTCACTCACCTTGTCGGAATCGTCGTAGCACATCTCAATGCAGCTGCCGGGCAGGCAATCGTGAAACTGGCACAGAAGGACAGCCTCCCACATCTTGTCGATGCTGGCCTTGGGGTATTGGTAACCCTCGTTGTTGAGGGAGGCTATGGTGGCATAAAGCTCCACGGCTCTCAAAAGGAACTCGGACGCACGGTTGTTATGCTTGTTGTTAGCCTGAGTGGTGTAAGTGCCACGGTGCAGCTCGAAGTAGAGCTCGCCAAACCAGGTGACGAGCTTGTCAGACTTGGGCAGCAGCTGGTCAAAAAAGTCATCGACAGTCTTGCCCATGTGGATGCGAGGCACGGCGCCGGTCCCTGTGGTGTCAGCCATACCACGACAGCGCCGAAGCTTCTCAATGTGCTCAACCAGAGGGCCGCCACCACCGTCGCCCTTGCCAAAGACGAGGAGAGACGTGTGATCCTGATCCATCGACTTGTGCTTTGAGATACTCCGCTTCACGTCGCCGTAGTGTGCATTAGCCGTGTAGGTCTCCGAGGGAGGCATGTGGCACATGACCTGGGATCCGTCTATGGCAACCCAGTTGAAGGTGGTGTGGGGGAAATTGTTGATGTTGTTCCAGCTCAGCTTCTGCGTCAGGAACCGGTCCATGCCGGCAAGTCTGCAGAGCTGTGGAAGCTGGGCGGAATAGCCGAAGGTATCGGGAAGCCAGAAGGTCTTGGAGCGATCACCGAAATTGGCCTCGAAGAAGCGCTGGCCGTACACGAACTGGCGCACAAGAGACTCGCCGCTAGGCATGTTGGTGTCGTGCTCGACCCAGCTGCCTCCGATGGGCTGGAACTGTCCGGCCTTTACCTTCTCCTTTACGCGGTCAAAGGCGTATGGGTAGTACTGCTTGAGCCACTTGAACTGCTGGGCTTGTGAGCATGCAAAGTTCAGCTCCGGGTACAGCTCCATCAGGTTGCACTGGTTAGTCCAAGACCGAGCGACCTTGCGCTTGGTCTCGGCCCAAGGCCACAGCCAGCATGTGTCGATGTGGCAGTGACCAACGCCATAGACCATGGGCTCTTTGCCGCTTTCGTAGACCTCGGCAGAATCAACGTTTCCGATGTACCCCCTGGCGATCTCTCGAGCCTTCAAAACGGAGTCCTTGTCCTCGACATTCAGGACCTCGATCATGCGGGTGATGGTCTTCAGAGCCTCATGCTGCTCCCAGGACTCCTTGGGAAGCTCCCTCGCAGCGTCGCCGATGATCCACATGTCGACGTAGAGTTGGCGCGCCTGCAGGTTAACGGCAACAATGCTGGCCTTTCTCAGTGTGTATGTCTTGTTCGGATCTGGAGGTGAAATACCAGCGCCGTTGCCGAACATCTCATTACAAGCGACCTCGATGTAGAACGTGTGTTCCTTTCCATCACGGTACTCCTCGGGCAGGATCCACTCGGGACGGTCGCTCGCGCTGAAGCCCTGGATAGGGTTTCCGTCTTCCGTCCAGACCATGCCTTCGTTTCCAGCATCCCAATGGAACTCGAGGTGCTCCTTGTCTCGAAGCTCCTCAGGAACGGTAAGCCGGACCTTAACCCAGTGGGTCGACCAAGCCGGTCCGAATTGCGAGCCGACCTTGATGTGGCGGTCGAACTCCTGGGAGACGGCGTCCTCGAAGGTAGGGCGTTCCAGGTCCGGGGCAGCCCACGAATCGAGGTACACGTGAGGCTCACCTGCGGCCTCACCCTCGTTCAGTAGTCTGTCATGGAAAAATTTAGCACATCATGAATGCAGGAGACGACAGGAGCAGGTGCTTCCAGGCGAGAGAGGGAGTGCTTACGCTTGAAGGTTCCACTTCTCATAAGCGCCAGTCTTGTACGTGCCCTCGATGCGATCAAGATATAGCTTCTGAAAGAGCTTGGCGACTGGCTTCTGAACCATGACCGGGTAGTCGGCCTTTGGCTTCAGAAGCCGGGCCATGTCACGCTCACCGCCCATGTTGTCGTTGCTCTCGGAAGAAGCAGCGGGAGCGAGAAGAGAGACTGGCAGAGCTGTCTGCAGGGTGGGGGTATGCGAAACTCCCTTGTGCTCCGAGGCAGGAGCTTTCTCGGTAGTGGTGAGTTTGTCTTTGTCGAAAGTGGGATACTCGTTGTCGTTCACAGCAGCAGCAGCAGAAGCTGGGGCTACACCGTCAATGTGGTCGGCCGCGTCACCGACGCCGCCGGGGGCTTCAGTTAGAGAGCTAATACAGAAGAAAAGAGTGGAGAGTTAGTGGTATGCGCTCTGTAGAGTAAATATCCAACAATTGCAATAGCAATATCTATAGCCCCCAGAGGACTATCGTGCAATGCAAATAATGATTGGTGGGTATATGTGGTGATGGTGATGATGTTGATGATGAAAACAAAGATGAAGGTGAAGCTGAGCTGCAGCAGATGCAGTTGTTGTTGTCTGGGCGGACTGAGGCGAGGATGAGGAGCTGCTGCAGCAGACGACGTAACAAGTAACCCCGGGAGCTACTGCGTAGTGAGGCAATGCGGGCGGAGGGCGTGCCCCACAGGAGCTTCGCCCTCCAATCGAGTCCTCCTCCACCAGGTCGCCATACAACCCAGCCACGTGCCGACGCAACGGATTCCTCGGATTGACCAACCATGGCCGTGCAAGCCGGCCTGCGGTGCGGGGTTCTGTGCTGAGGGGAACTAACAGGGGGGCCGAGCGCTGCTGGCTAGAGGCCTGCCATGCCGGCGGGAATAGGCGGGAAATGCAAGGATGTCAGGGGGTTTGGACGTTTTGGAGGACGCGTTAGGCAGGTGAGAACATGCTAAAGACTCCGCAGAGTAACGTAGCATTGGTATGGGAATTGAGATGGGGATAAGGACGTCGAAATCATGTCAATCGTCAGGGAGCACTTGTTCCAGCGACGAAAGCACAAACATTGTGACAGCGTGCGAGACCAGACAGACCCGTTCTCAATGTACAACGTACCTCATCTTCCTAAATGGTCATGCTTGATTCTCGTGTGGCTTTGTAGATGTTGTGCATAGGCCTTCCCGTCTACAGAAAGCCGAACTCAAACGTGACGAGGAGTATTGGGTACGCGAAAGAGGATGGGCGAAAAGGTACGAAGAAAGGTCAATCGATCGAGCGTTGAGAGAAGATACGAGGGGAAAAGACTGTTATCGAGAAATGGAGTTGAAACAATGCTGCTTAAGTATTGTGTTGAAGGAGAGGTAGGTAGGTGAAGGAATGGTCCGGAACAGATGAGGGAGGGAGATGGTGTCCCAGGAGAAGATGCCGGAAGCTGGTGGAGGAGGCAAATAGCTCTGCCAGTAGACTCCAGTCCAAGTTGGCAATTGAATGAAGAGGATGGAGGTGGAGTAGGATCTGAAGATTGAAGGATGGTGGGGAGAAAGAAAAGGACGGGGCACTGAGGGAAGGGTTGGGCTGAGGATAAAAACTGCCCATAAGCTCCGCAGCAAACGACATAAGGGTTGATTGGTCCACCTCCTTGTGATGACATCGTGATCGTGAGGATGGGGGAGCTTGCATGGGGACTTCAACATCGTCCATCATCGCAGCTTCCGTCCCTCCCTAGCAGCAGGTAGTCCAGGGTCGCAAGCAGGAGGGAGCCATTTCGACGCCTGACCACCTCATCGAGGATAGGCATCATATGCCCCTCAACAGGACCAGGTGCCTGACAAAGGCAACATTGCAATCTGGGAATCTGGATACGGGAGGTGTTCCCGTCTGATTTCCTAGTCCAGTCTGTCAACTTATATCATGCATGCAGACTTCTGCTGCAGAGATATGCTAAAGAATGTCAACAGGGAAATAGTAAGATGTGAATGTGTTGTTGGAGCAAGTGTACTTACTGATCCTCTAGACGGCTGGTCGCCCTTGTTGTGTCTTCAGGGCCAGACCCTCAATGCTCATCCTGCTGTGCGCAATGTAACAGTGATCCATGATCATCATGCAACCAACTTCACAATCATATACAGTGTCTGGGAATTAGTAGAGAAAAAGAAGACCATGCACAGATGAGCTCTCCAGCATGTGTGGACACAAAACTATCACCAGCATCATTTTGTGGTGCAACATAAACAAACTTGATGGTATTTGTACAGAGAACAATGGCCAATGCCAGTATAGTGCTTGTTCCTGTTCTTTACCGGTTCTTGGCCCTCTTCCTGGCTGACTTTTCCTTGTCGTACAGGTTGGCCTGGTGTCCCTCCTCGCCTTGGATCTCCGCAACAAGTCGTTTGTATTTCTTCTCGTATGCCGCATCCTTCTCCTTCTTGAGGCGAAGCTTTTCGCGGGCCAGAAAGTTGGCGTCCTTGCGCAGCTCGCGCATCGCCCCCTTGCGCTCCTTCTTATGCTCTGCCTTGAGTTTGGCCAGCTCCGCCCGCTCCCGGTCCGGATCGTAGTGCTTGTCGGGATCGAAGTCATCCTCGAACTTGGGTATGTACGTCTTGATGGCCAGGGGTCGGTGATTATGCAGCTCTAGTGGCCGTCGTGATAGCGTGGCAACCTTCATAGCGCGCGACAAGTGCGTGGCCGTCCGCTCGGCCTCCTGGAGCAGAGCATCTGGTAGGTGTGTCCGATTGACTTTGGAGGTGAGATGCTTCAGAGTCTTGGCGGCAGGCTCGAAAGTCTCGTGGAAAGACGCCTTTCCCGTCCAAGTTTCGGACGCTGCTTGCAGCAGGGAGATGTTGGCACTCAGAAGCGCGACCTTTAACGATTTTGCCGTCTCGCTGGAGTCGTCTTCCTTCGCCGCTGAGCAGTCATAGCTCTTAAGTTTACGAACTGAGACCCCCTTCGCATTCGTTGTCCGTATGGCGGCTGCTGGTTCGTGAACGGGGAAAGCCCCAAGCTGCGCCCGAGCCTGCGCAGGTGCCAGCGCACAGATCGTGTTCAGAGTGAAGTTCATGACTTCGGGCACATAGCGCTTCGCAAGCTTCTGATACTGTACAGCCAATGTGGACAGATATGTTCCAGTGGCATAATCTGCCAGACTGCCTGGAATCTTCTGGCCTAAGAAGCGTCCCATGGATAGCATAGCCGGCGTGACGACTTGGTGAAAGTGGTCCGACGTTGGGAAGATAGACCCGATAGCTGTCAGAATGTACAGATCTCCGAGGCTCGGATGTAAGGGTCGGTCGTTCTCCATCTCCTCCAGGTATGATCGGAATTCCTTGGCAATTTCGATAGGAAACATTTTCGCTAGAGAATGCACATGTCGTATCAGCAGCTCGAGAACGGCGTAGAGGTCCTCGCCGGAGACGTCCTGCATGTGAGCAATATGCTGTACCAGGACTCTGGAGAAGTTTCCAAGCTTCTCCTTGTTTGTACTCAGAAGCTTGGGGTGGTACAAGGCCCGTATGCGCTGGATGACGGTCGGAACCTTGGAGAGCGGGATGTCCTGTATGACCGCCAGGAATTCAGGGTGAGTCTGCGGGCACGGGAACGTGTAAGGCAGTCCGTCCTCAGCGCGTCCGCCATCTTGGCCATGTTTGGCTTCGCTGAAGACAGCATCCTTACTCTCACTCTCGGTGAGTAGCCCCTTCGTGAACTCGTCATCCTCATCGTCTTCGAATTCTTCTGCTCCCTCAACGTCGCTCTCATCGAATGCATCGTCGTCGTCAACGTCTTCAATGTCGGAGCCACTCGCAACCAGATCATCGTCGATTATGAAGTCGTCCTCATCATCGAATCCGAGCTCCGTAGCTGTCGGCCGCATCTTGATGCCCTTTCCGAGTCCAAAATCTTCGCTGCTGCCGCCGTTGTCTCTAATGATCTCCACGGCTGGTCTTTTGTTGGCCTTGTTGTTGTCGGAATCGTCGTCATCTTCCTCTTCCTCGGAGTCGCGCACTTCCTCGCCTCTCATACGCTTGAGTCTCTTCTCTTCAAGCTCACGGAGGCGATTGGATTGCTCCTCAGCAACCTGTTCCTCAGTCTTCGTTCTCATGGTTGGTTTCGCCCGCTTGTCTGCCACCATCTTCTTGACAGCAAGGTCGTAGTCCTTCTCGAATGCGTCTTTGTCGACGCCAGGGATGGCGATCGCTTTCAAATCGTCCTGCTTTTCGCCGTTCCGTGTTCTTTCTACGTCCTTCCGGTTCTGTCCGAGCAACAGCCTCCGTATGTCCGCCGTCTCCTTGTCTAGCTCCAGCCTCAGATCCTCGTCGTCCTCCTTGGCTGCTTGCCGCTCGTACTTGTGAAGTTTGGATTTGGCAATGACCTCCTCCATGACTTCTTTCTTCGTTTTCTTTCTCTCGGGCTCCTCCTGGTCACCTCCCTCGTGGAGAGCGACCTGGTCCCGCAACCGCTTCAGGCGTTTCCTGTTGTGCTCCTCGAGGTCTGACATATCGGATCCGTCCTCCGAGAACTCCTCGTCGAAGTCATCCAAGAGCTCTCCGTCGTCGCCAAAAGTAAGAGACTTTCCCGCGTGCGTCAGACTGATGCCCTGCGACAGGTCATCGTCCTCTTCCAGGTCGAACATAGAGGTCTTCTTGTGTGCCCTCTGTTTCTCCATTGCAAAACGGTGAGCGGCGGCTGTCTCAGGCGTCATGTTAGGGTCGCCCTCTCCAAACCGTCTGTCGAAGATGCCACCAGTCCTGTTGCGCCGCTGCATCTCGACCAAAAGTGTCTCTTTCCGTCTCTCCTCGCCCAACGCCTTGGCCATTCCTGGACGACCGAGTATCCCCTTTTTCTTCTCGGGCTTGTTGGTAGTGACTTCGAATTTTGGGCCTCGTGCATTTGTCTTGAACTGGAACGGGTTAAACTGCTCGCGGATGTTCTCGAGAGCGGCACCGCGCTGGAGACGTCTGTCGTTCCGGCCGCGCTCATCTTGGGCATTCTTCTTTTTTTGCTTCTTAGATTGTTGCGGTCCGACAATGCCTTGATCTCGGAGAGAGGCCTTGAGCCTCTTGAGCTGTGATGCAGGCATCTTGGAGGAATGTGGGAGGGTGGGGAGTGAGGCAGTCCCTCAGTCCTGGAGGCGTATGGTGTTGGCAATTCGGGGTGTAAGTTGAAAGGCTGCGAAGCTGAGTTTTCAGAAACTCGCATATTCGTTACTTATCGATAGCAGTAAAACTTTTGGCGGTCAGGCGCAGCCGGGGGGCGGGGTCGGCAGAATTCAGCGGATAAGACCCTGGCGGGCCTAGCAACGTCACAGCTCTGATCCCTAGCTTAGCCCGTTCACACCACTACTTACAACTTCAATGTACTTGGTGAAAGGGCTCCGGTCTTGCATACGATTCGACTCCTAACCTTGCGACCAGCTTCACAGCTGGCGCAAAGCACGAGCGCACAATATGTCGCTTCTCAGTCTGGTGCGCGATGATCGCGCGATCCTCTTGGGCTTGACAGCTGCGGCGATCGGTGCGCTTGCTATGATTGACATGGTCCTGGAGCGAGTGCGCGACGATGCGGAGGTCAAACAGCAGCAGCCAACAACGCAGTATATCACGCAGGAGACAGAGGACTCTCTCAGGTCGAACACTCTAGACACGCTTCTCAGTCACTACAACTATGCCATCCGGGATATATCGAGCAAGATCGTCACCGATAGGGCGGTCAACGACGGCGAAACGATAGACTATCTCCTCTGGGGCATCACGCGGCCAGACTACGACGAGCGCCTGAAGTGCCTCCGCACTTTGGCTTATATTACAGATCCCCGTACGATATCCCTTTCTTCTGACACACGAATGTATTCGTTGCGACTTGCCTGAGCCGACGTTCTGGTGATGGCCACTGCTGACAGAGACACAGAAACTGTGCCGAAGTTTAATACCCCGCGCGCGTATGCTGCCTTCGTGCGCTCCCTGGAGTTTTGCCTCACTGACCGGGCGCCCCTCGAGAAGCTGGACGACAAGTACTTTGACGAGTACGGATTGCGCGACATGGCCGAGAAGCTCCCCCTCATGTTCCTCAGCCAGCTCATGCAGAAATACGGATCACAGCAAGCCGTCAAGGCTGGCATCGTGGAGAAGTGGCTGGCGAGGCAGAACTGGGGGGACACACCGGACGAGAGGGAACACAATTTCTTCCAGTATCTATACAAACAGAACCGGATCGTTGAGATCATCCATGGAATCCAACGGTGTCCCATAGGCCGGGAAGCCCTTGCCGAGGCTGGCTTGATGCCGAAAAACGTTTCGGAGACTTTTGGGGTTTTCGCCTCGATCCACATCGAGTCCGAGATCATTGACAACGACCAAGCTGAGCCTACGCCAAGACATATGGAGCAAAGCCCCGAGGAACAAAGGCTGAGGCATCGCCATCGCGAGGCCATGGTGTTGAACGATGGAACGCGCCCACTGGGTCGATCTGACATCATCGAGGTCGAAGACAACGCGCCGCCCTGAAAGCACCTCGGGCGAGATCAGATTTTAAATTCAGGCCGTTGTGGAAATACGGGCGTGGCATTATGTTGTGCATGACTACGGCTTTTATGACAAACATTCAGAACCGTGCTTTGTCAACCAGCCACCACATCCCACCAGATACTGGTTAGCTTCAGGGTTGATTCTCGCGAAGCAATGGCTTCTTTATGCCATGTACATACATCACTCTTCGAAGGGAAGTCTCGATGGCGAGCGTGTATGTCTTACGGAGTTCTCCGGAGATCGACCAAAGTCTATATTCCTCTCGAATTAACACTGAGAAAGAGGGAGATACCATTAACGAAATGGGGTGGAGCACTGTTTCCACCGACTTTGCAGCATTGTTTGGTCTCTCTCGACTGCAGTTAGGGTTGGAGGGCATGATAAACAACATCAATCTCAAAGTACAATCTGTTAGCTGCATGGGATCAACAACTACCCACACCAGGGGAATTTTATCGACAAGACGTTGTCCTCGCTCTCCTTAATCCCAAAATCAGCAACAGAATATTAACTGCAAACAAGACGCTCAAGACTATTCGAGACACAAATCCGTTTACGTAACTGCTGCAAATACGCGTTCGCGTGATACTCGATGTTGTCACTACTCGACGTCGTGCAGTGGCTTTCAGCTCGTCCCTGGCTTGAGTGGCCAGAGCAGTGCTTGACTGCCGTGTGAGTGACACTCATGTCACGGTTGTCAATCTTATTGAATTAAGCTCATCATAACCCAAATTATTTGCGTCCTTCCATAAAGTCTTCATCTTAGTGATTAGAAATCATGTCCCTGTATTCTTAAGAAGAACAAATAGAGTCACCCAGCATTCGACTTGGCTATTCATTGAATTGCTACCACTGTTCGTTTTGTACAACATGACATTCCCAGAGGCCTGAAGCGCATCAATTCCTTGCCTTACCTTCTCGTATTCCAGTGTACGTTTTATCCAAGGAGGTTAGAAGAGCATGAACGCCCCCGGGGGTTAATAAGTGTTTTTGGGTAACATTGCCAATATCCGTGGGCGATAGTCTCAGGAGAGCCCCTCCAAGCCGGCCTGGACCCATACATTATGGTACACAGTACAAAGTAGTTTGTACCATGATGGCCCCAGAGTTTTGCGGGTCCATCCCCATCACTCACTCGGGCCAGCCGGTCTTGTTCCTGTTCCTGCATAAGGGCCCCGTTGGAGATGTTAGCCATCCATCGATTTTCCATTTTCCTGAGGTCGCAGCCCGACGCAACCGAGTCCAGGTCGAATCTTGAACCCCCCCCCCCCCAAAAAAAAGAGGATGTCCCGGGAAAGACCCCGCTTCCCGGTCTCTAATGTAGCCGCAATAAAATCGAGGGCAAAATCTTCTGTTTATCGCGAATCGCAGAAGACGAGCCGTGTGGTTGCACTGTCTCACAAGGGAACGACAACGTGTGCCAATGAGAAAGGAGCTGTAGTATTTTGATATGATTACCGTAGTGCTGCTAGTAATGGTTCGTGTTCATCTCGTGTCCTGCCGTCTTGGCTCTCCCGATTTCCGTTTACTCAAAACACTTTAAAGGAGGTTGTGCAGTGCTTGGTCGTATTAATCTAGTCCTCCCCTGGTCACTCTCTCTCTCTCTCTCTCTCATTCTCCCACGTCTTTGCAGAACTCGACGACAAAATTGCGATCACGTGTCATCCTGGTAGGGTAGCTGAGTCCAGTAGCTGAACATACTGTACTGCGTGCAGATTGTTTGTTGTGCCGTGAGCGTCTGTCTCTGCTGTCATCAAGCACCTGCAGCGCGCATCGGTTGGCGAGGTGACTAGACGAAGGAACTGTGGACTCGAGCTTGGACAGCCAAACAACACAACAGCCTTGTTCTTAGTTGCATATCGCCTGCATCATCATGCCCTTCCACGTTGCTTTTGCTTCGTCCCCAACATAACAAATTCAACCATTAGCGAGGGGCAACTGGCAGTTGGGCGGGATTAGCTGGCCTGTCAACTGTGGACACTGTATTAACATTGGGACTAGCCCGTGATGTCGTCCACGAGAGAAGAGGAGACCCTTGCCCACAATTTGTTCTGCCTGTCAGAATACCTTGACGTCGTTGCTGTCCCTGGTTAAATGATCTTTCTGATCTTCTCTAATAAGACCAATTACCCCCTCTCCATTCCTCATCAACGCGTTGTCATTCCCCTCCTCCCCCCAAGCATTCTTATTACCTCTTCTCCTCGTATACTCAGGCTCTAATTGCTACTAAACCTGACCAAATCTCCGACTTGCCCCTACGGACGACGCCGTTGACGATTTCTCTGCGCCATCGCCAATTTAGATCTGGACACACAGACTCTCGATACGGACCGCGTCGCGCGCCGAAAGCTTCTCTCTGAAGCCCACTAGGCTAGTTCAGTTTGTCGCTCCCGCCGAGCCTCAGGACAAAGGTTCTTGTGTGGTGGTCATCCCAGTGGGGGGGTCGACAGAGAAGAGAGAGAGGCGCAGAGAAGAAAGAGCCTTGAGACAGGGACGATCGTTGGGGAGAGAGCTGTCTCCAAACCCTTAGCTCGACCGCTGGCTTGTGTGTTTGGGGGGCCACGGGCACCCAAAGTCTGGCTGAGAAAAGGGTGGTGATTCACTAGGGTCTCTACCGCTGAAGGGGTGCCAGGGTTCACAGCAGCCAGGGGCCTTCTGAGACCCGCGGTAGAGCGACGGGTAGGATCTCGTTCGGCACCTGCAAGTCGCTGTAAACAGTGGAACCACACACACAGGCGGCGACAGGGGCCCTACATCTTTCCACCCGCCGCTATTCGTCATGTCTTCATCTCAGGTAGCCGCCCCCCCCATTCAGAACAACAACACCACCACCACCACCATCACCACTCCCACCACCCCTACGACGCCACGAAGCCTCCGCAGACCAAACACTCGCAAACTTCCAGGGCCAGGGAGAATCCTCACAGCCTCGACACCCAACCTCAGAAGTGCATACGTCGATTCCTCGTCCACATCCACCCCACCCGTCCCCTTGCTGCAGCGCAAGGGCTCGCAGGCTGCCCTGACGTCGAACTCCCTCGCTACGATTCCTGATGCCTCCGAGATTTACGCCCTTGCCACCTTGAACGGTTCCTCCTCGCCCAACAACAAGATGGCGCCCTCGCCTTTGACACCAAGGGCGGGCGCCGCGTTTGGTGGTGATGTCACGGTGGGCGACACGGTGGACGTCCCTGGTGACATGCAAGGAATGGTGCGCTTTGTTGGCACGATCCCGGGCAAGAAGGGTGTTTTTGCTGGTGTCGAGTTGCGACCCGACTTTGCGCCTCGCGGCAAGAATAATGGTGATGTGGATGGGTCCGTCTGCTCCTTTCAGAAGACTTTACCTGTATTCCCTCCTCCCTATGACCATGTTTACTGATGCACGTTTTGCTCCAGTGTATCCTACTTTACCACAAGCATACCAGGTGCAGGCATCTTCCTCCCGCTGAACAAGGCCGTCAAGCGCGAACCTCCGCCGAATTCCTCTTACTTTCCAATGAGTTCCGTCCCTGCAAACGGTCTGAAGGCCGGCACCCAAAACTCAACAAACTACACCCCACCTACCGCATCTGTGGCTCAGTTCAGCAAGTCGGTCGGACCGGGCCGCGCGTCGAGTCCTTTGGGAAAGAAGTCGAGACCCTCACTCTCCGGGACGGAATCGCCAACACGCAAGCTTCAGGTCAATCCAGGCGCACGGCCGAGCCTGGGCACTCCTGCCAAGAACATGCCACGATACGGAAGTCCAACACAGAACAAGTTCTCCCACAGCGCCCGAGGGCCACCGACCCCAGGCGACCCAGCCAAGAGGGGCATGTTACAGCCAAATCGCAACTTCAGCACGGGGCCGCGCAGCACCTCGGCTCTCTCGGCACAAAGCACAGGGCTCTCTATAGACGAAGAGCACGTGCCTGTGGGCAACGGTATAACGGGGCCCAGAGAACCAGGCAGGCCCTCGTCGGGGCAGACGCAGCACGGTTTATCACGGCAGGCGGCACCCCAGGACGAGGAGATCGAGAGGTTACGCGCCGAGGTGGCAGACCGGGACAGGCAGCTAAAGGAACAGGCAGCGACGCTGGTGGAAATGGAGAGCAGCCTTACGGAGGTGCAAAGCCTCATGGAGCAGGTCGAGCTGCCCGCGCCGGCCCGAAAAGACAGCCTGGATGATAAGGACACGGCACACCTGCGGGCACTTATCAAGGAGAAGAACGAGAAGATCGCGATGCTCACGGCAGAGTTCGACACGCACAGAGCCGACTTCCGGAGTACTATCGATACGTTGGAGCTGGCGAGCTCAGAGACGGAGAGGGTTTACGAGAAGCGCATAGAGGAGCTCATGCAGGACATACAACATATTTCGGAGCGGGAGAGCGATGTGGATGCGGTTGCGACGCAGTTGAAGCAGCTAGAGGAGCTGGTGCAGGAGCTGGAAGAGGGCCTGGAAGATGCGAGGAGGGGCGAGGCCGAGGCGAGGGGGGAGGTGGAATTCTTGAGAGGCGAGGTCGAGAGGACACGCGCCGAGCTCAGGCGGGAGCGGGAGAAGGCAGCCGCCGGCGCGCACGGGACGAATGGATCGGCAAGGAAGACCAACCCGCACTCTTCAAGGAACTTGAGCAGAAGGAGGATGAGATCAGAGGCCTGAAGGCCATCATCCACTCCCTGAGCAGAGACTCGGTGCCTGGCGATGTCGAGCGGCCATCCACGGGCACAGACGACACTGCAGCGAGAGAGAAGCTGGAGCGCGAGGTCGCTGAGCTCCGCGCCCTCCTCGACACTAAGAACAACCACGAGGAGGAGATGGAGCATGAGCTGGAAGCACTCCGCCGAGGCAGCATGGCCACCTTGCGCGGTAACGATCGCTCCTCGGTCCGCGACTCGCGTGACACGGTGGTCCTGGCCCAGGACTCGGATATACGACCGTCCGAGCCGCAGGCGCAGCGCAAGGCACACAATCGCGTGCGGACGCTGGACACAATGCCGTCGAGCGATGGGCTCTCGTCCATCACGGAGCACAGCACCCTCTGGTGTGAGCTGTGCGAGACCTCTGGGCACGACATTCTGGGTTGCACCAACATGTTTGGCAACCAAGGAGGCAAAGACGAGCCGGCTCTGGGCGATGGCGGCGGACTGGCACCACCCACCGACACCGACCATTATAAGATCGCGCCGCTCTCGCCACGACTGCCACTACCACCTGTGCCTCAGCCTGCAAGTAATATTCCAGAGAAGATCAAGGGACCGCCACCGAGCATGATGGATCCGGGCCCGGTGGCTGGCAAGGAGAGCGGTATCATCGACCCGGATGCGTGGTGTGCGCTCTGCGAAAAGGACGGGCACAACAGCGTGGACTGTCCGTTCGAGGATGCATTTTAGAAGACCAAAACATCACCGCTTCCCCCAAAAGGAGACAATCATTCCCTTTCAGCTCTGGATCTAGTCATGGTTTGCTGCGCAACACCAAACACATGACTGGACCGATCGAACACGCTGAGCAAGCAAGCAAGCAAGTATGATGCTATGGGTATTGTGTGTGGAAATAGACGGAAAGTCTCTTGTTTCTTGTCTATTTTCTTTTCTCTGCACTGTCGTGTATTTTATATCCTTTAAATACCCCTTCCGCATGCGATTTCGAGTTCGTACGTGTTTTGTTTGTTCTGTTCGGAATGGAAGAAGAAGAGAGGGTGATTAATTCTCGCTTACTTGATCATCACGATACCAGAATACATCTCTTGTTTATGATTCGGCAGCAGAAAGAAAGAAGTATTCATTATACATTCAACGCATTGGAAAAGCAATTCTCGCCTTTTGTTGTCTCCTTTTGTGTCCGCCAGTGTCTTGGAAAGTTGTATCTTGCCAGCCTCAGTCCAACTCCAGTGGGCAGTTACAGTGATTAGCCTCTAGAGTCAAGCCGCTGCCAAGAGGACCCCTGAAGAAACAGGGCGCAGCAAGCGAACGGCCGCCCATAGCTGCCGCAGCGAGGATCCTTGTACGCTGTCGCGTCATCGCAATTGGCCCGACCTTGTTGTCTTACGAGACACTTCAGCTTTCCTTGCGCAGCGTCGCATCATCCTCATAATCACCTCTTGCTCTCTCTCTCTCTGTGTGTGTATGCGTGTATCCCTCCTTCTCAGCAACCAGAACCCCAATTGGTACAAGAAATATCACCTCGGCGTGGTAATTTATTCGAGAGGGAGCACGAGACGACGGAACCCAGTCAGAATCATCAAGCAGAGAGGTTCCGCTTTGTCCGGGGCGGGCAGCATCATCATTCCTGAAAGGCAGCTGCGCTGGTGGGCGCAGAGTTAAATCACCGACCACGGCACAGACAGGACACGAGCAAGGCCATCAGTCACAATGGCGCAGGTATTCCTCGACCTCGTCACGTCCTTGGGCAACTGCCTGAACTGCTTCCCGGGCTCGCCGACGCTCAAGATCAACAGCCGGAGCTTCAAGATCTTAAGGTTACTAGGCGAGGTATGTTGCCCTCCTCCTCTTCCCTTATTGACCTCTTTCCCCCCAGCTACTCTTTATATCGCCCCATATCCTCTGTCCCCAGCTTACTGACGACCTTGGCTGCAGGGCGGTTTCTCCTACGTCTACCTTGTCCAAGACACCTCGACCTCGGAGCTCCTCGCGCTCAAGAAGATTCGCTGTCCCTTCGGCGCCGAGTCCGTCGCCCAGGCCATGAAGGAGGTCGACGCCTACAAGCTCTTTGCCAACACCCCCGGGATCATTCACAGTGTTGACTATGCCATCGCCGAGGAGCGCGGCGGCGGCGAGGCCTCCAAGACGGTCTACGTGCTGCTGCCCTACTACCGCCGCGGGAACCTGCAAGATCTCATCAACGCCAACCTTGTCAACCACACCAAGTTTCCTGAGAAGAGGCTCATGCAGCTGTTTCTGGGCATGTGCAGGGCGCTACGGGAGATGCACGTGTACAAGGGTGCGGGAGGTGGAGGTGGCGGCGGTGGTGCTGGAGGAGGTGAGCGGATGGAGATGCGCGTCAACGGGGTGGATGAGAATGTTGCTGCGTTGAAAGATAGACCGCAGAGGGGGAGGGCGGCGGCTGGGGCCGATGAGGATGATGAGGCGGAGCAACAAAGGCCGTTGATGGGCGAGGAAGGTGTCCCTGCGGGTGAAGTCAAGAGCTACTCGCACAGGGACATCAAGCCAGGTAAGAAGGACCTTTCTCTTTCTCTCTCTCTCTCTCTCTCTCTCTCTCTCTCTCTCTCTCTCTCTCTCTCTCTCTCTCTCTCTCTCTCTCTCTCTCTCTCTCTCTCTCTCTCTCTCTCTCTCTCTCTCTCTCTCTCTCTCTCTCTTCTTTCACTGCAGGTAAAACCACGCATGGCCGCCGCCGGATCCCAAAAGCTGACATGATTGGGGATCTTCAAAGGAAACATCATGATCGACGACACAGGGGCTGCGCCGATCCTCATGGACCTTGGGTCCATCGCCGTGTCGCCCATACCCATAACATCACGGTCGCTCGCCATCGCCACCCAGGACACCGCTGCGGAGCACAGCACGATGCCTTACCGTGCGCCGGAGCTCTTCGACGTCAAGACGGGCGCGGTGATCGACACCAAAGTCGACATCTGGTCACTGGGCTGCACGCTGTACGCGTGTCTGGTTGGCAAGTCGCCCTTCGAGATGCGCAGCGACGAGACGGGCGGGTCGCTGAGCATCTGCGTGCTGAGCGGCGACTGGCGGTTCCCGGACGAAGGGCCTGGGGGTACTAAGAAGAAGGCCGCCCCAAGGAGGCAGGGGACGAACCTGAGCCAATCTGGGGCTGCTGGTGGTGGTGCTGCGGCCGCCGAGGAGCTGGTCATCAGTGACCCTATCAAGGAGGTGGTGAGGAGATGTTTGAAGGTCGAGCCTAGCGAAAGGCCGGATATGTAAGTCCTGACCTCATGTTTTCTTGTTCTTTTCTTTTCTTCTTTCGGTACTTTTCTTCTTCGATCGAGTCTGTGGACAGGACACATGCTGACCTACATTGGCACACAGAGATGAGCTGATCCAAATGGTGGATAAGGTGGTTGAGGAGCTGCCAGAGGACGACTCAGCGTGAGAGAGATAAGAGAGGATGAGAAATAGGTCTCGAGGCTGGACCCGACTTGTGTTGTAAATATCCCATGTCAGGCTTTTTCTGTCATTGTGTATTTTGGCGTTTACATGCGATGGGCGAGAGATGGGAAAGGGCCGAGATTAGAAAAAGTGACCCTTGAGATGGATGAACCATGAGAGCACAATGACAATCTATCCCACTTGATCATCTCTGGAGTATAGTTTTGCACAGCTTGCGCAAGGTGAGACACTGCGATGTTTGCTGTTGATTTGCGTTTCCTCGCCGATCACCCAATTTGGTATCTGAAAGACAAAAAACACAAAGGAATATGAGTATTTGTACCTTTTAAACGAAGGCAGTTGCAAATGCGAGCATCTCTGATTTATTCTTACTTGCTTTGCGTTGGTTGCGATATGATAAGTGTATTATTTGTCGCCGTCCCCCATCTCGTCCCGAGGAAACGTCATGCCTGATTCTCGCGACTCAACCCAAGCAACCTCTCTCTGTCTCTACTTTCTAGACCCTCTCAACTTTTTCTCTCCCACCAGACCACATCCACAACGCTTACCTTCACTTTATCTTGATGATGCATTTTCATTCATAAGTGAAACCTCATATTTCCATCATCTCAAGAATACATGTTTCATGCCCTGTTCCCACTTTCTCCACGCGCCCTGAGGAGCTGTCCTCATCCCACTCAGCAATGCGCCACTTCAGCCAAGCAAGAAGACCTCCACCACGAGGCTTCGACAACGAGGAAAGTGACCACACCTCCAGATCCCCTTCGCCACTAGGAGGAGCCAAACACCCCACAAACAACCCCTCCAGAGGCACAAGTCAAGAGAGAAGAAAAAGCGAGGAGGCGGAGGAAGAGGAAGAAGACGACTACCTCACAATGGCCCTCCCCACCGAAACCCAGACCCTGCCCGAGACCTCCCTCCAGCGCCGCCAGCGCCTCGCCAAGGAAGGCCTCCGCCGCGGCCGCGTGCCCTCCAAAGCCGAGCTCGCGGCACAGGAGCGAGAGCGCCGCGAGGAAGGGCTCTCGAGGTCCCTGTTCGACGCGCCTGACTCAGCTACCGGCAGCAGCAGCATCACCGTCAACAGCAGTAGTACCACCACTGGGCTCAGCATCGCCAAGAAGTCCAAGGGCCTGGCGATGATGGCCAAGATGGGGTTCCGGCCTGGGACGGGGCTGGGGGCGGGCGGGACAGTGGCGAGGGTCGAGCCGTTGCGGATTGAGGTGCGGGAGGACCGGGGCGGGATTGGGCTGGAAGGGGAGAGGAGGCGGAAGCTGGAGGAAGCGGGGGCGGCGGCGGCGGCGGCGGTCAAGAGGCCGCGGCTGGATGATGGGGGGGACTATAGGGTGCGCATGGCCAAGGAGAGGGACGCGGCGAGGAAGGAGAAGCTTGTGCTGGCGGCGCAGAAGATCGCAGAGCGGATGGATGAGGACGAGGAGGGGGACGAGGAGGCTGCGGGTCCTGACAAGGAGAAACGAAGTGACAAGGACGATGATGAACGACAAGAAGGGGAACAGAAAAAGAAGAAAGGCTCCACAAAGCCCTCCTCCTCCTCTAAACCCCTCCAGTCCATCCCCGTCCTCTACCGCGGTCTCGTCCGCAACCGCGAGCAGGCCGAGCGCGACAGGCGCATGCGCCACGACCTCGAGACCAGCATGGGCACGCTCTCGTCCAAGCTGCCCACCTACGACGACGACACCCTCGACAGCGATGACAAGCTCGCCCTCGGCAAGGACATTACTACGACGACTACGACGACGACGACGACGACGTATATGCCCGCGGACGATCTGGACGAGGAGGACGCGGAGCTAGATGGGTTCGAGGCGCTGGACGTGGATGAGAGGCTGGGTAGGCTGGTTGGGTATCTCCGAGAGAGGTACTTGTATTGCTTTTGGTGCAAGTTTAGGTATCCTGACGAGGGGATGGAAGGGTGTCCTGGGTTGGAGGAGGAAGATCATGATTAGAGAGAGGGGACGATGAAAAAGGATTCAATGGATGGGATCACTATGATATTACTTTGTCTACAGAAAAAGAAAATCAAGTCAAGCCCCCAGAATTCAAGACAAAACTACAATTCATCGTTATTGGCTTGGGGATATCATCTCACTTGGAAAAGCAGCCTCTCATGTATGTGTAAGTAGGAGTTCTTGTCAATTCCGCAAGGCCGTGTATCTTCTTGCTATCAAGCAGCCTTCCCAACTCCGTACAACCTAGAATGACAGACAGGTATTGCTGTTAAGCCATGGTATGCAAAATCCATCCCAGTCCCATGCCCCCACCCCAACAAAAAAAAAAATTCAAGGTAATCGTCGCTGTACATGAAAACCTCGTCGTAGACCACCTTGTTCACACACAAAGTCTTGAAAATATCTCTCTCTCAAAAGTGTTGCCTCGGCTCGCGGTTAGCGAGAAGAGCAGGGTTAGAATGGTAAGAAGAAGAAGAAAAAGAGTAGAAAGGAGAAGAGCCAGGCCGCCAGCCGTCTCTCTCTCTCTCTCTCTTTAATGCCTGTCATATTTCTTTTCAAAGCATTGCTCTTATGCCTATTTGGTGTCACTCGTGCTCTCACTGCGCTTTCTCTTCAGGCTGCCCTTGCCCGTACCGTGCACGGCCTCCTTGGAGTCGACGTCCTCGACATAATCTTCCAGCTCTTCCTCATAATCCAGGTCATCGTCATCGTACTCCTCATCCCCTTCCTCGTCCTCCTCCTCGTCGTCATCGTTGTTGTCCTCGTCCATGTCGTAGTCCTCTGGCCCATAGCAGCCGAACCTGTCCTCGGCCTCGCTGTCGCTCTCGCCGTCGCTGTCGTCCAGGTTCAGGGCGCCCAGGAGCGGCACGTCAATCTTGGCCAGCTGGCTCTTGATCATCTGGTCGGCCACCAGGAACAGCTGGTGGTCCTTGTCCGGCACCACCTCCTTCTCGACGTCAAACTCCCTCTCCTCCCGGTCCAGCAGCGCATCGTCGCGCATCCCGTTGTTGGGCGACAGTGCCGCCTCGGGGATGTCCATGACCCACTTGCGCACCACCTCGCCCTTGGTCGGCACATTCCCGCCTCTGCCGCCACGACCGCGCCGGGCTGCTGCCGCCGAGTTCTTCTCGCGCAGGCCCCTCCGGAAGGACCGCTTGTTGCGCTTCCGCCGGCGCCCAATGCGGTCCCGGATGTACCAGGCCACGACGAGCATGGCGGCCTGCATCATCTCCTGGCACTTCTGGCGGTGGGAGGTGGCCCAGGTCTGGCAGCGCTGCTGCTGGTAGTTGAGGATGGCCTGGCAACGCTGCTGGTAGTAGGCTGCCATGCGCGATACCATCTGGATATACTTGGGGTCACCGGCCAAGGAGTTGTCAAGGAGGTTGGGGTGGTTGAGGAAGGGATTCTCTGGTGGTGATGAGTGCTGTTGCTGGGTCTTTTGTTGTTGTTGTTGTTGTTGTTGTTGTTGTTGTTGGTGTGGTAGTGGTGGGGAAGACAGTGGTGCTGGTGTTGGTGCCGTCACCGCTGTTGTTGTTTTTGGGTGGTGCAGCTGTGAGTCCTCGACCTTGGTCGCCGAGCTGTCTGTGGTGTTTGTCGACGAGGTCCGGGTAGAGGAGGATGAGTTGCAGCACGGCTGCTGTGGTGGTGATGATGGTGAGGAGGAGGATGATGATGAAGAGATGCCCTGCTTGTTGCTGCTCGTCTGAGCCTGAGCCTGCGCTTGAGCCTGAGCCTGAGCCTGAGCCTCTGCCTCTAGAGCCTTTGCCTTCTCCGCCTTCTCGCGCAACAGCTGCTGCTGCTGAAAGTGTTTCTCGAGCAGGGTCGGGGCCTTCTTAACCACAGGCGCCTCCATTTCTTTGGCAAACGATCTGAATAACAAGGGGTTCGTGATGCCTGCTGCAGGGGCTTGATTCGAGGTGTGTTTGAAGAGAATCTTGTGGTCTGGGGGTGAAACGGAGAGATGAGGAGAAGAAAAGCCCAACATGATGGGAAAAGTAGCAGCGTCCATTGTGCACACACAAGGCCAGCTTAGGCCGAGTGTCGAAGAAAAGAGAGGGTGGGGGAGGTGGGTTGGTAGGAGGGTGTCGTTGTGCGGGAAGCTGGGTTGCAGAAATGCGTGTAAGTGCCCGCTGTTCCCGAAATAGGAGAAACAAGGCTCTGAAGTGGTCTGATAATCGCCGTTTCTGGGGCCACTCAGCCGGTCGGTTTCGGTGTGTTTGTTGGTTTCTCTTTCCCTTCAACTTTTGTTCTTTTGCCTGCAATAAGCGACTTCTTTCACTGGTCCGCAGATAATTTGAATGAGGGACACAGGAAAAAGTATTTTCAGGAGGATGGAAGACAAAGGTAATAAAAGATAATAAAGGGAAATGAGTCTGTGCGAAGCTGTGTGAAACTTTTCAAGACAGTCAAGGGAGTAGTCTCATGAATGGTACAGCCTTTTCAAAAGGAAACACATGGAAGCGGGGAAAGGAAGAGGGGGGAAAAAAAGAAAAGAGACTCTCTTCCAGGTGGGATACTTGAGATTCAGTATATATTAAGGGAGATCAGGGTAGAACAACAAACAGCAACAGAGAGACACAGAGAGCCAGAGAAAGAGAGGAGAGAATACTGCACCCCGGAGTGGTAAGTGGAGCCACGAGGGCGTCAGCTCGAATACCCAGGGAATGGAATGGCACAACATCAGATAGGATCCAGAAGGGTGATATGATTACCTACCGAATCGGATGAGGCATGAAGAAGTAAGGTTCGTACCTAACCCCGGAGCTGGCCCTCGACTGGGCCCCAGCCAGGATGGGTCAGATGTAAGTGGTATGGGAAGCGAAATGGGCAGGTTGACCAGACTAAAGCAGCAGACGGGACGCCCTAAACCCCAGAATAACCCATCTACTATGGTAGAAAGGGCCTGACACGGCACCACTGAGGTGGCGACAGGGCACTACCGCATGAGAGAGAGCGAGCCCATCGCGATCCTCCATCCCAACCCTGCACTTTCCCCTCTCCCCTCCCTCTCCCTCTTTCGTATGTTTCGTATTTTCTTAATCTCCTCCAGGCTCGATTTCTCGCTCCTTTTCACGACAGCCGGACCAGGCGAGAGGACCAGGAGGGGGCGACAAGATGGAGGGGGGGGGGGAGTAGATGGGATGGAGTTCCTGTGGAGGAGGCCAAGGAGGAGAGCGACAAGGGAGGAGACGGCCCCAGAGAGACGGTGTTCGCGCTGGATCCTCCCCATTTAGACCCCGGCACCCGTGGTCAAAGATCATCGAACAGCTGGCGGGTCCCGCAGCAGAAACAGCAGAGCCGCGAGGAGGAAACTTTCGACATGTGGTCAGGATGTCGTGAGGGCGGGCGATACAGGGAAGTTCGGCTGGGGAGGGGGGGAGAGGGGGAGGAAAGCTTGTCAGGGTCGAGGTGTGGTCCAGCAGGCGGAGCTTGGGTTAAAGAAAAAGAAAGAAAAAAATAGTGGTACGACGGGTGATGGCAAAAATGCGGGAATCGGTCGATACCGGCCCCCAAGCCCTTGCACATCCGCCCACAACAGCCTGTCAGCGGCGTGGCAGCGAGGCTACTGGGCCGCCATTGGCCTACCGAGCGCGAAAGAGGGCCACAGGGCCTGTCAGACAGCACCTGGACCCCAATCAGAGCACTAGCTAGGCCCCCTCCCCCAACTAGGCCTTGCCGTTAGACCCTTATTGTTAATCCTCCTCTCCCTGGCCCCCTGTCCACTCCCTGGCCCCGAAATCTTTCGATCAAATATCCAAGACACCCCAGAATGACCTCAACGATGGCCCCGAAATCTGCCTTGGTCATGCTTACCAAAACTTTGCCCACAAAACCTCCCCCCTCCTTCCCTCCCCTGGTCCTTGACCTTTTTGTTCTTTTCGTCCGTTTCCGTGGGTTCCCGGTCTGCCAGTGTAAGATGCGGAGCCGTGCGGGTGCCGTCCGCATGAAGCCTCTATGGCCGAACGCATGCGCTGGAAACCTGAGCAACGTGGTGTGGTTGCACCTCAATGATCACCGCATTGCGCGGCGATCCGTGATGATCTTCCCGTTCCTTTCCGTGGCTGCTGCTGTTGCCTTGAAGCTGCAGTGTAATGCGAGATTCCCCTGGGGCCAGGCACCCAGAAGGCAGATCTTATGTCAGGACCGTTTTGTAGTAGTAGTAGTAGTAGTAGTAGTAGTAGTAGTACAAGGCGTAAGGCGTGCGTTCCTGGACGTGTGGCTTTAGGGTTCATGCACGCCGAGGAAGAGAAGGCCCAGGTGGCATGGTGGAACTGCATCGTCGTTTGAGTCGCGTCACTTGCACTAGGTTATGTAATCAGCCGCGCCTATCGTGACGTTTTGTCAGAAAAGAAGACTGGGCAGGGGATGGAATGCTCCGAGTTCTTCCTGATCCATACCTAGTCTGGTGGAAATTGGGATGACAATTCGCTACCGGTCTAGAGGGACAAAATGGACAGATCGAAGCCTGGGGTACTTTGAGATTCAAGATGGGGTTTGGGGTTCTAGTAAGAGTAGATCGAGATTTGGAGGGAAGAGAAGTGTCAAACTATAGCTTGGCTAGTGCCAGTGCGGCAAAGGGACTGGGCCCTCACAGAACACACGGCCTTCCAGGCCAATTTGTGGCCTCATACTGGATCGAGAAGGTGCTTGGACGACTCCGGACCTCTCAGCATTCTGCATGGCCCAAGATATGTGTGCCCTGGACCGCGCCGCCTTCCAGCACCTCTGTTTGGGACGGAGTAAATCGAGATGGGGCCCACAAGCAAGCCAATACCTGCCGACTATTTTATGATTCAAATACAACCAGGTCGATATATGCTTTAGCTAAGCCTGCAAGGGGTTGGGAGTGTTCAAGCATCGTGAGAAGTATGCTAAATGAAACGGGACGCTAACGAGAACCAACAAAAGATAAAAGAGGGGGAAGTAAGCAGAGGAAACGAACAAATGCAGTAGCCAGGTACAGTCCAACCGAAAGATATTAATAAAATAATAAAAAAGAGACAAAAACACATGCATCTCTTGTTGATGCCCACTATCAGAATCGAACTGATGACCTTATCATTACTAGTGATACGCTCTACCACTGAGCCAAGCGGGCTACTTGTTCATGACTAACTTGTATCAAGCAATACCTATATTCCTTATGGAATCTCTCGCTGTAACCCTGTAACTTTCAACCCTGGTGTGCTGTCAAGCTTGACCTCATTTGGAGATGGAAACGTGAGGTGACCTTTCCTCGAGATCTCCCCACAACATTCATTCTTTCCAGTTCAGAAATTCCTTTGACTTTTTTTTTCGTGTTGTTTTACGAAGCGGTGGTGTGGGGATGCATTGCGTCTAGCAAATCACGACATCTGCATTTTTCATCCATCTCTTCTTGATGCTACCCTCACGCGTGGGGCCGTCGCGCATCCTGAACGGCTCAACGCGATGCTCTGCACGCCAGTGCACTTGGGGAAGATTATCCAGGAGCTTGCCCAGCACCAGCACCAGTCGACAGATAACTAGCTGCAACAGATATGGCGGCACACTGTCTCTGGGTCAAAGACCGTCCTGTGAGCTTCCCCAGATCCAACGCCAGGTCCGGGGTAAGAAGACCAAGACGGTGGTGAGCCTGGATGACCTTCCCCAGGGCGTGATTCGCTCAGATGCACTGCCAGCTCTGGAGGACGAACCACCAGTCGTGCCGTCCTATCCTACGGTCGTTCTGCAGGCGCGTCGGAACATGCAAAAGTTTGACAATTGCGTCTTGTTGACACGGGTGGGCGGTTTCTATGAGCTCTACTTTGAGCATGCGGAGGAATATGGCCCGCTGCTGAATCTCAAGGTTGCTAAGAAGAAGACGGCCGCTGGGTCAGTATCAATGGTAACAGGAAATCTCCCCCCTGCTAAACCTAAGATCCGCTTGTTGTGTTTTGTTTTCTTGGACGGGTATCGTATGTTGTGCCCTGGTGGGTAGCGCCATGTCCCAGAGTCTTCTGACCCAATTCTCTATATTCGATCACAGGCCGGGTTCCCTTTCTTCCAATTAGATCGATTCCTCAAGATCTTGGTTCAGGACCTGAATCGATACGTCGCCGTTGCGGAGGAGTTCCCTAACAATGCGCCCGAGAAAGTCAAGTCTGGTGGCCTAATGCACGATCGAAAGGTCGCGCGCATAATCACCCCAGGCACGCTCATCGACGAGCAGTTCATGGATCCATACGCCAACAACTATGTCATGGCTATACATCTGCCGAGAGACCAGACGGCCGCTGAAGAGGGGCCGGATCCTTCTCCTGCTGGTGCTGCTGCTCTTGGGTCTGTCTCGGATGCCGTGTCTCCTGATGCGGCTGCGGATGTCTCCGCGCCCATCGGCCTCGCGTGGTTGGACCTATCGACAGGTCACTTCTTCACACACGCCACGAAATTGAGCTCTTTAGGCTCGATGCTCTCCCGTATCTCCCCGAGGGAGGTCGTATTGGACGAGGACTTGCAATCCGACACCGGTCACGAGATATTCTCCATCCTTGCCGAGGAGGGGCATCTCATCACGTACGCGCCCCAGGGTGAGCTGACGGCTATCTCCGACTGGGCACCCATGCTCGAGTCCGAGATCCCACCGCAGAGTGTAGAAACGTTCACCCAAGATGAGGTCAGGGCGGGGAGCCTTCTGCTGCACTACGTCAAGGACCGGCTGCAGGGGATCAGTATGAAGCTGCAGCCTCCACTGCGTCACGAGACCATGCAGGTGATGAATATTGACAAGAATGGCATGCGCTCTCTCGAGATCAAGCAGACCATCCGAGACGGCGGGTTCCGTGGCAGCCTGCTGCACGCCATCAGGAGGACAGTGACAAAGAGCGGCGCCCGCCTGCTCAACGAATGGCTCAGCGCGCCTTCTTCTTCTTTAGATGTCATCCGTTTCCGCCAGGACCTTGTAGCCTGCTTCATTGCCGACGAATCACTACGAGAAGGTATCACACTGCTATTACGACGAAGCCATGACTCCCAGAGGCTGGTACAGAAATTTGCGCTGGGCAGGGGAGATCCGGACGATCTCGTGGATCTGGCCAGCACCATCAAGGCTACAGAAGACATTGTCCTTCTGCTCCTGGGAGCTGTTCCTGCTCATGATGCTGAACCGCCCGCAGAGAAGGACTGTCTCCGAAAAATGACCGAGCGCATCGTCCTCGACAGCCCGCGCAAGCTCGCCCGCCGGATCCGCGAAGCTATCGATGAGGAGGGTATCGTTCAGCAGCACCAGATGGACGATGACGAAGCCAGCAGTATGACTGCGCTGGCCCAGGCGGTGGTCGACACCGAGGGCGCAGCCGAGGACTCCTCCCTCCTCCCCAAATCCGCCAAGAAGCGCAAGCCCGTCTCCATCCGCGACTACTATGGCGAAGACAACGAAGTATGGATAATGAAGCCAGACGCCAGCCCCCACCTGAAGCGTCTGCACGCCGAGCTCGAATCCCTCCTGGCCGAGCGCGACGCGCTCGCCGAGAACCTGCGCACACGGCTCGAGGCGCCCTCGCTCACACTCAAGTGGACGCCCGGGCTCGGCCACATCGCGCACATCAAGGGCCGGCGCGACCTCAGGAACGCCAGCCTGTCAGACATCCCGAACCTGACGGGCCGCTCGACGGCGTCCTCGCGCTCGTTTCACCTGCCCGAGTGGACAGAGCTGGGCCGCCGGCTGGACCAGGCCCGCCTGCAGATCCGTGCCGAGGAGCAGCGCGTCTTCGCCGAGCTCAGGCAGCAGACCGTGCTCAATATCGTCAAGCTGCGCCGGAACGCGGGCGTGCTGGACGAGCTGGACATTGCGACCTCGTTCGCGCGACTGGCTGTCGAGGGTAACCTCGTCCGGCCGGTCCTGAACAACGGCACGGCGCATGTCATTGTGGGCGGCCGACACCCGACCGTCGAAGGCGGGCTGAGGGAGGCTGGCAGGACGTTTACGAGCAATGATTGTTTCGTGGGCGCCGGCTCGTCTCCCACCTCCAAGACAAGTCCCATCTCCAAGAAAAGAACCACCTCCAGATCAGCATCAGCATCATCATCATCATCATCATCACAACAACACGGTCGGGTCTGGCTCATCACAGGCCCCAACATGGCCGGCAAATCGACCTTCCTCCGACAAAACGCCCTCATCACAATCCTCGCGCAGATCGGCTGCTACGTGCCAGCCTCGTACGCGGAGATGGGCATCGTAGACGCCATGTTCAGCCGCGTGGGCTCCGCCGACAATCTGTACCGCGACCAGAGCACCTTCATGGTCGAGATGCTCGAGACGGCCACCATCCTGCGGCAGGCCACGCCCCGCTCGTTTGTCATCATGGACGAGATCGGGCGGGGCACGACCCCGGAGGACGGGTGCGCCGTGGCGTTTGCGTGCCTGCATCACCTGGTCACGTTGAATCGGTGCCGGACGCTGTTTGCAACGCACTTTCACGGGGTCGCTGATCTGGTGGCAGAGCACGGGATGCGGGTAGAGGACGGAGGGGACAAGGGGACCGTGGAGATGTATTGTACGGATGTGGCCGAGGACGAGCAAGGAGGGTTTGCCTATGTGCACAAGCTACGGAGGGGCATCAACCGACAGAGCCATGCGCTCAAGGTCGCGAGGCTGGCAGGACTGCCTGAGGCGGCGATGCGTACAGCGAGGGAGGTCTTGGTCCCTCAGCAGGAGAAGACGACGACAGTGAACAAGCTGGGGGGGTAGAGCGCCACATGTCAAAATTACAAGTCCGAGCGGCTGGGTGAGAGTCACTATACATGTCCATGGGGCAAAGAGACCCGTGGGTCATGCGAGAGAGAAATCTGTACAACTTTTCCGTGCGTTAGCAAATATACCCCCCACTATGCAACGATCTGAACAATGTCCTGGAAGGGTGATAAGTGTCTCATAGGGTGGTGATGGGTTGTCATCAGGTAGTTCAGGGTTAAAAAGCTCTTGTGTTGTTTTTTTATAATCTTCGACACGTTCCTTGGGCCAAGAAGAGAGAAAAAAGAATGAGAGAAAAAAAGTGCTCACCATTTACAATTCAGGCTCTCCGCATCTTGATCTGTCACGAATGCAGCAAGATATGGCCCAGGGTATGGGAGTAAATGATCCGTAGTTGTTGAACTACCTCAAAAGGGGCACTTTCCTCCCCCAGTAAACTCCCCAATCTGACGAACCACGTCAACCCTTTTTTTCTTCTGTTTAATTCTCCGCTTTCTGAAAGACTTTCGTGCTGGATTGTGCTTGTCTTTGGAACACGCCTGTTTGCTGTCGTTCGATCGTCAGCAGGTTTTGTCATCGAGAGAGAGACATGACATTTAGTCGAAGAGACCGAAGCCCATGTCGTCATCCTCCTCCTCTTCCTCCTCCTCCTTCTTCTCCTCAGCGGCAGGGGCATCGGCAGAGTCGCCACCAGCAGCAGCCACAGGGGCGGCAGCGGCGTAGGCATCCGGGTTGGCGATGCGGTCCTTGAGCTCCTCAATCTCGGGCCAGCTGATCTCGGTCTCGATGGCGACAGCCAGGACCTTCTTGTAGCCGTTGACCAGGGAGTGCATGATGGACGGCAGGGTGGGGTAGTTGAGGGCCAGGGAGATGGTGGCGATGGTGGTCACGGCGCTGGAGAAGGACTTGAGCAGCTGGTCCTCGCTGATGTCCAGGACGGAGGGGGGGAAGCAGTTGCCCTGGTCGTAGACCTGCTCAACAGCCAGACCGTAGGTGAAGGGCGAGATGTTGAGCATGTTGAGCAGGGTAGCCTCGGAGGGGCCGACCTTGCTGCCGGCCTCAACGAGCTTGAGGTCGGTGGTGATTTCGATGGTACCACGAGCGATCTTGGTGGGGACACCGAGGGCCTGGAAGAAGGAGGTCTTGCCAGGCTCCATACCGGTGTTGCCAGCGGGGACCCAGACATCATCGGGGGCGACGGCACCAGCACGGGCGGGAGCGGCGACCTTGTTGTCGAGGATCTTGTCACGGATGGCCTTGAGGTCACCGTTGGTGAAGACGAAGCCGACGTTGCCCTTGACGTAAGGCAGGAGGCGCTCGTACTCGGGGGTGTCGGCGATGAAGGTCTTGAGGGCACGGCGAACCTGTATTGAGAGGAAAATTGAGTATTAGTACTGATGCGCGACCGCCTTTTTTTTTCCCCCTCTTCCCTTCATTTCTTGTTCCTTGTTTTTCTTCAAGAATCACTACCAAGACATACCATGGTGTTCTTGCCCATCAGGACGACGGCCTCGCCACGGAGGGCCTGACGAATCTCGTGCATCTGCTGAGACGAGACATTGTCGACGCCGACGATGAAGACGGACTGGTACTCCTCGAGCAAGCCCTTGAGCTTGTCGAAGTAGCCGGCCTTGTTAGCGGATTTGCCCCCCATGTCTTCTTTTAGCTGTCGAAGCTGAAGAAAGGATGTTTAAGGGCAAATGAAGTTGAGGTATTGAGAATAAAAGGTTGGGTCTGGTTGTCGAGATTGACTTGACGTTGACGATAGTGGTGGGGGGATGGGAAAGTTTGCGCGAGGCTCCATTTGCACGTTTGATTTTATTCTTGTGGGTGCCAGTGGCTGACTCGTCCGTGCCTCACACTAGCCACGGTTGTGGCTTGAACGTGACTTTTCTTTTCTCCCCTGGTCCTTTTCTCAGTCTTATCGATAAGACCCATTTCTGGAACTTTTTCTAAGATCGTCTGGGGGGACAAATCCCACTTTGGGGGGTGTTGACTTCCTAACGCCGGAAAAGTATAACCAAGACCATCTCAACCAGTGAGGAGACGAGAGCTCTGAAGATGGTCAAGTTCCCCTTCCATGGGGTTCAGGTCGGCGATGGTGTCCTTTTCGCCACGAGGGCTGGGAACATCCACTCGTTCAATATCGCAGATGGCTCTCACATCTCATGCTGGAAATATCCAGTAGACCCCAAAGAACAGAAGTCGAAATTGGTCATTGATGTGTCCGAGACGTCAACGCCCACGCTGTCGCAGGACGACCAGGGCCCTCCAGCCAAGCGCGTCAAGCTTGACGGTGGCGATGCCGTGGCTGAGGTGACGGGGGGAAATGGATCATCAGCAGGTGTGCCGCCTTCTTCTGAGGCTCTTGGCGAGGACACGCCAAAGAAGGGCAAGAAGAACAAGAAGAACCTGGCCCGACCTGGCCCATTGACACAGCCCTCTGACCGTCCCATGGTCATTCTTATGACCTCTGCCAAGGATGGCAGTTATCTGGTCGCCGTCACCTCAGACAAGTCTGTTTGGGTTTTTGAGCATGACGGTCAGGGCGAGCTCAAGCAGCTCAGTCGTAGGTACGTAGATTCCCTCTCATGGTCACAAAACGTCTTTGTGTGAAAAGAGACCCTGTGTGGACCCTAGGCGGTGGCCTCACTGCCAAACTTAAGAGTGATCGATCACATGAAAAACAAAGACAGTATACTCACGAAATCGACAGACGCATGCCTAAGCGCCCCTGCTCGATAGTCCTCACTCCAGACAACAAGGACATTCTCGCAGCCGACAAGTTCGGCGACGTCTACTCCGTCCCTCTGATTCCCTCCGAGCAGCCGCCGCAGCCAACAACAGAGGGAGCCTCCCCCGCCGCCTCCTCCCCTCCCCCACCAACCCGAAATGCCTACACGCCCCAGGCCAGCGAGCTCACCGTGCACACCAAACGCAACCGCCAGGCCCTGCTCGACCAGGTCATCTCCAAGACCAACCCCAAGGCTCATCGCGGCACCCCGCGCCGTGTCGACGAGTCCTTCGAGCGGCACCTGCTGCTCGGCCACGTATCTCTCCTCACCGCCGTGACGCTTGGGTTCGACGCCCAGGGCCGGCGGTACATCATCACCGCGGACCGTGACGAGCACATCCGCGTGTCGAGGGGCACGAGGGAGCAGGCGCACGTCATCGAGGCGTTCTGCCTGGGCCACGAGGAGTTTGTCAATCGGCTCTGCGTCCCGGAGGGCATGGGGGATCTGCTTGTGAGCGGTGGTGGAGATCCGGACCTGTTTGTCTGGAGGTGGAGGGACGGAGCGGCGCTGGCTAGGGCGGACTTGTTGGGCGCGGTGAAGAACACGACGCCGGAGGCGACCAAGGTTGCTGTCACGGCGTTGTGCAGCTGGCGGCCTAGTCCAACGGAGGCATGGACGAGGGTTGTGGTAATTTGTGAACGGTGAGTCTTTGATTTGATTATTCCATCACAGAACAGTGTTTGTCCGTGGAGCTCGCTGGCTAATTGCACACGCACAGCGTTCCTGTTCTCTTCATCTATACCCTACAGAGCTCTGCCTCTCTAGAGTTCTCTGCAGCCGTCAGGCTCCCTGGTAATCCACTGGACGTTGGTGTAGTCAGCGGTAAAGAGCTGGTCGTCACCGTCGATCGGGACCAGAAGGATGCTAACCAGGACGCATTAGAGAAGTCCATTCTGGGTGTGAAATACACAGATGGCGAGTATGTGGTCTCGGATGACCTCATCAAGGAGCTCCCTGATCTAGGCGCAGAGGATCAAGACATATCATCCGAAGAGCTGCAGAGCCTGCTGTACAGTGCGGAGACACTGCGCAAATTGGAAACTGGAGATGCGGAAAAGGAGGCTGGAGGGTACGGAGAGTAGACAGGCACAGCATCGGCATGAGATACCAAGATCAACAACAAACAAATCAACCTAAAAAAGCAAAATTAATTCATGTTCTTGAAAAGCGTTCTTAAGCAGATAACTTCCTGCACCTGATCTCAGATGTCATTTCTATGCCTCTGAACGCCAGCCACAATCGTCCTATCATGATAAAGAAACCCAAGGAAAACCCGACTGGTTGCCGCTTTATGCTCTAGTCATCATAGTTGGGCTGACCCGTCATTTCCTCCGACACTGGCCCAGGACGAGTCTTGACTGCCTCTTCTGCGATGGAGCTGTGCCAGAAAGGTGTTCCAAGTCTCCAACCAGAGACACACCTCATCAAACTATTCCATCACCCACGTTTTCCATTCCACGGCCGCGGGTCTAACAATAACAGGTACACAGAATCATGGCGCATTTGTATGGGGGTATGGTTAGATCATTGTTGCTGTAGAGCATCTACTGCGAGGCGCACTGGACGCGCTCGGCATGCGGGTGGCCATCCTCATCGTCCTCGTCCATGGCACCTTCGCCGCCGAACGCGCGAGCGCCAGCGGTGGAGTCTGGGTCCTCCAGATCCACGGGTTCGGTCATAGCATCGGCAGGTGGTACGTTCTGGAGAGCTGGCGAGGGCAGAATGTTGCGGAGGGCCTCGAAGGCTGCTGGGTCAGCGGTCCAGCCCTTCTCGGGGAACTTGACGGTGAACTGGATGTAGAGATTGCCGCAGTCGTGGTGGCGGTACGATGGCATACCCTGGCCGCGGATCATCTTGACGGCACCTGCAGAACCTGTCAGCATGGAATACTCGAGGTAGAACAGGTCGTGGGACTTGTGTATATATCAAACTCACCTGGTGCGATCGCCTCGCCAGGCAGGATGTCAATGCTCAACCACCGGTCGTCCAGATGCTCGACATAGATAGTACCTCCGGCAAGGGCTGTCACCAGCTCAACCTCGCAGTTGTAGAGAAGATCATCGTCCTTTCGGGTGAATCGTGGATGGGGCTTCTGCTCAATCTCGAAAACGACATCGCCGGCCAGGATACCAGGAGCCTGGTCACCCTCACCGCGAAACTCGACGCGGGCGCCGCTCTTAACACCCCGGTCGACATTGACGTGGAGGACCTTTCTGTCGACAACTGTCTTCTTTCCGCTGCACTGCTTGCAGCGGTCCTTGTCCTTGATGATCTCTCCCTCGCCGTTGCAGTCGGGGCAGGCGGTCTGGAAACGCTGAATCATGGGACCCATCTGGCGCATCATCGTCTTCATACCGTGGCCATCACAACCGGCGCAGCGCTTGACGGCGCCCTCCTTGCCTCCGCGACCCTCGCACTTAGGGCAGATGATGGAGCGCTGGAGCGCCAGCTTGGAAACCTTGCCGCGGTAGATATCTTCAAGGGAAACCTTGTGGGTGTGGTGAATTGTACGAGCCTTGGGTGGGCCGCCGCGAGACGGGCCGCCGCCGCCGAACATGCCTCCGAAGCCACCCAGGCCGCCGCCGCCAAAGAACTGAGCGAACAGGTCCTCAGCGGCCATGCCACCACCGCCGGCAGCACCTTCCAGGCCAGCCTCACCCATCTGATCATAGGCGCTTCGCTTCTGAGGGTCGGAAAGGACCTCGTAGGCCTGAGAGATCTCCTTGAACTTGTGCTCGGCCTCCTCATTGCCGGGGTTCTTGTCTGCAGGAATGTCAGCTCACTGGCCGAGGTAGAAAGTCGCCACGTGGTACTGCGCTGCGGGAGACATACCAGGGTGGTACCTCAGCGCATTCTTCTTGTAGGCCTTCTTTAGATCTGCTTCGGTAGCATTGGGTTGGACCTGAATGACAAATGTCAGCACGCGTGTTTTGAATGTGCTTCTCGATAAGGTATCAAAGTAGGACCACGTACGCCCAAAAGGTCGTAGAACTTTGTCTCCCGAACCATCTTGACGGTTTGGCGCAGGGGTTGTTGGTGAGGAACTTTGGCGGTCGGGAATCACAAGGCTCGGTCGCTCGGTGGTTTTAGGATCCAAAAGGCCCGGATAGTTCTAGGCTGAGATTTGGTTAGCATATAAAATTCTTCCTCGTAAAACAAGATGAATGCAAGAAGAAGTGACGATCCTCTGTTCCGGTGTTGAGGATGCGACGAGCACGAAGGGAGGCGGCGTTGGGAACTGACTAGAAAATTTGAGGATTGAACAGCGCAGGGGAAAAGTACTCTGCCAGAGTAGACGGCGGCGAATGTGAGGGGAAGTTGCAGGCGGGTCGGGATGGGGAAAAGGAGGCTTATTGAGGTAATTCTGAAATGGACAAGTCAGAGGACGAGAGAAGGTTGGATGTGAGGTCGTAGAAGTCCTGGAAGTGAACAACAAACACAGGATGGTTGTACTTGCGCTGAGGTGAAGGAGTCGCCTGGGGGGTTTGGTGGTGATAATGGGCTTCAGAGGATGGACTTTTTAGTCTAAGCAAGGACCGCAGGCAGGGAGTGGATGGGGGTCCAGAGGCAGATGTCGGCGGCTTACAGTTGTAAGAGGCTGAAGTGGATGGAATCGCATAGAAGATGCTGGATCTGTTAGGAATAGTACCTCGTTAGTCTTCCGTAGCCTTCTTTCCATCACCAAAAATGGCCTTGGCCAAGGAAAAACTGTGATGAGTCAAGGGTAAGTAACAAGTCACGTCTAAACAGGAGCAGGGGTGCCCCGCAGTCATGGGCGAGAAACCTGGTGCGCTGGGCGCCCACAAGGCCTAATCAGTCCTAATCAGTCCCGCTGTGGCTGGAGGGGGCGATGCTTATTATACAGGATACATCGATACCAGCTGCAGGGCCTATTTCATGCTAGTGGAGGTCACTGCAGGCGCTTAGGCACTGGCTGCTTTTTCTCTGCCACTTTTGCCTCAGGCGTTTCTCAGCCTGCTCAAGGGACCAACAACGAGAACTACTGCACAAGTTGCAGGAGCTAAAATGTCTTTTCTTTTTGTCTTCCATAAATAATCATGATCAATGACCATTATCCGTTCTTGGGTATCTGATGTATTTTTTATTTTTTTTCCTTTCCTTTCGATTCTTCTTTTCCTTCCTTCTTCCTTTTTTCCTTTTGCTCCCTCTCCTGTTCTTCGTTCCTGGGGTAGGAGGCGGGGGTGGCTTCCCAGGCGTGCTAGGACTGCCGGCTGCTGGAGCCATCAGACCAAGCCCCAAGCTTAGCTCCATAAGAGTCTGTCAAGACCGACGAACCCTGTACTTACTATATAGTACTGAGATACCATGGTTCACCTAGTTCCATCTACCTGACCATCACATCTGAGAGGTATTGACTTCTTTTTTCTCTTCTTCTGTCTTTTCTTGATATTCTGAGCACGACTCTACGGTACACAACGTAGAATGAAGCTCCATCGGCCGACACGTATTGTACTCGGTGACACAGATCTCTATTTGAGACGGCCTCGAGACCCAAATCAGGCACACTGTGAAAAAGGACCAATTCTCAACGGTCACCGCTCAAAATTTCTTGACGGTTGGTTCAGTGCTCAGATTTCAGTCAATATAGCGTCTGCCTCCCTCCAACCGCTCAACAGCGCGCCGTGCACCGTAGCAAAGTGATTGCGACTTGTGTGCTCCCCTGCAAACCTTAACACGCCTCCCTTGTCATTGACGAGGGGCTGTTGGAACTCTTGACGGTGCTCTGTGCCAGACACGCCCGTAATCATGTGGCTGTAGCTGCCCCTCGAGAACTCGTCCGCAGCCCACCTGCTGACGTGGGTAGTCTCGGGCTTCGGCGGCTCTCTGCCCAGCCAGCTCGTCATTGCGCGATGTACGATCCCGCCGGCCTGCTCGTTAGACATGGCCTCGATCTGGACAGCGTTTGCGCAGGAGACGAAAGCCGACAGGACGGGAAACCCGGTCAGGTTGTGCAGGTTGATGATGGATAGAACACCAAGCCCGGTAGCTGTTGTGCCATCCTCGAGGATCTCGATACCGGGGAGCTCGGTGGTGAAGCCCATGAGAGAGTCCGGTGATGCCTTGTCATGACTGTTGTCTGGGCTATCTTCTGTACCACTGGACATTGGCTGTCGGACGAGACCTTTACGAAAAATCGAGGTATAGGGTTCTTGAGTCCACCATGGGGTTCTGTACACAAGCATGATCTTGTCCAGCGTGCCGAACCCGAGGTTGTCAATCGCCGCAAGCTTGCCCGAGGGGAGCGGCGGTACGAACAGCCGTATTGGCGCTGTGCCGGAGGCAGGTGCTTGTGTGTGGTGCTGAAGCACGCCCAGAGGCAATGTGCAGACGACCTTGCTGGCGGTATAACTGCCGTGAGTCGTCTCAAGCTTGATAGGGTTCTGACTCCAGTCGATATTTCTGACCTGGACGCCTAACCGTATCAGTCCGGCTTGCGTCAGCTCCCTGGCCACCTCTTCAACCACAGCGACGTAGCCATCCTGCAGAAATACTTGGTCGCCATCGAAGTCGTCGATGCCGAACTCGAGCAGACTCATACCTCGTCGGTCCCGGGCGCTCTCTGCCGACTGTGCAGCCAGCGGGGCGGCCTCCATACTCTCCACAAATTGTGGCATGGTGCCGATTGAGTGGTGGTATTCCGTCGGGACGGTTTGGTACGCCTCGCGGAGTTCCTCTGACGCTGTGATGGCTTGGAGCATCGTGGTGTCCTTTGCCTTGCCTAGATCTTCAGCGGCTGCCTCATGCAAGGACTCCATCATCGACCAGAGTGCTCCCACCATCTTCCCTGCCACGTCCTTTGGAATGATCCTGTCACCTTTCCCTCCCCCTTGGCCCAGAGTGTGCTGGGCCGATCTGACCGACTCGACCTTGATCCAGGGCTGCCCATCAAGAGACTGCTCATTCGGCCTCTCAATCTCGTCTTGTGTCTTCTTCTCAGGTGGTTTGAAGACCACAGATCCAGAAACCTGTCTATACCTCTTATGAGGCAGCACCCCCATCAATGGATTGGGCTTCTCGTCCGTGCCGATACCATGGATCCAGTTGGCCCCCGTGTCCAAGCGGCACCCATTCACATGGACAGCTTCTATGCGCCCGCCTATCCTGTCTCTACCTTCCAAGACGAGCAGATGGTTTTTCTCTCTAAAGTATTGGTGTTGGTAGAGCCTCGAGGCGCAGGCCAGTCCGGACATGCCGGCCCCAAGGACGATGGTGTCATAGTGCGTGGTTCGGTGCGCTGTTGCTGCTGCCGCCATGCTGACGAAATGTCTTCTTTTCATGCCCTCCGATTAAGAGACCACCGCAGTCGAAGGAGAGCTCCAGAAAATAAATGATCTAGTTTCGTAATTCAAGGGAGAATCATTTGTCTTCATTGTCGCTGATGTCAAGATTGCGGTTCTATCGGACTTAAGGGTAAACACCCTCCCTCAGCACAGATCCCGGCCTCGACTTAGACCTTGCTGCTATGGACGGGTCAGAATCTCTCTTCCCAAAGTCAACTCGATTGCCTTGCTATTTGAAGATGTCATAATGACCTGGGCGTGTATACCACATTGTCTCTTGTGTAGACTTAGGCCCGTGTATTGTGATTGTCAGGAGCGTTCCTGCAGCTGGATGGATCACGATGGGTTGTTGTTCCTTCCGACTCGGACTCTAAACCAAATCCTTCATGTCAGCCCACGAAAAGGTTCAACGCAACTCGCGAATCACAACAGAGGTAGCTGCTTTGTGTTCGGACTTAAGGCAGATTTACTTAGCCGAAACAAGGATTCTGCTGACCACATATTTACTTGACACAACACTCACAGACATCGACCTCGACCCCCTGATCAATACATACTTACCCGAATCCGTCGTGTCGCTGTTGGGCTTGTAAGTTCAGAACAGTCTGGTTTAAATTCGAGAGCTCAGGATGGTGACTACTCGTGCAACAACATCGGGCCAGAGTGCAAAATCCCAAGGCAAGCAGCCCGCCACTTCTTCTTCTTCTTCTTCTTCTTCTTCTTCCCTCTCCATCACCGCCGCCACCAAATCGAAGAGGAGGATCACCGCTGTCCGCAAGGAACAGAACAGGAACGCCTCTCGGGCGTATCGTACGTGGATATCAGTTGTTTCTTTCCGCCACGTTGAGGTATCTCTTGTGCTGACCAAACCGTTCCCAGGTGAGAGGAGGAAGCAGAAACTTGCTCTCTTGGAGCAACTGCTCGATAAGGACAAAGCCCGGACGACAGTTGCTGGTGGTAGTTCCAATGCTGAGCTCGGGGCTAGCTCAGAAGCTGTGCAGCATAGAGAGTCACAAAATGTCTCTGGTGGCAGCATGTCGCCGGGTGGTGTAGCATCTCACAGTCAGAGTGTCCCATTCTCCCATTCATTAAGATTCAATACCACGGACGACGCTACCTCGTTGATGTCTGGGAATATGACATTCGATTCCTCCTGGATGCCATTGAGCAACGACCCCGTTCCCAACCTCGCTCCTACCGGGTCGGACACACTGCCCGTCAATGACGCCCGCACGTCGGGTCCAAGCAGTGGAAGCAAGCAGGCGGCTGCTTTACCCTGCAGCGGACCGAGCCCAGAACTTGAACTGATAACTGCCTTGGTTCAGTCTGGGTATCATCGCCACTGGGTCTCCAGTGATGAAAATTCTCAGTCATCGCAGCAGGAAGCTCGACGGGACGAGAGTCTCTTGAGCTTTTTCGCGGGCGTTGCAGCCCTCTCCAAACCAGCCATCAACCGGGTCATCTACGTCCAGCAGAACGGGCTTTTTGGCGCTGTTATCGAGAACACGCTTGCCCTGGGGATCCTAAAGGGAGCACAGCTGCTGTTCGATGAGGAGGGCACGAGCCCTTTCTTCAGGAAGGACTGGGCCGCCGAGAGCCGGGCCTCGTCCTCCTGCAGCACCACTCAGCAGCTCTCGGACATCCGGTCCAAGTTCAGATTCATGCCCAAGGACCTGCAGCCCTTGGACATTCAGATCACCTTCGACCACCACGTCTACCTCGACGTCATCCCCTTCCCCACTTTCCGCGACGCCGCCCTCAAGGCGCTCACCTGCGACCCGCCGTTGTTTGACGAGGACCAGATGTGCGCAGATATGACCTCCAACGGCGGCCTGGTCGTCTGGGGCTCGCAGAACAACGATCAGGGCATGCAAGCATGCCGGTCCTGGGATATGCGGAGCTGGGAGCCCAAACCTTGGTTTTTGCGAAAGTATTGGTACCTCGTCGGAGGGTGGGACGGGGAGATGTGGCGGGCGACGAGATGGTGGCACGCCATGAGGAACGAGAGGATCGAGATCAGGCCGCCGAGCTCTTCTGAGGTTCTCTGTTGATGAAGCGACCGTGAAGGTAAAAAGGGTTGGCTTAGATACTGGGACAACTGGTCGTCGTCATCCACCTGCAGGTCTTGCCACATGCAGCAGCAGAGGCACCAGAGCAGTCTGTGTAGTGATGGTACTGTGTGTCATTGTACTCATGAGAAAGAAACAGGAACTAATTATTTATCAAGTTCTCTCACCAGTGTCTCTCTCAAAGAGACAAAAAATATTATTAATCTTGAATATTCCAAAGCATAATTTACCTCCTGGATGAGCTATCCCTGGTCTCTTGGTTTATTATTTACACTGACCTTGGTATCGGGGAGGTGCTCGAGAGCTCAGAAGCAGAGGGATAATCATACCCAACTCTTTTACGGCCAGCTGTGTCTCCTCACTTCTCCTGACGGCTGTCTGTGGTAGCGGCTAAACCTCAATGAGACCGTATTTCCTGAAGGCTGTTTGTCCTGGTGAGTGGTCTTCCTGGCAACGCCCTCCCCGGGTGACTGCTGTTCCTCGCCAACGTTATTCTTGCCGACAGTCTCCTTTTGCGAGTGTTTCTTCTTCTCGTGATCGCCTTTCCCAGTAATGATTCTTCTACACGCGCTAGGGACATAAAACACCACTCTATAACTGAGAAGAATTCCCCAAACAACCTTGTATAAGCTCCCAAAGAAGAGGCTCACAAGCCTATAAACAAGACGCCAGAAGAAATCGGCAGTCCTCAGCCAGAGAACAAGCAGTCCTTCACCGAGAAGCATGGCAATCCATATGTTGAGCCAGTCGCTTAGAGACTGCGGACGGAACACCGCTCCGAGGGCTCGGCCTCGTCTTTCGAAGTACTGCCAGGAAGGCAAGATGCGGACTGCGAGGTAGGATGTGATGCGGAGGAGACCCGCCATGACGAGAAGGGCAAGCAGAACCATTATTATAAATATGTAAGGAAAGGAATGGGGATGTTTAGGCCACAGATTGTGTTGGCATGGAAGGAGAGTGCAATTGTGTGCGTTGGTCAATGTTGGGGTAGAGTTGATTTTATGCTCTCTAATCCTATGGACTGTATTATATATAATAATTTCACAGGTCGAGAGACTCTGTATGCACTCAACATGGTAAGCTACAATGTAACAAAGCGTCTTGTATCCTTGTCCCATCACTGGTTGAATGAGAATGCTTTCATCGGACTACTACAAAGACTGCGCCGTGGTAGCTGTGCTTTACGCGACAGCAGCCGCCTGCTCTTGTTCCTCGAGCCTCATCTTGGGACTAGAGAAGAAATTTTAAATAACACAAAGAGGTCTATTGTTCTCGGCACGAGTATAGCCATTCTTTGACTTTCTATTGCGTTTAAGCTGCAGGTGCTCAGCCTGTCGACCCTGAGCGTATTGTACCTGGGAGCCGTCTGACCTGGGCAAATGATTGGCAGCTAGAACACTGAGTTGATGTTGGCGGCGACAGAAACCGTGATATTGATCTTCGAGCTGGTTTAAGTAACCATTTTATTGTACTGGGGTCGAATCAGGTTCATGAAAACCACAAGGTCGCCATCAGGTCAAAGTAAGGGTAGCAACATTGAATACCCTCTCCTTGAAAATCCGATCGACACCAACCTCAAGTAGGACCGAGAAATCCTGACAGCACTTTAACTCTCTTTCTTTTCTTCTTCTTGTCGCGAGAAGCTGTTGAACGACACGAGATAATTTTTTGGTCATATCAACATGTCGCAGCCATCTGAAGTTTTGCCGGCGAGTGCGGCCTTATCAGTGCCGTCGACAATGATCTCAGGCCGGTGGTAGTGTATCTATACTTACTTGTACCGCTGCGTAGCTAAATGACTATCACTCAAACCCTTCGTCAACGACTCAAAACACCACCCGCTCGACAGCCAAGAAAGACAAATCATCCTCCTAAAGACAAAAAAAGAAGAAGAAAAAAAGAGATGGACGATTCCAAGGGTCTAGCCATTGCCTTCGAGGAGGCCAAGCTCTCCTACTCGCAGGGTGGCATTCCGGCAAGTCTTCCAATCCATTTATCCTCTCATTTTTCCTTCCACGCACTCAACTCTCCTCAAGGAGCCAAAAAAATAAAAAATAAAAATAAAAATAAAAAAATAAAAAAAAATAAAACGAAATCCACTCCACTGACGTCTTACTCCCCCATCATCAGATCGGCGCCGCCCTCATCGCCCCAGACGGCACCGTCATCGGCCGCGGCCACAACGAGCGCGTCCAGCGCGGCAGCGCCATCCACCACGGCGAGACCTCGGCCCTGTACAACTCAGGCCGCCTCCCAGCGCGTGCGTATCGCGGTGCCACCATGTACACAACCCTCTCTCCTTGTGACATGTGTAAGTTTTTCCCAAACAATCGCCTTTCAGAGCTTTTCCAATACTTTTTTTCTTTTTTCTTTTTCTTTCATGTAGCTAGGGCCATGCTTTGTGGAAAAAGTCTGACCAGAAAACAACAAACCCAAAATAGGCACGGGCGCCTGTCTCCTCTACGGCATCAGCAGGGTTGTCATAGCCGAGAACAAGAACTTCCTGGGCGGCGAGTCGTATCTGCGGTCGCGGGGCGTCGAGGTCGTCGTTGTGGATGACGCCGAGTGCAAAGCGCTGATGGACAAGTTTATTGCCGAGAAGCCTGAGCTGTGGTATGTTGGCTTGTGCCGCTGGCTTCCTTTCATCTAATCTCTCCCTCCCCTTCTCTACAGTTCCTAACTTGAGCTCTAGGAACGAAGATATCGGCGTGGAAGAGAGGGTCTACTCCAAAGAGGGCAAGACGTCCGCACCTTGAGAGGGCAATCTACACACCACTCATGCACGCAAGCATGTGTAGTTCGACACCAAAGTGGTGCTTCAATACAATTCTCAGATTCAGTCAAATAACTGCCTCCACGCACACACGCCAAACAGTATGCCTTCTGCCGTCTGGGCCCTTTTCACCTCATTTTTCTTGTAATATCTATGCGACACAGTTCCAGACGCCGTGTTTCTTGCTTTGAACCCTTCCCTTTCTGGAGAATGATGTACAGGCAATGTTTATGTCCGCCCTCTCCTGACTGCACCTTGATGAAGAAACCCGTCTGTGGTCAGCCCGTAGGCAGGATTTAATATTAATCCAGATGAAACCCAACATGTAAGAACTGTACAGGTGACTCTAGAAGCCGTCTCAGCAACACCAACAATGTAGACCTATTCACAATGAATACCGAGACTCCGTCAAACTAGGGACAAGGCAAAAAAAAAAGGACAGAAAAAAAAAAATCAAAACCTGAAACGAAGAAGAAAAACAAATTGGCGTTACGGCTGCTCGCACTTCCAGGTATCTCGAGGGCCAATGCTTGATACAGAACCAGCAGTATTGGCGAACCGTGTTCCAAAGTAATCGTATCGGCAAACTATACACGTGTCGGTGTGCGAGTCTGGAACCCTCTTCCCTCACAAGCGACTTCTAGTGCAGAAGGTTCCGCAAGGACGGACTAGCTGACGCACCGCTCGGCTGACGGTTCTCTGGGGGCCGGGGAGGTAGAGGACCGAGATCCCTCGACGAGGTTGCGTTTTCCCTCGGCATGGGCGGACTTGCGTGGGGAGTTGAGAAGGGTGAGCGGTGAGGGTTGAGGACCTGAGCAAACAAATGCTCAGGAGGCCGTGGCGGGTGCGCACTACTATGGGGAGGGTGGGGAGGAACAGGAGGTGGATTAGAGGTCGAATGTGGTGAGTGGTGAGGCTGATGATGATAGGTCGGATGCATGTAAGAAGACCCGCCATTTGACAGTGGTGGTGGAGGTGGCCCACCTCCGTGACTTCTTGGAGACGGCGGCATGCCGTTGACCATGGGCGGAGAGCCGTGGTGGCCATGGCCGTGAACATGGCCAATACCATTTGGTAGAGATGGTTGTATGGAAGGAGGCATGTTGGACAGAGGGGGCGGCCGTAGATGATTTGGCGCTGCGAGGGATGGCATGGAGCTGGGCGGCAAGTGCGGGTGAACTCCATTCATATGATGAGGAGGGGGAGGAGGAGGAGGATGAGGAGCAGTGGTAGGTGGGCCGTGTTGCGACGATGGTCGACGCCAATCGTTATACGGTGGGGCCTGCGGTGGTGGTTGTTGTTGTGGTGTCGCTGATGGTGGCGGGGGTGGAGGCGGCGCCGCCGTCGTAAATGGAGGCAATGGAGGCGGACCTCGCGATATGCCAGACGGAATCGAAGGAGTAGCAATAGGTTGCGAGAGAGGTGCTGGGGGAGGCGCCGCTGCCGGCGGAACCGGTGCCGACGGAGGCTGTACCATTGGAGCAGAAATGGGAGGTGGTGCTATAGGGGCCGCAGGTGGTCCAGACGGTGGACCAGGTGGTGGTGGCGGCGGCGGCGGTGGTCCCAAGGTTGGCGGTGCAATCGCAAGGGGTTGTGAGCTTGTGACTTCCGAGGAACGTCGAGGTGGAGGGTTGTCCCAATTTTGTGGGGCGATCCGTCCGACACTCATCAGATTCTGCGGGCTGCTGGCAGCCTGAACTGCCTGCACGGCCTGGGCAGAAGACTGGGAGACCTCCTTTGGCGGTAGAGGTGGCGGAGGTGTCTCCTTCCTGGCCACAGGTCGAGGCTGCCGGTTGGCCTTCTTGCACTTGTGGCATTGGTGGTCCCGCTGTGCCACAAACAACTGAGCCTCTGTACCGAGCGTCCCGTGATAGCCATTCACCAGCAGTCGTTCCTGAGACTCATCGATAGGATACCACTTGAGACTCACGTCAGTGCCACAGGTGATGCAGACCTTGCCTGCCGGTTGTAAGATCACCGGGAGGTCTTCTTTGACAGTGCCGTTGACTTGAGCTGGTGGTGCTGCTGGTGCTGCCACAGCCTTTTCCATGGTTGTTGTCGATGCGCGCCGGTTCACCGGTGACACAACAACAGCTGCAGTGGATGCCCTCGTCATGGCAGGGATCAGGTTGGCCTTGCGAGCACATCCGGTCAGGGTCAGATCGGCCTGCTTGAAGTTCCGCACATACAGCTGGAGTGCGTTCAAGCCGGACTCGTCCACCACATCTTGCATCCGATGCACTGTGGTCTTGGGCGGGTGCTCTTTGCACCAGATGGCTGCTGTCATGGTACCACTCTCACCACCAATGGTGACAATGTTGTGTTGATCCCGTCGTGAGCCCTTGACAGGTGTGATGTCGAAGCCGAGAGTGTAGCCAGCCTGGTGTGCACATTCGACATGGACTGGCGCACGGCAGTGGGCACAAGAAACGCAGGCACCTCTCTGTGACTTGCATACCTTGCAGACCTCCTGATACCGGGCCCGGGGAATGGAAGGGATACCTTCACTAGGCTCAAGTGCCTTTGCATTGCCAAACTTGACCTCTGGGGTAAAGACAGCACAGGTGACGTGGACCCAGTTGGTATCTGCCGTCTTCTTGAGCGGCTCCCTTGGGTTGATAGGCCGACCAAGATCCACCTGTCGCTTGCGGTAGAACTCGGCTGCCTTGACGGCCTTTTCCTTCTCCAGCTTCTCACGCTCGCGTTCCTTCTCCGTCTTCTTCTTGTGGGAGATCTTCGGAGGCTCCACAAAGTCGTGTTCCGTATTCTCGACCGGACAGAGGACGCATTTGATGAACTGTAAACCTTTAGTTAGCTCATGCATGCACTCTATGACAAGGCTGCTGTTTATTGAAAATAACTTGCCAGTGATGCCTGGGGATTTTTGTCGTTGGCGCACGTGTCGCAGCTCCATTTTCCAGAGTGACGGTTGTCAACTACTCCGTAGCAATTCCGATGCACGCTCAACCGGCATTCTCTGCATTGAAGGTGTTGGTCCGCAAGGGGCTCGAGTTGACGGCAGATATCGCATGGCATCGTCCTGGCTTTGGGCATTGGAGGGGGAGGTGGCGGCGCTGGTTTCTCCGCTGGCTTCTCCTTTTCTTTCTCCTGCACCTTTTCTCTCTCCTTGTCCTTGTCTTTCTCCTTCTTCTCCTTCTTGCTCGTAGCGTTGCCAGCGGTAGCACCTGCAGCCTCTGATGCCAAGGCAGCCTCTGAGTCTCGATCAGACTTTAATTTCTTGCGAGGCGGCTCCTGCGTCGTGGTCTGGGCAGATCCGCCCACAGGACTTGGACTGCTGGTGGCAGGCTCCGGCGTGTTGTAATTCGTCGCTGCAATCATCTCGTTGTTGGCCTGCAGCTCTTTCAGGAGCTCCTCGTCGACCTTCTTCTTCCACGCACGACCACCGGCAGCGGCAACCTTCTTGGCCACCTCCTCTACATCCTCCCACTGGATGGCATACCGACGCCAGAGCTCGGCACATCTCCTGCATAGCGCAACCACATACTGATTGCCCTTATCCTTGGCTTTACTCCCATTTTCTGTGACCACGGCCGCTGTGACATTGGGAGCGCGGCGCCACTGTCTCGACGTTTTGGTGTTGCAGAATTTGCACATGAAGCCCTTCTTCTTGACCTTGGCCTTGTCGGTGTCGAATGCCGAGTCGTCGTGGTCGTCTGCGACCTCGTCGGCAGCCTTGCTTGCCTCTGCCTGTGCCCTCTTGATCTCCTTCTTGCCTTTGCGTGCAGAGTAGTTGCCCCAGATTTGCTTGCCTTTGGCAGTCTTTTTCCACTTGTACCAGTGTCGAACGATCATACCATGCGGCACCGTCTTCACAAATCTCTTGACGAGCTGCATTTCTGAGCCAAACTTGGTCACAGCCTCCTCAAACTTCTTCTGCTCCGTGGGGGTCAGTTCGGGCTCCTTGAAAGCAGACTTGTCGATCGTGGGAAGCACTCTGAGTGCCTTTTCGGCATCGTAATTGTTCTTGTAGAGCAGGTCTCGCGCGATGTCTTCCATGTTCGTACTCTTTTCGGGGACATCAAGCGCCTTCCACATGGTCCTAGCCCTGTCCATGTAGTCATCGATACCGGCCTCGGAGATGACGATGTCGCCGTCAGCATCTTTCAGGATCTCCCCATGCTTGTCCTCTATCGGTTTCCAGAGACACTGAGAAGTACTGTTTGGATCGTCGTCAGGCAGATCCAGTCCTCGGGGGATGAAGCCCGGGAAGGGCTCATCTTGAATGTGCTTGGGGCGAGATTCTCGCTCGCGCTTGTCTTTCTCGATGAGGGCCTGGGTCTCCTTTGAGTGCCGACCATCTTTGCGACCGCTCTTCTTAATCTCCAGCGGCTTCACAAACTTGACCGGTCGCCCTGGCCAGGGACCAACGGTGGCTTGGTGTCGAGGTCCAAGCCTTGAGCTCGCACGAGGATAGATGCGGTCATCATAATCAAGTGCATCTTCTATCTTGCAGTGCATGCCCAGATATCGATAGGGCCAGAGACTAGCCTGGTGCAGCTGCTCTGCTGTCGGGGGAGGATGTTCCTCCTCGTCGCCGTAGCTGGTCCCGTTCGTGTCGGCATGACCAGGATCCTCTTCCTCCTCCTCTGGAACCTCTTCATCCTCGGCCCCAAGATGAGAAGCGTGGAGGTGAGGTGCATTGAGCGCCTCGAGTTTCCTCTCCTGGGCGAGATTGCAAGGAGCACAGGCCCAGCCAAACCCACGGGCGGGTTTCTTCTGCAAGGGCGGACGCACGCATGTCATATGGTAGGTGTTCCCGCAAAACCCGCAGTCGACTGAATCAGCACTACATAGTTCCCAGTCAGGTTAGCGCATGCGGGGCGGATGAGCTTATCCCAAAGGAGTACCAGCGCGGATTGGGTGTCCCTGCACTCGCGAGCTTGGCAGCGGTGGCACCTCCGACAAACTGAGAGGCGGGACTCATTTTTTTCTTTCTGGTGGGGGGGGGGGGGGTGGTGCAGC